GGGTTCATGTGACTGGGTCCATGGTAGGTTACTATCTCGTGAGGGGGGAGGGGATCCACGGCTGTGTATTCTCAAGGCGTATTCAGGAATGTTTCAGATACAGTTAGAGACATAGTTAGGGACTAAAGAGATGGACATTGGTATGCTTTGGAGTGTTTGAGAGATATCTAAGCCTGGACGGTCACGTATAAGGCTCCAAGTGTGTTTCTTGGTGGAGATAAAGTGCCATGGAAGACGTATTAAGAGGTGGGTGTACGGGGAGCCTGGTGAACTTGTCTCGGACCTGAGTCATTTCTGTCTATGGTGCGAGCACTTGAAACACCCTGTTGATCAACAGACAATTATTTCACAGTAGCGACGTTTTATGTCTCTACTAGAGTCTCAGTATGACTTGGAATATACTCGAGTGTCTGAAACAAGTTCCCTTCTCACAATTTCAGCTGATATAATGTCGGCGCTCAGCCGTGCCTTCGGTCCTTGTCCAAGTAGACTAAGACTCACTGGATAAGTGCAGTGGCTGGAGTTGGAAGTAAATCAGGGCAGTGGTTGCTGCTTTACCCATGCCACTTGAAGTTCACTGTCCAACAGCTTCTCTTGGCGCCCTAGGCTACCCGACAGCCTCTGCACTGGGCTACATTCTGGCCGGTCCCCCTTTATCCTACAAGTAGTGATACGACGCTAGCCACCAGAGCGGGATGTAGTGGCTTGGTACGGGCGGAAGAAGATGTTGAGAGACGGCTGCCAAACGCCGTTGAGGACTGGGTGCAGCCGCTACCGCCTGTTTTTGGTCTTGTTGTTCTGATCTTGTCCTTCTTGACCCGGATATGTGTAGCAAACAAGAGGAGACGTGGCCGTTTTTTGGGGGCTCCGCTGTGAAACATTGCAACCGCATAAAATGTGGGCCAGGTTAACCAGTTACGTGAAGACGAGAGTCTTAGTCGCTTCCTGTTGCAAGAAGTGAGCTGGATGCGTAGTTTGGGGAGAATATTATGACAAATCACTATTTTGATCCTAATATAGAGTATCAGATGGGATAATTGGCGGTTAAAACCAACTTTATCTCGAAATCTGGGCTTCTCTATGTCATTATATGTGAAGTATACTGCCCTTCTTCTGCTGACCTAGAGTAACCACCACAGAACACCCTGCCCGGTACAAGAGACCTCCCACAAAGTCCCCTTGAGTACCACTCCAACCCTCCAGTCGCTCTTATTCTCCACCCGGAGTCGTGTTATCTCTAACTTGGTTCATTATGGACTTCCGGCTCTAGTGATTCCTTCTGCATGCCAAAGTCAACTAATGTCAAGTAAAGTTCAACTAAAATATGAAACCCATAAAGCAGGGACTTATCTGGAAAATTACGCATGGCTCGACCAGAAGTTGATATTATCGGTTTCAAAGCTTCAAAGAGTTTCAATGTGACCCTGACATATGTTTATGTCATATAACACAGCCTCTTCAATCCACCTTTTTGTCACCTCCATTAGCCGAACTAGAAGCTAGAAGTTTTTGATCCGAGATGGGTCATCTTTTGTATACATACGCAGATCTAGTCAAATACCGATCTGATTTAAAAAATAATTCCTCCATGGACTCCTTCTGGTAGGAAGTCGTCATTTGAAGCCAATCCGTCTTGTTCGATACTCAACTACATTGCTCATGACGGGTAAAACAATTGAAACACTGCCAGGACCCTAAGGATCTGCTAGACCAGCATCAGCATCACCTCAAGGTGCAGGGTCATAGTTCAGACTAGGCAATAGCATGTAGTATGACGTCGTCGTTCGGCTGATGTTACGTGACTGCAAGATATCTGACACCTGCGACTCCTGTAGGTACTGTAAGGTCTTGACGTCTCCTTGATGACAGACCTTCTTGCTGTCTTAGATTTATGACATGTAACCTACTGTAACAGAATATTTGTAAACCTGCCTGGTCTTTGTTCAGGCTGACATCTCCCGGGCAGCAACAGTCCACCACCCTAGCCCCCACTAGCTCGATTGTTAGACTACCGGGCGCGCCTAGGGTGATAGTTGCATTATGAGGGTCGGAGAAGTCGGCGACCTGTCACGTGAAATTGGATACGCTTCAGCTTCTCAGCGTAGTATTGGTTTGCCTGTGTTTGAAGTACTGGAGGAGTGAAGTTTGGGGTATGTAGAGAGGTTTGAATGCTGGAGATCAATGAAGGGTTCAACATGGTGACATAATCGGCTCTTAAGTCTTTTATTATGATATCATTAGTACAAATTCATACATATTAGATTCACACCTTCATCTGTAGGCTACAGTCACGTATCTGTAGTGCACTTGCGCCCGCACTAGCATAGGACCATCTCTAACATGTCTCCGCTTGTCCACTTGTTACTTCTCTTGCAAAACCAGTCGCCTTCTATTTGCGCAACTTGTAATCTCGGCTTCCGCTCTTTGTCACCTCGTAAACCTGACCCATCCCCTTGGTTGCCTCGATCTAGCGTTTCTAAAGTTCTGCCCCCGTTGCACCGCGAAAAATCGCCCTTTTAGCGTGTTGGATCGGAATACTACCCTGAGGAAGGGGTTTGGAGTGGAAGCTGAGATTCGAAAGATTGGAAACTGCCTACTTGCACCTCTATTATAGGCTTCAAACATGCTATGATGGTCTGTTAGTGATTCGCGATCCAGATGTGTAGACATGTGGCTGTTTGCGTGACCCAATTCCTGTCTTTCAGATCACTTTGATCAACTGTGCCTGCCATTGAGTCCACATCTACGACCCTGGATAAACTATCCGTGCGTGCCGCCCACATTGACAAGCTGCTAGCGTGTTTTTAGCGGAGGATGAGGCTCAGTTAGTGGAGAAGGCTACTGTAATCGGGGAAAGATCACGCGTGTGTCCGAGGACGAGAAAGTCACGTTGGAGGCTATCAAAGATGTTCCCTAGATCATTTCATCTCGACTAATTCAATCTCCGAACTCGGATTTAGGATAGCTCTTCTGAATCCAAAGTTAGACCCATTCTCGCAAGTCTGTCTCCGAACAATCTGTCCCTTACCGCTAGTTTCAAACTAGTGAGAAATAGTGGGAATCTTAGCGGGAGCAAAACGCACTTATTTAGAGTGCTCCACTTAGTGGGTCTAGGCAGTCTAGAGTTAGCTGCCTTGGTTGTTACAACTCAGCTCCACATACACATATTGCAGGGTTGTAGCATGATATGGAGACGACTTGGACCCAGGGACGCAATGATATATCACGCGATGCATATAAAAGGAAGCTAGTGGGATGTGACAGATCACCTGATCTGACGTTTTCTTGTGACTCCCTGTCCTCCAATGCACATGAGAGCTCCAGGTGCTAAAAATCGTTCCTAGTCTAGTTAGCCGCCGTATGTCTACTCACAGCAGACTAAGTAAGCTACATCGTTGTAGTTACTTTGTATATGCAGAAAAAAATAGGCCGAACTGAGTTGACCAACTAAAGTAGCGTGGAGTTTACCAATTGTGGGGATAAAGAGAAACAGACAACGGGAGCCGCTAGAGCCCTTTTGTGACGATGAAGAGCCCAAAGGAGAATCAGGGTCGCTTGTTATTGACTCACGTGATGCTCTTCTGAAACCGGAACTCTCAAAAAGAATGAGCAGAACAGGGGGCAGGTGCAAGACAGACAAACCGGCATGAGTTTCCAAGATACGACCTCAGGGGTCAACAAGGCTGTGCCCTGTGGGTCCAATTTCCTACGGCCTGAAATAGTGACTCCATTGTGTTAGTGTCATAAGACAATCAGTCTACCCGGCAGCACAGTTATGTACAATATAAGGGTCTGGAGAGCCACATGGGGAAGCACTAGGCTTGAGTAGCTGAGCTAACCATCTGGGGTTGCGAGACTAAGTAAATGAACGTCCAATGATCCGATAATGCAGGCTTGTACTGGAGATGTGGGTGTTTTTACCGAGCTGGGTCGTAGTGGTTGAATATGAGCCGAGGTGTTTCAAGCAAGGCGAAGGGTACAAGCGGTCATATTGGTCAGGGACGGAGAAAGTCGACCTAGAATCTGTCTAGAACTTGTTAGTACAGTACCTCTATACTTCTTTTCATCTTCTCCACTTTTGACAGCATGTATATGTTTTTGAGGGCTCCTTTGAAGGGCTCCACCATCCCTGGCGTCGTGTACAAGTAAAAGTACAAGTATCTAATCTAAAGGAGAACCTTTTAAGACCATTTTGGTTTCCCTCATCTCATTTATGTCGAAATGGATCACTTTTCAACTCTCTCACAAATTATCTCGAAATCAGTCTATAGACAGTCCATTGAGCGCTCATACTTGTACTTGTAACAGGACTGTCTGGAAACACGAAACCACCGAAACCACAAAAGTCGCCAGGAATGGGTTCCAATATTGATTACTAAGCCAACATATCGTCCTCCGAAACCCCACTTGCTTCTTGGCGACTCTTAGATCAGTATTGCTCAGCCCTTAGTTTCATCCTCCTGACTGTAGAAGATAGCACTCCCAAAACGCCTCCCAAAAATACTTCTGCAAACTCTAAAAGTCAGCTGGTGGGTAGTTATCTCGAGCTGCAGACATGCCCCAAGGAAACAGAGACCACCAGACGATTCAGAAAATGCACTATATTTTAATGGTACACTAACTATTATACTCTCTCACCCAAAAACAAGTCGAAATCTCCACCTCCTCCTCCTGTCACTCATTTCAAATTGCCACCAATTTAGATTCCCCTAACCCTACGAACATAAGCCAGATGGACTCCTTGGCTTGTTGATCCCCAGTCATAATCTGTGATTGGAGAAAGATTTTGCTTAGGTAACTGCGTCATGTGATTAATCACGTGATTTAGAGTCGTTAGTGGGAAAAATCGACGTCTCAAGCTCCATTTTCGCATCTGAAAAGTGCACGTCCAGTGCGCTCATATGCTGCGCTACCCCTACCCTAATTAACTCAGTCCCACCTTATCTCCAAACCACTCACCACTACACTCGGCATACACGACACTAACAACCAACACTACCATGAGCTGGAATGGATTCAAAAAGGCGATGAACCGGGCGGGCACGTCGGTGATGATGAAGACGGGCCACGTGGAGAAGACGGTGGACCGGGAGTTCGAGACCGAGGAGCGTCGATATCGAACCATGGAGACGGCGTCCACCAAGCTGAACAAGGAGGCCAAGGGCTTTCTGGACTCGCTGCGAGCCATGACGTCGTCGCAGACGCGAATCGCAGAGACCATTGATGCGTTTTACGGCGACGCTGGCACCCGGGACGGCATTTCCAAGTACTACTTGCAGGCTGTCCAGGAACTGGATGCCGAGACCGTCAAGGCTCTGGATGGCCCCTACCGAGAGACGGTGCTGGATCCCATCACGCGATTTTGTGCTTACTTCACTGACATTAACGAGGCCATCAAAAAGCGAAACCACAAGCTGATGGACTACGATGCTCTGAGACACAAGACCAAGAAGTTGATTGAAAAGCCCAGCAACGATGCCGCGCGTCTTCCTCAGGCAGAGAAGGAAGAGCAGATGGCCAAGGAAATGTACTCTCAGATCAACAACCAGCTGATTGAGGAGCTGCCCCAGCTGATCGACCTGCGGGTTCCTTACCTGGATCCCTCGTTCGAGGCTCTCGTCAAGATCCAGCTGCGATTCTGTACAGAGTCGTATACCCGTCTGGCGCAGGTGCAGCAGTATCTGGACGCCAGCAGTCGAGAGGAATACGCTAACGGCCAGTTGGACGCCAAGGTGGAGGATCTACTGCAGAACATGAGAGAGTTGAGCATTACTAGTTTGGGAACTAAATAGGCTCATCGAATTCATACAATGAATGAGCGGGCCTATTGAGCAAACTCATCTGCTTGTAGTGAGTGTGCCATGGTCTGGTAGGCTGTTGGCCGGCAAGACGGTTTTCGCTAACCCATGCGTTTGGAAGCGCAGAGTGGACGAATATGTATAATGAATATATGATAAGCATGAAGTCGAAGGGATAGCGTGTTTGACCGAGAGAGTGGTATAGACGAGGACTACTGGTTGTTCCTTTGCTCGTCTTGCTGTGGTTGTTATTAGCAGTGTTGAAAGGTTGATCAGCTGCTACTAACAAGCCATTTGCAACTTTCATGTTGTTCACAAGGAGACCAAGAAAGACTCACAGTCGAACGTTGGTGTTGTTCGAATCGATGTCTCTCTTTGTTGTGCTTCTAACAGTCTTTGGACAATGTTTAGCGTATCTATCTTTGGAGCCAGGATTGAAGATAAGAGCGGCACACAATAGAACTAACTAGAAGACTATAACCAGAAGATACGGTCCACGAGTGGTCTCTTGGTCATTCAAGTCTTGTAAAAATTCCTCATTCGAACTTTTAGCTGTAATCTAAGCTCTTTCTGGCCCCACTTACCACTATCAAGCCCATGATAAGCTAGAGAATTTACTACAAGTACAGAACTGGTACAGCGTAATGTAGTAAACTGTTAATCTAGTAAATCTTCGGTTAACCAAATATCGAGGACAATATTAGCCCAGAGTGTGTGAAACAGCTAGCCTGGTTCTTGTATAGGAACGAATAACTAGGCCAAGGACGTATAGCAATTTTAGCGTGGACCAAATTACCACATGGTGCGGTTCTGAGACTGCAGTATGTCACAAAGACTTGTCAATTGAAGAACTGGACTCTTCTTTAGTTTCTAGCTACCTTCTAGAAGTATAGATTGTTCCATGGAGGGTCTCTAGTCTCTTCGTCTTAGTAGTTATTGAGCTGTATGTACAGCAACAAGACCAGTGTTCTGAGAGGTCTTGGTAGAGGAAGAGTTGACATTACCATTTAGTCATGTGTTAGGGACATTTGTGCACAGTCCTACTGACAGCTATACTCCTCAAAATCTCTCCCCACACCATGCTCTCTTTTCAATACTTCCTGTTTAACTTTCGTATAGCGCCGGGAGCCAAGATCTACTGTGCTGATAGAGCAGGCTACTGCAACGGAGGGGAAGTAACCTGAACACACGTGTTTCAAAATCACCTGATTATCTCGAGTTCCACGGAAGTTTTTTGCAAAGACGCTCAACTTTGGGAGAGACTAGTACCGGTACGAGAAGGTCTATAGCCCACACCACTGGGCTAGATTGCTCGCGGACTGAAAGGGAAGAGAGAGAGTGGGCGACACAAGGGAGTTTTTTAAACTGAGGTTAACGCTCGTTTTCAACATTGTTTTGTACTTTCATACTTACTAAGCCATAATACGGAGTGATGGTGAGGATTCATGTCAGTGTCTGGTTGGGCTTGCTTTCTTTAGACGTGTTTCACAAGTAGGGATGGTGCTCCAGGGAAGTCTCATGAGCAATGAGGTCATTTTGTTGGCCAATGAAACTTCTCCAAACTCCCACGGAGGTTTCATGTTCGTCCATCTATGCTCGGTTTATCATATTCACCGAGACTACGCACCACACTGACACATGTAGATAGCCCGATCGGAGAGCACTGACAAGACAAAGAGTCTATAGTGCGAATATGTCACGGAATTACTTCCAAACAAAGAAGTCTGTGAGTCCAGTTAACTTTGGCAGAGACCCGGAACATGCAAAAGTCAGCTCCTCGTATTGTACTGTAGGACTGTATGGTCACAGCACTACAACCTAGATACGATCTACATGCCATACACTGACATTTCCTGATTCAATCACTCTTATCTCAGATCCCTCCACCGAGTCCAGACTATCTATTCCTGGCTCCATATTATGCCTCCACTCGTCTATCCCTACCGCCCACAACTCTTGTCAGAATATCCACTCTTTGGCCACGATCTAGGTAAAATAATTATCTACCATTCTGACCCTGGCTTGGCCGATCATGACTGTGTCGGAGGCCTTGGTACATTTACTACTGTCTCGTGCAGTAGTGCCAGTTGGGCAAGGATACTGAAGTCTTAGCAAGAAGACTTTTGACGAGCTATTTCCGAAAACAGTAGTAGTATCACTACAATTTTCATCCAAGAGTCTCATCTCACTCTCAAAATTGACCCTGCTACCCCACACTGGCATATCTACGAGCTCGCAAACTGCTCATCCAAGTTGGATGCTGCACAAGCACGTCATCTTTAGCGTATATCTACGGACCATAGCACCCTAAAAGCTGGCATACTTCAGCCCTGTCACCGTCGAGCTGTCATTGCTGCCCAGATGCGGATAACTGGCGGAAAGAGCCGGTAACAGACGGCCCGAAAGGCTTAGTTGGAGGAAGAGAGGTAGCCAGGGAGAACACAACAGGTGATTCAGAGGCGGTAAAGAGAAACGGAGTTCAAATTCGGTATCTTCAGAGTCGCACAATTCCAACCATATAGATATGGTCTCCATAGAATGAGTACTACCCACGTATATCAATATCGAAAACCCCACTTCAAACTTTTCATAAACTGTCAAACAACCTGTCAAACAACCCACTTATTGATTATGGACGAAGAAATACCGCCCATTTACATTTGGGTTACGACAACTGACGACAAGAGACCCAAAAGTCCCTTGTCTGCCCTTCTAAACATGACTTTTCTTGGCCCACCATGGTGTCAATTCCACTAAGCGAACAACCCTAGCTGGATAAGTGCTTGTTGAACAAAGAGACTAAGAGTAACTAGTTTGTGGTTAAACAACTTCCTTGTCCAGATGAACGTCGATGTCTGTGACCTTGTTGCTGATGCCATGTCTCACCACTGGGCTTCTGTACAAATATTATTGTTGAGCAATGTACGAGTACGAGTGTACGATGCACACACTGGACCCAGATTGGTATCCCTTCCGCTGGAACGTGATTGTCTGTTTAGTTGTTGTTGGCTGAACATCATAGTAGGCCTTACCCGTCCCGGTTTCTCCGTTTTATGTGTTTTTCTCTTTCTTCCGTGTAGTTATCTTTGGTCTATGATGTTTTCACATGTCTGATGACATTTCGGATAGCCTTTCATATACAGCCAATATGGATATCAAGAGAGATCAGCACAACGGTTCTTAGTCGACAAACGCTAAAAAGTTCCTCGCGTTTCATGTGCGCGCGCGATATCGCCGGAAATTGCCAAGTAAGAGGTTTAGGAATGAAGCGTGTGTGAGTGTCGAAGCAAAGGCGAAAGCTTTTGGTGTTAGTTGTAGCAGCCACTATATGGAAATAGACGCGTCGACGCGTCTTGTGCGTTTCTGGTTCCTATTATAAGGTTAACTAAAAGCAACCAAATAGTTGGAGAGTTAAGTGAGTCAGAGTCAGTAAATCAGTAGAGTCATGTAAAACCAAGTAGATCCAAGAATCGGTAATAGTACGAACTCCACAGGCTTCAACACTACATTTACTACACTACAAGTAGCACTCAATCGTACAATCTGTTCATCTCGCTCACAGACCTCTCCCTTTATACAATATACACCAATGTCTCGTCCCTGCCGATAATTAATATCTCTACAGTACATACTGTAGCGATCCAAGACTAATGAGAGCGCCCTTGCAGGGATAATAATGATACGGCCGGCTACAAGCGAGTGGTGTCTGTCCAGTTGGTCACGTGATTGTCCCCAGACCATTTTAAGCCACACATGTAGCCCCTGACTAAGACTTGGCCGCCCAGCAATGTTTTCCTGCTTACCCCTGAAATCTACGTCAGTGCCTCGCCATGCGTGTCCCGCAATACAGGTGTTTAGGGTCTGAAAAAGCAACTTCAAAACAGAGTGGGCCAGTAATATGGGGGTTTGAGACATGCTGCGGAATGCACAGCCTACGGAGAATGGCCCTCGAGGTTTGTACTGTCTCAAACGAGACACTTTGCGTCCCAAACGGGCCACACAATAATTTCACATACCTCCCCAGATCGGACATGATGTTTAGGTTGCACTAGAACCTGGTGTTTGAAGGTCCCTTGTAGATCTCGTAAGAGAGATATTAGCACCGAAGAAAACGGTGCATCGTGTTGAAATAGTCGCTCTTCGATTGTGCAAAAAAAACCAGCTATCGAAATGCCCTCATCGTGCCGTTATCGCAATATTAAACCGTGAGCGAATAATACGCCAAAAAATACGCGCATATTTTTAGGAGCTCTTTTTTTTATTTAGGTTGGCGTATCAAGTGGGTAACAAAGGGGAAGAGTGTGTGTTTGGAGGAGTGTCTAAAGCAGTGTTGCAAAGCCCAGATCAGGGCGAAAATCAGACAATACATTTTCGGGCACGTGATTGATTTCCTCCCGCTGTCGGATCTCCAATAGCTCTTTTCTGGCGCGTTTGGTAGCGTCCCTCGATCCACATCACCATGGCAACATACAGTCCAAACCTTAATCATGCAGAATCAAAACAAGACTTGCATGGAAGGTGTGTAGAAGTGTGGGAGATGGACACGACTCTTCCAATTGACATATCGAGTGAAATTCGACATCTAGCGACACTATGGAGCACTTCACTGCGCACGATGGGTCGTTCCAGTTTCCGGACTCGCTTTTCCCCGAGGTCCAGACGCCGTATCCGGCTCTTCCGGCTGCTCCCACTGACAAAATCGACACTCTCAAAGCGGTCTACCAAACGAGCATAGTGGCCACCCAGACCGGTCAGGGCTCGTCACAGCATCTTTCGCAGTTCTTCCGATGGGCCCGGGATGTTCTGGATCTCCACGAGCTCCACTATGGCCTTGGAGAGGCAGAGGTTGCGTTTGCCAAGACGGTCGTTCAACACACAGCATACTCGGAGAGCTCAGAAGGCGCGAAAAGTCCGTTTACAGGCGCAGCACACTATCTTCTGGGTCTGTCTTCGTTGTTTGGAAGCAGCGATGCTTCTGGCGGCTCAGCTGCTGCTCTAGAGCACTTCAAAATGGCTGCAGCCAACGGATTTGCCAGATCGTACTACCGTCTGGCGGTGGAATTTGAATCACGAGGCGACGCAGTTCATTGGAAAGAGTGTTTGGATCGGGGAGCGGCCAAGGGAGACTCTGCATGCTGCTTCAGACTGGCCATGGCTCTGTTTCAGGGCCAACTAGGTCTGCAGAGAGATCCCAATCTTGCTTACGAACTACTACAATCAGCTGCTCGAGTCTCAGATCCCGATTCACCCCAACCCAGTTATGTTCTCGGCCTGCTGTTGCTGGGAGAGCTACCTGCTATCCGTATAGATGGATGTGCCGAGCTGGAGGATGCTGTTTCCAACCCTACAGCACAGACGTCTCATATGGCCTTCAAGAACCTGGAACGGTCAGCCTGGCTGGGATTCGCCCCTGCTCAGATCCGCATGGGACGTGCCTGGCAGGGAGGAGGAAAGGGATTCGATTCGGCTATTGCTCTGCGGTACTTTCACCATGCTTCCAGACACTACCTGTACCAGTGCTGGAGACAGAAAGATGTGTCTCAAACCAGTGGAGAAGCCGAGTTGGAGGTCTCCAAGTGGTTTCTGTCGGGCTGCGAGATGCATCTGGAGGCAAACGAGCCCTGGGCCTTCCGTTTTGGTCATGTTGCAGCCCAGGCCGGCAATACTACTGCTGAATTTGCTCTCGGGTACTTCTATGAGGTGGGTATCTCTGTCAAAAAGAGCACTGTTGACGCCAAATACTGGTACACGGAGGCTCTTCGACATGGATTCACTGAGGCACGTAACCGTATTGACCAGATGGAGGAGTCTCCTCTAGATAAGAGTCATCATCAGAAGCGTTTGTCTCTGCGAAGAAGTAATACCAAGCGCTTGAAGGACGAGTTTAAAGAGAAGCTGCGAAGTGGGCGGGGCGGCAGACCTCTGAGATCCTATTCTGTTGCCGATCCCGAGAATCAGGCAGCTGACAACCGAGCTGGGGAAGTCTCTCTCGAGTTGGAGGAGGTAGAGGAGGGTGTCGAGGAGGGTTCAACACTGGATAAGGCTGAGGATGCCAAGGAAGCTTCGGGAGACGCATCTGATGTCGCCGACCTCACTGTCCCAGTTGGATCGGTCATGGCGAGTCTTCAAAATCTCCAGATGAAGGACACCTCTCAATCTGCCGACAGAATGCTGGACAGAATCAAGGAGATGAAACTGGAAGAGGAGAGGAGGCTAGAGGAGGAGAAGCGGCTAGAGGAGGAGAAGCGGCTAGAGGAGGAGAAGCGGCTAGAGGAGGAGAAGCGGCTAGAGGAGGAGAAGCGGCTAGAGGAGGAGAAGCGGCTTGAGGAGGAGAAGGCAGAAGCTGAAAGGAAACAGCGGGAGGAGGAAGAGAGGCAGCGACTCATTGAACAGGCCAGACAGGAGGAAAATGCGCGCCGAGAGCTCGAGGCCAAACGACTTGCTGAGGCGCTGGAGAGGGAGAGACTTGAAGAGGAGCAAAGGTTGGAGCGAGAGAGGTTAGAGAAGGAACAACAAGAGCAAGAGGAAAAGGAAAGACACGAACAGCAAGAGCGAGCAGAGAGAGAAAGACAAGAGGCGGTGAGAAAACACAACCTCAACAAGGAACGATTTTCTGATGCCTCTACCGAGTCTTCTGTTGAGCAGTCCCCCACACCTTCTCCTGATACACTTACCTCCATATCAATGGAAGAGCAGCTGCAAGAAGCAGAGAGAATCCACAAGGAGGAGCAGCGACGACTACGGAAGGAACACAAGCGAGCACTCAAGAAACGGGCTCAAAGTGAACGTCTTTCGGCTCCCGTTCAACCTCCTCCCCCTCCTCCTACTATTCCCACATCTGCTCCTGACCTGAGACGTGAAAAGATGCTTCAGAATGTCAGACAACGGGTTTCGTCCGAGAGTGTGAACACCGTCACGAGTGCAAGCAATAGTACTCCACCCGCACCTACCGAGTCTGCTCCTCTTCCTCCTCCCCAGCGACACAAACATCGTGTTTCCAGTATGATTCTTGACTCCGATGTGGCAAATGCCAACCACAACAACAGCGACGGATCTACACCTACCACTCCAATTACACCTCTCACGGCCTCCCTTAGAGACATTGTCATTCCCCCTTCCGATTCCAGCAGTCGGTCTACTACGCCTCATTCGGGTCACTCTACACCCCGAAAACCTGTTTCCAGAAGCGGAACAGACACGGATCTGGCCGGAAGAGTGGTGATGAACAATATGGCTTCTCCGGAGCGTCGTGGAAGACGCCATGAGCGAGCCAGAACCTCCTACGATATTTCTGCTGACATGGAAACTCCTCCAAGATTGTGTTCTCCTGCACATGTGGGAGCTGCAGGAGGAGCTGCAGGGGGCAAACGGCTTGTTTCCACACCTGCAGGGGTCGGATCTGCTCCTTCCACGCCTGGAATGGGTCCTGGCTCAGGTCCTTATGCCGATTACTCTCCTCCTGTGCCTCCCAAGGACTCTCCCTTTGACAGATCGACCTATTTCGACCGGTCCATCTCGCCCACTAAGAACAGAGCAGGCTCCCCCTCTGGCCGCGTCAGCAGTCTGTCTGCTGTCGAGATTTCAAACAAACTGAAGAAGTTTGCCGGCAAGATTGTACCTTCCTCACCTCCCAAACGAGGTGCCGAGTTTGAAAGCCCGTCCAGAAGCATGTCACCAGTCAAGGACCGAGTGGCGTCCTCACCTAACCCTGGACGGCCCATGTCGGCTCTATCTGGCCATTCGGACACCTCCCGATCGTCTTCTCCTGTCGATTCCATCATGTCACATTCTCGTTCGTCCACTATGATGACCTCTTCCTCGGGATCTTCAGGTAACAGTATGCTCTCGGGCTTCATTCCCAACATGAGCATGCCCAGTATGCCAAACGTGAAACTGCCCAGGGCCAGCAGCCCCCTCAAAAACCCGCTGTCGGCTAAAGATTTGCAACACACTCCGGTCGAGCCTGCTCCCCCTAGAATTCTGCATGGAACAGGCAAAGGACCAAGGACGTTTGAAGAGATGGGCATTAATCCGGTGACCAAGGAGGCCGACGATTGTGTTATTATGTAATGTATGATATCAGTATTTAATCATAGTGCGGCGAGTAGGAGCTACTTGCAGGTGCGTAGAGGGCTGTTTGTAGTCATCGCACTGAGCCAGAAGATGAGATGAAGTGTCTGGACGAAGAGCCAGCTCCTACGAATCCAGATGTTCAGATGGACCCAGCTTCTTTTCTACTTACTTGCTGAACTCAGGTATCACTTCCGGCTGCTTTCATACGTGTTACGGTATTCACTGTTGACATCATTTGACGCATGTTACCATTACTTGAAGAGTACTTGAAGATAAGTCAGCTGGGGGTGACTTCGTCATTCCTGAACCATTAAAAAGGAGTGGGGCAGACCAAGTGATGGAGAGATAGCTATTTATTAAAAATGAAGTAAAATCAGCAACACAGCATCTACAAATGAGCCGGGTTAAGGGTTCTGTCGTTCCAATTGAGTTGCTGCATTAGTTAGGACTTGCGTTCCGAAGACAGTGCGGCTCGGAAATTTCCAAGGACCGTCTGTGCGGCTCAGATATTGTTTGCCAGGCTTTCGGGAGTGTCAATAAATGGCATATTTGCTAGAAAAAATGTCGACTTTCCAGGTTCCCAAGTTGATTGTAGGGGAGTTATTGTATCATGACCAGCTTTTTTAGTGCTATTTTCTTCTTTGAGATGCTCTTTTTAGCATCCCGAATTTCCACACTAACCGATGTTCGGTACCTTAGCGAGCACGAATAAATAAGCCGCACAGTAGATCCGACTAGACACCGCGACTTGACATGATTGACGCAAACCATGTGGAGACTCAACCTCAAGGCATCATGGTGTTTGGGGTATAAAAGGGGGCGCGAAGACCTCTCTCAAGTCCCTATCAACACTCAACTCAACCCACTACAACCACAACTACTACAACTATGAAGGTCCTTCTTGTTCTTTACGATGCTGGCTCCCATGCCAAGGATGAGCCCAAGCTGCTTGGATGCACCGAGAACGAGCTCGGTATCAGAGACTGGCTCGAGTCTCAGGGACATACCCTTGTAACTACGTCTTCCAAGGACGGTGCCGACTCTGTCCTCGACAAGGAGATTGTCGATGCCGATGTAGTCATCACCACCCCCTTTCATCCTGGATACATCAACAAGGAGCGAATCGACAAAGCCAAGAAGCTCAAGATTTGCATCACTGCTGGTGTCGGCTCTGACCACGTCGATCTCGACGCTGCCAACGCCCGAGATATTGCTGTTCTCGAAGTCACCGGCTCCAATGTCCAGTCTGTTGCCGAGCACGTTATCATGACCATGTTGGTCCTGGTGCGAAACTTTGTCCCTGCTCACGAGCAGATCATCTCTGGCGGTTGGGACGTTGCTGCTGTTGCCAAGGACTCATACGATCTCGAGGGTAAGGTCATCGGCACCGTTGGAGGAGGCCGAATTGGCCAGCGAGTGCTCAAGCGATGCAAGCCCTTCGACCCCATGGAGATGCTCTACTACGACTATCAGGCCATGCCAGCTGACGTTGAGAAGGAGATTGGATGTCGTCGAGTCGAGTCTCTCGAGGAGATGCTCTCTCTTTGTGACGTGGTCACCATCAACTGCCCTCTGCACGCTTCCACCAAGGGCCTGTTCAACAAAGAGCTCATCTCGCACATGAAGGATGGTGCCTGGCTCGTTAACACCGCTCGAGGAGCCATTTGTGTCACCGAGGACATTGTCGAGGCTCTCGAGTCCGGTAAGATCCGAGGTTACGGCGGAGACGTTTGGTTCCCCCAGCCTGCCCCTAAGGACCACCCCTGGAGAACCATGCGAAACAAGTACGGGGGAGGAAACGCCATGACTCCTCATATCTCCGGAACTTCCATCGACGCCCAGGGCCGATATGCCGAGGGCACCAAGAAGATCCTTGAGGTTTTCTTTTCTGGAAAGCAGGATTATCGACCCCAGGACATTATCTGCATCAATGGTCACTACGGCACAAAAGCTTACGGAGATGACAAGGAGCACAAGGAGCACCAGCTCAAGTAAATATATATAGCTAGAAACATATCTCGTTGTTGCTTAGATACTTGTACTACGACTTGTCTCTCAACCTCTATTTACTGTCGCTCGACCTCTATTTAAGGCGTTTATCTCCCTCTAAACGTAGTCCATAGCAGCCTATGATTATTCGTATCAACCATTATTTAGTAATTTTGTACTTGGAATAGTGAAGGCACGTTTCTCCCTAACATCGGAGCCCAATCATTGCTTCAATTCACATTGTCATGAAGAGATAGGTCAAGCAAGCAAGACTTCATACAGAAATTCAATGATTACAAGTACTGCAATAAAGATCACCCATACTTCTGATGTCTGACTGCAAAGACGTTCTGTTTATCTCTCCTTAAGATAGTGAAGTAGCTGACATCTTTCCACTACAAACGCTCTCAAACAAGTCAGTATTTCTATACATTACATTTTTCCTCCGTCTATGCTCCTTCTCAGTGTATCTACCAGTCCACCATTTGCTTTTCCTTCTCGCCATTGTCCTCCTCGTATTCGACCTCCACGCTGGGACCCTTTCGCTTCTTGGTCTTGGGCTTGGGCTTCTTACCGTCAGCAGCAGCCTTTCGCTTCTTAGGCTTCTCGTCCTCGGAGTCGGTATCAGTCTCGTCCTCAGAGGCATCGGTCTCGTCTCCAGACTCGTCACTGCTTCCACCCAGCCACTTTTCAAGGTCCTCCAGCTCCACAAGATCGTCATCGTCTTCCTCATCCTCGACATATTCAACCTCTCCACCCTCTTCCTCTTCGTCCTCCTCTTCCTCTTCCTCTTCGTCCTCATCTTCCTTGTTGGCTCCCTCGACGCCCTCGAGCACCTTCTTCCACACCTTTTCGTCCACGTTGAGAGGGTTCTCGCCGTATGCTCCGCTCTTGAGACGGTCCAGCAGCTCCTTCTCAATGGCCTTTTCCACCTTGGCAGCAGCCAGAGCCTTTCGCTCTCGGGTAGCCTCTCGTCGCTTCACCTTGGGAGCCACACCAACATAATGGGTATCCTCCTCCTTCATGGCAATACGTCGCTCAGCAACAGCCACTTGGGTGAGACGAGTCAGACGCTGCTTGCACTTGTCAACCAGGAACTCATTCCAGTAAATGAGATGCTCGTCAATCTGCTCCAGGGCCCGCTTGTAGTTTTTGGACAGTCGGATCCGCTCCCACCACTTATTGGGGGTGTGCACTCGCTCAGCAGTCTTCATGTAAAGGTATAATCGGCCGTTGACCCGTCGAACGGTGGCGTATTTGGAGTTGGCGAGAGGGCAAGACTTGCGCTCGCAGATGCCGGTAACGTTGTACTCGTTCTTGCAGAAATCCTGGCCTTTGCCGGTTTTCAGCTTGAACGAGCAGAATTGGTCGTTTAGAATTTCCCAGATGAGCTGTGTTAGTAGGAACGAGCAGTCGTGGGCAGCCTAACTGCCGGTGGACAATAATCTATAGTGTTTCAACTGATATCTCGGTTCAAGCTTGTGATTTAGTCGCACTCGGAAAGCATATTGTAGAGCTCAGGTTCAGTTATAGCAGGTCGCAGACGGACTCAGACGGACTCAGACGGACTCAGACCGAATCTTTAGAGACTGTAGACGGTAAAATCCGAAACAGCTCGAAAAAATGTTCATAGAGTCTTCTTTCAGGTGATGGCACAGTGTTGCCGAACGTCTCATGGACAGCGTTCATGATGGAGACTAGGAGAATGGACGAGGTCGACAAGGACGTTTGAGATTTGATTTGAAGCAGATTTGGAGCACGCTTGAATGTTCTAGCGTCTGCAGATAGCATAGTATCGCGGACAGTTCCAACAGAAGCATACACACATTCCTGAGGTCTGTGTAGCAGTACAGCCGTACCAACCACATACGTAGCCTGTAGTACAGTTTCCACATCAAGGAAAACACATAGCTCTTCTCCAACATTCAAAATAGCATCGAAATCGCTCTTCCAATGCTTCACCCCTTCTTTATCTCGTCACAAATCCGTCCACCACCTCCTCTGTCTAACAACCGCCTTGAGTGATCGGTAAAGTACCTGCCAAAAGCCATATAGATCCGGATTTTTCCACTTTTCCACTCTGCTGCACTTCTTTCCAGCCCAAAAGAACCTCCCTTGGGCGCTTCCATCTTTCCATCGATACTCACATCGTCACTCGCCGACATTGTGAATGTGTAGTTATGCTTGAAAAATTCGTGATCAGACTTTCAATCTTTCTAATTTTTTTGGCTCTTGCAGATTTCTCAAACTCTATTTCAGGTTATGAGCAGTTTGGAGAAAGTAACCTAAATTGTCTCGTTTGTGGTTGGCCAGAGTAGTTAGTAAGCAAACACAGTTCTTGAATAAAACACTCTCCAGCCAAAAATAGGGCACCTTTTAGCAACGTGCCGTTTTCGTCGTACATTTTGGTCACGTGATCTCCGTTCTCTGCATGGATTATGCAAACACTAGGTGATTGGTGGAAGGTAAGGGAAGGGGACGTTCTACACTTGTGGAGAGAGAGGTAGTAGATGGAGGGGAACTGGGTGTGGTTGTATATACACATTACTGAGAAATATGTGACTGCAGTTGTTGTTTTTTGGATATCATGGAATTAATGGTGGTAAATGTATCACCAAGTCAGTAGTCTTTATTAGTTGAAAAGACTTGGTAGTCTCATCTATAGAGTGTAACTAATACTTGAAGATGTATAGTAACTCTACAGAATGCACGGTGGAAGAGCTTTCAACCATGAAGTGATACTGGGGGCTATTCGAAGCTATATAAACAAGCCTGCTAAATCTTCCTCCTTTTCAAAGGCTCCACATCGTCTAGTGTCGTACTGTCTTCTTTGCCACCTTCTTAGGGAGCTCTGATAAAGTTCGATAGTGAAACTTCTGGCATCGACTTTTGGTATCACTCTGACACGAACAATCACACAATGTCTAGACACCATCCCGATCTGGTGCTGTGCATGAAGCAGAGCGGCACTCGTGTGGGCCGTCTGTGTGAAAAGTGCGACGGCAAGTGCCCTGTCTGCGACTCGTTTGTGCGACCTACCACCTTGGTCAAGGTCTGTGATGAGTGCAGTTTTGGCAAGTTGGAGGATCGGTGTATTATTTGCGACGGATATGTGAGTACATTCAAGGCTCCCACGGAACACTTGCTGAAGGCGTGAATTGAGTGCGGTGAGATGGAGACGCCGAGGAGATGAGACACACGTATCTGAGGAGGGTTTCTAAGCTCCGATGTGGTCAATGAACACCAAAAGCTCGTGAATGATTCTTGGACCCTCGAGATCAACTGTGAAGTGACTATATCGCGTTCTTAAGGATTTTTTCTCATTACTTTCGCTTACCATACTAACACAGGCGGTGGCGGACGCTTATTACTGCTTTGAATGCACACGACTGGAAAAGGACAGAGATGGCTGTCCGAAGATCATCAACGTCGGAGGCAGCCGGACGGACCTGCATTTCCAGAGAAAGAAGGAGGGACAGAGGTAACCCACTGTTGTATATTATTAATTTATTCTTAGGTGAACGAACTCGGGCGAAGCCCAAGTGATTGGATCTGTAATTATAAGTGTGTAGCCGCAGTCTGTGAACATTTCAATTCACGTTACAAGTCACAGCTTCTCCCTAGTAGGTACGTCTATGTTGTGCTAAACTGTATACATCTTGTCCTGGCATCTACGATACTACAAGTTCATAAATCATTTTAATTCAATAAATAATGCTATTGTTTTGTCAGCCCTAGGGCTCACTCTCCCCCTTCTTCTCCTCCTTGCGCTCACTCCTGCTGGTGGTTCTCTTATGGTGGGGAGTGGCGGCAAATTGGGGATTGACCTCGACAACAGAAAACTTTTTACCGTGCAAAGTAAAGTCCGAGCCTCTGAGCAGCGACGACGATCGCTCAATGGACGGATTATCAGCTCGAACAGGCGAAACTTCCCGTCCGGGGGAATCTGAGCCGTTTCGAAGACCGGTTCGCAGCTTCCGAACACTCATGGACGGTTTGAGAGGACTATTCTCACCTGAACGGAGATCACCAGATGATCTGCTCAGAGATAAAGACCGAGACGCCTTTCTGGGCAGATCCAGCGACGACGACCTAGTATCACCATCAGACCGATCACTCGGGGCGGTGTCTCTCAGAATGCTTTCTCGAACCTCATAAAACCGATCCTGCTTGGAACCGTTAGAAACAGTGGGCTGAAGAGAAGAACGAGACGAGAGAGACGAATCCGGCCGAGGAATAGCTGTGGTAGTAGACAAAAAGCTGTTTCGACCACTCTTGACGGGCAGACACTCCTCAAAGCCCTCAAACTCGGCAGAGTCGATAGAGGGCTGCGAAGGAGATAAATCGACTCCCTGAGAAGGAGAAGAGAGAGCCTGTGAAGGCGAAAGAGACGAAATGAACGAGTCATTGGTTTGCTGGGACTCGTCCGAATCACCATCATCGTCCTCGCTACTGGTGGTTGTGATCTCCATCTTAGGGAAGCCAGACAAAACAGCCGAAGAAGAAGATGCAATTGAAAGAGTGGTCGTGGTCGACTGAGTGGGCTCCAACTTGGTCTCTTCCATATCGGCCTCTTCGGCAGTCTCAGCACCGCCAGTCAACTGCCACTCCTGCTCCTCCTCCAGCTCCTTGGTCAACACTAGTCGGTAACTCTGGTACTTCGTCAAATCAAGCCACTGCCAGTCGAGTTTGGCAGACAACCGGGCAGCGCAGAAGTTGACATGGTATCGAGTTCGCTGTTGAATGGGGGCCATGAGTTTGAGATGCCGAGCATTACGGAGAAGCCCGTCCACCTCAATCTCTACAGCTCCAACCTTCTCTTCGAGTGTATGGAGGGCATCCACCATTGCCAGTCGTCGGGACGTATGAATGTCCTGTGACAAGGCGGCCGTCAAAGAGGAGTTCAACCCAGTACCAGGGTTGGGATTTATACTGTGGCTCGCAAAAGCAGCCGAGTAGTTGATCAAATGCGTCCACTCGGCTGTGTCAGTCTCGGAAGCCGCAGCGATCCACTCTTGACCCAAAGACTTTGCAGAAAGCACAAACGGGACCTTTCGTGAAGTCTTGGGAGGCGCGGAGGTGGATGAGTTCCGAAGAGCAACCATTCCGGTAGTGGAAAGAGTGATTGTGGGATGGAACTGGTCGTTGGCTGAAATCACGTGACGCCCAGCTTCCAGATCCTTCAAAATACTTTTGATCCACTGCGTCTCCTTAAAGAGATACAGTTGAGACGCAGTCAGAATAGCACCCCACTCCTTCCAAATCGACCGAGCGGTAGAAAGAACCCGCTTTTGCTCCTTTCGAAATAGAATACCAACCTTGGCGATCTTGATATCAATAACACCAGGGTCCGCCATAAGTGGGTTGTCAGTGGTATCCTGAGAAAGAAACGCTCCGGGACGAGACCGGGAAGATGTCAATTGGAGAGACGCACCGTTGCTAAAGGCGAGACGCACGGCATGGAAAGCATCACGTGACTCAGGGGCCTCATACGAGTAAGGGCAGTCCTGAGACAGGGCGTCATCCAGAGATGGTCTAATAGAGTCTAGCTTGCCCTCCAGAATCAGAGCATAGGGGTCAATCAGATTCTTGTCGCTTCGAATGTTGAACGACGACGTCTTCTTTTGCGCCACGAGTGTCTTCTTGTCGTGGCCAGGCTCCTCCTCGGTGTGTACAAACGGTGTGTATGTAATGTTGTCGTAGAAGCACTCCAGAATGTCTGGTGAAACACCTTCTGCAAATGTGTTGTTGATGTAGTCGCTCTTCTGCATCTTGTGCTTATTACTCTTGTTGAAGGAGTCCGTGTGCAGGATCATAAGAGAGAAAGCAACCACATAAGCCAGTTCAGCATCGGCATAAATACCTGGGTTACACTCGTCGTACCGGGTCGCAAACGCGTCCAGAATCCGGTCAATCTGCTGGGCCTCCTTGGGGAGCACCACATACATGAGAAACTTTCTCAGAGCCATGTCGATAGGATCCGTGGTGAAGTCAAACTCGGAAGAGTAAATAGCCATGCACTCGCGGTAAAAGTCTGAGTCGCGAGAGCACAGCAGAGCGGCCGTCTGGCCATGCATGTTGAGCTGTCGAATCGCGGCCATGTACTCCTTAGGCGTCCGGTCGTTGATTGGGGGTAGTTGGATGTCTTCCACGGACTCTCTAGGCGAGTAAGACGCTGACTTGGACGAATCAAGCACCTTCTCAGAGGTCGCACCGCTGGGAGGACCGCCACTAGTAGGCATGGTTTTGCTTCGAGGTCGGGAAGAAAAGGGCAGGTCCTGGAACGAGAGAGAGGGAGAGTTGGGGAAGGTGGAAGACGAGGGTGTCGTGAGGAACTGGTTGGAGGTCGATGAGGTCCCTGATGCTGCGGAGACTGCGGATACAGACTCCGATCTGGGTTTCTCCAGAGATTGGACTGAGGAGTCCAGGCCTCCAGAGCCGCCGACACTACCTCCACTACCGCCCTCCTTGTCGTCCTTTTCCTTCTGTGCCTCCTTCTGTGCCTCCTTCTGTCGTTCTTCCTTTTGGCGATCTCCTCTAATAGACTGGGAGGAAAGAGACCGGAATACTGGTGGTCTGGCGGGCTCCTCATCATCCGAGTTGAACAGCATGGACGCTGTTTTTCGACGGAATCGTGCGAAACCTGTGGGAGGAGGCGGGGGCATCAGCGATGAGCCATTACTGCTCAGGTTGGGGGTACTGGGTCGTCGGGTAGTAGTTTTCGTAGGTTCCTCCTCCAACAAAGCAGTAACAGACCCTGTACTACTTCGCGTGGGCGGTGCACTATGAACAGTAGGACCACCCAGTACGCCACCACTGTGGTTGCTGGCTCCAGTACTTGTTGCGCTGGCTCCTCCGCTTCCTCCTGTGCTGTGCGCACCCATGGTCTTCAGGGACTGACTCCATTGGGCGTAGTTGTGTGCACCCAACTGGGCCATTGAGCCGGTGGCAGAGCTCACGCTAACACCTCGTCGGTGACTGCTTTCCGAGTCATTGTCGCTGTCCGTGTCTGATAGTAGTGAGCTGCCTCCAGCCTGCAGGGTTGGAATCGGTGGCAGTTGTGTGCCCGCTGCAGCTGTCGATGGCGGCGATTGTGTCGTGGGTGGCGTTGGTTGTTGTGTTTGAGTCGAAGTCTGTGTCGGGGTCTGGGATCTGGACGGTGTGCCGGAGCCTTCCTCCTTGTCCTTTCTGAACTTGGCAAAGCCCAGCAGAGATGCCACGGTGGAGGACGAGTTGGACCTGAATTGTAGGCGGCCACGTGGTCCGTCGGCGTCCTTCTTTTTGTTGAATCCTAGCGAAAACGACCGCTCCCGGTCCTTGTCCTTGGAGTCTTTCTCCTTAGTCTCTTCCGGAGCAGCCTTACTGGGACTCACGGTCCGTCTCAAAGTGTGGCCCAAGTTGGTGAGTGTGGATGTCGAAGTAGTTCTGCTGGCGCTGGCGCTGCGACGGCCGTCCGGAGACGTCAGAGAGATGGTCGGAACCGCGACATTGACCTCGTCGGTGTTACTTCTGCTCAGCTTGTCCTTGTCCGACTCCTTGAACAGCACCGTGGTAGGCGCGAGCGTGTCGTGCGACGGGCTGCGACGGCGGTCCGAGTCGTCCGACCGGGTCGGCGAAGCCATGACCGATTTTTTCCTCCGTATCAGAGGCATTCCTCGAGTTTTGTGGTGAACAGAAAGTCTGAAGACTCGAAGTTTAGATGGTATACAACCTGACTTGTCTCTCCCCGATGTTAACCTTCGGAGGGGGTGTATGGAACTCTAACCGTGCCAACTACTGTAACACGCTGTATGAGACGGGAGGTACCAACAAGAGAAACAGTTGGAGGTATATATATCCGTCCAACCGTTCTTGTGTCTGTGTCGGGACCATGTCTTCACAAACACCGAGACGCGCCCCAACCACCGCGCACACCCGCTGCTACTGTAGCTCTGTTACGTGGCACTTTTGACGTATGCGCGCCAGTCATCTTGTACACTATGGCTCCCACTTTGGTGTAACGCGTGCGTGCACGACTGTAGAAAATACCACGGAGGTGCCAAAGGAAAACGCCTCAGAGCAGACTTGGATCGGATAAAAGCCGAGTGTGAGGCGTAACAGTAGCTCCAGTCGTAGCTGATGACTAATAAACTCCCTACTGATTGCCACTCCACCCGCTAAAGCCTAGATATTCGGATTCGGATATAAATAGACGCCCACAGTCGTACCGTGATCCGGCTCGAAAAAGAAACTTGATACAGTCAACAGTCAACATGACTTGTTTAGCTATGAGCAAGCGACAGGCGACTGGAATAAGCCGCCGATAAGAGGGAAAGAGAGTAACGTGTCTGCTGTCAGAATAGTCCTATCTAGTATATTTCTTTAGCTCCTGCCTTCCCCTTCCACCTGTAGTAGGCCATCTTTACCTCCCAAAATCCGAACCGAGGATGCATGCATCAGCAGACGGGGTCGAAAAAAGTAGGGCCGGAAAAAACAGGCTCGAAAAAGCAACCAGCAGGTGTGTGTGTGTGTGTGATGGAGACTTGGGTAAAGACGGATCTAAAACTCTGCTGACAAATCTCCTATTGTGTATATTCTTTGCTCCCCCCCCCCCCCCCCCCTCCCCCCACAACACGTCCACGTGTCCTTCTACGACCCCATTTTCTTGCACCTACCTCATTTGATGTGCGGTAATAGACAAGACCAAGGGTGGTGGCAGAAAGCCCTCCTCAAAAGCGGGAAGCAGCTAGCGTAAAGGGCAGCTGAAGATGTCGTTTCAATCAGCTCGACGGGCTCCACGTAATGCGCCTGTCAAAATGGCGAAATTTCCACTTTTTTCGAACGTTCACCTCGTACTTTTCGCCCGCCCGTTGCTGGCTGGTCTATCCACCCCATTATGAAACACCCGCATAAAAAGCTTTTTCTGGAATACCCCAACGGCGCAAAGTGCATATTTCCATGGCTAAAATATGAGCTTGTTTGTTGGGGGGCAGCGGCACCATTCGAAATTACCAAGAGATAGACCGGACCAAACTACAAGTATAACCACCCAACGTGAGTCGGACACGGGGCACAGGTAAGCTGATACGTCCGATCACGTGACGGGCTATCGGTCGAGCGATCTCAGCCTTTCTTCGTGTCTTCACATAGCCCTTTTTACACTGCCTCCATCGGGTCTTGTACCAGTAACTCGTACGTCATCACGCCTTATCAAAAGTGCAACGTCTCCAACCACTCTAATTCAAGCAGCCATGGCGTCGGAGAAAGAAGAGAAAATAAATCAGACAGAGCAGCTTTATGTAAGGGGCTACGCACATGTAGCAATTGCGCCTAATTGGGCGTGTCTAGGGCGCAAAGGAGATGAGGTTGGAGACACGGTCAGATGTGAGACGAAGACTTTGTAGGTTGCTGTTTGAACGGTATTTGCACTATGGTTGGGTGTAAACAGAGTGATCACAGGGTCGTACAATGGAGATCAACACGGTGACGAGTTATGGCTCCAAGTATGATACCGGAACTTGTACCAGAGCTCATGATATTGAATGCTCATGTGCAGTGTGCAGTTGCGGCATTTAGGAATGTATATGCCCCAGTGGTGCGATTACCGGGAACTCATGCTTGTATCTATAGCTCTTGCTATATTGTCATATTCTACTGGAACAGTACATACAGTTGACATCTCATTCATACTATAAACAGCCTCTTCCCACCCAAAAGGGCATCCAGGTCCCAAAGGTCCCACATTATGCTCCGGTGGGGGAAGGTAAAAGTGAGCCGCACAGTAGAATATGACATCCAAGAGCGGTGTATTTCGACACGGAGAAGAGAGGAGATTCTGAAAAGTGCAAATTGTGCGAAAATTCCGGGTTAGTTGATTTACTTCCCCAGACCGTTCTCTCAGGGAGTGGTAGGGCTGCTGAACCAAAGGTTTTTCGTGCATGTTAGCGTACGAGTACGAATACGAATACCGGCTGACACTGTCACGCGCAAACGACGAGTACGAATACCGGCAAGATCAATGATCAGTATGTACAATACTCGTACGAATACGAATACCTGTCGGTACCCTTTCGAGTCATGTGACTGTTGATCTGCTACCTGGATTCAGTCTCCTACAGCAACTTGTAGTGACCATGACTTGACTTGAGCTGAACTGACTCTGGTACTTGTAGCTGACACTGTCACGCGCAAACGACGAATACGGGTCCTAGTCCCCAATACAAGGCACCCAAAGTTCTCTAGTGTGGGGCATCAACCGAGGTAGGCGTAGACGTGTCTGAGACAAGATATTTAAACCATGAGGGGATTCTACCCCGAGTGTTTGATTGTATAGTGTCAAGGACTGCCAGACGTGCTGGTCACTGTTTGATCCGTTAATGTACATGTGCAGTATGTACATACATGTGTGAGTAGATGATCATCTTCACACCGGTCGCGTTTGCGCTCCAACCCCCCTTCGATGATCCCACCCATTGCACCCTGGTCAATCTGAGACATGCCAATCAGATACGCGGGGTAAATTAGTTTCACGGTACAGTTCTTGGTTCTTGTGAAAAAGGTGCTTGTTGAGAGACATGAGGGTCTTGGGATAGTGGGGCCAGGTACTCGAACTTGTAAACTGTGGACAATGATTGGTTTTTGGTTGTATGACTCTGGCACCAAAGACTGTCTCACATCAACACGGGAGGCACCAACCGGGAGGCACCAACCGCCGTTTCTTCTTGCAGTCAGTTTTTACAGAACTGAAACAACAACAAAAGAACCTCTTCTTTCCATATTCAGGGCTCTTGCAACATGACAAACTGTACTACTTGTAGCTGATGCTCTTGCGAACACACATCAAGACACAAGGCAGCCCTACACACCCACTGTACGAGTAGTGCGCTGTCGCCGATTGTTTCTACGGACCTACTTCAATATCTTCTACACCTCTACAATATCGATAACGCTTTGCATATTCATATCTAATCATCTCATTATGCTATATACATTAGTCAACCTCCTCCATAACACTGGCAGAGTTGTCCTCAGTGCTGGGGGTGGGCTCGGCAAAAGCCTCGTGCTCAGCCTCGTCAATGTTGAGACCGAGAGAAATGAGTCGGTTGATTCGAGAAGCAAAGCTGGCGGGCTCATCAAGAGTGAAGCCGGAGGTCAGCAGAGCAGTCTCGTACAGAAGAGTGGTGAGGTCCTTGACAGTTCGGTCCTCAGCACCATCGGCCTCAACCTTGTTCTTCAGCTCCTTGATGATAGGAGACTTGGGAGAAATCTCAAAGGTCTTCTTGGAGGCCATGTAGGCAGACATGGAGGTGTCTCGCAGAGCCTGGGCTCGCATGATTCGCTCCATGTTAGCGGACCAGCCAAACTGGCCGGTTCGGATGGCAGCAGGAGCGTCGACAAGCTTGTGGGACACAACAACCTTCTCGACCTGGTCGCCAAGAATCTCCTTGAGGGCGGCGGCAAGGGGCTCGAACTCCTTGTCCTCAGCCTCTCGCTGCTTCTTCTCCTCCTCGGTCTCCTCAAGCTCGAAGTCCTTGGTGATATCAACCAGCTTTCGGTTATCAAACTCCTTGAGCTGGGCCATGGCGTACTCGTCAATGGGGTCAACCATGTACAGAACCTCAAAGTTCTTGGCCTTGAGGGCGTCGAGGAAGGGAGACTTCTCAACGGACTTGATGGACTCACCGGTGATGAAGTAAATGTTCTTCTGGTGCTCGGGCATTCGGGTGATGTAGTCCTCGAAGGAGGTAAGCTCGTCGGAAGACTTGGTGGAGTTGTATCGCAGGAGCTTGGCAAGAGCCTGTCGGTTCTGGGAGTCCTCGTGGACACCGAGCTTGAGGTTCTTGGAGAAGGCAGTGTAGAACTTGTCGAACTGCTCTCGGTCCTCAGCAATCTCGTTGAAGGCCTCAATCAGCTTCTTGACAATGTTCTTTCGGATGACCTTCAGAATCTTGTTCTGCTGCAGAACCTCTCGGGACAGGTTAAGAGGCAGGTCCTCGGAGTCAACAACACCCTTGACGAAGCCCATCCACTCGGGGATCAGCTCCTCAGCGTCATCAGTGATGAAGACACGCTTGACGTAAAGCTTGATGTTAGACTTCTTCTTCTTGGACTCAAAGAGATCGAAGGGAGCTCGCTTGGGAATGAAGAGAATGGCTCGGAACTCGAGCTGACCCTCGACGGAGAAGTGCTTGACAGCAAGGTGGTCCTCCCAGTCGTTAGAGATAGACTTGTAGAAGGCAGCGTACTCCTCGGGCTTGACCTCAGCGGGGTTTCGGGTCCACAGAGGCTTAACCTTGTTAAGCTCCTCGTTCTCGGTGACCATCTCCTTGATCTTCTGGGGCTTCTCGTCCTTGGCGTCCTCGTCCTTGACCTCCTCAATCTTGGGGTTCTTATCTTCGGAGTCGGCATCGAGCTCCTTCTCAACCTTGTCGGCAGAGGGGGCATCGACCTCAACCTCCTTGGTGACAACAAGCTGGATGGGGTAAGAGACGAACTCGGAGTGTCGCTTGACAACATCCTTGATTCGCTTCTCCTCAAGGTACTCGAGCTGGTCCTCCTTCATGAAGAGTCGCAGAACGGTACCTCGGCCGATTCGCTCGTTGACGGTGTCGAGAGTAATGGTGAACTTACCACCGGCGGAAGACTCCCAGATGTACTGCTCGTCGTCGTTGTGCTTGGTGATGACCTGGACTCGGTCAGCAACCAGGAAAAGAGAGTAGAAACCAACACCAAACTGACCAATCATGGACACGTCGGCGCCAGCGGAGAGAGCCTCCATGAAGGACTTGGTGCCGGACTTGGCAATTGTACCCAGGTTGTTGACGAGATCAGCCTTAGTCATACCGATACCGGTATCTCGAATCTCAAAGGTCTTGAGGCCCTTGTTGGGGGTGAGTCGGATGAAGAGCTCGGGCTCGGTCTCCAGCTGCTTGGGGTCGGACAGGGCCTGGTATCGGATCTTGTCCAGAGCATCGGAAGCGTTGGAAATGAGCTCTCGCAGGAAAATCTCCTTGTTGGAGTAGACGGTGTTGATGATGAGAGACATCAGCTGAGAGATCTCAGCTGTGAACTCATAGGATTCGGACTTTTTGTCGGCGTCTGACATTGTGGATTGTGTAATGTAGAGTTGCTTGGAAAAGAAGAGGCAAATAAGGTGGGTTGTCCTGGGTTATATAAATATTCAAAGTGTCTGCATTAAGGTTGAAAGAAAAGAATCTTTTGGAACGTTCTGGTGTGGGATGGAAATGGGGCATCCGTTCAGGACGTTGATGCAGGCTGAAATATGGCCAACTGGCCCCGCCGTCTTTTTCAATTGCCTTCCAGTTACGTTTCTACGTCTCCACTTGTTCCCCATCGCCTGTTTTGGCCCTTCTATACCGACCTTCATTTCCTCCCGCCTGCTGCCTTCCTGCCTACAACTCCACACCTTAGACCTTCCACCTCACACTCCCACTCACACTTGTCGTCATCGAAGCTTTTTTTGCCATCGAACCTTCCAGAAGATGTGAGGGGCATGCTCCGAGTCCGCCACCAGAACAAGTGCCAGAAACAGATATTTTGACGGAGCAAATGATTCAATTGCCACCGTTGCAAAAGTTCGTCGCACAGACAGCGGGCATTGAGTGCAAGGTGGCACAAACACACGGCTCTCCCGCGTCCACTTGCTACCAGGTAACTATCGATTACGATCGTCTGAGACAAAGGCGTATGAGGCGGACGTGCACAACCACCTGCTGAGCAAACGGTGGTTGAGACGGTCAAGCACAGAATGGGGGTTTCTAAGAGTGTTTAGTAGATCGTGTATACACTAGAACAGTCCTAAAACGCCTCAGATTTCCATCTGTACGCCCATTTTACGCCCATCATTCACGTTGGCACGCCTCAGATCAAGACAATTGAGGGCATCAGAAACTAACTCGTATTGCAGCTCACATGCACAACTTGTTCTACACCCTTCCAGTAGGTTCGGTGGAGGTGATGTGGAGACGAGAGGGCCATTGGAATGCAGCGGACCATTGTTCTGGGAGAGAGGCGGAAACCTCTAGAATGCAGAGGCAATTAACTACCAACCGAGAAATTAACGGAGCAAGTTGGTCAGAAGTGGGTCCGACGCAAGTGTGCTGTCACATGTCCATACTTATCCAGACTCAATTGAGCCCTGATGAGCGTGAAAACGATGATTATCACCTGGTGGTCGATGATCTGATCTATGGGTTGGGTTTCATCGCCGAATCTGGGCCAGCTACGCACTTAAGTCGTGTTTTGTGAGTCATGTTGGGTGTTTCATATGCTGTCGAGTTATGCTGGAAAAACCGAATGTGTATGGGACAAGAGAGGGAGGTCAGTGAAAACACCACACTTGACGAAACCAAACGTTGAAGGTCCACTTACAAGTACAGTACAGTACAGTACAGTACAATACCATACTTACAGCCAGACTTCCACTCTCCAGCAGTCGTATGGAATACTCTCCCAAGAACCAATACTCATCGAAACAAACTTCACAGCTGTGAGTCCAGCTACGAAATGTGCAATCCTCCCATACTTGTAAGAAGAGACAGTGCCTGTACTAACCAGATGTACTCAGATCAAAGGAATCTCTCGGCTCTCTCTTTTTGAGACATCCAGGTCGGGAAAAGTCACTCCACCCTCATCTCTTCCGTCTCACACAAACAGAAGCGTCTTGTATAAGAAGCATCAGCTCCTCATGATACGTTTCCTCCACCCCAGCAAAATTGACCATACCGGGCTCCATTTCCGTAATCGCGTTTGCTGAGAATTTCCTGACCTTGTCGTTCTTGGCCTCGTCGGAATTTCGCCAGATACACCATGCTTCCCCGAACTCGTGAGACTCTTCAGATATCTAATAATGCTCTTCCGACACTCCTCCGCCAGCTTCACAAGCTCAGGTAACTCGTATGTCTGGGTCACTACAAGCAGTTCTGAGACGTCTTTGACAGACATGACAGACATGACAGACTTATCCAACTTCTCTCCGTAGAGATACTTGATCATCTATGCACCCAACAGTTGACTTCGGAAGATCCAATTCAAGCTGGCTGGCGGACGACTCTTTCATGTTAGCGTCCCGCATGGCCTTGAAGAAGGACCATGTAGAGAATAGGACAGCTTTGTGGACGCCGATCTTTCCTCCATCAAAACACCTGATGCTAAAATCAGACGGATGGCTATACTTGAGTTTGTGGAGTCCGTATCGATTCAAACTGGTTTGATCATACAAGAATTTGGTCAATGAGACAGGCATGGCTCCAACCACCATCGAGTATACATAAGAGGGTGTCTGAACCGCTCTATAGTACGTAGATGTCAGGGTCAATAGCCAAGCTCTTGTATGGCTCCACTGCTATTATGGAGTCTTCACTCTTGTGCATAATTCTATACTTGATTCGTAGTAGATGGCATGAGTTTCAGTTGATCCAGAGCATTGGGATCACTAGAGAGATTGTCGTAAATGATACTGTACTTTATACTGCTTCATAGCCCCCAACCTCGTATTAATACTTCCCATTCTGTCTGGCGACATGGTCAAAAACTCGTCTTGGTGCAAAACCTCGATTCCATAGTTTCCCTCGTCCTCCTCCTCGTTCATGTTGGTGTACAAAACTGGCAAAAAATCCGGGGTAAAAACAAGACGTTCAGAGTGGTGTCGAACAAATTCAGATGGTGCCAAACGAGCTAGTAATTGTGCTTGTACTTGTCATGACGGAAGGGCAGCAGGAATGTTAATCTGTTCCTAGGAATACTGGAACATAACCCTTTGCCGTGCAATTACAACCTGTTCGAGATACTCTTCAGATCTATTTGAACAAGTGATCTACAGTACATACTAATGTAGTCGTTACATCCTACCCTTGAAACAAATACACTGGTGTTAGAGCCAGTATGAGACCAGGGCACCCTCTTTTCCCCCGACATTTTTCTTTGAAATCGCTACTTTCAAATCAAGAACATCCAAGGAGGATGCTTGTGTGAATTGTACCCCGAGCTTCGACATTGGGCAGCGAGAACGTGTACATCTAACAGATTCAAATACTTTGGCAACATGTATACAATTATCATTCTATACTAATATACATGATTCATTCAACTCGCAGTGGCATGGGAAATGTACTCCAGAATCTCCTTGCAGTAACCCTTAACAACATCGTCGGCATCATTGTCATACACGTGTTGAGCCTGGGTTTTGATCTGATCCCAATGATTACCGTTCATATACATTGTGAGTGTAACCAACAGTCTAGCTGCAGCTCTTCTGACGTCAATATCGCCATGCTCATGTGTAAGCACACCCAGAGCGACGTCAAAAGCATCACCTTCAGAGGTGTAGAGACCCTCGTTTCGTTCGCACAGAATCGAGATTAGAGACAGAGCAGAAATGCGCACTTCGTTCTCGTACTGGTTATCGGGTCGAATAATCTGGAACAGTTTGGGAGCCAGAATGTTGACGTATCGACGGTCAGCAGCCAGACGCTCAATAGCCTTGGCCAATCCTTCTCCCAGCTTGAGACGCACTCCTTCAGCCATCTTCTTGTCCGTGTAAATGCCGGCAAAGGTCTCCAATCCATCAGGATACCTTTCAATGCAAATCTCAACCATCTTAACACAGTTCAGGTATATATACGAGTCATCATCAGCCAAGTTTTTCAAAAGAATAGGCATCACTTGTGCAAGAGTTACGTGATTGCTCTTGATGGCCCAGATGAGTTTCTGCAGACCCTGCGCTCTGATAGGGATCATAGAATCGTCAAGCATATCCATAACCTGTTTCATGGAGAACTCAGAGATATGAGACTGTTTAACAGAGTCCAGGAATGTTTGGCAAGTCTGCTGTAACGAAGGATCTCGCTTCATGAGCTGTTCCACCACAGGAATGGCGTCCGAGACGTTTGCATCTTCCAGAGCTAAAGCCGAAAGAATGTCAAGAGACGACTTGACCATGCTTTCCTCTCCCTCCATCTCATCATCCGAATCTGCCATATCGTCGTCTGAATCATCATAGACTGGAGCCTTCTGTTTCTCGTACCCCTCTAGCAGCTTGATGACTAGCTCGACAATCTTTTCAGGACTCTTGGCAATCAGACCCTTGTGACCCATCATCAAACCCTCCATGAGCTTCGCATTGATCAGCTGGCCAATAGGATCTCCATCATCAGTCTGAGAATGCTCCAGGTATCTCACCAGAGTCTCAGTGAACATGTTAGACACCACCTGAGGGTTTTTTGCCTCTCCTAGAAGGCGCACAAACAAACTCACCCGATCATCAACCTCCGACAGAATAGACATGGGTGAAGTAGAAGCCTCTGAGACTCGCCGGAGCTCCAATCGACCGTCCCCGTCTGCGTGAAAGTCTGTCTGGTAGATTCCTGTCTGTCCGAGGTTGTTGTAGATCTGTCTGAGAGTGTTATCGACAGTCACAAGTCGCTGCTTGCTGATATACTCGGCAAGGAAACGGTACATTCGCGGTTGCAACTTCTGTTTGTGTTCCGAGTATGCATAGTACCACAGGTTGGTGCTGATCTTGTCCATGATGTCTGTCGTGGGTTGTTCCACTCGAAGGAGGTTGTAGAGAGTAACGAGAGCCTGCTCGAGCTGTTTGGAAGAAATAACCACGTGGTTGAGTTCCACAGAATCAATCTTTTCCCGCGATGGTCTAAACACATTGAGAACATGGTTGTTGATCTCAAACTGCACGATTTTGTGGAACTTGGGCATGTCGTACAACTTTGCGACAAAGTCGACCACAAATTTGGACGAGTCCGTATCTGAGGCCAACGTCAAAATGTGTCGAATTTGCCCAAAGACGGACTGGAAGAAGTCTCGGGGAGGAACACCCTTTGGAACAGCCGTCAGCACCTGAACCACCTTCTCCATCAGCAGGTTCTTACTGCTATCTCCTGAGGTAAGCACAAAGTCAATGAAAGAAGCGACTCCATCTGGTCGCATGGGAAGAGTCGACAGTGTAGAAGTGACCAACGGATGGTTCTTGGCCAATCTAGTCAGAATACTGTACAGCTGGTACGTATCAATCTTGTCCATAAAGTCAGCCCTCTTGAGCGTTGACGCCAACAAAAACACATCTCCATAGTACCCTGCTCTTAGAATAAGTCCTCCCACATCTCCACCGTCGTTGATGAGTTCAGAAATGCCATTGTATGTGATTTCTGCCAAGATCGGGTCTTGCTCTGTCGTAGAAGGACGTAATCGTGTTCGTTTCTCCAAGTCAGACCGTAGAGAAGGGTCCAGACCTCCATATAGACCCTCAACAACCACCATGTTCAGAATCTTGTGCACCGTTTTCATGTCGTTCAAACTGATGGAAATAATGTCCTTGTTGTGGACTGTAGCATTGGCTCTCATCTGGATCAGGTTTAGTACTGATAACAAGATAGTCACAGCAGATGGACGGAAGTCGGGCACAGACTTGCGCTTCTTGTGGCAATTACCCTCCTCCGAATCTTCGTCCCCCTTGGCAGATGTCAAATAGTACCGTTTGATGTCGGGATCCACCTCGGGACCGAACTGGTACTGGCAGATTGCTGTAACGTTGATCTTGTTGTCCACAACACCGATTTCGGCCAGGTTTTCTGCGTCCTTCAACACAGCATCTAGCGCCATCGATTCCTTTGCCGTGGGCACCGCTGTCTTCTCTAGATCCTCCAGATCTTCCACCTTCAGGTTCTGCACCTTCTTCTGGATATCGTCGTCTATCTCCATTTCAATGTCCTTGTCCGATCTGACCTGTGCTGTGGTGTGCCCGGGTTTTAGCTGGGGTTTGGTTGTCGTTTCATCATCGAAGATCTCTTCAATTTTCATGGCCGTAGGTGTGTGGGTACAACTTGAGAGAGCCAGATCGTCTTGCCATTTCGTACCTACAATGCTTGCATGCTGCCTTAGAGCTGCTGCATAGAGTTTACAGTTGATGGCCATGTGTGACGGCTTCCAAGGTGTGTCCTGTGTGTCGTGAGGGACTAAAACCGCCTACCCAGTGATGAATGGACGGTGCGTAGAGGGATACAAAAGTTTTCAAATTGCAATCGAATGGTTATTGATGAAGATGGAGGGAGTGTCGGCTGTGTCATTTCCTCAAGTGTCTAGTTGGGAGTTACTGTTATTACAGTTACATTATTAGTTGAAAACAAAACTACAACAACGAGTCCATAATGTGTCTGCCGAACAAGTGGATCACATATTTAACATGCGAGTATGCTAAGAAGCGTTTTCTTAATCTACCAATTAGAAACAATTGCCGGTTCGGACCCTGCCACATCTCCCCTTAATCTACCCTTATCCCAATTCGAACTGGCGACATTGCACCAACGTTATTTGGCACCACCCCAAATCGAACCCACGACCCTCCCTGCAAGTGAAATTTCATCCTTTACAAACCCGTCTCAAGGTACTGTCACCACGACATTTCCACACTACAATGAGCACAGCATTTTCCCACGCGCGAGGCCGACAGAGCTTTGTCGGCGTGGTGACCCGACTCGGTCCTAAGGGCTCCAAGTCCATCAAGGTGCGAGTCACCCGTCGAAAGTACATGCCCGCCATTCTCAAGGAGATCAACTTCCACCGAGACTTTTACACCCACGACGAGATGATGGCCTGTCAGGAGGGTGATGTGGTTCGAATCGAGCAGTGCCGACCCATTTCCAAGACCAAGCACTTTGCTGTTGCAGAAATCAAATCCGCTCAGGGTCAGGAGTGGCTCGCGTACCAGAAGGCAGCCCCCGGCCTTGTCGAGGAAGACAACAAGAAGCGAACCATGCAGTTCAACCAGGACAAGGAGCAGGGAGAGGAGGTCTCAGCTCTGTCTGTGCTGGAGCAGCTGCGACAGGTCGCTGAGTACGAGTGGAAGGGTCCCCGAGATCAGGCTCACGAGGACCAGGTCAAGCAGATCAAACAGCACTACGGCATTGATTCGTGGCCCCCGAACAAGCCCATCGCCAACCTCTCTCTGGAGGTGCTGCGAAACGAGTTTTCCAAGACCCATAGCCTGGTCCAGGCCACCCACATGCTTCAAAACGAGCCTGCCAAGGCCGAGGAGATGCTCCAGGAGCTGGGTTTCTCTGGCAAGGGCTTTTCTCAGAAGCGAAACATCCTTGCCAAGGCCCTGAGACGGTGAGCGGGGATGATAATGACGTTTTCGGTGAAGACGACCAGAGTTGTAAATAATAAAATGTATATACTGATGGAAGAAGGAGGTGTAGCGACAAAAAGAATGCGAGCTGCTGAAAGCTTCTGATTTAGCAAACTAAGTAAATCATGCCTAGGACAGTCCCCGTTGGACTCTCAGATTCATATTGTATCCGTTTCAAACAATTGTGAAGACGCGAGCGAACCACTCAGATCGTTGTAAGTACACTGCAGGTAACACGATACCTCCAAGTCCGAAAGAAGAGATTTGAAAAAAGATAAAAGAAGGCGCATGAGCTATCGCTGCTCATCACATGTGTGTAATATCCTGTCTCTAGCCCCTCTCACTTTCATTCTACACCCTCCGACTTTTCAAATTAAGTTCACTATCTACTCTTAACAATGACGTCTAAAATTTATTTCATCTCCACATGCTCTACCATATCAAGTTCCTCAAAGTCCCCACGGCGACAAAAGAGGGATACAAAAGCGTACTCTCGCTCAGCAACGACCTGGGTGACGCCCTGTTCCACGGATCAGCTGAGATTGGCATTGAGGTGGGAAAGAGGAGAAGCAAAGTGACATGGTCACCAGGAGACAGATCCGTGACTGTCATAACAGCTCCCGGACCTATTTTTCGAGCCACAGTGCTGTCATCGCGCGATGACCTCTTTCCAGACCAGCCCGCTCGGTTCCTCGATCTTTACGCCCAGGCCGTCAATGGCAAGTTCCCTGCCAAGTCGATTCGAAAATTCGACTCCATTCCTCTCACCATTAAGGAAGACACAGGAAACAGTATAGCTCGTCACGTGTGGGACGCAGGCGTCACTCTGGCTCATACGCTTACCAAGGAGCGAATCTATGAGCAGATCACCGGTAAAGATTCCAGCCAGCAGGTGGGCATTTTGGAGCTAGGTGCAGGATGTGGAATTGTTGGGTTAGCGGTCGAAAAGCATCTGGGAGGTCAGGGAAGTTTGATTTTGTCTGATCTGGAGGAGGCTCGAGAGTGTGCCGAGGAGAGTATCGCGCTGAACAATTCGTCTGCTTCGTTTATGGCTCTTGATTGGGCTGATGAGGATGTTTCTCAGTTGACCAATCTTGATCTCATTATTGTGGCTGATTGCACGTACAATATGGACATGTACGAGACTTTGGTTGCTTGCTTGGAACGTCTTTTAAAGGCAAACCCCTCAGCAAAGGTGGTTATTGGACACAAGATGCGTAACGAGCAGGAATCTGAATTCTTTGAGATGCTTGAGCAGCGGTTGAAGGTTGAGCGGGACTCGACAGAAAGTGTGGGAGTGCAAGTGCGGGTTGTGGTTGCTAAAATGAAGGAGTGATTACGAAAGAAGGATTGGTTACCAAGGATCGGTACGTATTTATTTGAAGACAACGATGAAAAAGAATGCTTGCAGTATTTGGGATTTGTTAGATTTTTAGTTGAGAACCTTTAGCATGTGTTTTTTTTGCAAAGTTATAATTAAATGAATGTATATGCAGAAAAAAAAAAATTGATATTTATAAATTTGTTGATACCTAAATTAGGTTACTTTAAAGATGGTAGTTGTCCGGGACTGGGCTAAGATACCATCTCAATTATCACCTTTGATGCAAATTATTGCGGGAATTATTCGAGGAATCAACTTACCCATGCATTTTCTACTGATTTAGTGCTTATCCTCTCATCTCCGCTCACGAAAAAACATCCCTTTGGCACACCCTCTGAGTAGTTCTGGACATGCAGCGACTAAGTAAGTCCGACAGAAAGAAGTCGAAATTTCCGAGGTGTGTTGAGGGATTTAAATGAAATCTTTTCAGTCACTTCTTCTGTCAGATCAAACATTCCGCGACGTTTCTAATCACGTGACATCCCACCTCCGCCAATGACTCCTGACATATCTCACAGTACATGTTGTCTTATCCTCAGACTCTGTCTCAACCGCCGTTAGCTCGTGAGTTAATTTTGGCCTCCCTTGATAGTCGTGTGTTGTATTACAGTAGCTAGAAGGAATGTGGAAATGATACGAGTAGGAGAGGTATTGTATAAGTTGCTACACAGAGTCTGTCACAAAACCAATCTGAGAATATATATATTTCTTGTCTGCTTCCTCCCAATCAGGCTGTGTAAAAAAATACGCCATGACCCCCTTTCTCACCGTACACCAGACCACCACCACCTCTGCTTCTTAGGTGCACTGCATAATCCCGAAACCTAGCTTTGCACAACACTTCAGCTAGACCAAACACGACACTCTACCCACAGAAACACATGTCTGCACCATTGGATCCTGTGTTTGACCCCTGGGGTGGCGGAGGAGGCGCGAATGCTGCTGTGGCGGCTCCGCTACCGCCTCTTTCTTCAGCTCCAGCTCCACAAAAAGGCACAGACACGGAAACATACAAAGAGATGGTCAGCGTTAAGGAACATCTGGCTCGTCTGGAATTGGACTCGGAGGAGATTGTGGAGGACGAGGAGCTGACTGCCAGCGATAAGTCGGAGCAGCTGCAGCTTCTGCTGTTTTCTGCGTCCAGCAACGGCAATTTGGACGCCACTCGCGACCTTCTGGACAAGCGTGATCAGTACGGAATCGATATGGACGCCACCGACGACAATGGCAATAGCGCGCTCAACTACGCCGCGTGTTTTGGCCACGACAAGATTGTGCAGGAATTAATAGCCTATGGGGCGAATGTGGAAACCGAAGACAAGTTCTCGTACACACCGCTAATGTGGGCCATTCAGAATGGGCATTTCAACATTGTACGGGATCTGCTGGACGCCGGAGCAGACCCAGCCAAAAACACAGGGTGTGGAAAAAACGCCCTTGGGTTTGTGACCGACGGGTCTACTATCCACCTGTATCTCAAGGGAAGAGGCCTGATGGACGATAGCAACGAAAGTGGCGACTTTTACCAGTCGGGTATCATGGGCGCAGAAGTGGCGACCGACGAGATTGTCATGGAGTCGGCATACAACTTTGACGTGCGGCTGGACAAGCTGCAGGGCGACAGTGATGAGGAGAAGGACGACGACGATGACGACGGATTAGACGCCATGGAGGACTCCTTCAGTGACACATTCAACTGGTCGCGGTGTCTGCCGGACCAAATGTTTGTCTTCTCCACTAAGGACATTCCCCAGATCCTCGACATAGTCATCACCAACATCGAGCCCCAGAGAAACCATACACAGAAGCCCATTCCAGCGAACATGCTCTTTTTGTGTGCCCGGTACGCGCATTACACTCTAGACAACAAGGATGTGGTCGCAGCAGTCATGAACCCTGCTATCGGACGAATCAAGGCCAAGGTGGAGGCTAAGGCTACGGATATGGTGACTCTGGCCTTTTGGCTCTCTAATGCATCTCTGTTGCTGTACTATTTCCGACGAGACGCAGAGCTGCAAAAGGTGGAATACACCAAGACACAGGCCGATCTGGCTTCACTGTGCAACGACATTCATGTTTTGATTTGCCAGGATTGCGAGCGACGTCTGGAGCCCCTTTTGGACACTTGCATTTTGGATCATGAGACCATCCCCGGTCTGGACGCGATCAACTACAAACACGAGTGGAAGCTCTTCAAGAAAAAGCACAAAGAGAAAAGTCATCAGGAGGAGATGGAGGAGCAGATGCGTCCACTTTCCCCACATAGAAAGGCGCTGCCAAGTCCACGCAACGTGACGTCAATTCTGTCTTCCGTGCTCTTTATTCTTGACCTGTTTGAGATCCATCCCATTCTGACTCAGCAGATTGTTTCTCAGCTGCTGTTTTGGCTGGGCGCTGTGCTGTTCAATCGAGTGCTGACTAACCGGCGGTACCTGTCTCGATCACGTGCCATGCAAGTGCGTCTTAACGTGTCTGCTATCGAGGACTGGGCTCGTCAGAATGACCGCAAGTACGAGATGGTGGATGAGTTTGGTAACGGAAAGATCTATCCTTCCATTTCCGAGCTCTGTCGAAAGCATCTGGCATCACTGGTGCAGATGCTGCAGTGGCTGCAGTGTTTCACTGGCTTTGGAGACGATTTCACCAACGTCATTGCTACTCTACAACAGCTTACTGCTCTCAACCCATTCCAGTTGTTGCATGTGGCTAAAAAGTACAGACCCGAGGTGGACGAGAACGGACTGTCAAAGGACTACAAAAAGTACCTGCAAGAGCTTGCGGAGTCGTTCAAGCGTCGGGTCGAGAACAGAGACGTGCTCAAGGCTATCAAGAGTCACGATAGCGCCAAGAGCGCCAAGACTGCCAAGTCGGTAAAGTCTACAAAGTCGGAGGACCCCAAGGAGGGCAAGGAGAGCGGTGATGGTGCACGAGCTGAAGGTGATGCGTTCGAAGCCACCCCTCCTCCGCCCCAGAACCCTGCTGGACTCACAAACACGTCACAGTTGCCTCCAGAGTACTATGAGAATGACGATGGCAGCGAGCCCAACCTACTGCTGGATCCTACGCAGTTGCTACCCTTCTTGCTGCCTTCGTTGGCTGAGATGATTATAACATGGGGTGCTGTGGGCGGCCTTCGTCGAAAGCGGGCTCGACGGTATGAGCCTGTTCTTCCCGTCGAGTTTTTGGACTCGCTGGACTTTGGCGATGATGTTGGAGGAGGAATGGACGACCGAGACCACATGTTCAGTGTGTCAGAGCCACAGATGACGTCGGCTCGAGGCTGGGAGAAGGACAACAAGGATGAGGTGACCAAGGAGAACGATGAGTTTAACCCAAAGTGGTAGATAGCTGTGGTAATTAGCATAATGAAGTTGATAATAGCGCGCGAGGGAAGTACAACCAACGGATGACCACCGATGGTGGCTTATTGGTTCTGAACTAATGAAATGATATGGGGAGGCAAAGAATGTACGTGGCTGCTTCTCTATGCAGAAATTAGCAGTAATTGTGTAGATACTTCCCTCGTAGTGTATGATATAGCAGATCAGTGATAATGAGTAGCTTTAGAGCTCGATGATCGTATGTAATGTACCCCTTTCGGGGTTAACAAGGAACTTTCAGAGTGTTGGTCCAAATGTCTTGAACTGATTTGGTTATGATGTGATTCACATTCTCTCCTGGGTACTTTTGAATGGTTGCAGTACTCGTAGCAAGGGTCGTATTTTGCTTGTACGACACATGTATGTATGGTTATATCATCGAGAACCAATGAAATGACCCCCTTTTACGGCTCAAACTGTTACCACAACCCCATATTCATCTCAGCTACCAAGGGTCGCTGTTTCTACATGGGCCAGTCTCCCCACTATTTGGATCTCTTCAGACCGACCATATTGTCTGAACTCTGTGTACGTCTTGTAGTCCAAGAAGCGTCTCTATGGGTCTGAAGTGACTCTACGGGATTGGAACTGACGACCATGCCACCAGTAAGGTCCACCAACACGTCCACGAGATCTTTGTCATGTCAAAAAGGCCCCAGAAGCCACACGTTTGTGCATTTTTCCCTCCCTCGGGCCGTGTCTTTGACAGCAAGCCGAAGTAAGATTGATAGGCGTGATTTCCAGGTGCTGGGTGCTGCTTTGAAGTATCTTTTGCAGGGGCGCGGACCAGTTGGCGGAACGACGTTTGGGCACCACGAAGAGAGAGCAGAAAGGGGTCCATCAGTACTTTTGAAGGGTTCATTAGATAGTGCTTGACGAAAAAGGCAAGTCGGGGCTTTTAATTTCCTCCTCGGCCACTTTTAGCGCTCCTTATTGCCCGTCGGAGGATGTGATGTCTGTTCCGGCGTGTCTCGGAGCTTGAGGGTGGCATTGTTCCCCCAGAAGATGCAACGAACCTTGTGAGGTGCCTCAGACCGTATTTAAAACGAGCTCTTCTTCCTCTTGACGACACGCCAGTACGAACGTCCATTCCGGTCCCGGACGACGGGCTCTGACAGACGTTGGCGACCGACACCACAACAACAACGTCTGCTAACATCGCCACTCTGGGCCAAAGCGCCGCGACTTTTTTCCCCCAGGTGGCGACAGTCGGACATTATTCCGCTGTCGACAAACCACCTCTTCCTTAAAACCCATTGCTGCTCCTTGATTCCTCAGTTCTTTGCACTGATGCCCCACATGTTCGCCTATTTGTCCACTCCATTTATTGTCATTCAAGACACTGAGCTCCTGCCGTACACATTTGCAGGCCACCACAGATGTGTTTCTTCCCACCAATGTCCCGGTTTGCGCGTAAACGTAATGATCCGCAGCCGGTTGGCAGGGCCGTAAAACCCCTTCTTGTTCTCTTTCCTGTTTCATATGGCTGTCCTGATGAGACGTATCCTGACTAGCGTCGAAACACTGCTGTGGCGAGTGTCGACAGCCAGCTAGTCCACGTAGACCAATTGTAGTGGTACAGTACAACTGATTCAAAGCTCGCGGTTCTATGCGAGAAGATCAGTAGTCACCAGTGAAGTGTTTCGGTCTAGAAGCGAATAGAGACACTGCGTCTATATATTCACTCTGGGAGTGGCTTCCTCACCTACAATACATAGCGATACGGGTTTACTTCTTGTACTTCCAGTGTACATTGCACCCCTGTCAACCCACCTTTATAAGCCTCAGATGTCTTCATCTTGACCAATATTTGCGCCATGGATAAACCGACTTCACAGAAACTACCACCACGCTCGTAAATAGATTTTAATACGATTTCCCACCAATTTTGAACAATGGTGGACATCTCCATACTGATCCACTTTTGACCATCCATCATCCCCGGGTTTTTTAGTTTTTGATTTTTCACAATCACGCACACCCTATTTTTCGCTCTCAACTAAAACCTCCAAAAAATCCCAACTACACTTGATGTTCAAACGCCGATACTTGAAAAGCCACAGACCTCAGAAATTGCTCTGCGGAACATAAGCATCAACTGTGTTGAATTGGCCCGTCATTTTTCGCATCGCAGTCCGCCCTCAACGGCGCTTTTACCTCTGCTTAGAGTTCAACGGTCATGTATGTACTGCTGCAGCAGTCTTTTTTCTTTGCGGGCCATTTTGCCCATTCTGCTCGTTCAGATAAAAAGTGCAAAAACAAAATACGAGAAAAAAATTCAAAAATGGGCGGAAAAATAAAGCGGAAAATACCAGCAGGGAACGAGCCAATTTTCAGAAGCCGAGCACAAAAGGGAATCCATTTGGCCGGATTGAGTTGATTAGACGAGTCGCCACGATTTTCGCCGAGGCAGCGACTGAAATACGCCCTCCTGGAACAGATGAGTTCCTCCACCCTCGGAGACCTTCAGTATGTGAGTACAGTACATGCTGTAGTGGTACTTACCGGTACAGTACCAGTTCAAATACTGACATCAGTAAGTACATACAGTACATACCGCCTCCCGTATACACCCTTGGCCGTATTCCATAAGCTCTCGCGCCTTTCCCCTGAATCTGTGGACTCGTCGTCTTAATTTGTTGTGGAGCTCTGATGCGGATGACTCTTGGTATTCGGGCCGTTTGGGTACAGATGAATGTAAAAACGTGTTCTGGGGACAATCCAGGGGACTAGCAGAGTCGCGAGGCTTCTGGAGCCGGCTTTTGGCACGAATAAAATCAACTTGCCACTCGGATTTGAAATCCTCCTCCTCCTACAGGTGATCTTACACCTACAGAAGAACATCGCGTACCCTTTTTGTTGTTGTCCCACAGGGTAGCTACATGAGAGTGTAGATTCCTGCATCTTTGCCCAGGACTGACGATAATGACACGGCACTGTATATACAAACATGCAGAGCGTACAATACACCTGGTCATTGAGTCTGTGGGACTGAACCTCAAAAAAACCCATAGATGGGGGTTGGTCATGATTGGCACCTGCACAGCACATTCTTGGGCGACAAACGAGCGGGTGAGACATAATAGACACAGGATATAAACAAACTCGCGTTATATCCGACAACAAAAAGGTACAAAGACATGCATCGGACTGCTTCCAAAGTCAATGTGTTTGTGCGAGCACAGGGCCATCTCCAACTCGAGGTGTACAGGTGGGCATGCAATACGAAAGTGTATGAAGTGTATCACTTGCAAATGGGAGAGGGGAAAACCAAAAGGAAGCCGGATCCGGAATGCTTAGAGCGTTGCCGGAGAAGTCACGTGACGAAGGAAGAAGACGGTGGTCACGTTTGAAGTTTCTCCCGCGCCAATTGCAGCCCTTGCTCCTTTGCTCCCTCCGGCTCAAACAAAGAAAGCACTGTACAAAGTCTACCCTGTGTGATATTACTGTATTCTTTTTCGCAGATCTATATTCTATTTTATGTTAATTCATGCAAGTTTACCAAGGGAAGAACTCACTTGGCGGCGGTCCCTCAGGAACCATGTTGGGATGGACGTTGATGCGTGGAGATTGGGAGAGTGGTTGTTGTGAGTGGTTTGGGCTGGGACGGGGGTAAGGCTCATTCATCAGACCTACCGTTGTAGTTCCAGGACCATGTAGAGTGCCTACTGGAGGTGGATACGACCCCGGGTGAGGGTGAGGCAACGGTGCTGGTGCAGCTAAGCCCTGCGGTGTGGAGTTTCCATTGATAGGAGGGGTAGGGTAGATGGGCCTGTTTGAAGAAAACCCGCCCAGCCCATCAATGGGGCTGTTGGACGAGCCGCTCTCGGCGTCACTGCCCACCCCGGTGTTCAGCCTTGCTCCTCCGTAGTCTATCAGTCCACTGTTAGTAGTATTGTCCGACGAGGACTCTTCGTTTTTGATAACTCGATCCGGCACCAGTTTTGGCAGCAGTCGCTGTGCAGCCTGTAGCAGTACACTGAGGTGCTGAGAGGTCTGTAATTGCGACATGAGCATGAGAATTCGATGCAAATGTGCCGGGATACCAAACTGTTCCGCGTGAGCAGCAGTCTGGAACACTGTAGCAACTGTCATACCAATGTCATAGATCTTGAGCATCATGCCTGCTCCATGGGCCTGGATGGTCTGGATGGGAACAGAGTCGGCAATAGCGACCACATTTTTGGCGATATCTGCAGGTTGCTGGACCCCGTAGGGAGCCAGACGCCAAAGCAGAAGGCGGATCCACTGATCGGTGATAAGAATGTCGGATCGTTGCACAGGCGAGCAGGGAATCAGAGGACTGGCCTGGTTGGCATGATGGTACTGCAACAGTCGCTGGACAGTCTGGGTATGTTGAGGGTTAGTATTTGGAGATCCGGCTGGGCTGGAAGCTGCGTTTCCGTCTCTCCACAACTTGAAGAAGGTTGGAGAGAAGACGGAGAAGGACTTTACCAGTTGAGTGAGACCAACAAACACCTCTCCTTCTGACTGAGGGTAGAGAGGCAGGTCTTGGCCTAGGGCTGCCGGGTAGTTGTGTTGTAATGCAAATCCTCGTTCAGAAACATAGAGACACCAGAACATGGTGCGGAAGGGCTCCAGGATGACGGGGTCGTTTTTGTAAAAGTCCTCTCTATCTATTCCTGCAGTTTGGGCCGCGGAAATGGCCTGTCTAAGATAATGGAAGGCGCGAGATGGCATTTCCAATTGGCAAAAGGTGCCGTAAAGGTTGAATTGGGTAATAATGGAGTTAACTGTGATGGTCTGATTAGCCAACTGTCTATGATCCCCGCTAGTCAGCAGTGCCGTTTCCTCGGCATGGACGGCATCGCAGACGATTCGCACAATCTGCAGCACGTTCTGGGTTCTTGACGAAGGCGTTGTCATCTCCAGATCAAGCATATCCCCCATGGCCATGGCCACTATCGACATGACCAAAGCAAAGGTTTCCGATGTGGGCTCCCGAGTGAGGTAGGAGTAGACCTCCGCCTCATCCAACACGGGGGTGACTGGATAGTAGTTGGCAAAGTAGTGCTTGAGAGCACGGTCCATGAGCGGCCGGGAGACTACATTCCAAGAGAGCTTCTCTGGGGCGGTGGGATCGGCCTGATCCAGACCCAGTCTCAGTTTGTTGAGAATGCTGGCGCTCTTGCCTCCGACCTTGGGGCCCTTTTTACGGGGAACGTGGTTGTAGGTACACGTGAGTTTGGAGGTGACGCATCCTTTACACGGCAGTTGGCTATCGCATTTGACCTTTCTCGCTCGGCAGCAGTCGCAAGCTCGCATTCAGAGCATGTAATGGTGGGCGGTTGGTAGGCGGCCCGAGAAATAGCGAAAACCTTTCACTCCATGTGGACGAAGACCCGTATATATATCATCTGTGTGGATTTGGTTAAACTTATACCCAGAGGCCTGAAACAATGCATAACAAAGGTGTGTGGATTTGGTGGTCCGAATCATAAAAGAAGAAAAAGAGAAACAAGGTTGGTGTTGCATTACATCTTTTCTGCCGCTGTTCTTCTCTAGGTTTCTGATTATCGATGGGAACCCGGGTTTTGGAGGGGGGGTTGTATCTCTGCTCGATCGATGATCACCGAGCTATGTTCCACCGCCGTTGGCCAGCGTTTTGGGCGGGAAAGGTGGTGTAAAAGTTGGATCCTACTCTTCTGCCACCGGAGTTGATTCGACAGATATCCCACACGCACCTCTACCATTCCCTATGGCCTTGCCCTAGGTTCTCCTCGGGTTGGCTCCGGGATCATCTGGTCTCACATCCAGGGCCCAACTCTGAATGTATTAGCGCCATCGGTCAGCTCGATGCCCGCGATGGGTTCCTTCTTTCTCCATCGCAACTTTAGGATCCCCTAGCTCGGGGTCATTGGTGTGCAACAGGCCCGCTGATCGATCGCGTCGCCCCCCCCAAATGGTCCTCAAGCGGCTGCGTTGTTCGGCTCCAAAATGGGTCGTTGGAGGGGCCGCCGGCATCTGTAAGAATGAGCTTTGCACCTTCTCCGCACCACACTCATGCTTTCTGGGCTTGGTGTAGACCATCGGCCCGTTACAGGCACACGCTGTAAAGAGGGAAACTCCGGCTGCTGTGGCGAAGGCGCCAAGGTTCAGACCCCCAAACTCTGGGCAGGTTAAGGAACACGGCATGCTTGGACGTGATGTGCCAATCAGCCGGACGTCTGCCAGTCTCCCACAGCGTAAAATTTCGCTTAGGCAGAGCAACTTTGATTGACAAGGAGAGTGGGCCAGACAAGGACAAGGGCATGTTTTACCTCCTCGAGGATAATTCTATAGCCGTGCAACAGACCTATAGAGCGATGACTATTACTTTTCGCTGTCTAGTCTGGAGTTTAACTGTATGGATCCAGCTACTGTAAGGAACGGCAGAGGGAAAATAGTATACTGTTATGAGCTGTGGAGGGAGGGGGCGGCAACATAGTGGAGAGGGAGGAAGAAACGGTCCGGTACAGTTTTAGTCAGCGGGCCCCGTTTCCGATGCTGGTCACACCACCTGGGCCGAGACATTCCTTTTTTCCCGCTCTATCCACCTCTGGCTCTGCCAACAAGTTTTCATTTTTCACTTTGCGTTTGTCTTTCATTTTCAAACCTCTCCCAAACTCATGGTTTCATACATGCACTCGATCGATGACCTCTCACTCAACACAGGGGCGGAGCTGGTGGCAAACCCACATTAGCTTTGTTCGACGCCTTTCCAATCAACCTAATAACTGTGACTTCGGGCAACCTCCTCGAACGGGGAATGTGCCCAACGGACCAAGGCGAGTGCACCACCCAAAGCCCCCATTTCTGTCTTGTTGGTCGTAGGAAGACCCACAATATGCTTGGTGCGCGTCACAAGTGCGGGACCTAGTCTTGGCTATCAACGCTACCTTTTCAACCACCAGTCAGGAGCTCCTGGTTGCCTGTGGTGAGCTACTTGTAGCTAGACCCCGTAGGTCTCTCAGCTCAAGGTTCCTATCCCAATCTTGGGCTCGGCTAATGCCCTCTCCATTTAGCCTTGAACAGCCTCTTAGGGCAAATGAAAAGATTAATCCAGCCTTGCGCAGCATCGAGGCGAAAATCTTGGTCATCAGAGGGCAAAAAAAGACTTTGAGTAGGTATACAAACACAATTCAGATCCCTGCCGACCTCCATGCCTCTTTGGCGTCTCCAAAAACTAATTAGGGCATGATCCGGAGCGGCACGGCATTAGATCCGAGATGCCGTATGCAGCCGCCGTGTACTTATGTAATAGTACGGGTGCAAGTAGGTCTGTCCTAAGCTAACGAGAGCGCACAGCTCTACCGGGTAGTCAAATATCCATGGCAGAGTCGTGGTAGCTCACAGTACTGTACAGTACATACTTGTATATGTGAGAAAATAAAGTGCTTTGTGCGTACCAGGGATAGGGTAGGTAGTGAAATCTGAGTTAGTACATCAACTCTAGACGATGGGCGTCGCCTGTGTAGAAGAACAATAACTCACCCGGTAACTAACACTATTTCTCGGTGGTCAATGCGTCAGAAGATATCAAGACGGTCCGTTTTGCGTTTAAGCCGAGTGAATGTTGCCTGCCGTTAGTAAATTTATTATGAAAAACCCCACTATGAATACATCAGCCTATACTGATATACCAAGAAGTGCAAGGGAGGTGGTCCTGTTCCACCTGAACGCGATTCCCGACAGGCGGCGGTACTGAAGGGCTTTGTGAGAGAGGTAACGCCGATTCTCTCTGCAGTCGTAAGACCCAGGTGGTGTGTCCGAGGCAGTATCGCTTTCCCAACTCTAGTAACCTCGGTAGTGTGAGACACACTACCCCTAACGGTAGGACAGCCGGACGACGATGGCGCAGCAATTGGCGAACGCTGTTATAAAACAATTCACTTACGTGCAATGAAAGTTGTTTGGGCAATAAACAATAAATGTATTAGAGCCAGACGATAGACAACAATCCAGCAGATGATGAGCAGGAAAATTGAGTAAGATCGACGTCGCAAGAAGAGTTACAGTTACGCAGAGTTAATAAGGTGTTGGGAGATTAGAGTTACCCTGTCGGATGACTAACTCTCCAGAGCGAGTGTTACATATAGCACCTGTATCGGCACCTGTACCGGCTCCCTACCCTTCTAATACCGCGTGCCGTTTACGTTCGAAACAAGACACTAGTATAGATACCAAGTTTGCAGGAAAGGTACCCTAGATTCCGCTAGATATACAGTAGACACTCGAATACAAGTCCAGACACTCCCGATGACATATGAAAAAAAGAATCAACCTCAACCTCATGAACCCCCCACGTCTGGCTGTCTCACCTGCCTGGGATATCGTACGACCCAAAAGTGCAAGTACAAGGGCTTCTAGAAGTCAGCAACCAGTTGGCAGCCCTTTGCTCCTAAGGTGTCTCGGAAAAAGCAATTTTTGGGTTCCCATAAGGAATGCAGTGGGTCTGCTGAGAAGATTCTCTACTGTGCAACTACCACGGAGCCAGTTTCTCATCTCTGGGATCACGTTATCTACATCCCCAGACGGAAACTTTTGCCGTGATGGAGTCTATCATGATATCATCTGTGAGTTGTGAGTTTTTGACAGCATACCTCAGGCATTATTCAAACAACTTGTGAGATCGGAAAAGAAAACAAGACAAGCTGGGCTGTGTTAAATGACCGAACAGGTGATACTTCTCTAGGGAAATGTCACTTTGGGTAGTATAACAACTTTGGTTGTTTCGAAGTTCCATTTCAGCAAGTGTAATGTGAACCCAAGGAGCCGAGTAAACAAAATAAAAAATAAAAAAAAGATGAGAAAGCTGAAATATAGATCAAAATTAAGTGATAGAAAGCCACTTGTACTGATGAAAGAGCATTTTTTATCTTATTACAGTAGACATCGAACCGAAAAGGGCAGACATTCCGTGAATTCCAGACATCTCCACGCTACTTTACCGCAATACAGTTGAAACCTGGATACAGTATGTCCTTGAGACATCATCCACACAAGCTGGATAATTTGGAGGCGGTCAGGGACAACAAAGGGAACATGTCTCTTCATTGTCGGTTGCTCTTCCGATTTCTCGCTTTCTCTCATTATTCCAACTGTAACAGATCTCTTCTTACATCAGCAGGCTTTTCATATAACTTCACCACATGCTGTGATGGTACGTTCATTTACCTCGTAGTGGATAGAGGAAGGATTAAACTGCTCATAATAGATGACTATATACTCCAACCAACTTCTACAGTTCAAAAAATACCTCATCGGAGCATTTTTTGGATGTTCTAAGCTCTTCCGCTTTTCGATCGGACTGAAGTCAGACGTCATGTTGAGTTCGCACGGCGCAGCCTTTCAGAACGGATATACTGGGTATTTGTCGAGAACTCGGGGCTCCATCCCATAGGCAAGAATATTCAGAGGTCTCTGTAAACAACTGTGCTTGGAACAGGTCAATGAGTCCTTCAATAGCTGACAAACTTTTGTTGAGAGCTGTAAACTGTGACCAACAAATGGGAACTAACTTAGTTGGGGAATACTGTAGTCACCAAATCTCACCCGGTGACCCAAAGAGAGGTCAAAGCACTGTGTCTGAAGGTAACAGTGATGTTAACGGGGACATATCAGCAGGAATTTTTCGGAGCCCTTCAAAACGGCTCCCAAACTTTCATCTCACTAGAATTACGGCATCTATCATGCTTACTAATGAGGTCAATAGCACTGGATAAACCTGTACTGTACTTGTAGCAGAACAGACGTTCGACTCTCAAACCAGGTCACGTGACAATCATCCATCCCCACGTCCGCGATTAATGGCTTATTCGCACCTCCAAGTCATTTACTCATAGCTCACTCGTCAAACCACGTGACGGTGATGCATCGCATGCACATGCAGGAGAGGTAGGCCGATTCTGGGGTATGTACGTTTGATTATACACCCACCCCACACAATGAAAGTCACCGAGATCCGGAAACGGCAGTTTGAGGGTAACAACTACACAGTACACGATCTCGTGATCACAGGCACGTGCTCTCCCGAAACCGACACGCTGGAGGGTCTTGATTCCGAGGCCGTGGAGTACTCGGTAGATGCTCGGTTACTGGTTCCGAAATCACACTTTTCAGGTACACTTTTTGCCGAGGTGCCCAATCGAGGCACAGGATCGATTGATGAAGACGCTGCCAACACGACGGTGGCTGGTATGAACAAGGCCAAGCGGGGCCGGGGCGGATTTGTGGATTTGGCGCCTCTTATGAAGGCTGGTCATGCCGTTCTCAACCTCGGATGGCAGAATGATGTACCTTTGGCTGCTGGAAAGGGCTTCAAGCTGGGAAGTCGGTTTCCCGTGGCAACCAAGGATGGCAAACCTATCCAGCGGTATGTTCGTCAGGAGGTGAATGCTGCTTCTCGGTTTTTTGGAGCGTCTCGAACGTTTCCTGTGAATGGTCTGATTGATCTAGACTACAATTTGGCAGATAACGACTCTGTGAGGGTGTTTATGCGTCGGTTTGAAGAGGATAAGGGCGTCGAACTGCCTGCAGCAGCAGTGATTGTTTTGGGAAAGCGTCAGGTCAGGATCGTGTCTTCTACCCCTGTTCCTGAATCAGCCATTTTCGACATCCACTACCTCGCCACAGACGCCACAGTGTCTGGATTGGGCCTGGTGGCTTACAGAGATGTGCTTTCGTATGTCAAGTCCGGCAAGTTTGACGTGATCTCGCCTCGACACGTTGTTGCTTTCGGAGTCTCCCAAAGTGCTCGTTTTCTGCGGACCTTTCTCTACCACGGCTTCAACGCCGACCTGGGAGGCCTGAGAGTGCTCGATGGAGTTGTCAACTACATTGCTGGAGCTCGAAGGGGCGACTTTACTGGGATTTTTAACAACGCTGGCGCTGTATCCACTCAACAGTTCAATAAGCGAATCGGAGACAATAACTTTCCTTTTGCTTACGCCACAAGCACAGACGCTATTACGGGCAAGACGGACGGTATTCTACACAAGTACCCACCTCTACTGCAGCCCAAAATCATCCATGTTGATACTGATAACGATATGAGTGCTGGATTCGGATGGTTATGTACCACCCAAACCGACGGTAAGACCCCTGTTGACGAGCTGGATAACGTACGACATTACTTCCTGGCCGGATTGCAACACATTCCGTTTTTCAAACCCATCATTCCAGGAAAACGGTCCTCTAAGGGCTCCTCTGGTGTCACTCTTCACTACAACACCTTTCTCAAGGCGTCTCTCTTGACAATGGCTGACTGGGTGGATGCTATCAAACTACCTCCCATGTCCCGGTATCCCACCTTGGCTGACGATTCTCTTGTTTCCCTGGCGGTTGCTCAACGTCTCTGGCCTCATATTGAAGGGGTTCCCTACTCTTCCGTTCGAAACGTGCCTTGTCATATCATCGAAACCGTCTCCAAGGACGTGGTTGTTCCTGCTGTGGTTGAAACATACCCCGTACTTACCCCTCCCGTCAACTCTGATGGAAACGAGACCTGTGGGGTTGTTCATCCTGCTATTCAGGTTCCTCTGGGAACATATTCAGGCCACTCTGTGGCTCGAAATGGTATCCAGACCTTCCTTGAGGGAGAATTCATACCCTTCAAGACCACTCGAGCCGAACGGTATGATGGATCTCGACTCATTGACTCTCGTCTAAGTGTAGAGGAACGTTACTCTGCCAGCTCTTATGCCACCCAGATTACTGCCGCTGCCAAGAAGCTCGTCAAGGAGGGTTTCCTGTTGGAGGAAGACATTCCCACTGTCACCAAGTTCGACAAGCGAGCCTTTGGTCCGGTTTCCAAGCTGTAGTTATATATATTAACGGGATTACCAAATCCGAACACTGTTGTATATATCTGCGGGTGTTTTGGTGTAGTGTATGTGATCCTGCATACATCTACAGTATGTTTGTACATATACAGACCTGATTGAGAAAGAACAAAAGTATTTATATACGAGTACACGATACAACTACAAACACAAGAATTGAAACACAACTGTGGTGCTCGTACACATACTGACACAGTCAAGTCCCTTTGAGACACATGTGCCCAACAGGTCCATTCACACCTGTCTCCGACCGGTCCAATGTCCTGTAACATGTCGGTAACATAAAGTCGCAACGCACACGGCATGCCTTAGGCTTGCCCTTATTTATATCTGTCTGTGTCTGTCGCTATTCAGTCTTTACGTATATATAAAAGCTGGCTCGCACCCCCACTTTATTTCTCTCTCACAAACACCCTCAACCCACGCCTCCCTGAAGAACGAGAACACAAACAACGTCCGCACGAAAAATGATGTCCGTCCTCTGGAACCGCAAAACCGTGGCGCAGGCGTGGGCCCAGCGCAGTCTGCCTTCTTCACTGGCCCATGTCACGTGGATCGACTTCACCGTCGGCTTCTCGGCGTTTCTCCTCGTGGCTGTCTACGAGTACTACCGTCGGTCTCAACCACAGACTCTGGTCGTGGAACAGGAGATCCCGGAACCGACAGTGGATATGCTGTGGCAATCGGTCGCCCACATTCCCTCAGTGTACAGTATCTGTTTGCTTTTGTGCCACTTCCGACTGATCCGCCCTCCGTTACTAACACAGATGCCTCAGAGAGGCCTTCCGTGACAACAGCAATGTCACCGGCATGCAACAACAAATCAACAAGTGCATTAACGAAATCGCCTCGCTGGCCAACCTCAGCCCTGAGTCTTCCCTGACCACAGCCACATCGCTGCTCCCCAGCCCAGGTCACAAAGTTGCCTTTGTCGTGCTCTGCACGCTCCAGCTGTCTTTGTGTCTCTACACTGCCTTCTTCCTCTCCAAGCGTCGAGGCACCATTAAGGACCTCCATTACGACGTCAAAGACGTCACCGAGTCCGTCGAGGAAGCATACTATCTCATCAACGAGCTCAACTCCCGTGTGGCCCAGAGCACCAAAGAGCAGCCGCAGTCACCCACCGGGGTGCTCGACAAACACAAGGAGCAATTGGTCGCGAACGTGTTGTCCAAGATGGAAGACAAGTTAACGCACCCAATCGAAGCCATCAAAACTCGTCTCACCGCTCTCGAGAACAATCTTGCTAGTCTTCAGCGGGCCAATTCCAACTTCAACCCGCGCGCTCCTCCTTATCGTGGTGGAGGCAAGCTCACCCGAGACCCGCGCGGCAACGAAAACTACCGCCACGGCAACGGTGGCGGGGACTTTCGTTCCTTTGATTCTCGAAACGACTCCCGCTTCAATGAGTCAAACTACTCTCTCGATTCTCGTCCCTGGAAGCCCTGGAACCGCACCGGTGGACGATCATATGCCAACTCCACCCCTACCTCTGCTCCCATCGAATTTTACGGGGAGAAGCGCTCTTTTGAGAAAATGGAGTGGGCAGATAAGCACAATGTGGCCAGTCCCGTTGTCACTTCCGTTGTCGAGCCCACCGCTGAGGTTATCCAGCCGGTTGCTCGTCCCGTCTCGGCGGTTCCAGTGCCTACCACCATCACTGGAGCTCCGTCACCTGCCACTCAGTCTGTCCCAAAGCTGGTGGTGAACTGCACGCCCCAGCAGAGCAAAAAGATCATCATCAAGGCTGGGGACCGGGAGTACGATCTGGCGAGTGCTGAGGGCCGTGAGCAATGGAGCTCTGTTGCCAAGCGTAACATTGCCAAGGCCATCACACTCCCCAGCCATGTACAGGTGCAAGATATTGCTCCACCTCCCCTGGCTCCTTTGCGAACAGCCAACACTCGGCCCCACACCATTGAGCTGTCACCTTTGACTTCCACCTATTCCTCTGAGACTGATGGCACCGAGGCTAGCAAGGCCTCGAAGCCCAAAGAGGGAGGTGTCACGCAGGAGGAGCGGCGCGCTGGTGGGCTCGATAATTACATCGAGTCCGTGGGTTCGCCGCAGAGTCCCAACGCCTCCCTGAGTCGAGGACTACAGCTCAAGCTCGAGGAGAATGTCTCCAAGAAGGAGAGCAGCGGCAGCATTGGCGATGCTTCCAACGGCGGTGTTGGCGGTGTTGGCGGTGTTGGCGGTGTTGGCGGTGTTAGCGGTGACGGTGAGAAGAAGCCCTACCGGCGGCTGTTTATCCCCGGCCGAGGTTGGGTGTCAGCTCGTCGTATTGCTATGGAGAAGGCCCAAGAGCAAGGGGGAGAAATCACCGGGTGCGACCGCCGAGACCTTGGCGCGTCTGCTTCCGATACTGATGTTCAGCCTCCTGTTGGCGAGAACACTGCTGTAGCTGCTTAGCCAGGGAATTTTTGGAACTTGTCTCCTCCGGGACTCGCCGGGGAGGTGTCTGCAAGTGTTGGTGTGTTGGCATGCACGTTGTACTGGAACTCCATCGAAAAAAACATGTACATAGCTCCATTCTAAAAAAGTCATGCTAATAGCTTTCTGTAGGCGAAGCAGCGTAGAGTGCAGTATAGGGGTTTGAAGGTGTACTATTTGTCATCAAGTCGTGTCTTTTACAGATTGAAGAGAAGGGGTTGGTTTCCCTATCTTTGTAATCTTGCATGCGGCTCAGAAATTCAAGTTCTGGGCACCTTAAAAAGGTGTTAGTGCATGCAGGATATGCAACTGACATGCACTGGGCCTTAACCGCGCGTCTTTAGCGGATATAAGCGAGCAAAGGAGATGCGGACAGGGGAGAAAGAAAAAAAGAGCAAATAACACTGGAACACCTTTTGGCGCATTAGCACGACGGGGAATACAGATTGGCGGGCTGTTCCATGGTGTGGAAGTTGCAACTCGCCATTCAGATCGAATTAACGGCTCTGGAGGACACAGCGCATGGTGTATAGTCAGCAAGTCTGTATTTGCTCATCTGCGATACACAGCTCGGTTTATTTTCGTCTGTACTCGGTCTTGGGTGCGTCTATGTCCTTGCTTCTGTGGTAGTGAAGTCTCTTTGAAATTCATTTACCTCTTTCTGCAAAACCCGCTACCTGAATTCCCTCATTGGAACGGTTTTCCTGCAAGGCTTTCAGATTTCATCTCTCTATGCGGCTGGTCAATAGAGTGTCCGCCACCTTTACGAGGGGTTTGGGTGAGGGATTGGAGGGAAACCGTAATGATAATAGAATCAGGATGCGATTATAAGTATCCCGGGCTGTCGCTCCAATTGTTCGGTGCATTCTTCATCTATGCAATAGAAGTCATTTGCAGCTTGGCACGCACACCCAGCTCCTCCTGGCCATGGACACAGCTTTCACCCAACTATTGAACTATGCCTCGAGGGGACGTTTGTTTCCGTACCCCGAGGAACGAGCAGGGTTTCAAGTTCCCACGGAGTTTTGGTACGGCCCACCGACACACAAACACGACGATGTTGAGCGGGGTCTAGAGGATGCTTTTGACGGCATTGATGTGGACGGCAACCGCGGGAACCACGATGAAAGACCTCTCGAGACTTCGGACGGTTCGTCTATCTTAAACGGAGGTAACATGGAAAAGGGTTCCGGTTCGGAGTCCGAAGAACTGTATGTGGGTTGGTATGGACCTGACGATCCGGATAATCCCAAGAACTGGTCGTCCGTCAAGAAGTCCATCAGTTCCTCGCAGGTTCTCATTCTGACATTTTCCGTCTACATTGGTTCTTCCATCTACACGCCTGCCCTTCCTGAGATTATGGCCGACTTTCATATATCTCAGGTGGCTGGTCTGATTCCATTGTCGGTCTTCGTCTTTGGTTACGGCATTGGACCGGTGGTCTTCTCCCCTCTGTCTGAACATCCCGCTGTCGGTCGAATGTGGATCTATATTGTCACTCTAGCCATCTTTGTGATTCTGCAAGTGCCCACAGCTCTCTGTCACAATATCGGATCTTTGATCATCCTGCGATTCCTGGGAGGTATCTTTTCGTCACCAGCTCTGGCTACTTCCGGTGCTACCTTTGGAGACATGTACGAGATTGCGTACATTCCCTTTGCTCTGGCCTTGTGGGCCATCTCGTCCATCTGTGGACCCGTGTTTGGACCAGTTCTGGGAGGTGTGTTTGCTCAGGTCAAGGGCTGGAAGTGGACTTTCTGGGTCCTGGCCATGATCTCCGGTCTCTGCCTTGTAGTGCTCTTCTTTTTCTTTCCAGAGACGTCAGAAGGAAACATTCTGCACCGACGAGCCCGACGACTGCACAAGTTGACAGGAAAGAAGTACACTACTGCCGCTCGGCAGGAATGGGCCAGCAAGAAATTGTCGACTGTGGCCTATGACATTCTACTCAGGCCAATTCTCATCACCTTCACAGAACCCGTTGTCTTTGCTCTGGGCCTCTACATTGCACTGCTCTACTCCACTCTCTACAGTTGGTTCGAGGCCTTCCCCATTGTCTTCACCGAAACACATCGCTTCAACACCATTGAGTCTGGTCTTGCTTACCTCGGCCTCATTGTTGGAGGCTTTGTAGGAGTGGCGATGTACTTGCCAATCATTTACAACAAGTTCACTCGTCCTGTTCTCAAGGGAAACTTCCCTCCAGTGTCCATGTTCATGAAGCTTTGTCTAATTGGCTCCACCATCTTCCCTGCATCTCTCTTCTTCTTCGCATGGACCGCTCACAAATCCATTCATTGGATTGTCCCCATTATTGCATCAGGACTTTGCATCATCGGTATGCTCTTCATTTTCCAGACCGTGTTCAACTACCTCTCGGGCTCCTACCCCAAGTACATTGCATCTGTCTTCGCAGGTAACGGTCTGTTCCGAGCCTTTGTGGCTGGAGGTTTTCCTCTCTTCGCCCACCAGATGTTCACCACTCTGGGACCTTCCAAGTTCCCCGTGGGATGGGGAACTACTCTGGTTGGATGTATTGGAGTCCTCATGGGTCTGATTCCCCTTGTCCTTATCAAGTGGGGTGACAAGCTCCAGAGCTCCTCTAGATGGGCTTAAAACTTGTACATAGACATTATATAGATGTAAATAGAACGCAAACAATAGACCTGGGGCGGAATAATGAACATTAGTGATGTAAAATGGCGCGCCTCGAGACTGCCCATTGTTCAGTATTTAGTTGGCATTACCAACTAACTTTAGAAATTAGTTGGGGACTCCTCAATAGCTTCATGTAGAGAAACCCATCATAACAATAGTTGCATTCAAACCAAGGACTGCTTTTTTTGATAAAATCCATAGAAGGTGGTATCAATAACAGGTTAAGACCCTCTCTTGATGAATTCGACGCCGTAATTTCGATTTCACAGCCTTCTCCCTCCGGCCTCCCCCCCGCATCAATACAACCCTAACCCTACACCATACACCTTCCCACAATTCCATGATACGCTAACAATGTACACTCTAGAACTCGATTTCGACCCCCGTTCCAGTTTCAGCGACTGGCGAGTTAGTAGTGTGACCATCTCCGGCTTCGACAACGACACGGGCAAAAGCATGGACGCTGTCAAGGGCGAGTATTTCGGCAAAGGTGTGGTTCGGCTGTTTCGAGGAGGCAACAACAATGCATCCAGCTCGACTGAGGTCGAAGAGGTGTCTCCGGTGCCCTCTCTGATTGTGGCTATTCTGGCAGTCCCCAGCTATATGACTGCATCCGACTTTCTGGGGTTCATCAGCTTGCATTCTTGTGAGAAGGACATTTCACATATCAGAGTCATCAAATCGAGTCGAGAAGTGAACCGAAACATGGTACTTCTCAAGTTCCGTATGGTTGAACGCGCCCAGGACTTTGTTGACAAGTACTCTGGCAAGGTGTTTAATAGCATGGATCCTGAGACTTGTCTATGTGTGTTTATCCATGATATCAGCGTGGGAGGCGAAGTTAGTAATAATACAAGCGTAGTTGGGGCAGACAACTTCCCGTACCTATTGTTGGATCCTTTCACCAATGGATTCAGCAAAGGTAAACCGCTACCTCCTCCTACTCCTGATTTGCGAGAGCTGCCTACTTGTCCTGTCTGCCTGGAGCGTATGGACAGTGATATCACCGGTTTGGCAACCATCTTGTGCGAACACACGTTCCACTGTCACTGTTTGAGCAAGTGGGCTGGTGGAAATTGTCCTGTTTGTCGATACAGTGGCAGAAAGAGCAGTGTGGGCAACTCTGCTGCTCCTCCAGGGGCATGTACGACTTGTGGGGGAACAGAAAACACGTGGATTTGTTTGATTTGTGGCAACATTGGATGTGGGCGGTATGCTCTGGGCCATGCTCATTCTCATTTTGACCAAACAGGACACGGGTACGCCATGGAAATGTCCACGCAACGAGTTTGGGACTATGTGAGTGATGGTTATGTTCATCGGTTGATTCAGAGCGATGTGGGCAAGCTGGTGGAGTTGGACGAGTCCAGTAGCTCCAGCAACAGCAAGTTCGTGTACTCTGACGACGGCAAAAAAAGTGGAGACGTGGAACAGTTGGCTCTGGAGTACACGGCTTTGTTGACGTCACAGCTGGATTCTCAGCGGGAGTACTACGAGGCTCTGTTTGCAGACTCGGCAAAAAAAGTGGAGGAGATGAGACTGGAAGTGCATAGGGAAAAAGAGAGGGTCAAGAAGGAGCTCGAGGCCAAGAAGGAGGTGGCCAAGCTGGACGACTCGTTGATGTCCGAGAACGAACGACTCAGAAAGGAGCTCGCCAAGTGTCAGTCTGATAGTGAGAAACTGAGCCAGTTGAGTAAGACATTTCGACAGTCTCTTCAAGATGAAAAGGCCATTTCGGGCGCCATGATGGCCAAGGTGAAGAAGCTACAGACTGATAAGATGGCCAAGGAGGCTCAGATCAAGGATCTGGAGGAACAGCTACGAGATGTCATGTTTTTCCTTGAGGCCAGAGATAAGTTGAAGGATGCAGACGAGGATGTCAAGGAGGGTACCCTAGTGATGAAGAAGAAGAACAAGAAGAAGTAGTGGGTGCAAGTATTTATTAATATCATGAAGTCACGAAAGAAGGAATTGCGAGGAAGACAACGGATGCTGTCGCTCAAAAGCTACAAAGGTTTTAGAGGGCAACCCCAATTTGTTGGTGTCTGCATTGTAGAAGATCGGAATATGCAGATACTGAATCTGTTGAGCCCAGTGACATGAAACTAAACCTCTTTGCATTCCATATGTACACTCCACAGAAGTCTTCACCTTGTGACTGGGATGTGCAAATATTCGTCCTCTTCTTCCAAACTGTACGTCCAGAACGAAGGCTTCCTTGACCAGAGAAAAAGAAACAATGGACTTGGACGTGTGGTAATTTATCTTTTCGTGTTCAATTGTCTCATTATATCATATACTCGTGTTTAATTAATGGTTTCACACCCCTGTATCCTGGGCAAAGGGCGGTTTTGACCATCCAGGCTTTGAACGATTTTTTTTTAAACTGGTGGAAGACAGCACAAGACAAGACCACAAACGGTGGTGGAGATGAGACCTGTTGGGTTTCATTAAATGGAAAATGGTGGGTGTTATTTCTCGGCCGATTTCGGGGCCCATGTGTGTTCTTGCAGGCCGAGAAAACCCCGTGGGGTGACGTCACAGTGCTGCACGTAGGGACAGGACAACGCTAGCCAATAGGTGGTGTATTTTAATAAACACAATAACATGGTGGAAAAGTGGGATAGAAACACTGGACAGCTGGATGAAAGGCATCTTTGAGACCGATATCTAGGAACCCGACACATTGGCATTTCCAAGAATCGAGTTAGACGCTAATCAAAAGGCTTATTCGTTCTAATATAGGGGCTTTTTGGACACTAAAAACGAGCTTAGTCCCATCAGCGGTTCAATGACGTCACAAGCAGTCCAAAACAGGCCATTGTCTTGTTCACTCGTATTTCCCCTCTTCGAATGGGTTAATGGGGTGAATGGGCCTATGTCGGTGAGGTTTGGTGAGGGCTCTTGGTGGTCGAAGAATGCAGCAGCTCTCGTCTAACTCAGTCTTGAGACATGGCTTGAGTGCATACGATACGAAAAAAGATGGCCTTCTGGATGCACCAAATATGTATCGAAACTGTTGTGGCTTGACGGAAATGGAGACCTTCACCACTTTCACAACAGGGCAAATCGGTACGTTTTCGCGTCCCACACGGCCATCAAGCCCCAATACATCCCAGCAACTACTGTACGGCAGCTACAGGTGATTGTCTACACCTGCAGCATGCACGGTTTGTTGCTGTGAATCATCGAGTTGAGCAGGGCATGGAGAAAATTTAATCTCCCTTGTACAAGTATTGTACTCGCAAAGTGCTCCAACACTTGTCTCAGACATTGGATCGACAAATTTCACCTGACCGACATCTCTATCACCTGCGAGCTCCCCAAACAGCTTGCTTGGTTCAATACAGGCCACCTCTAAATCTAGCCTCCATCTTTTGGTCAAGAAGCGTCTGCTATGTTGCTTGTCGCGTGCGTTAACACGGGCTCTGGAAGTGCATAGCCTCAGAGCCTCGATGCGGGGACGTCGTGTCGTCTGGTATTTGAGTAGTCTGGGGGCCCGTTTCTTGCCCCTACTTTCGGGGTATTATGGCGAAAATCATCTCCGGAACCCCAATAGTGTTTGCCATGGCGGCAGCCAGTCACCAGCTGGGCGTAGATATCACATTCAAGGCCATATCTTTCTAATCACCTTAGTAGTTCAAGGTACTTTAATCCGCGAAGCCTAAAAAAACCCAAGTCGCTAGTGCGTATCTTGTCCCAATTGACCTCGGCTGTCCGAAAATGGAAGCCGCGAGATGAAGCAGTGTGCCGACATTGTAGGGATGTACCTGAGATGGCCCGCCACGTGACCAAAGAAACGCAGAAAGAAAACGAGCCCACAAGTCCAAGATCGCCCAACCCTCGATCCCAGCGCCAAGGAAAACACTAAAAATTTTCTTGTCATACGGCTCTTGTACCTCTCGAACTGTAATCAGCCGACTGCAATGCTGCAAACTATATTCCAACCGAGCACTGGCAAGCGAACGAGACTCCACGGAGGTGTTCGAGGTCGGTTTTGGCCAGTTTTCACAAAATAATCGAATTTAACGACATGAAATACCCCAATAATCGCGTTTCTCCCACCAAAATCGCCCCACAATAGGCCCCATAGGACACCCCAAAACACCCCAAAACACCCCAAGACCCTCAAATGCACACCCCAGAAACTCTATTGCAATACCTATATACCCAAGCCTTCCCACCCCAGATAATGGCTGCACCTTTAACACCACGTCTATATCAGCAGAATGGGCGGCATTTGGGCGTCTATAAGCGGCAAAATCAGCCAGAGCGCTGACGGCAAGACCCAGGTGCGTAACCGGGGCGACGGAGAGATTGTCATCAACCGAACCGACTCCAATGGTCTGTTTCAAACCTCGTCTCTCGTGTCTCTCCCTCCAGATTATGAAAAGACCCATGCCATCCGGACAAGCGGAGAAGAGTCCGAGGAGCCCCCGCGGTTCTCGGAACAGTCGTCCAAACCCCCGTCATACCATACCACCCAAAGATTACTCAAGGCTCGTCATATCCAGCTGATTGGAATCGGAGGAACGATTGGAACAGTGCTGTTTGTTCAGATTGGAGCTGCTCTGGTCAAGGGTGGCCCCGCGTCGCTCTTCCTTGGATTCACACTCTGGTGTATACCCATTCTAATGATTACCATGACCACCGCTGAGATGGTCACCTACTTGCCCATTTCGTCTCCCTTCATCCGATTTGCAGGAAGATATGTCGACGAATCATTCGAAGTCATGGCCGGCTGGAACTTCTTCCTGCTACAAGCCGTGCAAGTGCCCTTTGAAATCACGGCTGTTAATATCATTCTGCACTTTTGGGTAGACGGATACTCGGTAGCTATTCCACTGGTTGTGCAATGTGTTCTCTACGCCATCATCAATGTCTTTGCTGTCGGACTTTACGGAGAAACCGAGTTCTGGCTGTCTCTGGGTAAACTTCTGCTCGCTGTCGGTGTCATTCTCTTCACCTTCATCACCATGTGCGGAGGAAACCCCCAACATGACGCCTACGGATTCCGATACTGGAACAATCCCGGCGCCTTTGCCGAGTACATGGATACGGGCTCGTGGGGTCGATTCCTGGGCTTCTTTGCTTGTCTCGTTCAGGCTGCGTTCTCCATTGCTGGACCCGAATACGTGTCAATGGCTGCTGGAGAGGCCGTCAACCCCCGAGTCGTCATGCCTAAGGCCTACAAGGCTGTGCTTTACCGTCTGTCCTTTTTTTTCATTCTCGGAGCTCTTGCTGTGGGCATCATTGTTCCTTACAACGACCCGGAGCTTCTGGACGCTATCAACAGTGGAAAGCCTGGCGCTGCTGCTTCCCCCTACGTCATCGGAATGCAGCGACTCAACATCAAGGTGCTTCCCCATATCATGAATGGTCTGGTGCTCACCTCCGCCTTCTCCGCAGGAAACTCGTTCACCTACTGTGCCAGTCGAACTCTCTATGGTCTCGCTCTCGAGGGCTATGCTCCCCGAATCTTTGCCAAGTGCACCAAACAAGGCGTGCCCATCTTTGCCGTCATTGTCGTGCTCTGTTTCGGGCTGCTGTCGTTCCTGCAACTCGGAAACACTGCCCAAGTCGTGCTCAACTGGCTGGTCAACATTGTTACCGCCTCCCAGCTCATCAACTTTTGCATTTTGTGCTCCACCTACCTGCGTTTCTTCTACGGGCTGCGGGCCCAGGGCATTTCGCGAGATTCGCTGCCGTTCAAGTCCTTCTGGCAGCCCGGATGTGCATGGGTGGGTCTCACCTGCGCAGGCGTCATGTTGCTGTTGTCTGGCTGGACCGTTTTCGTCAACGGCCACTGGTCCACAGCCACCTTCCTCTTCTCGTACATCATGATCCCTATTGACGTGGTCATCTTTATCGCCTGGAAGCTCATCAAGCGAACCAAGTTCAAGAAGTTGACGGAAATCGACTTCCTGACCGGCAAGAAGGAAATTGACGAGTACACCGAAGATTATACAGAGGTCCCTCCCACCAACATTTTCCAGAAAATCGGCCGGTGGCTCTTCTAAAACTAACACAGACTGTAGTCTCTTGTGTCTCTGGTTTGAAACCCCAGAGATACTCCTCAAAAACTAACGCTCGCCCTTGTCGCGAAGAGATATATAGAATGAAATGGATGTTGAATGAAAAGACGTCCGTCGTAGTTTGTATTGTAATATATTTATTGAAGAGCATAAGTTGAATAGTAGATTTTATATATATTGATGAGACTTGTAATTACACGTCTACAGGCTGAAATTTTTGATCATATTTCATTTTTTCATTTTTCAATAATGTACCCTCTCCTCTAGTAAACATCGCAGACACGACTATAGCGATCGTTCAATTGAACACGCGTGTTGCACACATCTCTCATGCCTTACAAAGTCTTGACCAGATCTTCCAGCTTCGAGGCAATCTCGGCTGGAGGACCCTCAATCAGATCTCCATGGCAAGGGATGATCCGTCTGATAGGTAGCCGCAAAAGCTCGTTGTAGGCCTTCTTGGCAGCAGCGGGATCAGGGTACAGCTTGCTCCACAGCTTCTGCTGAAGATAACTGTCAAAGCTCATGTAGTTCATGAGGTTGGGGATACCCCAGGATCCCTTGGGGTTGACTCCAGAGCCCTTGTACTGCTCGTTGGAGGGAGTGTTGAAGATGGCGTCGGCCTCAAGCAGAGTCTCGGACGGCTTGTGGTACAGCATAACCTCCTTGTTAGCATGGCTGGGCAAATAGACTGCATCAAAGGTGTCCACGAGCTCCTTGGGGAAACCCACTGATTCCAGAGCCGCGCCTGAGAGAAGTTTGTTGCCCTCCTCGGGCTTGAAGGCAATGTCAATATCAATACCCTCGGCCTTCTTCTTTTCCTTGAGCTCCTCCGGTCCAATGATTAGAGCCTTGGGGAACTTGTCCTTCCAGGCCTTGAGAGCCATGTGGTGCTCAAAGTCAGGGGCGACGAGATACTTGACGTTGGGCTTGTCTCCGGCTAGAAGTTTGAGAGCAGCCTCAGACTGTTCACAGACGGGAGTAGGAGCAAACACGACCACGGCATCGTCGGCAGTGGGCAGCTTGACACAGGTCATTCGGCCTCCAAAGTTCAGCAGGTAGCCTCGAGTGAAAGGACACGAGTGGATGACAATGTCCTTGGTGACTTGACGGATGTTACCGCCGACAGGGGTGAAGTAATGGCTCATTGTGTTTTGTTTTTTTTGTTGGTGTACAATAGAAGGATGATGAAAGAAGCATGGCTTTAGAGCACTATATATCAGTGGGACTACTTTAGTTTGGTTTGCTATCTCAGCACTTGTATCATGCATAGGCTGCATATTGGATGCATGTTTAATTCAAGAGTTGTGTGAATGAGATGAATATATCCCTAGACAGTGATGTACGAGTATGAGTATGAGTATGAGTATGGTATAGTGTCAATTACAGCTCTCTATTGACTAACTCAATGACGAGCGCCGGTTGGTTTCATGTCATTGACGCAAACGAAGAGACCATCAACCGCCGTAATTGGAGACTCAAGCCCTGAACTTCAAGTATACTGTCAATTGACCTTGTATATGTCTTCGTGTCCACTTTTTAATCACAAATCTGTGTGTAGGAGTTATATTGATACTTCAAAATTGAATTCTTTGCAACTGAACTTCCAAAAAGCAGACAGTTGCCTAGTGAGCATTTCTGTATGATCCTGAGAGAAGAAGGGACTTATATAGGTATAGACAATTCTGATTGTAACAGTAACAACGATTTGCTCCTTCACCTTCAACCATTAGCGTCGTTTAAGTGATTATTGTAACTATTTAAACAGTTCCCCTCCATTTTCCGCGATTTTGCGTGGTTTCATCTGACCTAGCAAATAAAACCTATAAAAAGCTTTCGAAAATTCAACATCCATATTTAAATTCACTTGAAACATGGCACTAATAAAAAATAAAAATAAAAACAATAGAGACCCACACGTACTTATACTCGTCGTACATTGTACACCCTTTGATCTCGCTTCTTCAATGCCCCTTCTCGTATACATAATTGTCTCAAGGTGCTGCTGCCTGCAATATAAGCTGCTCTTGCTTCCTTGCTAGCAGTCTACTTCAGGTCAATCGCAACCCGATGGACAGCTGGTAGCGTGATGGGCCCGCAGAAGTCCGAGTAAAAGCACCAAGTTGTTGAGCTTCAGACAATTTACTCGATTTTCCACGACCAATTGAATTTACTCGGTGAATTTACTCGGTAAAAATAAATTCACTTCATGATCCTGTCCGGTGACGTCATGATAATTACCATGGCAACGAGTGGAGGATTACTGGAGAGTAGGGCGGTACGAGCACCCCTCCAGGTACTGTATGGTAGTAACTGACCGCAGAGCGTCCTCTGGTCTCCACAAAAAAGAATTCACTGGAGAGCCTCGTGGAAATTATGGCATTACAGCAGACGTCAGTAGTCATTGTTGGTCGTAGTCTATAGGTTAATAATGCAATATTACCAGGAAGGGCACATACACTACAATACGTACTGAATAATACATTGTGCTCGTACATGTCTGAGTCCCATCTGTGTACATTGTACAGTATGTGCAATACCTGTAACCTCCGCTGTTCCATCCTGTCCAGATCTCCGTCGTGTTGCGACAAGAAAAAGCAATTTGGAAAAGAAATGTGTCAAAAGAAATTACCGTACATACTCCTGAACCTTGTGAAGGGTCGACGATGTTGACGTGCACAACTGGAGAACGCATGCAAACCTGTGTGGTCGGCTGAGTGGAATTTCTGGATTGAAGACAAATTTTTCGTTCGAAAGGTACCATATCCACCATTACTCCTTGCTCTCTGTCTGCCTCAGGCGCTTTGAGACGTTTGGGCGGCTGCATGTTTTGGTTCCTGGGCTTGTCTGGGCGTCGGGACTATCGCGCTTAATTCAGGGGTAGGCACTGAGAGGGTAGGTTCGGTAAAGAGATTAATGATGTGGTCACATGAACTTCCCACGTGAGTCTCTTGAGCTCGACCTGCCTCTCCTGGATATCTGGTCGTGTCAGTTCCTCCGACAAAATCGTCTGGGGTATGTCAAAAGAGGTTTCAAAATGCTGTTTTTCCTTTGTTTTCCACTGTTGTGTATACGTTGCCTGCTTCTGATGATATTATCTACAGTGTAGATGGACTCAATGGTCAACATCGGCGTGAGCGCGGCTACAGCCATCTTCCCTGACACATTCCACCACTCTTCTGTGCTGCTTTTCCGCGCATTCCTACAGCTTCCGCGTTGTGTTGACGTGGACTGGGTGTCTTTTGCTGCCGTCCTGCTGCCGTCTCTGCAACCACTCATTCCATTCCCCGGGTCATTCTTCAATGACACTTCAAAATGAGGGACCCACAAGTCACACAAAGAACCAACTTGAAGTTTTCAGCCGTTCTATTGTTTAGCGCGATAGGTGCCTATGTCAGCCGTCAGTGTCAACTTAGTCGGTCTGGGGTAGCACTGCCGCACATGGTCATTGGATACACAGTCTAGGATAGATGGGAGGCTGTGTAACAGGAAAACGAAGGTGATTTTTATCAGCTGTTTCTCTTCACAGAGTGCTCTGCATCCTCAATATATCAGTTGTCATCTGTACACACTGTTCATACATATCGCCAAACAATTAGCACCATGCAAAGAGAGCCATCCGCAGTAAGTTTCCTGGTATGTATATACATAAATCGAGTCTTGATATTCTGCTGCCTCCACTGCCTCCACTGCTTCCAACAGTGACACCGCCTCATTGTTCTACGAGTACCGTACCGCGTATGTACAAGCATCCGCCTCACTCACTACGATACTTCTCCGTCATCATAATCAATCTATTAATAAATAAAACCAGACTCGTTAATCAAGTCTAGTATCGGGGGTAGAACTTCTTGGAGTCGTCGTCGGCAAATGGCCGGTTGGTGCGAGGAGTGTCGTTTCCATAGAACTTGGGGTTGAACTCTTCATTGTGCTGGGTCATTCGTCCAAAGCTGTCAACATCACCGGCGGGATTGGTGTAGTCGTAGAGAGTGTCCTCGGACTTTCGAGGGCTCTTGGAGAGCTGCTGGGGAGTGTAGTGAGCTCGGTTGTTGTCAGCGAAGACGTTCTTGAAGTAGGCTTTGAGAGACATTGTGGTGTGTTTGTGGTGTTTGTGTTGTTTGTGTGTGAAAGAAGAACCTCTACAACGGAGGATCACCCCCTATATATACCCAACAATCGGTTTGTGTTTTCCATTGTTCGGCAAAACGACACATGTCTAGGCCCTCAGGACGCCATCTACGTCATTTGATATCACTGTACAGGAAGGGTGCAGAGCTTGGTCTAGACTGGGTTTGTAAGGGATATGGGAAATTACCCACAAAGACAAAGATGAATGTCACAAAGAAAGACTAAGAACGAACAGCACAACTTCCTGAAACTCCCCAGATTGGCCAAATGCCAATATTTTACCAATTCGACATATATTTTACCGTGACACGGAATTCTAGACCTCAGTTTTTAAGGTTTTTTCCAACCAAAATTGAAAAATAATTTAAGCTTCCAGAACCTGATCCCGGGTTAGGGTTACTTCCGATTCGGGTGCGGTCCAGATCTAGGTGAGATGGCGGGCCTGCATATTGCGTATAAGCCAGTCAGGTACACGAATGTCGCTATGGGTTGTCGGAGTTTTACACATGATACTATTTTTTGCCAACCACGAGTCACGTGTTTTCCGTTTGGGTCACGTGACCCTCTCTGTGCGGTATTTTCCCGGTATTTTCCCGGCATCTGACCGCCACTCTCTATCGCTTAGCTGTACTCTTTCCGTTACGTCATAGGGTTAGATTTGTATACATGATGGCAGCACAGATAGGTGGAAAACAGGGGCGATGAGGTGTGCATGGGTTCGATTGGCGGGAAAAAGTAAACAGTTGAGATCGTGGAGACTTTTGTTTGTGCGGATAGTGGACTTTATGCGGTTCTTGGTGTTTGATGAAGCGGTTGTGGTAGTTTTGACTTGATACATATGGCAATTTCATTGGTCTTGGAAGATAAATATAGATGCTGGACACCTACCTATTGTGGTCATTAACCCCCGAGGTACATTCTGATTGCTTCTCTCTCATTCTCTGGCCAGCAACTCGCAACTCTGTTGTGTTCTGTTAAGGTGGGTGGGGAGATGAGCTCGAAATAGAACATGATGACACCGTTCAAATGGTTTCAAAAACGGCAAAGATAAGAAAAAATCAAATATATGTACTAAACCAGAGTGGGCTAAGTTGATTTATGTTGTCTCGACAACCGTTTGTCATACAAAATCTCGCTGTAAACGCCATCCAGCCTCCTACCATACAAACTCTCTTTGCTTCCCTCCCTCTCTCTCTAGATCTACACATTTCATGCAAATAAACCCAGTGGTCGATCTGCATGTCGGGTCTCATGTCGAGTCTCAAATGTGCGCGTAAAAACGCCAAATCCTGCTTCTGGTGTCTGAGATGTGGCGGAGTAGATGCCGACGGGGAGAGACATGTACGAGACATGTAAGAGATGCACGTAACCAACTGGCAACTGGCAAACAGACAAAATATCTCGGATTCTCTGTCTTCTTCACTTGTAATAACGCACCTCACGTGACCTCGATTCATCATAGACTTAGGAGCAATTAGCAATCGTCTGATCCGATAACCGAAAGAAGCGATATTAATGGTCTGATCGGAGAACGAGGGTTAGGAGACGCTGAGTCAGCTGCGAACTCATTCTTCGAACTAATCGGCTTATAAATTCTGCTTGATTTTCGCCTGAATATCGTTCACTACAGCTTACAAAGACAGCTGACAAATTTTGCGTCCCATTCGCTTACTAATTTTTGCCTGAGTTTTTTTGGCGCACTTCTTACTAATGATGAAGCTTATTTCTGTCACTCGTGAGTGTTTCAAGTCAACCATGTGAGACAGGTTAAGAGTACTGAGGTGGTGGGACGGTTAATTTCGTTCGAATCAGAAAGTTGATTTGTTTTTAATGGGCAACGATTCGCCAATCTCTGTACTTCTGGTTAAATAATTGTAATTGCCTAAGTCGAAGGATGATAACCAAGCTGCATCTCGGTTAACTCGCTCAATATTAATGATATCACAGAATACACATCCCCATCAGACTTATCATCACCAGATGATTCGAATGATACCCAATTCTCCCTTGGAGAATGCTTGCTGGACCCTATTAGCGGAGTCTTTCCGTCAAATGCTGCTTACAAGGACATGAGACCCAGAAGAGTGACCAGAAACCAATGTAGCGATACAGTAGTTCTACAACCAAGCCTCCGGTGTCGTAGAAGCACTCCCTGCCCAATTCACATTTGCCCTATCAGTGTCAAACGTGAATACTACTGCCCACCTTCAGGTCAACTAAATCCCTATCTAACGAACCTCTCGATGAACCATTATCTGCGCACATATCGGCATGTGACGTTGCTGCGACTACTGTACATTCTGTACCTTGGCAATTGGCAACGTCCTACAGTATGTACACTCCATCTTTCAGCCCAGACACTTCTCCATGTCCGCACCTGCTGGTGGTGTGCATACTTCAATGTTACAGACAAGTACGAGTACAAGTATATACCGTAGCTAATTGGACTTTCTGAAAGCAGACATGGACCCCGTCCCCATCTCTAAGACCCAATCATCCATCTTCTAAATCTGCAAGAAACTAAAACTTCCCCGACTGAGTGATTTTAGTGTGGTTCTGGAATTTAGTCCAGAAATCCGTTTTAGCAGGAAAGTACTGCAACGTCAAAATGCACTAATTTGCCCAAAAGTGAGCGATCCCCTCAGAAAGACCAGCAAAGTCACATCCATATGAATATACGGTCTGCTAGTATGTCTGGGGTGTGCAGTTGCTCAATGTCGTATGTGGGTTTCGATAATATCACTATCCAGCCTCCAAAACAGCCACGACAAGGCTTACAAGCTCAAGCACAAAGGCGGCAGCTACTTTGAGCGCATCGCATTTCCTTTTTGTAAGCCTTAATGTGAAAAATATGACGGTTATCGCTGCAAGTATGACCGTTAGTGGACGCTCTACTTTTCAGCCAACCGTAGTACTAGTAGTAGGGCCATACGTCGCGGATATGAGTGATAAAGACATCGGAAGAATCGCAATCACCAGGAGATTCGATTCCACGCCTTCCGACTCGCTCAAACCCCAGATAATTCCCGAATGCCCTCCAAACGCGTTATTTTTTTTCACCTCCTTCAAATAACATGACACGAACCGTAATATTTCAAACCCAGCCCAAAATAACACATCCAAGAAAAGCCATGTACGTCCCTTATGTCCCCGTACGTCCCCTGCACGTAGCTTCTTCTGTATACTACTGCTCTACTTGCCGAAATCCGCTAACCCCCGCCGTGAAGTCCAAAGTCCAGACGGCGTTAGAGTTGAAGGCACTAAAACAAGTTTTTTGAGACGCGGTAAAATGAACCATAGCTGCGATATAGTGGCCTCTTTTTCACTGGGTACTCGAATCACTCATTCCAACCTCCATACAAAAAATCAATGCTCTCGGTGTCCCACAACGACCAATAATTGCACTGTTCCAACCCCCCTTCCGAAACTTTATGCACGCAGACTCCTAAGTTGGCCCTTTTTCAGCCAGTCAAAATGCACCGAAATATTATACCCCCTTGAATATGTCTCAAAACTGCCATCTAGGGGAAATAATTATACAAATGGATTTGTACAAACCCACTGATTCCATTGATATCATTTATTTTGCTATATCTCCTGTATTGAACGTGCCAGTCCTTAAAAACACCCTGCAGACGGTAGTGTGACTAACAAACCTACTCCCAGAACTTACGACAATTTCCATCTCCAGACTGACGGCAAAAAAAACAGCATACACCAGTCGCATGGCACCAAGGTCTTGTGATAGTAAACTTAATGTACATTATCACGTCTGAGACGACTCAGATGTTAGACCCGAGATGCTTGTAGGGTATGTCGCATCATCTCTACTCGTATCATGTAGGGTAAGTATTTATTTCAGGGCGACTGGGCAATAACGACCCAGTCTGTTAGTTGTTATTATGTACAAATAAATAGTTAGCAGCGCTGACAGACATGGCTAATCAGGCTTGACGGGGAGTGGGGAGTGGACCAGGAGTGGAGTAGTAGGACAGTGGAGGCAAGAGCGTGGACACGGCTGTTCGCGGTCCAACTTGGAACTCTGCGTAATCGACAAATCAAGGGGAGCAAATCCGAAAATCAGAGGGCTACTCTCCCAAAAAACAACCTGTAACAAGCAGGAATCTGTTCAGGGACACCGGGAAGACCTACAGAGACGCCTCTTACAGAAGCATGGCCTGGGCTCGGCCGCTAAGGAATGACCGCTTGTTGATTCCGGGGACCACAAAGTGGGCGGGTCGCTTCTTGCTCTTGGTCATGCTGGACTTGACAAAAGACTGGTACGAGTCGTCTCGCTGCAGCGAGTTTCGGAACCCACAGATGGGGATCGAGTTGTATCGCTCGGTCCACAGAGCAGAGTCCGATGCAGACACGGAGTCCGAGTCTGAGCAGGCCGACGAGTCGACAATGTCGTTGATGTCCAGCGAGGGAGTCTGGTGGAAAACGGGCTGCATCATGTGCTGGGGCATCTGCATGTGCTGAGGCATCTGGGGAGCGACGAGGGCCACAGGCTGCACGGGCGACACGGGGACGGACTCGACAGGCACGGGGATGAAGGCGTTGAGGGTGGAGAAGGAGCTGAGGTGCTCGTTCTTGTCCACCATGGGCCATCGCTCGCAGCACTCGTTGGCGGCAAAGGTGGGGGTGATGGGGTCAGTGTCGTGGGTGTTGTCGGTGGCGAAAATGTCCATAAAGTCTGTGTTCATGTTAAGCTCCTTGGGCTCAGTGCCGCCGGTGCAGACGGCCTCAGAAGCAGGGGCAGTAACGACCTCGGTGGTGTCGATGGGAGTGGTCTCGACAGCAGGCAGCTGCTTCACCTCCTCATCTGAGACGTCTGTGTTGTCTGTCTCCTCAAACTGCTCGTCCAGCACAGAAAGGTCGTCTGTGAGAACATCCAGGTCCAGCAGCTGGTCGCCCATGTCCATGTCCACGTACTTGGGCACGTAATTGAACGATGGCAGGTCGTCGTAGTCGGATTCGGAGTCGTCCGAGTCCGGGAATGTGTTGTTAGAAGCGTTGGCGACCTGTTCAAGATCTCGGGTCGTGTCCTCAATGTTGGACTCAATGTTGGAGTCCTCAATGACGTTAGTAACCTTCTGCTTCTTGGGGGCGGGCTGCTCGCTGGAGAGCTCTCGCTTTCGCTCCAGACGGGCGGACTGTCGGCGCATGGAAGAACGTGTGGATACCATTGTGAGTTCTAGTGTAGGTGGTGTATTGAATGGCCCCAGAGTAAGGACTACGGGGAAGATATATGGACTACTGTGGATAAGCTTTTTTTTTTTTCTCTTGTCAGTGGATATGCAAATAAAAGCTAAAGTTCACCGGCGTCTTTGTTCAACAGACTTTAGTCTTTGCACCATGCACACTCTTAATGGCCGTTTGGGTTGGTCCACATCCAGAGCCTATACTAGGTTGTGTTACAAGAGCATGAGAGATGGTCAGTAGAGGTCAATAGATCCACGTGATCGAGGGCGAATTGAGCCGATTTTCCCACAAACGCACTCAGGGGAGCGAAATACGTACAGTGGCGTTTTTGTCTTTCAAATCTGCCTACTTTTCGCCAACTTGCACCGGCCCTTCTTCCGCCCTTCATCTACATGGAGATGCAGCCTGTACATTTCCAGTCAGCACAAACAAACGCCGTTGGTTGGCTGAATTTTGTCGTGAATTGCACTTCCCGCCAACGTCGTCATCGTCTCTGGCCCAAGCGTGCGCGAATGACACTCGAATTTCTCCCAATAGACCCCAAGTTTTTTCCACCCGTTTCCATCGCCACTTTCTACCACCCTCGCTATTTCGCTCACACCATTCTGGGTTGGGAGTATCAACCTAATTTGACAGTGGTATTTGACACTTGACGGGACCAGGCCGCGACAGAGAAAAATCGTGGATATTCGAGTAAAATAGGTATAGCAAAGAAATCGGCCCCATTGGGCTTGGAATCGTCGACTCTATAGACTCAATCCCGAGTAGATGCTGGGCATGCACGACGACAAAAAGACGCTACTGGAGTAGCCTCCCACCCCCCAAATGCACTACTTGTAGCCACAGGCACCCGCAAGCCTCGAAATACCGACCCCCCGAGCGGCCAAAAACCTAGCTTGGCCCGCCGCAACATCGCTTCACTTTGTTGGAGCCCACCCTGCCCCTCCCGCCACTTCCGTGCCTTGCCACCGCTTATCTCCAGAGCTGCAGGTGTCCAGCATCGGGAGCAACCGATAGCGTATGATGTCTGTCTGTCATATCAGCACGCACGTTGCCACCGTCACCGCGGACGCAGCTGTTGCCATTGACACGACGGCTGCCCCAAACATAGCTCCGATGGACCCTAAAACAAGTCCGTTGCTGCCTGCTACACTTGCTACGCCTCAGGCTCACGCTCAAGCTCAACCTAACCCGTTGTCTCAGCCCTCGTGCCCATCCCGGCTGCAGAGAACCCAGCTCGGTGGAGCTATTCCATACGAACAAAGCATAGATGGAGGTTCCTACTCGTAGGTAGGGTATGGGAACCGGTGCCGTACATGTAACAACCTGGTTGTACAGATTTGAAGACGTACCGGTACCTGGTACGGCTGGTACAAGTGCCAGAACGTTGTAAGCTGTCTCTACTACTACATACTCCACTCATAGTATTTGATACATGCACAACCGGCTATTGCTACCCTTAGCATTCACGTGACCTCTCCCTCATGCCATCTGAAGCTGCTCCACTTCCGCCATATCCGTCTATCCGTGCACGTGTGTGCGTCGGACCGAATTCTAGCTTGTACCCTCGTCAATATGGGTCTGTAGGTGGGGTGATAATGCGCCGAATGATAAGTGGAGCAGGCAGCTATGCTGTTGTGTCTTCGTCAACGTTTTATGACGAATATTTGGGAGAATCATCCGCCTTGTTTCCATTCAGTATCTATATTCGGCCAAATTCCTCTTTTTTTTAACTGCACGTTAATTAGTTAGTCTCAGCGACCCACTCCATAAGGCACCACTGAACAATAAAACTATATCCACAATGGATGGTCAATTGAGACAGCCCAATATACAAAAGCAAAAGTCGCAAAATCGACACATTGGAGATGACGTATTGTACACGTTGTACAGTACCCACCCCGCAATCGAACCCTCCGCTTATAATAGATGTCAATGTTACAAGAATGTACACTCGGACGAACCCCACGATCCAATGTTGCATTGACATAATTCACTAACCAGTGAAACAGGGACGTATAATGTGGGGTCGCGGGGGCTATAGGATTGCCTGTTTGGGCAAGGACGGAATGAGACGGTGTGGCCGTGTATTTGTGGTGTTTTGGTTGGCCCCATTTATTTTTTCTCCGATTTTTATTCCTGTTCCACTCTTTTATATATATATATATATTTAATTATAATTATAATTATAATTATCTCCTTCTCTACAGAAAATGTCCATTCCACTCCAGCCTCTTGTCTCTCGCCACTGCAGCGCAGCTCCTTGTTTTATTTTTTCCCTTTGACTTTGGAGCTTGTCTTTAAGTCTATTTACCTATGAGTTTCGCCCAACAGCCCGTCGGAGCACACCACCAAGAGGTATCGATGACACGCAAGCTGGCTATATTTGGTCTTGTTCCAACCGCTGTACGCCCCTTTGTTGCAATTCCCCGTTATTTTCCCCCCTCTTGCCATGTTTTTCCCAATTATCTACCATTATTCCGCTCCATCCCCCTCGGCCCATTCTCCCGTCCCTCCTCTCGTCTCCTCCAGCCCCCATCGATTAACTCAATTGTATAGCAAATTCGGACCATCAGGCCCTCCGCCAAATCAACTCTATTGCTGGTCCTCGTGGCAGCCATTGTAGCAAACATACCTCAAACAACACACACACACACACGTCCGATGACCACGTCTACGATACTACCGCTTCCAACATATCACACATTCCGCGGACCCACCTCTCACAGCCAGCATATTGGGCCATGCCTCCATGACGTAAATATGTGCATTTGCAGCTGCAGCCTGTCCAGTAAACTCCAACGGCACGGATAGTGTCAATCATACTGCACAGGGAGTGTACCCAAAGCCCTCAAATCCAGTCCAAGCCCTGGGAAAGCCAGGGGGTTTGTCACCTTAGAGACGTCTTAGGGTCTCGGCCTAACCCTGGTCTTATTATCGCCCTTTTCTTCTCTTTTTACTGGTACTCCGGACCCGTCCTGTCCCAAGGAATTTATGATATTTATTTTCGCCCTGTTTTCGTACATGACAGCAGCATCAGCGTGTACCTGTCTCACGCACAGACCGTATATTTTCGCTGCGTCCTAAAATACGGAAGCGCGGGAAAGAGTCGGTGTCGAGATGCGACGGTAGTTGCCCTCGGTTGGTTTCGCACCGATATTTCCAGCCACAGCAAGGCTTTCGTCTATTTTGCCCCTTTCAAATACAGTATAGAGCTCATCGTCCATCACCGGGTGAACTACAGCCACAACACACGCCACTATCTAAGACAAGTCCGATCGAGATGGCAATGTATCTTACAGCTGTTGGTCCCGTGGCCAGCTGATGTTTAACGTCCCTGCTGTTTTTCGTGGAGCAACCTCATTGATTGTTCCATCTTGGCATGGCCCACGCACAGAGCGGTGTCGTATCTACAAGCGACGCTTACAAACAGTATACAGCCACGTTGCGTTTCCGGGTGCCAGTTTACCAACCTCAACGATGCTGCTGCCAATTCAGTTGGTTTCTTTTTCGCTTAAACAGGCCTGGGCCAATGTCTCCACAGAGACTTTGATGTGGCGAATCCAAAGCTGCTCAAACTCGAAGTTCAACGCTCGAAGAAGGGAAAAAGAAACGACGGCAGGTGGAAAAGCAAAAGAGCCGTCGTCACCAGAGCCTCAGAAGACCTGGTCTGAGTTTGCGACTGAATTACGAGTCGCCACCAGTTCGCCAGAGGAGCTCAACCGATCTAAAACGGTTCCACACGCTCATAGATACAACCCAATACTGTGCATACCGTACGAGTATCTGTACTGTATCTCCTTCCAGCGCTGTCTCAAATGCCGCCTGCTGCACTTGACCCGAATCTGCTTACAAACTCACACACTCCCCATATTGAACCTAGCAGACCACTTACAAGGCAACTCTGGCGGCCCAGAGACGTGGATTACGGCATGTGAGAAGCCGCCTCCGTACGTTCCCTATGTATAGAGTCGTAGTCTAACACTCTCCTAGCTTAGCTGGTCGATCTCGGCGTCAGACTGAAGGACTCCACTGCGGCTTCTGAAAATTCGCAGTAGTCTACAGCACATCCCCAGACATTGTCACTACACTGTATCACTTACTATATCATGTACCATACAGTCTGCACCTCGCACTGTAGACATTCAGGTACACATGCGCCACCCAGTATCATCATAACAGACATCATAACAGATATCACAACACAGCTGTGGATCTTACGTGCGGTATGGTAGAGCGTATACGAGGACCTGTTATACAGCTCTCAACAACTGTACGGCATGATATACACAACCACTCAGTTTCAGTGTCCTAGTTCTACAGCAAATCAGCGTGTCGGAAAATATTATTTCATCCAATTTTTTACCCAATTTGATTTTTCACCTAATTTTATTTTTCACCTAATTTTATTTTTTCACCAATTTTATTTTTCAGTTGTAAAAAATCTGCACTGTCGATCACGTCGGTACAATTACGACCAACTCGGAATCATTAACCGAGTGAAAAGTCAGCCTGAAATATGTTCACTATATAAAAAGGGGTATCATCAACATGGGGCCTTCCAAAGTGCATCAGTCTCATTAAATCAGTATAAGTTTAATGTTCATAGAGATGTCAGTCCCTCAAACAGTGTGAATATAACATCATTTGCGGGAAGGCCTCTCCTGACTACCGCCAGTAGCGATATCCAGTAGATTGCAAGGCGACCAAGGAGAAGATTCTCCCGTGGCCACCACACATTGTGCATGCACGCACAAATCTGTTGTTAGCGTACTCAAAGAAATGGCTTTACCATCCAAAAATCTCAGTTAAGACCGTATCATCAAGCACCGAAGGCCCACACCACTGTACATGTGTGGCGCTTTATGTAAGCCCCCCGCGTATGTCCGCCCGGTCGAAAAATCATCTTTGAAAAATCCTTGTCCGCATCTTCTGTGTCTCACCTGAGGTTAGCAAACGGTTTTCAAACGTGTGACACAAAGTCGGTCGTTAGAGTCTTCATAATGGCTTAACGATGCCGGTTTATCTTCACAGAAGTCGGTTGGAACAATTGGTAAAGTTCTTAATCATTTGAGTCGCCACAGCTGTGGTTTGTGCGATACATACCTTTTTGTGTCAATGTGTGGAAGAGGAAGAGTGTGAAAGGTTGAGAATATATGGCGGAGGCATCCAGTGCCGGGTAACTTAAACCCTAGAGTACATGTGGGTCCGGTACATGTCAGCACGTTACCCTGTGAGAAAGAGCGGACATGTGGTAAATGTGGGTGAAAGTGGGTCAAGATAATTTATAGGGTCTTATTTGTTGAAATTTCCGAGGATTATCTGCTATCATGAATTTCACTTAACTAGGATGATTTGGTGGTTACGGGTCAACTGTGAATAAGGTTTTTTAAAGTAAAGTCAACTAATACGAACATTGGGACCATGTGACCTTTTGTAGATCGGTAAACATAATGAAAGATATGCTGAGAAGTGTTTGGAATGAACAATTGTATCAGTTTCCGTGTAAAAGTGCTTGGATTTGTAGAAACCTCTCGAAATCGTGAAAAAAACTGCTCCGTTTTGTCTTCCAGTCGCAGAGCTATACACTGTCCATTTAGTTGACATACTGTCCATGGGGCCAAGCGACAATACTCCAGTTTCCACTGGCGCACCGCATCTCATGCCAGGCAAAAAGAAGAAGGACAACTGGAACCCATGCGGGAGGGATAACACTGTGGCTATTGGCCCCGTACAGGTAGCGGTAAACGAACCCTCAACTCTTGTATGCACACTGATAATCTTCAACGCCATCGTTCTGGGATAGATGAGACTGTATCAGCGTCAGCGTCGAAAGATTGGATTCGATGGAGGTGGACAGTCTTGTAATTTCATTATAGATACAGCTCCAACTAGAGTTGTTTCCACTTAAGGGGTGTGAGTAGTTCCTGCAACATCACCTCCTGAAGTCGCTCAAGTTCTCTGTGTTTCAATAGAAGGCGGTACGGGATGACAGTTATCTCCAACCAGTAGGGTGGTAATTGCAGTGGTTGTTGTACCTGCACCTGAACCCGACTGAATACCGGAGAACAATCGAGGATCAATTGTTAGTTCAAATTGATCGACTTCAGAAAATGTGTAATTGACCTCTCTCTCCGTCATTCAGGTCGATCATGGCATCACTAAGAGTATCAGTATCTCTAATAGTAGTATCTGAATCATCATCGTTGGGTTCCCCTTCATCTGAATCAGTCAGACTGTCAGTCAAACTGCCATCCCCCTGCTTGACGAAGCTGTGGGTGGACCAGGCTCCTCCACCACCCTTTTCTTGTCGGCAGTTTTGTTTCTCTTAATTTTCCGCTTTTTCCACTTCTTTGGTCAGTCTGGAAAAATCCCGATCTCCTTAATCTCACAATGAGCAGCGATGAGATGAGATTGGCCACCGCCTGCGGCTTCATGTTCGCCAGAATTGCCAAGGGGATGTTTGCATTCATGGATGGTATCGTTTGAAAAACTGTGAGATGACAGGCATTGACCTCATTTATATATTTTCCGCCTCTTATCTGGCAGTCAAATAAACGCCTTTACGGAACCTGCTTCACGTGAGTAGTAGTAGTGGGGCGTGCTTGTAAAATATAGTAGCGATGACAAGCAACAACAAAATTTAATCTTTTTATATATAAAATAAAAATAAAAATAAAAATGAAAAATGTAAAATGAAGAATGAAAAATAAAGAAAAAAAATCTGAAGATTATTCGATTGTAGGGGAGCTACACTTGTCACTTACAGCACCGTTCACCTGCTCAGTGGGCCCGTGATTATTACTTTGTACTCTGTACTCTGCATCGGCCATTTTTACACCCTGACAGTACCACATCTAGTAAATTAACAATATTTTATCTATATTCACTCCACTGAAAATCCCGAGTAATGTACCCAATTATTGAGACGTTTGAATATTCGTGAGTATTTCATAGCCGTCGACTAAACGTTCCACAAGCATCTCCATTAGTAAATATACGTTCAAGGGCGTTCAAGGGCACACACTACACAAAGATACTACCGATGAAACTTGATCTGAGGGTCAGTTTCAAGAAACTCCACTAGAACCAGTATTACAGCACTATCACAGAAAAGGTCAGAGACTATCCACTCTAGCACACTCCTGCAATGGACTGTCTACGTTTGCAGAAACCCGAGACGCCGAAACAGCATATCACTGGCTTATCTGCAACACCAATCGCCGATAACACGTCAGTCATCGCAATGTACTAGTCGCCGAAATAGCACTTACTCTATGCTCCTGCTTTCTACAAGCCAATGTTTTCTGTGATTGTAGCGCTACTGTATGAACTTTTCACTGGAACATTCCACCAGTGACAAATAACCAACAAAAACTATCATCTCTCTATGTTCTTCCAGGTTCTATGCCCAGACCCCTCCTGTGACAAATTTCATTACCAATAGTGGCCTCCGACACAACCACAAAGGTTCTAGACCGCTTCTACGTTGCTGTCAATTTTTTTTCTCTTTCTGCTGCTTGATAGACTCATTAGGGTCCACTCTGATGATGCAGTCGGGTTCCGTATTTTAAGGTTCGAGCAGTGTCTTCTCGAATGTGAATTCCTCTCTGTAATACTTGCAAGGATAGAGATATTGATATAAAAATTATATCACGTGACTAACTAACCCTAGAGCTATCTGACGGTTATTTCACATTCTATATTACCGATAGTCTGTTTATTTTAATACCATTCCACCACCATACATCATCTATGCATCATTTCCCAATTAGGCTAAATTTCAGATTTACTTTGTCGGAGTCCGACGGAGTTCACTGGCTGCTGTATATAAATCAGAGGATCCGAAAGACGAAAAAAATCATCACAAAAACCACTGCTACAACTAACATAACCCCCCCCCCCCCCCCCCCCCAGACACCCCTCAAACACTTTCACATAGCCGCACTCTCAATGTCCAACGTGGTCTATGAACAGTGTCCTACGGACTGTGAATGCTACACAATCACTAGTCCCCAAACAGCATCTAACAGTCTCACTGGCGACAAAGAAAAGGCTCATTACATCTCACATGAGTGTCTTGACAACTGTGAATGCTACGAGAATGCCAACAAGTTTGTCTCGGAGACTCCATCACCGGCAAATCCCCGTCTTCCTTGGCTTTCAACCCTTCTGCCTCTCTGGGTGTTCCTGGCAATGGCAATTGGCATCATTATCGGCAAATTTGTGCCCTCGGCGGGTCCCAATTTGAACAGTACAACTTTCACAGGAGTCTCAGTGCCCATTTTCATTGGACTCTTGCTCACAATGTATCCCATTCTGTGCAAAGTGGAGTTTGAAGATCTTCCCAAGGCTCTCAAAACCCGGGCCATGTGGAAGCAACTGCTTATTTCCTTCATCATCAACTGGATCGTGTCTCCTGCTCTCATGTTTGGTCTCTCATGGGCCTTCTTGCCAGATAAGCCTGAACTCAGAGAAGGTCTCATGATTGTGGGCATTGCCCGATGTATTGCCATGGTTCTAATTTGGAACGAGTTGGCTTTTGGTGACAGCTTCTACTGCGCCGTGCTGGTCTCTTTCAACACCATTCTGCAGATCATTCTCTTCCCTCCTCTTGCATACTTTGTCGTCAACTACGTATCTCAAAACCACAACCATGACCCCCATGTCGGCCATCTGGACTACGGTTCTGTGACCAAATACGTAGCCATCTTCATGGCAATTCCTCTGGCCGCAGCTCTTATTACCCGGTTCTTGTTCAAGAAGATCCCCAACTGGAGCAAACACGAGCACAAGTTCATCCAGTGGATCTCTCCCCTGTCTCTCATCGCTCTACTCTACACCATCATTGTCCTTTTTGCATCTCAGGGAGCCAGGGTGGTGGACCAGATCATCTCTGTGCTACGAGTCTCGGCCCCTCTGGTCGTCTACTTCCTCATCACCTTCACCGGAACCATGCTCTACTGTCTGAAGGTCGGCAAGGTCAACTATGCCATCTCGGTGACCCAGAGCTTTACAGCCGCCAGCAACAACTTTGAGCTGGCCATCGCCATTGCAGCTTCTCTCTTTGGAACCCAGGGTGGCCAGGCTCTAGCCACAACCGTCGGTCCCCTCATCGAGGTGCCCGTTCTGCTGGCTCTCGTCTACATTGCACGATGGTTGAGAGCTCGATGGGTCAAAAACAACCCCAAGGCCCAATCCGTCTGACCGATATATAACATAGACACGATATAGAATAGACTGACTAGTTAAATTCGTTTCGATCATATTGGGTTATGTGCGAGTGGACCTCTGATGGACACGAGGGCACTGTCAACATTAAATGACGATTTAAGAAATCTGCGACTTGTCCGGTGGATGGAGTATCATCAGATTACAATATTCCTCACCTCCAAGTTCTGCAATATTTCCTATGGAGTCGTGCAGAGAAGGATTCTCACTTCGTTAAGTAAAATTCAACTATTGAAGTGTTATTCAGTTAACCCTTTACTTGACGCTATGCTCCCCCCAAAAAGGTGCAGCCCAAGTAACCTTGTTTCTATGGTGAGCAATATAGTTGAGCAAGTTACTTGCATCAGACAATTATTCCACTTCGTCTGCCCGGTACACGTCCCACAATCGCCCTCGCCGGTCCATAATTGCTGCAAAAACCACATCTAATACGCCACAAGCTTCTCGTCATTCCGAACTCAGACCATTCTCGGAGAAGATTAGCTCTTAAATCCGATTGGGGTTACCCGAAGAGGTTTGATGTAGTGACGACCAGGTCCGTAGCGACACGTGCGAATGCCTCTCAATCTTTCTTCCACGGTTTATTGGTAATTTCAACGATTAACGCCCTTTTTTCCCCGAATTTCTGCGATTTTTTCCGCGGATTTTTCATCTTCGACGATCAGTACATAGACCGGAAATAAATCGCGCTTATTGACGAGCAGAAGAAAGACGATTGAGACGGATATTGGACATTTTTTGGCCATTAAAAGCCCCGAAAACACACAAAAAACCCCAAGCACCACCCTCCTCCATTATCTTACCCCTCCAATAGTACTAAAAGAACGAACTAAGGGGCCTTTATTTCCTCGAGTTCCTTATTTATGGAGACCATACTAAAGTTAGCTTACGCTGTCATATTTTCGACAGTGTTCAGAGCGACTGAAACATGCTAGAATAGAGATATAAAGAAGCAGAAAAGTGCGTTTTTCACAGAAAGACTAGTTAATGATATCTACAAGCCTCTATGATCGCCAGATACCCTGCACCGTCCTCTTACAACTCCATCCCCATATCTAGTGGCAATACGTCTCAGACGCATGAGCATAAACCTACTCTGGAGTAGCAGTACTCATACATACGTACGTAGCTACAGTAAACTTGTACCACTCCATCCACCTTCAACTACACAGAACACAGACCTGTTCAACACTACGTCTGCGCTTGTGGTCCGGCCGAATTACGTCACGTGATGCTTTTCATTCTCTGTGTCTACCTTTTTGGAGGCCTCACTTTTCTGCCCGGCTTGATATACCTTTTGTGGAGGTATGCTGGAGACATTGATGGTGATACAACCCCCGATGGTGACCCGGATTTCGAGGCGGAGGAGAAGTACGAAACCGAACCGCTAATTCCTACCAATGTGACCGAGAAACCCGTCTTCTCGGGCTGGGTAACCGTTACTAAGGAGTACTTTGAGTACCCTTCAGGCGACGTGCCAGACAAGAAGGACAATCCCTCAGCCTACACATCGCTCTACAAGCTGGCCAATGGAAACGGCGACGCCAGCAACACAAACATAAACGACAGCGCCTCAAAGGACGCAAATCCGGCAATCCAGGCAGCCAACACAGCCACCGCCAACACAACCACCACAAAACCAAAGCCAGTCAAGTCTCGATACTATGCTGAGCTCAAGCTCGGCAACCTGTTTCTGTACAAGTCCGAGGAGCGCGATCTGCAACACGCCATTGTTCTCAACAAGTACAAGGTCCAGTTGTATCCAGAGCTGCCCGACGCCAACTTGCTGGCCAAGCGGGTGGCGGTCTGTCTGACACACATCAAAAAGGATCTCACATACTACATCTTTCTGGAAAACTGCTCGCTCAAGGAAGATCTTTACTTCCGAATCGTCGAGCTCACGTGCCAGAACTCGCCGAAGGGCAAGGCTCTCATGTTTGACCATCACGACATGATTAACATTATTCAAAAATTGCACTCCTCGGACGAAAACTTGCAGACGGCCTGGTTCAATGCCATCACTGCCCGAATGTTCATGGCGGCATACCAGACAGATGCGTTCCGGGGTTATTTCGAAGAAAAAATAGTCAAGAAGCTCGCTCGAGTAAAAAGACCAGCATTCTTGAGTGAGATCCAAGTCACTAAGATCAACGTGGGTACCTCTATTCCTTTCCTAACGACACCTAAACTTAGAGAGCTCAAGCCCGACGGAACACTTGTTGTGGCTGCTCATCTGTCGTACAACGGAGGATATACAATTGAGATTTCAACCAAGGCCACCTTCAACTTTGGCCAGAAGCTCATCAACATCAAGCCTCGACCTGTGACACTGGTGCTTCGTCTGACTCTTTCGAAGATGGAGGGCATTGTTGTATTCCAGGTCAAGCCTCCTCCTTCCACTCGAATCTGGTGGGGCTTTGAGTCCATGCCTGAGATGAGTCTCAAGGTCGAGCCTGTCGTTTCTGCGCGACAAATCACCTACTCCATGGTCACCAACGTAATTGAGTCTAAGATCCGCGAGATTGTCAAGGAAAGCATTGTTTTGCCGTTCACAGAAGACATCAACTTCTTCCCTTCGCAACCTGGCAATCCTTATAGAGGAGGACTTTGGGAAGATCATCTGGGCAAGGAGGAGGAAATGGAGAACAAGGAGGAGGACCTGACAGATGAGAAGATCGGTGATCATGATGACGAATCTCTTCTGTCTGAAACTCCTCCCCCTTCCATCCATGCTGGAATGCGACATAGAACGTTCCGAGCGTCCCCTGAAGATGATGAAGCAGTAAGCGATAGTGCAGCGACCACCTCTGCCATTGGAACGACTCTTGCTTCTGCTGCTGCCTCTACATCGTCTCTGGCTCATCCCACAACTTCTGACAATGATTCCATCAAGTCTAACAACACCGCCACCACCAACTTCATGGGCACCATGAAGAAGTGGGGCGCTTGGTACACAGAGAAGAAGGCCGAGGCTACCAAAAAGGCCAAGCCTGCTGGAGGTTTTGCGTCTGTCAACAGATCAGCGACCGCGCCCAATCTCACAGCCGACGCCACAGTCTCTCTTTCTCCTGCTGCTGCCATCACCCACAGAAAGCCTTCTGAGAAGAAGGCTCCCCAACCTCATCATTTCCCTCCTGAAATGATTGATCTCATCAACGAGCAAGAACGCAAGAGAAAGCTGTCCAACCCTGACCAACCAATCGGCATGGAAATGCCGGCATCGCCTACTTTGCCTGGATCCCCTCCTGCCCTGCCTCCCAGATCAAACACTGCCTCTGTCGATACTGACAAGAACCAATTTGTGAAACGCAAGCCTGTTCGAGCTGCCACTTCTGTGTCTCCCACCCTGCAGAGCAGTCCCACCATGCCTGTTGCTGTCCCGACCCGTGAGTCCGGCGTGTCGCCCAAGCTGTCACGTGACCCCATTGGTCTTGGTGTGTCACGTGAGTCCGGCTTGTCGCCCTCTTTCGGCGCGTCGCCCAATCTGGCTCCCTCCCCGAAGATTGGCTCTTCGCGTGAGTCTGGAGTAGCTCCCAAGATGAGCTCGTCGCATGACTCCCCCCTCGCTCGTGAGTCCGGCGTTGCTCCCAAGACGTCACGCGATGCACACAAGCGGAGTACGTCTCACGACTCTGCTCAGTCGGCTGCCAAACTAGCTACTTCGGTATCTCGAGACTCTCTGTCTTCGATGAGTTCATTTCGAGACGAGAACAAAGTGTCTGTCGTCTCTCTCCCTGTGGAAGAAGGATCGCCTCCCAAGGAAGCGCTTGTATTCCATTCTCACAAGGCCTCGCCTCTATCTGCTGTCCAAACTCCTCCCGCATCAGATCCTCCTGTGGTTAGTAAGGTGCCCCGGAAGCCCGTAGGTGCTGATAAGAAGGATGTGAATGAGAGCAATGAAGTCAAGGCTGTCAAGGAGGTGAAGGGTGTCACTGATCCCAAGCCTGTAAAGGCGGCCAAGGAAACTGCCAAGGAGATTGCTAAGGAGGTCGCACCTACCAAGGAGGTTATTAGAAAGCCTGTTGGGGATGCACCCAATGCCAATGTTGCCAAAGGGCCCGAAGAAGAGACATTTCCCTTGGAGCTATGATAATAAACGATAGGGACAGGAACGGTGATACGCAGGTGCATGCATTTATATAAGTTATTATATCTGGTTACATTAGTTCCTGGGTTAAATAGTGAACAAGTCCGAGTCTCTCTGGTAGCCCATGATGGTGTTGGCTAGGCAAGACTTCGAGAAGGTGTAGATTCTCACCTCTTCATAAGATACCCCTATCAAGGTGATGAGTGTTTTTCGTGCATGTCACCTACATCCATATAAAACTTGTTCTTGAGGTCTATCAAGCGTTGACAGAACCCTTCTGGTTGTACAACGCTGCATACTGGCCAAATTCTTCATGTTGGGCGACCTTCATTGAGGTGCCAAACCCACATATTCGTACCCCATACAGTCGTGTCTGTGGCCCAAATGTTTCCATCGCAGCACAGTAGCGCTCCGTCTCTTTTCCAGACCTGGTCCATAGGAGGAGTTTTTTGGCGAACTTTCCGCACTGTATAGAACTTGGTTCCGTAAAATGAAACAAAACGACCGAGCTATAGATGTACGAACATCTCCATTAGTTAAATCCACCTGATGTCACTTCATTAAAAAGGGCTTATATGAACTGAAGTCCTTACTAAGGTACGAAGAAGCAGTCACACACGTTGTCCTGGCTGGTGCAGTTCGACCACCACTCACTCGGCGGGTCTAAACTCAGCTCGTACCACATGAGATACAGATAGCGTGCCATAAGAAGTAATAGAGGGAAGAGATCAGAGTTTTATTTACGGTGGAGTTAGCGGGGTATTTCTACTGCTGTAGAAGCGGAGGTGGTGCTCTAAGCTCTGGAGATCTAGAAAATGCCCATATGTAGTCAATTGAAGTTGGTGATGATAACATGGGCTTTCATAGGATTGACTCGCAGTCGACCAGCTAGCCATTAGTCCGTGCGAAGTGTTTCCCTCACATCTATCTGACAATTACCCTTCAATATCTCGTATACAAGCCACACGAACCTACGTAAAGCCACAGGGGAGGCTATATAGAGATCAGTGGAAGACGTCCAGCTTCGGGACTCAGCCAAAAAACAAAACAAAAAAAAGCAGTCAGTATGCCCCACCATCGAGGATTTGACGTGGCCAGCTACAGAGGCTATGATGAGAATGGCGAACTGCCGGCCAAGCGAATCAAGAGCACCAAGAAGATTATTCTCAATGCCTTCGTCATGTTCACTCCTACCCATCTGAACTTTGGACTATGGACCCACCCTGATCACTCGAAGTTCGGTCGAGATTTTGCAAAGAGACAACCGTGGCAAGAATTGGCCAAGACGCTGGAAAAGGGAAAGTTTCATGCCATCTTCATTGCTGACCACCTGGGGTTCAGAGAAGTGTATGGTGATGGAGACCCTATTGGCCTGGAGAAGAAGATCCAATTCCCTTGCCATGATCCCTTGTTCCTAGTACCTATCATGGCTTCTGTGACCGACCATCTCAACTTTGGAATCACCGTTTCGACCTCTTACACTCCCCCTTTCACTCTGGCTCGTCAATTTTCGACCCTGGATCATTTGACAGATGGACGAATCGGATGGAACATTGTGACTTCCAACTCCGACTCTGCCTCTCGTAATTTTGGCCTGGAACACCAGGTGGAGCATGACGACCGATACAAGAAGGCAGACGAGTACATGGATGTGGTCTACAAGCTGTGGGAGAGTTCATGGGCCGAAGACGCTGTGATCAAGGGACTCAAAACTGACGCCTTTGACACTTCCAAGATAAATTACATTGACCATGAAGGTAAACATTTCAAAGTCAAGGGTCCGGCGGTGGCTCTGCCTTCCGTGCAGCGAACTCCGGTGCTTTTCCAAGCTGGCATGTCTTCTGCAGGTCGAGCATTTGCTGGAAAACATGCTGAAGCTGTTTTCATCGCTGGTCCAAGTCCTCAGCTGATCAGACAGACAGTCAATGCTCTCAGAGAGTCTGCTGGTGACCGGAAACTGCTCGTAGTCAGTACTCTGATGGTAATCGTCAAGGCCACCAACCAGGAAGCTCAAGACTACTACAAGGAGCTGAGTGACGCTTCAGACAAAGAAGGAGCGCTCATTTTCTGCTCCCAGATGTTTGGAGCCGATCTGAAATCATACCCCCCCGGACAGGACTTGCGAGAAACCGATAATCCAAACCTCGTAAAGGCTGTCTCCATGTGGGCCTCTCAAACGGACTCCAAAGATGAGGTATGGGACGTGGACAAAGTGGCTAACGAATACAAGCTCGCTGGAAGAGGAGGAGTGGCCGTTGGTGACGCGGAGACCGTGGCTGATATTATTGAAGACTGGATCGAAATAGGAGACCTGGATGGGTTCAATCTCAGTCATGCTACATTCCCAGGAACCTACGACGATATCGTTGGATATCTGATCCCAGAACTCCAAAAGCGAGGAAGATTTCATGAGGACTACCCGGAAAACGAACACACCTTCAGAGAACTTCTCTACGATACTCCAGGAAACTCTTACCTGAGATCTGATCATTACGGATTTGGTTTCAAGACATGAATGAGAATGATACTATAGCATAGCATTTGTAATGAAAATGAGAATTGACTAACAAAAATTATATATCAATGGAGAGCTCTGGATCCAAGGAGGACGATATCATAATTCAAAACACCCCATTATTACACCCCCAGACCGTTCTTCATTTCCAACGAACATCTGCATCTAGAATGAATGCATGAGACGAAACATCATATAACTTATATTCTAGTACCGTCAATAATCAGCTCAAATAAACACCACTTACCACCGCAATATGCCCTTGTATTTGTACAGCTCTCCTGGCGTGGTAGCTCCTCAACCCGCTTGTCACGTGACTCATATGCACATTCCAGAACACGAATATTTGAGAACATACACACACATGGATATTTTTTTGGATTAGAGTTGCTGTGAAGTTTAGACCAACATGAAAATACAATATCGATTCGAGGAGCTGTGATATGTTCAAAAGTAGCCATAGAGTAGGTGACAAAAGCGTAGGGCCCATAGTTGATCGCTGAGGATGACGGTGGTCGAATCTAGAGCAAAAGTTATACATTTTTGATACATTTTTGATACATTTTTGGAGCGCGTTTTATGTCAGACGCCCTGAACGTTCAGCCTTGCTATGTCTACACGCACATTTATTTACCTACAAGTCCATACAGGTTTATCACAGATATTGGAATTAATCTCGTTATATCGCACTCCGCTATGGGAGTCGTGTCAGGCAGGTTTGAGCCACATATACTGGCGGGATCCATTTAGAAACCGTGCTTCTTGATGGTCTTCTTGTCAATCTGAAGCTTGGCAGTCAGGAAGTCGACAATCTTGTCTCGCTGGTCTCCCTGGAGCTGAATAATCTCACCGTGCTCTTCGTCCTTGCCGATGTTTCCGTTGCAGGCAAAATCCTTCTTGAGAACCTTCAGGATTCGCTTGAGGTCATATTCTTCGGGAAGGCCCTGGACTGTGGTCAGAGTCTTTCGTCCGTTTCGCTGCTGGATACGGATATGGATGTAGTTGGTAGGCTGAGTATCGTCGTCACCAGTGTCGGCGAAGGGATCTGTGTTAGAAGGGCAAGGGAAGAAAAGGGAAGTAGGAGTTTGGAGCCACCCGTTGGGGGCACAGCCGCATGATCCATGAGCGAATACATAGAGATGGAGGGGGAACGGAGCAGTGCTGCGATTATGTTGCATCCTCCGACACACGTGTGTGTCTGTGTCGTTGGTCGGCCCACTTTGTCTGTGCCACCACCGTTTCTGTGCCATCTCGTGTTGTCAGAGTCACAACAATGTCAACGCCCGTATCACACGCTTGTCGCCGAGCAAACCGCATAAATACTCACCAAAGGACTTGAGGTTTTCGATAGAAGTAGACATAAACTGTTATTGGCGCGATCTAGAGACCTATGTCCAGATTGTCGAGTGAAGGGGGAGGGTGTTTTTTTGTTGGAGTAGAGAAGAGAAAGGTAAGCCCGTCATGTGGCGACTTTAATGGTTGCCCTTGGGAGGATTCGCTCTAGTGGGGGCTTAACCCTAACCCTAATTTTCCAAAGAAGGTTGGTGCAGTGTTGGTGCACACAGGGTGTGAAAAGGAGCTCTTCGAAGGAGGTGGAAGGTGCAAGGGAGTCTCGATAAGGGGCTAGAAAACGGTGGTTTTGGACGGCTTTTGGGCAACGAAGCTGTTTTTTTTTGTTTTTTTTCGACATTACTGGCACCTACGTGACCTCATATTACTTCCTACGCCCTCCGTTTTCCGCTGCCACCAACTATCAACGTCGCTGTGCTAACGTTCCGTCTCAGTCCAAACAGCTGAGAAGCACCCCCTGAAAGAACCGAATGTAAAATGACGTCAAAACAAGGACGTTGGCGATTCGTCGATCACAGTTTTAACAGGATACGGGGATGCTAGCACGTGCCTCAGACGACGTGTTTGTGGTTTAGATAAGTAAACATGCGTCATTTGGGGTTTTTTCAGCTGAAGGTCTTCTCTTTGCACTCGTCTAATATCTCTTATCGCTGTTGTTAGCTCCATCTAAGCTCTCTCTAAGCCCTCTACTCTGTTTCCACTTGCTCCATACCATGCACCATTAACGCCAGTGTGACGCTGCAATATTGGGGGTAACGGAGGCTGGAGTTGGTGGCGCAACGTATATACGAGAGCAAGAGATGGTAATCTGAAGTGAGAGCCGTACTGTTCCAGAATATGACTTGATTTTGGCGCTTGTACCTTTGACGATTGCTGTAGACTGCTCGATAGCGTGAGTTACATAAGCCTGAGTAATGAAACTAAAGGTCTGGTTGTACTGATGCAAGTGATTAGTTTGAGGTGAATCTGACGTCGGAAAAACACCGCTGATCTACTGTAGACTCATCCCATGAACTTTAGACACGGTACGATGATGTCTTTACGCTTAGCTATCTAGCTGAGATGGACCAAAGATCCAGTTAGGGATACACTACGGCATGAATCACACGGAACCAGACCCACTAACATCAGGGGAACTGGTGAATTCTCAACAAGCAGTCAAATGGCGTTCACGAGGCTTCCCAAAAACCTCTCCCAGATCATCTCCAGCTCAACCAATATCTAACAACGAAGTCAGCTAAACCTCCATATTTTTTTATATTTTTTTATATTTTTTTTATAAGAACGTGATACCTTTGTCATATCTTGCTTAACCAATACCTAACCACTATGTTAACTAAATTACCTGTATTTATTGACCCAAAAACTAGTTAATGTACCCTCCAAAACATGTCTGCATTACGGCATTTTGCTTAATTCCCTAAAATTAGTCATCACTGCCATTCTCGCCACCCAGCCACGGCTGTTACACTTCATAAACCCATCTCTTTAAGTCTCTCCAATCTTTTTTCAATGTCTCTCGAAATAGCTCTAGGTGTCGTATTGTTGTGCGCTAATTAGGGGGGTGAACAAGTCTACCAAAAGACGCAATACTCACCAGATTGAAATTTTTAAAGCTGAAATGGAACCACAAAGTTGCAATAAACACCTTTACGTCTTCAGTTTCTCAATACCACTTCTAACCTCCCCTCCAAACCCCTCCCACGAAACCTCCAGATTCCAAACGGCACAACCTAAAGATGCATACCCCATGTCTTAGTGTGGAGACACGTAGCTAAGCCATTCGCAAGCGCTTGCTGCTGAGTAAGAGAAAGACCGATAGACGGACCTTATTTATCACGTCATGAGACGCTTTGTATCTATCACGTGACCCCATACACACTCCCCACAAACACTCACACAGTTCTGTTCTCGGGTTGCATACTCCCCGTTTAATATCTCATGCAGCATCAGCATGAGGGGGCGGTTAGGATGATATAAAACCCTCTGATAAGTCCTCCAAGTGGTTATACAGGGACTTATTCGGACCACAATTACTCCCAAAGACTTTGTGTTCTCAATTGAGCTATTCTAGGGTTCTTACTAAGCCGGTTAGATCGATACGAGTGCTAGCCGTCTTTACTCCTCATGTATGTAGGTGTATTGGAGATGTCCTTGACGTGTCAGTATGTGCTCGTACTCGTATTGTGGCAAACTCTGTTGATCTCGGTGTTGGAGAGTCCCAGAAGTTGACATGGCACAAGTTCAGCAAGTCCGTATTAATGCAACAATATTGCCACTTTCGCTCTCTGCTCCTCAGCTCTAGAGACCCTCAAATTTCACTCGGACTTAACACTGTGACATTAAAGTTGTCCCAATAAAAACACCGCATAACGAGGCTATGCGTTATCACCGGTGTCACTTGCTTTACTGAACTTGGACTTGGAGTTGTTCATCTGAGCGAGGAAGGAGTCACGCAGACACAAAAGCAATCAGACACAGCGACTACGAACGAACCCGACACAGACACAGCTGCTAAAGACACAAACTCAACAACTAGTTCAGACTCCCTTCTACGATGTCTTCCAACAGAGCCGAAGTGGACCTCAACGTCAACATCAAAAAGGCGACCAACACAGACGAGTCTGCGCCCAAGCGGAAACACGTGCGAGCATGCATTGTGTACACCCATGACCACCGGTCGTCCAAGGCCTTCTGGAACGGCATTCGAATTCAGCCCCTGCAGACCGACGATGTCATGGTCTTCAAGGCCCTGATCACCATCCACAAGGTGCTTCAGGAGGGCCACCCATCGGCGCTGAGAGATGCCCAGGCCAATGTCAACTTCATCCAGTCGTTGGCTCGAGGAAACAACTACACTGGTCCTAACCAGGGCAACCACGGTTATGGCAAGCTCATCTCCGAGTATGTCCGGTTCCTCATGCAGAAGCTCACCTTCCACAAGTACCACCCGGCCTTCAACGGAATGTTTGAGTACGAGGATTACATTTCTCTGCGAACCGTTAACGACCCCAACGAGGGATACGAGGCCATTATGAACCTGATGACCCTCCAGGACGGAGTGGACGACTTCCAGCGACTTGTCTTCTCGTCGCTGCAGCGATCCCGATCCAACGAGTGCAAAATCTCGTCTCTGGTTCCCATGATTGCCGAGTCGTACGGAATCTACCGGTTCGTCATCTCCATGCTGCGAGCCATGCATGTGTCTACTGGTAACGACGAGGCTCTTGAGTCTCTCCGGCAGCGATTCTACTCGCAGCACGACCGACTGAGAGACTTTTACTACGATTGCTCTACTCTCAAGTACCTGCGATCCATTGTGACTATCCCGCAGCTCGGCAAGAACCCTCCCAACCTGCTTGAAGAGGAGGACGGACCTGGACTCCCCCAGCGACCCAAGTCCGTGGCCGAGACCCGATCTGTGTCTCCAGAGCCCGCTCCCTTGCCTGTGGCGACTCCTACGCCCTCTATTCCTGCTGAGGCTCAGCCGATTGAGAACTTTTGGTCCCAGGACGCGCTGCTCGCCCAGCAACAGTACGACGCCGAGCAGGAGCGGCTACGGCAGCAACAGGCCATGGAGGAGGAGCGCATCCGGCAGATGCAGATGCAGCAGCAGCAGCAGTTTGAAATGCAGCAGCGACAGCAGATGGAAGCGCAACAGCGGGCTCAGGAACAACTAATGGCCGACCAGATGGCCCGACATGCCCAGGGTCGAATGGCCGAGCTTGAGCGAGACATTCTGGCTCTCCGAGGTCAGTACGATCAGGATCAGCTCATGCTGGAGCAGTACGATGGTCGAGTAAAGGCTCTGGAGGCTGAGCTGAATCAGCTGCAGCAGACTGCTCATCAGAGCGCCCAGGCCAAGGATGATCTGATTGAATCTCTTCAGCAGCAGATCACCATGTGGCGGCAAAAGTACGAGACTCTGGCCAAACGGTACTCGTCCATGCGAGAGGAATATCTTGCCTTGCTCAAGAAGCTCAAGGCTACCCAACAGAAGGCTGCGTCAGCTAAGGAAGCCATTGAGAAGGCTGAGAAGCTGGAGCGAGACATGCGACACAAGAACATTGAGCTTGCTGATCTCATCAAGGAGCGAGATCGAGCTCGATATGATCTTGACCGTGCCAAGGGTGGCAACAAGGAGGACGTGGAGCGTCTGGAACGAGAGCTTCGAATGGCCCAGGACAAGCTGGCCGATAAGGACCGATCTACCGGTGCTGATCTGTCTCTTCTTTTGTCGAAGCATAACCGAGAGCTTTCAGAGCTTGAGAATGCTTTGAAGATGAAGCAGCGGGCTCTGGACGAGCGAGGAGATGACTCTGATCTGTTGAGACGACTGGAAGAGAAGGAGATTGAGTACGAGGCTCTCAACGAAGCCTTCAACTCGCTGGCTCTGCACCAGGAGCAGCAGGGCAACAACAGCAACGGTGGATCCACTCCCCTGGCTGCTTTGCATTCTATCATTGATGCTCTTCTAGAGTCCGGTTCCCAGCGTGTTCAGGACGCTCTCTTCGAGCTCGAGTCGCCTATGCAGGCCGGTAACCAGAACTCGACTCCCGAGTATCTCTTGTCTGTCATCGAGAAGGCGTCCGAGTCTGCTTCCGCCTTTGCCACGTCGTTCAACAACTTCTTGGCCGACGAAACCGATGGCGACTACGCCGAGATCATCAAGACCGTCAACATCTACTCTACTGCTGTGGAGAATGTTCTGTCCAACTCCAAGGGTCTCACTCGTCTGGCCAAGGACGATGCTTCTGCCGACGCCCTTGTCAACTTTGCTCGTGAGTCTGCCGAGGCCACAGAGCGAAACTTTATTGGTCTTCTGTCTGAGATCATTGAGGATTTCCCTCTGGATGACAAGATGGAGCGGGTCATCACTCTCAACATGAACGTGCAGACTGCTCTTCAGCACCTCACCAAGCTGGCCGAGCGAATGGCCCCCAAGACCAACATCAACATGTCTGGTGATCTGGGCGACCTCGTTGAGCGAGAGATGGCCAAGGCTGCTGATGCCATTGCTGCTGCTTCTGCTAAGCTTGGCGATCTGCTCAAGTTTAACCAGTCCGACCCTCTCAAGTCGACCACCGACCTGCAGCTGCACGAGGCTGCCATCCAGGCTGCCCAGGCCGTCATCAACGCCATTGCTGCGCTGATTCGAGCTGCCACCGATGCCCAGAACGAGATTGTAGCCCAGGGACGAGGTACTTCTTCTCGAGCACAGTTCTACAAGAAGAACAACAAATGGACCGAGGGTCTTATTTCCGCGGCCAAGAGTGTAGCTGCATCGACCAACATTCTCATCGAGAAGGCCGACGGCACTCTCCGACGAACCTCTGGTCTCGAGGAGCTCATTGTGGCTTCCAACAACGTCGCTGCTTCCACTGCTCAGCTGGTTGCTGCCTCTCGAGTAAAGGCTACCTTCATGTCCAAGACCCAGGACAAGCTGGAAGAGTGTTCAAAGGTGGTTACTTCCGCCTGCCGAAACCTCGTCAAGCAGGTGCAGGAAATTCTCAACAAGAAGTTTGGCGAGCTGGACGAAAAGGTAGACTACGCTGCCCTCTCCAAGCACGAGTTCAAGACGACCGAAATGGAACAGCAGGTCGAAATTCTCAAGCTCGAAAACGATCTGCAGGGCGCCCGAAAGCGACTTGGACAGATGCGAAAGGTCGCCTACCTGCATCAGGACGAGGAGGAGTCCATTCCTGGCCAGGAGGACTAAGCTACGCGCGGCTGATGTATGTATAACATGTATGGTAAATGAATGAAATGATATTAACGATGTGAATAAATAGGACTACCGTTGGAGTTTGAGGTCGTATCGTAGTACTCGTACAAACCCATGTCTACACCATTATGACTAGTGCAATGGTGTGATGAAAGTGTCGATGTAGCTAGGAGTGTCTAGGGTGCTACCGTCAAAGTAGTCAACATCCAATCCAGAGTTACTGGAAGAAGCGTACTGGTTAAAATAAGGGACGCGAATACTTAGAGGCTGAAGCTGGCTGAAATCCAAGTCATAGTTTTGGTTGCAAGGACTTGTGAAGCTGGCCTCTTTCTCCGCGATGCCTTGATCAAACTCGATCAGGAAGGGGTCAACAGGTGTACTGGGCTCTCCAGATGACACAGGGAGTGTTTCACTGTGTTCTGGAGAACTTGAAAAATCAGAGGAAGATGAGAAGTTGTACCCCTGCTCGCTCTGAGTTTGAGGCTGAATAATTAGCCCCTTCTCAGGAGCAGGACTAGTAACAGACAGAAGCCATGTCTTGAATGCGACGTCACGCCCTCTAGAACGGTAGTGATCAGCGTACTTGGTCCAGATGTGTCTATCAGGGCAAGCTCTCCAAGGACCTTGGAGGAGGTGGGTGATATCAATTGCGCTAAGGTCAGTGTGTGGAACGTGGTGATATAGCTTAAATGCGACATAACCGTTGACCACTTGTCGTCTGCTCGAGGGAGGGTATGGCCCCGATGATCCGTCGAAGGGGACTTTGCGTGAGTGAATGTAATCAAGGACTTTTTGTAGTTCAGGATACATCGGCGGAACTGGTTCTAACTTTTCTTCGAAGCTGATCTCTGACAGGTAGGCGTTGTTGTTTTGGTTGATGATGGGAACGGCTTGAATTCTGAAACGGGCCATTCCAGGTTTCATTTTTTTCGGGGTTCTTGCCTTCACCACTTTGTGCTCGGTTTTTATCTTGATCATTGTTATAGCTGCTTTTGAGATTGAAAAAATCCTTTGCTTTATATGATACTCATCTTGCCTCATCGTGAGGATTACCTCATTAGGTGATAAACCCAATCTCGCGAGATTCTTTGTTTATGCGATTTTGGCTGGGGAAGTTGAGTGTCCGAACTCTTTTTCAAACCTTGAGTAACAGCTTGAGGATGGGTGGCAGTCCCTCGTCTTTACTTCTCCATTGCTTGCTGGTAGGAAAGGGTTGAATTATTTGAGTCAACACTTTTATTTTGCTTGGATAGGTTTAATACTTTACTTTCACAGTATTTTTCTACATTGCAATTGCATCCCTGTGAAGTGGTACTCTGCCTCACAAGTATTAACTTCTTCGTGACCTACTGTACATACAGTTCAGTACTGTACTGTACTGTACTGTAATTAGCTGCCTGCATTTGCAACTCACATTGTGGGTAATTTAGGTTTCTGGTCACAGAAATCATAAGCAAGGTCGAAGGGCGAGATGCCAGAAACAACTCCTCGCCGAAGTGTAATCAGATGAAATTTAAGATTAAAACGACGTATGAGCAAAGCGAACAAATATTTTAATTACCTTCGTAGCTCAGCTACTTGATCACTGTAGCGACGGCGGCAAGAGATTTCCTTTTGCGGCGACCGTACCTACTTAGATTGACGACAATAAGACGAGGAGCGAAGATAACTAAATATAACAGAAGGTGATTAGACTAAGTACATTATTTGGTGTTACTGCATAGCATGTTCCCTGTTCATTGCACAAACAAAGAATGGGGCAAGCCTCTAGATATCGCACCTTTGATTAAATGATATCTTTCTTAAACCGTACTTCTATATTTGCTTTCAGTTACCGGTCGGCACACTGGAAAGATAGCGTCTGTAGTGACTACAGTATGTACATACATACAACTACCTTAATGTACTTGTATATAAGGTGTTCAGTATGAACATTAGGTATTGTATTGTACATACTGTACCTTGTGTATTGGGCACAATATTGCATATAAAACAATCTACAGTATGTACCTAACAACATTGTAATACATTATGATTCAATTACACAACTTGGCGAGACACAAATGGCTTCTTCTCCAAGAATACCTTCAATGCAGGTCTAATCTGTGTCGAAGGTGCCGGTTTCTTGGATCTCTTCTTGGCCCCAGTTCGTCGCTTGTTTGCAACCCAGGATTTCACGAAACTTACTTTCTCCCCGATCTGAGAAGCGATAAACTCGATCTGAGAGACGCTAGGGTGGTGGTTGTACGGGATGGCATTGAACCACTCCCACAGTTCGCTCAGTTTCTTGACCTTCCGCAGCTTTTCAGAATCAATGGCGTCAGCGCCTCCATGTTGGGCCAAGATTTCCAACTCAATGTCAAGCCGTTGTTCAAGAAAGAGCTTGTGCAGTTGAAACTCATCTCTTAGAGCAGTAGATCTTCTCCCAAAGTAGGCGACTAGGATATGCAGAATGACACCGTTGAAAGTTTTGTTAACCTGGATAGATTCCACAAGCTGGAGGCCCTCTTTGCACAGGTCAAGCAGTTGGCCCGTACAGTCTTTGGTCGCATGTTTAGTGACCCAGCTGTAATGTGAAATTGTCTTAAGCAGAGTAAGAAGACGTTGTTCTTCATCCGTCAACGATCTGATCTCGTCGAATGGGCCAAGTGCTCCTGTACCGTTGTCATTGAGGAGTGACAATGGGATCCTCAGGGTGGTAGCCTCGAATTTGGCATGCTTGAATAGAAGGTAGTAAAGATCGCAGGAATGATCTGGAAGTTTGGCGACATGCTTATCGGCATAGTGGCGTTGTAGGTCAGCAGGGGTTATCTCCTCTCCTTTTTCGTTGACGACGTCAGGGATCTTCTTTGAAAGAGTCAGTTGAGGTTTAGTACTCCAATCGATAGCCCCATTTCCCACTGAAGCAATCCACAAAGCCATATCTCGCTGCTGTGGAAAGAAGGGGTCGAAGGACATCAGGTTTTGGTCGTCATAGATGTCCTTCTGGAAGTCAAAAATGCAAGTAGTAGCTGTGAGGAACGATGTGTCCTGTTGGCTGTCATTGTTGACACACATCATTTGATGGGTGTCCATCTCTTCTGGAGAGAAGTTGAAGTCGATGGAGTTCTCGTTGTAGAAGAGAAGATCTCTGGTTTCCTTCATTCGGTAGTGGTATGATATGTAAGACGAGAGTGGACGTGTCAAAGAAACTACCAATACTATATAAGTAGTAGACCCTTCGGTTTTAGGTAATAGGAACGCTGATATTGACTTAACCCAAATGGGATGACAGTGTTGGTGAAACAGGCTCATTGTGCATTATCGTTGTCGATCCTCATCTTTTATAAAAGTATAATATATCAAAAGCAGTTGTAAACATCTGAAATGGCAGTTTCCTTGTTACAATAGCCAACCTTCGATCATTTCCATTGAAAGAAGTTACATCTGGCACTGGTGTCGTCCTGGGAGCCCTTGGCGTCGGGGTCTGCCGATGCCTTGTAGGAGTCGCCGACGAGCTGCAGCGAGTGGTTCTGGCCACAAACCCAAAAGTGCTTGCCCTGGTTGGGTCCCTTTTTGCGGGTGGTTCTTAGCACCGCCGGGAGGTTGTGGGCACAGACGGGGGCTGGTTTTTTTGTCATGATCTTGGACCACTGCGACGCGACCTTTTCGGCCTCCTCCACGCGCTCCGCAATGTCTAGGTACTCGGTGGGCTCTGGCAAGTCCAGTCTGGTGGCCATTTGCGGTCTCGTATCTTCACCCTCTCGAGTCGCATGCGCACCTGCATCGCAACCTTGATAGGTGCTTTCAATATTTGGGGACACGGCGGGTGATTGTGATTGTCCCAACGGCTTTGTGTGCACATCCGAGACGCATGTTGATACGACGGCAGCTTCTGGATCTGGCTTTTGGAAGAAGGAGGAGATGGCCGCCTGTTTTTTGGCAGTCGATTTGGAGGGCGCTTTGGGTTTGGTAATGCCCTTGGTCGGCGGCGTTTGCGCCCGGAACATGGACATGACCGAGGTGGTCTGCACAAACTGCTTGTTAGTTCTGTGGAACAGTTTTGGCCGAAACGAGTTTGGGGCTGAGGACGACGCTTGTTTGGTCTGGTTAGCTGCACCTTGAGTGGCACGGTTGTCTTTTTCTTGGCACGCGTCTGGTTCGCGCACCTCTGCATAAACGGGACAATGGTCTGAGCCCTCCAGGTGGGGCAGAATATCGGCATCCTCCACCTTCAGACCTTTTGAGGCCAGCACGTAGTCGATACGAGACCCAAAGTTTCCGGGCCGGTAGTTCATCATCACGTTCCAGCAAGTATACATGTCGGGTCGATTGGGATGCTTGTTGCGGCACGAGTCCTGTAACAGGTCGGGGACCAGTCTGTGGAAGACTCGTCGGCCAACTTTGGCTTCCCTCCAGCTCTTACACTGTCCCGGGTTGAGCTTTTCAAACACCTCCACAAACCTGCCCTCCTCCTTATCTCCCAGTGTCGGTAGAGTGATGTGTTTGGCCTTGTGCAGCGCTTGCATTCCCTCAGCTGAGTCGTACAGCTCGCGTGCCACATTGAGATCTCCCATGACCACCACCTCTCGTCCAGCCTCAACCAGAAGGTTGACCCGTTCCTCCAGCAACCCAAAATAGTCGTCTCTGTAGGCATCTCGCTCCTCGCCCTCGGTGGCGGTGCTAGGACAGTAGAGCCCAAACACGACACAGAACCCCAGGTCCAACACGAGAGACCGGCCCTCCGAATCGACCTGAAAGAGCCGCTGTGGATTGCCCTCGGGATAGGCGCCGATACAACTCTTGCTGCTGCCGTCTCTCTCCCTTTGCCGCTCGTACAGCTGCTGGTAGGTGAGTCCCTTTTTGGAGTCCGGAGATACCAGCTGACCGGTAAGACCCTCCTCGGCCTTGAGAACTTTGATGCCATGTTTCACATAGACCGCCACGCCGCTGTAGCCCTTTTTTGTGTTGGAAAAAGACCAGTACGAATCGTATCCGGGCACAAGGGCGTGTTCTCGCTTCAGCAAATGGGGCTGGAGCTTGGTTTCTTGTAAACAGATCACGTCCGCCTTCAGCACCGCAAACATGTGCTCAAACGACCTTTGCTCGTTCCATGGATGGTAGCTCAGCACGTTGTTGATGCCACAGATGTTGAACGTGACGAATCTCATGTGGCGACCGGTCCTGCATGTGGACTCTAGCTATCGCTAGACCACGGAGGTGAGTTTGGAGTTTCTGCAGAGTTTATTTGAGCGGCTAAAATACAGTATGTTCTATTGTATGCACAGCACATACAAGTAGATACTATTACTTGTAGATATCACCAATATACGCACCACAGGTGATATAACTGCTCCCGTGCACGTGTAACAATGGGGACATTTGGGGCATGAAAATGCTCCATCAGCCGTATCACTCTTTTGTAGGGACGATTGACTGGTCAAATTGGGCTGATTTCATGATCCCCGCAAGTATCTTTCGTTTCAGGAACATTTTATCGAGAGTGAAAATGTGTATACGTTTGTTTTATGATGAATAAACTGGTCAGTCTGGTTTCAGGGTCTGTTGTATTTTTGGGTCTTTTTCATGGGTCATATATATAGAGTGATACCATTGTTACAGTAATTAGGGCTGTTCTAAGTATCACTGTTTAAAGATATCGTTTAGGACACAATTCAAGTATTGTTCAATTAATATTTCTCAGTTTACTTTAAGTAATTGTTCGACAAGAAGCCGTACCCAGCGCAAACACAAATCTTGGATCAGATGGCGAATATCTGAAAGTTATGAGCAGTTATGGCAAACAACTGACCAAATCAGATTATGAATCTAAATCAGCTCAAATTTCCCGCGTCCGAAACCGCCGCCGCCCAGTCGTCACCATGTCCCACTGCTGTCCACACACTCTGCTCGCTTAAACATCCCAACGGTTATTGCAAACAACATACACGATAAGAATCTGTTATGGAATGTAACATATTGTTCCTATAGAGATCAAAATTACACTAATTGAATCTCCTACTTCGTCTGATTCCGATGATCTCATTTAAAATGTCTATATCACGCCTCCAACGCCCTCAAAAACACTAATTACCCCCACACTTCTCCACCCTTCTTGAATCTTGATTTAGCACCAACCCTATTGTGACGTGGGGGTACGATTAGGTACTGAGCCGTCTGCGGTGTTGGTTGGAGCAATCAGTACATTGATTGCATGAGCTATAGACATTAGGAAACGAAAGGCTCGTCTTTTTATGTCTCCATGTTCCCTGGTCCATATCCCATTACCCTACCTTGCTACAAGTACATCATCTGTATCTGCGTGGTCTCACCAATTACCCTGTGTTCAACTCTGGGGGGCTACTTATACCGAGACTTCTGCCGTTTCGAATTAGACCTCCATTGCGTGCTCCCAGCTATCTTCCAATCACCATGTTTTATCAGCGTTTGCGGGGAACCTTATCAGCAGCCCACAGCTTTTATAGACCCGTGTCTGCGCCAACCTTGCGTCGTCGTTTCATCTCTTCTTCCATCAACATTCACGCACCGTCAATCATGTCTTTCGGAGATAAAGCTGCTGCTCGACTTGCGGGCAAGACCGTCTTTGTTACCGGCGCCTCGTCCGGCATTGGCCAGGCCACTGTTCTCGCTCTAGCCGAAGCTGCCAAGGGCGACCTCAAGTTTGTGCTTGCTGCCCGACGAACCGACCGTCTGGACGAGCTCAAGAAGAAGCTGGAGACCGACTACAAGGGTATCCAGGTGCTGCCTTTCAAGCTGGACGTGTCCAAGGTCGAGGAGACCGAGAACATTGTGTCCAAGCTGCCCAAGGAGTTTTCCGAGGTGGACGTGCTTATCAACAACGCCGGCATGGTCCACGGCACCGAAAAGGTTGGCTCCATCAACCAGAACGACATTGAGATCATGTTCCACACAAACGTGCTCGGACTCATTTCTGTCACTCAGCAGTTTGTCGGCGAGATGCGAAAGCGAAACAAGGGCGACATTGTCAACATTGGCTCCATCGCCGGACGAGAGCCCTACGTTGGAGGAGGAATCTACTGTGCCACCAAGGCCGCCGTGCGATCTTTCACTGAGACTCTCCGAAAAGAGAACATCGACACTCGAATCCGAGTCATTGAGGTTGATCCTGGAGCCGTTGAGACCGAGTTCTCCGTCGTGCGATTCCGAGGAGACAAGTCCAAGGCCGACGCTGTTTACGCTGGAACCGAGCCTCTGGTCGCTGACGATATTGCCGAGTTCATCACCTACACTCTCACTCGACGAGAGAATGTCGTCATTGCCGATACTCTCATTTTCCCCAACCACCAGGCTTCTCCTACTCACGTCTACCGAAAGAACTGAGATCAGGGCAAGTTATAGATTTATACAGGTAAGATGATGTTTTCCAAGAGCAATCTATGATACTAGACCCCCGTTTGATGAGTCAATTGAACTATACAAGTAGCACACATGTTTCTTCACTTCCAGTACAAGTAGCAGCAGTGCTTCCTGGGCTATCACCATCGGTACTATGCGATAGGAACGCGATACGGAATAGTCACAAACGAGCGGTACCAACTGGCTTACCTTTCATTTGGGCTCTACTGTCAATCAATTGATCCGTTGATACGTTTGTATAACGTGCCCAAATCAGTTGATCTACCTATGCCCATATCGTGTCGTACATACTGTACATACTGTAATTAGTCAATGTTGTCAATGATGTCTGTCAATTCTCATCACCGAGTTGTTATCTCGTTTACAGCGGCTAAAAGTGCATCTCCCTGACAGTTACCAAAAGATAACGTCTCGAATTGACAACAGTCCAATCACCTCTCAAACCCTACTTCCCCCGGTCTCCTCGACATGCCCGTCGCGTGCACGTACCCCCACTCTTATCTCCTATCTCTGTTATCGTTATCGCCATCCTGCATGCAAAGACAGCAACCACGAGAATTGAACGGGGAGGACGAAACCGATAGATGAGATAGACATATTGTGTGCATACAGTACATTGTATACTCGTATTATCTTTCAAGTGGTTAGACAGGAAGCAAAAAATGATATCCGTGAGATTCGAACTCACGCCTCCGAAGAGACCAGGAAATTCGTTAAGGTATTAGCCTTAACCTGGCGCCTTAGACAGCTCGGCCAGGATACCGCAGATTGTGATTGAAAAATCGAATTTCTGTTACTATCAGTCATAATGGTCATGTGATCTCGTAAAACCCTATATATATATAGTGTTCTTCTTAACCGCGTCGGTTAACATGGCTGCTTCATCAATATTCTGTAGGGAGTATTCGATGTGGCTTATTAAACCCACTATATCCGATACTAGCCATATCTCCATTATTTGCCAATCATTGACCCTGTTTTTGAGCTGATCATGATCACAGAATCCAATAGTCCCAACTTTGAGGTTGTAGATGTTTGTCTTTTCTCCACACTTGATTCTCCCCCAGGGGCTCGTGCTATTTTTGCTATTTTTATTGAGATAACGAGTGTCAGTGTTGGGATCATGAGGTGAGGGAGAAAATTCCCATCCGAACGGTATACTGAACGTTCCCTTCTTCCGCCGAATCTGTCCTTTTATATGGCACTCCTACTCCAAGCCACACATGACAAAGCTGAGATCATAAGCCACCAAGCCACAATGGTCTCGACACTGAAGCCACCTTTGTGGTTTCAAACCATGATAGCTCGACCTCGTTCGCAGTATTTATACCATGAGTGGACGATACGTGCCTCTTGGCAGCAACTACGAAATGACAACGATTGAGGAGAGGAGCGTTGCCACTTCTTCTGCCGACGAATACAGTCTCAGCGGTCTGAGTGACGATACACACCCGTCCAGTGCCAAGATTGACAAGAATGGACACATCACTGAAGTGGCAGAGATTGCTGAAGTGTCAGATGTGGGTCCGCAGAAGAAGAGGGGCTTCACATGGGCAAAGCTGTTGTGGGACTCGGCAGATAAGAGCCCAGCTGAGAAGCGTCTGTTGCTGAAGCTGGACTGGTTTCTGCTGTCGTCGGTCATGCTCGGATACTTCATCAAGACTCTCAATCAAATGAATATCAACACTGCTTATATTAACGGTATGAAGGAGGAGTTCCAACTCAATGGAAGTCAACTCAACTACCTCCAGACCCTCTGGACGGTTGGATACATTGTTGGACAGATTCCCAGTAACCAGATTCTGCAACGAACTAGCGCTAGATACTACTTGGGTTGTCTGGAACTTGTCTGGATGGCTCTCACGTTCCTTACCCTCACATGCAACAACATCCACTCTCTATATGCTCTCCGATTCTTTGTGGGCCTCACGGAAAGTGGATTTTTCCCTGGAGTCGAATACCTACTTGGGTCGTGGTACAACAGAGACGAGCTCACTAAACGGTCTTCTCTGTTTGCTCTATCTGGAGTAGCTGCGGGTATGGTTACTGGATACTTGCAAGCAGCAATTCTTCATGGTCTCGAACACACTTCAATTGCTTCGTGGAAATGGCTGTTCGTGTTTGATGGTATCATTTCATTCCCTGTTGCTCTCTACACCATGTTGGTGAATCCCAATACGCCTGAAACGACCACCAGTTGGTACCTAACTGCCGAAGATGTTGCGATAGCCAGAGAACGAAGACGAAGAGTGGGCGACTTGGAACACAAAAAGGAACCCATCAGAGACGTTCTCAAGCGAACCTTTTCCACCTGGCACATCTACGTCTTCCCCTTGGTTTTCCTGTGCTACAACAATACCTGTTCGGCCAACTCTCAGCCGACTATGATTTCCTGGCTCAAATCTGAGGGTTATACACCCACAGAATACAATGTGTACCCCACTGCTGTGGCTGGAGCAGGCATTGGAGTGACTCTTATTCTAGCAGTTGTTTCAGACGCGTTCAACGGCCTCAATTGGCCCTTCGTGGCCGCCTACTTTGCCATTCAGATTGTTGGATCGGCCTTACTGTCCTACTGGAACATCTCCAATGGTGCCAAGTGGTTTGCATACTTCGCGGTGGGTGTACCTACGGCTTGGGGACAGCCTATGATCTTTTCGTGGCTCAACAGAAGTCTTTACCACGACTACCAGAAACGAAACCTCGTCGTTAGTATCACCAACACTCTGGCCTATGTGACTGGTGCCTGGGTTCCTATTCTCGTATGGAACGCCAAAGATATGCCTCGATACCAGATTGGTTTCACCTATAACGCCTGTTTGGCCGCTGCTGGTCTGGTTCTTACTGGAATAGCAACTTTCTTGTGGAAGAGAGATGGTCGAAAGGTTTTGGCAGTTAAGGAGGTGTAGTTTTGCATGTGGTAATTTATTGTGTTTTTTTTTAGTATTGAACCATAGCAATTGTGTTATTTCTAGACTGTGTATTCCTCTGTATCTCTATCTATATACGTCCATCCTCATCAGCATCCTTGAGATAGTTGACAACACTCTTGTTGAAGGCATCGATGTTATCAAGGTAGATGTGATGACCGGCCTCAGCCACAATCTTGTAGTAAGCGGGACGTCCAAGCTTGTTGAGCCTCTTGGCAGCTTCATGTCCTGCAGAAGTGTTCATCCAGTCGTTTTCGCCGTAGATCCAGAAAGAAGGACACTTGATTTTGGTGATTCGGTCAATGATGGGTAGTCGAGCAATGCAGAAAGGCGCCATGAGACGTGTCAGACCTCGCTCCCCAGACGCCTTGCCAGCAAAAATACGGTAGGCGTATATATGCATAATGTCTCGTTGCTCGGTTGGCAGCTGCTGGAACCGAATGTAACTCCATCGAGCCACCAGTTTGGGGCCCATGGGTCCAGCAATACGAACAGCCCCAATGAAGGAGTAATGCGACTGCCACATATATGCCAGCAGCTTGTTTTGTTCTCGTCGCTTCTCGAGGTCCGCACCAAGATGGACGTCAATCTGGTTCTCAGACACGACGGGTTTAAGCGACGAAAAAATATCATCGGGGATATCGTCAAACTCACCGACTTCAAACTCTCTTCCAGGATGAGGCTCTTCTTGAGACACGACAGAGTCCTCTCCGGTTGGTTGAGTTCCGAGGTTGGAATCGTTCGAGGTAGCTCCAGGCGACTGAGGAGTGTCAGGAGACTCAACAGGAGCCATAGATCCAGCATGGAGTCCCAGGGGTTGTTTAGAGGATGCATTTGAGGGTGCAGTAGACGATGATCCGGCACTAGAAGGTCTTTCAGCTCCATTCACGGCCCCGGCTCCATCACTGCCATCGGAAATAGATCCATCTAGAGAAACACCATTAATGTGTTCCACGCCGACAGGAGACACCAGAATGAGTCGCTCGACGCGGTTGGGGTACTTCATGGCGTAAATAGAAGCAATGTATCCTCCGAGAGAGTGTCCCAGTAGCACGAATCGCTCCAGGCCCTTTTTTTCACGCCAAGCCTCCAGTCTGGATAGGTACCACTCTTCTGTTTCGGCCACCATTTTTCGTCCATCAGGATCATCCTTATGCTGGCTGATGTTGAACGTTTCTCGCGTAGATCGGCCCATTCCAGGGTTGTCGAGCACGTGGACATTCCAACCTGGCAAGCTACTGATAACGTCGAGGTTTTCAAACCACAGACCCATACCTGTTCCCCAGCCGTGCAGCATGACAAGTGTTCGGGAAGACGAAGAGTCGTAAGCCGGCTGCTCGGTATTGGTGATATGGAAGTCGTTGATGTAAGTGTTCTTTTTGATCTCTGTTTCGCAGACCTTGGCTTTTCGCTTTCCATCTGTTTCAGGAAAGAAGGGAAGCATGGACAGCACCTTGAACTCTGCCTTTTCGATGCCGTCGGCAAAAAAGTACTGCTTGAACGACTCTGCCACGCTCAGTGGGTTGGCCTTGTTAGGTACCTTGAGCTCCCGTCGTTCGGGGGTGATAGGAGTGTCGTTTACTTGTTCGGTCGGCATGGTTTCTCTAATGAACTGGTGTAGTGAACTGACCGATGCAGCGTCGTTGTACACTAGAAAGGTGAATATGGAGATGTTTGTGTTAGCGAGTAAAAACGCTGCGTGATTGCTGACGCTTGTGTTTTCAGACTCTCTGGTGGCAGTTGTCTCACAGTCTGTTGCTGGGGGACACGATACCGATAGTGATGTGTGATCTCGTTAGAACCTGTTTGCAGCCCGTTATCAGATCGGAAACTGGTGTGATGATGACAAGAAGACCCTTGCACTGTGTAGCTCCACGATCAACACCCGAGTAAATGTCGCGTGGATCTCATGCAAACGCCGCTGACCACCATTGCTATCTGAACTCTGATGAAAATAGCCTTGCATGCAGAGCCGAGGTACAGTGAAAAAAAAAATTGGGATGCATTAGGGTGGAGCTACTACAAGTACTGTAATCACGATGGTGGATGAACTTGTGGGAGTATTGTGAAGATGACTAAAAGTACTTGTATACAAGTCGCTGTAAATTCTAAGAACCATTCATTGTTTATATCACCTGATTAGATAAATTCTCTCTTTCCATTGCCCAAATCACCAAACAATGACACCCCCAAAAACCTCACCGAAGATCAGACGCATAAAAAGTCAACCACCAGTCTGTTCAAATTGTTGGTTGAGGAGGTTGTATTGGTGCCGTATGGAGGGCAGATTCGATGATCTGGTCATATTTCACTCAGCTTCTCAATATTGATACCAATCGTATGTCCCAATTATACACGTTCTTCCGAATACGCTATAACATCCATTTTTCTATAAGAGCCCCAAATATCGTGGTAGTCCTACTACCTCATCTACTGCCAAGTGGAGTAAATGTCCCAGAAGTAAAGAATGGCATAAATGATGAAAGCCACGGCGCCAACCACAGTAATCTGCTGGATGGACACCCGCTGGGCAAGCAGCTTGCCTCCAATAATGGCCACAGAGGTGCAACAAGCATGGCCAATCACTCCGCCGAAAACCACAGGCCAGAAGTTGGAACCAGCGCCCATGGCAATTGTGCTGATCTGCGACCGGTCGCCCCATTCGGCCAGAAAGGTCATGACGAAGATCTGGACCCAAGCCGGCGACAGTACCAGACTGGCCAGGTTGGAAAACCCGTTAGAAATATCGGCTAGCGACTGCTTGATGGTAGGCTTGGAGGCCTTTCGGATATCGAACGAGTATCCCTGCTCGCCGAGGCCGTCATCGGTGATTCCAGGAGCAGAATTTTGTCGACGAAGAGTAGTATCTCCGGACGAGGAGGAAGAGGTACCAGCCTCGAGATCTCGGTTCTTTTCGTTCATCTCGGAAGCCTCGATCTCAGACTCCACCTCGGCCATTTCGTCCTTGATGGAAACGCCCTCCATGTGTGTGGCTTCATGCAGCAGTCGGATTCCGAAAACAAGGAAAAGCACACCTGCTGCGATGCCAACGAGTCGGGGAGAAACGAAAAGGAGAAAAGCCTGGCCCATTAGAGCCGACAGGATGGTCATCAGAGCCAGCGATGAGAAGGCGGCCGAGAAAATGGTGAAATGCGAATGTTTGGAAGCCATGATGGCGGCCAGTAGGAAGGTCTTGTCGCCAATCTCGGATGTGATGATCATGGAGAAGGCCATGACAAACGTGTGCCACATGTCGTCATCCACGGGAACATCGGTGACTGAAGAAGCGGGTTTGGTGGTGGTGGTAGAGCCAGAAGAAGAGGAGGAGGAGGAAGATTTGGAGCCAGTGGCATCGTTGGCAGACTCGGTGACTCCGACGACAGCAGCCACTCGGTCCTCCTTAGCCCGCTCAGCGGCGTCCTTGGCAATATCGACCTCGGCTTCGTTTTGACCAATGTTGTTGGGGTCGTAGTCGTTAATGACAGTGGGCTGTTTGTCAGTTACAGTCTTGGCGGGCTTTGCGGGCTTGCCGTTGGTGTTTTTGACTTTGGCGTTCTTAGCAGCCTCGGATCCCTCGTCGTCCTCTCGCTCATGATCCTCCACGTCGGGACGTCCCTGGGCCACAAACTTGTCGCCCTTGTCCACTTCGGAGCCGTATCGAGCGGCGTAGTCCTTGGGTGCCGTTTTCATAGCATGGTCGTTCTCCTCGAGGTTGGCAGCAGTGGCACCGGCTAGAGTCACCAGTACCAGCGTTGTGATAGTTGAGAGTTTCATTGTGCTTGTGGTGTGTGTGAGAGGAGTATGTTGTTAGCTGTTTGTGAGTGAATCTCTTTATGGGTGGCCTTGGTGGTCCTGGCAGGTGGCAACTCGTGTATTGTACTTTCCTGTGATCTTTCTATGGGGAAAGTACACGTAGTCGTCGAGATGTCTGGGTTTGAATCTGACTAGGTGCTGTTTGTGTATCTAGTAGCTGTCGAAGCTGTTGTCCAGATGCCTGTGTCGCAAGGATATCGCCTGATCTACAAGTAGTGGCTGTGGCTGTGTCACTGTTACCACCGTGTTGTGTCGCGTTGCTAGTGTGGGAAACTGCCTGTATCTGATCTACAGATTAGGAGGATGGCGAGGGAGGGAAAAGCTGCTGCTCAAGTGCTCTCAAAGGGCGAAAGACGTGCTATAAAACGTTGCACAGGACGTGTTGGAGAGGTTGCAAAAAATTAACCTCAGTAGAGTTGTGTAAAGTAGAGTTGAAGTTGGAGTTGGTTATATAGGGCGTCTGGGGGGGAGGGAGATACGAGACACTTAAATATGAGGTTTCAGGCGTATTTACAAACTGAAAAGCGGCAGACGGACTTGGTTGGCCTTTTCGAGTCGATTGGACCTCTTGCCAAGCCAAACAACGTCCTGCATAACCAGTTGTACACTGCCTCTCCTCTCCCATACTACACTTGACCCACGCGTTAAAGTTGTAGACGTTGGGAGATAGGTAGGAGACTTGGACATGTTGAAGCGAGCATGTGTGCGGTGTGATCACAGCGTGCTGACCAATTATGAGTGGCTTCACTAGCATGGTTTCTGTGTCTGACATTGACCTCAAGGTGCGAAGATCGTTCTTGCAACACGGCCGCCTGTTTCTGCATATTACTTATTCGCATGCCCCACGATAACGAGCTTGACAACAGCGTACAAGAGGCGGCATACATACGTACATTTGGTGAGAGCACATTAAAGAAAAGACTGCATATTCTCTGACCCCCCTCATGTTATTTTTAGCACCACAACGCATACAACGGCAACAGCCCAGACAAGACCATCTATGATGCTCAAGTCGTGCAACAGAATTCGCAATGAATAGACGATTAAAAACGAAATTACACGGCTCTTATCTGATCCAGAATAAACCTGAGACACCGTATTGCTCTGTGGCGTTTGGCAGCCTTAGATATACCACGATATACACTGTCTCATTCGGCGCGCTAGATTGCTACTTATTACTCTCGACAAGATTTATGATGCTGCTCAACAAAGCATCCAAGACCAAAGTGCACCGTGCACCGCAGTCTCCAAAGAGGCAGTGCTCATACTGGTTGCAAGACGGATTGGGACCGCAGATACACCATTGGTGCACAAACATGGCCTGACCGAGCACATTCAGCCCTCAGACCGCCCATAAACGCTCCAAAAGCGTATATTATTTTTCATTTCACCGGATCGGCTGGGGTTAACGATGGTTGGCACGATAATATTGGTGAAAGTTCCACGGGGGCCAAATGGAGAACTCTGACGTCGACAACTTTTATACAAGCACCAGTAGATTTATGCATGTGGCATACGATCTGGTCTCGTGACGAATGCAATTGTCACGTGCCATTGCACGTGACCACCTTTCCCTCACCCATATGCTGACCAACTAACACCCTTCTACTGGCTGTCCAAATTCTGTGCCGTGCCTGCAGACACACGCAGGATAGGCAGGGGTAGATCCCGTACACTTGGCGCGAAGGCGCGAGGGTGCAGAGTGATACTTTGGATTAGTCAGCCGGTGGGGGGTTGTCAGTGGCAACTAATCAGAAGCGTAGGTTTGGTCGGTGTAAGGGGGTTAGTGTGGTGGTGGTGGTTACATTACGGGAATGTTCAGTACTGTACGTAGAAAGTGAGGTTTTTTGTACTGTACTTTACTTGACAGAATGCCAATTCAACCAGCCCTGTTGTTAAGCTTCGAATTAGCCAAACAAATAATCCAAGTATTTTTTTCTTTTAAACAAAGATTAATTGACTATCTTTCGTAAGGTACAGTATCCACCAAAGATGATTTTGGACATCTAAAAGTATTACTTGTAGATAATGGCTAATTTCAGCCATGTCTAGCACTTTGTCATTATTGACCCTTACCCTTGACTTATTCTTAGTTAACAGTCTCTCGTACATATTGTACAATACTGCATCTTACCACTCCTGTATCATTTTGTCTAATAAATACTACTATGTACAATTGCTGGAACGTCGTGAATCATCCATGGTATCAAACTGTCTTGTTGCACCCCACTCTGTATCTCTACATCGTGTCAACCATTGCGGTACACTGTCTTCTATCGTCCAACAAACTCACCGCTTTGAAGCCTGTCCTAATCGTTCAAGGCACTCAAAATAGCTTCCTCCAATGCACTCGCAGAAACTCCCTCCAGATCTGTCGACGAAAACAAATGCGGATCAGTATTCGTCGTAGCTGTCCCACTGGTCGCGTGGCTAATCTCCACATGAGGATTGCTCATATGATCAACACTGGCAAACACAGCGTCATCTGTGGGCGAGATCACCAGGCTCTTTTCACGTGACTTGATGAGACTCGGAACCGACGAATTTGAGTGTGAGTTGGCCGACGTGGTTGAATTGGAATGGTCTCTGGACGCCATGTTGACAGCATTCACATCACGAGTCTCAGGAAGACTCGCGTGTGCAAGCTTGTCCACCCAGTTGCGTCTTTGTGTCTCATCATTCAATCCCTTGCCCTTTTTGTCGTACAAATGGCACGCCAGCTGTAGCAGGTGGACGACCGAAACGTGATAAGACAGAGCCGTCTTGTGCCAGTCTATAGGTGCCTGAGAAACAAGTTTAGAAATGAAGTCCGAGAGTTGTTTATCGCTGAGTGCCGTGGCTGGAGTGGCTGGATCCTCAAATCCATTGCGATTGAACGGAAACCGAAGGTATATGGTCGGTTTCATGCTGTTGTGTTGTGATTATGGATGTTTAGTGTCTTGGAGATGGTTGGGGTTTGTTGTTTTGATAAGGTTGAGATTGTGGTTAGGTGAGAGCTTATTTGGCGGAAAGAGAAGGAGAGCAGATGTTGAGTAAAGTGGGATTATTGTGTGGGGAGTAAAAGATTTTATTGATTAGATCAATTTCAAGGGACTTGACCAATATGGCTGAGTTTTTATATTTCTTCCATCATCTCTGTAGCCCCTGTTTGGTGTGGTGTTGAGACTTGCCGAGACGAAATACTCAGATCGAGTATGTCAGGAACATTATGAATTGGTTCCGAAGGGCTTCAAAAATTAGTACACGTAGTAATTTTGACTCTATTAGTTCATATTTCAAGTCTTTATTCCCATATGACTAAACTTTTCTTTTCCTTTTCATTCTTCATTCTAAGGATTTTGATTATTTTATTTTATTTTTCATTTGAACTACTCCCCAACAGGCCGGGTCGAACGCATTGATGGGTTTAAGTCACATAGCTTCAGCGGATCAGTGTATTTTTTGCCCTAGAAACTACATATTCTTAGTAAGCGTCAATGGACATGTTGGGCCAGATGTAGTGTTGTTAAGAGTGTTAATTGAAGGTTCCATATAAATTTGATGAATTATATTAGGTCCAGGTGTTTAAAATAATTATTTTTTTCAATTGTATTGAATCACTGTAATTTTATCAAAAAAAACATTGCATCAGAAATGTGAACATCCCGAAGATAGTCATTAATGCATAAATCTATAAATAATAAGCCAAGTCATCTATACTGCTTATATCAGAGCTAAGGGTACCATGGAAGGTCTGCCATGAGCACACTGAAACGGGAGTTTCGTCTTCAGCAAGTTTTCCACCATGGTGTGACACTCCTCTAAAGTCAGTTCATCGCCAAATTTGATAGCGTTCCGGCATGCAAATGAGGCCACAAGTTGCTGTAATAACGCAGGAACCGCCCTATCTGAACCTCCATTCTCCAGAGTTTCTAGGTACTCCTTGATCCCCATGTCTAGTTGGTAAGGATCCATTTCACGTGCCAAGTGAGGAACATGATTCAAGTAGCCTCCTTCGAAACGAAAGCCCCATTTGTTGAGCACAGTCTGATGTTTGAGAAGATGTTTCATGTTCAGAGACAGATGCAGAGGCACAATCTCAGCTGTTTGTGAAACATCATTTTCGGCATCCCGTATCAGATCTGAAGTGATCTTGTCTGTCAGAATCCGTTCATCAGCAGCATGCTGATCCACGCAGATCAATGTGGGAGACTTCAGTTGCGCCAGGATCAAAACGAACCGTTTCTCCAGCTGACTTATCGTTTTGAATTCTGAGAAGCGAGTCAGTGTTGTGTTAGTAGTTGTTGAAGACTCCCCTCTAGAGGTACCAGCACATTCAAACCCACCAGAGAAAGAAACTATGGTGTTCTGGTCCATATTTACAACCGAGTCGGCCACATCCCCACCCTCACTTCTCATCCTGACTGCCTTCCTGGGTCTGGAAACAGACTCGACACTCTTGCTTCTCTTATGACCTCTTTCATTGCTCGATAACCACTCTTCTACCAGTTCCAGCACCACTAACTCCTGGCTAAGACCTTCCTGAGCATATGAATCAACCAAGAGAACATAGTTGAACCGATCCAAACACTTCTCAACCCGCTTCAAAGAAGTAGGGGACCCATTGTAAAGAAGAATTTGAACCGTTTTGACACCATTGCCACGAGCTCCAACAGCCCCAGTAATAGCCATCTCAGGCAATCCAAACAACAACTCTTGATCCTGTGACCTTCCCAGCTCAACCCTCCTGCCAAAACACTTGTAGTACTCCAACATATCCATGCACCTATCAACAATCGAATCGGAAGGGACTAACTCCAACTTGACCTGATTAGAAGAAACCAAGGTCACGTGAACGCTTGGAAACCGCAATAACTCTACCCAAACGCCAAATATGACCTGATCATAATCTCTCTGTTGAAGAGCATACTTGCGTTTCACAGGAATATTGTAAAACAGCGAAGAGCAAGTTATGAGCGTGCCCTCTGAAGAAGAAGGGCCATCGCGAATCTTTATGCTTCTCACATGGCCTTGAAGAGTAAGATGCTGGTCATGTGACTCGACTGTCACCACAGCAACAGACCCCAATAAGTCCAGAGCTGCCGGTGTGTGGCGCATATCAGTCATTGACTTCCCATTGTCTTGTACCGTAAAACCAAGCTGTGGGAGCACAGAGATGGTCACATGACGTGCCCCTCGAGTTATGCTGTTGTTTAGTAATCCGCATATAAACTCGGCTCGGTTATACATGGATCCTGCTATGATATCTCGGCTTTCATCGGGTATTCTTCGTATCATGTTGTGGAGGAGTACTCGTAACTTTTAGTTTAGTTTACGTAACTATGAGTGCGTAAGTTGCGAATCTTGGGACAGGGAAATAAGAGGATTAAGAGTATTAGAAGGTATATATCTTAAGCTTACCTAACAAATATGCGGTAAGTAGTTCATTCCAACTTTCAGCTTCTGTCTGGCACTTCTACAACACGATATAAACCCACTGTAATTCGTCACTCTGTTTCCATCGCCTCTTGAGAACATAACCAACTCTAATTTTTGGGAGCGTATCTTGCAGCATGCTGTGCTACAAGTTAAGTGGCTCTCAACACAACATGTCTCAAAACGAGTTAACCGAGGTGGAAACGGCTTTGGAGAGTGATAGTGCCATGGCCATGGCTGGAAGCATCATGACCGAATCAGACGGCTTTGTGGACGTCGAGGTGGACGTCGAGGTGGATGTCGAGATGGATGTCGAAGAAGAGATTGTGATCCAGGAACCCCATGATGATCAAGAACTAGATGTTGACGAGGAGGATGAGGATGAAGCTGATTCAATTTCCTCTGAATCCGCCAATGTCGTCAAGCCCGTGCCCCAGATTCGACCTCCCCCAGATCTGCGGTTTGAAGAATCCTATCTTCGAGCAATCTCTGCTGCCGATGGAAAGTGGTGGAAGATTGCCTACATCACCATCAGAGACCAGGTGTTTATGCCGTTGATTCAGGGTACCATTTGGAGTTTCCTGTTGTTGTCTGCGTCGAGCTTGAGAGCAAAGTCGAGTGGCAGCGGACGGTACTATGGAAGTTCTTTTGTGAGATGGTGGAGAAGTATCAATCCTCCTAATAGGAAGCATTAACGAGTCAAAAGGGGAGCAAGTGAACAGAGAAAACGAATGACTTACAAACGAGTGACGGGCGCCTAAATATTGTCAATGAGCTTGGTGTTATGGATACTGACGAATCCGAGACAGCGCACAATCAACGAGCCACTCTGATTTGTGAGAACAAGCAAGCTACTGCAAGTTCTGAAGGCCTAACGAGTGAAGTATATAGTAATTTATTGAATGATAATGCTGCTGTGGTATGTCATTGCTCGCGTCCGAGAGCCCTCCACAAGTGAGAAAGCAATGGAGGAAGCAACGTTGGTTCTTGCCCAAGAATCACAAGAGATATGGGAGAATGTTTTATTCGTACTTGTAGGGTATTTCAGCATAGTTTGGGGGTTTAGGGATCTGCAAACATGGAGTCCAAGCATGTCGACATTTGTGTGTATGAGAAACACATCTACCAAGTCTGGTAGCAGGACTCGTAACAGAGCACCATCGCAGACTACGAGATATAAGTACAACCACCAAAAATCCAAGTCAACCGCTTCGCAACCGGGGAAAAAGATTACAGCACCCAGGATTCTCGTATGGTCTCCCACTACAATACTAACTGGGCTCTCTGGTGCTTGACTATGGCTGATCGGACGGGAAGCCGTATTTTCACCAGGATATGGCCGTAACCAAGTTGCGCCGACCCGGAATCGAACCGGGGGCCCATCGATGGCAACGATGGATTTTACCACTAAACCATCGGCGCTTATTAAGCAATTTAGTGTGAGGGAGCATCAGAAGCGAAAGGAGCTTATGTAAGCCACAGAAAAAAGTTGGAGTTATGGCTGAATAATGGGTTTCCGGTGAAATATTCGTCAACGTTGGTTCCAGTTTTGTTTTTTTCTTCTACTGATGCTTACCTTGTATATATGTCACCCATTGTTGTTTTGATCGATCGACATTGAGCATGCTTCTGTATATATACGGTACATATACATACTGATGATATATTATAATACTACTTGTACGTATTGAAAGAATCAAAGACTCACCTTTTCGCATTCTTTCTGTCTATTACTAGATTAATATATTACTGATGATTAAATATCCCTATACCCTACCAAACTTCCATCCTCCAACATTGACTCTTGTGATGACGTACAATAGACAAGCTGCCATCATTACAGCTCCGCAATAAGGAGCAACCACATGGTACCGTCCTTCTTTGCCAATGATAAATCCTGCAATGGGATTTGCTACCAACGACACGGTTCCAAGACACAAAAAGGCCTGTCCTAGACAAACCCCCACCTTGTCCATACTAGGAGCTAGAGAGGGCAGAACAAAGGGAGGGAAAGTACCCAGAGCCCCTGAAAAGAAGCCGTAGAAGAACGCAAAGACAATGACCTGGGCGTCACGCGAGTCGATGTTTTCGTGGGAGCTGAACTGGTCCCGTTTCTGAGTACCTCCTGGAAGTGCAAGCTTGTCAAGGTGCATCCAGCAAAATAGCAGAATTCCGTTAATCATACTGACGAAGACGAGAATGTTGAATTTCCCGAGATAGTCAGCCATTACAGCAGGTCCCACTCGACCAATAGTCGCACCAGCACATAGAACAGTGACTGTGTATCTGATGACTTGTTCACTCATTCCATGGTCAATGGAAAACTGCTGCAGGTAATAGTATGGGATGTAGAGAACAAGGAATGCAAGGGAAGTGGCGATAACAAAAAGCACGTAGACAGGGTTTTTGAGCGTAGCCAGATCGATAATTGTGAACTTGCTCTCTTTCTTGACATGAGGAGCGTTGCTGTCACAGGACTTCTTTTCTGCACCCACATTGATTACCGCTTTTTCGGTAGCAGGCGAGTCTGGTGTTTCAGAAGACTCACCAATTTCGAGGTCGTGATCATTGGGACACACGGGCTCCGTCTTTGGTTCGCGTGACCGATTGATGAGCCGCTGGAGTTTTGTAGCCACGTCAAACATTTGGAGAAGCTTGCTTTCTTGGGCAGGATGTTTCCTGTAGCGCAGGATACAAATAGCAATGATAGCCATGCCCGCGTAGACGCCTGCCAGCGCTCTGGTAGTCGCTGCAAAGCCGATCTTGTCGCTAGGCAACAAGTTGTTTGCCATGATGGGCAGCACGATACCTGCCACACCTGCGCCAGCACTACAGATGCCGATAGCCAGGCCTCGTTTCTTGGAGAAGTATTGCGAGACGCATGCCATTGAGGGGGCAAATGTGGCTCCCATACCGAGGCCCATACCTAGTCCCTGACACAGAAGAACGTGCCAGTACTCTGTGCATTCGGCCAGCACCATGTAGCATGTGAATGTGAGAATGGAGCCTCCTACCACCAGGACGTTGAGATATCCTTTATCGAAGAACCGGCCACTGAGGGTTCCTCCGTAGAAGATGCATGCGATTTGGATTGACTGGATCCAGGCTGTAGACGATTGAGGCACATCAGCCAACAGGGACGATCTGTAGTATGACTGGTAGACTCCCATGGTGGTGGTGACTCCCCAGGAGTTGAATAGGATGCAAAAGCCGCCGAGAACTTGCAGCCAGGCTTCCAGACCTCCGTCTGGAAATGCAGGAGGACATGGTGTGAGGGTGGGTGAGTTTTCGAGGTTGGACGTGGAAGAATCGCCGCTGGGGCGTTGTGGGTTGGAAGGGTCTGAGTCTAGACCAGCTAGAGGGGGTTGAGTGGTCACTGGGTTAGTACGGTAGTGAGGCAGAGAATCGAGGCTCGCTCGCGAACGACATTGATAGAGAGTATGTAGAGCGACTAATTGTAGAGTAAGCATTTCTAAGAACCCGATGAAGAGCAAAGATGAACTGAAAACCGAACAGAAGCAGTAGAATCACCGAAACTAGTAATCAACCAACGTGGAGTCCAAGCAATTAACTGTTTTTTTTCTTCACCAAATTGAAAAAGACTACCTCAGTGATTTCAACGATATCGAGAGTCCCATGAGACGGTAAAGCAGAATGAACTGCATCGATTATATCGATTGAAACATGGTTATACCACGCAGTAAATACACTGGAGCACATCAAACGCTGTAACTCATCACTCATCACTCATCACGCATCACGACAACCCAGAAGAGACACCTCACGGGGCCACTGCAGAGAGTGAATCACATCGGTGACCCCTACGCTCCATCTAACCAACTCCCAGCATAAGCTACCACCTTAAAGGTAGTTCAGCAGTAGTGCAGGGCGCCTAAGCAGAACAGAATTAGAGATGGGTCTAAACGACGTCCGTGGAGAAATTTGCCCGCAGCAGAACAGCTCGGAATAATCACTGGACACACAGTTCAGCAGGGTGGAAAATTCGACTTGAGGAATTTCCGCACCAATCAGTGTTTTGGGGGGTATCAAATAAAACTCTCTCCCTCTCGTCTCTTTCACAATACTCACTTGTCACGAGTCCATCAACTAGGAAGTATTATTTCGGGGCCTTCATCTCAAAGGAAGACCCTACTTACTTATAAGCGACATACGGCTGAAGTTAAAAATGAGTACAAGTGGGGGTCGGCGGAAATAGCTGTTATTGGTGGGCAGACACCGGACAGAAAAGACGTTTGGGTCGGTAAATTTACCCCCGAAACACGTTATCAATCCGTAATGTCCGAAAAATGGCCTAATTTCGGCTAAAATACAGGTTATGAGTGCTATCCATTTACTATTCTCCGGCAGCCGTTACTATGAAAATCAAGGTTTGCATACTCTTTCGTACTTTGGCTAGTACGGCGCTGCTGAGTCATTCCGAATCGGAGGGTCCTGACGGAACCGCGTTTCGGAAGCGAGTCGGACAACTATTGTCGCTAAGGGATAAAACTTTTCCGACCGGAGAAGCCACGTGATGGAATTGGTGCTACAACGTGTTTCTAGTCGACTTCGTCATCAATATCCAGTACAGATCACGTGAAAACCCCCTCCGGAGCAGCCCAGCCGTCTCCTTGTTTCCAGTCCGATACACTTCCGGCATGTGGGGGTTGTTGCAACAAAGTTGATTGATAAGCCGGTTGCCTTAATAGGCAGGTGTAGGAGGTGTCGGTGGTCACGTGAGCTAAAAGCAACTGCGAATTCTGATAGCGGGATGCGGGGCGACTTTGGACTTGTATTTATCTTGCATTTACGCATTTTATTCCATTTTCTGGTGAGTTTTAAACACCATCCACGTCCACCACTTTATGCTGAAGTGGGGAACCTGGGGTAACACACAGCACCACTTGTGCAAGAGCAGCAATAAAAAGGCTTGGCGCAAGTTGACAGCCGAGTGAATCTTCCTCGGTCTACGTGAGTCAAGGGGTGAGTCTTGATTCGAGTTTCGGAGCGACTTGATCGACGCAATTGCGCCACTTTCAAGCCACACAACTAAGCCACATGTACAGTAACTATGCTGTGTGGAGTACGTACTTTACTATACTTACTATACATTGTAAATAAAGAGCCATACTGTCACTACAAGTACAACTTTTATGGAAGAGTGTAGAATGACAGTCTGTAAGACACTACCGAGCAGATTTGTCTCTCCATATCGGTTTACGAGATCCGATAGCTTGAATCACGTGATTCTCTGGTTTATACCGCTTATTCGGCTTCGTTCAGCTTCGTGTTTCAGCAACTGTCAAGCCTCTTTACTGTAAAAAAAGTAAAAAAAAGATTTGGCTGCTGCTGAACTCTACTTGGGGTGGCTAGAGACGCCCGAGTCGATGCACTGTAGGGCAACAACAAAGACACAGGAGCGAGCTAGGAGCAGGCCAAGAAACGGGCTAAAAACGGGCCAAGTGGGGAAATTGCAATTGAGATGATTGGCCAGGTGCTGGCGCCGATTCGAGTCACGTGAAGTACACCTTAGGAGCCTTACTTATGTTATGTACTGTACTAGCACTTGTCCTACCTTGTGCTCAGTTACACTGTAGCTACAAGCGCCGTTTCAATAACAGCATTGCGATCATCATTAGTTGCGGCGACTACGGACTTTACCCACCAAGCTGCGTTTCGTAAGATAACCCAGAAACCATCCCCAATTGGAATGTTGCTGATTGCTGATCAGGTTCAATCAAGACAGGTTAAACCTCGACAACCACGTAATCATTCCGAAGGGTCATTCTCGAAGCAAACTCAGTCAGAGCGCCGTTTGAAGATTGGACTTTCCTGAAAGGGGCGGTGAGCTCGTATTCCTATCAGACTGAAGTTTGATACTTCACCCTTTGCGTAGCCATCAGGAAGCAATATGCCATCCACCGGATGTTTTCATTCTACGGACTTAAGTGCTGCTTGTAACATGACCTGCTGCGGTTCAACAAGATACGACCATCGCTATCTCACCTGTATCATGTATCTAGAATCGAGACACGTACTATTAATAGATGTGCCAAAGTCAATACTGTCACTGGACAATCTCCACAACTGAGTCGCTCTATTAGATACCACCGCGGTCATCTGAGATCAAGGCGACCAAGTGCCAATCAGGCACATTGCTTCAAAGACATCAACCACTGACCTCTGTCCCACTCCTACAGACACACCTCGTTCACACCCTTTCGTTCATCTCACTATAAATACATATTAGCTGCTACAGTGTACATGTGTAGATATATATACACGTCGGGCGTTCTCACACCCTACTCGGGTCCCCTAGATGCGCCGTCGCTTCATGCCGTTCTCATCACAGGCACCCAGAGACCGCTTGAGCCCTCCAACTGCATCAACAAAGCCATCGGTCTCCCGACGCAGCTTGGAACCCACAGAGGGAAGCTTGTAGTTGACAGGAGCCCCTCGAGATCGCCGAGAACGAGGCTCAGGGGTTTCCAGCTTGATGGGCTTCTTGGCAACCGTATCAGCTGCCACCTTGACGGGCTTGACGGGCTTTTCGGCAAGCTTGGATGTTTTAACAGTCTCGACCTTGCCCTTGACTCCATCGGCTCCATTATTTTTGCTGCCATTGGCATCCTTCTGCATCAGAGGAGAGGTCTTGGAAGGTTTGGCAGTGGCCTTGGTGCTCTTTCTTGATGTAGTCACCTTGACACCACCGGTGGCAGTTGGAGCGCGACTCTTCCGGGCAGTCACGTTGTTGTCCAGACTCTGAAGCTTCTCGAGACCCTTTTCAAACATTCCCGAAACGGGCTTCTCCAAAGACTCCACAGTCGTGAGTCCTGTAGATACAGGAAGTGACTCAGCTGTCTTAGTAGAAGTCCGTCGAGAACGATTAACCCTCCTTTCAACCTTCTCCTCCTGAACATGCTCTTCCTCAACTTCCATCTCCTCATGCTTTGCAGCCTCCTCAGCCGCCTTCTCCTTCTCAGTACTGGCTCTTCGGGAAGATCGTCGACTGCTGGGACGGGAACAGGGTGACACGGGATCCTCCACTACCTGCTCCATGCTCTCTCGTCGCTTCCGCTCCTTCTCCTGTCGCTCCTTGGCACTCTCGGGGGTATCAAACAATGAAGGACGAGATCGAGGAGGGGTTGTAGAGACAGCAGCTGGTTTATTTGAAGGGGCTGGGTTCACAGGGGCAGAGGCCTCAAGGCCAGCTTCCTTAACAGGGGATACAGGGTCGGCAAACACGTGGATCTGCTTCTCCCGAGATCCAGGGCGGGAGGAAATGTTGCGAGAAGCGGATCGAGAGTTAGGCCGTGAATGGCTCGAGTTGGGACGAGATCGCTGCTGAAGGAATGCAAAGGACTCTCCATCTGTGGACACTTCCTCCATAGGCTCTCCTCTGGGGGCAGAAGTTACCCGTCGGAAGGAGCTGGAGAAGGGAGACGGGAAAGAAGACTCGTCGATTGGTGAAGGGAAGGGCTTCTGTTTGGCAGGCGATGCAAAAGAGGCGTTCTCTTTTATAGGTGAAGCAAACGACGACTTCTCCTTCACAGGCGAGGGGAAAGAAGTCTCCTGGATCAGGGAAGGGAACGATTCGTGCTCGGGAGAGGCGAAAGAAGTCTCCTGAACAGTCTCTTGGATAGGTGAAGGGAAAGAAGTCTCCCGGACAGCAGAGGAGAATGATGTATCCTGTGTCTCCTGAGTATCCATTTCCATTGGCTCGTCGTAATGTTCCTCCACGTGCTCATTGAAATGCACCTTCTCTCCTCTATCAACATCCATCTCGCTCTCTGCCTCCTCTGCCTGATGCTGCTTCTCCATCTCCTCCATGTGAGCATTCACCTCGTCAACTGGAACCTCACCCCATCCCTCAACGTCGTCAGCCATCGGAGTGACGACATCTCGAGCCTCCAAATGCAATTGTTCTGCCGAAGGATCGAGCACGTCCTCGGCGTCCTGCAGCAGGGGCAGCTCGCCAAAGAACGATGATCGACGTCGAGAAGACCGTCGTCGTGCAAAGTCAGCAGGACCCATGGTCTGTCGACTTGCCGAACCTCTAGAGAGCGAGTGTCTGCCAGATACAGGAGAACCTCTAGATAGAGCTCGAGAATCGGGAGTCTTTGAAAGTGATCTGGAAAGGGAAAGCTCAAAGTGCTCCTGAGAAGCCGATTCATGAGAGCGTTGCTCCGAGTCTCCATCGACTTCTCCCAACAGTCCTTGCATCAAATCGTTGATTCCATTGATATGCTGTTGCAGTTGCTTTTTGAGATTCTGGCTGACATGCGATCGCAACCAATTGTCGTGGCTTCTCTGCAACTCGAGATTCTTTTGCCGCAAACAAATGTTTTCACTGATAAGTTCGCTCATATGGTGTTCCAAAGCCGACATTTTGGTGTTGAGATTGGAATTCTGTCGTGCCAGAGACTTGTTTTGGAGATACAGACGGGTGGTTAGTGTTTGTTGTTGGGGTTGACCCTGTTGCTGCTGCTGCTGCTGTTGCTGCTGCTGTGACTGGTGGGGTTGCTGCAACTGGGGCTGCTGAGGAGCACTGTTTCGGCGTACCATTTGCTTCAGCTTTGCCATGGGCGATTGTGTTTGTGTCTGTTGCTCTTGTTGTTGCTCTTGACGTAACTGTGCCTGGGACCCAGGCTTGGTTCCCGCATTGTCAAAGATCTGAGCAGACTTTCCGGCGCTGTCGAATATCCCTTCCTTGCTCACATGCAAAATGTTGGCCTTGACCCGAGTCTTGCGTCTCATCTCAGGCTCTGGGGTGGATTTTCGGGCCATTATAGAAGCAATGTCGGAGGGGGTGTTGTGTTTGTGTCGTGTTGTTCAAGTAGCTGTGTCGGATGTTGTCGTGTCGGTGTGTTTGTGTCGGTGTCGGTGTGTCTGTGTCACTTGTCGTGGCGACTATGTTGTATTTGTGTCGCCTCCAAAACGTTCAAAACGTGAATACTTTTCAGCTGTGTCGTGGTGAGAGAAGAGTGGTGATAATAAAGCATGTTTTGGTACAAACGCACTTGCATACCACGCCGCATGAAAGACGCAATGCGCCAAAACAACGGGTCGACGTGTGGGCACACCTACACTAGGAGATAACCAGGGTAAAAGAAGTACGAAAGCAGATTTTTTTTTGGGAAAACCAAATTATACCAATCTTACTGTTATTATTCCCCAGTGACCTCGTTATATTACCATTCAATCACTAAATAAACCACTCCTTAACTCCTTAATGGCTCCCATCACACTAATAAGGTTTTGACCCACTGAACAATAACATATCTCTACCTCGGAATATATATATATATATATATATATACTGCGCTCTTTGAGCTGAAAAGTTGTAGGTAAACTCCCACGTACTTTTAAAACTGGTTGTTGAAATTTTAGGGAGATCTGGACACCATATCTCCCGCTTTTGAAGTGTGTAAAAGGTCAGGCAGTTATGTTAGAAGCTCATACAGGAGAGTTGTATACAGTCGATCCGAGACATCTGTAATGTTAACTACACTACCGTGATTAGTAAAAAATTCTGTTAATTCCAGAGGGTTACACTTTAACAAGTTTTCTACAGAGTCATTTGCTGACAAGTTGTCAACTATACCGGTGCTCACTATGATACATGTATTTCTATCCTAACATTTTACCCGTCACTGGGAAACAAAGCGTCCCACATATCCTGACGGTTGACCACCTCTCCGGATTTATCGGTGGCGAGCGCACCCACTCCTGATGTCACATGTCGAGATTCATTCTCCTCAAACGTCTCATCACCGTCCATACTTTTCAACCGCTTGTTAATAGCAAGACGCAGAACCTCTTCTTCAACAGTATCGGCCATAGTGAAGATAGTCACGTGGGTAGTCTGAGTCTGGCCCATTCGGTGGATTCGACTGATGGCCTGAGCCTCAAGAGCAGCGTTGAGAATGGGCTCGCATAGAATGACGTGAGTGGCATTTACAAGAGTCAGGCCAGTGGACTGGAACTTTGCGTTCAAGAGGAAACACGTGACTTCTTCCGATTGCAAGAAAGACATCAGTGTTTTCGGCTCCGCGTATGCAATCTTGTTCTCAGTGAGGGCTGAAGCTAACAATGTGAGAATCTCTGCCCACTGAGAAAAGATGACAATCTGAGTGCCAGGAGCCCGATGAGTGAGCATCTTGATATACTTGATAACGTGGTCAATCTTTGTGCCATACGCACTCTTGATGCTCTGTTTGCTCATCAACTGTTGAGTGTCCTCCGACACTGGCGCATACATTGCTCCAATGGCGTCATCTTGATTGATCCGAGCAGCGAAAGAACCTGCACGTGACTTGTCTTCCTTGTCCTGTTGGGTGAAAGAGAACACATCGTCGCGGGACAATACAGTCTTGCACATTGGACACGTATTATGTGTCTGCCACCACTCTTCCAGGCAGTTTCTGCAAAAGTAATGGCCACAGACAGTGATGGATCCCACGATAATATAATCATCCTGACAGATGACACACATTTTATGAATTCCAGTCATGTTGGAAACTCCAGTTGTGTCATCATCACCTTTGAGACTCTGTAAGTATGTGATTCGGCCCTTTGTACGCTTGATTAAAGGTACGAGATGGTTTATTTTGGCGTTCAGGCGTTCCAGTGTGACATAACCAGGCTCGATGAGTTCCTCCAGACTGCTCACATTGTCAGACAGTTGCTGCAGCTGCTTGTAATAGACAACCTTCGAGTTGAAACAGCTTCTAACGACTGACAACAGGTCTCTGCAAGCCTTGGTTGTCGAGGTAACTGTCTTAACGATCGGATTGAGCTTGGACAGCAACTTGGGAGGCCATTTCGGGTTGTAAATTGACAATGAAACAGCTCCAGAGTCCGTCTTCAGAGCAGCAACGATAGGTTTGAGGGCACCAAGAGTGGGACTCACATGACAAGCGTCCAGAGCTTCCTTGAGGGCCACCTGAAGATCGGTAAGCTCTTCTTCGTAGTCATTGTGGTACCACAAGTTAACTTGGATCTTGTCGGCTGCTGAGGCCGTAGTCTTGGCATTGAGAGCTTCATCTCTGAGTTGCAGCAGGTACGATATAGCATCAAGGTAGTCCGACGCATATTGTTGGTTGTCTAATCCAGAAGCATAAGGATCAGTGTTTTCGCCTTCAACTTTCTCGACATCTCCTTTATTCTTCTTCTCATCTGTTTCTTTCACGTCCTTCTCGTCACGTGCAACCAACAGCTCTCGAACTCTGGTCATCCATTCTTCAAGATATTCGGACTGTTGGTTGATGATCTCGAGTAGACCCGAAACACGTGCCTCAAGGAAAGGAGAAGCCTGTACTAGATCTCGAGTCAAGGTATCAACAGGGATCTGAACCATCTCCAGCTCCTTGGCCCGTTCAAGTCGACCCACGTCTTGGTCTACTCTCTCAATAGGGCGTTGAAGTAGCTGGGTTCGGATTTGTTCTGCCAGCGTGTAATAGTGCGTTTCCAGACTGTGTTAGTACACATATACATAAGAGGAGCGAATGGCACAAGTTATTCTGCCACTCATGATATCTCTATACTCACTCGTCACTCTTGGTCCCTTCATCCTCCTCTTTCTTGACCTCAATCTCTTCCTTCTCTTCATCTTCCTTCTCTTCATCGTCCTTCCCATCCTCTTTTTCTTTCTTCTCCTCAGCCACTTTTTTACTGTGTTAGTATGTCTCATGACCTCTCATGACCCCAGTAGAACCACCACGTCATTACAAATCTTTGTCATACTCACGCTTCTCCAACTTGGAAATGAAAAGTAGCAATGAAAAAATAGTACCGATGCATAAGATCCATCCAGCTCCTGTACCGGTGCAGAAAAGCCTGTTTTCGCTCCTTCTCCGTCTGAAGTTCCTCGGAGTTGTTCAGGTACTTTTGTAATGGTTTGGACATCTTACCAGTGCTCTCAGACTCCGAATCAGAGCCCAGAAAAGCAGTTGGAGCTCCAAAAATGGAGTTGTTCTCAGTTCCCTCCATTTTAAAATCTTCGGAAACCTCCTCCTTTGCCACTTCTTCCTCCTTCTCCTCTTTTTCGACCTTGACTTTCTTAACATTAGCAGCACCGTCATCACTCTCCTCCAACTTGCGCTTGTTATCAACCTCACCAATACGCTTCCACTCGGAAATTACCTCCTTCTTCTTCATAGCATACCGCGTAGCCGCAGCAACAGCCATATCTCGGATCTCACCAGTTCGAACCTCGACTTCAGAAACACGTGACTGAAGCACTGTGAGTCCAATGTCTGGTTGTTTGTTGAACTCGTGAACTCGTGCCTTCTCCAGCTCTTCGACAAACAGACTTCGCTCGTCGTTCAGCAGCTGGGTGAGCGCCTGGTCGCACATGGCGTCCAGCACGTGACTGACAGTTTGAAGAATACCGTTTCCGAGAGCCTTCTTGTTACCAGAACCGACTCGAGGATGGCAGCAGGTTTGTCGTAACCGTAACAGCCAGGAAGAGAGGGTTGCTGTTGTTAAATCCGCAGGAGCGGAAGATGCTGGAGGAGCAGAAGTTCCATTTTGGGATCTGGTGGAGGCTGTAGGGGTGGCAGTCGGGGATACCTCTATATCGGGAATAGCACTAACATTGATGTCAGTGTTGCTAGCTGTATCAGATGTGGGAGATTGAGCGTTATCATCGCCGTCAGCATCGGTGCTACTAGCAGCTGTACCGCTAGACTCACCACCATACGTGTCTACAGCACCCGACCAGGTAGTGTAGACATGTTGGCCGTCACCCTCTCCACTAGAAGTGATACTGGGATCAATCTCAATTTCAGGTTCAATGACTGTGTTGTTGATATTCGCCATGATACTAGCATAGGGATTAGAGCCTCCGATGTTGAAAGTGCCTCTAGGTCTGTTGCTCACAGGGGGAGTGACACTTGAAGGCAGAACGCCATACCTATCCACCACAGCTGCCTCACGTGTAGCTTCCCTCTCTTCTCTCATGAGAGAACTAGCCACTGCCTCACTGACGGCACTCTCAACACCTTCACGCAGGTGTCGGTAGTTTTCTTCCTCGACTAGATTGAATCTGAGTCTCACATGGTGTCTTTCCTGAGGAGGCAATACTAGTTGATCTCTGACCTGTCGCTTAGTATGTCGAATAGACATTTGACGAATAACGTCTCGAAACCGAGGCTTGTCAAGCATGAGCATCTCCCAGTGTTTTTGATGACTTACTCCAGATGCTGTCATAGTTGTGCTGAGGTATCCGTTTTGCCAAGAGTAGTTATACGCATCTGTGTTAGTCGTAGCCCTTCATTGAGCCATATGGTTTTTTGTTTTTTTGTCACATGCCACTCTGACTGTTCCTTTAGTATACTCACAATCACTTCTTCCATAAAACTCGCCGGGTTCACATCTCAAAAACACACACATGCCAAGTAAGTCAGGCATGCCCTTCTTTATAGGAGTACCACTGACTCCCCATGCATGCACTCGGGGAATAATACGAGCTACAACAGCTGCGTTGGAGACCGTGTTTCCCACCATCTGAACCTCGTCCAGAATCACACGCCAGAACTGAAGCTGACTCAGTGGAGATTGGAGGGAAAGCCGGTCTTGCACGAGATCGACATCTCGGGTATCTTTCGACTTTAGCTTCGTCTTGGTGCGAGTTACACGACCTCTCAGAGGGTTGTAAAGAGCGTTGGCAACCTCGCGAGATGCAACTTCATAGGATGTGACTACAATGTCGAACTGAGAGAGAAATTGTGCATGTTTTGAAACAAGAGGGCCTTCTGAATCAGTATCTGAGTCAATTCCAACCTCAATATCGGTATCGGGAGTACCTTCCTTCTCTCTTTGAGCATCCAAAGCTGCTCGACCAGTGTACAGAAAGACAGAGAGACTGGGAGCATGTTTAGTAACCTCAGCAATCCACTGTTGACTGATACTGGCAGGACATAAAATGAGAGTCGTCTTGGTAGGTAACACGTCTCTGTCAGAGTACAGATCGTAGTGTGTTTGCGGTGGAAATTCAGGTCTGGGGTTATTCAGGACTACAGCTAGTAGCTCAACTGTCTTTCCAAGACCCATTTCATCAGCAATAAGTCCATATCCAGCCTTAAAATCTGCGTCACGTGATACTGCTTGAATCTCGGGGTCCTCAGTTGTTGGTTTCGTATCTCGTGTCAAAATCTCCATCACCTCCTTCTCAGGACCAATGTTGAGACCCACAAAATCAACCAACCAGTTGATACCATGAGCCCTGAACCGTTTCCATGGTGAAGGAATTCCCTCTATCGTCTTCTCACGCGATTCTCCCTTTTCTCTATCCAGAACCCACCCCACAGTTTCAAGCTGGTAATCCAAAAGTTTTGATCTCATCCCTTCCGGCTGAAGATCTCTGTTGATCTCAACCTCGGTATCATCCTTGAGTTCCAGGCACTCGTAGAAGTATTCAGGAGTCACATAGTCGTTCTTATGTAGCTGTTTTATCTTAGTTACGCCCAGGAACTGTCGGATGACATTCACAATGTTGAGGTGACCTGCCATATGGATCTCAGGGTTGACGTGGCCATCAAAAGGCTTCGCAAAGACTCCAAAAGTGATGGAAATGCTGTAAACACCATTGTTTTTGGTAACAGTGACGTGAGGATTCACTGAAAAGACACTGACTCGATTTCGCGGGTTAAATTTGGCTACCGAAAGAGCCTGTTTCAAAGCGGTAAGCACGTGGTCACTGGTTTCCACGTTTCCTAGTTGAACAACACCCAAGCATGTTACCAACCAATCTTCGTCCTTCTTGGTCTTTTTGCGGCCTCGTTTCTTGTCCTTGGTGGTGTACTTGGGCGTGACATGAATCTCTAATGTGCTCTCGTTAGGAACCAGGGTAGCAGGCGCAGAAGCGACGATGGGGTCACGTGAGTTCGTTTCGTCACCTGCTTCGGTATTTTTGACGCCATGTGACTCTGGATCGGTGATTTCCAGCACTTCTTCGCCCTCCAGCATCTCTCTTGAGATATCCGCCACCAGCTGCACTTGGACCAGTGGAAGGAGTCCTTGGACGTCTGGCAGCGTATCACGTGCAACATCGAGGAAGCCACGGACCACGTTATCGTTCACAAATGTCGTTTCCACCTCTACCACCGTCGTACTGTCGTTTTCCATGGCGTTTATCGCATCACTTGTCATGGGGGTGATAAGGCAAGATAGAGTTGATTTTGCAGGATTGGCTTTAGTTGGCCGAGAAGTGATTAGTTGGGAGCGTACTTGGTGAGGTTGGGTTTGTCTAAAACGGATATATGCAGAAAAAAAAAAAGAAAGAAAAAAAACCGATATTGGAGAGGTATAAAAGAATGAGAGAAAACAATATCGGTAAAGATATTTGATTTCCTGCCAACTTCTGACTTGAAACGTTAGTCTGTACGTTCTCTGATAGTGCTTGCCGTCACTGTACTAAAGTCTCTACAAGTAGCATAGCTATATTGGATACTGACTCGTTCTTCCTCAGCGATGACTGTTACCAAATTGGAATGTGTAAAGACTCAATAGCGATTAGACCAAACGAAGGGTTACTAAAATTACACCCTATAAAACATTACCTACATCTGCGGCGTCTCCTGTGAGTTAATCATTCATATTTTGTATCATAATTCATCTATTTACCAGCCCCTTACTCAACGTGAACCAGCTCAATTGGCTCAAAGGCTCGCACAACCTCGCCCTTGTTCTCCAGGAAGTCCTTGACATCCTTGACGGAGTACTCTCCTCGGTGGAACATACCAGCTCCAAGAGCCGCGTCAGCAGAGGTCTCTCGGAAGACCTCCTCGAAGTGACCGGGGTTTCCAGCGCCGGAGGAAGCAATGACGGGGATCTTGACGGCAGACTTGACGTGGTCGATGAGCTCAAGATCGAAACCGGAGTTGGTTCCGTCCTTATCAATGCAGTTGAGCAGAATCTCTCCAGCTCCCAGAGCCTCGCACGCCTGGACGAGCTCGAAAACGCCAAGATCTCGGGCCTCTCGTCCGCCCTTGACGGTGCACTGGTACCAGCAGTACTTCTTTCCGTCGGCAGAGGGGTATTTGGTCTCAATGCAAACTCTGTCGGTCAGGGGAGCATCAACGTAGACTCGCTTGGGGTCGACAGAAACAACAACGGCCTGGACTCCGTATGCGGCGGAAATAGTCTCCATGGGGGTCTTACCAGATAGCTTCTTGCCGCTCTTGTAGTACTCCTCGGCAGCAAAGACCGCATCACTACCAATACTCACCTTGTCGGCACCAGACATAAAGTACTGGGTAGCAACCTGTAGAGCGGTGGTGACGTTTCCAGAAGAGTCAGTTACGTCTCGGATACCACCTCCGACAGTCAGGGGCACAAAAACAGTCTTGGAAGTCTGTCGAAGAACCTCCAGCATGGGAAGATCCTGAACAGGGCAGTCTCGGAACGAAGTAATGTTAAGGAAAGTGACCTCATCGGCTCCGTCCTTGTAGTACTTTTCGGCCATGGAAACTGGCTTTCCGAGGTTTCGTACGTGGCCCTCTCCAGTCTTCTCTCGCACGTCATACTGGTCTCCCTTGGTAACAACAAGATCACCCTGGTCGTTGGTTCGAACGTCCAGACAGGCGATGACTCGCTTTGTGAGACCGAACGATGTCTGGGGAGCAATTACAGGGTCCTCCACGTACTTCTTACCCTTGAGGAAAGCGTCAATCACACGCAGACCGGCTGCTCCAGACTTCTCGGGGTGGAATTGGGTAGCAACAACATTGTCCTTGGAAATAGCAGCCACAAATGTCTGGTTACCATATTGTGACGTGGCAATATCCCAGCCTGCAGCCTCGATCTTGTTCTTGACGGCCTCATCCAGAATACAAGCGTACGAATGCACAAAGTAGTACTTGGAAGAAGGCACCATGCCGTACAGAGACTTGTGCTCGGCGAAATCTCGGCTATCCACCGAGTTCCAGCCAATCTGGGGCACGCTCTTGTCCTTATCGTCAAACTTGCTCAGAACACCGGGCACAAGACCCAGTCCTGCAACAGTCTTGGACTCCTCGGATCCCTCAAAAAAAGCCTGGAGACCCACACAGATGCCAAACAACGGCCGTTTGCTCTCAATGTACTTCTTGAGGGGGCCAATGAATCCTCGGGCGTCAATCTCCTTCACAAAGTGGCCAAAGTTGCCAACTCCGGGGAAAATGAGCTTCTCAATGGAGTCAGTGATCTGGTCTGGGCTAGAGACCCACTCCACCGTGTATCCCAGCACGTTGAGGGCGTTTTCCAGAGACCGCAGGTTGCCAGACTCGACGTTGATCACGTGGATAATTGGCATCTTGTATCTTGTAATGTTGTGTGCTGTGGTATGGTGTTTTTTTAAACAGACACTCTGATTCCATTTTTATTTAGTTCTCCAAATTTGACTCACTACAGATTTTAGAGTTCATGACTCAATGCGAGATTTCGATATCCGAATGTGCTGGGGACTTTACGATAGTATGCGACGATTTCTTGGAAGAGGGAAAAGGGGGGAATGGAGGTTGCAAACGACGTTAAAATATTGAAAAATTACATGAAGGGACACTCTTGAAGATTGTCTATTTTCAGGTGTAGAGAAGTTCTTCACATGTGATCTATATATCCCGTATCAAGAGACTCCCGTGTAGTACATACCATGAGATTGCCAAAAATTATTTTTCGTAATATCCAATGGAAAGTTCAGAATCAGAAAGTGAGCGAAGGACACAATGGGGGTCACAAGAGGCAGGATAGAAGGAATTTAAAAAAAATGAGACCTGCGAGATTCGAACTCGCGCATCTTGCGATACCAGGGATTTTATGTTTAAGCGTGTTACACCTAAACCTGGCGCCTTAGACCGCTCGGCCAAAGTCCCTTTTTTTGATTTTTAAAAATCATTCCCTCCACCTTCTGATTACTTAATCACGTGACAATAAAATTTAACAAAAACCTGGCTTACTAGGCATCTAGTTGTAATGAATCATTAGAATAGAAAAAAAACGAGACCACGGCAAGGACAAGGACAAGATGAAGCGACGACAAACCAATTGACATGGGCCTCGGAACGCTCATCGAAACGATCACCAAGTGTATGATTTATTGAACGCCAACAACCCTGCTTATTACTGGTACAAGTAGGTATATAGCTGTAATCATTAGAATTAAAAACAAAAAATTAAAAAAACTTGAATAAAAAAACTTAGAATAAAAAGGAGGATCCCTAGAATATAAAATAATAATAAAAAACACTGCACAATTGTCGCAATAAGCACGTCTACCACATTCCACCCGACTTTCAGTCATCTATTTTACCGACTACAGCTTCTTCGTTTCCCAGCAGCCCAAGAGGGCAGTGTCAGAAACGACTACCTTTTATTTGCTTTGCTTGATTGTTGATATATTTATTCGGTCAAGAGATGGAACAGGAAACATACGTGAACAACCGAACTCCACTGTCATGCGCTCTTCTGAACAACCGAATCCGAATCCGAATTGCGGGTATTGTTTGGGCCAAGTACAGTAGCTGAAATGTATGTCCCGCGAACATTCTGGACCAAATTTTGAAGGCTCAAAATGGCTGGCTGTCGAGTTCAAATACAGACTTAAAACTAGTTGATTGGTAAATTCACAGTCTGTTTCTTCTCTCAGAATATTCTTTTCTGCATTTTCTATTCCAACATGATCGCACTCTACAATATGCCACTTTTTCAGCAGTCAAAGGCACACGTAAGTGTCCTAAAAATTATTTATTTGTAAAAACACTGTGAAAAAAGACTTTTTCAACTGGCAGGAATGCTTTCATCAACATATATTTGGAATATCGTAATATTCCCTTAACAAAAAACTCTTCATTAGATTCTCCCCACTGTTTTACTTGAGTCCAAGTACTGCATGAACCCTATTCCTGATAGCCTCTTATCAGCGAAAAAAAATATTGAGCCTTGTTAACATCTGCACTAACATCACACAACAGTATCAAAAATGGCCAAGACCGTCAAGAGTAATAAGCGAGCCGACCGACGGGCCATGCCCGAGGATATCAACCTCGATTCTCCCGCCAAAACCGACCGAGACTCCGGTAAGGCTATTGTAGCTGAGGCCATTGCCAAAATGAAGGTACGAGAGGGAGATCACGATGATCTGGACGACATTATTGCCCAGAAGACCACTCTCAGTGGCGGAGGAGTTACCAAGCGAGGCCACAAGTCTTCCAAGCAAAAACTGCGACGAAAGCAGGCAATGGAGCGAGCCTTCGAGAACCAGGAGCAGCTGGCCCACAAGACCGAGACTTCAAAAATCCGATTCAAGAAGATCAACAAGAACCGAAAGGCCACCTGGGAGGAGACCAACGAGAAGCTGGAGGCTGAAAAGCGACATAAAATGAAGGATGCCCGAGAGAAGGCTGAGAGAGAGCGAGCAAAGAACGCTTTTGCTTTGCTAGACGAGAGTGAAGCTTAGTTGGACACTGGCAGTCGTCACTCATTTAAAGGATGAAAAAACCGAACAATGATCATAATATCTGTTCGGAAATGGATATAATGGAACTACAAGTGGGAACAAATTGTGTATTTATTACATTATTATTAAACGCCAATATGTACTCGTACTGCAGCACCAATTATAGAGTATTGGTTTCGGTGGGAGTGTACTTAAAGGACAGTAATGTCCATTGAACAATTTCGCACTGGACCATTGTATCAACGGCGCGTGACCTTTGAGACTGGTAGTACTCGGTAAACACCACTGGTAGCTCTTAGCACAGCACATATATCCTTTTCTCTTATGTTTCTCCACCAGATTACAGTAAATTGAGAGAGACTCCACATTACTGTAAACGCCATGAAGTAATCCTGACTTTACTGAACATTGTTTTTATCCCACGTTCAGAATACTGTATAATCGTACAACAGAACATACAGGTATATGGTACTAAACATTATCGTACAAGAGTACAATTGTCTTAGGTACTTGTAGGTCTCATCCCCCCACCGGTTGCTTCCACGAATCACATGTCTTCCATCTGTTAATACTTTCATTTCACCCTCTCAACCTCTCTGTCGTACCTTGTACTTGTACAAGTAAATGGAACGTCGACACGTTTTGATACTTACCTATTAGCATGAAATCTATACAACCCCCATCAAGTACTACAAGTAGACACCTGGGGACTTCACAGAAATCAAAACCGCCCCCAAAACTCCAATCCCAAGCATTCAACTCATTTCTGCTGTTCCCGGATCTCTTCTAATCTCTCAACGCGCACATGTCTCTCTTTCACAATCAAAGTTCTAAGGGTGGCGGACGTTCGTCGACAAGTAGTATAAGTCCCTGAATTATGACGCTAGAAAGAAGAGGAGTTCGATTATGAGAGATTCGCGACTGTATTTGGTCCACTCTCAACTTTTGGTAACACCCACCCTCCCAAAACTCGTTTTCTGAAAGAACCACCCCAACTCCTAATCGTCTTAACCTTCGAGTTTCACATGTAAATAGAATCCACGAGAACATAATACGGCAAGAAAGATGATGCCATCCGTATTCCGTATTTTATACAGATTCATACGAGCAGTGATCTGCAGATCCCCTATTCTATTACTTCTTCGTTGGAAATTGTCGTGAAAATAAATACATTGTTATAGATATCGTTCTAGTTTTTGAGATTATGGCATAAATCCAGAGAAAGAGGGGGTTTTTTTTACGCAGAACACGCAAGATGAATGTCAGCCTGGGGTACTCTCTCTCTCTCTCTCTCTTTCACACACACACTCTCTCTCTCTCTCTCTCACTCTTCGGACTACCTCCTGTCTCTACCCCATCCACACTTCAGCGTTCGTCCGTGGATATTATACCCATTGAGCTGCATCATGGCTATCTGCGCTCTTTTATGTGAATCGTAGCTTACAAAAGCGTAATTGGAATGATGCTTGAACTCCACCACGTAGCCAAAGTTCTGCAGAAGAGGAATCAGCTCCGACGGATGCATGTTTGGCAAATTACCAATGTACACCGTTTTCGGTAGACCCATCTTGTCACCGCCACGGTCACGGTCGTTGCGGTCACTTCGGTCACTTCGGTCACTTCGGTCACTTCGGTCACGGTAGTTTCGATTGTTCATCATGTTGTGGTTGCCAGGTCCGTGGTTGTGGCCTCCCATCCCTTGGTTGCCATAAGGTCCAAAGTTGCCCATGCCATTATTGAATCCACCCATGCCGCCCATTCCTCCCATTCCACCCATGCCTCCCATGCCTCCCATGCCGCCCATGCCACCCATTCCACCTCCCATGCCGCCACCCATATGTCCTCCCATGTGCCCTCCCATGTTTCGTCCTCCCTGGGGTCCCGACTGACCCTGCATGTTGCTGCGTCTCGAGCTGGCCCAGTTAGCACGGATCACCCGGCTGCCGAGCACACTGCCGTTTTCAATCAAACCCCGCTCCGCGCCCTGTTTGGTCTCAAACGAAACAAAGCCGTAGCCTCGGGACCGACCCGTCGTCATGTCCCACATGACTCGTGCATCCAACAGCCCCGGAATGTGCGCAAAGTGCTTGTGCAGCATTTCGTCGTTGACGTCGGCGCCCAGGTCGCCCACAAACAAGTTATAGTCACGCTCGACCTTGGTCTGGAATGCGAACGAGACGGAAATCTCCTGACCGTGGATCTGGCGGTTGTTGAGCGTCTGCATCGCCAGCTGTGCAGCCTCCTTGTCCTCGTACTCGATAAAGGCAAAGTTGATGTTAGCCTTCTGTCGGTCGGGGAAGATTTTGATGGACTTGATAGGTCCTGTAACCTTGAACAGGTCTAGCAGAATGGACTCCTTCACGGAGGCGTCCACTCCCGCCACGTAGAGCACGTGCGGGTTGATTTCCCGGCCGCCACACGTGGCTATAGCGACTGATCCTGTGGTTGCTCCCGACGTGGAGCCTGTCTCTTGCGCACTGCCCGCGTCGCTAGCGTGGCCAGATTTTCCCATGTTGACCGTGCTGGCCGCTGTGTACGTGTTGTGAGCCACGGGGGACGATGTGCCCGACAGCGATACGGGCTTGGTGTTGGTGAGTCCCGGAATATGGATGGGGTTTGTCGCTGTAGGAGTTGTTGTTGTCGTTGGGGTGTTTGCCGCCGGTGACGTCTTGCCACTCGTGTTAGAGGGAATTTCGTGTGCATTCCCACTGGTCACATCCGTCTTGTCATTGGTATTGGTGTTGGTATGGTTGGTATGGTTTGTATTGGTGGTATTGGTGGTATTGTTGGTGTTGTTGGTATTTTCTGTGTTGTCGTCTGTATCTCCATTTGCACCGCTTGCACTGTCTGTGCCCTTCACATCACTGGTATCGTCCTTAGGAGGAGACTTGGGCGGAGTCTGAGAAGCTGGAGGAGGGGGACACTTGTTGTGTGTCGTCTCAGGAGATGTCTGCGGAGGCGTGTCTGCGACTGGAGGCACATTCAGAGGTGCCCTTTTGTCGGACTCTGTCTTTTCCTCGTTGGATGCTGCTGCTGGACCTTCCTCAATTGAACTTGTGGACGAGGTTGGTTGCAAAGCCGATGTTAAAGGTGGAGAGTGTGCTGTGGCGAGTTCGGGGCTCACGTGACCGTGTTCATGCTGGTCGGAGTCGCCCATTCTGGCTGTATTTTGTCGAAGGTCGGTCTTGTCGCGGGCTCCAAAAGGTCGAAATACTCGTGTTGCAGAGGTAATTAGCTTGCTATATTTTTGTGGACGGAGATGCGAAACCAAATATATTTGAGTTGCAAAATGTAGCCTTCCTTGATGCAGATGGGGTGAGCCTTTGGCGAGGTTGATAGAGTGCAGTGAAGGACGGTGAAATATAGGTTTTAAGCGTTCCAAAGAGGCCGTTTTCACAGGGCACCTGACCACTCGGACTCTGTGGGCTGATAAGTCCAAAATACCACCTCTTCCAACCGCTTGCTTTGACAAAACTCCATGCCATTCTCATTTGAGAATACGTTAAAAGCTCGACTTTTGAGTTTCAGAAAACATTGCTGCATTTGGCACGATTCTTGGTACATACTGTACATAATAATGGAGTCACCTTAACGGCGGTGGCGGGTGTCGAGAGAGGATATAGTGGGTGTTTTGCGGCCAGTTTGAAGCGTTTGAACGGCAGCAAATTTTCGGCGGAAAACGTTGCTTTTGGAAGTTCTCTTTCTCGCATCTTCCAGACCCTTCCACAGACCCGCCACCTCCTCGCCTCTCGGCCGTCTTACATAATCACACCAGACTCATGTTGGAGGCGTTCACGCAACCGGAATCCAACTCCTGTTTAGGTTGCCATGTAAAAGACTGGGGTCCACGAGAATCAGCTGTCTAGACGAGTTAGAGAGCATCTACCAACCCAGATTTTCTCTCCACCAAGGACACATCATCAAATACTCTATATAAAGGCTCAAACGAGCGGTCTCCCCCACCATAAAAACACACTTCACACTAGCGCCATGCTCACAATGATACAAGAAACTTGCCGACTGCAGGGTAAGCTTAAGATTACAGTATCATAGGATTATAGCGAGTACGAAGATGGAACAAGACATGTATACATGCAGAAACTTGTCAGATTGGGGAGTGGAGAAGGGCGAAAATTACAAGTGTTTGCGACAAAAAAGAAACAGAAGGAAAAACCTCAAAGAGCTGGACCGCAAAAGAAGGGAGTCACGTGACCTGGCCGAAGGGCTTCCGCACCCTCCCCCACCATCCCCCCCACCGTCCGTGCCCCTACCACTCTCTTCACATGATAGCAATCTAACATGTCAATTCAAAAGCCACTTGAGTTTCATTTGCAGTTTGCCTTGAACCTATAAAGAAGTTTGTAGGGTATCAGGTCCGAAGAAAAAAAACCGCCTTTGGCAGCAGCTTCGGCCGTCGGTACAAGCCAAAAGATTGCTATCGGCCCGCCACACCCTTCAGGGAGTTGCAGCTTTCTCCCCAATTTTTAAAGCTACTTAGAGACGTGCCGAATATCTGATATTAAATCAAAAAATCACAACAAAAACTTGGAATTAATACAAATAAGAAACTACGTCATACAAGAGCGCAGATACGGAGGTGGTTTTACTGAGCGTAAGATCACGGGAGACGCGTTGAATGGTCTCGCTCCATACCGTCAAGACCCAGCAGCATTCATGCCGAGATTACCAGTGTGTATGTAAGATGAGATCTGGAGCAACGTCTTAGGGGCTATATTCTTTGAAACTATTTGAAGGGCATCATATTTGGTGCGTTCAATCAAAAAGTGTGTCGAATGTCATGGTTTTCTATTTATCGACTTGTATGGTGTTGTTAAAGTCATCTTGGGTGCTACTAAGAGATGGATCAACAGTGTATTTGACTCAAGGAGTTTGTTGCACGGTCTGTTTGAAAGCATACTCCTATCATGGACCCTGATTAAACTGCACGATTAATCATCAAACTGTGTACACTGTATAATTTTACCACACCCTCTTGATATCAGGCACTTGACCATGCACAGCTCTCTCAAGTCGTTGTAGATAAATCTGTTGTCCCATTCCAAATCAATAATCTATAATGCGTTTGTTAAATATCCTCCATGCTTCCCAACTAGTACTCTCCACACTCACTAACGACAACGTCTCGCTTGGGCTTCTCTTCCACTACAGGCACGTTCTCCACAAACTTGACCACGTCCATGCCCTCAATCACATGTCCAAACACCACGTGCGAGCCGTCCAGTTCGGGACATTTGCGCGTTGTGATGAAAAACTGGCAACCGTTGGTATCTTTGCCTGAATTTGCCATCGATAGAGCGCCTTCAATATGCGGGAATGTTTTGCCAGAGATGGTTCGTTCGTCGGGGAAGCTGGCACTTCCAAAGATGGACACTGTTCCGAGTCCGTTGCCACGCACAAAGTCGCCTCCCTGGATCATGAATCCCTTGACCACTCGGTGGAATGTGCTCTCCTTGTATCCTTGGGGAACATTGTCGATTCTGTATTCTCCGGTGCAAAACTGGCGAAAGTTCTCGCATGTTTTGGGCAGATCTTCCGAGTACAGCTTGAACTTGATGCGGCCGATGCGCTGGCCATCGTAGGTCACGTCCAGAAACGTGATGGTCATGCCTGTGTGCTGTAGGGTGGGGTGGCGAGTGGTGATGTTTTTAGGAGGTGGATTTGCAGTGAGTTTATTTTCGTCAGTTATGAAATACGAGACATTAACTGGATGAGGGCAGAGACAATAAAACGCAATATGTGAGACGTGAATCGACTCAAGAATGTGTGATTAATTGATTGGAGTCATAATGAGAGAAATACACCATTTATTGAACGTTCTAGATACTACTTGTTCTTCCTTACTAGGTATCGTAAAAAGGGGTTGAAACGACCAACTGGGTCGATTTAAAAACATGCTAAGTACCGTACCGGGCAGGGTACCAACTCTACAAGTATCGTAAGGGTACCCAGTAAGTCTCTAACAATCTCTTCCAATGATAGATTACTCATCCCAAACCTCAAAAAAAGACCACAATATGAGACTTGAATCTCTGTCGGCTATACATACAGTAGATCCTCTCTTTGAACGACACACTATCGTGTATGGTAACTAGTCCTTCTAAGTAACTTATGGCTCTGCAATAGTATGTACAGTACATACTATTACTGTACTGATAGGCTACTAGTAGCGCTAGAGCTCTCAGAAATGTCTTGCTTACGTACTTAGTCTTATGACCGAGATCCCGCTCACACCGACGCTCCACATCCACATCAGGCTTATTAATCAACCGAATGATACCCCGCCTAACGTGCAACATATCGAACAATCAGGCCATTCTCCAACGCCCCTCTTCAGGAGCAATAGTCTGGATAACAAAGAGCAGAGCTGCAATTGGCCGAAACCTTGTTGGTTTGAGTGTCACGTGATCTGTACTCCACATGGCCCTTCCTTAACTTTGTTGGTCTACATGCGTATCGAGTTTCCGACCCTGAGATATTCTCTATATTCACTATAAGGAGCGACTTTCCAGACCGACACGAGACACAGACATTCCGATACATCAATTGAACACGTCAGCAATACGAGATATCAACCTAACACGTCACAAATCAACACAACACCACATCACCCCACAATGTACACAACCAACGCCATCAACCCCGAAAAGGCCATTGACAGATCTGTGGCAGACCAGCCTCCGGCCGAGGAGGATCTGTACTTTGAGCAGAACCCTGCTCCTGAGTATCTGCCTGAGTTTGAGCGAAAGCTGTCTGAGTTTCTGACCAATAACGGCACCAGAAAGGTCGCTGTAGTCACCAGTGGAGGTACCACTGTCCCTCTAGAGAACAACACTGTTCGGTTCATTGACAACTTTTCCGCTGGAACTCGAGGTGCCACATCAGCAGAGTACTTCCTCGAGAATGGCTATGCCGTGGTTTTCCTCCACCGTCAGTTCTCTTTGCTTCCTTACTCTCGACATTACACCCACTCCACAAACTGTTTTCTGGACTACATGGTGGAGTCCGAGACCGAGCCTGGGTCTGTCAAGGTTGACGAAAAGTACCAGGTCCAGATGCTGGATGTGCTGCGAAAGTACAAGCAGGCCCAGAAGGACAACACTCTGCTACTGCTGCCCTTCACCACTGTTACCCAGTACCTGTTTTCGCTCCGATGCATCGCTCTGACAATGTCCAAGCTGCATGTGGACACCCGGTGTGTGTTCTATTTGGCTGCCGCGGTGTCTGATTTCTTCATGCCCACCTCTAGACTGCCCCAGCACAAGATCCAGTCTTCTGGAGGTGAACTTGTGGTCAACCTGGACCCAGTTCCCAAGTTCCTAAAGCGACTGGTCGAGGCTTGGGCGCCACGTGTCATGATTGTGTCATTCAAGCTGGAGACGGACGAGTCCATTCTCGAGTCCAAGGCCAAGACGGCGCTGGAGCGATACAACCACCAGCTGGTGATTGGTAACCTGCTGCAGACCCGAAAGAAGGAGGTCATTTTTGTGACTCTGGAGGAGACGGAGAAGTACTCGCTGACGGATGAGGAGGAGAAGGAGGGTAAGGAGATTGAGGAGATCATTGTCCCTGAAGTGATTAAGCGACATGATGTGTGGCAGGAGAAGGTGTGCAACTAGTGAGGGATTGGTAAGATCACGGGTACACAGCTTTACAATACGAACCGGAGCTGGAACTGAAAATGGAGGACGATATCATATCTGACTAATGTCATTATTTGTATACACGGGGCTGGTATTGTTAGCTACAAGCAAACGTAGTGGCCATTGTAGACCGCGTGCAGTGAGGATTTTGGTTTTTAATGGACATATTTACTGACACACTTGGCACGTGATCTTTTACTGTACAGGTTGCATTCGTAAAGACGAAAAGTGAACTGGAACAAGTTATATATACTGTAGGGGAGGAGTGCTGTACTCGTACTTGTACCTAGTCTCTTTCCATCTTCAGATGTCCTTCACAAACCTCCTGCTACTAAAGAAACAGCTGTTTGAACAGCAGAACCAGTTTGCACATCTCGGCAAATAGTATGATCTGCTGCTGGAACAGTTTGACCAAGAAAAGGAGAAAATCAACCCTTCCATCGCTTCTTTCTCTGCTTCTCTTCAGACTTTAGATAACGTCAGACAATCTAAAGCTGCAACTGAAGGAGGTCCTAGGGCAGCCAAGAGAGTTGAGTGAGATGCGGGAAATGGAAACCACTAGGGGCGCTATTCGAGATGGGAGATGGCGCTATTCGGAATGGGAAAGGTCTCAATCGGAGCAAAGGATATGTATCATCAGAGATACCAAACACGCAAGAGATGTCCCCAAGGGCCTTTATAGAAGGAAAAAAAAGGACGTACGTCAGGTGCATGTGGTCAAATAACGGATATGGAGTTGGTGCTGCTAATCATATAGAATCAGATCGGCCCATATTGCTTGTCTCCGATTGTAGTAATGTCATTTCGTCATTCATCTATATGTATGTACCCTTGCGTCTTTTTCGAGTCCTAGTATTTACAAAAAGCTGACTCCAACGCCAAACTGGAGCCCCTTTCGCATCTTGTCGGTGCTTCGGGCTACCAGAGGAGCACAGATGTTGAGCTCAAACCGAGCAGCGGGATGGTTGTAGACAAGACCAGTGCCCACAGAAACAGACTGGTTGTGCAGCAAAGTCTTGACATCTCGTTGTCCGAGCAAGCCTCCACAGTTGACAAAATGATGCCATTTCAGAGGATTGTCAAGACCGTACTTTAGTCCAGGAACCTGAGTAAAAACACTGATACCAAGACAGTTGTAGAGAGAACCTCCAATGGAATCGTTCTGATCTCGAGGACCAAGACCGTTGAGTGCAAAACCTCGAACATCATTAGCTCCTCCAAGATAGAACCGGTCCATCAGATGAACGTTGCTCTGAACGGCTCCGTGGGTATAACTGCCGACATCTCGGCTCAGAAGACCGCATTTCATGCCCCAGTTGAATATGGCATACTTGCTTCGCACACCAGAGCTGTATTCAGACTGAAGTCTCAACAGGTTGCTGGAAAGTACATACTCTCCAGTAAGCTTGACCATGTATCCCTTGGTGGGCATCACGTGGATGTCACGTGAATCATACGTGTATGTGGCGCTCATAGCTCGCTTCATATCATCTCCAGCAGCAAACTTGACCGTTCGAGAAGCCTCAGAGTAGGCAGATATAGTTCGAACCAGAGTCTCCACAGACAGATCCAAAGTGTGGGGGAAGCCCAGATATCTCAGCTTCAAAGCTCCTCCTTGAACGCTCTGTAAATGCGAACACCAGGGAATGTCTCGAGAAGTGGCAAATGCCATGGTCTCTCCCTTCCATCGAGCACTGTTGTTTATAGGACTCGTGAGAGCCAGCATATAGTTAGACTTGGTTCGGGTGCCCATGGAGGCGTCAAAGTTGAGCGTCTCGGCTCCTCCAAACATGTGTCTAAACTGGCAGTTGATGTATCCACTTCCCTCTCCGTTTCCAACATCTGTTCCAGTTTTGGCTGTAAATCGTTTGGCTTCGGCAAGTTTTAAAACAGGTTGAACAGTCAAAGCGTTGCCTCCTCCAAACATGTTTCCAAGCGAAAACTGGTCGTCCACGCCATGTAGCGTAATCTGGACATTGTTATAGCACCCAAATGACTGCAGATCACGGTTTACCGTATCAACCCGCTTGAGCAGGTCTGTGAAAGTCATGGTGTCAGTTTCAAGCAGCGGCTTGAGCTGAGCTCGGACGAACGAGTCGCGTGATGCACGGCCTCCCTCGGTCACCACACTCAGGATTTTTGTTTCACGAGTGTTATTCTGCTCGAGGAGGGACAGTAGTAACGACCGCTGTGCTTCCAGAGCAGAAGCGTCGATTTCTTCTTTACTGGCAGCAGCGCCTTCATTGTGGTGTCTCGAGAGACGTTGGAATACCTGATGTTAGCGAGTTCGGTAAGCGAGCCGAGATGAGCGAGACCTGGGTCTGTAACTGGTGATATCGGCAGGATGTATCATCGTAAGTAGTATCAAATTAACCGCGCTACTTTGCCGATTCCAACGAGACTACTTTCGTCAATGTAACCTCAAAGCTGGAGATACAGTTGAAGTCCAAAACCCATATCGGCTGTATACCCCCCATAAATAATGCAACCACCAACACAGGACCATAACCATGGCGATTGCGCTGCCCCGAAGAGTCGATTATTCACATTGCTTCCATCATTCCGCCACAATTAGCCGAGAAAGACGAACTTCATCAAAATCAGTCCAGTAATCTCTCATTGAATCACGCCATCTATACACCCTTGATCCGTGGTGATTCAAGGGACGATAAGCCTCCCCTCAGGTCTGTCAAGCAAGAATACTCACGTCTTCGTCCTCCATGTTTGTGCTCTGTGTGTTTCGAATCAGACAGTGGTCGCTCCATCGGTGTCCAAAAAAAGTTTGGATGTTGGGACGAGTCACGTGACGATGTAAGTTGGTAGCACCGTGTCGTTCTTGGTGTCCAAACAGGATTTATGGGGTTCTCTGAGTTGCAAGAGTATCTAACATCTACAAACGTGTTGGAACGGTGATTTCGGCTATTTGAAATGTCCTTGAGCTGTCGTTAAATGTCTTAGTTGGGGCATGCGAAGTTGACAGACAAAGCGTACCCTTTTGGGCGAGAGCGTTATCGAGGCCAAATGTGTGATATATATTGTATTCAATTCAATCCTGTGGATCTCAGTAATTTGATACTATCATTTATATTCTTCTGCTATCATTTATATTCTTCTGCTATCAAATATATTGTTCTGCTGTGTCTTTGGCCGAACTGTCCGTGTTTTTGGTGGCCAGATGTTCGAAGTGCTTCAAAGTGGAGGTGGAATAGATGTATGCAAGTACGCAGTTCTTGTTGACCAATCGGTTAAAAGTGTATAGTCTTGTCAGTATCAGATATTTGTACGCTACATACTGTATATAACCTGGTATCATAGTATCCTGGATGAAACCAGATCTGATGATGACTCAAGGGCATGACTCAAGACGACTCTATTTCGATTTGGGTTACTTAGATCTGAAAAATAGAGCGTTTTTCGGGGTCCAGACCGGTCTAGACTCTAGGGTGTTTGTCGTAGCCAGCTGGAGGAAAACAGAGTCTACACGACTTTTTTCGTCTGTATCCGTAGTCGTATTTGATACTTGGATGATGATTTTGTTTGCATATAATGTAATATTCATGCAAAACTCCCCTCTGCATGTAGTTGACTTGATACTCTGTTTGTTGGAATTTTGTTAAGAGAGTGCACCACTTGACTGAGCATGATGCTTCAAAATGGACAAAGTGAACCTTTGATGGGTTACCGTACCGTGGTTGTACTTGTACTGTAGTTATTTTATCACATCTGTTGTCTCAAACCCACTATATAGTCCAATATTACTCTCTCCTCAGGCCCGGAAAAAGTTGCTCTTGTAAAACACTTTTTTCCGGAACCCTAAGGTTTTTATCCGCGGATGTACTTGCCGGATCTAGTCTAGCAGTTTAGTGGAGTTTTTGGACGCTGAAGGGCTGGAGTTGTGCAAAGCGCCTAAGCGGTGCAGATTTTTGTGGAGATTTCCATTGTGTGGCTTCTTTTACAGTATGACTGATTGGGAATGAATGAGACAGGTTAGAAACAGTTGATAGACAGGCTACTTTTCGCTGCTACGTATAGCTTATGAGCGGTTTGAACATATAGATTTCCCAATTGGACCTTCTCTCAGTCTGGTATTTCACGGCATTACTTCTCCTTCCCTGTCTGTGGTTCAGAATAACGGAAGCATTACCCATTCCAGGCAAATGTATCTCGTACACTCTCCACGCCCCCCCAAGACTAAAGCTGAAATGAGCAGCAGTTGAAATGAAGTTCAGCCCCATGTCTATTGAGTCACTGTTGTTTGCATAATAAGTTACTTTTGGCGTCTTCAGACCCGCACATACCCTTGTTTGCTTGTTTTCTTACGCCTGTTCGTCCATACATTTTGGACATCGCTCACAGCACGTTGGAGATGCACTCTAGAGATGCACACAGTCTGGCGTGGAGAGTGCAGCGGCGGTAATATGCATGCGAGTGCGTTCCGAAATCACGTGAGCCGTTTTTTTCGAGACCCTTCCAGTGTCGATCTCAAGAGGAAAGTGCTGTAGAATCGGGGTAGAACAGCTTCGGAGGTGAGATTTTCGAGTAGGATAGAAGAAGAGGTCGTCATGGGGGATCCACGGAGTTTAGACCGAGAACATTAAGAATTGGTCGAGTCCTGGGTCTCATAAGAGATGAGAAGGTTGCTTTGAAGCGAGAACTGGGTCAGTTTTGATCAGCAAGCTTATGGAAGACATTCAAGGAGTAAGTAAGCGAATACTTTTGCTTTTGGGAGTCTTGCTGGTATAAATCTCTCTCCTGGGTCCCATTCACGTGATGTCGTTCTTGGACTCGACTAGAAAAAGAGTTTGGCGTGGCCAATCACAGGCGCACATTTAACACACTGAAACTCAAAGGTGCACCGCATTGCATATTACTCATCGAGTAGAAAAAAGAGGGCCAACAGAGTTTGGGAGATTTTCAGTGGTAAAAAAAACAGAGAGTTTATTAAGGAAGCGTTGTGCTGCAGTATTTCTGACCCTTCAATACGATTACTATCGACACACACAAAACGACAATAATGGCCAATTCTCCTGTGAGTATGATTCTGGTGAAGGACAAAGAAAGCAGCACAAGGGGTAGCCCAGTGGTAGTACCAGGACAGTTCGAGACGGGGTTTCCGACATGGTGACGCCAAAATACTGATCTGTCTTTGGGTGCAGCTTTGAAAGTGTTTGAGGTCGATTTTTCTGTCAGAGAGTCGATATCAGAGGTGGCGAGACTCTCTGGGATTGCTGTGGTTCACGCGCTATTGATCTGAGAGGTTCTAGGTGCTTGTTTCTGGGCTCTCTGTGCTGCTGTGTGACAGTTGTGGAGATCCACCCCTGAGCATGTTACAGAAGTGTTATTGAGACGAGATTTGATTTCTGAGCTTGGACGGCCAGGGCGGATCAGTTGGTGGTTTCGTGGGCCTCCCGGCCGTTCTGGAGGGTGTTTGCTGTGCAATGTTGTGGTGCTGCACTCGACGAGGTGTTTGACTGTTCTGTCTTCAATGAGTCTCGCGAGATATTGATGCCACACAGCGAGCGCTGCAGAGCGTCTGAGATACGGTCGTTTGTTCTTCCCTATCAGAGATACGTGTCTCTGGTAGACCTGACAACTCCCACAGTATACAGCGCATACACATCATGCTGTACATACAGCATATCCCTGCAGAGTGACATTCCACAGACATCACGTCCCACTGACACTCCACCCGCCACCCTCCACCACCACGGTCTAAAATCTTTTTCGAGCTAGCCCTTGAAGATCTAGTCCAACGTCGTTCTAGCGCCCCTCAAATCAATGAGTCAGACTAGAGTTTGTCACTAGGCGTGTGTTTCATTGCTTGAGCTTGAGTGTGATTTGAGTGTGGTTTTAAGTGTGTGACTGATTCTGGTGAAAACCTGAATTTCAACATTATGCATCATTATCGATATATGACTGTGTCTGATGGTATGGGTCAATTCTCGTTTCATCACATTTCTGTGTCGGTACACACACCACTTCAGATCAGATCTCCAACGGATCATTATTACGCTCAAGAGATCGTCTGCTCATAATATGCCCAGTTCAATTCGCAAGTCTGAGCTGACCTCGAACAGCTAACCTCGTGCTCTGAACAGCTAGAGGCATATTCTGGTGACGGACACGTGCCAACATGCCTCACATAATGTTCTCTTCGCTCAAACTCGTCGTGTTTTTCGCTAACCCAGATGTTCGGACCCGACGGCATGTCCCGTTCCTCCTCTCCCAACGCCTCCTCTGCTGAGGACGTGCGAATTCTGGGCTACGACCCCCTCCTCGCTCCCGCTCTTCTCCAGACTGAGGTTGCCTCCACCAAAAACGCCCGAGAGACCGTCTCCAAGGGCCGAAAGGACTCCATTGATGTCATCACCGGCAAGTCCGACAAGTTGCTGTGCATTGTCGGTCCCTGCTCCCTCCACGACCCCAAGGCCGCCATGGAGTACGCCCAGCGACTCAAGGAGCTGTCTGACAAGCTGTCTGGTGAGCTCGTCATCGTTATGCGAGCCTACCTCGAGAAGCCCCGAACCACCGTTGGCTGGAAGGGTCTGATCAACGACCCCGACATGGACGAGTCTTTCAACATCAACAAGGGTCTGCGACTCTCCCGAAAGGTCTTCTGCGACCTTACCGACTTGGGTCTGCCCATTGCCTCCGAGATGCTCGATACCATTTCTCCCCAGTTCCTGGCCGACCTGCTCTCCCTGGGTGCCATTGGTGCTCGAACCACCGAGTCCCAGCTGCACCGAGAGCTCGCCTCCGGTCTGTCTTTCCCCGTTGGTTTCAAGAACGGAACCGACGGTACTCTGGGTGTTGCCGTTGATGCTGTCCAGGCCGCCTCTCACCCTCACCACTTCATGGGTGTCACCAAGCAGGGTGTTGCCGCCATCACCACCACCAAGGGTAACGAGAACTGCTTCATCATTCTGCGAGGAGGTAAGAAGGGCACCAACTACGACGCCGAGTCCGTCGCCGAGTGCAAGAAGGCCACCGAGTCCATGCTCATGGTTGACTGCTCTCACGGCAACTCCAACAAGGACTACCGAAACCAGCCCAAGGTTTCCAAGGCCGTTGCTGAGCAGGTTGCTGCTGGCGAGAAGAAGATCATCGGTGTCATGATCGAGAGTAATATCCACGAGGGCAACCAGAAGGTCCCCAAGGAGGGCCCCTCTGCCCTTAAATACGGTGTCTCCATCACCGACGCCTGTGTCTCTTGGGAGACCACCGTGGACATGCTCACCGAGCTGGCCAACGCCGTCAAGGAGCGACGAAACAAGAACTAATCAATATGAGCGTGGTTCCCAGCGACGTCACTGCTTGACGGATGAGTCCGCTCAATACGAGCGGAGCATGTCGGTACAAGCACAGCGAGTATTGTATATATAAGAACAGGTGAATAGTAAAATGTAAAAGTATAGTGAGTTGCAGAGCAAGTACAAGTACTACAAGTGTACGTAGGCGGATGGTGATTATGGAGCGTGTGAATGAGGAGATATATCCATGTTAAAGCAGGGGAGATGCATTTCGTAGACGAAGATAGTCGCCGTGAGAGATATGTTTAGTAATCGTACCGTAAATGTACGAGACTCGTACAATTTTAATGATTGTTATAGGGTTCATACTTTTCCGTATGTACATACTGTACTTATGAAATCCGTTTAGTATTAATAAAAAGATTCTGGCATGTATTGTTATTATGCATTCGTTGTAGAGATGTATATTACGGCTAGAGAGCAAAGACAAACAAGGAGACACTCCGATAGTGATGTACGATGCATGCGAGTAATGATTGTCAAGTTTGCCTCTTGGTAGCTACTAGTTACAGTATCATATTAGGTCATGAAAGGAAAAGGTGGTTTGCTCTAGCTAGGTGTACCTAGGTATGCACATACCGCTCATTCTGTCGCCAGAAAGAGTATATTCACAGTGCACCATACAGTTTGTATTGTAGAACAATCTGGAATGACACCTCAGGTTATGAACCATTATCTCCGGGCGCTACGCAAACTTCCCTTTAGCTCCATTTAGTGACCATCCTCCCGCCCAGAGTTCACCTCCTCTGGCTTATCGCCCTCCAACCCAAACGCCAATACGATACAAGCTAAAGTCCCTCGAGGAATGAGGATGTATGATGCCTGTAGGGTGAGAATTGCGGCCCTTTCAATTGGATAGTTTGTTTTTTTGTGCTCAGATGAACAATTGTCTTGTAATAACAGCCGCTGGTATCAGTTGTCTCTCTTCTACAGTGGCTAGTCCAACCGCAGATATTGCAGGATCTCATCTACCCCTCTTTCACGCCACCTTAATTTTTTATCTCCTGAAAAATGCTGATCGTAAATGTAGTATGGTAATTGGACCCATTTACAACGTCTCAATGACTATAGCAACATTCCGAGACACAAACGCCGCCCAGATCCTCTCTTTTCCACCCAGAAATCCGCCCCATAGTCAACCCTAACCCCTATCTAAGTTATCAGTACACGTCACGCAGCTGCTCACTAGACCTATCGCCTATCAACCGCACCAAACGATGAGCAAGTACCGAAAACTGGAAGACCCGTCCACGTCGTCAATAGAACGAGATCTGGGCGACGTCGGGTCCAGTCACGTGACGCCGGGCCACCCCAGCGTGACTTTTGACATGGACGAGGATGACGGATATGATGAGCTTGGAGACTTGGGTGATCCCATGAACTTGCCTCAGGTGGACCAGATCCCGATACCAAAGCTGGGAGCTCGAGGCAGCGGGTCGCGTCGCAAGCTGCAGAGTCGACGTAACAAGATTGTCGGTCTGGCTACTGCCGGAGTGACTGTTCTGCTCATTGTGCTGTACCTGTTACTTCCCACTATTTCCGGAGAGCCAAGGAAGAGCGAACAGGGAGCTGCTGCTCTGAGCGAGGCTCAGCACACCGGCGCGGTGTACAAAAACAAATTCCACATGCAGGAGAACTGGGGCAGCTTATCGCCGTTTTTCTCTGACGGCGTGTCTTTTCACGGCGTTACTGCTCGAGAAAAAGGCCGGTTGGACCACCATGGATTTCCTCTGGTGCCTGAAATGGGCGTCTGTACTCTGAGACAGGCTCATGTTCTTCATCGACATGGAGAGCGATACCCTACTGATGGAGCAGCAGACAACATGGTAGCTTTTGCTGACAAGCTCAAGAGCAGCATTAACAACCAGACGGACGAGATGTTTGCCTGGGTTGACCACTGGAACTATCTGTTGGAGCGAGAACTGCTCGTTCCTCGGGGATACTCTACTGAGTTTGCTGCAGGTGCTCAATTCTGGTCTTCTCACGGTCGACATTTGTTCAATGAGGGTAGCTTGCTTGGAAAGTGGAGTCATGACCCCATTGTTATTCGAGCAACTGAACAGGAGCGAATTCGAGACTCTGCTCAGGCCTGGAGTGAGGGTTTCTTTGCCAAAAACAACGATCTGTTCACGCTGTCTCTTCAGCCTGAGAAGGACGGCGAAAATGCTACTCTTGCCAGCTACTTTTCGTGCAAAAACGCTTACAACAATCCCAAATCCGTGTCGGGCAAGCAGAAGGAGGCCGAATGGATCGACAACTACCTGAATAAGGCCAGCTTGCGTTTCCAGGAACTGATTCCCGGGTTTGAGAACTTCACCGCCCACGACGCATTCCAGATGCAGCAGCTATGTGCGTTCGAAACTGCAGCTTTCGGACACTCCAAGTTCTGCGAGTTCTTCACCGAAACCGAGTGGAGAGGCTACGAGTACGCCTCCGACCTCAAGTTCTACTACAACGACATGTTCGGAAGCAAGACTGGTGTGGCTCAGGGAGCTGGATGGCTGAGTGAACTTGTTGCTCGTCTGGAAGGTGTTCTCATCACCACTCCTGCCTACGGAGTTGATGTGGGAGAGACCTCCAGCAATAAGACCTTCCCTCTGGACCAACCTCTTTACATGGACATGTCCCATGACTCTGTCCTGTTGTCTGTTCTGACCGCTTTGAACCTTGACTTTCTGCAAGAGTCGCTTACCCCTGACAAGATCAAGGTGCCCCGAAACGTAATCATCTCGCGCCTGACTCCCTTTGGTGCTCGAATTACCGTCGAAGTGTTTGATTGTGATGCCGAGACGGAGGGTGTTTCAAGTACGTACATTCGAATTGTTCTTAACGGCCGAATCCTCCCTCTTTCCAGTCTCAAGCAGTGTCCCGAGAACGCCGATGGAGTGTGCGAAGTCGGTCTGTTCATCGACTCGGTAAAGTCAGCCTTGGCAGCCATTGATTACGACAAGCTGTGCGAGGGAGAGTTGTAGGACGGTATATACTAACGAGCCGGGGTGCCGGAGGTGTAGACGTATGATGATGATTTATGTATTGAATAAAAATTAATTGGCTTTGTATTGAAGAAGGTCTACAACAGTATTGTATGTCACCCATAGATGTTGATTTTCTACTCTGTATTCCGCACCATACATACAGTACCCACGCAGTCTCTACTGGCTCTGCTTAACTGATGTACTACTTATACACCACTATACCGTGCTACACAGTCGTTAGTCCATCATTATTCGTTGTTCATTAATCAATGTTAGTATTAGCACTTGTCGTAAACCTCGGACTCGTCCTGGGGAAGACGCTGGTGGCCCGGTTTAGGGACGACATGTATGGTATAGTTTCCTCCAAAGGTCTTGTAGGTGGCGACACAAAAGGCAGCAAAGGTCAAGGCCGAGAGGGTGATAGAGGCGTTGCCGAGGTTGCAGTTGGCCTGACTCAGGACCTTGATCGAGATGTGGGTGATGGGGTTGTTGACTTCGGAGACGGAAAAGCACGACATGCCTCCTCTCTGAACACCGATCAGAATGGTGCCTGCCAGCCAAGCGAAAGACAGCATGGACTCGCAGGCGACCTTGGCACCGGTGCAGTTGAGAACGGTAGCTGCCACAATCATGTAGACTGCTGACAGAGATGACAGAGTGATGATGTATCCGTCGGCAGGAATGATGTCGACGCTGTTGAGGTCGGCCTTCATCTGGACGACAGCCAGGACGGTGGTGACCAGGGTGGCGACCACCAGAGCAGCCTGAAGGATTTTGAAGGACATGGGAGACTGGGGAAGAGAAGCCAAAGAGCGACACCAAAAAAATGTGGTGTAGTGCAGTTGTCGTGGAGGGTAACTGAGAGGTTAAAGAGGTGTAGGTTCTGTCAGATGAGCCAGATGACTAGGCTGTTGGAGGGGTGCATAGAATGTTTCGGTGTATGAAATTACTATTGAATTGTTCTTCTCGTCGTTCCCATTCGATCAAATTCAGTCCTGTGTCTACAGGACCAATATTGAAGGACTTTGCTGGTCTCTGAAAATCGTCTTACCTCCCAGCATGCGCCGTGGAAGCATGGTTCCTGAGTGTTGCAGAGGCGAGATTGAGGGGGTTTTCGGGTCCAAAAGTAAATGGTAGGGTCTAGACTTTTAGGAAATCTGTTTAATACATATATGGGACCGATTTGCAGATTCTTCTCTTCAATTTCGGAGAAAACACTCCTCTCAACCGCTCGCCCACCCTCTCATCATTGTCTCACTTGGTTTCACAGGCCAGGAACAAACGAAAGGTTATTACTGTAGACTAAAGCTTATTATAAGCCCTGTGGTTGTGCACCAATACGACCTGAAAGAAGCAGATATTCGCCCAGTGAAGAAAAGCAACATGTAGAGAAAAAGTGGTAAAAATGAGAGGGTGATAAATCACGGGGCGTCCATGAGTATCAACGGTATTGTAGCATCTGCCAACAACTCTTAACCCCATTAGTCACTAAGTTAGTGTTGGTAACCAGGGGTAAAATTGAGAGCCGTGTCTACTGTAAAAGAGACGGCGGAAAGGACGTACAGTATTATGCTCGCATGAGTAGAGCAATTAACTCATCATAAGGCTCGACTGTATATACGGAAGTCAACACTGAGACTGTGCCTGAATGTCTCTCAAGAGATGCGGAAACACTACGGGAGTCACGACCGGTTGCAAAATACTGTCACATTACAAAACAGTACCGATACACCTGCTTTTTTCAGATACTTTGTGATATCATAGGTGTTTGTATGCACCAGACAAACGGTCCATGAACGAATCGAATGGAATGTAGACTTTTGCAATTTGTACATTCTCATTATTGTTTCAAGATATATTTTGATCTATCTACTATGTACAGCATGCACTGGCCTCTACTTGAAGCTGCTGAACTCGTACCATACAGTACATATTCTACTTGTAGCTGCAAGTATGTCCTGTACTTGTAGCCTTAACCTGAAGCAGCCTGGTGTTATGATCACCTTCTGGAATGTGAGGCAGAAAAACACTACAAGTAAGCCAAAGGAACAAGATAAGGGCCATATCAACTGGTACTTGAGACGCAGATTTTTATGTCCGTCAGGTCATCGCACAAAACATTGGAAACTCCTTCATTTCTGTAGTTGACCTACTCGTAGGAGCTCAGAAGATGTTGTAAAATTACTTATTCATACCACCGTTAGTTCGTCTTCCCACTACAATCCAACTAAAACCCAACTAAAACCCAACTAAAACCCAACTATCATAACTCATTATAGCCAGAGTGAGAGAGTCTGGTTACATGACAGGGCATCTCTGCCCAACCGCAACTTGCCCTATCATGGTCCCACTGCCCAATAATCCCGTTGGGCTAGCCATAGTCTCTTCATGGACCTCCACAAACCAATATACCCTCTCCTCTCTTCTCAAAATGTCACCAACTAATTTACTTTTGTCAGGCTAATCGCAAACACTGTATTTTCTGTCAACATGTAAAGTGCTCTGATTGGCCTAAATAAGATTTGGTTTGGGGGCGACGACTCAAACATGCAACATACAAACAGCAAGCGCGCAACGCAGAGGTCCACGTGACCAGAGAGTCGATTGAGTTGCACCGATGGGAAGAACTGGAGCCACTCGTCCCACGTGACCAGTCCAGGACAATTGAGTTTGGGCGGAGGAGATTAAAATTTGGCTTTGGGCAAGACCTTCTGCCGTGTATCTACTTCAGGGTAAAAAATGTTACCCTGAAGTAATGTCGTAACTTTGGGATCATGGACAGATTCAGCTGGACGGATAGCGTGGTTGGATCTATATCATTTGGTAGCTGAGAGCGAGCCGAACACATTTCTGCAATTTTTGTGTCTCTAGCACTTCTACACGTCTGGCTATATTTGACAAATCCACTGTCTTGAACTTCAATAAACTCTTGGTCGGCAAATGAAAATGTCTTTAATTCGATGCATAATAATAATACCCAAAATATTGTATAAGCGAGGGGCAGAATGATCGTAGAAAATCGTGATAAAACCGGATAAATTGAGAAGAATTTATACAAGTGGACAGATTTGCGTGACCATGTCACATAATGTAGATCACATGGCTAAACATCTCATATATACACCCCACGAGCCGTATATCCTACACTCTGCCCCTTGGTCGGGTGTAACTTACAGACTGTTTACCCTAACCTCCCATGTCCCAACCGTCGACAATGGCAACCAAGGTTTGCTTGATTTTCATTGAAATTTTTTACACAACCTGGCTTTTAACTTCTACACTACACTACAAGAAAAAATGGCTGACGAAGAAGTGAGTATCAGACGCTGGATTTCGGGGCTGAAAATGCTCTGGATTGAATGGCAAAGCCATTGGACGCCTGTTTTCGATGGATGGGTCCGGTCGAGTGATTGATTCAGTCAGTTTTAGGAAGGTGGATTTGTGGACATGGCTGAGAGTGCTATGTGACATTGACGTTGTCATGAGTGCACTAGGCCACCTCGAAAGGCAACCTGAGCGTCGCAGTCGTACTGTGTGCTTTGCGTTGCTTTGAGTCGACTATTCTCTTTCCATCTGCCGTTTGTGTTTGTGTCTCTATCGTGTGTTGGCCTTTTTGTGTATGTGGTCTTGTGATCAGTTACACATGCGTAAAAGGACATTAGACGGGGGGGTTTTTTGACAATCGCACTGGCCACATCATTCGATCACTGCCGTTACACAGACGATGCACCGACCGATCATATACTAACCGTAGCACACCTTTGATACCGTTAACGCCGGTGCTTCCCAGACCTACCCCATCCAGTGCTCCGCTCTGCGAAAGAACGGTCACGTCGTGATCAAGGGCCGACCCTGCAAGATCATTGACATGTCCACCTCCAAGACTGGTAAGCACGGTCACGCCAAGGTCCACCTTGTCGCCACCGATATCTTCACCAACAAGAAGCTTGAGGATCTGTCCCCCTCCACCCACAACATGGAGGTCCCCAACGTCAAGCGAGAGGAGTTCCAGCTCATCGACATTGATGATGGTTTCCTGTCTCTCTTCACCGCCGACGGTTCCACCAAGGACGATGTCCCTCTTCCCGAGGGTGAGATCGGAGACAAGATCCAGACCGAGTTCGACGAGGGCAAGGATCTCATTGTCACTGTCATCTCTGCCATGGGCGAGGAGGCCGTCATCTCCTACAAGGAGGCCCCCAAGGGTAACTAATCGCATCTCTGACTTGTTTTTACTATAAAAAGTTGTTGGTTTTGAGATTATATATATGCTGTCCACTGAGCTGTTGGTGACGGTAGTTGTACCTTAGTAGTCATGTAGTAATGAAGCTATGTACTAAAATGAGACTGTAGATAGCTGGGTGTGTTCTGGTGCAACTATATGCCTATATCATCTTTCTATTGGTGTATTCGATGGCTCTTCGACCATCTATTTGTTGTGGTTTATATCGTTCATCCACGATCATTGAGTTCGCAACGTTGTCCACAGAACACTTCAGAAAGTGCAACAATCAGGTCCCTTCCAGGTGTGCCACAACACTCTATGCTGTATCATTCGACTCCTCTCGACGAGCTGATTCCAGTAATACATCTTTCGTTTCTCTGCCACCTATTCCCGTCGAGCAATGCTCTCCCTCATACGTCGGTCGAGTCGTCTGAGCAACGCTCTACAAGTGTTACCCTGCAGTACCAACTTTGTGTCGTAGGCGGCTGACATTGTGGGGCTGAGAGTGGAGGTGCTACTTGTCGAAAATGGGTGATGGGTGGGTTGCGTGGGGTCAGGGGCGCGGGAATTTCGTCACCAGTGGTATTTAATTGTCGCTCCCGTGTTTGTACTCTTCATTACTGTCCAATTGGCGGTATGTTGATTGTTCATCATGTCCGCTCTGATACATACACAGCTTATGCACAGTAATCCGCCTGTACATATGGGGAGCATACAGATGGAAAAGATCTTGGATAGAGGATATAGCGACGAATCACATAAATTATGGCATCTACAAGTGCCTGTGGCGACCGAATACACCCACTTAAACATCCACCACAAACTTCCAACCAACTCACAGGTTTCCAGATAGCACCAGGCCACACTTCACGTTTACAGCAACTTGTGCAGATACTCGCAACCTATAGCTACGACAACACGAAAACATACCTGCCACAGACCTCGGCAAATATTTCACCATCAACTGGGACAATCACGGCAATCGCAGAAACACGCTAAACTTAAGAACGAGTAAACATCACGCCTGTACGGCTGACAGAAGAAACCTATCGCCATGTGGAGGTAGGACACGAAGGTTCGCGTTTTGAATGCACACGTTGTTTTGATTGTTGACGGGACAATGTTGTGATTGTTTTGACAGGGTTTCTGTTCCTGTCACTCACAGTGGCGACCAAGAGCCGTCACCACGGGTGTCCACGAATACGTACTGTACAAGGACATGGCGTGAACAGCACGCACGCTGTCACAGTCATCCTATTATTAATCGATTAATCTTACACATAAAAATACAAAAGTCTATGGCTCGTTTTCTGCAAACATGAAATGGATCGTAGCAAAGCCATTGAGCGAAATTGTTCGGCGTCCAACACGCGATGGGCATCTCTTCATCGTCATCACGTGTCCACTCCCACCCCCATCGTTAGTCTTGATATGATAGCTTCAATCCTTAGATCTGAGCGTAGATGGCAAGAAGAACCAGAGCGGCGCCGCTGAAAAGAGGCAGGTCGCCGTAGGCAGCGTTCAGGACAATGGCCTGTCGGTTGGCCCGCAGCAGACCCCAGGTCCAGGAGGCCACAAAGGGGAAGACGGTCAACAGACCCCGGGTCAGAATGTAGTAGTTGATGATTCGCACCAGGTTAAAGACAAAGGGGTCAATCTGTCGCAGGTAGACAATGGCCTGGTGGGTCTTGGCGGGAGTCTTCTTCTTTGTGGCGGTGAAGTTGACAAAGTAGGCCACAGTAGCGGGCAGAGCGATGGCTCCGACGGCCCAGAATACCAGAGTGGACCAGGTCTTGCATTGGAGCAGAACGGAAAAGTCGGGGGTCTGGACCACGTGCAGGGGGAACCAGTCGTTGAGGTCGAACCATCCGGCCTTGACAACGTGGTGACCGCCATCCTCAAGGTGCTGGATGAGGGAGTGGCCCACTCGGGTGGGGATTCGGCCCCATCGGAGACCCAGCTGGAAGGGGATGAGCTGCACAAATAGGTAGTAAAGCTCAATGAGCAGAGCAAAGATGGTGGCGGACTCGACAGTGGACAGCTGGTATCGCACAAACGACACGGCCTCCTCGACCTGGAACTCGACCTCTCGGTACAGGTCCTCAACGTGGCCACCAACCACCTCCTTCCATCGGGCCCAATGCTCGGCCAGGGTCTCAGTGGGCTCGCTGTCCTCCTCCTCTTCGTCGTCCTCTTCGTCCTCGTCGTCCTCGTCGTCATCATCCTCATCGTCGTCCTCATCGTCAGCGTCCAGACTGCTCACCTTGACGTCGGGCTGCACAGCTGCAGGCACTCGAGGGGCTCGGGCAATCCGTTTTCGCGGACTAGAGGTGTAGAGGAAGTTGAACTCATCAGTGGCCTCGAGCTCGAGCCGTCGGGCAGAAAGAGCCCGCGTGATACGATCCTCCAGGTCGTTTTTGGTGCCCTCATCAGCCAGGTCCAGAGACTGAGCCAGGTTCATGAGCTCGGCCTTCTTCATGTACTGAAGTTTGGTGAACTGCGACATTGCGAATGGTTGTGTGTTTGTGTCCGTGCGTACAGTAACAAGTGGTGGTGATAACGGCGCGTCCACAAAGTGTGTCACTGGTGTAATAAGTGGTGTTGTGCGTGTGTTTTTTATTCTAGTTAGGTTGCGGTGGCTGGCTGGGACCCTAAAAGCTTATTTGCACTAACGGGGCCAACCCCAAGTAAACAAACCAGCAACAGGACATATAAATGAGCGGGATGGCGGCACAGAAAAGGGCCCAGGAGACACTCAGTCGACCGTAAATCTTTCCACGGGTCGATTGCGGAGACTAACTTTTCGATCAAACCACAATTGAGCCCCCAGGCGTCCCTCCCAAGGATCCTCTCTGCACTCCAGCCAGCCTTTATGTTACCCGGAAGTCATGCACGATAAACAATCAACCCCCAGACGCGCCTGCAAAACACGCTAATGGAGCCCTGTGGAATGTAGCTGAGGCGTGGGCGCCCCAATCGGGACATGTTAGGGACCCTACAGTACTGTACTGAACCGGGTGTGGAGGTGGAGATATTGCGGGCGACGTGACGGCGTTTGTGTAACGTGGCGCTGTGGAAACGGAGCTGTCACCATTGGAGAGTCATGGGACGTGGTGTGGGGGAGCTCGTCACATGATCGTTGGAGGTGGTGTTGTTGACACAGTTGGAAGGGTTGAGTGATTAATGAGTGTAATGGGAAAGGAAATGGGACTCTTCAGCAAATGAGAGAGTCTGTGGTTGGGAGGTCTAAGTGAAGTCTAACTACGGCCGTTCTGAAGGTTACAAGCGGGATCGGTGGTGAGCCTGTAGTGAGAGCGAGATGATGTGAGACTTGTTGTATCAAGAGAAGATAACAAAGTAGTGACGATGACAGTGCATTGAGTCGATTCCGATTCCAGTCAGCTCTAGCCGACTGAAGAGACATCTGATAACATCTACACTTGCGTCTGCACACAAGGCCATTGTTTTTTTGAGTCTGTCTGTTATCAGAAAGGATGAGAGAGCTGGTGTGAGGAAGTGAGGGAGGAAGTGAGGGAGGAAGTGAGTGAGGGAATGAGTGAGTGAAGAATCAGAGGTCTTTCTCGGACGCACTGACTCTAATACTTACATGGTGGTATAGCATAGGTACTCGGCCTGGCTACGCACCGACGATGGGGTCTTCAAACCATCTTAGAGAAGAGGGGTTGATGATTAGATTGTATGAACTCGCACAAGTATCGTAACCTGGTACATTTACAACTTCCGGTATGAGTACTGGTATCAGACGAAAACCGGGATCATACTCTAATGCACTGTTAGCCCAACTGTTGGAGATGGAGATATGGTAGTGGAACAGTCCGGGTCTCGGTTACATTTGTATTATAATCTAAGCGTCGCCCGAAATACTCCAGATCGTTGTAACTAGAAGTAGAAGTACTTTGCTCAATATACTGTACTTGTACTTGCTGGTAGGATGCTTCTAAAAGATCGTTCTGCTATGCTGTGAAGATGCAGAGTGTCGGCACCTATTTTTACAGAATGGCTGAAGGTCGCACGGGGGTTCCATCCATGATTCCAAGACGGTCTATTCGTCCAGATGTACGAGTTATCCCATCTGGATTGTGAGTCATGATAGGACATTGGCAACGTAGCGTCGTCTTCACTTCGTGAATAGCAGCGACATTTCGAGCACCAGGGCCCAATGATCGTCCAGGAGAACCCACTGACTCTGTACCAAAGCCACAACCCAATCATGTACCTACTACGACTGCGTGCATTTGGATCTCCCGAATACTGCACATGGAGTAAGACAGGAGCACAATATACCCGATTTGGGTGATATTGGAGATGATGTGTGACCAAAGGGATGTTGCCGGGTACAGTAGACAAGCGATCCATCAGCATCCGGCTTGTCTATAGCAGCAGTGTTGCATGTTCCACGATACTGGAGTTGAAGGGAATGGGCCGCTGCGCAGTATGTGCGCACAAGCAGCATGCACTGTGGCTACTGTGCCGCAGACGGCTTATAAACCATGACGTCGTTCGCTTGGATGGTTGTCCGGCGCGAAGAGATTTCATGGACAAACCATGACTGTGAAATCGATATTCACTCCTGTTCCAGCTGAAAAACTTAGTCGACAAGGCTCGAACCCAGTTGACAAGGTGTCGAACTTAGTGGACAGAGTTGCAACCTAGTTTAAGTAGAGTGAGAGTACGGGCTATTATTACTGTAGCTAGCGTTGGTTGGATCCGGGAACTTGTGATTGGACATTGTGATACAGTGGACATCACCATACACAACAGACAACAGACAACATAGTCGGAAGCACAGTTGTAAACATAGACAAGTGCGCATCCACTGTATCGTACAGCCCGCTATAGTCAATGTCAATGTCATCCCCATCAGCACTTTCACGCCAATCACCTGTTTTTCTCGTGCGTGTAGACATGTATTTCTCCCCTCATCTACTGTAATTTGCTTGTTGGGTTTCTTTTGTTCTCTTATTTTTTTTTGGGCCGGTTTCCCGCCCTTCTTTGCACCCTCCTTGCACCTCTCGCATCTCTTGCACCTCTTGCACCTCCTTTTCGCTCATGTTTGTCCTTGTCCTTATTCAATCCCCTCAGGAAACTGTCGCTCTATCGTGTCGGACTATCGTGTGAGCCCAATAAGGTTGTGAGGTTTGTGTATGACCCGAAATGGACAGTGGCCTTCCGTTTTGGGCGGTTGGGGACAGCCTGAACCTGGGCATCAAGTCAACGAAAAGGTGGGAAAAACGACGTCGACTCGAGATTTTCGAAAGAAAAGACATACACAAACAACTCATGACTTCATAGAACAATAATGCACTCCGAAACCGCCAATAAGCAGCCCCCGACAACCCGCCAACTCCATCGCTCGGCCATCCCCTTCACAGTTGATCGGAACAGAATCACAGTTTTCAGAAACGTTAAAAAACCGTGCATAATTAACTCATGCATGATCGATGGAGATACGGCCATTTTGCCGATTTGATCCGGGAAAGGCCTTGGCTAGCACCAGAAGCGAGAAATGAAAAGCTGCAGCGTATCGCTTGTAGGCTGGGCGTCGGTGGTTCGATTGGGCCAACAAATAACGGCCAGAGACCCCCCATTATAGCCCCACCCTACCCCTTACCTCATGCTGTACAATTGCTGGGTGCACCACCAAGACATTTCCTAACATATCCTAACATGATCAAGGCAAATTCACAGAGTCCACTGTACAATCTTTGTGTATACCTGACCAAACTAACAATGATCCGTATATTTGTGTACACCGTCTGTGAGAGGTAGAAACCCATTTGTTTCACTCCCCAGAGTCTATCTGGCCGCACTAATATCAGTACAGCCAATGCTGCGAAAAAAACAACCCTTGAGCCTTCACCCTTCATGTACACACGGCTACAACCTACAACTCGCCAGTAAACCGGTAATGCCTCAGACAAGAAATTGAATTTGCAACTTTTCAATCTGCCAACGTTCAGAGCTTCAACTTACCTTGTGCAACTTTCACCCCTGAATCCGAGAGATGCTGAAAACCTGCAGCCGTGTGGTACAAGTCCGTGAAATGGGGGAGTCGCTGTAGAAGGCGAATGAGGAGAGGTATTGGCAATACGAGTTCAGATCCGGGTTCTCCGATGCTACTTCTATCTACTGCCTGTGTTACACCTCCAACCGTCTCCATCTACCCCCCAATCAGGAGACACTATCTCCGGAAATCCGAACCGTTTTTCTCCTCGTGTATGGCTTTTTTCTGTATGGCGTCTATCGCCGTTTTTCCTTTCCAGGCTTAATGCCGCAAAGTCGGATATATAAGCATCGTCAGTGTGGCCCAGTGCCAGCGCTTGTGCATCAACGTCAACAGGTGAGTACAGTTTCTGGAGGGTAACGGCGCCAAGGGAGGGGAGCCAAGCGTCTGGTCGGGTCCATTTTGTCATTTTCCGTCGGAGGAAGCGCCTCTGCCTTTTTTTTTATTTTATTTGCCGTCGGTGCTGTGAGTGTGGTTGCCATGTTACACACGCTGAACCCTAAGCCCGCCCATTGCATCGGATTTTGATTGGCCCAATACAGTGCCTAGTCGCTTGTCCTAAAATGGAGGTTATTTGGACAAAACGGTATATTGAGTTATTAAGTCCGGGAAATGGGGTGGAGATTAGGGGCTGATGGGGGCGAGATATGGCCTTGGAAAGTCGATGGGCGTGGTCAGCCGCCCAGGAGACCTCCACTCCCGAATTTACAGCCTGCTAGCTCCCGCCTTTCCCGCTATATGGCCTACCAGTCGCTTGTCTTGACAGTCCCATTCACTTGTTTACAACCTTATTTCTGAGTGATTTTCCAGCCGCGGAAATTTAAATTTCATCCGCATCCTTATTAACCCATAGTTCGCCCAACTTCTTCAGCAGCACTCTCTTTCACCACACACTTTCAACATGTTGCCCGCCGGTGTCATTCTCGTTATCATTCTCGTTGGTCTTGTTGGTGAGTATTAATTGAACGGAAATAGCGCATCTTCCAGCAGGAAAGAACTCCGGTTCTCGTCCTGTTATCCAGCTATACAGCACTACATGTCATCGATACAAACAGTGCACCACACAACACCACACTCCGCAGTCGACACAACGCACCATACTACAACATGGCATAAAACACGCTACTCGGCAGATGGATGAAACCGAACAGGGATTGGCAAACGACACGGAACCGCGATGAACGGGCGATTGTGGGAATTGTGGATGGGCGGCTTTCTATGAGCGATTGTTATGGACGCTGTTGTCGGCTGTCATCTCTCACCCATTGTCGGTCTCTGTCCAATTTCCTTTGTCATGTTCGTCATGCTCTCTATTGTGTTAGTGCCTGTATCAACGTATCCACGTGGTCTCTGTTGTTGTTTTTTTGCTTTGCGGAAAGTCTTGTTCACTGCTGTGTACGAGCTGTGGTCGGTGCCTTCCGTTGTCTGTTGTCGTATCCCACCGTACCCCTCATCACAATACTAACTCAGGCGTCCTTCTGTTCTGTATGTTCATGTTCCGAAAGCTCATGGCCTTCAAGAAGCGACGAGCTGCCCCTCAGTACTAAGCCCGACAGTCGTCAACCCTTCATCTTTTCTCATAATACCATTTAGACATTAATCGATCATGTTAATTTAGTATGGCAGCAATTGCTTGGTAGAGTAGACGTTTGGAATGGGTGTGTTAGGCGATGATTTGGTTGGAAAGGATCTTTGATTGTCTCCGCCTCAGTTGTTACTGGTTACACAAACAGCTATTACGTGATATATATCTCCCCATCACTTCTCTGTTCTCTCTTCTCTTCTCTTCAACACTTTTTTCGCCGTCAAATTCTCACCTTACAGCTCCCACTCTGGTCTGTCAACTTAGTTTTCCAGTCCCAGTCGTTTTTATGGGGCAAAAGGGCAAGTGCAAGAGAAAGTGGAGTGAGTGTGAGTGTGGGAGAGAGGTCCCATACGCTGTGTATTCTATGTTGAACAACAGAGAGCAGAGTAGAGAGAAGGGAAAAGGTGAGCGAGAGTCGATGAGCGAAAAAAAAAGAGTCAATTGAAACCTGGACAATCATCAATTGTGGGTGGTGTTTGTGCAGTTATTTACTGGGTATAATGGTCACTATTACCGCACTAAAAAAAACGCCCTTTCGCTCTCATTTCGTCCTCACTTTTTGTCGTGGACGCCCTTGGGTCATTCCACTGGGCACTCGTCACTTTGTTGCCCAAACCTCGCCTACACGATAAACTCTAATACGGTTACCCTGCCCTGCTTGTTTATGCTTCAGGGTACGGGCCCGCCAAAATTCCCATTTAAGGACACCTCGTCCCATCTTGCACATTTGTCCACATTCAGCAGTATCCCTTTACCCTCGTCCTTTTACGGAATACTACTGTACTTCACCAAAATTATTACGCGTCCACAATGTGAGTATCAACATGACGAAGCCCAAGCGCCCCAACACGCCCCACAACACTGCCGGGGACTCCGCCCACCACCCCTCCCTAGATACTGCCGCTGCGTGATTTTCCCTCGCCCCTCTCGCCACCATTGCCACCACACGAGACGGACCCAAAAGTCGTTGGACCACCGCAAGACTCGGAGCCGCGGACACACACAAGATGGGTCGGGTCCACGGACACGAACACACATTGACACGTGCTGACCAAACCATTGATTGTGATGACTGATGCTGGTGTTGTTGTCGATGAATGAAAAACGTGTCCGACAAATGTCCGGTGTGTTTGCTGCCTGTGTTATGGGTGCGTGTTGCATGGACGGTATAGGGGTGCTTTGTGGTGGCTAGCATGGTACAGTCGACTCGGCAGATATTGGCCCGAATTCTGCCATGCTACCGTTGCCACCAATTCCACTGCTGCCATTATCACCTTCTTACCCTTGCTTTTGGGGTGTTGGTAAGGCGTTTGTCCCCGGCTAAGGCAGTAGTGGCGTGGTGCTGTGCATGGAGCACATGACCCACCCACACGTCCCAACAAGACACCTACTAACTCAGGTCTGACGAAGGACTAGCTGATCCCTCTCTCGGAGACTCTCTCCAGCAATCCGACAACGTTCTCAAGCGAGAATCTTCCCAGGGCGGACCTGGTGACGTTGGGTCTGACGATGATGATGCCGGCGGAAAGCTCGGCCGAGAGCGACGAAAGATTGAAATCAAGTTCATCCAGGACAAGTCGCGACGACACATTACCTTTTCCAAGCGAAAGGCCGGAATTATGAAGAAGGCATACGAACTGTCTGTGCTCACCGGCACCCAGGTTCTGCTGCTGGTCGTGTCTGAGACCGGACTTGTGTACACCTTCACTACCCCCAAGCTGCAGCCCCTTGTCACAAAGCCCGAGGGCAAGAACCTGATCCAGGCCTGCCTTAACGCGTCGGATGACGTTCCTGTGGCTGCCGCTGAAAGCCAAGATGCCCGACAGCAGCAGCAACAACACCAGCAGCGTCATGGTAGCCACGTCAACAGCCAAGCCAACGGTCCCGGCGGATCGCAGGTGGCGGGTGGCGAGCTTCCTGACCAGCTGGTTGAAGACCAGCTCGGAGGCCATCCCGGTCTGGCTCGAGGCCCCCCTCCTAACATGGGGGGCATGCAGCCCGGAATGAACTACAACATGAACCAGGACTCTGCGGCACAGGCCTACCAGCATTACCTGTCGATGCCCCAGCAGCAGCAACAGCAGCAACAGCAGCAGCAGCAGCGATACATGGCTGCTCAGCCCGGGCACATGCCCCACCAGGCTCACCAGTAAGAGTCCTGTCGTTGCATATTGTTGATTTGGGGAGTGAAGAGTCTTTTACCGTGGACCTGTCGTTCTCCTACGCTCCCGCCTACCCTAGAGCATTGTTAGGTTGGATCAAAACGACATACACACATGAGGTGTCACACACATTTCATGCCATTCTTCAACACGCTCCTCACACACACACACATCAAGGGAGATTGTACGGTTTTTATTTATGAGTAACTAACACAAAAGTTAGGTGAATAGTTATAATGATATGGAGTTGTTTGTATTATAATTTTGTGAAACGGCAATGAGGTATGAGTATGTGCGGACGAGGACGAGTACAAGCGTTGTTCGGTACCCGTACTCGTACTCGTACCCATACATGTGATGAACATTGAGGTCAACGCCATTTTGTCCATACTCTGAGACATGTCTGGGATATCCGTCTTTGGTGGAGTAAACAACGGTGCCTTGAGGAGTGAGACATTAGTCAGGCTGGTTGTCTTGCTGACCATGTGTGATGTTACAGGTCACAGAATGTGAAACGGTAGTGTGGGGGTTGTGATACGGCATTGAGACATTTGAGATTCCGGATACGACACGTTCCCACAGTTGGAGGTGTTGCGATATCTGCCGGTAGTGTTGTAAGGGGGACTCGATTTAGGAAGGGGTAATGTAGAGTAGGATTCAGGTAAAGGCTGGCGGAGTTGGTCTATGTTTGTCAGGGGAGTTCAAAGGGACCCAAAGGAGAAGTCAATGACGATGTTGAAAACATTCATTTTGGATATTGGGTTGTACTCGTACTCATATTCGTATTCGTGCGTGTTCTTGTACCAGCAATTATGACCATCTCCGAGGCAAGCTGTTTACAGAAATGACGAAAGAACAGCAACAGTGGCAGCTGTGTGTTGCGCCAATACTATGGAACTCGAACATGTAAGTACTGTAGTAGACTGGAGGAAGTGTAGCTACAGTATTTGTGACGAACCGGTAGGTGTAAGTGGATAGATGAGCTCACACACCGGGCTAGAACTCATGTTGCAACTGGCGGCATTGGGAAGGGGATCTGAGAGGAGGTTGAAGCCTTATCGTCTCAAGATACTGTCAAATAGGGACTGTATCCGCGGTACCTATCATTCTGTTATGTCCCCGTGGCAAACAAGTCCACACCAACTATCTCATTGACAACCGGGTTCGCTACTGTTTTGACGCACTCTTGGAATCTGTTATGGGTCCTGGTTCTATCAAGTTCAGGGTCTTGATGAGCTCGGACACCCTCAGCAACAAGCAAAGATTGCATCTTACGCGGGATGCTCTACTCTACGAGCGATCTGCACCCGCTACTTGTAGTACATACTGTAGACAACTGATACCAGGTACATACAGTAAAAGTACATTATTATCGAAATGGTGCAATGAATATATTGGCTAAATCAAATTATTGATCCATTTGGGTCCCAACTTGTTGAAGCAAAGCTGGTCAAGCGTTGGATACACTGCTTCCTACCGATCACCATTGCTAGCACCGGTTCCATTGCCTACACATTCAGCAATAAGAGTCTTGATGCGCCACAAACTCGAGAGGACAGGAGGAAAGATCCACCGGTATTATAATTAGGAAGTTTATGTCTTTGTCAAGATGTCTGACTTCCAGATCGTGACTTCAAGACCGAGCGCAAAGCAGATCGCATATGCGAGAAGCATGCCATAGGTATCCTACAGTACATGCAGTTTTTTCATGATATCACAAAAGCGAACACGCAGATCTTGTCGCCTTGAATATTGTTTTTCAGTTCGATACCCAGATAAAGAACATCGTTGCGGATATCGGGTCGTCTCTCGGAGAGTCTCCTCGGAGCGGAACGGGGACAGTCAGTTGGCAACTTAGTGTAGGGGTGGTCTCTGCCCATAACTGCACTTTCAGCTACAGTTTTTTGTTATCATTGCAATTACTCCTCAGTACAGTACAAGTACAACATATTGCAGTTCTTTTTATCCTTCTTTCCATCGCTTTCGTTGCTACTAAAGATTCACATTTGAAAGCACAACTGACTACTGTGTAATCGATCCGTGTCAACGAAGTGACAAAGCTCATGGGAATCTCATATGACTCGCTTTCAGACTGTCTGAAGTTGTCATGTTCACATCCACTGAACATTTTGCAGGACAATACCGAGGGAAGGCTGAAGAACAGGGACATTAAGGCGCATTCCCTATCATATCGACATAGCTACTACTCCTGTCTACATCTGGCACTACAGAGTCTTGACTCGTGACGTATAAGTTAACAGAATTTTATTTTTACTAGACGCTTGAATAACAAACCTCTTAGTTGTCCTTGAGGATCTGCATGAACTTAGCCTTCTGGGCGTTCTTGACCTTGGTCTTGGGCTCCTTGATGGAACCAAGCTTCTTCTCAGCGAAGGTCTTGGAGTAAGGGTTAAGTCGGAGCAGCTCCTGCTTGTTCTTGAGAGGGTTCATCTTTCGGATGTCCTTCTCCTGGATCTCCTTGGCGGGCTTCAGGATAGACTGGATCTCCTGAGACTCAATGATTCGAGAGACATCAGCGTTGGCCAGAATGTTGGCGGGCAGAGAGTAGCCAGACTTGGCAGAGGCAACAGACTCGGAGCCCCAGATGTTGTCGAGCAGGTTGAAGGCACCCTCGGTCCAGATGACGAATCGGCCAAGGTGAGAGCCGGGAGCGAGCTGGAGCAGGTTGAGGTGTCGCACATCGCAGGTCTCAACACCGGGGATGTTTCGGAAGGCCTTAACGAGACCCTTGTTCTCGGAGTAGACAACAAGGGGACCTCGTCGCTGGGTCCATCGTCGGTTTCGGAGCTTACCCTTACCGGCTCGGATGGTCTTGGACTTGACAACTCGGGCAACGTCTCGGTGGGCACCGACGGCCTTGAGGGCGGCAACGGCGTCCTTGGTCTTGGTGAGGGACTCAATGTCGTTGGAGACAACGAGGGGGACCTCAGCAATGGTCTCGACTCGGTGACCTCGGGCAAGGACAAGGGGAGCAACAGCGGAAGCAGCAATGGCAGAGGCAGTAGCGTATCGCTTCTCGTTGAGGTTCACCTTGACGTGCCACTTTCTCCAGGTCTTGGTAGGAGCGAACATTCGTCCGCCTCGGCACATGTTACCGAAAGCACCCTGACCGGATCGGTGGGTACCGGATCCACCAACTCGGGGAATTCGAGCAACGGCTCGACCAGTTCCCCAAGACTCAGCAGAGGTCTGCTCACCGGCGTTGGAGGCGACGGCGTAAGCCTGTCGCTTGTTCTTGGCGACACCAGTCCAGACGGAGTGGACGATATCGGGTCGGATGGGAGCCTTGAAGACGGCGGGGAGGACGATGGTGACGCCGGCATCAGAGCCGGAAACGCCGTGGACGGAAACCTGGGGTCGAGTGGACATTTTGTGTTACGTTAGAGAGGGAGAAGTGACGAAAGTGAAAATTTACAGTGAGCGGGAGGTGTGGAAATTTTAGAGTTCCAGTTGGGACATGTCACGTGGATAACGGAAAAGCAGTCACAAACACGTGAGGGAGGAGCTTACTGTTTGTGAGAGAGTATACTTAAGGAAAATAATACCAGGATAATGTTTTTCGAGCTCCAAGTTTCGATTTGCCATGGTCTTTAGGTCTCTATGGTGTCCCATGGGGCCATATAATGACACTCCTTATATTACAGGACATCCCAAATAGGACATGAAAATAAGCTTTGCCAACCCTAAATGTTTGGAGGTGTAGACTTGAGAATAACAGTGAGGTGTGTATTTGGTAATTCTACAACGGGTTTTGGTGGTGGTAATTTTGATTTAGTGTATATTTGTCTTTGTTTATGTTTACTTAAATGTTGCTGGATTCTTTTTAGCACATTATTACCACCATTACATTGTGTTGAGGGTATTCGTAGTTACAGTATGTACATACGATACTTGAGTCCCAGACAACGCCGACAATGCCGAACCATCTCTAGACTCTGGGTAAGTGTTCATGCGCTGGAGACGAGAGATATCGAGATCTGCCAACTCTGCTACAGGTAATGAGGAAAGCGTTGTTGATTTGACGCCCTCTGTCCTCGAATGGACCTATGCTTGTAGTTCCTTAGCCCGGTAGGTGGTAAAACTGTATTGGCTGTGGAGGCTGTAGGAGTGAGAAGCATGGTGGGGTTTCGGCAGAAGAGTTCAGAGGCCTTGAGAGACATGTGAGCACTTCCGGATGCGTGGGGACTAATGCTCTAGACTCGCACGAGTCAGTTTCTTGTACTACAGACTGGAGCTGAGTGCTATGCCGAGCTTACTTGAAAAATCTCACTGTAGCAATTGTAGACGGTTTGGAAATCCGTATAGCTCCAGATGGTAGTAGGTACTATACCGGTTACTACTGCACGATACGTAGACGCGAGTGCGAGACATAGGGCGACTCCACCGAGGGGATGGAGGACTGGGTCACATTCTTGTCCATATGAACATGTCCATAAAGCCCCGGTGACTTTCTTCACAGCGACTGTTGTTGCACCATAATGCAAGTCAGAAGTCGACTCAAGCCTCGTCCTAGCACCTGATGACCCCTCAATTGTCCTCCACTGGACTCTACTTCCGCCAACGCTAGCGCCTGTACGGCTGAGCTTAGTGTGCCTGTGTGGAGCCCTTTCTGCGTGAGTGCTGTCAGAACTGCTTGCAGCGTTGTAGAGGAGACCAAACAAGCCGTCGGACACGGGAGACATGACGAGCTGCTACAAATAGAGATGAAAGAAGTTCGTTGTTTTTTTCGTTCCGGCTCCTCTGTGAGACTCGCATCGTATACACTATCCGTGGAGCTTCAGTCGGTAGTTTCTTTTTGATCAGGTGTACGTTCACTCCGGAGCATACGGGGCTCATGAGTTAGTTGTACGAGTTGGTGGGGTGACCAAGAGTACGACTGGACTTGTCTAAAAGCTTGTGCGGTGGCTGTGAGAACAAAAATGGTGATTTATTGGTTGGCAGCAGATTGTTCTTTCGAACAACACACACCATGTCTCTACCGCACCCGTACAAGTATAAATAGGTCACTTTCGCCCCCCCCTCATCGGCCGGAAAAATTACCATACTTCCAGCATGCTGCGCTTCTGTTGGGACAGCAATCTCGTATATCAGCAACCTTAATGGGATGCATGAAGCCTCGGCCAAAGCACCGAGTGGAGCTGCTATCTTTGCCAATGAGCGGTATATCGGCATGGAAGGAATTGGACAGTGGATTTTGTGGTCTAAAATTTGCAATTCAGTCTCCTTTCTAGCCCTTTCCACTCTCAGTGAGGCATTATATACCCCCCTCCAAAGTTACCCTATTACAGATTCCATGTCCTCTTTAGACTTCCCCTCCCAGCCCCAGCCATATGGGCCGATGGGCGACATATATCACTGCACGTTGAACCACCTACTTGTGACAGCCAATTGATTGATCGACTTCAGCAAAATCCAATTGAGAAATCGAGACGATAAAAACAACACGTCATTGCATACAAACCAGACTCCACATCTACACCACCACAACCACCACACCCACCACCAACCATGACACTACAAGTTTGCAAAGACGATCCTTGGCTCAAACCATTCGAGGAGGAACTCCTTCGACGACAAGCCCTAGTGGGCCAGTGGAAGGACCATTTTGCCAAGGAGGGAGGTCTTGCTGAGTTTGCAGCCTCCTATAAACGATACGGACTCCATGTCAACAAGGACAACTCGGTCACCTACAGAGAGTGGGCTCCAGGAGCCTCCGAAGCAGTTCTAACCGGCGACTTCAACGGCTGGGACAGACAACAGTACCACATGACCAGAGACGAGTATGGACTGTGGAGCGTGACTGTGCCTCCTACCTCAGATGGTCAGGTGGCAATCCCCCATAACTCCAAGGTCAAGCTTGCTCTGAAGACCTCCAACGGTCAATGGGTCGATCGACTGCCTGCCTGGTCCACCTACGTCGTCCAGGACCTGTCCAAATCGCCCATCTATGAGGCTGTGTTCTGGAACCCTCCCGAGTCGGAAAAGTACCAGTGGAAGAACAAATCTCCCCCCACTCCTGCCAACGCCCAAATCTACGAAGCCCACGTGGGTATCTCCTCCAGCGAACCTCGAGTCGGCACTTACAAGGAGTTTACAAAGAACATTCTCCCTCGAATCCACAAACTGGGCTACAACGTGATCCAGCTCATGGCCATCATGGAACACGCCTACTACGCCTCCTTTGGCTACCAGGTCACCTCCTTCTACGCTATTTCGTCCCGATATGGTACTCCAGAGGACCTCAAGGAGCTCATTGACACCGCTCACGGTATGGGTATTACTGTTCTTCTGGATGTTGTGCACTCTCATGCTTGCAAAAACGTCGATGACGGTCTCAACAACTTTGATGGAACTGACCACCAGTACTTCCATGGTGGAGCAAAGGGAGACCATCCTCAGTGGGACTCAAAGCTGTTTGATTACGGAAAGTACGAGGTTCTTCGGTTCTTGCTGTCCAACCTGCGGTTCTATATTGAGGAGTACCACTTTGACGGCTTCCGGTTTGACGGAGTCACCTCTATGCTCTACAAGCATCATGGTCTCGGTACCGGCTTCTCCGGTGGCTACCATGAGTACTTTGGAGACGAACATGTTGATCAGCAGGCCGTTGTTTATCTCATGTTGGCTCACGAGCTCATGAGGGAGCTGCAACCTCTTCTTCGACCCGGAGAAGATGCAGGCAACTTCCTCTCCATCGCCGAAGATGTGTCTGGAATGCCTGCTCTCTGTAGACCTGTTTCTGAGGGAGGTGTTGGCTTTGACTACCGTCTGGCCATGGCTATTCCCGACATGTGGATCAAGCTCGTCAAGGAGACCCGAGACGAGGACTGGGACATGGGCAACATTGTTTTTACTTTGACCAACCGTCGTCATCGAGAAAAGACCATTGCTTATGCTGAGTCTCATGATCAGGCTCTGGTTGGAGACAAAACTCTGGCCTTCTGGCTCATGGATAAGGAAATGTACACCTCCATGTCTGTTCTTTCCGACCCCAACCCCATCATTGACCGAGGAATCGCTCTCCACAAGATGATTCGACTCATCACCCATTCTCTTGGAGGAGAAGGATACCTCAACTTTGAGGGTAACGAGTTTGGACACCCTGAGTGGCTGGACTTCCCTCGAGAGGGCAATGGCTCCTCTTTCCACTACTGTCGACGACAGTGGCCTGTGGTGGATGACAAGCTGTTGAGATACCAGCATCTTAATGAATTCGATGCCGCCATGCAGCACCGAGGAGACCACTACGGCTGGCTGTCGGCCGACCAGGCTTACGTGTCGTTGAAGAACGAGGACGACAAGGTGGTTGTGTATGAGCGAGCTGGTCTGGTGTTTGTCTTCAACTTCCACCCCAACAAGTCGTTCACTGACTACAGAATCGGTGTGGACCAGCCTGGAACATACACCCTTGTGTTGGATTCTGATTCTCCCGAGTTTGGAGGTTTTGGCCGAATCGACCACGAAAAGACCCGATGCCATACCGAGCCTCTGGAGTGGAACGGACGGGCTAACTGTATGCATATCTACATTCCTTCTCGAGTGGCTCTGGTGTTTGCCCGGGAGGATGACCCTAGACGAAAGTAAGTAGTGACAAGCCAACAATGGCGAAGAGCGTCGCTGGGCTAAAGTCACTACCGCAAGGCATTCAGGATGAAAAGCACTTCTGTTTTTTATTATTATTTGATTTCGAACATTATATTGTAGACACAAAGCTATTGCCATCATGAAAGGATTGATGTAAAACCTACTGTACGTACTTGTAGATATTGTATGTACAGTATGTACGAGTACATACTGTACTTTTCATTAGTGTGTCTAGTTGTCTCTACATACTAATAATGAGTTAGTGGAGATATCTACATCCGTATTTACATCGACCGCGGTACTTCTCAATCATCCGTTAACAATTCATACTTCATTACATTCACTCCGTTTAGTCAGAGGGGCCAATCATCTTCTCGGGTCGGACCCACTGGTCAAACTCCTCAGAGGTGAGAGCGCCGAGCTCGAGGGCAGACTCCTTAAGAGTGATTCCCTTCTTGTGGGCGTTCTTGGCGACCTTGGAGGCCATGTCGTAGCCAATCTTGGGGTTGAGGGCGGTGACCAGCATGAGAGACTCGTTCATGAGCTGGGAGATTCGCTTCTCGTTGGCGACAATGCCGTCGACACAGTGGATTCGGAAAGATCGAGATCCATCAGCAATGAGTCGGATGGACTCGAGCAGGTTGGCGATCATGACGGGCTTGAAGACGTTCAGCTCGAACTGACCGGAGGCACCGGCGTAGGTGATAGTGGAGTTGTTTCCGAAAACCTGGCAGCAGACCATGGTCAGAGCCTCGTTCTGGGTGGGGTTGACCTTACCGGGCATGATGGAAGAACCGGGCTCGTTCTCGGGGAGAGCAAGCTCGCCGTAGCCACATCGGGGACCGGAACCGAGGTATCGGATATCGTTGGCAATCTTGAACAGAGACACGGCAACGGTGTTGAGGGCACCGGAGGCCTCGACAATGGCGTCGTGGGCGGCAAGAGCCTCAAACTTGTTGGGGGCGGTGGAGAACTCCTCGCCGGTGATCTTGGAGACCTCAGCGGCGACGGCAGTGTCGAAACCCTTCTTGGTGTTAAGACCGGTACCGACGGCGGTTCCTCCCTGGGCAAGGTGTCGGAGTCGGGGAAGAACGTCCTTGACTCGCTCAATGCCGTACTTGACCTGGGTCACGTAGCCGGAGAACTCCTGGCCGAGGGTCAGGGGGGTAGCGTCCTGCAGATGGGTTCGGCCAATCTTGATAATCTTGTCGAACTCTGCAGACTTCTTGGCGAGGGACTCCTCGAGCAGCTGCAGCTGGGGGATCAGGTTCTTGGTGATCTCCATGACGGCGGCAATGTGCATGACGGTGGGGAAGGTGTCGTTGGAAGACTGGGACATGTTGACGTGGTCGTTGGGGTGCACGGGGGACTTGGAGCCGAGCTTTCCGCCGAGCATCTCAATGGCTCGGTTGGAGATGACCTCGTTGGAGTTCATGTTGGACTGGGTACCGGAACCGGTCTGGAAGACAACCAGGGGGAAATCCTTGGTAAGCTTGCCGTCAATGACCTCCTGGGCAGCCTTCTGGATGGCCTCGCCAACCTTGGGGTCCAGACCGTACTTCATGTTGACGGTGGCAGCGGCCTTCTTGAGGATGCCAAAGGCCTTGACAATGGGCTCGGGCATCTTGGCCTTCTCTCCGCCAATGTCAAAGTTCTGCAGAGATCGCTGGGTCTGGGCGCCCCAGTAGTGGGAGTCGTCGACATCAATGTCTCCAAAGGCGTCCTTCTCGACTCGCTTGCCGAGGAAGGCGGGGGTGGTGGAGAAGGTTCGAAGGGTGAGAGGTCGAGAGACCTTGGCTAGTCGGACTGTTCGGAGCATCTGAGTTAGAATGTGAGTTATAATGATCATGAGAGGCCGTAGGTCTTGAGCGACAGGCACAGGCTCAGTTACTGGTTCATGGTTCGGCTTGGATCAGGTTTTGTATCGTTTTGTGCTTCCGATTGAATCACAATATGGGCCGCCTGACCCAGGTTACGGTGGCTCAATGACTTCACAGTTACACAGCTGAACCACATACAACTCAAACGTACGTGTTGTGTAACCCGTGATAATCATGTACACGTAGTCGTATCACCATAACCACACCCACCTAACCACCTGTTGAAGACGCCAACAGCACCACTTGGAGAGCACTATCAGTAGTAAATACTGTGTTTCCATTCAATATTGGACTCAATTGTCTCATTTCAATTGACACAATTCCCGCTCGCGTCTTGGACCGCTCCATACTCACCTTTGGACTGTAGGTGGGAAAATCAAGAAGAGCGGTTTTCCAGGATAAGACCCAACCAATGATTCGGGCGGACTCGGGAACCCTAACCTCGTTTCGGGAGGTTAACTTTATTGATAACGATGAAAAATCCTAGCTGTTCTCTGAGAGGTGAATAAATAAAGACATTTTCAATATGGAATTATAAATAATATCTCCAGAGTTTCACCTTTCGATTCAATGTTTTTCCGCCTTCTTATTGCATCTGTGAGGGCCAATAATCCCCCCCAAAACTCAACCGAAAATATGTCAGTGTCTACTTGTAGACTGAAAAAGCTTGGGGAGAGCTGCATGACATGCCATTGGGGAGGAATTGTTGTGTTAATTTCCGACCAGCACCCGGTACACGGAAGCGGGCCGTATCTGGACATTCTCCATGACAATACAGTTCTTCTGATACCTTTAAATCACCTCTGCGGTGCCATTGTGTAGTTGCAAGCATCGGGAGATACACTTGGTTCCACATGGATCAGATAAGAGCCGAGGTCAAGGGGTCAAGGGGAAGTGATTGATCTCATGCTCCTGTCAAAGTCCCAAGCCGTATCCATCTCGGATCAGAGTCACGTGATAAGTAGACGAGGGCTCTGCATGCTGTTTTGCAACCGGCCATCCATCTACAAGTATGTCAATAACTCCTCATCTATATAATACACGTCATGCTCTCCACACGAACTACACATAGCCTTTTCGAGGCAACCTAACTTTACTGTTGGAAGGAGTTGAAAGTGATTGTTATACAAAGATGCATATCTACGGTACCAAGAAAATAACTGTACAATCCATTCTATCTATAAAATCAAGTATATATATAAGTGTTAGATGGCTTACTGCCACTTGTAGGTTCCCCAAGAAAGAGAGGCCTGGGGAGCAGCGTAAACCTGCTTACCCTTATCTCCGTCAGCAGCTCCGAGAGCGAAAAACAGAGGGAAGAGATGCTCGGCAGTAGGATGGGCTCGTCGTCGGTCCTTGTCGTTCCACAACGTCTTGACATTTCGCTTGTACTGTTCGTCGGGAATCTTGCCGTCCTCGTTGGCAGTGACATTCTGGACAAGCTTGTTGACCTCCTTCTCAAAGGTTACGGCGTAGTCAGCATGGCCTCCGTAGTAGGCGCCTAGCTCTCGCAGGTTGTGAACGGACATTCCGGAGCCAATAATCCAGTAACCCTGTTCTCTCAGAGGAGCAAGAACCTTGCCGAGGTCGTAGAATCTGTTCGCAACGTCATCCTCGTTTCCGTTGGCCTTGAGCTGGTCTCCAGCAGGCTCAGAAATCTGCAAAACGGGGAAGGGAACCTCTCCGTCAGCCTCTCCGGCATGCTCAAACATGACCTTGGAAGAGACCCACAGACCGTGGTCCCACTTCTTGTCGGTTCGGAGCTGAGCTTGGTACTTGTCAGAGGAGTCAATGACATCGGCGACCTTGAGAGCAAGCTCGTGGGAATGTCGGGCAAAGAACTTCTCTTGGTAGAGCTTTCGGGGGAAGCCGAAGAAGTCGTACTCGAGTCGTCCAAGACCGTCGGCAGGATCGGTGGCAATTCCAACGGGGATCTTTCCAAGCTTGGGAGTGATCTTCGGCAGCTTGTTGGGAGAAACCTCTCGAGGGTTCTCGTCCTTCTGGTAGGCATGCTCCCAGTGGGCGGACATGACAATGACGCCTTTGACGGACTCGGGGTTCTCCTTGTGCTTCTTGAGCAGCTCTCGGCCAAAGGCTCGCAGGTAGGCGAAAGCCTTCTGATCCGAGTTGGGGTCGCCCTCGTACATGAGAGTAGGGCCTCCGTGGGGCACGAAGAGAACGGGGGTTCGTTTGGCGATGGAAGGCATGTCTAGATCGGGGAGTTTGGTGTCGTAGGACTGAGTGTTGGTGGTGGTTGATGTAATGGGTGTGTTGGTGATGTTGGAAATGTAGGCTTTTCGACCAAGTAGAGAGGCGAAAACGGCTAGTGTGAGGAAGAAGAGAGATGTGAGTGTGTTCATCTGGAAGTTACCATGGCAGGGCGACGTCGGTGGTATATATACATTTTTTAGCACGGTTTTGCAGGGCGCAACTGGGATGTGTGACGGTTAGGATCCCGTGCATAATCACTGATTTGGGTTTGAATGGGGGGGGGAGCACAACGTGTCTCATAACTGGGGTTATAGAAGGGCCATGCGAAATCTGATAGAGACGACTATGGTTATTTTTGGCGGTTTTATGGCAATTCCGCTTTCATATTTCCATTATGAAGAGTATTCGTCGATATTCAGAGCCTTCAACCACCCCGCACTCGACCCAACTCAATTATCTAATTCCTTCAAATGCTCAGTCACACAAGGGCAAACTCTGTACAGTCACTTCTGACTTAGCAACACTAATGCGTGAACGCGAGCAAAAAAGCAAAACGGACCAAAGTCAAGAACCATACAGAGACCCGGATTTGCAAGCATTACGAGCATGAGTAAGGGGCAGGTGCATGACTGAATAATCTGATTGTGGGATGTGGCGGTATACATTGACTATTGTCCATCTGCTGATAACGCTCTGGCTATAGATGGTCATACTATCGTGCTTACTGTCGTGCTTGCTATCGTGCTTAATACCGTGCTTACTATCGTACAATGCAGTATATACTGGTACTCGTAGGTACAGCTATTAGATAGGAGGCATTTGAGGGTTGAGACTTCATCCACGTCTTCGAAAAGGTGCTCATATTTGCCTGAAGCCTCAACTGAACTTCTTGCTGCTCAGTAAGCCGCGCTCTGATGTTCTTCGACGCCTTGCAACTATCTGTAATAACATCCTCGCTGGGAGGAAGATCATTAGGAATAATTATGATTCCTCTTAGTCAAGCGAGTTAGTAAGGCAGATAAACTCGGACGACAGCGTGGGGGCCTGTTGGCTGGTGCCCACCAGCCGATGACTGAGTGGCCATAGCTGACGTTTTATTACAATATTCCGTGGCAAATGTCGGTTTTTTCTCCTCTTTCAGGCGCGTTTTGGGCTGTTTTGGCCTCGTTTCCGCATTCTAGAATTTTCCGCTGTAAATGGAATGGAATATCTCGTGAATCGTCAAGGCGGACTCCGAACCGTGACACGTCAAAATATGATACAGAGAAAAATTCCTCATACCATCAAGTTGAATGCCCGGCTGAAATTCTCGTAACCTGGAAACGTGAATGTCCTGGTGGAGCCCAAACACGTGCACTCCCCCTGGTCCGGTCACGTGACCCCCCCCTTTTGCTTCTTCTCACCCTGCGCATCCCTCCGACATGATATTAAACTCAGTGTGGAAGTCAGTGTGGAAGTCAGTGTGGAAAGTCAGTGTGGAAGGAGGAAATGATGGAGATGACACCCAGGCCTCGGCTGGATGATGTAGGGACGCATGTCATGTGACCTGGTAGTTGTCACGTGTCTATGGACATTGCGGCCCCTATATCCCCCTCTCCACCAAATATGTCATACCGCGTTATACTAGGGTTATACTTATACTTGTACAATGTGTTTTGGAAGCGTATATTCTACCACGGCTTGTACAGTAAGAGAGGTTCATATTATCTAATCAACCCCGAAATATACCGGTACGAATACAAGTACTTGTATCCGGGTCACATGATAATACTCTGACAACAAACAGGACATCCTATTTATATACACGTGCAACCACGTGCAGTGACCCACATCCTCCCGTGTCTGTATATCCCTCAATACCACCCTACGGATCGCTATAACAGGTCCCATCGCATCCATGTTACATTCTGCAGCCTTAGTACGGCTGCCTGGAACAAGTGTTTGTCTATGTTTTACCCCGTTTGTTCATACTGGTCTAGCGCGCCGTGCGCCAAAGTCACGTGGCCTCCCCCAGATGGCCCATGACACGGCTCATTACACGGCTATCATAATTAATATAAATATGTCTGCTCCATCTCCTGTCTCCGTCCCTTTTCAATCTCCGACTGATAGAGTTCTGTCAGGGTGGGCCAGAAAAAAAACAGGTGACTTTTTTGACCCCGGCAAGCCAGACTCACAAGGTAAACACTCTCACAACGGCGGCGGCTGGGACTTTGCTGTCGAGCGTTACCTCTTCGAGTCTAGGAATTTAGCCGTGGGAGATCACCGTTGAAGAGAGAGACGAACGCGTTCTCCGGGGGTGACACCAAGCGGGATAAGTCTTGCCGGCGGGGCGAAAAGCGGCGATAATATGGGATAGAAGTGGCGAGCTCGGTAATATCTGCACATGGAGCAGACCAAGAGAGTCTAGTCCACGTGACGACGGTAGAAGCAGCTAGGCAATCTAAGTTTCGGATTGCTTCGGAATCGGGATCGTTGTGGGGGTCGGTCGACCCTATGGCATCCATGGGTGGGGCAAATGCCAAAATAAAAACACCAAATCGGAGATAAAGGAATCTTCCCTTAATCAAGACCAACAGCATCCGACTACCTTCATTATTCGCCAGTTTACAGACACCCTCATTTCGCCCCTCTCACAAAATAACCTTTTGGATTGCTCGGCTCTCTTAAAAATGCAGACGGGAAAAAATAGCTAAAGTATATATACAACAAGTTTGCCCCACATTTTGAGGTTGAAAATAATTGAAAACGGATTCACAAAAAAGCCGACCGGTCAACCGCGCCCCAACTACAACCATGCCAGCTATCTTCCCGGACAACGGGTCTATGGTCTCGGACGATATGTCGTCTTACTCACGAGACGTGCTATCTCTCATGGTCCCCCGAACCCGACGCCCACCAGCAGTCACTCTTCCCTATATACCCTCTCCTAACCCCTTTCACACGCTGGATCTGTACCTGCCCGAATCGGGTCTCTGTCCAACCACCAAGTGGCTCATTTTCATCCATGGAGGCTACTGGAGGGACGCCTCCCAGAGCAAAGACGTAGGAGCTAGTATTCTGACCCGTCTGCCTCCCCACTGGGCCGGAGCCTCGATCGACTACCGCCTGAGTCCCGAGGTGGAACACCCAGACCACCTTCACGATGTTACAGCAGCTGTACAGTTCCTCAGAAATGCATACGGAATCAAAACAGCCGTCATTCTGGCCCATGGAGCAGGAGCCTGCATGGCCTTCCAGTACGTGGCAGCTCGTCTGTCGCTTGGAGAAACCTGGGTGAAGCATATTGTGGGCTCGGGAGGTGTCTACGACTTGTTGGACGTGTCGCAGTCTTCCCCGTGCTACAAATCATACATTCTAGACGCCTATGGAGCCGATGCTGAGAACTGGGATGACTCGTCCCCCGCAAGACTCGAATGGGACGCTCTATACGGCCCTGACGTGGCCGATCTCAAATTCACACTCGTCCACTCGAAACACGACACCCTGGTGCCTCTCAGACAGGTTCTGCAGTTTGAAGATACACTGACCAAGGCTGGCTTTACAGCCACGCTCAGACTGGTGGACATCCATGACCACGATGCTGTCCTTGAGACGTCTGACCTGATCAATGTCGTACTGGCTATCTGCGAGGAGATGGATCACAAGGAAGAGCAGCAGTATCTTAGACTGTTGGAGTAGGATACATGAGGACATTGTCCGTGAGGGCCATCAAGAGTAACCCTCCCTCATCTTCCCCACACAAACTGCAGGGTATCCTAACGCCGCGTTCTGTTTAACAGGGGCTTCCAACACAAAACAAAACATCCAGACTATGAACACTGGAACTCATCAGCATATGAGCATCATGCATAATTACTAACTATAAGAGTACATACATAATAATTTATTCCGAGATGAAACAGCTGCCCTTGTAGTATGTCTTTGTACCACCACTTCTTTACGTTCCAATAGTTACAAAACACACAGAGGCACCTTTACAGACCACAGCCATCATATATCAATACATTTGAGAAGCTATAAGCAATAAATAATCCTTCTACTATCACAATCACACCTTGAAACCCACCCTCTCCTCTTCAGCCTCCTGCTCAAGCTCATCATCTATAACTTCCACAGCCTCAAACATCTCCACCTTGCCAAACGCACCTTCTCTCCATGGGACTGGCATTTGCTTGTCATCCTCGTCGCCCAAACTCTGCCCCTGCAACCCCACATAACCAACAGTGACGTTATCTGTATGTCTCAGAGTCATGACGACTCTCTCCATATCCACATCCATGCGGAGAATGCGAGACCAAAAGTCGTGCATAGTGATGGTGGTGCACAGATCTTCTCTAGACTGGGTTGGCTGGGTATCTGAGCTGGCTCTCAGATCATCACACAGTCCCTCAAAGTCATCCATAGCCCATTCATAGAACACAGGCGTATCTGAATCAGCCGAAGCTCCAGCCAAATGTACCACAGGCATTCCGTCTCCATACTTGGCCACGAAGGTCTTGCCAGTTAGTAGATCACCGACATAGAAAGGATCCGAGTTGGATGCTGTCACATATCGCTCCTTCCCCCGAGGATCCAAGTCGGCATGTCCTGTGGTCTCTGTGTAGATACCAATAGGGGCCCAGTCAGTTCGGGTGGCACTCAGGGCACGAGTGTACTTTCTTTGCTGGTAGAATCCTCTTACTTCGGTGCTGACATTGAGCTTTGTGAACTGCTGGTAAGTCTGGCGTTTCTGGAACCCCAAATCAACCCATAGACGCACAAACTGGCCATCCACGTTGAAGTAGAGCAAGCCATTGTAAATTTCAATCTGGATATCCACCGGGAAGGTAGTGATAGTGTGGCCTTCCAGTTTGGCCAACAGAACCACCTTGTTTTCATACGGATTGGGGTCCATGTACGAAATACGAAGTGTGGGCGTCGAGTACTCCACGATGAAAGCTCCCCCAAAAGGCGCAGGCAACATCTTGATTCGATAGTGGCCATTAGCTCCATCATCTCGAATAAGTGGGAGCGCCACCGAAGAGCATGGATCGAAGCCAATGGATCCATCCTCTAACGTTGATCCAGGCTTGTCGATCAAGTAGTCGATCTGCGAGTACATGTGACCTCTTCTCTGTTCCGTGAGATGAATGGTCGTGGAATTCTCCCCAGAAAACCAGAGCCGTTGTCCCACGGGATCATCCTCATGAATAACCATTGTACTGTGATCTGGTCTATCGTCGAAGATTTGCGAAAGCTGCTTTGGTCGTTTGGACTCTGCCGGTGAGATTACACTCTTTCTGAGAGTCTTGAGATTCATAGAGATGTCGCCAACACACAAGTGTTCGCCCTGGAACTTGTATGGTTCATGACGAGGATCAATTTCGTCGAAAATGGGCTCAAACGAGTCTGGAAGATTAGTGTCGATGCTCACCGTGGGCAGAAATTCAACGACTGGGTGCACCGACAACAAGGGTCTCAGGTTCTTCACCACCTTCCACTTGGGTGATTTTGAGCGGACTCCAGAGGTTCGAGATCGGATCAAACGAGCTGCTCTAGCCCAGGTGTAAATTTGGGTGCCTGATTCGTCGAGGGTCATCCAAGGCACTCGTTTCTGGACCTTGGATCGGATCAGACTGTCGTCTAGACCCTCAAAGACGTGGAAGAAGGTGCAAGAGCTTTCACTGAGCGCAAGGCAACTCTCCAAGTCGCAGAGATGAAATAGCTGCAAACAAAGCTCCACCGGGAGTGTCATTCGTGGCACTGTGACGATAGCAATGGTAGTCATCACATGTACTGTATACAGAAACCAGCTGCACGATAATACAGCTCTTACCCTAGCCCTAAATACCCAATCGTAAGTAGCCCATCTCATATGGGAGACGTCCAAGGGGAAGGGTGGGGTCAATTTGTATCACTGATGTTTCACGATGTAGCTTGGATTCGGTACAAATAATGAATTTTGTTTTCCTCCCGCGTTTTTCTCCCTAAAAGCCTCGTTTTGATGTTCTGTTCTGTTCTATCACCTCATCTCCAAGACCCTTAAGCATCTCCACCCTCTTGTTAACTGAGTTCAAAGATGCATTATCCATGTTGATTAAAACTAGTTATGCGTTTGAGACATGTGCTTAGTGGGTCTCGGTAGATGGACAATAATCAACCTTACAGCGAAGATAGGACTACTGGAAGTCAAATAACAGACATATGTTGATGAAATTTGCCCTCTTTTCTCTTCTTTGCACTGGATAAGCATGAGGCTGGATGGAGCTGGATGGAGCTGGATGGAGCCTGTCGAGGTTAGTGTGTCAGCAACAAGCGACCAAAGAGATGGTTTTGGGTGGATAAAAAGTGGTAAACCGCTATCAAAAAGTGCCAGAACGCAATTTAGAAGGAAAAAGAGAGCTTTATTTATTCCACAGGCTGTAAAATGACCTTCTGTAGGCAGTATTCGCCGTGGAGTATGTTTCCTGATATTTCCAACAAACTTTCCAACAAAAGTAAGACTTTTACTTGGTTTTGATCTGATGTGATGGATAGTTGAGGTATACCAGTCAACACCAGTCAAATAACATTGAGACAATCACAAAGTACAGTAACTACTGTAATAAACCTTCTAATTACGTACAATAGCAGTAAACCCCAAATAAATTGACAACTACATCTCTGAGACACTCTCAAAGTTGAGAAACTAGAGACATCTAGAACAACATCATAAAAGAGACTTGGAGTAAAATACTTGATACAGCGTAAAAATGGTAGATCTATATAACCCTTTATGTCATTGGAAAATTCTCAAAACCTCCATTAACCAGTTGAAAAGAACATCTTAGAATTTTGGTCACGTGACTTTTATGACCCTATATGTAGGATAAACGCTTTTTTTGTCTCAATGGTTGCGGCCATATCCTGGTGAAAATACGGCTTCCCGTCCGATCAGCCATAGTCAAGCACCAGAGAGCCTAGTTAGTATTGTAGTGGGAGACCATACGAGAATCCTGGGTGCTGCAATCCTTCTTTGACAAATCTAATTCTTTTGCCAATCTAATATTTTTTTTCTTGCACATAATACTGTTTGACTACTGAAGAAGAGCAGAGGTGATATATTTTACATGATTGGTACAACAACCCCCATAATCTCCCGTAGGCTTTTATTTGTTCGTTTAATCGCTTTTTTGGTCGCCTTTTAGTCAGCCATATCCTCTCAAGACACACATTGACTGCTTCGTTTCCCACCCCACATCCGCAATAGTTTAGTGGCTAGAATTTCCGCCTGTCAGGACGTCTGTTCAGCACGCGGGGGACCGGAGTTCAATTCTCCGTTGCGGAGGCAGTGTTTCGGCACAACTTTTTTGCCATTTCAGACGGTATTTCTGTCGTTAGTCAGCAGTGAGGTAGTCCTTTTTTTTCTTTTTCGCGCAGATGTGTTGAAAGGAAGAGTTGGAGTATGGAACACTCAACTAGAAGTTGCTTACATCTGCTATTGTAGCAAACACATTGTTCTTTCCTTTGTATCTGGGTTAGATCATGTCTCTGTAGGAGGTGTTGATAGCAGTATGCGACAGCTACTGTACTTGTAGAGAAGTGGATGAAACTCAAGAGTTACTTGATACTCTTGAAGGATCCGGAAATCTGAGAGTTGTCTTCCAGAAGCCAGTGTAGATCAATCGCAAACTCATCTTCACGACACTCACCTGGAAGAATGGGACTGTGGTTGACTGGTTGAGGGTATCTTTTGGGGTCCATTTCACATTGATTAATCGAATGACAACGCGCCTCTGGAACAGTAACTACCGTTGGCTTGACTCGATGTAGGTAACACATGAGTGTTAAGTGTGTTGACTGAGCTGTGGTATGGTGTGATGTGCATGGGTGCGACAGAAAGGTGGGGTGCAGAAATATGAGTATTTTAGGATGGTTTAATTGGATTAAATAAATAAATAAATGAAAGAGAAATACGATAAATTCATGACAGCGTATGGAGAGTGTATTGGATAGAAGAGTTCTATAGTAGTAAAATCAGTAGTATAATGTATACCAAGGAACCATTAGCAGCTCAAAGATCCCACCACCTCTGTTATGTGACCTTGTGGGCAGTGATATGGCGTGTCTCTGATGTATAAATAGAGATCCACGGAAGCTCACTGACTGCTGCTGTTTTTTTTTTTTGCATATAAAAGCAAGGGAGGTTGCCTAAGACGCTTCAGCCTAATTACACTACAAGTACAAGTACAAGTACAGTACAGTACAGTACATACTTCATTGCTCCCATACCCCAATTAAGGCGGCGGCCATAACACCGTCTCCGTGGTAACGTGAAAACGCTTTTGTGACCATATCTAAAAAGACATGGCCTAATTCTCAGCTACTCACAACCTGCCTCTCTTCATCCACCACACCCTATCAAGCAACACACTGAAGAAACATGAGGACCGTCCTGCGACTTTTCGGACTGGCGGCCACAGTTCTGGCCGGAATTGCTCCTATCGAGTGGGAAGGCAGCACTTCCGCGACTCGGTCACCAAAGAACCGGTATGATACCTTCCTCCTTGACACCCCCCCTTTTGATTCCACCCTCAACACATCAGAGCTTGTGATACCAGTTTGTGTTACTAACGCAGTTCTTCTTCAAGGGCATAGACTACCAGCCCGGCGGGTCGTCGGCGTTTGTGGGCCGATCGGACCCGCTGTCAGACTACGAGGCATGTTCCAGAGATATTTACCTGTTTCAGCAGCTCGGAGTCAATGTGAGTATAATCCACTCTTAACAGTGACTTGCACCCCTCAGCTAACATAGGCAATCCGCGTCTACACAGTCAACCCAGACATCAACCACGACGAATGCATGACCCTGCTGGCAGAAGCAGGCATCTACCTCATTCTCGACGTCAACTCCCCACGCATTGGCGAGTCGCTAAACCGATACGAGCCCTGGACCACCTACCATGAAAAGTACCTGGAGCACATCTTCAAGGTTGTCGAGCAGTTCTCCCATTACAACAACACTCTGGCTTTCTTTGCCGGCAACGAGGTCGTCAACGATGACCAGTCCGCCATGGTGTCGCCCAACTACATCAAGGCTGTAGTGAGAGACCTCAAGTACTACCTAGCCAACCAGTCGCCCCGAAAGATTCCCGTCGGATACTCTGCCGCAGACGATCTCAAGTACAGAACCTCGTTGGCACAATACCTCGAGTGTGGTGACGAGATGTCTTCCGTCGACTTTTACGGAGTCAACTCCTATCAGTGGTGTGGCGAACAGTCTTTCGTGTCTTCCGGATACGACAGACTCGTGGACGACTACAGGGACTACTCGCTGCCGCTCATCTTCTCCGAGTACGGATGCAACGAAGTCAAGCCCCGTACTTTCCAGGAGGTCCGAGCAGTTTACTCAAGCAGCATGACTGACGTATTTTCTGGAGGGCTCATTTACGAGTTCTCCCAGGAGCCCAACGACTATGGTCTTGTCCAGATCTACAAGAACCACTCCGCGCAGGTTCTGGAGGACTTTGAGGCACTCAAGAAAGCATACCACGACGCCCCCAAGGCCAAGCTGTCAGACTTCCGAGCTGTGGAGCGACCTCAGAGGTGCGAGCTCGTGTATCCCAACATCAACACCATGAACCCTCTCCCCGACACGTTTGGTCTGGACATGATAACTCGTGGCGTGCGGGCACCCAGGGGCAAGTATGTTGACTTGCACAAGCGGGGTACATCGTACACCATCTACGACCTGGAAGGAAATGTGATCGAGGACACTGAGGTGCAGCAGGTGATTGATCTGAAGGAGCCTCTTGCGGCACCGCCCCCATCGCCCCCCACACGGAAGGCCCCCGCTGTCCCAGAGCCAAAGGACCCTGTGGAGCCAGTCTACGATGAGTATCCGAAGAAAGTCGCTACCGTTGAAGAGGAGGATGATCACGAGGTGGTGAACCCACGGAGACCATTTGAGAGAAAGAGTGAGTGTGATAGTTGCGGTACCGACATCGACGGTGATGGCTGGAGCCGAGATTTCTTTTCATCCTTTAATTATGCTAACTTACTAGAGACAAGCACCGGGTCATACAGAGACACGGCAGTGCTGGGGTGGATCAAGTACCTGGTGTCAGTGATGCTTGGCGTGGTGGTGGTGGAAGTGGTGCGGCTGATGTAGGTCGAGGAGGTTTTGGTGTTTGGTCTGTGCGTAAGCCTGGCACTCCTGCTGGCCGACGGCAACGTTTTCGAAGTCAGAACAAGCCGGCTCCACTCTCACAGAGGGAGCTCAAGCACCGAGTCTATGCACTGTCCAACCTTGGTGCGTTCCCTCGGCGTGCACGACGACCTCTTGGGGGCGTGAGGCTTGCGCGGAACCAACAAAATCAGCTTGTGATTATTTTATAAGAGAATTCGCTTTCACTATTCTTTTCCGTATTGTTGCTAACAATAAATACATTAATATTATTATGGTAAAAATAAATAGATCGGTGTACCGGTGCAGTATTACAAGTCGAGTCTCTGGTTCTTGTAGTAGAGAGTAGGGGATAGGGACAGTTTGATATCTTGTGCGAAAGTGGAAGCTGGTCGTTGGAGAAAGTGGCAGTCCATTTCATTGATGGCCATCTTTTCCGCGGCAGCTACGAACTGTGCGTGCGTCAACAGGGTCGGGGTGATACCGACTAGCGTCAGTTTTTGCAGCTTGGGCAATGCTTCCAAGTTGTACTTCTCCAGGAATGGCAGCAAGTCTGTTTGGCTGCTTGGTTGGATGTCTACAGTCAAGTCTGTGAGGGTAGGGAATAGGGGAGCGACCGCCAGCAGTTTGATCTGAGTCTTTGCCTTTACCTTGAGGGTCAATGTGTGCAAGTTATCGAAGAACCGTGGGATCTCTGGTACTGCAGTGGGGTGAATGATGCAGTCTGTGAGTTGGAGGGTAGTGATGCCCAGAGGAGATGTTCTCGTCTCATTGTCTTCCTTTGGAGGTTTAGGAGACGAGGGTCTGAAGGAGAAGTACGAGGAGGCTCTATTTTGGGACTTGGTTGGCGTCAACGGCGATCCCTGTGCCGGGGATGTGTTGCCATTGGCATATTTTCGAGACAGGGAGTTTCCATCAATGACAATGTCTTGTAGATTGAGGGTATCGATATTTGGGAACTGCTCGAGAATGTCTGGTTGGATGTAGACTCTCCAGCCTGGTTCCGTAGACACAGTGAGGCTTTTGACATGGAGCGACGGTTTTGAGCTTCGGAATTGGAACTTTGGGGCCATGTTAATGATTCGTACCTCTTGTAGAGAGGGCAGTTTTTTGACGATAGCCACAATAAGTTCTTGGTATGTCTTTTGGTTGGTGTCTGTGTTGTAGGAGTACGATGCGATAGAGACCTGTTGGGGGTTGTCATTGGTGACTTCTTCGAATATGACAATCTCCACAGCAGCCACAATCTCTTGTCTAATGTATCCCTTTGACAGGGCCTTGTAGAACCTCTCCACCTGGGTCTTACAGGTCAAAAGCACCTGTCTGTAGATGACTGGGGCCAGCAGATCAGTCTGGAGCGTTTTCGAGCACTTGGCGAGGTTGATGAGCGACCGCAAGTACAGGTTTTTGCTGCGAATGGTGAGTTCATGGTCGGTGTAGCCCTGTTTCTCCACCGCGGCCTGGCAGTCTTGTTGGAGATAGAGGAGAATTTTTTCGACGATTTCGACGGGCAGCGTTTCGAGCGGCGCCAGCTCGGTAGATACCGGGCGCGTGCGTCGGAATTTGCGCAGAAATCGGGGCATCTGGAGGTTGCTGGTGGGTGGTTAGAAATTTGAGCGGCCGTCCCCCACATTGCATATCTGTTGCTTGGCGAGTGGGGTTAGGGTCTGCCGTGCACTTTTGTAGGTTGGATTTTTCATGTGGATCGGTTTGAAAGACATGCAGGGATAAGGTGTGTTTGTCCAATCCGGCCAGCTGCATTTTGTGGCTGCTTTTTGCGAGTGGCTCCCACTACAAGTACGGGTTTTGCTGTGTAGCATTATTGTGCTGTGGCTGGCTGTGGGGGGCCTCTACTTGCAGTGGAGGAAGAAATAGATGTGGTTATAGGCGCAAGAAGAGGGTGTAGGAAAAAAAGGAAAGTGAAATAATGACGAGAAAAGCGCGAATATTAAGATGGAGTCGAATTATTTGCGAATTTACGAGTTCTACGCACTTTCGAGTCTCTCTAACTACTGCACATTTCTCCAACATGTCTGATAAGAGTACGGTTATTTTAGACTGTAGCTTAGGAAAGACCTATATATTATTTTGATTTTGATGTCTCACAACCACGCCAACGGTTGGGCCGCTATATCCGCCTGCACGTGGTGCGTGCTTGTCCTTTTTCTAGTCCTGAAGAGGGATGGTCGGAGATGCGCAGAGTCAAGTGTTTTGTTGGGGTGGAGAATGGCAAATGGGAGAGTGCATCACCAGCGTAAGTGTTACCCAAACAAAATAGACAACATTTACTTGGACATATAGTTAGGGTAAACTAAGGATATCGGAGGGGGTAGAAGAATATATCTCTATCAGCAAGAAGAATGGATAATATATAGTATTAATGAACGTATCAACATCTCTAAGCTCTACAACAGTTCTAAGCTCTACAACAGCTCTCATGGCCTTCTTCTGGCAACTGTTTATTCCTTCCTCCCTTTGACCAGCCATCTGGCCTTGTTACTACTCAACTTCACAATTGGATTATTACTTCCTTTATTTTGTCTGACGCGCCGACAACATCGTCAATGGTCGGTTCCACCCGGTTCAGTTACGACAGCCTTCCACAATGCCTACATCATTACTAATACATGACTAAGCACAGTTCCAGATCTTCCACAGCAACCTGCATAATCCAGATCTCAGCCCACACACTAACCCACACCACGTCATCATGTCTTCCTGGACCCCGCCCAAGCCCGGTCTGACAGCAGCTAATTGCATCGAAGCCCGTGCCCTGCGCCAGTTTCTCCGGGCAAGTCGCAAAACTGTGGACGACCGAGTTCTGGTGACCATTTCAAAACTGGGCAATGACACCGCCGCAGAGCAAATCAAACATAACTCTGGATACACTGGCTACAAACCCGCGTGTAACGAGTTTGTACAGGAGGTGCTGCTACCCGCATGGAACGAGCGAGACCGAGTTCTCACTTACTGTGGCGATGTGGCCCGTCTAGCCAAGGACAAGAAGGGAGGAGATATGACTGAAGCTGCTCAGACTCAGGACGAAAACGAAAAGCCTGCTAAACGACAGCCGCTTGATCCCTACGCCGCCGAGGCTCGAACCAACCAGAAATCGGACGCTGATCGAGTGCTTGATTGGGTTGAAACCGAACGAACCATCGAGGGCATTGTCAGAGACACCACTCGAGCTGAGGTCTACGACAAGTGCGGAATCTCTCTGCAGTAGGTCCTGAACGACCGCATAGACCGTGTACATAGTTAACAGCCGCTAGGCGTGCATCCAGATGAGCTGTGGTCAATTATACTGTACAGTGTATAACTACAGCAGCTAATACAAACACGAGCGAACAGAGTAGGGATGAAAAAATCATGATGGATGTCGAGTGTGTAAATAACATGGTCATTTCCACCTGTGATAAAAGAGTCTATAGTAGTGTGTATACCAATAGCAGGTTTTTTTTTGACAGATTTTCGGCTGAATGGGGAGAGGTGTAATGTTGAGATCTGCACATCCAGTACAATGAAATGAACTTGACAGAGGTCCAAGTGAGAGAAGGCTTGTTGATTATGTTCAATTAGGTCGTAAATGGTCAATTAACCAATGTCACTTATCTCAAAGATATCGCTCTACGCCTATGTTTTAGCCTGGGTATCCATTCCACGGATCACTGATCGATTAACTTGAACTGAGAGCGAGCAATGAAGAAAGTCCGTGGTTTGGATTTGGTCTCGAAGCTCTGAAAGTTGCCTGAATTTTGTATCATAAACACAAGATATGGAGGCTGCGCCCGAGCGTCTCATGAGTAGGAGAGTATCCCAAGTCAAACCCATACAACCAAGGTGAACTCAGTTCCAAGAAAGACTTGGAGAGATCTGGAGACATTTGTATTATTCGGACTTTCTTACTGTGTCTCATCATCTCTCTATCAGTATCTCACTACCAGCCTCGTACCTACTGTGCATTAACAGCCCATCTTTACTTGTCTTCTATGAGCACCTTACCATCCATCGATTAATACAGTAGAACCAATTCTGAGCTTCAATCTTGCCTTGAAGCTACCCGCCGCTATCTATTTCTTTCTAAATCTCACACGGCTTGCTAAAGTATCCAAAGTTACAGGTACGGCCCGTTATCTTGGAGTGGAGATAAGGGAAAGCCACAGCCACCGAAATGGTTAGGAAGCCGCCAAGATAGCAGACGTGATAAGTTGGTACAAGCACTTGGCACCTCCCAAGCCGTCGATGCTGACCAAGTATTAAAGCGCCGTACAATCCGGGGTGGCTGCTTGTTTCGTGTCATGACAAAGAAGACAGGGGGAGAAGATACTGATAAGAAGAGACGGCATCAATCCAGCAGGACAAGGAGCTAATCCGAAAGCAGTCAAGGTAGACGAAGCTCGTATTTGTAAGACTAATGGCTGACGGCCCGTCGGTAGATCCGTCGGAACACTTGATGTTTGGGTTGGACGGTCTCTCTAGCAGCCAACTAGAGTACCGTTCCCCACAAAACTGGGGTATGTGTCTTTGTGGGGACGTCACAAGGACCTGAGAGCTTGACTACTTGATTACTAGTCGAGTGTGTCATCCTTTATTAATCCCGTCAACTTGCTCCGGGACATAAAAGGCCTACAAACGATGGGGGCTAGGCTACTTGTACGAGTACAGTAGCTGTGTTACAGGGTGCTAAGAAAGCCACAACGGCGTGAAGAGTCCAATGACCCTGGGACACGGCTAACAAAGAGCCACAAGCCTGCTGCTCTTACTTCGAGGGAGATTAGATGTGGCCTTGTACAAAGCATATGTTGTAAAATCACTATCAGAGAACGCACACGAGCACACTTTTAGTTTTATACTTAGCCGGCGTTAAAAACTAGTTGGCCTTTTAGTTAAAGTTGGAGCTAAACACGGAGGGCTAGAGACAGAGAAGCTAGATACGCACACAACGGGAGGGATAGGTCTGGACTCTCACCAGTGACGCAAACGGATGCGCAGTTGACACTAGAAGACAATCGCGAATAACACAAACGGCAACCGCTGGCTCCTTCCAATGATTCAAACTTGCTCCTACCTCTCACATGCTTCATACTGGATGTCTTGCAGCGGTCGGAATATTGTTCGGTGATCGCGTGTAGGCTCGAAAATCTTGTCTTGCAATTCTAAAAGAGACTCTGAAGTTAGCGCCAACTCTGTAGTCAAAAAAAGCGAAAGAAATGGCAGGCTTGGGTCCAAGTCTTATAGGACGAATATTAGTGGTCAGACACCAAGTAAAGACGATGTCGGGGTTTGAAAAAGGTCACGCGAAGGTCTCAATCTCCCTTTTTATTTCTTCTTCTTCTCTCAGTCCCTCTTTCCAAGTCCCTTGTCCATCTTCACCGCCTTCCCCCCCAAAGTCTTGGTCTCACGTACAAGCAAGTACAAGTAGAAGGTCTCGCAGTGGCCACCATATGTGACTAAAGGGACCACGGGTGCACTGACTGATCGCAGGTGCGTACAGTGTGTCGTTCCTTTCCTACAAGTCGCTACGTTTTTACAGACAACCCGAAAAAACAACACTTGTATACGTCTCCCATTCCCCGGCATCCCCCAGCCTTTCAGTCGCCACCTCATCCCGGCAACTTTTCATTTCCCAATAACCGAGCCACTATCACGCACGGCACTGTGCCGTTTGGTGGGGTTCCTTCAGCAGGCCCTTTTTAGGGTTGACAGACAAAGATCTGCACATGCACAATGGAATATTTTCCCGAAACGGTTAGTCCGTGTCACGTGAGACTATTGACAAGACCATCGAGGAACGAGTCCTTGGAAGAGTTCCAAGGCGCGTGAATGTCCTGTATTTCCCTCGATTTCCCCTCATTTCCCCCTACTTGTTATCACGTAAATTTTAGATTCAATTTATAACGTCTAAATTTTTTTCTATTTTTTTCTATTTTTTCTATTTTTTTTTTCTCTCATGTTTTATTCAATATGGCCTCCCTTGTCGGACTTTGGAAAGCTTCGGGGATTACATTTCTTACATGGCCGTTAAATACCACCTCGCCAGCTCTTCCTCTGGCACCGTTGTATTCTCCCTATAGCCACTTGTGTCATGTGTACCTGTGCCTGTGCCAAGAGCGCGGCGTCAAGTAAAAATGTAAGCGACTTGGCACAGAAAATATCGACTTTACGAGACCCACATGGACTCAAAAGGGCATCTCGAGACGGTGACAGACAATGGTACAAACGGACTATTGCAAATACTACCGTCAAAGCGGCTGAATTACCAGTTTTCTAAGAATATAATAATGGTATTAGTGATGAATCTATGGCTTCTAGCCTCGTCGACTATTTCTGCTGTAACATTAGCGGCGAATGGGGAGTAGCAAGGCTAGGTTTAGGCAAAGCGTTCTTTTATTACCGCGTGTTCCAGTCCGAGTTTGGTGGATGCTCAATCGATTATGGCCCGGCCCTCTCATGTCCAATTCATCCACGGATGTTTCTTCTATTACAGCCTCGTAATTCTTTGACAAGCTGCTCATCACTCATGACCAGACATGAAAGTCTGTGGACAATCAGAGTTCGATGGACAAGGACCGCAATCACAGTTTGATGCCGTGTAGGAGGGGAACATGTCTCCGGTGATGTTTGGGGGCTTCAATCGGGAGGGAAAACAGGTGTACACGAATATTCCGAATGTGGGGAGTATGTTGGGTGACTAATGGAATCCGCAACTTGTCTATGGCAGCCCATATATCCCTATCAATACAGCGGAAGGTCCTCGAGTCTAACCTTCGAGAGTTTACTATTGTTGGCGATAACTGTCAAGAGCCCAGGGAGATTGAGAAGGGTGTTATCTGTGAAACAGCACGAGGCACAGGCCAGATGGGCTTGTGGACGAGAGGCAACTTCGCAGATATCTCTGTCGATCGACAAATTCGACACATCCGTAGATTCTCAGACATCCCGACTCCATGATTAGCTCTCGTGGTCGTTCTTGCGGTGCTGCGTGTGGGTCCAGTGCACTGCAGGTCAAGTTGGAAGACATGTGTTGGTGAAGGCGCACTTAGGATAGATACAAGGGATACAGCAATAGAGCCCGCTTGTAAGCAGACACCGACTCTCACACGCCACAAAGAACGACCACTATCGCTATCTAGCAATCGCTATCTAAACTCTAGCCAATGAATAATTTTTTGGCCCAAGGTTTCGACCAAAGTTTAGGCCTGAAAGCCAGTCCAAAGAACAAAAAAAAGGCTGGCTAAGTTGGTCTGACACAACCTTCGGGGGTGCAAAAAAGCAAAAGTGAAGGAAGATGTAGCCAAAAAAAAGAGAATATATACGTCTTGGATCCGGAGAGCTAGAGACAAGCGCGTCTGTGTCTCTTCTTTCTCCTCGTCTTCAACTTTTTCAACCCTTCGGACTCTTCAACATTAGTCCATAGAGTAGTTGTTATCGGCAAGTGCAACTACCCCCTCCAAAAACGGTGCTTTCAGGTTTTCCCCCTACGAGTCTTCTCGAAAAGCCTGGTGATCAAGTGGCAACCAGCTTGACACCGCCCCACTAAACAAAACATCAGCATGTCCACCCCCAAACAGAGCTTGGACGCCTCTCGTCAGGAAGCTGACATCCAAGAGGTGCGAGTCACCGGAGAACACGGCCAGGAACAGGGATACCACCATGGTCACTCGCATTCGCAAGGCCACTCGCATGGCCACTCGCATTCGCACTCCCTGACCCATCCCTACGTCCACCACGGAGAAGGTATCCATGCTGACGGTCCTCACAACATCCACCCGGATCCCGCTCTGGACCCCCACAACCAGCATATCCACACCCATCCCCATCATGCTCGAACTGCCCACAAGAAGCCCACCGTGTACGCCGATCTGCATATCCCCCAGCGAGACACTTCGCCTCCCCGAGACCGAATGGACGAGCCTACCATGCATCCTCCTCATAGCCATTACCCCGCGGACCCCGAGATGCACCGACACTCGACTTCCAGTTCTCATCACGTGGAGGACCAGGAGATCATCAGCACTGTAGAGAAGATGGACGAAAAGGGCGGTCTTTCTGCCTCCGTGAGCGAAGAAACCGGAGTTGTGGACCCTCTGGACCCCGACAACGACCCCAACATCAAGAAGTGGTCGGTCAAGTACATCATCCGAAAGTACCGATGGTGCTTCCACATCTTCTGGGGTGTGTTTTTCACCGCCTGGTGGATCTCCATTGTCGCCCAGGACAAGCACAGACACATGTGGCTTATCCCCACCATCCTGTGGATGTTCATCATGGCCCGTCTGATTACCCTGTACCTTCCCGCCCGTTATTTGCTTATCTGGGCCAACTGGATCTGGCAGAGAACGGTAGTCAGAGCTGTCAGCTACATTCCTCCTATTGCTCGAATTCCTCTGGCTGCTCTTGGTTGCATTGGTGTCATTCTTCTGGGTACTTTTGTCATCCGAGAGTACCCCGATTCGAAACGATCTGATCGAGCCATCTCCTTCTTTGGTTGTATCGTGGCAATCTTCGCCCTGTACGTCACCTCCAACAACAGAAAGGCTATCAAGCCCCACACCATCATCACCGGTATGCTGATGCAGTACATTGTGGCTCTGTTTGTGTTGCGAACCAAGGCTGGTTACGACATCTTCAACTTCATTTCGTTCCTTGCTCGAAAGCTGTTGGAGTTTGCCAAGGATGGTGTTGCCTTCATCACCACGCCGGAGACTTCCCAGCTCGGAATGTTCTTCTTCACCGTGCTCCCCGCTGTGCTCTTCTTCATTGCATTCATCCACATCTTCTTCTACTGGGGATGGATCCAGTGGGGTGTGTGTAAGTTTGCCTACTTTTTCTTCTGGACCATGTCGGTGTCAGGTGCAGAGTCGGTTGTCGCTGCCGCCTCTCCTTTCATTGGACAGGGAGAGTCTGCTATTCTCATCAAACCCTTCATTCCTCACCTGACCAAGGCCGAGATCCACCAGATTATGGCTTCTGGTTTCGCCACCATCTCCGGATCCACCCTCGTCGCCTACATTGGTATGGGTATCAACCCCCAGGCAGTGGTCTCCTCATGTATCATGTCTATTCCCGGCTCCATTGTCTGCTCCAAGCTCCGATTCCCTGAGACTGAAGAGACTCTGACCTCTGGACGAGTCGTCATTCCTGAGGACGATACTGCCGAGGCCGATAACGTGCTGCACGCCTTTGCTAACGGTGCTTGGCTTGGTCTCGTCATTGCAGGTGCTATCATGACCACCCAGCTGTGTATCATTGCCCTGGTGGCTCTGATCAACGCTCTGCTGACCTGGTTCGGAGGCTTCTGGAACATCCATGACCCCAATCTTACCATCGATATGATGCTTGGCTACCTCTTCTACCCCGTTGGTTTCCTGCTCGGAACTCCCCGAAACGAAATCTACAAGATCTCCAAGCTCATTGGTGTCAAGATCATCCAGAACGAGTTTGTTGCCTACGGAATGCTGTCCGACCCCAAGGGTGAGTACGTCAACCTGTCCAAGCGAGGAGCCATGCTGGCCACCTACGCTCTGTGTGGTTTCGCCAATGTTGGTTCTGTCGGTACCCAGATTGGTGTGCTTGGAAAACTTGCCCCCGGACGATCCGGAGATATTTCCAAGATGGCCATCTCTGCTCTTATCACCGGAGCCATCTCTACCCTGCTCTCTGCTTGTGTCGCCGGAATGGTTCTGGCCGATATGACCCACTTCCTGACCCCCATCCAGGCTGTTGCTGCCGAGGCCGCTGCTAAGGCTGCTGGAAACGGTTAGCCTGTCTGTTTAATGGTGTATGTCAAAACTCACGCCCAGTTACGAAGTTGTACAGTGCACTGATCTCTCATCAGTTACGAAGTTGCGCTGTGCACTGGGCTGTGATGTAATTAGTTAATGTTATTGTTTAGTCTGATATTGCTACAGTCGTTAGACTGTGGTCGTTACTGTCCATACCCTTGATACACTACTGATACCCGGTACCCGGTAGTTCTACTGTTGCTATACTCCAAGGGCTACCCTGCCACTCAATACCACTCTTGTCTCTACACATTTACCTATACTAATCACCACTTTGGATCATTTACGGCACGAGCCACACTTTCATAATCATATCATCATTCATTATAAATAATTTCTACTTGTTAAAAGCATAGTACAAATAAATACCACGCTCCTTGACGGCGTCGGAGGTGCTGAGACCTCCAATGCCAACCTGACACATGTTGATTTTACGACTGGCCTTGATCCAGATGGACGAACCCATGTCCATGTTGAGCACCATCATGGGAGTCTTGACCTTTCGGAAAGAAGACGCCGTGCTAGTTGACACAATGGGTCGCATTCCAGGCGACCGTCGAGCGGGAGGCGACTTGCTGCTCTGCTCGATCTTGGCCTGAGCAAACTGCGAGAAGGAAAACTTTGGAGGAGCCACAGTTTGCGAAGTGGCATGTGTTTCGGAATTGTTGGTCACCTGGGGGACCGTGTGCAGATAGCTGCTGAGGGGAGACTCTCCAGTGGCTGCGAGTCTTCGGGGGGTTGGAGGATCGTCTCCTCGAGTGACCCAACCTCGGTTACCCTGTCCTTGAAGGACACAGAAGCCAGGGATTCGAACACCTGTGAGACGAGAGAGAACATCGGATGATATTTCAAACATCTCCACGTTTCGATTTGCGTTCAGTAGTGCCGTATCTTGAATAGACCACTGGTTGATGCAAGGGTTTCCGGAGATATCAATGTACTTGAGGTGTGGCAGCTCAGGAAGCAGCTTGCGTAGGCACTCAAACGGGATGTTTGTGTAGCCCAAACTGAGCGACTCGAGGTTCTTGAGAGAGCAGATGAGCTCCAGATGCGTCTGGTTGACCGGCAGACAGCCGTGCAGATTCAGAGTCGTCAGAGTTTCCATGGGGAGGTATTTGAGAATGATATCAAAATCACGTGCGGCAATGGGAGAGGGCTTGGTGGCCTCAAACATGAGAGACAGCCACTCCAGCTGCCGAGTTGCAGGATGAACGACCAGAAACTTGAGTAGTCCCTGTGAGTCAAGATGGTAGCAGCGTGCCAGAGACAGGTATTTGATTTTGGCAGAGGCTGGAATGTCAAGCAGAGATGCGGACTTCACCTGGGTATGTGTCAGATCAAGCTGCTCGAGATTTGGAAGTCGGGGAAGCAGCTTTTGGAAAATGTCGTCGGAAAGATTCGAACATGCGTGGAAAGACAGTCGAATGAGATTGGGGAAGTAAACCTCCTGCTGCGCGTAAAAGTTCATGGCTTCAATGAAGCCCTGGGTAAAGGTCGGATGAGTGGCTCCACAGAAGTCTAGAGCCTCCAGATAGGGCATGGAGAGCAGACGGGTCAGCACCTTAGCAGACATGTCCATTCCAATGGATTCGGAGCCCAGAAACTCGGCGAGATTCGGACACAGCTCCAGAGCATGGCAGATTGTCTCTGCTGTCACGTACTGGATTTCCTGGTTCATTCGGGCAGTTCGGCCCAGTCCAACAGACGTGAAATCAGAGAAATCCAGACACTTGACGAGCACGCCATAGCCGGTTTCCAAGATGGACTTGAGGAACCGGTCAAACTCAAGAGAGTGCGAGAAAGCCACATGGCGGTACAATAGAGGCACGCCGGCGTTGTAGAAAGAAGAGTGTGTGGTCATGCATTTGGCCAGCCAGTTGGTCTGGCTGTAGTAGGTCTCTCCGGAGTTGCCTGATTCGGCGTCTGCCGAGGGGAGGGCCCATTGCATCACCTTGGAAAGCACTTCCGGGGGGAGTGAGGTGATGTTCACCGATGCCGGAATGTAGTAGTTGGGGGGTGGCGATGATTCGGACATTCTGGGTTAGTATAACGAGCCTCAACGCACGAACCTGCGAAGTGTAGGAAAGCTGGGTCGGCCATAAAGTGACCTAATCGAGAGAATGCGACAGACCCAGAGGCTGACAGAGACAGAGGCGGACATGCAGTAGGGGTCTGGCCCTCTAATAAGACCTCCCCCGTATCCGAACTTAAGATCAAAGGTGAGCGTTGCCGGGGGAGCTCCGTATGGGGCTCTTGATCACACTATGCCGTCAGTGCTGCGTGCCATCATCTGTCTTTCCGCTGTCTGCTCCCTGGTGCTGCCGGAGCAAGTGCCATGTACGCCCTTCACATTGCCGCCCGAAGAGGTATGATAGAGAGGGTGCGTACTAAAGCCCTTTCGGATGCTGCAGACGTAGTGTCTTGTGGCCGCTCATGAACCCCTTTCTCATCTCAGTCAAGCTCACATGTGCCGCACCCTCAATATCACTCTGATAGGCACTCTCAGATAACCGCAGGCAACATAGCCAAGCCTCCTCCATATCCTCACTCTCATCCTCCTCTCTTATACTCACGTAGTGTTTGTTAAATGCGATGAGCAGGGCTCAAAATCGGTTCTGGGTTAGTTGTGTGCTTGTGGGAGGCGCCATTAAGAGTTTTCCTATACGAGGCTGAAGTTCTGATCAGAGTCACCACTGTAGCTGAAGAGGTGTAACCAAGGGAGAAGAACAGAGGGGACAAAGTAGCAGCTTCAGCCCGGTCACTCCAGCCCTGTCACGGGCTCTCTCAACCCAGCCCTGTGCGCAGCCTCTGCTTCTTCTCAGCTGTATCATAACCTCACAACAGCCTCTAGCATCGAAGCTATGTGCAAGTCGCACCATAAACACCATCTCCTCGGTACCCCTCTCATCTTCTCTCGCGATACTCACATGCAAATATCTGGCAGAGACTTCCTGGAGATCGTCAAGCTGTTTTGTTTACCCTGCGAAGTCACTGGTAGAGTAACAACAGGGCGGCTTGTGTCGGGGGATAAGTGGCTGCGGCTAACTTGTAAACGTGTCGTCTGAGTCAGTTGTTGTTTGTGTCGCGTGACGGAATGTTTGTATCGGCTCTTGGTCAACAATATCGCACAGTGTAAGGCCCAACTAGTCAGGTCTTTCAGATGTCTGTCCGCTACTGTGCCACTATGTATTGAATTCCCGGACCTTGTTTCTCAAGCTCGGTCAAAAATGCACCCCAAGTTTATTTTTCAAAGTCAGACAAAATTGGCGCCTGTACTAGACCAGAGGCATATAGAGCGGTAACTGGGAGTTGGGGAAGATGAGGTAGGAAAGAGGGGGTTTTGTGCTCAGAAAACCAATCTGCCACCCGGGTTATATACGTTTATTGCAAAAAGCCCGCCACTTTCTCCACATTTACGTCCTTTGATGACCCCATGAAAACCTCCAGTCTATGGTCCACACTCTTCGCACTCACCATATTAAGCCCAAGAGTGTTCGTACCGGTCGCACTGCACTTTAAATTTACGATACTGGTACTCGCAGCGGTACCAAATCCACACCGATTATAACAGTATCAACAAAAGATTGGAACCCAAAGTTTCGACAGGACATACAGACTACGATTCTGAATAATATTACCAATTTTCTGCCCAAAATATCCATCCCAAGCCCCATTTATCTTCCCCTCCAAACCCCCCAAACCCCCCAAACCCCCGCCAAACTCGCCAAACAACCCGTTAAAAGCCTATCTAGTCTCTAACAACTCTGATCCACCATCACGTCACACTGGATCCACCAACTGCTTCGCTGCTACACACACACTAAAACCAGTATCAGGAAATCGCTAGACCCGGCAAAGAGCCCTAAACATGATCCAACCGACCCTCCTGCTTCCTGACGTCTCGGACAGCCCATCAACTTGCAACCTAATACCGATACCCGGAAACTTTGCTCTCAAAAGAACCAAAAGAACGCCACGATAAGATATGAAAAGATAGTGTGCTAGAGGAGGAAAGGATACGATCATGAGGACCAAATGACTGGACCGCACCAACACAATAATACCGTCCATTCTCCGCTCTTTCCCCACTTTAGTGTCCCCCTCACGTGTCACATCAGGCGACATATCCAAAACCTCCATCCTCGACCCTAACCGCCTCTATTCATGCACCAAACAATGCACCCCACATTCGCCGTGCTCCGGGTAACCGACGATGTACTCTGAATGTACAAGTACAAACGATACGTGGCCAATCGAATACCGGCTGTTGGAGTCTGGCTGTCACGTGATATGCCAGGAGATGCTGACACGTGTTTCTTGTGCAATCTGTTCCAAAGGAAGTCGTCGGAAAGAGCTACAGGTACCGGTACTTGTACTCGTACTCGTTCAAGAAACGGCTTTGGTCACGTGATGGCGAAAAGCGGCTGGAATCCCACGACTCACGACTTACGACTCACGACTCACGAGTCTGAAGCTGCTCATATCTATTTGTATACTGCTACATGTCACAAGTTCAAGCCACCATTCGCGTCATGACCCCATCGATCGACCGCCAAAACTAAAGTGAAAGTTGTAGAGGAGGATGAGGGAGTAAGGGGTGTTAACAGCTAGCAAGTGGCCTTAACGGACGTCACGTGATGTTACAAAGATCTCGCGCAAGTCTCTGTTTAGCTCTTTTCAGGACCTACTCACACCCTCCATTAGTCAGACATCACATGATGATCACCATATGCTATATGCGGGTGAAAATTTGCACTCGCCACAATAGCCACATGCACCGCCACAAAAGTATGCACGTGGGCCATCGAAAGGTATGCGCTTTTTGGGGCTCTTTGGAGGGAAAAAAGACTGGAGTTGGCGGTGTTGGCAAGGAGGTGATCACGTGACAAATTCAGCGGTGCTGCTGACACATTTATCACGTGACTATGAGCCGTCTTATTCTTCTTTTCGGCCCATGTACAAGCTTTCTCCGGCCTTCCGTGTAGCCGTGGGCCTGAACCTTCGGCATGCATCACTGAGCATTATCAGATTGTTTATATTGTTCCGTCTCCACCTCTTTCTGTTCCGTCTCAGCATACACCAACAGGACCATCATTGACGAGTCTCTTCATCCTTACGAGTGCCACGGAGAGACACAAACAGAATCAGTGACACAGACACACATCAACAGGAACACCCCCAAGTCATATTACCCCACACAACTCTACAGTGGGGCGACTACTCTTCTGTTACGGCATCGTGACACCACCATTGACAACTGACGTAGCATACTGTAGCAGACACAAACCGACAACCACACCCATCCAGTCACAAACACAGCCTCAATCAAACGCAACACACGTGGACCACCCGACGCCCGAAAAGTCGCATAACCACTTCTCATCAAACGAGCAAATACCACACCTTAACCTCAACCTACACACTCAACATCGGTCATGTCGGAACCCCAGCCCATCACTCAACCTACACAGACGACGCCCTTGTTGGCCTCATCCTACGCCCAGGAAGTCAACCCCTTCCAACGGGAAATCAGACGGAGATCCTCCGTTTCCAGCGCCAACAGATACCGACCTCCTCGAGGAGCCATTGGCTGGTGGCAAAAGTCGGTCATTGTGGTGATTGCCGCAGTTCTCTTCATTCTGCTCATGATCTCCTTACTTACCCTGGCTACAGACCACGGGCGGGACTGGCGATGGAAGGACTATCCCGGCCATGAACACGAGCCAGGTCATAACCACACCACCGTTTAGCGGGAAAGATTGCAGAGTCAATTGTATATAGTTTCTAATCCTTGTATTTTCGTATAGCCTAGCCTATGGAAATGAACTGTGGATGCAATCAGAAGCACTTGTAATCAGGGTTTAATAGCGGTGATTATGTTGCGATCAGTTCAGTTGCAAGTTCCAAACTTTGAACCTCTTGACAAGTTACTAAATGCTTGAGAGTGCACTGGTAGATGATGGAAATGACATGTATGAATAATGGTAAATCTATCCTCCATTGCCGCATCCACGCTCCTTCATGCACTCCTTGGGTTATCTACGATATCTCTTGGCGCTGAAGCCACAAATCTAGTTGAAGCCACTCAATATCGTGAACAAGCCACCGATAGAGGTTATAGACTGTCTCCATTCAACCTATAAATTGTCATATATCACACGATATACAGGCCGGTACTGCCAAAATGAGCTCTCATACTAATCACGATGTTATCAGTCTCAGCGATTGGAGTGACACCAAGCTCGACAAGAGGGATCATATCATTGCAGTGAAAGAGGCTAATGATTTGGAGGTGGTTGAAGTGATAGAAGTTGGTGAGGTGGGCGATGTTTCGTCAGCCGACTACTCAGTGATCACATCCCGGTCCAAACCAAACAAGACGTGGAAAACACTGCTATGGGACTCGGCAAACAAAAGTCCTGGAGAGAAACATCTATTAATAAAACTGGACTGGTTTCTCTTGTCGTCGGTGATGCTAGGTTACTTCATCAAGACCCTCAATCAGAACAATATCAACACCGCCTACATGAACGGCATGAAGGAAGACTATGGCATGAGCGGCAGCCAGCTCAACTACCTCCAGACAGTCTGGATTGTGGGATACATTGTTGGCCAAGTTCCAAGTAACCAGATTCTACAGAGAACAAGTGCACGTTACTACCTGGGATGCTTGGAACTCGTGTGGATGGCTCTGACATTTCTGACACTCACATGCACCAATATCAAGTCTCTCTACGCTCTGAGATTCTTTGTGGGGCTCACCGAAAGCGGGTTCTTTCCTGGAGTCGAGTACCTGCTCGGATCATGGTACAATAAAGACGAACTCACCAAGAGGTCTGCTCTATTTGCAGTCTCTGGTATCGCAGCTTCCATGGTCACAGGATACCTCCAGGCGGCCGTTATACATGGTCTAGAACACACCGCTATCACTCCCTGGAAGTGGCTCTTTGTGTTTGATGGTATCATTTCATTTCCAGTGGCACTTTACACCATGTTCGTCAACCCAAACACACCGGAGACAACTACCAGCTGGTACTTCACCAAGGAAGACATTGCTATAGCCAAGGAGAGAAGAGCACAAATCGGCGATACCGGTAACAAAGAAGAGCCGTTCTTGCAAGTTTTGAAACGCTCTTTGAAAACCTGGCACATTTATTTCTTCTCTCTCATCTTTCTTTGCTACAATAACACCTGTATTGCCAGCACCCAACCTTCCATGATCTCCTGGCTCAAGTCTCAAGGATACACACCTACCCAATATAACGTGTACCCCTCGGCAGTTGGCAGGGTTGGAATAGGAGTGACTCTGATCATGGCTGTGGTTTCGGACGCTTTTGGAGGTCTCAACTACCCGTTTGTTGCAGCCTACTTTGTCGTGCAGATAATAGGATCGGCGATGCTGTCTTACTGGAACATCTCCGACGGCGCAAAATGGTTTGCCTACTTCGCCATTGGCGTTCCAACCGCCTGGGGACAACCGATGATCTTCTCTTGGCTGAACAGAAGTCTCTATCGAGACTACAAGAAACGCAACCTGGTAGTCAGTATCACCAGTGATATGGCGTACGTTACCCTATCATGGGTTCCTATTCTGACTTGGAATGCCCAGGACATGCCCCGATACTTTATAGGATTCACCTACAACGCCTGCTTGTCTTCTTTAGGGCTGGTCCTGACCGTCATTGCTACTTACTTGTGGAAGAGAGACTTGTCGAGCAAGTCGGTAGCGGACGTTTGAGAAGTCAACAGACTGAAATACACCACTTATTTGGAATGTGTCACCGTACCATACCTGTAGCAACCCACTCTGAGTAATTGCTTTTTCAAATTGCTCCCGTTCAGCTTATCGTGCATCAAAAAAAGTCCAGTGGCTGGCTGCAATCAGCCCAATCCAGAACGGGTTCCTGTAGATCTCGGTGTAGATCATGTGACCGAGCTGCGGGTGTTTTCCGGGTAACCACAGCAACCAGAGATGTTTCAATGACAGCCAATAGCCCAGTATTTTCCTTCTCACTAGACCCACCGTCTCAATCATGTACCCCAGACATACTCTACAGCCGCCGTTGGTCTCAAACTATAGTGGGCTCATTAGCGTGTTTCAGCTATAAATTCGTGGGCATCTTTTCAGCATTACTTTTGGCACAATGGGGGAATAATACCACTGCTTCAAACGGAAAGAAGACGCAAACCCACGCAGCCAAACAGGCAGGATCCGCTCTTGATTGGGAAGCTACGTCACGTGATATGACAGGTACAAGAAATAAGCGAGAGTTAATTTGGAGGTGGCAGGACGTGGCAGGGGCAGCTCGTCAGGGGGTGATATTTGGTATCGTTGAAATAGCTGGGGTTTTGGGACTTCAAAAAACCCGGGTATGTCTTTTTATCTCCAATATTAAACGAGTAATAACTGTTTGAAAAATTCAGAAGAAAATTCAAAAAAAAATATATTAAAGTTTTCATGTTCTATTTTTATAGGGCTTCGTCATGATGAGTTAAATGGGGTGCTGCAGTAGGAAATATGGGTGCTGCAGTGGGAAATATGGGTGTTTAGACAGGAAAAAGTGAGCATGGAAACGTTTACTGCATTGAACAACGTCCTTTGCACCTCTTTAAACACCTCCGCACGGGGTTTCAGAGATCCGAAATATCTGCAAATGTCGACAAGCAACTCTAATTTTGGAGACTTGTCTAAATCAGTGCTAGATCTTTTGGCGGCAGTCGGTTTCAGTAAGAGAACGTCCCGGTGGGTCGAGAATCACGTGACCAGAATCTCTCCTCTCCACTCCACTCCACTCCACCCGGTTATGGTGTTCCTGTAGATCTTGGTGATCATTATTCCGAGAATTGGACACGAAACCGATTTGGAGGTCTAGCGTGTTTGGGAAGACGCCATACATGTATGTGGACGTGTGTGCTTGTACGTCGCTAACGATCCAAGGGCCCCTTGAAGACCCCAAAGCGTCAGTGTGGAGACCCCATTACAGTCTAGGACACGTGTTGAACATGTTTGTGCAGCAGCAGGTGCCTTTCTGGTGCTTCCTGTTTAAGTTGCATTCCAGCCACACGTGGTGGAAGACACCTTCACGGATCAAATGGATGTAAGGGGTAGGCGGAAGAATTGAATCAGGACATGCATTGCGTGGATCCATGGCGATGAGGTGCTGAATAGCGGAGTCTTGTGTTGGAGTGGCCCTGGTGAAGTTGAGAATAGAGTACACCTGTGGAGTATGAAAGCACTGCTTTTTACACAGCTAACGATTGATAACGAAAAGCCAGCGCGGTGTCAATCATTCCAGACTATCAAAGCTTCGGTGCGTTCCTGTTGCGTACCTCTGCAAGAGGCATTAGGAGCTAATAACCGTGCTCTTAGAGCGGTGTATATGCAAGGGGTGGAATGAGATGGGGGATTGGACATGGACGAGGAGGATGTGTAGAGGGCGAATGGAGATATGTTTGTGCATGTTTTTTCAGGGCCGTCTGTTGCACCTGGTCTCACGTGACCTCAGACGAGACCCTCCGCTCACTGTCCGCTCCACTTGTTCTTCCTTCTCTGTACGTGTCCTTACCACCTCCTAACTCAAGCTCTGCGGAATGTGACGCGGTTTGAAAAATGAAGGCGAGTTAATTGTGGGACGTGGGAGGAACCGATATCAGGGATGGGGAGTGGGTGTTTGGACAGAAAGAGGCGGGTGCGGGACCTCGAAAGAAGCGTCTGACGACCCACGCCGACACATGATAGAGCGTGGTCTCCGGTCGACAATGGCTCCTGCTCCTGGTTCGGCTTGTGCTCTCCTCGTCCAACAAGTACGACATCTTTTCTTTCGCTCCGGTCCTTCCAAATCGGGAAACAGCCAGCCGCAGCCTAATTCGGCAAAAACCCTATACTCCCCGTCGTACGTGTTTGATCCCAACTCAAAAAAGCCCACACGTCATATAAGCCCTGTCTTTCCCATCCTTGTTAATTGACGACAAAAAAAGTGAGTATCATGTCCACGTGGCTGGGAGGGTCTGGAGGAGACATTGGACAACGACGGGGACTCGCGGGGGACAGTGACACAGACGCAATGGCTCCTGTGGATCCAACTTGAGCGGTCGTTCGACGTGGATCAGCCGCGGTGGTCAGAGTGTCATTTTGTTGGCCCAAGAACAACCAGTGTGCGACAACATTGTGTGATTCCTGTGATCCAGCACGTTCCGACCGACATGGATCAGTGCACAGAATGGTCCGTAATGGCGCGGCTCCTGTGACCGCGGTCGTGTTGCTAGTTACTCCCTGTTACCTTACCTGACGTGTCCTTTCTCTGTTTCTAGACAACATCCCATAAACCACATTTATGAGGCGACTCTGAGAAACTCGAGGTGACATGGACTAGACTATGCGAGTTTAACGAGTCCCACTGGCACTGGCATGGTGAAACGAACACAATGCGACAGGTCGAACAGGTCGAACAGCAGCCCAGTATACCGTATGTTGTTCCGAAACTCTGCACCAGGCGAATGTCGTGTCACAGATCACTCAACGAAACGCAACTTGATCACGGCAAGACTGCAAAGTGCACCCGAAGCCCGCTTTCGCCTTCGTGCTTCAAGCCGCCAACCATTGCTCGCACCGGTCGTCCCTGGATCTATTGCTGTCTTCATTGCCCCACTCTCTCTTGTCCAGTGAGCTCATATTGCTCTATCCTAAAGTCTAGAGCCGTGTGTGCCCTTTTTACCTCTGAGCTATTCCTGTCCACGTCACCTGTTCTCGAAGCCCTTTGTTCTTTGCTCCCAAGACGGCTATAATTAGAAGCCTGTTTCATTGTCTGGGTTGGTCCCAACCATTGAGACGCAGGAGACGAGGGACAGGCCTGTGGAAAATTAAGTTCAATATGCATGGAACCGAATCACCACACACTTGGAGAGCGACGACAAAACCCGATTTTTCAACCATTGGTTACTAACCCAGATGAAAGGACTTATTCTTGTTGGAGGCTACGGCACCCGTCTGCGACCCCTGACTCTCACTCTGCCCAAGCCCCTCGTGGAGTTTGGAAACAAGCCCATGATTCTCCACCAGGTGGAGTCTCTGGCCGCCGCCGGCGTCAAGGACATTGTCCTGGCCGTCAACTACAGACCTGAGGTCATGATCGAGACCCTCAAGAAGTACGAGGAGAAGTACGGCGTCAACATCACCTTCTCCGTCGAGACCGAGCCTCTCGGAACTGCTGGACCCCTCAAGCTGGCCGAGGAGATTCTGTGCAAGGACGATACCCCCTTCTTTGTTCTCAATTCCGACGTTATCTGCGACTACCCCTTCGCCGAGCTCGCCGAGTTCCACAAGAAGAACAATGCCGAGGCCACCATCGTTGCCACAAAGGTCGAGGAGCCCTCCAAGTACGGTGTCATTGTCCACAAGCAGGGCACCTCCAAGATTGACCGATTCGTCGAGAAGCCCGTCGAGTTCGTCGGCAACCGAATCAACGCCGGCATTTACATTCTCAACCCCTCCGTTGTCGATCTCATCGATCTGCGACCCACCTCCATTGAGAAGGAGACTTTCCCCCAGCTGGCTGCCCGAGAGTCTCTGTACTCCTTTGACTTGGAGGGCTACTGGATGGATGTTGGACAGCCCAAGGACTTCCTCTCCGGAACTTGTCTTTACCTGTCTTCTTTGTCCAAGAAGAACCCCGAGGCTCTGGTCCCCACTTCCGAACCCTACGTCACCGGTGGAAACGTTCTGGTCGACCCTACTGCCAAGATCTCTCCCCAGGCTAAGATTGGCCCCAACGTTGTGATTGGACCTGGCGCCGTCATCGGAGAGGGTGCTCGACTCTCTCGATGTGTCGTTCTCGCCAACTCTACCATCAAGCCCCATGCATTCGTCAAGAACTCCATCATTGGCTGGAACGGACGTGTCGGCCGATGGGCTCGAATCGAGAACGTTTCCGTCTTTGGAGACGATGTGGAGGTCAAGGACGAGGTTTACGTTAACGGTGGCCGAGTTCTGCCCCACAAGACCATCTCCGGCAACATTGAGAAGCCCGAGATTATCATGTAGAGGGATTGGTGTTGATAAGTTATAACCATTATAATAATATTTGATTGTGTATGAAAACGACTGTGATATATAGCCGGTATCGCGTGTAAGGCATGATTAAGACAATGCTGTTACGGTGAACGAATGGATAGTTATAGCAAAAACTTCTCAAACATGAATATTCATCTTTTGCAAAAAGATGGACGACACCGGAATCGAACCGGGGACCTCGCGCATGCTAAGCGCATGTGATAACCAACTACACCAGACGCCCAAGATATTCTTGACGGCTTTAGGAAAGCTTGCCATGAATATCCAAAATGCGTCATTTTCAATTTTTTGGGAAATAGAGCGATTCAAGACGTGGATGAGCTGTCTTGCTGTCTATTATAATAGAATTAGGAATTTGCTTTGGATTTAGGTTAATATTTCGTCTTTTATGATCCGTTTTAATTTTTGTAACAACTGTAGGTATCTCTGTCGGTATCAAAACAGGGAAATTACAGAAGAAACAAAAGTCGGAAAGCATTGAGGACATTGATGTATTAATTAGAGGAGCGCACAAAAGTTGATTGTCATGTTTTAACAATGTGAGAGCGGCCAGAGTTCCGTTTCGTAGAGTCGATCATTGGGATCATCTGGACGTTCATCCTGTTTTCGTCCCTTGCTTTATTCTGATATCATAAGTGTCTGATACATCTTTTCTTGCTTAGTTCATGTTGATCTTTCATCTTCTGAGGGGTTGGGCCAGATCAATGTCTTGTCTCTCGTTTCGTAGTGTTCTCTGCTTCCTCCAACGCGATCTAAGTCATAGGTTCTTGCCAGTGTCTCACATTCCGCAGCAGTAGTTTTGGTACTGTTGATTTTCAGAAACTTATTGAATCCCCTTTTGTATATCTTCCGCTACTACGTCCTATAGAAGTTGATCTGCTCGACGATGTACAGATGCTGAGATGTTTCGACGTGTTCGGGGGTTTCTATCTCCAACCTCGCCCATTGACCTGGAAGATGCTTTCTAGTACAGTAGTAAACCTCTTGGTGGGAAGCTCTTTTCTATCAGGGCAGCCGACCGCTTTTCTCCGGTCGTTCCGTCATAATGTTGGTCTCTTTCGGGGACATTTCGGTAGTGTACAGTGTAGACATGACCCTTGTAGCTACAAGTAGTGACATTACTTGTTGCAATGGAGGATATCTCCAGAAGAACCGCTTTTTACCGCCGTGTTTAATAGTAAATCCTTCCTCGTCAGCTCGACATAATGCTTGGAGAGGTCGATCTGTATCATATCTTCAAAACACGATTGGGTGGTCGGTGGTACGAGAGAGGACCTTCCAGACTTTGAGAATCGGTTTTTGTAAGTGTAGACAAGTCTGATAAAGAGATACTCTCTTACTTGGAGGAAATGGGCTCCATGTTGGGGTTCTTTCAAAGTAGGAGGATCTCAACCTGTCGAAATATATAAGAGCAGGTACTCCAAGCTATCTAAAGATGAAACCTGATTTCAAGATCAGAATACATATGAAACCTGATGTCCGGATCAGAATACCCTCGTAAACCGCATCTTCAACTCTCCATTAACAGCTCGAGTTTGCCCACCTGTAAAATCTAACCTGCAACCTCTCGTTTTGTTTGTATGAGTATAGGCCCAAAGAGAGCACTTGTATCTCATAAAAAAGCAACTTTTACAGCAACTTTTACAGCAACTTTTACAGCAACTTTTACAGCAATTCAGACATTTCAGACACTCTTAGAGAACTTGTTTGAGCATGAATACCAACTATGGTTCTCACAGGAGAACTACAAGGGGAGAGTGTACTTGAGAAGGCTCTGGTAGTATGGAAGCTATATGAATCGGTACTGACTGGGGCTAATTTTGAACGGATCCACAAAGTTCTCCATTATCTATTGATTGGAGCTATATTATCATCACTTCCGTGGTTTTATACCGTAATCGTATGTACTAGTAACCAACAGTTATGATAGAAGCCGTGGAGGAATACATGCAAAGGTTTAAGAGGAACATGATAAATGAGTGATTATTCTTCCTCCGCCAAGATCTTCTAGACTCCAAGTTAGTCCACGGTACACCAGAGTGGAGGTGTTTGCGAGGACTTCTGGGTGTGACGCTATGATGAGAGAAGAAATGTGGGCAATGGTGAGTATATGGAGTTGAAAACTGTGAACCAAACCCCATTTTTCCAGCCACAACACAAGGTAGCTCATGCGAACACGTCAAGCAACCATTTTGCAACCATCTGTTGACATATTGACATAGCAGTCTTTGATATGAAGCAACCAAACATGCGGATTGGACATGCTGCTTAATGTCCATCTGTATCACTTTGACAACTCCATTCCTGGATGGAAACTAACTGGTTGCTTTTTCCTCACTGATTTACTTTTTGCCTGTCGTTTCTTTTTCTGCGTATCAACATCTTGTGCATTCCACACATGCACTATGCCAGGTCGGCAGGGCAGTCAAATGGAGACGATACGCCGTGAGCCGTGTTTTAGAAACCGAGGGACACTGCATGTGATTTCTGTGGACCCCCCCAATTTGAACCTCTTGGGGCTTCATGTCTTCCAGGACCCACAGTCGGTTTTGTTCTCGGTATAGACAAAGTCATTTACCTCTTGGTTAGCATGCAGTACGAGTAGAAACGTATGGTGCCGGCTCAAAGATGTTATGCCTCTGAAGTTTCGGCACAGTACTTTTAGCAAGGCCCGATTTCTTGACCGGGTTAGATCGCGAAATGCCATCAACTGCTGTTGCTGTAGGTGCCAACGGGCCCATGGGGTAGTGTGCGTGTTATAAGTACATAAGTACAGTCGGTGATGAAGAGAAGGAAGGAGCCATAATAATAAGTCGCATCGGTGTCTCACACACTGAGACTTGCCGGTTGAACATGATGAACCTTTGACATTCCTCTGAATTACTGTAGCTGGCCCACAGCAACCAAAACAGCACCCTGTCGACCGTATTCAGCAGGGACACTAACAGTCCGCTATGCGCTCGCTAACGGTAGTTTATTGGGCTGTAGGAATGCTCACTTAGGTGGAGGCTTTTGGTTTGCGTTGTTAAAAGACATATAAACAAGCGTAAAGGCCTCATCTATAACTGGCACTATTGTATCTCTTATGAACGTGGGCTAGTCTTGTCGATCCTCAGCCGTATCCGATACTCAGCACAAACGTGGATGAAGAGAGTGATTTTGAACACGCGTCCACCCTTGCAAACATTACAGCAGTTCTCTGCTTGTCAATATCATGCTAAGGAGAAGAATAACCTGCCCGATTCACTAAGCATTAAACCCCGTCCGGGTTGAAAGTTCATCTCCATGAAGATGGCAGAGGGCCCGGTCTCTTCTGGAACGACAAATATAGACCATCAGATGACCGATCTGCACGCGGCGGGGCACAGATTCGAACTGTCGGCAGTATTATCGTCGCCGCCAGGGCTTGCACCTTGGAGGATGGTTATGCAAATAGCGCAAAGCGGCTAATTCGAACTTTTTCGGGGGTCCACAGAGACAATAGCTGATGACAATTGGATATTTGTGGGGGTCTCCATCTCTGGTAGAATATTAAAAAATTGACAACAAATATGGAGCTATTTATATCGAATTGTAAAAGATTGTTCAATATTACTTGCTCTCGATTACTCCATGCAGCAAAAGTATTTATAAGCCCGTCTTCTAATCCGACGGTCACGTGATACCGGGACCCGTGGGGTCCACGGTCTAAAGTGGGTCAAGGTCCTATTCACACACCATCAGGTGTGTATTTTTAGAAGACTCCACATCCACGAGCCGGGGCGCTCCCCACAGTGCCCAAAAAACCCTCAAACCTCCTGTACAACGGTTTCAGCCTGGGATTCTGTATTTTTAGCAGCTTGTAAGACAGCCCATGTGCGTCACTGCACTTGGATTTTGGAGAGAAATGGGTCTGCGAACCCTACGTCCGATTTGCTCACCAACGCTACCTCCATACAGACTGGTTTTTGCTTCAAAAAAAGACGACACCGTACGAACTACGCCTCGTTTGTGCACATGGACATGTGTTCTAAGAGGTAGATCCGGTTTAAAGGATATAACTCCGGGCAGTGGTATTAATAGCGCCAACAGTCACCCACGCGTACTCGCACCAAGATGGATCTGGCTCCCGGTACCTAGAGCAATTGTTGCAGCCTGCCGGAACTCGTATCGTACGGGGTCTGTGCGACACTAAAAAGAAAAAAACAATGTCACACATACGAGACACACATTGTGCATTGTAGCTGACCCTCAATATCCATCTTGCACGTACGTAGTAACCGGCCTATGCAGCAAAGTCTTCACTCTCATTTAACCCAAAACTTTTAGTGCCCGTACAGTGCGACGTATTGAGCAAGGGGGACAGTGGCCGACGCGGGAGACGCAGAAACGACAAGACGACAAAATGGGAAATGGAATGAAAAAAACAACAAAAAACAACAAAAAAAACCAAACAATCTGGACCCAGACAAACCTCTTGGAGGCTTCAAAGAATCAATAGGTCCTGTATGTAGTGCCTGTATACCCCTGAAGTGGTGAAGTTTATCTGAACTCTATACGCGGTGTCGCGAAAAAAGACGCGCAAAACCAAGTACGCGTGAAACATGCAAAAAATCAACTGAAAATGTTCACGTACAGTGCCAGCATATGCTATGGAACCGACGGGACTGTACTGGACCACCTCACAGAGCGCCAGTTGCAAACTAAGCGCCCGGAAACTCGGGTACCTGTCAGCAGGTGAAACAAGCGAACTGTAGGCGATATTGGTCTGTGTGAGACGAGAGGACGGGAAAATAACTACCAGGGCTAATATTAGAATTCAATTTCGGCTTATGGTTTGATTTGATTGGCCGTATGACAAGGCTGAGCTGACTAAGCGGTCCGGGCAGGAGCTCGAGTACCGCTAGTATTATGAGGGGTACAGGTGTACGAGTATGAAGGCTTGAGGAGGTAAGAGAGATACTCCAAGGAGAAATATGGCCCCCTATTACGCCTCTTTGGGTCTGTTTTATCCCTACTTGTGGAAGAGATGGCTTGGGATCAGGCGGGCGTCGTACAGTGCCAGGATCAGCTGAGATTGGAGGGCATGTCTCAGTGAGACGTTAGCAGTAGTGTCAATGATGTAATTGGTTGCAATTGAAGTGTGTGAACCGATTGAAAAAGGTGAATTACTCCAGTAATTGCCGTTTTTTTATGCCGTTTGGTGTTATCTCTCCAATATCGGATCTTTTGTCCCACAACAGTCCGATTCGGTATTCTTTTTTTTCAGGTCACATGGAAGCGGCGAAAACAACTTGTCCCGGCAATTGCCACAGCAGTGCCACAGCAATGCCTCAGGGAACAGTCGGGTATGTCCCCGTTTCATCTCCAGAAAAAATATATCAGCACAGCTCCACTTATTATCTATATCCGCTTGTTGTATTTGTTGTCTTTTAGTTTCTGCCCTACCGTTATCCATATTGGGAACCTAACCAACTCCCTTCCGAACTAATACACATTTAAAAGAAGACAAATTGCCACAAATGTATCAGGATGTTGCCAAGAAGACGTGGATTCACCTGTTTGGAGTTTTCGGGGTCGATTTGGGCCTTTGGTGACAAAATCTGTCTCCGAAAAGTGACATGTTCCGACACTATCGACGGCGGCTGGAAAAAGTCTGTCGGAGGATTAGCGCCATAATTGGGCCCTAATCTGCACGGGCTAGATCCATTTGGGTCCTGACACCTCTTTGATCGCTGCCACGACCATGCCCTACCGCAGCCTGGGTGTGTGCACATATTTTTTTGGGGGGTCTTCCATTTGTTTGTCTTTGCTTTTTTGTTGATTTGTTGTTCAATATGCAGTCGGCACTCCACCGACATTCCCACATCTGTCACAGGTGCCAAAGAAAAAGGCGAAGCCCCCCCTGCCACAACACAGCTGGTTTATTTGCACAACCCCTTTTATTATCTCCTCTAGTGTACCGTCCACCCAGCCGCCCACAAATAGTTGGACAGCCCACCATGTGGCACCAAACATGCGTTGTTATGACAACCCGAACGATTACCTAACCACCTCCCCACAAGAATACTCCGTCGGGCATTCCAGAAGCAGCCAGACGCACCAACCAGATGATCGGTGCCTGTCGGCGCACCGGTTCCGGACAACCGTTACTGCAGCAACACCTCCGTATGGCACGTGTGTATGGTTGGGGGAGCGTTAGACACGGTGGGAGGGTCGGTCCGTCGAGTCAGGTTAGACCCCACGGGCTTGTTTTGACATACCATGTCAGGGGGGTTCGTCAATGGAAGAGTGTACACTGTACGATAGCAGTGTACCGTACGATACATGGCCGGGTCGCTAAGAACGACTTGATCCAATATTTAATTATTTTGATCGCCGGATTTCCCGATATTCTGGGACAACGTGTTACAGACTAGGGCCGTAGGTGAGGCGTCACGCTCTCCTCATGTCCAGTATATTAGTATATTATATCAAATTATCACAACGTTACAGCGTCCATCGGTCAAACTGATGGATTCGGAGAAGTCAATTGTGGCGGCTACGTGATAGAGTCGATATGGCGCGGTATGACGGAAGGTAGGAATCGCCGACTGATTCACCGTACAAAGTCTGGCGACAGTAGATTGGTGTATTTTCCCATAGTTTCCGGATTTTTCCCCTATTTTTCGATATTTACCTATTTTAGGTATTTTTTTTTATTATTCTTTTCATAGTTTTGCATTTCCCCTAGTTTTGCGTATTCCCTCTATCAATCCAGCTGCCCTTTGTACACCGGAATGCTGATTCGGTTGGCATCCTCACCTAATCGACGGCACCATACAGTGTATGATGCAGGAATATTGCTAGGGTTAGGGGTTCTATTCCCATCTGGTATTCATGGATAGCCTTTTTTATAGTATTTGGGTTAGTCTTTTACATTGGCATTGTGTGCACAACAAGATCGAAACTATCAAACCATGACACACTGTAGCCGTTGTGACGTAGTGAGCCGACGCTGTACAAAAACTGACTAGGCGGATTTGGGCCCTCTGCGAGCTGACGATAATTGCGAGATTTGTAGCGGGTGGGCCTCGCGCCATGTATTCCGTGGATGCAGGGCTAGCAAGCTGCAACCAGACGCATCACTTTTCGTGTTGCTTTTGGTACAGTGTGATATCTGTACCACCACCCTGTGCCGCTTTGGTGCACCTGTGGCTATGAAAAACCCCTCAATCATCATCACTAGTTGCAGATCATCTCTGCACCCATCTCCAGCTCTTTTCGGAAACCGGTGAGATGCAGCTGCAGCTGTGGTGCAGCAAGTCTCGCGAGGCAAATTCCACAGCAACGCGTGATGTATGGGGTAGAGTGGGGGGAAGGGTATCAGGGACTGGATGTAGACGCTTGATGCATGCGAGATCACATATTCACTAAAATGTGTGTTACTAGTAGGTGTTATACTAGTTGACTCAGGAACATGCGTGCCGCGTCTGCCACACGAAATACAGCGCCCCGCTTGCTCATATCTCGACAGTTGATGCACAAGATGCGTCAGACAGGCAGTCGAACAAGCACATACAGATTAGAGAAAACGAGAGTGTAAATATGGATTAGGGTATGGGGGAAGTGGGAGATTACAGGGTAGGGTTAGGGACGGGCTTAGGGTGCGAGTAGCCTACGTAGTCGTACTGTAGATTTTACATTTTTTTGATTTTTTTTTGGCAACGTGCACAGACCGTGTACCGAGCTTGTGTTTGGCGTGACACGAGTTGGTGGGCGTGTTGCAAGGGGCATTTTGGTGCCGGCTAAGCAGTGTGTTTGGGGGTTATTGGTTGGAAAAAAATGCATGATTCCCGCTCATCAGCGTCAGACTTGGTCCTGTTTCTCCTACCCGCGACTCTACTGAGGCGAAAATCTGAACAGTGAAAACGGCCTATTTTTTTGTCTTTTCTATTTTCCCATTTTCCCCATTTTTTGTCTTTTCCGTTTTTATTATTATTTGAATACAATGACCGACCTGTGGCCAAGTGTGGTTCCCTTGTCACCCATGTTTACAATAGTTTTATTGTCTCCACCAAATACAATGGTGTAGACTTGACGGTCCAAAACTTTACAGTCTCTTTGTCAGGGTCTAGCAATCACACAGGGCTGGCCGCCATTGTTTACAAACCTAGACGTGAGTATAAGAGGCTGCCGGCCGCTATCGAGGTTGACTGACTGATTGATCAGGAAAAGGTGAGTGAGGATCAGGGTGAGGTGAAGGCGAGCGAGGGCGATTGAGGTTGGTCATGATCTCCTCGCGGTCCGCATAGTCTTGTCGGGGTGGTCATGGGTTAGCTATGGTCTTGTCGAGTTAGCATGGTCAATGGTTACTGGTCGGTGACATGATCTCTGACCATGCAATGGGTCCGAAGAACCGCTGCGAGCACGCGTGCCTGCTACAGCTCCTACCTGCTACGCCATGTCTCACACAACGTCTCCAACCGCTGCACCAGTTGTACTCGACATTGCCAATATGTGGTTGGCCCAACAACCAAGTCTAATTCTAATGGGCAAAAGGCAAACATGCGCCAGAGGAAACCAGCTCACAAACTTGATCTCCTATCCACACTAACACAGGATGCAAAGTGTGACTAGTCCACTGTCACGACGGCACATGTTTGACGACTCGCCGTCCTACAAGCGCAAGCTGGTTTCGCCGGCCTGCATGGCGGGAGATCTCACCGCTGCCGCCGTTCATATCGAGACGTGAGTATGAAACCAGGAGAGGGATAGGCGGGGTTAATGGGGATGATGGTGATCAAATCGCTCTGATTCTGAGCACATGTCCCATCATGAGTCCCCATCATGAGTTCCCACCATGTGTTGCAGACTGTATGAACCTGAGCATTTCCAGCCAAGTCACAATGCGCTGACAAGCGGGGGTTCTGTGAATCGTTATCGTTACCACGTTGCTGTAACAATGTCAACACAGAATACCATTGGGAATCAGCTGGACTTTACTCATGACATCAAGCACCAGACTGTCTCCCCCAGTTAAGCCCTTTTTCTTTTCTCACCACTGTAGACTTCCGTTTACATGGGACACGCACACGCAGACAGCGTGCAGTTAATTATCACCACTAACGCAGACCCACCTTGCCCACTCCAAGACGCTCGCTATTCACCGCCAAAACCCCTGCATTTCTCAACCTCCCTCCCCCAAACGACTCCTCGACGCCATGTGGAGTCCCCATGAAGAAGTCAATGAGCATGATGGAGCCCATGTCGCCGCTGTCCGCTGGCTCGGACGGTAGCACCACCTTTGGCAGTAGCACCAGCAGTAACACCAGCAGTAACACCAGCACCAGCAGCATCCAGATGCACCGGCTACGAAAGAACAACCGCAGCACCAGCAGTCTGCGGCTCACCAGCGCCGGCGTTTCGTTCGACCCCATTGACGAGGAAGGTAGCTTACGTAAGCCGTTCCGTTTCTCGCTTGAGCTGGACTCGCCTGCCAACACCCGCTTCACACACTCCATGAATGAGGCCGACAGCAGCATGGACACAGACGAGGATGGCCTTGGTAGCTTGTCTCAGAACTTCCGTTTGGGAGGAAGCACCAGCCACTCCAACACACATAGTCTGAACTTTAACGGCTTTACGCTCGGCGGCGCGGCAGACGAGAGTGCGGGTGCTGTTGCCGCAGCAGATGTCACCGCTGACGACATTAACGATACGCCGTCAGCGCGGCCGGTACGGCCCTCTCTCAACCCGCTATGCAAGCGGTCATACAACTCGTCGTCCACGCCATTTGCTGCCAAGTTCAAGCGGCCCCGACGAACCCACTCCATGTTCCAGGACCCCAAGGAGCTTATGCAGGAGGAGCTGGACGAGGAGAAGGAGATGGTTCGACGCCTTTCGCTGTCGCCCGACGTTAATAACAACGTGGACTCCTTTCTTGTGTCCGCTGACTGCACTCTGGAGTCGTTTTCCGTCGAGGGCGATCCCTTCCGACGCATCAAGCGAGAGACTCTGGTCCAGATTCTGGACGGTCACTATTCGCATTACTACGATCGCCACGTTGTGATTGACTGCCGGTTCGAGTACGAGTATGATGGCGGCCACATTGACGGCGCCATTAACATCAACTCCAAGGATCGACTGGAGGAGCTGCTGTCCAACGAGGAGGGCATTCTCGGCAACAACTGCAACAACATGATGCGGCCCGGCAAGCGGGGCGGAGACTCCCGGAAACGTACTCTGTTGATCTTCCACTGCGAGTACTCTGCTCACCGAGGCCCGCGAATGGCCATGCATCTGAGAAACCGAGACCGTCGGCTCAACATGACTAACTACCCGCACCTGAACTTTCCCGACGTGGTGATTCTGCAGGGCGGCTACAACCACTTTTTCGAGCAGTTCCATACACGGTGCTACCCTCCCCAATACGTCGAAATGAACGATTCCATGCATAAGAGCACCTGTGAGAGAGAGATGGGCCGATTCCGGCGTCACATGAAGCTACGAAGCGAAAGCTCCATCAACAAGCAGCAGGGCGTCATCTGTTCGCCGGTTGGGTTGTCTCGTTCGCTGAGCGAAAACGTAGACTATCATCGACCCAAGCGGGTGGTGAGTTGCCAGCTGTGGCGATGATGTGCATCCAGAGACACTTGCTTCGATTGATCAATTTCCACACAGGTTTCTGTGGGGCAGCCTTGATGGTTGTCCTTCAGTGTCTTCTGAGATCCTGCAGCGGTCCAGAGACATCAAAAGAACACTGATATAAAAGTACTGACAATAATACATTATACCCACTACAAGTAGTTTGAGCAGTGTAGGCAGTGCTGTGTGTGGAAGCCGGTATAGCAGAGTGTACGAGCACGAGTACTCTTCACCCTCCTAGGCGACGCATTTGAAACTAAAAGTTCAGTGTCTCGATAGAGCAGGCAGCATCTACCGCACTTGTTTATGGATTCATCATCAGACCATTGGGGTGGTTACTTTTGTTGTCCGCCTCATGTGCACGCACTGTAAGTATGTTACAGCTGGTCTATGGCGAAATACCGCAAGCTAGTGTTTGGCCAGGGTAGCACGAGTTTTTGGTCTTGTCGGCTATTGGTCGAGTTCAGGGAGAAAAAGTTGCTCATTCCGCTTCTTTTGCGTCTCAATTGCTCGTCTCTTTTCGGCTTGTTTTTCACATCCTGTTTGCTTTGCTCTTTGCTATTTTGGCGATACTGGCACGATTAGCTTGCTTAATCAGAGTGCATTGTTTAGGCAAGGGGAAGGAGCCTCGGAAGAGACGGGCGGATGTGCTGTACGGGGATTGTGGGGCTAAACAAGACGGAAGGCGGGTACTTAATAACTCGTCTTGACGGCGCAGTGTGAAACGGAGCTACTGGGGTGCACGTATCCCGGTCCGTACCAGTAAAAGTTGTAAAAGTTGTAAAAGTTAGCCTACTTGTAGGTGGGGCTGACCAAAAGGGTGTGCGATTATGTACGTACGATTCCGATACAGCACGGGCACTGAGGCTGTAGGTTGCTTTATTATGGACAAATGATTGCTGTTGGAGGAGGAGTCTTTTGTTTATTGGCATTAGTCATCACTCTTGGGCTTGGTCTCCAATGCGATGGCGTCAACACCCCCAAATGTCTCAACCTTCCGATTTCCACCCAGCCAAATGCACAAGTTAGACCACTTCCAAAACAGGGCTCCAAATGCGGCGCTAACAGGCCCTTAACCCAGTGTCAACAGATTGCGCCACATGATGGCTGTATTCTCCGAACCAGGGTGGTCCACAAAGAGCCCATTGTGGGCGATACCGCGTCTCTTTGTCCCCAGCAGCCTCCTATTTTCGGGCCCTTTTCTCTTTTATACACCCCACAAACCCTGAGCTTAGCACGCATCGGTTTGGCGTACTTTACGCGCAAGCGGGGCTAAACGCGATGGCCATATGACCGGCTACAAAGAGAGATGTTGATAATAAATGTGAGACACGGACGTGGCGGCTGGCTGCATTTGTGCGACACGGGAAACAGGGCCGGACCGTGGGGCGTAACGAGTCTGCGAGCTGTTTTGGTTGGTGTATGAGAAATATAAGAACAAACAACAAAAATATAAAAATTAGAATATAAAATAAGAATATAAAATAAGAATATAAAATAAAATAAAACCTTTCTCTGACAGTCGCCAAAACTCACTTGAGACTATAAAACAAAACAGCTCACCCCACAAAAAGATCTGCGGCGATCGAAATGTTGCTATTGCTATCTTTACTGTGTTGGCGATACGATGCCGTTGGAAATGAGCGCCAAAAACGGTCCAAAAGCGGACCTCAAGCTCCACGCTGACGTCACTTGACTAAGCAACAAAAAGGTAAACAAACCACCGAAGGTATTCACAATGAGCTTGGAATGCATCCGAAACTGCTTACATCACGTACAAGTACTCTCGGCTTGGTCATATGAACACAATACACATACCAAACACGTACGCGATCACCTGAATCCCATATATATCACCTCACCATGATCTCCTGACCTTCCCCTGACTAGTCAGCGCTACGACAAAACGTCTTATCAACGTATCTGGTGTACCCCTCGATTTAGTGCCACCACCTAGTATGTACTGTATGAACGGTCATAGAGTCACCTCTTTGTATCCATTATTATGTGTCTTCCCAAAATACCCGTATGTACTTAAATGTACTTGTAGGGGTTGAGAATGTGGTTAGGGTCATAGGCGTTCTTGAGCTGCTTCATCAGATAGACATTGTCCTCGTCCTTGGAGTACTGGATGAAATGCTTCTTGATGAGACCAAGACCGTGCTCGGCAGAGATGGAGCCGTGGACCTTGGATACCCACTCGTAGATCCAGGGCTCGAGGACCTGAGAAATTCGCTCAGAGTACTCTCGAGTCATAATGTTCAAATGCAGGTTACCGTCTCCAACATGGCCGTAACCAATGACATCAACCACGGGCTTGGATGCGTCCGTCTTGGAGATCATGTCCTTGCTCTCGAAAACGGCTCGCAGGTCGTCGACAATGTTGTACAGCTGGGGCAGAGGAATAGAAATGTCGTACTTGTAGACACCACCCTCCTTGCCAATGACCTCGGTAATTCGCTCTCTCCATGCCCACAGGTTCTGGAACTGAGTCTCGTCGCTGGCAACCACTCCGTCGCAGACAATCTCCTGCTCCATCACGTCCTCCAGGAAAGCCTCGAGCTTGGCATCATCATGCTCCTTGTTGGAGCCGGCGGTCTCAATGAGAATGAAGAAGGGGCTCTCAGTGTCGACCGGTCGGGTCAGGTCGCAATGCTGCTGGACCCAGCCCTGAGATCGGCCGTCCATGAGCTCAAACGCAGACAGAATCTCACCGAGATCCTTCTTGGCGGCAATGAAGGCCTGCTGGACCTTCTCGTACGATTCAACGGCCAGGTATGCCACATTCTTGGCAGCAGGTCGCTGGGGACACAGAATAGAGACGGCGGTAATCACACCAAGAGTACCCTCGGAGCCAATGAAGAGCTGCTTGAGATCGTAGCCAGTGTTGTCCTTTCGCAGCTTGGACAGCATGTTGACAACCTTTCCGTTGGCAAGCACAACCTCGAGACCGAGGACGGAGCCGTGAAGAGAGCCGTATCGCAGAAGACGCAGACCTCCGGCGTTGGTGGCCACGTTTCCTCCAATGTGACACGAGCCTTTGGCTCCCAGATCCAGAGGGAACATGAAGCCCTGTTCGGCCAGATACATGTCTGCAGCCTCGAGAATGACGCCAGCATCAGCAACAAGGATTCCAGAAACATTGTCAAAGGACCGTACCTTGTTCATGTTGCTAAGCGACAGGATGATCTCATCGTACAGAGGCACAGATCCACCCACCAGACCGGTGTTTCCTCCCTGGGGCACCACCGCCAGTTTCTTGTCGTTGCAGTACGACAGAATCTTGGACACCTGCTCGGCAGAAGTAGGCTTGAGCACCAGCTGAGTCTGTCCACGGAACTTTCGCATCCAGTCAGTGTTGAACATCTCAATGTCCTCTACGTCGGTCACCAGACCGTTTTCGGGCAGAATGGTCTTGAAATGCTCAATGTCGGCCTCGCTGAGTCGAGCATAGTCGCCTCGGGTCTCAGTCCTGTACCACTCGGCAGTCTGCTTGACCTGAAGAGCAGGAGCAGTGGTGTGAACAGATCGAGCGGAAGGTACAGCCTTAGCCAGAGCCAGGGGCTTGGCAGAGAGCTGGGTGGCGCTCTTGGCAATGGAGTGTCGAGCACCCCGCAGGGCAACCCGGGACACCAATCGTTTACCGGCAGATTGCATCATGGTCGTAGTGGTTTGTGGAGGTGAGTCAGAATCGATTTTTTTTTACCTTCACCATCACTTTCGGGCGCTTATTTTGAAACCTTAATTCGGTGATGTTGAAGCAGGTGCGGATGAGGGGAAAATGAGCAATTTCCATTGGTGGAGGAGGACATGTGGGGGACAAGTGGGGGACAAGTGGGGGATATTTTGTGTGTTTTTTTTTTTTTTTTTGGAGGGGGGGTTTGGTGTTCCAAGGATGGTGGTATTTTTATATTTTTTTGGGAATTGACAAAAAGAATAGTTTAAACGGATTTTTCAAATTTCGTTTCTACTTCAAACGTCTCTTACCACATTACAGTCTCATGGTCGAGCCGTTGTACTTGGTAAGAGAATATTGGCTTGATGGCGGCCGATTCCCTTCGTTTCAGATCTTGACAGCTATTCCTTGTACATGTGGGACACGAAGTATCCAGTTCTTCACCATCCAGATTTTGACATTGTAAACAGAGCCCTTGAATAACTGTTGATACCAATAACATCCTAGAATGTAAACGCACTCATTCTATGCAGAAACTACCACCTGCCGTTCCAGATGTCCTCTGATCCAAACCACCCTCGTGGAGCTGGAGGAGGATCTGGGAGCTTCCAGGAACTGGGTCCTAGCCCTGAGCTGGGCAACTCATCGAACGCCCTCTGGATCCGAGGAGTCTAGACACCGGCCGGAGTATCAAGAAGACCGGGCCAGGTAAAGTGGAGTCTTTGATTCCGAGAGTTGGTGGTATTCGGCGATTCGAAGCTCAGCCCAATATCCAGCTGTCCAACTAATGGTTTCCTGTCAAAAGTTCTTACACATTACCGCACGCCTCAATATACCATCGCACAAGTATATCATCTTCTGAATATAAATTAGTGATTAAATTATTCGTTCGTAGGGCATTATAGTGTTGTTGCAATGTCTAGACAGACTCAATGTAGACGTGCTGTCCGTCCTTCTTGTCGTCAGAAGCGTGCTCGTCGTAAGCAGCGACTCGAGTGGTAGGCACAAACTGGTGGGATCGAGAAGCAATCTTGATCTCGGCGTACATCTGGTCCACCTCCTCCAGAGTAAGACCCTTGGTCTCGTAGATGAAGAAGTAAGTGAAGGCGATGCACAGGAAGTTGCAGCCTCCCCAGATGAAGAAGACCTTGGTCTTGAGACCGGCCGATCCAGGGGCCTCGTCGACGAGGTAGGGGGTTGCAAAGGCAATGGCAAAGTTGAAAAGCCAGTTGGAGGCGGCGCATAGAGCAACACCCTTGGCTCGGATTCGTAGAGGGAAAATCTCTCCAATGACAACCCAGGCAATAGGACCCCAGGTGGCGGCGAAACCGGCAATGAAGGTACAAGTGAAGGCAATCAGAACCTTTGAGGAGGTCTCGTTATCAATGGCAGTACCAACAGCCGCCACGATAAACTCGGAAGAGCACATGACGATAGCTCCGATCAACAGCAGCTTTCGTCGTCCGACTCGATCAACAAACATGATACCGGGGATGGTCATAACCACGTTGACAATGTTGGTGATCATCTGGATGAGGAAGGGGTTGGAGATGTTGGACTTCTTGAAGAACTCGGTTCCGTAGTAGAAGATGAAGTTGATACCGGTGAGCTGCTGCAGGGCCTGAATGGCAATACCGGTCAGCATTCGCTTCAGCTGGGACCCCTTGGGGGAGAAGCAGGCGGCCCAGGTGGCGCTACCGATCTGCATCTCGTGGTCGTGAGAAGATTGGATCTCCAGGAGCTCCTTCTGTACAGCCTCGTGCTCAACAGGAAGTCGTCGTAGTCGTCGCAGGGAATCGGCGGCCTTGTCGTACTCGCCCTTCTTGATCCAGAATCGAGGAGTCTCCGGTAGCAGGATGAGACCTCCACTCAGGATGACGGCCCACAGAAGCTGAAGGCCGAGAGGAATTCGGTAGGAAGCACTGTTGTCTTTGTTTTTGGTTGCGTTGTTGACAATGGCAGCCAGCAGAAGACCAATGGTGATGGCAAACTGGTAGATGGAGACAACGGCACCTCGGATCCACTTGGGGGCAACCTCAGACTGGTAAAGAGGAACGATGGAAGAGACTCCACCAACACCAAGACCAGCAACAACTCGTCCGACAATCAAAAGCGTTCGGCCGGTGGCAGCAGTCTGAAGAATAGCGCCAACAGAGAAGACGACACAGAAGAGGATCAGACCCAGTCGTCTTCCCAGAGTATCAGAGGCCCAGGGAGCAGAAATGGCTCCAGTGAAGGTGCCTGCAGAAAGAATGGAAGTGATGAGCGAGGTCTGCTCAGAAGTGAACTCCAGGCCGTCATCTGTAAAGGTCTTCTTGACGAATGGCATGGCCATGACGCCGGAAATGGTTCCAGTGTCGTATCCAAACAGAATACCTCCAAACGCGACAAACACGGCCACAAAGGCCGCCATGAAGGCCGAGCCCTCGGGCTTTTCTCCACGGTTGATGATGTTAGCGAGTCCCATGGTTAGTAGTGAATCAATGTCGTGTTTCAGGTGGCAACTACTAGTCTCTATATATACACACACGAGAATAATGAAACCAGTATGCTTTTGGCCATCATTCCCCAAGAGAGCTTAGCTGCTGCTCTCATGTGTCACCAAAACAAAGAGTTGACGGTGGGCGCCAAACCTTCCCCAGGTTTCTTGTTTGGCAAACGCTCGCACCACCCTCCCCGGTCTTTGACCTACCTCGGGGGTTATGGGTCCTTCTACCCGGGCGGAATAAACTCGCATGGCGCGGCACTGTCTTACCTATAGTTGCGGTGGAGAGTTATGCTTACAAGAGGTTCACCATCTCCTACTTGTAGTTGACTGATGTCTAGCTCTACATCTTGTTCCGGTTCCACGCGTGGGGCTTCTTCCATGTACAGACGGCTTTGACACGGTACAGTAGTGGCCGGTAAATGTCGCGAGAAACTTTGGCCAACCGTCACCAACTGCATCTGCGGGTTGGCGCGGTCCAAAGAGTTGGCCAAAGGCAAATTCTACGCTTCCTCTTGCTCTCTCTCTCTCTCTCTCTCTCGTCTGAGACTGCCCAACCTTTTTGAGGAGTAGTCGCGCAGCCGTGCCGTGTGGGTGCAGCGATCGTCTTCAGCCGTGCTAAGGGAGCGCACTAGTGTTACGTGGGGAGGGGGTGTCACGGGTCCCAGAAGCGAGTCATGACAAGACCCAAGCGGTCCTGGCGAGACGTCTGATGCCGTATACTTGATCAAACCCCGGATTAAATCTGGAAGAAAAGAAAAAAAAAATTAGCCATAAGCGAGCTCCCCGCACATCAATCTATGTACCCCTTGTTTGGTTAATCCGCTCCAGCTGGTTTCTTGTTCTGATGCACCTACCCCGGTCGCCGAACAAGACCTGAGCTATGCACGGGGGTGGTTGGGCAGGACGCATCTTCAGGACCCACATCAACCTGCTTTTGAAAGGTTGTCTCCTTGTCTTTCTCTGTCTCGACGTCAAGTGGAGCACGGAAAAATACTGAAAAGTTAGTCTCAAATTTCAGGAGGGGCAAAACTTTATGCACGAGGCCGACGAGACAAGTTGGAGGGAAAATGGTGGCCAGAATCCGTGTGGGCGAAAGAAAAGCGTGTGCGGATAAACCGCCGGGCCATTTTCATATGTTGGTAACCCCCGAGCAGACAGCGGTCCATTCTTGGCACGCGTGTCTCGTCTTGACTTGAAGCATAAAAGAAGCGGTTAATACAAGTGCATACAGTAGTGTCTCTCTCCTCCCCCACACAAGACAACCATTGAAATCAGCAAGTCGCTTCTTGTGGGGAGTGTAGAGCCCCGGAGTTTATTTCCCAAAAAAATACGACATTCTGTTGCCAATTCCGAAGTTCCACGGCGACAGAATAACGGTCCGCCATCAGACAGCTGTGGATGTGGGAGCCCAAGAGGGTGAAACACACGTCCATCTCGGTGTTTCGTCGAAAGCCGTCTCAGACCCTACAAGTAGTCTCTTGGCTTTCCACTTGTACGTACAGTAGCTACTTGTCAAGACATTGCGCATCAGCTCGAACCGTTGAGAAGTACGAGTGCCACGAGTAGGGCGTACTGCCCGGTACGACCACGTACAAGATACGGTCGTCTAGTGCATCGAGCCGCTTCAGCCTCTTTTACTCGACAAACAACGAATGCCAAAACGCTGCCGGATTATATCCCCAGTCTAGATTCGCCAAGCCGGTCTCAAAAAAGAACAACTGCTGACAAAACTTTTTTTAATATATCTTGGCGGTGTAGATATTCAGTAAAGGCCGGCCGAGGTTTTCGCAATGACAAATCACATGTTTAAGAAAAGGCTGCGGTGGTTCCTTGTTGTTCGGTGGGCGTACGGTTGCAATTGGTTCACAGTGACTTAGGAGCATTTCCACGACTTTGGAGAATGCCAATTTCGCCGAAATGCTATTGCTGCCGGGTTTATTTTTTTTGTTCATTATTAATTATTATTATTATTATTATTATTATTTATTTATTTATTTATTACTATTTTTTTTCTGCATATACTATTTATTTTTGTTCAGCTACTTGTACTTCAGAAAATACTTCTAAAATCTATCCTGACACTGACGACATCTTCATTTTTCTGATGGCGTGCGGTTTCTGCTGGGGTGGTCGAAGAGATGTTGAATGGGAAAAATAATTATAAAAAAAGAAGCATTTTAAAATAAAAATAAAATCATTTTCAGCATAATCATAATCATATACCTCTCGGTCACTTGGACAGCAGCTACAGCACATGTGTTTTGTTTCATTCATTTTTTTTCGGCAGCCCGTCTCGAAAAAAGACCAACACAATCGCAATCACAGTCACAATCACACGTATCCATGGCCTCGACAATATCCAACGGTTAATGCTCAACATTGTCAGAACACAATTCATATACAGATCACCCACTGACCAATGTACCGGTATTATTAGTGAGTGTTGGCCGACGCAGCCGTAACTGCGACTTCCGTGATAATCGTCTGGGAAGGTTGCTGTTGTCTCCAACTTTTCGAACTTGTCCATGGCCCCTGACCTGCTCATGCCGGCACTCACATGCGATGACGGCCGGCATGCCGACTTGTTCTCCGCTGCAGTGCCATAAAGTCTTGCTTTTCAACATCTACAGTTGTGCCTTTTCTTTCAACTCCACCTACCATCTACACTCTGGTTTTACACAATAAAATCATATTCAATATTCAACACATTCATCACAAAATCCTTCGCAAAATCTTCATCAACCTCTCCACAAAAAAGTCCTTCGCATAAATCTTCATCAACCCACCACACAAAATCCTTCGCAAAATCCATACATGGCTTACATGACAAGCAAGACGAATGCCATCAGTGAGCCCAGAACAAAGCCTTGATGGGGCTTGAGACCGCGAGCATTGTTGGCCTGGAGAGGACCTGAACCAGAGCTGGAGTACAACGCAGGTGTCTCCTGGCTTCCGTCGGATCCGAATCCTGCACCATTTCCACTGCCGCCTCCGCCAACACCTTGTTGAGAGCCAGAGTCTGGGTTCGAGCCAGAGCCTGCTCCTCCGAATCCAGATTCCCCATTTCCGCCATTGGAACCAGAATCGGGGTGAGAGCCAGCCCCACCTTGTCCAGTTCCGCCTTGTCCATTAACACCGCCAACTCCAGAGTCTGAGCCTGTGTTACCGTGTCCAGATCCTCCGCTTTCTCCGTTTCCTCCGTTTCCTCCGTTTCCTCCGTTTCCTCCGTTTCCTCCGTTTCCTCCGTTTCCTCCGTTTCCTCCGTTTCCTCCGTTTCCTCCACTTCCTGAGTCAGGCTGTCCGAATCCAGAATCTGAAGAGCCATCGTTGGATCCAAAGCCGCTACCATGTCCAGCAGTTTCGAGAGGAGAAACTGTGCTGGTTCGGTATGAAACGGAAAGTGACGACGCGTCGCCTCCAATGGGGTTAAATGGACTGCTTCTTGAGGGCAGAACAGTGACCACAACGCCAGTGGGGACTCCATTGCTGTCGGTCATAACTGACGTACCAGGGGTCGGTCCAACTGTAGTAGTCTGATCTGATGTCTGGATGACAAAAGAAGAACCACGCGAGTCTGTCAGTGTTCGAACACCTTGAGAGTCTCCATGTTCCGAGTCAGGGAACGAACCAGATCCAGAACCGGTTGTCAGAGGACCGACGGTTACTTCGACGCCTGTTGGAACGCCATTGTTATCCACGAGAGTCGAGGTGCCGCCAACAGGACCAGACAAGGTTGTTGGTACCACTGTGACAATCACACGCGAGACACCTCCGTCTGTCAACGTGGAGGTACCTGCTGAGGAGCCAGTCACTACTGTTGTTCCTGCTCCATCGCCTTCGTCGCCAAAACCGGATCCAGATTCTGTTGTCGTAACTGTTGGTAGCACTGTGACAATAACATCCGTAACAACTCCGTTGCTGTTGGTAAGGCTTGATGTTCCTTCCTCGTCTCCCGTTACTGTCGTTGGCACTAAGGTTTCGATGATTACAGTGCTGCCTTGAGGATTGGTAGAGACAGACACGCCAGGAGTGGAACCTGTGACCACAACGTCGGGCTGGAAGATGGAGGAAGCCGTGGTAACGATTACACCAGTGACAACGCCACTATCATCGGCCAAAGTTGATGTGCCAGGAACGATACCCGTCACGGTACTGGGAACCACAGTCACAATAATGTGGGTGTTTCCTGAGTCGTCTGTTGACGTTGAAGTTCCAGCAGTCGAACCAGTGGTGAAAGTGGGAAGCGATGGCGCAGAGGTCTGGGTGACTATGACGCCAGTGACGACGCCATCATCGTTTGTGACACTCGACGTACCGGGAGTGTCACCACTCGCCGTCGTGGGAATTACGGTGACGACAACTCGAGAACTTCCATCTCCGTCGTCGATGGTTGTTGTACCCGGAATAGGGCCTGTCGTTACGACATCGGGCTTCACAGATGATGTCACAGTAACAATAACTGCTGTCACATCGCCATGAGTGTTGGAGAGGCTGGACGTGCCAGGAGATTCACCTGTTACGGTAGATGGTACCACTGTAACTACATAGAAGGTGCTTCCTGCGTCGTTCTTGGTGGTGACGGTGCCAGGTAGGGAGCCAGTCACAACATCCGTTTCCTCTTCTCCTCCTAAGCCTCCTCCTTGGTTACCTCCGCCCTGCGAGGTATCTGTAACGATGACGCCTGTGACGACTCCATCGCCATTCTGCACACTTGAAGTGCCAGCGACATCACCAGTGACTGTCGTCGGCACGACAGTCACGACAACATGGGACTGTCCGTTGTCATCACCAATTGTGGTCGAACCGGCCACAGGTCCAGTAGTAACACTTGGCTTCGGTGAAGGTGCCACAGTTACAATTACACCAGTGACAACGCCTCGATCATCGGGTATACTCAGAGTGCCTGGTGTATCGCCGGTGACAGTGGAAGGAACCACGGTTAGGACATAGTGGGTAGATCCATCTACATCAACAGATGTAGCGAATCCAGGAACAGATCCAGTGGTAACAACATCGGGTGTATGATCCATAGTATCAGTGACCACAACTCCAGTGACGATTCCGTCACTGTTGGTAAGACTCGAGGTGCCGGGCACATCACCGAAGGTGGTGGAAGGTACCAGAGTCACAATGACACTGGTGTGTCCATTACCATCGTCTATAGTTGACGTACCGGCCACAGGACCAGTCTCGACAACATCAGGCTTCACGGGTGTGGGTGTCACGGTGACCACAACTCCGGTGACGATTCCGTCACTGTTGGTAAGACTCGAGGTACCGGGGACATCACCAGTGGCAGTAGAAGGAACAAGAGTCACAATGACGCTGGTATGTCCATTACCATCGTCGATAGTGGTTGTACCAGGAACAGATCCAGTCACGACAACATCAGGCTTCACGGGCGTGGGTGTAACGGTCACAACCACGCCAGTAACAACTCCTCGATCATCAGGAACACTCAGGGTACCAGGTGTGTCTCCAGTGACAGTGGAAGGAACAACAGTGAGAACATAGTGGGTAGATCCATCTACATCAACAGACGTAGCAAATCCAGGAACCGATCCAGTGGTCACAACGTCGGGTGTATGATCCATGGTATCGGTAACCACAACTCCAGTGACGATTCCGTCACTGTTGGTGAGACTTGAGGTGCCAGGGACATCACCGAAGGTGGTGGAGGGAACAAGAGTCACAACAACGCTTGTATGTCCATTACCATCGTCGATGGTTGACGTGCCTGCCACGGGGCCTGTCTCGACAACGTCGGGTTTCACGGGCGTGGGTGTAACGGTCACAACCACGCCAGTAACAACTCCTCGATCATCAGGTACACTCAGGGTACCAGGTGTATCACCGGTGACAGTGGAAGGAACAACAGTAAGCACATAGTGCGTAGATCCATCTACGTCAACAGATGTAGCGAATCCAGGAACCGATCCAGTGGTAACAACGTCGGGTGTATGGTCCATGGTATCGGTAACCACAACTCCAGTGACGATTCCATCACTGTTGGTAAGGCTTGAGGTGCCGGGCACATCACCGAAGGTGGTGGAGGGTACCAGAGTCACAATGACACTTGTATGTCCATTACCATCGTCGATAGTGGTCGTACCAGGTACGGAGCCAGTCTCGACAACATCAGGCTTCACGGGTGTGGGTGTCAAGGTGACAACAACTCCAGTGACGATTCCGTCACTGTTGGTTAGACTCGAGGTACCGGGTACATCACCAGTGGCAGTAGAAGGAACAAGAGTCACAATGACGCTTGTATGTCCATTGCCATCATCAACAGTTGACGTACCGGCCACAGGACCGGTCTCGACAACATCAGGTTTCGCTGGTGTCACGGTGACAACAACGCCAGTAATAACTCCTCGATCATCAGGTACACTCAGAGTGCCTGGTGTATCGCCGGTGACAGTGGAAGGAACCACAGTCAGGACATAGTGGGTAGATCCATCTACGTCAACAGACGTAGCGAATCCAGGTACTGAACCAGTGGTCACAACGTCGGGTGTATGATCCATAGTTTCAGTAACCACAACTCCAGTGACGATTCCGTCACTGTTGGTAAGACTCGAGGTGCCAGGCACATCACCGAAGGTGGTGGAGGGTACCAGAGTCACAATGACACTGGTGTGTCCATTACCGTCGTCGATAGTTGACGTGCCTGCCACAGGACCAGTCTCGACGACATCAGGCTTCACGGGCGTCGGCGTCACAGTGACGACAACTCCAGTAACGATTCCATCATCATCAAGAATGCTAGATGTACCAGGAACGTCTCCAGTGGCTGTTGAAGGAACAACTGTTACAACAACGCTTGTGTGTCCATTACCGTCGTCAATAGTGGTCGTACCAGGAACAGGACCAGTCTCAACAACGTCTGGCTTCGCTGGTGTCACGGTGACAACAACGCCAGTGACAACTCCTCGATCATCAGGTACACTCAGGGTACCAGGTGTATCACCGGTGACAGTGGAAGGAACCACGGTTAGGACGTAGTGGGTAGATCCATCTACATCAACAGATGTAGCGAATCCAGGAACAGATCCAGTGGTAACAACATCGGGTGTATGATCCATGGTATCGGTAACCACAACTTCAGTGACGATTCCGTCACTGTTGGTGAGACTTGAGGTGCCAGGGACATCACCGAAGGTGGTGGAGGGTACCAGAGTCACAATGACACTGGTGTGTCCATTACCATCGTCTATAGTTGACGTACCGGCCACAGGACCAGTCTCGACAACATCAGGTTTCACGGGCGTGGGTGTCACGGTGACCACAACTCCGGTGACGATTCCGTCACTGTTGGTAAGACTTGAGGTACCGGGGACATCACCAGTGGCAGTAGAAGGAACAAGAGTCACAATGACGCTTGTATGTCCATTGCCATCATCAACAGTTGACGTACCGGCCACAGGACCAGTCTCGACAACATCAGGTTTCACGGGCGTGGGTGTCACGGTGACAACAACTCCAGTGACAACTCCTCGATCATCAGGTACACTCAGAGTGCCTGGTGTATCGCCGGTGACAGTGGAAGGAACCACAGTCAGGACATAGTGGGTAGATCCATCTACATCAACAGATGTAGCGAATCCAGGAACCGATCCAGTGGTCACAACGTCGGGTGTATGGTCCATGGTATCGGTAACCACAACTCCAGTGACGATTCCGTCACTGTTGGTAAGGCTTGAGGTGCCAGGCACATCACCGAAGGTGGTGGAGGGTACCAGAGTCACAATGACACTTGTATGTCCATTACCATCGTCGATAGTTGATGTGCCTGCCACAGGACCAGTCTCAACCACGTCGGGTTTCACAGGTGTGGGAGTCACGGTTACAACAACTCCAGTGACGATTCCATCATCATCAAGGATGCTGGATGTACCGGGGACATCACCAGTGGCTGTTGAAGGAACAACTGTTACAACAACGCTTGTGTGTCCATTACCGTCGTCAATAGTGGTCGTACCAGGAACAGGACCAGTCTCAACAACGTCTGGCTTCGCTGGTGTCACGGTGACAACAACGCCAGTGACAACTCCTCGATCATCAGGTACACTCAGAGTGCCTGGTGTATCGCCGGTGACAGTGGAAGGAACCACAGTCAGGACATAGTGGGTAGATCCATCTACATCAACAGACGTAGCGAATCCAGGAACCGATCCAGTGGTAACAACGTCGGGTGTATGATCCATGGTATCGGTAACCACAACTCCAGTGACGATTCCATCACTGTTGGTAAGACTCGAGGTGCCAGGCACATCACCGAAGGTGGTGGAGGGTACCAGAGTCACAATGACACTTGTATGTCCATTACCATCGTCGATAGTTGATGTGCCTGCCACAGGACCAGTCTCAACCACGTCGGGTTTCACAGGTGTGGGAGTCACGGTTACAACAACTCCAGTGACGATTCCATCATCATCAAGGATGCTGGATGTACCGGGGACATCACCGGTGGCTGTTGAAGGAACAACTGTTACAACAACGCTTGTGTGTCCATTACCGTCGTCAACAGTTGACGTACCGGCCACAGGACCGGTCTCGACAACATCAGGTTTCGCTGGTGTCACGGTGACAACAACGCCAGTAATAACTCCTCGATCATCAGGTACACTCAGAGTGCCAGGTGTATCACCGGTGACAGTGGAAGGAACAACAGTGAGAACATAGTGGGTAGATCCATCTACGTCAACAGACGTAGCGAATCCAGGTACTGAACCAGTGGTCACAACGTCGGGTGTATGATCCATAGTTTCAGTAACCACAACTCCAGTAACGATTCCGTCATCATCCACAAAACTGGATGTGCCAGGAATATCACCGAAAGTCGTAGAGGGCACAAGTGTAACGATAACACTTGTTTGTCCATTACCATCATCGACAGTGGTAGTACCTGCCACAGATCCCGTAGTAACGATATCGGGCTTTGTAGGTGTCACAGTCACGATCACGCCGGTGATAACTCCATTGTCATTGGGAATACTCAAGGTTCCAGGAACACTGCCAGTCACAGTAGTGGGGACAACTGTGACTTCGTAGTGAGTGCTTCCTGCCTCATCAATAGTGGTGACAGTACCCGCAGTAGGGCCCGTAACCACAGATGTTGGTTGATCTCCTCCTAGGCCAGATCCACCGGTAGGTGTCTCGGTGACTAGGACTTGGGTGACATGTCCGTCGCTGTCGGTGAGACTTGTCGTGCCTGCAACGTCTCCAGTGAGTGTTGTAGGCACCAGGGTTTCAATATAATGAGTGTTTCCATCGCTATCAGTCGAGGTTGAAATTCCAGGCACGGGTCCAGTAGTGATGGCATAAGGTTCTGTCGTCTTAGTAATCACAACTCCCGTCACAACTCCATCATCGTCGACAATACTAGAGGTTCCGGCAACATCGCCTGTTACAGTACTGGGAACAACCGTAACAACCACGTGAGTGTTATGGTTGTCGTCTGTGAAAGTTGTGGTTCCTGCTGATTCGCCAGTGGTCACAAGATCGGGGGTATGTCGAGATGATTGAGTGACTTCAACTCCGGTGACAACGCCATCGCTGTTGGTCAGGCTTGTAGTTCCGGGCGTATCACCGGTGACGGTAGATGGAACGACAGTGAGAACATAATGAGTGCTGCCGTCGTCGTCAACGGAGGTAGAGAAACCAGGTTCAGATCCAGTGGTGACGACATCGGGCTTATGGTCAGTGGTTTGAGTAACCTCCACGCCGGTGACGACACCGTCGGAGTTTGTGAGACTGGATGTTCCAGGAACATCTCCAAACGTGGTGCTAGGTACGACAGTCACAATCACATGTGTGTTGCCATCGTCGTCTCGAGAAGTGGAGGTTCCAGGGACGGAACCAGTCGTGACATAGTCAGGTTTCACAGGAGAGGTTTCGGTGACTTCGACGCCTGTCACAATGCCGTCCGAGTTGGTGACGCTAGAAGTACCCGGAACATCGCCGGTCAGCGTACTGGGTACGACGGTAGCAATGATCTGGGTGTTGCCGTCAACATCTGTGTACGTGGTGGTGCCAGCAACAGGTCCTGTCGTTACAACGTCGGGCTTGTGGCTGGAGGTCTCTGTAACCTCGACACCAGTGATAACACCATCCGAATTGGTGAGGCTTGAAGTTCCGGCGGTATCTCCTGTCACGGTCTTAGGGACAACGGTAACAATCACATGCGAGCCTCCAACGTCATCGGTGGATGTCGTGGTGCCGGGAACAGATCCAGTAGTAACAATGTCAGGAGTCTGTGCAGTGGTTTGGGTGACTTCGATTCCAGTCACAATTCCATCACTGTTTGTCAGACTCGAGGTACCAGCGGTTTCGCCTGAAACAGTCGAAGGAACCAAAGTGACAATCAAATGGGTACTTCCTTCACCATCGATAGATGTTGAAGTACCAGGAATAGAGCCGGTAGTCACAAAATCAGGCTTGGTTGGCGTCACAGTGACAACTACGCCAGTGATAACGCCTCGATCATCAGGAACACTCAGAGTACCAGGTGTATCACCAGTGACTGTCGATGGAACCACAGTCAGGACATAGTGGGTACTACCATCAACATCAACAGACGTGGCGAAGCCGGGAACAGATCCAGTGGTTACAATGTCAGGTGTGTGGTCCATGGTATCAGTAACGACAACTCCAGTGACGATTCCGTCACTGTTGGTAAGACTTGAGGTGCCAGGCACATCGCCGAAGGTGGTGGAAGGTACCAGAGTCACAACCACACTGGTGTGTCCATTACCATCGTCAATAGTTGATGTGCCAGCCACAGGACCAGTCTCAACCACGTCCGGTTTCACGGGTGTGGATGCTACAGTGACAACAACTCCAGTGACAACGCCGTCGCCGTTGGTGAGAGTTAACGTACCAGCGGTCTCGCCAGAAAGTGTCGAAGGAACAAGAGTCTCGATCACGTGTGTGCTACCATTCTCGTCAACAGATGTCGATCTACCAGGAATGGGACCAGTGGTAACGACGTCGGGAGTCTGAGGGTTAGTCTCAGTGACTTCAATTCCGGTAACAATTCCATCGCTATTGGTGAGACTTGAGGTACCAGCAGTCTCGCCAGAAACAGTGGAAGGAACCAGGGTCTCGATGACGTGAGTACTACCGTTCTCATCGACAAATGTTGATGTTCCGGGTACAGGTCCAGTGGTGACAACGTCGGGAGTCTGAGTTGGAGTCAGAGGTCCAGTCTGGGTGACTTCAACTCCAGTGACGATTCCGTCGCTGTTTGTCAAACTAGACGTGCCAGCAGTCTCTCCGGAGACTGTTGAGGGGACCAGGGTCTCGATCACGTGGGTGCTTCCATTCTCGTCGACAGATGTCGAAGTGCCGGGAATGGAACCAGTGGTGATGACGTCTGGAGTCTCGGTTGGAGCCAAAGGTCCAGTCTCAGTCACCTCAATTCCAGTGACGATTCCGTCACTGTTGGTAAGACTTGAAGTACCAGCAGTCTCACCAGAGACTGTAGTAGGAACCAGGGTCTCGATGACGTGAGTACTACCGTTCTCATCGACAGATGTTGATGTGCCGGGAATAGAGCCAGTGGTGACGACATCGGGAGTCTGAGTAGGAGCCAGAGGACCGGTTTCTGTGACTTCAATTCCAGTGACGACTCCGTCACTGTTGGTAAGACTTGAAGTACCAGCAGTCTCGCCAGAGACTGTAGTAGGAACCAGGGTCTCGATCACGTGGGTGCTGCCATTCTCGTCCACAGATGTTGATGTGCCGGGAACAGGTCCAGTGGTGACGACATCGGGGGTCTGAGTTGGAGTCAGAGGTCCAGTCTGGGTGACTTCAACTCCGGTAACAACTCCGTCACTGTTGGTAAGAGTTGAGGTGCCAGCAGTCTCGCCGGAGACTGTTGAGGGGACCAGGGTCTCGATCACGTGAGTGCTTCCATTCTCATCGACAGATGTTGATGTGCCGGGTACCGGTCCAGTGGTGATAACGTCGGGAGTCTGAGTTGCCAGAGGTCCAGTCTGGGTGACTTCAACTCCAGTGACGATTCCGTCGCTGTTTGTCAAACTAGACGTGCCAGCAGTCTCTCCGGAGACTGTTGAGGGGACCAGGGTCTCGATCACGTGGGTGCTGCCGTTCTCGTCAACAGATGTCGATGTGCCGGGAACAGGTCCAGTGGTGATAACGTCGGGAGTCTGAGTAGGAGTCAGAGGTCCAGTCTGGGTGACTTCAACTCCGGTGACAACTCCGTCACTGTTGGTAAGACTTGAAGTACCAGCAGTCTCTCCAGAGACTGTAGTAGGAACCAGGGTCTCAATCACGTGGGTGCTGCCGTTCTCGTCAACAGACGTCGAAGTGCCGGGTACAGGTCCAGTGGTGATAACGTCGGGAGTCTGAGTAGGAGTCAGAGGTCCAGTCTGGGTGACTTCAACTCCGGTGACAACTCCGTCACTGTTGGTAAGACTTGAGGTACCAGCAGTCTCTCCAGAGACAGTTGAGGGGACCAGGGTCTCGATCACGTGGGTGCTGCCGTTCTCGTCAACAGATGTCGATGTACCGGGTACAGGTCCAGTAGTGATGATGTCAGGAGTCTGGGTTGGAGTCTGAGATCCTGTCAGAGGTCCAGTCTCAGTCACTTTAACTCCAGTGACGACTCCGTCACTGTTAGTAAGACTTGAAGTACCAGCAGTCGCTCCAGAGACAGTTGAGGGGACCAGGGTCTCGATCACGTGGGTGCTGCCGTTCTCGTCAACAGATGTCGATGTACCGGGTACAGATCCAGTAGTGATGATGTCAGGAGTCTGGGTTGGAGTCTGAGATCCTGTCAGAGGTCCAGTCTCAGTCACTTCAACTCCAGTGACGATTCCGTCACTGTTGGTAAGACTTGAAGTACCAGCAGTCTCGCCAGAGACTGTTGTAGGGACCAGGGTCTCGATCACGTGGGTGCTGCCATTCTCGTCAACAGATGTCGATGTACCGGGTACAGATCCAGTAGTTATGATGTCAGGAGTCTGGGTTGGAGTCTGAGATCCTGTCAGAGGTCCAGTTTCAGTCACTTCAACTCCAGTGACGATTCCGTCACTGTTGGTAAGACTTGAAGTACCAGCAGTCTCGCCAGAGACTGTTGAAGGAACCAGGGTCTCGATGACGTGAGTACTACCGTTCTCATCAACAGATGTTGATGTGCCGGGTACAGGTCCAGTGGTGATAACGTCGGGAGTCTGAGTAGGAGTCACAGGCCCAGTCTGGGTGACTTCAACTCCGGTGACAACTCCATCACTGTTGGTAAGACTTGAAGTACCAGCAGTCTCGCCAGAGACTGTAGTAGGAACCAGGGTCTCGATCACGTGGGTGCTGCCATTCTCGTCAACAGATGTCGATGTACCGGGTACAGATCCAGTGGTGATGATGTCAGGAGTCTGAGTTGGTGCCAGAGGTCCAGTCTCAGTCACTTCAACTCCAGTGACGATTCCGTCACTGTTGGTGAGGCTGGAAGTTCCAGCAGTCTCGCCAGAGACAGTTGAGGGAACCAGAGTCTCGATCACGTGGGTGCTGCCATTCTCGTCAACAGATGTCGAAGTACCAGGAATAGAGCCTGTGGTGACGACATCGGGAGTCTGAGTTGGAGTTTGAGGACCAGTCTCAGTCACCTCAATTCCAGTGACAACTCCGTCACTGTTAGTAAGACTTGAAGTACCAGCAGTCTCACCAGAGACTGTAGTCGGAACCAGGGTCTCAACCACGTGAGTGCTACCATTTTCATCGACCGACGTCGAAGTACCAGGAATAGAGCCAGTGGTCACGACATCGGGAGTCTGTGTTGGAGTCAGAGGTCCAGTCTCGGTGACTTCGATTCCTGTGACGATTCCATCTGAGTTTGTTAAACTAGACGTGCCAGCAGTCTCGCCGGAGACTGTAGTAGGAACCAGAGTCTCGATGATGTGAGTGCTTCCATTCTCGTCGACAGATGTGGAAGTACCTGGAATAGAGCCAGTGGTGAGGACATCGGGAGTCTGTGTTGGAGTCAGAGGACCGGTTTTGGTGACTTCAATTCCAGTGACGATTCCGTCACTGTTGGTAAGACTTGAGGTACCAGCAGTCTCACCGGAGACTGTAGTAGGAACCAGGGTCTCAATCACGTGGGTGCTTCCATTCTCGTCGACAGATGTCGAAGTGCCGGGAATGGAACCAGTGGTGATGACGTCTGGAGTCTCGGTTGGAGCCAAAGGTCCAGTCTCAGTCACCTCAATTCCAGTGACGATTCCGTCACTGTTGGTAAGACTTGAAGTACCAGCAGTCTCACCAGAGACTGTAGTAGGAACCAGGGTCTCGATCACGTGAGTACTACCGTTCTCATCGACAGATGTTGATGTTCCGGGTACAGGTCCAGTGGTGATAACGTCGGGAGTCTGAGTAGGAGTCACAGGTCCAGTTTCGGTGACCTCAACTCCAGTGACGATTCCGTCGCTGTTTGTCAAACTAGAGGTGCCAGCTGTCTCTCCGGACACTGTTGAGGGGACCAGGGTCTCGATCACGTGGGTGCTTCCATTCTCGTCGACAGATGTCGAGGTGCCGGGAATGGAGCCAGTGGTGACAACATCGGGAGTCTGAGTTGGAGTCAGAGGTCCAGTCTCAGTCACCTCAATTCCAGTGACGATTCCGTCACTGTTGGTGAGAGTTGAAGTACCAGCAGTCTCGCCGGAGACTGTCGTGGGGACAAGAGTTTCGATGATGTGAGTGCTGCCGTTCTCGTCAACAGATGTCGAAGTGCCGGGAATAGAACCAGTAGTTATGATGTCAGGAGTCTGGGTCGGAGTCTGAGATCCTGTCAGAGGACCAGTCTCAGTCACCTCAACTCCAGTGACGATTCCGTCACCGTTAGTAAGACTTGAAGTACCAGCAGTCTCGCCAGAGATTGTAGTAGGAACCAGGGTCTCAATCACGTGAGTGCTTCCATTCTCGTCGACAGATGTCGAAGTGCCGGGAATAGAGCCAGTGGTGATAACGTCGGGAGTCTGAGTTGGTCCCAGAGGACCAGTCTCAGTCACCTCAATTCCAGTGACAACTCCGTCACTGTTAGTAAGACTTAAAGTACCAGCAGTCTCACCAGAGACTGTAGAAGGAACCAGGGTCTCGATCACGTGGGTGCTTCCATTCTCGTCGACAGACGTCGAAGTGCCGGGAATAGATCCAGTGGTGACGACATCGGGAGTCTGAGTAGGAGCCAGAGGACCGGTTTCTGTGACTTCGATTCCAGTGACGATTCCGTCACTGTTGGTAAGACTTGAAGTACCAGCAGTCTCGCCGGAGACTGTAGTAGGAACCAGGGTTTCTATGACGTGAGTGCTTCCATTCTCATCGACAGATGTCGAAGTGCCAGGTACAGAGCCAGTGGTGATGACATCGGGAGTCTGAGGTGCAGTCAGAGGTCCAGTCTCAGTGACTTCAACTCCGGTGACGATTCCGTCACTGTTAGTAAGACTTGAAGTACCAGCAGACTCGCCAGAAACAGTCGAAGGAACCAGGGTCTCGACGACGTGAGTGCTGCCATTCTCGTCGACAGATGTTGATGTGCCGGGAATGGAGCCAGTGGTGATAACGTCGGGAGTCTGAGTTGGTGCCAGAGGACCAGTCTGAGTCACCTCAATTCCAGTGACGACTCCGTCACTGTTAGTAAGAGTTGAAGTACCAGCAGTCTCGCCAGACACTGTTGAGGGAACCAGAGTCTCGATCACGTGAGTGCTGCCGTTCTCGTCAACTGATGTTGATGTACCAGGAATGGAACCGGTCGTGACAACAACGTCGCGGGTCTGAGATCCAGTCAGAGGACCAGTCTCAGTCACTTCAACTCCAGTGACGATTCCGTCGCTGTTTGTCAAACTAGAGGTGCCAGCTGTCTCTCCGGAGACTGTTGAGGGGACCAGGGTCTCGATCACGTGGGTGCTGCCATTCTCGTCAACAGATGTCGATGTACCAGGTACAGAGCCAGTGGTGACGACATTGGGAGTCTGAGTTGGTGCCAGAGGACCAGTCTCAGTCACCTCAATTCCAGTGACAACTCCGTCACTGTTGGTAAGACTTGAAGTACCAGCAGTCTCGCCAGAGACTGTTGTAGGGACAAGGGTCTCGATCACGTGAGTGCTGCCATTCTCGTCAACAGATGTCGATGTACCAGGTACGGGTCCAGTGGTGACGACATCGGGGGTCTGAGTTGGAGTCACAGGTCCAGTCTGGGTGACTTCAACTCCGGTAACAACTTCGTCACTGTTGGTAAGAGTTGAGGTGCCAGCAGTCTCGCCGGAGACTGTTGAGGGGACCAGAGTCTCGATCACGTGGGTGCTTCCATTCTCGTCAACAGATGTCGATGTACCGGGTACAGATCCAGTAGTGATGATGTCAGGAGTCTGGGTTGGAGTCTGAGATCCAGTCTCAGTCACCTCAATTCCAGTGACGATTCCGTCACTGTTGGTAAGACTTGAAGTACCAGCAGTCTCGCCAGAGACTGTTGAAGGAACCAGGGTCTCAATCACGTGGGTGCTTCCATTCTCGTCAACAGATGTCGATGTGCCGGGAACAGGTCCAGTGGTGACAACGTCCGGAGTCTGAGTTGGTGCCAGAGGACCAGTCTCAGTCACCTCAATTCCAGTGACAACTCCGTCACTGTTGGTAAGACTTGAAGTACCAGCAGTCTCGCCAGAGACTGTTGTAGGGACAAGGGTCTCGATCACGTGAGTGCTGCCATTCTCGTCAACAGATGTCGATGTACCAGGTACGGGTCCAGTGGTGACGACATCGGGGGTCTGAGTTGGAGTCACAGGTCCAGTCTGGGTGACTTCAACTCCGGTAACAACTTCGTCACTGTTGGTAAGAGTTGAGGTGCCAGCAGTCTCGCCGGAGACTGTTGAGGGGACCAGAGTCTCGATCACGTGGGTGCTTCCATTCTCGTCAACAGATGTCGATGTACCGGGTACAGATCCAGTAGTGATGATGTCAGGAGTCTGGGTTGGAGTCTGAGATCCAGTCTCAGTCACCTCAATTCCAGTGACGATTCCGTCACTGTTGGTAAGACTTGAAGTACCAGCAGTCTCGCCAGAGACTGTTGAAGGAACCAGGGTCTCAATCACGTGGGTGCTTCCATTCTCGTCAACAGATGTCGATGTGCCGGGAACAGGTCCAGTGGTGACAACGTCCGGAGTCTGAGTTGGTGCCAGAGGACCAGTCTCAGTCACCTCAATTCCAGTGACAACTCCGTCACTGTTGGTAAGACTTGAAGTACCAGCAGTCTCGCCAGAGACTGTTGTAGGGACAAGGGTCTCGATCACGTGAGTGCTGCCATTCTCGTCAACAGATGTCGATGTACCAGGTACGGGTCCAGTGGTGACGACATCGGGGGTCTGAGTTGGAGTCACAGGTCCAGTCTGGGTGACTTCAACTCCGGTAACAACTTCGTCACTGTTGGTAAGAGTTGAGGTGCCAGCAGTCTCGCCGGAGACTGTTGAAGGAACCAGGGTCTCGATCACGTGAGTGCTGCCGTTCTCGTCAACAGATGTCGATGTACCGGGTACAGATCCAGTAGTTATGATGTCAGGAGTCTGGGTTGGAGTCTGAGATCCTGTCAGAGGTCCAGTTTCAGTCACTTCAACTCCAGTGACGATTCCGTCACTGTTGGTGAGGCTGGAAGTTCCAGCAGTCTCGCCAGAGACAGTTGAGGGAACCAGAGTCTCGATCACGTGGGTGCTGCCATTCTCGTCAACAGATGTCGATGTACCGGGTACAGATCCAGTAGTTATGATGTCAGGAGTCTGGGTTGGAGTCTGAGATCCTGTCAGAGGTCCAGTCTCAGTCACCTCAATTCCAGTGACAACTCCGTCACTGTTGGTAAGACTTGAAGTACCAGCAGTCTCTCCTGAGACTGTAGTAGGAACCAGGGTCTCAATCACGTGAGTGCTTCCATTCTCATCGACAGATGTCGAAGTACCAGGAATAGAGCCAGTGGTGATAACGTCGGGAGTCTGTGTTGGAGTCAGAGGACCGGTTTCGGTGACTTCGATTCCGGTGACAACTCCGTCACTGTTGGTAAGACTTGAAGTACCAGCAGTCTCGCCAGAGACTGTTGAGGGAACTAGGGTCTCGATGACGTGAGTGCTTCCATTCTCGTCAACAGATGTCGAAGTACCAGGAATGGAGCCAGTAGTGACAACATCGGGAGTCTGAGTTGGAGTCTTAGGTCCAGTCTCAGTCACCTCAATTCCGGTGACAACTCCGTCACTGTTGGTAAGACTTGAAGTACCAGCAGTCCCTCCTGAGACTGTAGAAGGAACCAGGGTCTCAATCACGTGAGTGCTTCCATTCTCGTCGACAGATGTCGAGGTGCCGGGAATGGAGCCAGTGGTGACAACATCGGGAGTCTGAGTTGGAGTCAGAGGTCCAGTCTCAGTCACCTCAATTCCAGTGACGATTCCGTCACTGTTGGTGAGAGTTGAAGTACCAGCAGTCTCGCCGGAGACTGTCGTGGGGACAAGAGTTTCGATGATGTGAGTGCTGCCGTTCTCGTCAACAGATGTCGAAGTGCCGGGAATAGAACCAGTGGTGACGACATCGGGAGTCTTAGTAGGAGTCACAGGTCCAGTCTGGGTGACTTCAACTCCGGTAACAACTCCGTCACTATTGGTAAGAGTTGAGGTGCCAGCAGTCTCGCCGGAGACTGTTGAGGGGACCAGAGTCTCAATCACGTGAGTGCTTCCATTCTCGTCGACAGATGTCGAAGTGCCGGGAATGGAGCCAGTGGTGACAACATCGGGAGTCTGAGTTGGAGTCAGAGGTCCAGTCTCGGTGACTTCGATTCCTGTGACAACACCGTCACTGTTGGTGAGAGTTGAAGTACCAGCAGTCTCGCCGGAGACTGTCGTGGGGACAAGAGTCTCGATGATGTGAGTGCTTCCATTCTCGTCGACAGATGTCGAAGTACCAGGAATAGAGCCAGTGGTGAGGACATCGGGAGTCTCGGTTGGAGCCAGAGGACCAGTCTCAGTCACCTCAATTCCAGTGACAACTCCGTCACTATTAGTAAGAGTTGAAGTACCAGCAGTCTCACCAGACACGGTGGAAGGAACCAGGGTCTCGATGACGTGAGTGCTGCCGTTCTCGTCAACAGATGTCGAAGTGCCGGGAATAGAGCCAGTGGTGACGACATCGGGAGTCTTAGTAGGAGTCAGAGGTCCAGTTTCGGTGACTTCGATTCCGGTGACAACTCCTTCACTGTTGGTAAGACTTGAGGTACCAGCAGTCTCTCCAGAGACTGTCGAGGGGACTAGGGTCTCGATGACGTGAGTGCTGCCATTCTCGTCAACAGATGTTGAAGTGCCGGGAATGGAGCCAGTGGTTACAACATCAGGTGTCTGAGTTGGAGTCTGAGGTCCTGTCAGAGGTCCAGTCTCAGTCACCTCAATTCCAGTGACAACTCCGTCACTGTTAGTAAGACTTGAAGTACCAGCAGTCTCACCAGAGACTGTAGTCGGAACCAGGGTCTCAACCACGTGAGTGCTACCATTCTCATCGACCGACGTCGAAGTACCGGGAATGGAGCCAGTAGTGACAACATCGGGAGTTTGAGTTGGAATCTTAGGTCCAGTCTCGGTGACTTCGATTCCAGTGACAACTCCATCACTGTTGGTAAGACTTGAGGTACCAGCAGTCTCGCCAGAGATTGTAGTAGGAACCAGGGTCTCGATCACGTGAGTGCTGCCGTTTTCATCAACAGATGTAGACGTACCAGGAATGGAGCCAGTGGTAATAACGTCGGGAGTCGGAGTTGGAGTCTGAGCACCAGTCTCAGTCACCTCAATTCCAGTGACGACTCCGTCACTGTTAGTAAGACTTGAAGTACCAGCAGTCTCGCCAGAGACTGTGGAAGGAACCAGAGTCTCAATCACGTGGGTGCTGCCGTTCTCATCAACAGTTGTCAGGGTGCCAGGCTCAGACCCAGTCGCAACAATGGTATCCACTTCATCACCTGCTCCAGAGCCCGATTGTGGGGTCTCGGTAACAATGACTGCTGTAACAATACCATCATCGTCGAGAATAGAGGATGTTCCGGGAGTATCTCCACTTACAGTAGTGGGAACAATGGTTTCAATGACGTGACTGTTTCCATCCTCATCGACCAAAGTGGTGGATCCAGGAACCGCTCCAGTGATCACAGTGTCGGGTACAAAAGGAACTGTAGTAGTCACAACCACTCCCGTGACATCTCCATCGCTGTTCAGAATACTAGAAGTTCCTGCAGTGGCGCCTGTAACAGTAGAAGGTACCAGTGTCTGGATGACGTGAGGGTCTCCAAGAGAGTCTGTGGACACAGAGAATCCCGGGACCGAACCGGTCACAATCTCAGGCTTGACAGGTGGAACTGACAGCGAAGTACAGGCTCCCTTCACGGTGGATGTAACGCACGAAGAACTGGCGGTAGTAGGCAGTCCACAGCTTTCCATGTTGGACATTACAACTGGGACCTTTTGTAACAGGTTGTCAGGATTCAGAGCTCTGCATTGACGACAGTCATCGACGTTCTGGGCATTATCCGCGAAGAAATTGCACCAACAGTCTCCAGCAACAGGACATTTGCCTATGCCACTAACAAGAGCCTGACAAGCATTGTTACAGTCGAGACCTTTGTATCCACGGTCCACAATGTGGCAGATCTCGGTCGTGGTATCTGGCTCACAGTATTCAGACCACTCAGGCACCGAAGTGATGACAAGGCCAGTAGGAACCCCGTTGTCATCTCTCATGGTGGATGTGCCTGGTTTCAGTCCGGTGATAGTCTGGGGAACGATGGTCTCCTCTAGGAAAGGTCTTCCATTCTCATCAATCACGGTTGCACCTCCAGACGTGGCGCCAGTTACGAAAGAAGTGTACTGGGGGATAGGAGTGGATTGACACATGCCGTAAATTGTGGAGCTGAAGCATTCGGTGGTGGCTGTAGTCTTGAAACCACAAGCACCAATGTTTGACAACAGGTCGGGGAAAGCCTGCAGGTCAATGGTGAAGATACTCAGACACTGGATGCAATCGGCCACGTTTTTGGCGTTGGCAGTGAAGAAGTCACACCAACACGTTTGGAGCTGAAGCAGACATTTGATAGTTCCCTGGCCAATCTTGAGACAGGCGTTGAAACAAAAGTCGAACGTGAGTCCAGAAGAATTGACGCCGCAACTCTGGGTAGAAGTGTCAGGCTCACACGTGTAGTAGTAATCTGGGTTGTGGACGATGACCGCCAGTCCTGTGGCCTCTCCATCAGCGTCACTCATGGTCGAAAGTCCAGTTCGAGCACCGGTAATGGTTTCGGGAATGACAACCTTCTCGACGTAGGGGTTTCCAGTGGCGTCAACCGTAGTAGTCACATGAGGCGAGGGGCCGGGAATGATAGAAGTGTAAGTGGTGATAAGAGTGGAAGTGCATTCACCCTCAAGCACAGTAGGGTGACAAGTGGTACTTGCAGTAGTAGCCCTCTTACACTTTTCAATCTGACCAAGCACCAAAGGGTAAACTGCTAGGAAGTTGTCGGTGTAAAGACTGAGACACTGTACACAATCGGCAACATCCTGTGCGTTCTTATCAAAGGAGTCACACCAACAATTTCCAATTCCTAGATTGGCAACGCACAGAGCGCTGGAAAGTCCAACATTGTTACACTTCTTTGTACAGTCGTCCTTTGTCAAACCAGGGTTGATAGGATAACACGTAGTGGTGGAGATGTCTGGTTCACAGGACACCTTGTAGTCTGGGTTTTGAACCACAACCACCAGTCCAGTAGCATGACCTCCGGAATCTGTCAGTGTGGAGAGACCCTCTCTGTTTCCTGTGACGGTTTCAGGAACCACAACCTTCTCGATAAATGGGAGTCCTGCGTCGTCGACCATAGCCACTTCTGTGGGAGAAGTTCCAGATAGATACTTGGTGTATCTGCTGATGAGATTGGACGAACAGGGACCGGCCAGGGTTGAGGTTTCGCATACTGTGCTGGCAGTTGTTGCATAGCCACACTTGTCGTAGTTGGACAGCACAAGGGGATAAAGCAGGAGGAAGTTGTCAGAGTAGAGACCGAGACACTGGACACAATCGGCAATATTCTGCGCATTGTCGCTGAAGTACGTACACCAACAGTCCTGTTTAGAAATGATGATCGGACACTTCTTCAGGGAGTCCTTACCGATGTTGGTACAGATGGTGGAGCACTGGTCCTTGGTGAGTCCGTTGTTGAAGTTGTAGCAGGAGGTGGTGGTAGTGTCCGGCTGACAAGAAACAGAGTACTCCTCGGGAATATCTCGTCTTCTCAGTGTGGGAGCCGTGGGTGTGGGCTCCCTCAATCTCACCTCAAACCCCACGGGGGCAATAGCAGAGGCGGTCATGGCACTGGTATCCATTGGACCGTTGAATCGCGCTTGCTGGCGGGCAGCCATGTGGGCTGTGAGCAAGTATTCGACTTGGTCGGTCAGAGCATCGCAAACGGGCACAATAGGAGTCAAGGGTAGGTTCTTGTCACGAATGTAACGAACATAAGCCTGGTCCAAATCAAACAGGGAAAGGCACTGCAAGCACTGTGTTAGTCATCTTTGTCACCTGTCGCCATTGGTTCTAATACATACCTCCTCAAGAGCACTGTCGTTGCCGTCGGAAATTAGGGAGTTGCAAGCTAAGTTGCAACCAGGGATTGAAAAAAGTTGGCGAGAAATACACTCGTCTGGGGCTTGCTGGAGCGCCGAGGCAAGCCTGCCCAGCGCCCAAATAGCCGATAAGAGCAAACTTCTCATCGTGGAAATCAGTCTGTGTTAGTTTGGCGGTCGTTTGGGCGGTTTTCGTCTGTTTCAGCTCTTCTCACCAGATAAATCGAGAAATTTCCGGGTGACGTCCAAAGACTGCACGCTCCAAGACTATATACAACTACCATCATATGGACATGAACAAAGACCCTTTCGCTGTACATGCCTCGCTTGTCTGTTGCATTGCACCGCGCCAACAAAGAACATGTCGGGGTCCTATACAATGGTCTAGCTGCACCCGTGCAGCGAGCTTAATGACATCTCGACACTGCACAGGTGCGGAGCAATGTTTGTCACCCTGCATGATACCCACAGATTTGCTCGTATTGGTGCGTGATACGAGGTCACTCCAACCAAAGGCGCTGGACTCGGGACAGCGATATGTCAAAGAGATCAAGTCCACTCGTGCCTCAAACTACAAACGGACAAGGACAAGGACTCATAGCGCAACACTAGATATACTGGAGGTTAGGCTTTCGTGGTTCAGGTCTCGTTGCCTTGTTCAACCACCCTAAAATGTTAGCGAGCCTGTTGAGGGTCTACATGAATCGGCTCTTTGGTTGCCGATCGAAAGGGCCAAGCAGGCATTCACCCTGGCGCATTTCATTCCTGAAGCGGCCTGCATTGCATCATGTCGGCATGTCCGGTTTTGGAGAGTCCCGCCCCCGTCATAACGTCGTACAAAATTCTCTCGTATTAATAGCTAGTTTGCTCTATTGATCGCACTAAAATCCTGTTACATGCTTTTAGAAGAGACGATAATGGACCCTTACTTTTATAGACCGTGCTTTTATAGACGGTACTTCACAGAAACCAGTCATTGTCGACCGGCGAAGATGGCTTGGTAGACAGATTCCAAAGGCCAAAAGATCACCATGTAGCCATCCGAGTCCGCAGTACAGCTGCAAGCTTATGCGGCCAAGATTGAACTCTACAGTCCGAAAAGTCATTGTTGCCAGAGCTTAATCAGACATGTTATCCACGGCGCTATATCCATCCGTAAATGGAAACGGCCTTGGCTGAAGCAGATTTATCGCCTTCTTAAAGACCCTTTAGAAGTGGCTAACTCAAGAATAAGTGTTCGCTAGCAATTCGAATCTGATATGCAGGGCTCTTTCAGGACCAGCCGCCTTAACCACCCTTTTGGAGGCACTACCATGGAAACTAGCAAAAAACCATAGCTCAATAGCCCACGACTATAGTCTTAGCCCCTCCCAAAGGTTCCCCGTAATGGACGTAAAGCAAGCAACTGGTGGGCTAGAGCCGCTGCAACTGTGGGCACTCCAAGTAGAGGTAAGTATGAGTACCACTGTAAAGACCTCGCTCGGGTGCTCGGACTAGCATTGGCTAACATCATCTACTTGTAGTCTGTACTCCCTAGAGCCCTCTGTCTTCGATGTTACCCAGGCCCCTAACTAGTACGTTACATTTCCTCTCTTAGCTCAGAAGACATCATAACTCCGGGGGGAACACTTGCAAGAGGCGACACTGAGCTATGCCGATGACGCAATAGCCGCTGCAACCCACCGTTCCCACGGAATATCAATCGAGACCACCCACAGCTACCAATGAGGCAGGTAGCGATGCTACCCTTGGTCTTGGAACGGTGAAAAAGCCTGCTAAGGCGGGTTTTAAAAGTGGCCCCAGTCGCACCAGCGCTTACAAACTCCAGTAGACACTTTGTTCAACATTTTCACCTGGAAAAACAATCATAGAGACAGATATACTTGTCCAATACACTGGGATCTTCAAGAAAAGCACCTTCTTCGGCTCTGGGACCCCACTTTGACATTATATATAATATTACGTAATCGACTCGCGGTATTTTAAGCCACTTCACGGCACTAACTATTGTATGTTCTAATATGTACTATTGTAATTAGTATATATATCAAATACAGTAATTACTATTAATGTAATCATATGATCATCATCGAACTACAAGACAAGTTATTCAAACGTCGTTGACTATAATTTATGTGACATGAATTTCAAGGCGAGCGGGTGTCAAAAAAGAGAGGTGTTATAAATCACTCGCGTGGGCGGGAAACATGTCCTGGACTTACAACTTGCTTCGCTCTTGATCTTCGGATAGCTAAGCGGAAGCATCCTTCTTGGCGACGGCGACAATGAGGTCGACGACTCGGGCAGAGTAGCCGTACTCGTTATCGTACCAAGAGATGAGCTTGACGAAGTTGTCGTTGAGACCAATACCAGCCTTGGCGTCGAAGATGGAGGAGTGGGTGTCACCAATGAAATCAGTGGAGACAACATCCTCATCGGTGTAGCCGAGGATGCCCTTGAGCTCGGGAGACTCGGAGGCAGCCTTCATGGTGGCCTTGATGTCCTCGTAAGAAGCACCGTTCTTGATTCGGACAGTCAGGTCGACGACGGAAACATCAACGGTAGGGACTCGGAGAGACATACCGGTGAGCTTGCCGTTGAGCTCGGGGATGACCTTGCCGACAGCCTTGGCAGCACCAGTGGAAGAGGGGATGATGTTACCAGAGGCGGTTCGGCCACCTCGCCAGTCCTTGTGGGAAGGACCGTCAACGGTCTTCTGGGTGGCGGTGATGGAGTGGACGGTGGTCATGAGACCCTCAATGATTCCGTACTTGTCGTTGACAACCTTGGCAAGGGGAGCCAGACAGTTGGTGGTACAAGAAGCGTTGGAGATGACGGTCATGTCGGGCTTGTAGGCGTCGAGGTTGACACCGACAACGAACATGGGGGCGTCACCGGAGGGGGCGGAGATGATGACCTTCTTGGCACCACCCTTGAGGTGGGCGGAGGCAGCCTCCTTGCCGGTGAAGACACCGGTGGACTCGACAACGTAGTCGGCACCGGCCTTACCCCAGGGGATGTTGGAGGGGTCTCGCTCACCGAAGACCTGGATGTGCTTGCCGTCGATGATCAGACCGCCGTCCTTGGCCTCGACCTTGCCCTTGAATCGGCCGTGGGTGGAGTCGTACTTGAACATGTAAGCAGCGTACTCGGTGTCGATGAAGGGGTCGTTCACAGCGACGACCTCGACCTCAGGGTTCTTGAGAGCGTTTCGCAGGACCTGTGTTAGTACATTGTCGGGGAGTCATCAATTGGTTCGACAGGTTGTCGACTGTTAGTATGAGCTCAATTGGGCTCTGGTGGGTCGACGACACTTGTCATCTGTTTCTGTTGGGTCATGTTTCCATCACCTTCTATGGTACTCACAATTCGTCCGATTCGTCCGAATCCGTTAATACCGACTTTGATGGCCATTGTTGATGTGTGTTTAATTCAAGAATGAATATAGAGAAGAGAAGAAGAAAAAAGATTCAATTGAGCCGGCGATGCAGACCCTTATATAAATGTTGCCTTGGACAGACGGAGCAAGCCCGCCCAAACCTACGTTCGGTATAATATGTTAAGCTTTTTAACACAAAGGTTTGGCTTGGGGTAACCTGATGTGGTGCAAAAGACCGGGCGTTGGCGAGCCATTGCGCGGGCGAATGGGGCCGTGACTCGTCTCAAATTCGAGGGCGTGCCTCAATTCGTGCCCCCGTGGCTTTTTCCCGCCGTTTCCGCCCCGTTTGCACCACTGCAGCCGCTTCTTTGGTTCGGACACCTTGCTGCGAGCTAGGTGCCTTGTGCTACTTAAAAAGTGGCCTCCCAACACCAACATGACATGAGTGCGTGGGCCAAGACACGTTGGCGGGGTCGCAGTCGGCTCAATGGCCCGGAAAAAACGCTGCTGGAGCTGGTTCGGACGCAGTCCGCCGCGGCGTATCGATATCCGCAAGGTTCCATGGCGCCATTGCCCTCCGTCGGCGTCTATCCCGCAACCTCTAAATAGAGCGGGAATATAACCCAAGCTTCTTTTTTTTTCCTTTAACACGCACACCCCCAACTATCATGTTGCTGCTGCTGTTTGACTCTACTCTGTGGAGGGGTGCTCCCACCCAACCCAACCTACAGGTGGATCCGGCGCTGTGATTGGCTGATAAGTCTCCTATCCGGACTAATTCTGACCAATGGGACATGCGCGCAGGACCCAAATGCCGCAATTACGTAACCCCAACGAAATGCCTACCCCTCTTTGGAGCCCAGCGGCCCCAAATCCCCCCAAGCAGCCCGGTTCTACCGGCTTCCATCTCCAAGCACCCCTTTCTCCACACCCCACAAAAAGACCCGTGCAGGACATCCTACTGCGTCCGGTTTATGCTCGCCGGCCGGTCCCGGCTCTTTCCGACTACCGAGCGTCGGCCGATTCATTTCAACCTGTCGCAAAATGTAACCAAATGTACCGAGACGATCGCAATGGACGCTAACGAGGTGGGCGTCTGCGGTGGAGGCGCTTGTGAGGCCCCTGGCGACCCGCAGCCCGTTTTCCACACCTCGACTTTGACTTGATCGACATGTCACTATGCTATGTGCGCCAAACGGCTAGCTCATAGGCCCAGAGCATGGAGCATGGAGCATGGAGCATGGGGCTAAAGCCACGTACCGGCTGCTAGCGTTGCAGTGTCCAACACTGATTGTTGAGCTTGAGATGTTGAACGAGGGAGCAGGGACGTCCGACAAAGTAGGGTACGGGCACGAGCGTGCTGCACTTGTAGTAGTATCGCACAATTGAGGCACCCATCGTACATGTACGTATTGAACTACCACGATACTCGATTACATCATCCCTCGGCCAAAGTTCATGTGATCGGGCTGTAGATCGTCGCCGCGATACCACGACCCGACTTCCTAGACCGCTTCTAGAAGAGTCTACGAGACGCTGCCTGAATCTGCGAGACATGCAACAGTCAATGGCACCACAACCAATATTGCTCAACCCTTTCGACTTGTTTCTCCAACTCAAAAGAATACGAGCAAAAGAAACGTTGTATCGTATACTACTCGTACGATAGCTACTTGTAGTAGGTACGGTTCCACTACTTGTAGTATGTTGCAGTTCTGGGCAAATCGCGCAACAGGCCATTATCTCTTAACTAAAGTTGCACATCAACGCCAACTATCGCCCAACAACTATCTTTCAATTAGTTGGCTCACCGTAATAGAGTATCGTAGTGAGACAGCTGGACTCATGACCAGAACATGCCAGAATTGAGACTGCGGGGGTTGACGACCAGGTTTCCCGGTTGTTTCTGATCCCTTCAGACGCCCGATAAAACCCACATGCAAATCATCAGTCCATTCGCCTCGCCACGCTCCTTCCTTTAGACACTCATCATGGCGCAGTTGTCTCTAATTAGCATCATGGCCAATTCGGTCGCCACGCACGCTACATGCATCACGCTTCAGCACCACACGTGATCACACCACTCTCATTCATCTCTCAAAAACACACCATGGAAGACGGCGCAAAAGATGACTACATCAAGGACATCTACCGACACGCGTCGCCCAACGCCGACACAGACTCCTTCCTCGGCAGCCCCACCGTCGCCATCGACAGCACGCTGTCCACGTCCAACTCTCTCAGCAACTTGAATCTCGACACCAACGACAGCAGCAGCTCGCCACCAGCTCACAATGACGACGTGCCAGACATTGCCGAGGTGCTCCAGGAAATGCTCGCAACCACAGAACTGCCGTCGTCCACAACGGATCTGGACTACGAGCCTGAGCTGGACCTTGTGGGAGGCCACCGGCGCAATCTGGGCCAGCTGAACGACTACGGCAGCCCCAGGGCGGACTCGTTTGTGTCCCTGGACCCGCCCAGCATCGGAACCGAGGTCGAGCAGTTTCTCTCCAAGAAAAAACAGTTTTTCATCCTCTCCTCGGCCGGAAAACCCATCTACACCCTGCACGGCTCGGACGACGTGATTCTCGGCTACCTGGGCGTGCTACAGACGGTGGTGAGCGCCTACCAGGCCGACGAGTCCGGCGACAACCTCATGTCCTTTCGAGCAGGCAAGACCCTCGTAGTTGTTGCGGTCGAGGGACCTCTGATCCTGGCGGCCGTGTCCAAAATTGGAGAGAGTGAGAGCCAACTCAGAGCCCAGTTGGACGTGCTGTACACCCAGATTCTAAGCACGCTGACCAAGAACCAGATTCATCGAATCTATGCCAACCAGAGCAACTTCGATCTAAGAAACCTCCTGCAGGGCACCGACGTCTATCTGGATGCTCTGACCCGGGAAATCGTCAACGGAAGCCCCTCAATTCTCCTGGGGGCTCTTGAGCCGCTGATCCTGCGAAAGTCCATCAGAGAAGAGATTGATGGTGTTCTTCTCAGCTGCAGAACGCCCTCGCTGCTCTACGGACTGATTGTCTCTGACTCCAAGCTCGCCAACGTTATCCGTCCCAAGAAACACTCGCTACATCCGCCGGACCTTATCTTGCTGTTTAGCATGCTTTTCAACACCACCTCCTTCCGCGATGGAGAGCACTGGGTGCCCATTTGTCTGCCCAAGTTCAACTCCACCGGCTTCCTCTATGCCTACATCCACTTCTTCAGCAAGTCGTCTGCCCTGATTCAAATCTCCGCCGATAAGAATGCATTTTTCGAGCTGCGTGAAGCCAAGCAGCAGATCCTGTCGCAGATGGAAGATAAGGGTCTTATCAAGGCTCTGGAACGTGCAGAGGAGAGGGGTAGGTTCAAGCCGGTGGATGTGGCGGTCCCCATGGTGAGGCACTTTCTGTACAAGAGCCGAGCACACGTGCAGTATGTTATGCCGTCCTACGAGACGCACTACTACGAACCGCACATGCAGCGCGGGCTGCTAACGTTCTACCACCAGCTCCATGCTCAGGTGAACAGTGACTCGTCCCGTGGCTCCAACAATGGGTGGAGGTTTATGCACTTGGTGCGTAATTCCTGCATTGGGTTTGCGTGGATAACCCCCTCTTTTGAGCTCTATTGTGTATCGGGACCTAACGTGTCGCGTGCCACGCTAGCCGCCTCCATCCACTCGATTGCCAAATGGGTCAGCCAGCACCGCGAGCGGCTATTTGTTATTGGAGGGGCGGTTTTCTAGGGCAATTGGGCCCGCTTTTCTTCTCGAATTGGTGCACTGCTCTCTTGCTTTCCCTCTCATTACCCATGCCTCCTGTATGCACAATGGCCAATCATGTTGTGTGCGAGTCAGCATGTGTGACTGTGTCCGTCTGTCTGAGAGAGAGGGGTTTGTATGAGGCCCTAAGGCATGTGGAATGACGATCGCAAAGGGCCACATTTTGAGGCCGATAACGTTGCCCACGCCGTTGACGCAGCAAACTCTCTGACCGAGCTGGGATAGCCGGGATTTGCATACCCTATGACCCCCCTTCTTTTTTCCCTCGCTCCTCGGATTTAGTTGTGTTTGCCACTATCTTCTATCTTTGGAGTTAAGGTTTGGGCAAGTGTTTCCCGGATTGGAACCTTCTAGCTATGCTTTGTTGTGGTAAGTGCATGAGAGACGCACACAACGCCAGCATGACACAGCAGATAGTGCGGTTGGGACCCTTATCTCGCGGCACATCCGGTGGGAGAAAGCAGCCCCATTGCTCTATATATAGGGTGGCGGCTCCCACTTGAAAGAGGTATAACGAACTAGCGAAACACGAATCTACGAAAGTGATAGAACTACATACAGCAAGATACAAGCTACAGCGCTATTGCACACACACACAATTACACACACCAACATTACCAACATTACCAACATTACACAAACACAAACACAAACACAAACACAAATGAGCACAACTACTTCTACCTCCACAACCATGACACAGACTCAGCCTCAGCAGCCCCAGCAGCTCAAGTTTTCTGCCACAGCCCGGGATCCCATGGCCACCATGCACGAGATGGTGACTAACCACATGCAGCAATTTGACCCGTCCCACGACATGCACCATGTCAACCGGGTGGTGCGAATGGCCAAGGTTCTGGCCCGAAAGGTGGCCGAGACCCAGCCCGTCGACGAGAAGGTGGTCGAGGTGGCGGCGCTGCTGCATGACGTGAACGATTCCAAGTACCGGGATCAGCTCAACAACGGCGAGGATGTCATGATGAAGTGTCTGCAGGAGTCCGACCTGACTCAGGAGCAGCAGGACCTGGTGGTCAAGATTGCCAACAACATGAGCTACTCGACGGAGAAGAAGCTCCGAGAGGCTGGCCAGTGGGGCAAGTGGCACAACGAGTGTGTCGAGCTGCACCTGGTGCAGGACGCCGACCGACTGGATGCCATCGGAGCCATGGGCATTCTACGACTTGCCGCCTACTCCGGTGCCAAGAATCGGCCATTGGTTCTGACCGGAGACGAGGACGACGAGGATACCATGTCCCACTTTGGGGCCAAGCTCTTGCATATGCACAAGAAGATGAAGACTGCCCCCGGCCGGGAGGTTGCTCTCAAGCGAACTGCCATCATGCGTGACATGGTGACCAACGCCTTTGATGAGGTTACACTTGCTGATCTGGGCGAGAAGACGCCCGAGCTGGAGACCATCGGCGATGTGGTCAAGGAGCGATGGATTATGTAATTTCGCGGGTTCAGCCAAGCTATAGAATATAGAGCAACAACATTCTAGACGAACCCATTGCATCGTTGCCTTCCTCGCATCCGCATTTGCATTTGCATTCTCTGCATCCATATAACTTATAATATTATTCATGCATTTAATTCCACGTGTTTTCCGTTTTCTGCACTCGTACTTGTACATGTAGTATCTGTATATCCGTATACTGTTGATTAACTTGCTATGCATTTTGAGGCCACGTCTCATGCAAGTGATTAGGCAAGTGGAATAGCTTCAATTGACGACTGTAAGGCTGTGCAAAGCAGCATGGACAAGGATTTTGTAGTAAAAAAAACATGCAAAAAAAAAAAAAAAAACCATGTAATTGTCAAGTATATGAGTGACAATTACTCAGAATTGTAGTTACTCAGAATTGCAGTACTCAGAATTGTAGTTGGTGGTTGGGGTCCGATGACACTGGAACATTCTAGAATATCCGAGGCTACTGTGCCAATTGCGCTGTGCAAAATCGCGCTATACCAGCTCCGGTCTCTGTGGGTCCTTCGGTCATGTAGATACGATACCAACACGTGCGAGGGGCGGGTGTTTGGAGATCGTGACGTCATTGGGTGGTTGACTTTACGCCATGTATGTGCCGATGATTGTACCGATAATAGAGCCCGTACTTGGACGTACTTAGCTAGAAGGGCTATCAATCGAGCGCAATCTTGTGTAGGGCAGCAATCATGAGTCACTCTTTCGAGTCATGGTTGCACTGGGATGGAACAACGAGCCAATTGGAGCATGGGTTTACCGTCGATTCGGGCGGCGGGTTTGAGGAATTGAGCAGGATTTGGCGGTGATTTGGGCGGTGATTTGGGCGGTGATTTGGGCGGTGATTTGGGCGGTATTTTCGGCAGTATTTTCGGCAGTATTTTCGGCGTGTGGGATGTGTGTCTCCATTTGAGCTCCTGCTCTGTTGGCCATGGTTCGTTCCACGTGCAAACTTTATGCCTGGCGGTCTCATCGATCAGTGTCTAACTTCTTGACGCTCAAAAACAAAGCACGACCCAGATAATCAACCATGGCTCTTCGAGACGACCGAATTTGGATCGATGGCTGTTTCGACTTTGCCCATCACGGTGAGTACGGGTGAACTTGTCGGCGGGTGAACGCTGACTGTGGGTATACCCCTGCATATCCCAGATCACCCACCAGGGTGGAGGTGTTGAAAGACGTGTCGAAGGGCTGGTATTGGCACTGTTGTCACCACACTTGGCCGGTCCGATTCACCTGATGCAATCAATTGATACACCCCTCGATTCCAACTAACACAGGCCATGCCGGTGCCATGAGACAGGCTCGACAGCTCTGCAACGAACTGTACGTAGGAGTGCACTCGGACGAGGATATCGCCCAGCACAAGGGCCCCGTGGTGATGCATTTGCCCGAGCGAGCTCTGGCGGTCGAAGGATGCAAGTGGTCCACCAAACCTATTCTCAAGGCCCCCTACGTTACCGACCCCAAGGTGATGGACGACTACCAGTGCAAGTACGTGGTCCACGGAGACGACATCACCACCGACGAGCACGGAAACGACTGCTACCAGACCGTCAAGGACGCTGGCCGCTTCATTGTGGTCAAGCGAACCCCCAACATTTCCACCACCGATCTGGTGGGCCGAATGCTGTCCACCAACACCAACCACCACCTGCCCACCGTTACCACCGACGAGATTACGTCCAAGAAGCACTTCCTGCTCCACGGCGACGCTCTCGAGCGGTTCGAGCAGTACGCCACCGGTGCCGATGCCAAGGCGGCCCACTCTGGCGTCTACATGTACACAGGAGCGAATGCTCCCATTGCCGAGATTGTGGCTCCTTCGGCCGAGGTCAACAAGGGGCTTCAGAAGGTCTGGTATGTGGACGGAGCCTTTGATCTCTTCTTCATGGGCCACATTCAGCTGCTCAAGGATCTGCGGGCTGCTGCCTCCAAGGAGGGTGCTCTGATTGTCGTGGGTCTTCACGACGATAAGACTGTCAACGAGGTCAAGGGCGAAAACTACCCCATCATGAATCTGCAGGAGCGTGCCCTGTGTGTTCTGCAGTGCCGATACGTGGACGCTGTGGTGCTCCAGGCTCCCTACATTGCTTCTGAGAGCTTTGTGGAGGGTCTTGCCAAGGCCGGCATCCAGGTGGTCAAGATTGTCCACGGAGCTACTCCCGTGACCGATCTTGATGGACAGGATCCCTACGCCTGGGCCAAGAAGGCCGGAATCTACCAGGATGCTCCTACTCACGAGTTTGCCGGGGTGTCTACACGAACCATTGTGGACCGTGTTCTGAAAAACAGAGACGCCTATGAGGAGCGTCAGCGAAAGAAGGGCTGGAAGGCCGAGAACGAGAAGAAGCTCAAGGACGAGGAGGGCGATCGGTTTGCCAAGTAGACTTTATAGATATTTAATTAAGGAACGGTACACGTACAATTATTGCGCTCCTGTACACTCCGCCGCCTATTCATATATATGTACACACGATCCCCCGCTTATAGCTAGATTTAGTACAATCTAGAACCACTAGTGTCGTTTCTAGTGCAATCGATCGAACCCCTACAACAAGTAGCGCCACAAGCTGATTCTCAGCGTTAGCGTGGTTCTATTGTGATGATGTGCAACCACTCGCGTTCGTGCCTATTCACATAGAGTGCGGTTTAAACACGGGCTACAGTGCGTCCAGAAAGAGTGTACAAGTGGTTGCCATGGGGATTGAGCCATGTTGGATCCTATTGTGATCCCCACACGTCATCTTGCCACCGGGGTCATACGTCACAGCGGTTGCTGGCACTGGATGGTTTCTTGGTACCATGTCTACGTCAAGCAGCGAGGCCTGTCATTGTACATACTGTAGATGTTACGTAAACATAAACAAGCGTGGAATGCGATCGAAAGCGAGTCAAAAAAGCACTTTTGGAAAACGGAGGCTCCAAAGCTTGGCCGCTTTCGGAAACCTGGTGGCCCAGAGCGGTATCTCTCGTCGGTGGAACCGCCCGAATAGCCGCCAAGACACACGGCTACCATGTCGGTGGTGCGGCGTATGACGTCACGAGTGCGGCAATAAGGCACATATCCACGTCCGGGACCGCCAACTGGAGAGAGATTATCGATCGGTACTGATTAGAGGCGTGGGGGGCAGTTTTGGGGGTTTTGGGGGGGGGTTTTGGAGGAGGTTTTTCTCCTTTTCTTTTTGCTTTGTGCAAACTCCTCCTGAAAAGGCTGTGCTCGGCTCTCCAAACACATGATTGTCACTCGGCCTCCCGCCCATGGCAAAGTTTCGCTCCCGGACCCAGACGGTGTTTTTTTGCCTGTGGGACAGTCTTTTTCAATATAGTCTTTTTTGGCGTGGGAGAAAAAAGTCCAGGCTAATTAAAAAGTGACTGCAAGTGGCGAGAGACAGACATGACCGTGAGGCGGGCAGCGATATTATGGAGCGGTGGCGGGAACGGCAAAATGGGGCACAACCCAGGCGGGGGATATATATATATAGGGACAGAAACAGCAGCCGTCGGCGCCCACAGCGCACTTGTACCTTGTACTATAGCTCGGCTTCTCTCTGACCGCCTGTTTACCTGTCTTCTGCTTTTTTGGGTCGGGTCCTGCAGGTGAAAATCAAATCCTCCTGAGCACATACAACTCCATCCACACACACACAGTCATAACACACAACCCCACCACACCGCCAGTCGTATCGCACGCTACGCACACACAGACCATGGCGAAACCGACCTTCAAAATCGAAACGCCCCACCCGTCCAAGTTTCTCGACGACAAGGGACTCGACTTCCGCAAGGAGCACCCGTCGCAGCAGCAGGGAGACAAGCCTCAGGGCATCATGCAGAAAAGCAACCTGGCGGCGTCGCTGGACTCGCTGGACGACCCCAAGGACCAGCTCAAGCGTGAGCTGAGCCGCGACTCGGCCAACGAGATTCACATTGCGCTGCCCGAACCCCGGTCGCGGCAGCCCAGCATCATCGACACCTCGGTCAAGCACGCCAAACAACCCAGCGTGCACGCCCATTTCAAGCTCGACGACATTGACCAGCACGCCAACACCCGCAGCCGGTCGGGGTCTGCCAGCGGCCGCAACCAGACCGTCTCGCCAACCCAGCAAACCCCCAAACAAATCTCCATTGTCGAAAGCACCCTCAGTAACCCGGCTGGAGGCCACCCTCCCCCCACAGAGATTCCCATCGCAAGGCGCCAGTCCACGGCTGTGGGCGAAGACACGACCCAGCAGGGAGACCCACGGTTGCCCCAGGACGACGGCAAGATCCACATTCTGCTGGGCGGTACGGGGTCGGTGTCAACCTCCAAGCTGCGTCTCATAGTCAACAAGCTGGAGGAGATTTACGGACGCAATCGAGTGGCGATCCAGATTGTGCTCACCTCGGCGGCTGAACACTTTGTCAGCCGCGGCGAGTTCCATACAGACGTGATTCTGTGGCGAGACAAGGACGAGTGGTCGACCTGGAAGTCCCGGTCGGACCCCGTACTGCACATTGAGCTCAGACGGTGGGCCGACATTCTCGTCATCTGTCCTCTGTCCGCAAACACCCTGTCCAAAATCGCCATTGGCCTTTGCGACAACCTGCTTACCAATGTCGTGCGAGCATGGAACACACAGTACCCCATTCTGGTGGCTCCTTCCATGACGTCGTATGCCTATAACTCACCCGTGACCAAGCGCCATCTCAAGGTTATCAAGGAGGAAATGCCCTGGATCGAGGTACTTCGACCAGTCGAAAAGGTGGTGGGCTCGTACGGAGAGATTGGCATGGGAGGCATGATGGACTGGAACGAGATTGTTGACAAGATTGTGCTCAAGCTCGGTGGCTACCCGGAGGAAGAGGATGACGACAACGGAGACGATGACGATAATGGAGACGACGAAAACGGCGACGATATCGATCTCGACAACGTTGACAATGACGACGATGACAACGACGACGATGATGATGATAACGATGACGACGACGATGACGACGATAACGGAGATGATGACGATGACCTGAGAGCCAAACGAGAACGCCGTCAGACCCGAAAGGCCCTCAACAAGCTGGACTACGACTACGACGAGGACGAGATGGATAAAGTCATCAACAAGTTGTCTCTTGCAGATCAGGATGAGCTGATGAAGCGAAAGTTTAGTTTACGCGAGAGTTCCAGTTTCACCGGGTAGCCCTGATTCGTCGGATGCTCCCATCACCACCACTTTCGCTTTAGACTAATTTTGAGATTTTGCTGCAGCACACGAGTAGAGACATCTAGGCTAGGTCAGTAATGTATGCTTGATGTAGGGCGGTGCCCGTTGCTGGATATTGGACTTGATACTTTTGGTAGGCTTTGACATGGTATGTTTCAATGGAGTAGCTAGACCTAGACAGACAAGACTATGACATAGTTTCCACACTTTGTCATAGAAAATACAGCAACATGTCTACATTTGTGTAGGAAACGAATGAATTAAAGAGGTATATGAAACGAAGGAGTGCTCTAGGCCAGCTAGTTGATGGAATTTAGTCGGTGACGGTCTTGGTCTTGGTGTAGGTGACCTGGGAGTAGACGGGCTGGGTCTGGTAGTTGGTCTTGACAATCTCAGAGGTCCAGTGCACAGTGGAGTAGTGGGGGACGTCGTAAGTGTGACCGTTCCACACGGTCTGGGTCTTTCCATCCTCAGACATGGACCAACCCCACTCCTTCTGGGTGTAAGGAAGAGCAATGGTGGTCTTTCCGATCTCGGTAGGATAGTTGCCCCACTCGTAGACGGTTCGGACTCCTCGCTTCTCGATGTCAGCACCGTCAACTACAGCGTTGGGGATGGGCTTGGCCACGGACAGAGAGGCCAAAGACAACAGGGCGATGGAAGTGATGGAGACCATTGTGCGTGTGTGTGTGAGAGAGAGAGTGTGTGTGTGGGTATGGCTAGTGATTGACTGTTTGGAAGGTGAGTTTGCGAAGGCTACAATCCTGGAAGGACAAGGTCTTTATATACAGCTGTAGTTTGCACGCTTTATGGCTATAATTAGTCGCTTTGCCTCCGTTTCCAAGGTTTCCTAGGCTTGCAAGGTTTTTAGACGCTCTTTTACTGCGTCTCTGGTGTAAATCATCTCCGGTCATTTACCCCTTAAGTGGAAGGACGTGATGAAACATGAACTGAAACTGGACGTTTCGGGCCTACAGCTGCCATCTGGGGCAACAAACAGACGCGCGATGAGCAGTATACGTCAAAATGAAGTCGGTGCATCTATTTTTAACAGCTTGTTTGCTCAGCTAGGCGTATCTCGCTCTCACTCCCTCGGAAGACTTCTGAAAGCGTGTGTTTAGTCTCCATCTTAAGGGCTCGTACATCAATGCGGAAGAGGGTTGTGGACCACGGAAAGAGACTTGAAACGCGTCTTGACACGAGGGGGTAGTGGTCGATCCAGCAGATCAAGGGGTTCTGTGCTGGTTTTGAGCCCTTCCATGCGTTCTCTTTTTACTGCAATGGCGATCTTGCCTATTTTAGATGTAACGGTCTGCAACTTTGAGGACAGTACCAGTAGCGGTATCATGTCCACGGTACAGTTCCAAACAACTCCCTGCGTGTAATCAGATGGGCTCGGGAAATGCAGCCAGAATACGAATGCTTTGTCTGGTGTCCACAGACATTCAAATCCAGGTGCAGTGGTGATTGAGAACCCTGGACTGTTAGGGCGGTATCATCAACACCTGCAAGCTGAGTTCACCCCTCAGCCGTCTATCACATCTCCATATCTTGACTGCATCCAATGAAGACCAATTCAGCAGTTTCCCCATTGGCACCTGCTTCTCGTCGGCGATGCACGACGAAGCTGCTGCGTGTCCTGAGACATGGTGATACAACAACCTAGAATATGACGATTTTCAGGAATGTGGCTGGAGGAAAATGGTTAAAATGCTTCCATTGACGGTTTTATCAAGTATAGACTAGCAGGTAACGATAATGACGATGGCTGTGTGTATTTTCCCGCTAGCTACTGAGTGCTAAACTCTTCGGCGTCTTATAACTTGAACTTGGGAGACAAAACCCGTGTAGATAAAGAGTGTCACCGTGTTTCATAGAGAGAAATATCAGGCAATTGCTCACTGAAACTCTTGGCTTTTGTAATCGTATCGTATCGTATCGGGTAAGCAACACCCTCGAATGGTGATACAAGACAAGTATCAGATCAAACTGTTCTGAAACCATGGGAAATTGCCACGCGGCTAGTTGGTGTTGATGCGCTCCAAATCACTAAGAAGTGCCGTACGGCATCGAGATTGTTTCGGAAGAAAGACAACCTCGCATTAGTTTGTTTCATGGACCCCCATCGCTGCTCTTCTGCTGTCGACTTGAGAAGTCACAAAAGTTTCCTGAGAGATGAATCTTTAGCTGAAGAAAGCATTCACGTTGTAGATGTATAGTATTGGATACTTACACCTGCAACTGTCTCTATTCAGAACCTCTCAACTCATCATCACCTGTTTACATCAGCGCACATTCTACTACAGCAGATCTTATCATTCGTGAGACTGTCTGAGAAAAGCAAGATGTGTTCATCGAAAACACACCAATGATCACAACACAATTTGTTTTCCTCGACCGTGGAGCAGACCAAGAAAACACTCCTCGCTTTTGCTGTTAATATCTGATACTCAGTGTAGAGTTGAGTGGTTAAAGGCTGCCGGGTTCCACGGAAGCTGTGGACATTCACCAGACGAGACAAGACGCAGGCTCAGACTAAAGAACCAGATAGTCAATATTCCAAAACCGCGAAAGATCCACAACTAAATCTATACCATAGTCCCATTGACTAGGACCACATTCACCGTTCCCTGCTGATTTTCAAAAATAAAATAAAATAAAAATCAATATAAAAATTAAATACAACAAACTCTCGGCTAAAGTAGGTCAGTGTGCGGCTTACATCAAGGCATTGGGTGAGACCATATGGCGGTCGAAGCCAGCATATCAGGCGACTTTTAGCAAAGAAAAAAAAAGTGAAATCAATTAAAATGGGGCCGATTATCCACTCTATCACTTGAATTTCTCTCCACCCCTTCTCCAAGTCCCACTGGAGACATCCGGAAACTGGTGCGGCTCAGTAATTCTTTTCCGAGCCGCACAACTGGTGGCCCAATCATCCACACTTTTCAGTGAAAAATAGTATTGCCATCACCTTTTTTGACACTATAAATCAGAACCGGTTTCCCGCCTTTTTCTTCTCCGATTCTCCTCCCACCATGGACGCCTGCTCAACCCTCATATGCACACATTTCAACGAAGACCCTCAATCCACCCACCAATCGCTATCACCATCGCCGAGCCTGGCAAACAACGGAGCTGTCCACCTACCCCCGCAACACCTCCCAACTCTCCCAAATTCGTGCCAGTGTGCTACACCTCCCTCCGCCATTCATCCCCCGAAGAGCCTTTCTCGCTGGGAGTCTCTGCTAACCCACTGCGAGGGCTGCAGAGCATCGCTGAAGAAGTGACGGAGTAGCAGTATCAGACACTAGCTACCAACAAAATGCCTCAGCGAGCACTTCAAAATTGCATTTCAGGCGGATAAGACAGTCGCCTGGACCCCACATTATACTTAACCACAACTTGGCGCTATTTCATGTGCTGGCAGAAAGAGACGTGGCAGATGTCTATTGAATGAAAAGAGCGATAATGAGAATGTTACAGACACCAATATGACCGTAGACTGAGGCGGATACACTTAAAGGTGGCTTACGGCCGCCAAAATTAGGACCCCCTGACCTCTGTCAAGAGCCAAGCTCTCAGGATCGCTCCTACCACAAGTATGAGTTTCTCCCGCTTGGTCCGTGAGTTACTCGGAAAGAAATGGAACTACTAGTTTCTGTAGTAGAACCAAAAGTCGTTGGTAGCGAAAAGATTTATCTCCATGGACCATTGCTTGTTCTTCCAGTGGACTCGTACCATAACTAAACGTTCCAAAGTCTTGTCATTATCTTACCGGCATGATAGGGCCGGCAATGGATGAGACGGTCGGATAAGGGATACGAGAGAGGGTCGGAAGAGCCCGAAAGCTACCAACGGCTTCACTTGCGACAAAGAAAGCTGCTCTGAAACCATTGCTTTGATTGCTCAGCCGTACGATAAGTATGATACTGCTTTATGTACTGTACGAGTACATATTTTTGATCGATAGACTGCAGCTCCTGCTGATACCGCTTCGATAAGCCACAATTGCAGACCCACAAGGCAGACGATCAGAGTTGAGTTGGTCCAGTTTACCCTACTGGACTGTCTGAGCGTACAGTATCGGCAAAGTGTATCTACAGTACTGTACTGGTAGAGAGACCGAGAGACAGGAGACAAGAGAAAGAGGGAGCAAGACAGGGTTGGCCACCGTGTCCAAAGTAGTCTCTTCACGGAGAGTTCAGAGAGGAAGAGGAAGGTCCAAAATCAATCAATTCGATGACAGACGGGTCAATTGTTGCTTCCCATGCATTTTATCGACTTTAGATATATTCACTCTTCAGTTGATGAGTTCTTCTGTTGACCACCCGCAACCAGGATCTCTCCAACCTAAACATGCCTTATCGTGCTTTTTTGGGTTGTGAGCAGAGAGACAGCCAACTATAATTGGACACTAAAAAAGCCCCCAGAGAACCAAACAACACAACGGAGACAACTAACCGACGCTAGTGTGAGCACGGAAAGGGTATGATTAGCATGGAACGGAGTCGACCAGGGCATTAAATTATATATTAGCCTTCAATGTATCATCAAGGGGTCTTTTTGGGGGGTTTTCAGAGTGAAGTTTGAAACAGATGTTTGTTTAAGCGTATAGAGAGGGTGGATCCGAGCAAGAATGTTGCAAGTCGTCGGAGACAAGGTGTAATAGTGCAATGGTGCAATTGAGCAGATTAAACCAATTGCATCTGAGGTTGAAATGTGTCATTCGGTCTCCAATCGATCGCCAGACGTCAATCAACCTCCAGGTGCACAATTGCGTCTTGTACGGTTTCCCACTACGTGCACTACAAGTAGATACTGTACAAGTTCAGTCATAATCATAAATACTCATTTCATAAATATAGATTGTGGATCAACCACGAATCCAGTGTCGTAGCCTAGCTCTATCGATGCTTCTAGGACTGGTATTTGACCTCCTCTTCGACAATGGCCTGCTCGTAGTCGTCCGAGATTTTGTTAAAGTCGGGCCGCTGGATGTTGCCCACGCCGTTGGAATTGGTTCGGCGTCGGTGGTAACCTGTGTTGAACTCGCCCGACTCGACGAGATCCTCAATGTCGTCCTCGGGCTTGCCCCAGTTGCCCTTTCCGTGGCCTCCCTTCTTGGTCTCGTTGGGGTTCTGATCCTGGTGGCCGTGCTTGCCAAAGTACTTAGGGAGGGCGTTCTTGGTGTGGGACATGGTTGGAGTAGTGGTGGTGGGGAGTGTGTTTGCGGTGGGTGTGTTTGCGGTGGATGTGTTTCTGTTTGAACGAGTCAAAGCTGATGGGGAGTCATTTCAGGCGCCTGGCCCCCGCCTTTATATACTGTTTCGGCGCTGTGGATGGACGGCCCAGACGACAACGCCGGCGTCATATTTAGGGTTCGCACAACGCTATGATAAGAGGTCACTTGAGCGTGCACGCGCATACAAACTCTGTGGACACAAACAGCTCTCTGGTTTAGGTTTGGAAGCCTAAATGGCGAATCTTAAACAAACAACCCAAGGACCCCCCATTTGGAGGGACTCCAGAAAAGTGTGGGGCATGACAACGGGAAATGGAGGTGAATTTTCACGGCGGGTAATTGTCGGGTTGGTTGAGTATTTCAGCATTCCAGCGGTTTCAGAGCGGGAGCCCAGCAGCGGGAAAGAGACGGAGACAAGAAGATGCTGTATCTATCACATAGGCCGTCGCCACCATCCATGCACAAGATGGGAATGGGGTCACTGAGAGCCGTCGCCCGGCCCCCGGCCCCGTGCAGTCGCCTGTCGGACCACGACGACGACAGACCCCAACAATGCTACGTAACAGTGCATGCCATGTCTACTAACATAACAACTGTGGGCCCAGAGCGGCAGAAACGGAACACGTCCGCGATAGATGACGCCATACCAATGGAAGAGGCAATTGGAGATGGAGATGGTGTTATCAATGTCATGGTAAAGAAATGGTACTGTACTGTAACTTGCACTCTGTGGCTCCTACAAATGGTCAATTGCTTCTCTCGACTCTCCCATTGACTCTCTCTCGAGCCCCGATCCGTTGTTATCTTGTTGCTGTCTCGAACTCTGATGGGCAGCCTGCTTGTCCCGATTGCGTCATGGTTTGACAAGGATGATATGATGGAGAGAAACAAGGCACAAAAGTGCTTGTAGCTTGTACTACTTAGCGAAAGATGCAAAATTAAGAATCCACAATTGGACCGTGGCATGTCGCACGACAAGCGCTCGAATTGATGGCTTGAATGGCCGGTGGTGTGCTCGTCGTCGCAATCACGTCACCCACCACAGGCGGGACAGTCCCGTCCATGCAACATCTCAGGTCAGGTGGACAGGTAGGCTGTATGGTGCTCGCATGATCCAAGTGAGTCACACTATTAGCGTTTTGGGGGGAAAGTCCGACTGAAGAAGAATAGTCTCGAAGGTGGTGGAATTGCGGTGGTTTATCAAGGTCAAAAATAGCAGCATTTGCCAACTAACACCAGGGATCCCTGCACACGTACAACGTGATACAGACACAGTCTCTCGTATATTCGATCCCCCAACACGGTGTACTGCCGACATATTCTTTTGCATTTCGTCAGTGCCCCTAGACTGTCTCAGAGAGATGGCACCATATGTAGATCTACCTACGTCCGATGAGATCAGACTACTTGTAGCAAGATCGACTAGCGACTGGCAAATACTCCTTGTAGCAGTCGGAGCCGCTGGCACAAGTACGGTACGAGTACGAGTACCAGAAATCGATCTCATCGGTCCCCAAGACACGTGGGAAATTCACCGTCTTTGTGGTCCAAAGCCCCCTCCAAGTCTCTTGTTGGCAGTCGTCTCGAGAAGGGACTCGACAGACGTATCGTCGCACATGGTGGACCTGTCTCTTTGACGAGGAATGTGGGGAAGGCTACGCAGGGGCCGGCGAGTACGGACGAACACCGTACAAGTACCGCGCTCGCACTGTAGTGACAGGTTGGAGCCGTAGAGTGTCACTTGGACATGTGTATACACGGTTGTTGGAATCACTGCACAGCAAATAGCCACCCGATTAAATTGCACCCTCGATTACTTGCCACCGATTGAACAATTGATTTGACTGCTTCAGACCCATCTCTTCGTCTTCTTCTCCTCAACGCATATCATCCCCACGCTTCAGACCCATCTCTTCGCCTACTTCTCCCCAACATGTATCATCCCCACGTTTTTTGGATAATTATGCATACAGTAGCAAGCCCGAAGTGTGGGGTAGAGCTCCGATAGCGTCGCCGGAGAAGCAGATGGGTAGTGCGTGCGTGGGCGGAGCCATAGGAATCAATGCGCGGGTGACGTCATATCTATGGAGGTCAGTCATAACAGTGATATGTCACCTGTCGTTGTCCAACTGCAACACTGCCACTTGGCTATGTTCCATCATCGCTCCTATAATGCTATTGTAAAAAAATGACGAGTGCATGAACCTCCAAAACTACCTTGGAGGCGGTACAAGGACACATCTTGCAGAGTTTCAGAAAGAAGCAAAACGAACGCCATTGTTGTAACCATAAATCCACCGCTCTTGGGCTCCTGCCACGTCACCATCTTGTCATTTAAACCCGGCCAGTAACCTCAGACATCAACTGCCTCATGTTTTTACCCCACAAAACCCAATCCTCCCGTTAGCTGCAAGTCGACGGCCTACCAACTCCATTATTATGGTGCTTTCAACGTTACTGCACGTTTGGGCCTAGGCTGGCGTTGAAACGGTAGCGTCTAAAGGGTTCCACGGAGCTGGTGTGACAAGAGCTGTATAGTCGAACCATCTTCTGATCACGCAGACGACTACATGTATTTCCTGGAATTCGAACTGCGACACTTTCGATGGTATCGTACATCTTGTCGAACCCGGAGATGATAAGAATGAGACACGGACTAATAGAACCCAAAGAGTACGGGAACGGTGCTCGTTTAAAAATAAAATATATATATATATATATATATATATATACAAAAAGGGTAAATACACACTGCCCAGTTCGCCTCACTTCCAACCGACTTGGTAATGTTTATAAGGCTCGCAATGTCAGATATTTACTAGACTACCTGAACTTGTACAGTATGTACTCATACATGTCTATAGGGCATAAATGGATGTATGATAGCGGAGGACGTCGAAACGACAAAACCCAACATAGGACAGCCTGTTATTGTCGTAGTCGTAAATCGTAGTCGTAGTCCCAGTCGTACGATATAATCACCCTCCCCATATTCCTGTACGTACTCTCCTTTCCACCCCAAACAAAGTGTTCCTGTAGCACGGGCGAGTATACACTCAACCCTATCCAACGTCGTATTATACATATCCATTCGACCCATTTGCCACCCAATTTCACAGCAACACTATCGCACTTTGGATGATCACCTGGAGCAGCCCACCAACGGCTCCTATCGTGGCACGCACTCCAGCCGCATACATCACCCCATTCCAAACCCAGCCACGCCCGAGACATGAGTCTTCATCCATGGTGTGCCTCCAACAAGTCCCAAAAATAGAACCTTGTGGAATGGAAAAAAGTGGTTATTTGACACTCCCAATGCGGTTCTCTACAATAACGTACAAGCCTCGGTTGCACTGAATATGGACAGAGTAGTGACCGACTAGAGCCCAGGTGGTGGTAACGAACCGGTTCTGATGGACAAAAGTGATTGCAAAGACATTTTCAACCCTCGAAAGCTTCTACAAGGTTCCATATGATTCCATACGACTGTTGGTAACACTATGCTCCAAACATGTCTGTATGGAGAACACTCCCCTAAATCCACTACAGCTAATTTTCAATTCCTAAATTCTGACTGAAAAATAAAACATAAAAATGCAATTTTCGGCAAGCTTATACAAGTCTTACCCAGATGAGACTGTCTTCGGGGACTTTTTAGCTACATACTGTACTCATACTCGTACTCTGTTGGTGACTATGCCGTCTCTTCAGTGCCTGTCGGCTGGCCCGCTGACTAACCCGGTTGTATAACTCTGATCACGTGATGAGACCGATATCGACGATTGTGCTTGCTGTCATTTGCAATCCCACGCCTCACATTGGCTGGCGAGCCCCTCTTCTGACAAAGCCTTGACTCACCTCTTTCACTTTCTGCACGATGATAAACAGAGTTCGGCGTAATTAGGCAGAACCACGGAAAAAAAAGGTAAAAGTAGAGACTCTGTTCAAACGGTTAAAACACACTGCGATATTCTTCTTGTCCTAAGAGAGACTTGACGACTCAACTACTACTGCAACACACAACACATGTCTAACCTACTGGTATTCGACAACTCGGTGGTCACCGACGAGGCGCTGGTGGCCAACATCATGGCCCAGAACCAAGGCGCATCGCACCAGCTGCTGGAACGAATAGGCACCCAGGTCCAGCTACCAGCAAACACATACGCCTCCATCCAGGTGTTTACAAAGTCGCCACAGCCCGTGACTCTGCCAGCATCATTGCTGGAGACGCTGAGCGGCGCTCTGGCGCCCGGAGGAGCTCTGTTCGGTGCTGTGGACGGCTCCCAGGTCATGGACTTCATCATGGCGGGTCTGGCCCAGGACGGCGACAAGTGGGTCAAGCCTGCCGCCACAGGAACCACGCTGCTCAAGAAGTCGGGAGGAGGCCCCAAGAAGTTTGCATTCAAGAGAGCCAGTCCAGCAACTGCGGCTCCCTCGACCAACGGAACTAACCCCGCCGCTACCGTCAACCTCAACTCTGTCGTGACTCTATCCATGGACGACGACGACCTCATGGACGAAGACGACCTCATGGAAGACGACACCAACCTGTCCATGCCCATCAAAATCCCAGCCAAGTGCGACCCTGGACCCGGCAAGAAGCGACGAAAGGCCTGCAAGGACTGCACTTGTGGTCTCAAGGAAATGGAGGAGCAGGCCAAGGACGCCCAGCTGGCAGCACAGAACACCGTCACTCTGTCTGCCGAAGATACTGCCGAAATCGACTTCACAGTGCAGGGCAAGACTGGAGGATGTGGATCGTGTGCTCTGGGAGACGCCTTCCGATGCGACGGATGCCCCTATCTCGGTCTGCCTCCCTTCAAGCCCGGAGAGGCTGTTAGTATTGGAGGAGCCAGCGACCTGTAAGAAGCAAACAACCAACTTCAACAACCGACTTCAGCAATCGACTTGTCTTACGAGTCAACACAAAACATCAAAATCAAAAGTACAGTACCCGGTGCATACCATCTAACCATATAAGTTATATACATGAAAAATCATATAGATAATGATAAGTTATTGCAGTTAACTGAGTGGACAATTGTGAGCAGTGAATGAGTGGGCATTATGTCCTGTTTGCTGGACGTGCTTCTCGAAGCACATCTTGTAACTGAACAGAGGTGAGAGTGTATACAAGTACTCATAGTAAGGCACGGAAAAATCGCCCACAGCAGAATGAGGAATAGAGACGGTAGAGGTGAGGTCATGTTCATGTTCATTGCTGTTGGTAGTAAGAGCTGGAGACCTCCTTATCAAGTAGCTATAATGTATAGATAGTACCCCCACACGTTCCTCTGCATGTTCTACATCTGACTGTAATTAGACGTGAGAAAAGTAGTACAATACAACTTTTCAGACATGATCTACTCCACAGTAACATCGTAAGTGAGTGACATCTACTTCCAAAGTACGAGTAGTAACACTTCAAGTACCATTCGACCACCGGCTCACTACTGATGTCTGTTACACAATAGCTCTTAAAATACAAACGCCTGTCTTGTTGTCTTCTTAAATAATCAGTAGTAACCCGCCTGCTGAACACCACTCTGGCCAGCCTTGGCCTTTGTCTTTTTCTTGGACGTGGTGGCCTGGTAAGCTGTTGGTGGAGGCTGTGTGTACGGGTTGTATTGTTGCTGTGGTGGTGGTCCTCTGGTCTGTTGTTGCTGTCGCGGCTGTTGTCTGGGCTGCTGACGAGGCATCTGTCTGGATTGTTGTTGAGGAGGAGCACGCATATCTCGAGTTCCCTGGGCGTTTCTGTGGTAGTCATAGCCTCCGTTCTTGCCTCCGTCAAAGCTTTGGGTGTATGTGGGAGCTCCGAGACCTGTTCGGGCAGTGTTGCTGACGCCCGTGCCGTTGTGCGAGACCCAACCGCCCTTCTTCTCCACATCCTTGGCCAGCCAGTTGTGGGCGATTGCAGCATTTCTGGTGGAACAGCCGTTGAGCCAGGCAAACCAGGGACCCAAAACAGGTACCAGAGCTAGCAGAAAGTCAATGAGAATGTTGGAATTCATCTTCATGAGCACAGACTCCGGACACCCCAGCTCGTCGGCTAGAGTCACGATATGGCCTCGCATAGCCCACATGATAATGGGACCAATGACTGGGATGATGCACACGATGGGACACAGACCAATGCCACAGTCGGCCCAGAAGCACCCACAGCAGCAGCGGTCGTGGTTCCATGCGGTCTGCTTCAGCTCCTTCCATTTTTTCGCCTGATACTCTGAACATCCGGGGGGAGCCTTGAGTTTCTTCTGATTTCCCTGCTCATCTTCGTGGAAGTAGGGGTCTTTGTTAGCAACTTGTGTCCGCTTTGCGCAACTCGTACGAGTGTCGTATTCTGGCCATGTGCCTCATTGTGTCAGCGCAGCTGTTACGCTCGCCCTTCCCGATTCACTCACCCGAGTTGAGATGGTGGCCGGCGATATCGCCAACCTTGCCTTGCACGTAGTCCAGGCCCACAGATTCACCGACGGTTTCAATGAGCCCCATGGTGAATATCGAGAAATGTCTTCGCGTTCAGATCTGGATGCGAAAATAAAAGAAAAGGAAAGCAAACGCAGGCTTGGCCCCCCGCTATTTCGCTGCCACAGTGCTTGTCAGGAGCACCCTAAAGTTTAGAGCCAACAGAGCCTTGACAGGAGATGGGGAGGCATGGCTAACAAGCTTGGGTGAGCTTAGCTAGCCAGGGGTGGAAACAGGGCTGAAAAACACCTAGTCCAGCTGCTCAAGAAGAACACAAGAACTTGTTTCCCAGAAATCCACCCCTTATCTGGCCCCAGAAATGCTCACAGTCCCTTGAGAGGAGCGCGATTTTTGGGTCTTTCCCAAAAATTAATCTCCATTAGCATTTCGACACGTTTGTTGACTCTTGTGTGTTTTCAGCTGATTATGCGGGTGTGCTTTGTTACTTTGGCGAGATGACATGACGGCTCAAAATAAATGTCGAATGATTTGATTCCGAGAAAATGCAACACCTCCACAGGTATATATACACAGGGCGCAACAGGGCACGTGTAACCTCTCTGCTACCAACCAAGACTATATAACATAGACACGCTCTCTCGCCAGGAATACGCGATGTATGATAATAAACTGTGTACTGTAGTTGGAATGTATATTTTTTTGTCACCCTACTTTGTTCGGATTTCAGTATATGCCTGCGTTTTCCCAAGATTCAGGAACAGCCTTCAAGTTGGGAGTACCACGATACACCGTGGAATCATGTGATTTAAACCATGGAATATTCCACGGCATTCCATGAAGAAAACTGGTCAAAAAACAAGACCAACGACATAGAAACCCCCCAACCATCCATTATACATCCTTTTAATTCGTCTATCATACCAATATCTCCGAAACTGCTTAGCTTGTTGGCTTGCTATAATAGGTGCCTATCTAAAGAGACATGCGTCTAATACGTACAGAATGGTGCACACTGATGTATGCTCAAAGGCATATATCTTCGGACGTGTTTCAAGTCTGAGCGAACCAAACATCCAATGAACCTCCACCCACGCCGTTCACTCAAACTCCAAAGTGATAGTCACTCTGTGCGTCGACACATGTTCCAGAAGGAGCATTCGACGTTTTATAGAGTTCATTGATAAGCTTATCGTCGATGAGATGAGCTGCTGAATGGAGAAAGTAGCAACGACAGCAAGCAAATTCTGTTTGAAAGCGAAAGGTTCTACTACGACTAATTCTAATCCATATCCGTTATGCTATATACTTGTACTAATTATACTAATGCTTTTGGAAGCCCCTCTACAGCTTGCTGTCCAGCTTGTAGATCATCTTTCCAGTGTTGGCACCCTCAAACAGAGACTTGAGAGCGTTGGGAAGACCGGTGACGGGGCCCTCAATCAGATGGGTCTTGGCCTTGAGCTTGCCCTGAGAGATCAGACCAGCAAGATCCTTGATGATCTCGGGGAATCGGTCTCCGTGGTCCATGACAATGAAGCCCTGCATCTTGATTCGCTTGGGAACAACCTGCAGAACGTTGTAGAGAGGCTGAGGCTTGTCGAGGTTGTACTGGGAGATACCTCCGCACATGATGAATCGAGCAAAGTCGTTGGCGGCCATGAGAGCCATGTCGAGGATCTCACCGCCGACGTTGTCGTAGTAGACGTCAACACCCCCCTTGGTGGCCTCCTTAAAGTCCTTCTTGAAGTCGGCGGACTTGTAGTCAAGGGCCACGTCGAAACCAAGCTCCTTGGTGATGAAGTCGCACTTGTCCTTACCACCGGCAATACCAATGACCTTGGCTCCGGCAATCTTGGCCAGCTGACCGGCAACAGAACCAGTGGCTCCGGCAGCTCCAGAAACAAGAACGGTCTCGCCAGACTTAATTCCGCCAGCAACGCCGTTGATACCCCACCAGGCGGTGAGACCGGTGAGACCGAGAACACCGAGGTTGTCCTCCAGAGGGATGCCGGGAATGTTGGGGATCTTTCGGTGGTCCTGGTTGTGGCCAATGGCGTACTCAGAGAAGCCAACGACGCCGGAAACGATATCGCCGACCTTGTACTCGGGGTTCTTGGACTCAACAACCTCTCCGAGACCCCAGGCTCGCATAACGTCGCCGAGCTTGACGGGCTCAATGTACGACTTCTGACCGGACATCTGGCCTCGAAGGGTGGGGTCGAGGGACACCAGCTTGACCTTGATCAGGTAGTCGCCGTCCTTGAGGTCGTCCTTGGTGGGAATGGGAACCGTCTCATCCTTGAAGGTGGAGGGCTCAATGGTGGTCTTAGGGTGCTGCTGAAGAGTGACTCGGGTGTAGGACATTGTGTTGTAAAGTGTGTATCAATGTGTGAAAATGTGTGATACTGAGATTTCGATTAGAGGACGGACACCACCCTTTATATATCTGGTTGCGGTGGTCTGGAGATATCAGGAACCTGCATCTCCCCTCTGCACAAGGTTCGTTTTGGAAGCGTAGGGAAGAATGAGCACGGACGGCGTTGTTTGGGGTATGGGGCCGCGGAAAAAGAGCCGTTTTCTCGTCTGTGGACAATTGGCACGTCCTGATTACACAGAAATCACCTCCAAATCCACAAAAACGAGCCCTGAACTCCTTCCTCCCAAGGCCGGTAGTCCCCACCAACCCCTCCATCTCAAAGTTAGTGTTTGCTTGCCCTTCGTCCAACGGTTCGCTAATTGCTATTAACATTGGTTTGTTTCCAACGGACCCGCCTTAGTGCAAACTAAAAGGTGGTGTTTAATGAGGGGTCTAGCATTGTTGGGCAGGTATAAAAGGGTGAAAAAAGACGGATTGGGGCGCAATACACCCGCAAAAACCCTCTGGACGCGCGAAAACGGCCAAAAACCTGCCCGAAACCCCGCCAAACGCCCATTTGCCAATCTCCGACCCCCAAACTCCTCCCACACACCGATGCTGCTCTCATGTATGGCGCTTACAAATTGGACCACCTCTGGCAACTCTAACGCCGGATTCCACCCCAGCCTTCTTTAAAACCGATGGGAAAGCCGAAGCTCATGGTAGGGTAACCGTGCCAAATAGGAGGAGCTAAACCCATCGCGGTGGCGGAGAAGCACATGGAAAGCGGAGATAGAAGTCAGGGACGGCGCTGAGGGTGCCCGATTATTAACAGTCTTTGCTTTGAACGAGGACATGGTTTGGTTGTGGTACGATACTTGGTGGTATGGCTCGATATACTGTATTACGTATTACACTATCGAGCAATGTATGATACAAGAACAGAACAAGGACCTAGACGAGGACGAGGACCGCGCGCTGATGAAGAATACTGCGCTGACAGTGGCGCTCACGTGATTAGCAATGGCGTCTGTGAACAAATCAATCTCTACTGGATCGCAACTTCCGCTCCCGAATGTGCTTCTGTGCTGTATCACCGAATTTTACTAACTGCTAAAACCGACCACGATGCGTGCAGAAGATAAGTTATTCTCTTCATTATGGGTAAGACAGTTGCACACCTAAATGATGTATACGGCACACGGCACAATGGCACACATGGCACAAGGCACATGGCACATGGCTCACGGACTGCGCTGTAAATTACACCCGCTCCAAAAACACGTAAAATCGCAAGGCATGTGAGTCCAAAAGGGCGTAATTTGGCCCAAGCTGCGCGCCCAGTGGTGGGTGTGGTGTGCATATGGTGACATGTATTAGCATTGCCCTGACAACACAACCGTGGATAAGCGCCAGCAAGTACTCAAATTGTCGTCGTTTCAGCGCCGATACAGTCATAAAACACAAAGACAACAAAATCTGGCCTCCCCAAGTGAATTTTCACCCACATAGCTCCTCGCTACAACTTGTGTCGCTAACAACCATGGATGGACTCTCTACCCGCTGCAAGAGCATGCATAATCTTGCATATAAACAGAGGCCCAAATGCCAAACAGGGGACAAATCGCTCATACAAGATGTGGGTTATACGTGTTGACTACAAATAATGGAGTGTTGGAGCCATCAATAATCAGAGAAAGGTTCGGGAGTCGAAACACTGAAATACAAATGCCCGCGACACCCTCTCCATACCCACATATGCAGCTCCGTCCACCCGAAAGACACCCTTCTTTCTTTCTCAACGAGACGACAGATAATATTATAGACATGGTTACTATGAGAAATGTACAGTATAAGTGCTAGGATACAACCACAAGTAGAACTTAGATCGGAGCTACTTGTAGCTGTAGATAGCTCTACTGGACAGAACCACTATCAATCCTTAGGTAGTGTCGTAAAAATAGCAAGAGCTACGAAAAACTACCATGGCAGGCCCGTGTAACTACAACTGCCAACTTATCAGTTACGGGAGCAAGTTGACAATCGTACAAATACTGTACAATACTTGCGCACTGTACTTGGACATACACATCTATCGTACAGGATCTTCTACTGCTGTGCACTTCAAAACACCGCTTATCTCTCTTTCACATTATGCATTACTATGTTCGGTTTCTAAGCGGTCAGTCTCTGGGGTCGGTGAGGTTCAAATAGTTGGTATGCCTACTCCTCATCCTCGTCGTCGTCATCATCGTCGTCATCCTCGTCGTCATCAGAGTACACCTCGCTCTCATCGATGGACTCGTCGTCAGGCATGCTGGCATCGTCCGACTCGTACCAAAAGTTGTCATCCACAACGTCCTTGTGCTCGGGTGCCTTGGGAGCTACGTAGGCGGAGGACGAGGATGGCACAACGAAGCCCTCGGGAATATGTTCTCGGCTCAGCTTCACGTCCTGCAGCACCTTGGTTCGGTACTCCTCCTTGTCCTTCTTCCACATGACGCTGGCGTCGGGGTTGGCTGGCGAGTTAATATTGGGGTCCTCCAGCAGCGACACTATGCTAATGAGCACAGACTCCACCGACTGCACTGGCGACCAGCACTCCTGGTCTGGCTCTCCGCTCATGACGTCACCGCCGGGATGGAGAATCGAGATGCAGAGCCGGCCGTCCCTGTACACGTTGGGATGGAAGATGGGTGGGGTGAATTTGAATTTTGGCGGCGCATACGGAAAGTCCGCGGGAAATGTCATTTGTGCCTGTGTTAGTTTTGTCTTGTATTTACCTGTGTGTTTCCGTCCTGTCCTGCGGATTCCCGATCTCGGTTGCCGGGGAAAACTCAATAATATACAGGCCACACCTTGGTGGGTGTGGTGCGGTGAAATGGACGGAGGGGCAGGAAAAAAAAAAGGAAACAGAGAAGACGGGAAATAATAAGTAGCACTTCAATAACACCGCAACTTGTACATTGTGAGTACTGTGGCGCGTGCGGGGTTCGGCCGATGGATGCCCGATAGCACGTATGGTTTCGAGCTGGCACGCCACAAGGTCAACAGCAAACCAACTTTGGGGTCACCAAACCAGCTAGGGGTGTGAATGGCCGCCAAGCGGAGAACGATACTTGGTGTTCTGTATCTCCGACGGTGCTACCTTTACTTCCACCAAGGGCTCTGCATCCCGTTGCCCTACCTTCTGCCTCCCTCTGTTCTCCTGTCGTGTCGTGTGTCACATCAAATGTAACCCTCCAACAGGGCCACAAAATCAGCATCAGTGTCTGCGTACTCACTCTAAAGTATCCGCCGTGGTATACTGAGTCCTCGTTGAGGACCATGACGGCCACATTCCATGAATAAATATTGTCATCCTCGAGCTATGTTAGTATGCGCGTATGGTTGTGGGGCACAGGTTGTGTAAGGTGGTGGTCAGGGGGGTGGGGAAAGGCAGGTGTGTCGGATACAGCTCGTGGAACCCACGTCTTAGAAACCGTTTCAACATGTCATCTGAATCCCTTGCACACCCTAGGAACACTCATACCACAAAACACTCTGTGGTGCTCTGCGACACACCGTGACCCACTCTGACGCACCTGCGCGGTTCTTGAACAGGTAGATGACGAGGTTTGGGGCAGGGAGAAGCGCTAACAGCGAACGCTCTTCCCCACAACCACCAACACGCCGCCTGCTCACCCTCACCGCTGCTGTCGTTTCTGCGTCACCACCAACAGGTTGGGTTCGTTCGAGACCTCTGGTCTGTCACTTTGGGTGTCTGACTACTCACGGTAATATGAAAACTAGGGATGGCCTTCTTGGGATCGGTCAGCTCCCGGTAGTATTTCATAAGAAGATTAGCACTGCTGGAGCTCATGATGTCGAGGTTTTTTTTTGTGTTTTTTTTTTTTGGCCCTGGTTTTTTTCTCTGTGAGGTGTGATTTGAAGTGTGATGAGAGAAGAGTTGGAAGAAATGAGAAGACACAGCTGAGGAGTGGGAGGCCCTAAAGGCTAATTTTCTCTTGTCGACTGCATCTTGGGTTGGGTTGGGTTGGGTTGGGACTGGTGTGGCACAAGGCAAGGAGCGACAGATGCACCTCACCTCCTCCATACAAGACAGTGGCGGGGGAGGGGAGCCGGAGCGCTACAGTTGCTGCTCCACTGTGGTCATATAAACAGCCCGCCCTCCCTAACGATCTTTCTTCTCCTCTCACAATTTGCACCCCCGTCTCGGCCTCTAATGTCTACGTACGCCATGTATCACCCACCATCTCCACCACCCAGTCTGTCAGCATGACCATGAATTTACGGGGTTGATTCAACGTGACCGCTTTCTGCTTGCTGCTTGCCGCTTGCTGCTTGCCGCTTGCTGTTTTCCGCTTGCCGTTTTCCGCTTGCATTTCCTTTTCGCCCTTTCGCACTGCTTGTGAAAGTATATGCGCTGATAAGAGTGCGAGTGGGAGAATCGAGAGGATATGAGGAGTATATATCTATCTGCGGAAGCGAGTCGTAAAGACGGATTTTTCACATCGATGTCGACAAAAAAACAACAAAAGAACATCCTTTTTAGGGGAGCAGGAGGTAGCTACAAGTATCGTCAAGTATCGTCAAGTATCGTCAAGTATCGTCAAGTATCGTATGTACCGCCCCAAAGAACAAGCTCTCCATTATACTGTACCTTGTATATGACAAAGCGATTGTCTTTTTTTAGTCAACCACCAAAGTTATTTAGACCAACATTACTGCATGTGGCTTGGGTTAGGGCCAGAACTATGATACGAGTAGGTACGCGGACCAGTAGAGGACGTAAACTGGCACCGTAGCCAGAATAGTGACGTGAAAGAGGTCCAAATAGGCTGATAAATGACGCTACAGCTTACATAAGCCCTTTTTTTATTTTTTAATTCTTTCCGAGGTCGCAGATTGCCGAGTAGTGACGACTTCAGATGTTGCTGCTGGCCGGTACAGTATTCGTAAAAGTTCGCCAATACTGTAGCTAATTAAACTGCTTTGCAACATAGCCCTGTACCATAGCTGATGGGAGGTGCTAACATCATGTTACATTGCTATGGGGAGACGTGGATAATCTACTGTATAACCCAGTCGCTCTTCATTCACCACAGTTGATGGCTGACAGCTGACATGGTGTCACTGGCTCATTCTACCAGTACAGAATGTACAGTAGACGTCTGTTCTTACAAGGCCGATAGCAACTGTTCTTGCTAATGAGCCAACAAACACTACAAGTGCTGGACTCGTACAAGTAGTTCAGTCGGAGGACCAAAGTGAACCAATTTGAGACCTTTCAGGAGCCCCAAAATTGCATGGGTCCCAAGCTCCAGCACTAGTATCACCCATGTAACACCACTAATAGGTGGATGCTAAGGCCCGGACATGGGATTTGGGGAGATTGGACGTCCTTCAGGCGTATGATGGGGTTGTAAATTACGGTAAACGTGAGAAAATGACGGTATAATCAATCAGTAACCAAATACACCCGATGTTCAGGTTGCAGGATAAGGCCATTGCCAATATGGAAAAAAAAGGAGAAAACTCTCTCATTAGTTGAGATTTAGTTAAGGAAAATGGTCGGCTGGGGGTTCAAAAACAGTGTTCCAGAAGCTGTGGAAGATAATAAAATAGATATAAAGGTTCTTGATAAACGTAATACAACAAAAATGCAAAAGTTATACTACCTTCTCCTATTAAAATCTGCCGCTATCGTTGTTTTACGCGAAACCTGGACGTTGAGTTTACTTAAGGAATAGTTGAAAGGGTCCAGCAGAAAGAGCCTCCCCTCAAACTGCGGAACAATCAGAGATGTTTGGAAACTTCAAACCAGTTATCTCACAGACACACAACCATAGGATAGGTCGAGCTCGCACTCATCTCGAGTCCGAGCCCAAATCACTTGTCAACATTTTAGGTCCGATCCGGTGACCCATTCACGTCTTCTCGATACAGCTCATGCCACCATTATCAGAGCTATACCCTCCCTACCACGACCAAGAACACCACACTCGTTATTGCGATAAAAACAGACCCTGTCCATACAAACCGCTACCGTAATGTCGCTCCGTTCCACAGCAACAATAACTTGGACCCTTTATAACCATGAAGCTGCATTTATACCCCAGACATGTGTACCAATAACAACTCTGGTTAAAGTTGCATCAGCTCGCTCCATGACTCGGCAAACATATTAAAGTCGGTCAAAGATCAACATCATATGGCGTCAGTATGAAGCCGTAGCCAACGCGGAGGGGTCAGATCACCCAGAAAAACCAGTCTATTGCAGTTGCCCATCCACAACTCTCCGGTTACCCTACCGTGCTTCCCCACACCGCGTCTGTTTTATAAACACAACTTCCCCGGACTTATGCCTACGCTGCATGCCGAACCGAGGTTTGAGGTTGTGACATGATGCGTGCCTGAAAGCGGGGTAGTTGGACAGTGGTTCTTTGGGAGAGGAAAATGGCAGCGAAATCGCGTCTATATATCTTTACCGAAAGCTGCTCCCAAACAGCATCATCACCACCTGACAGTTGCCCCTGGACAGACTAACAGCTGGAGAATCTTTCGGCACCACGTAATTTTTAGGCTCTTTTAGAGTTGGTAATCTCTCGCAGTACGTTTGGGAGGACGACGAGCGAGAGGGATGACGAATATGAGGGTGAAAAGTAAAAATCCCGTGGATTTTATGAGACAGATCCATTCTAGATTGACCAGGCTCCATGTTGGTTCTTTCAAAATCGAAATCGGACCAAAACTCGCAACTATAGCTAATCCATGCAGTTTACCAATGTCACAACATATCTCTCAATATATATCTGACCGAAACAAGAATCATACCATTCAACTCGCTCAACCCTGGGGATTCCATTGATACCGACATCTCCCCTTTTTATCCCCTCACCCTTTCGCTAATGCCTCACTCCATATCCCTTAGATGGAACTCTAATTGCAACCCTACATGTCGTCATTATCTCCATCATCATCGGAACGTTGCTCACCACACACACCACACTTTCCACATGTCGAAACCCGATTCCGCCGCCGAGCGAGCCGCCAATTTCGAGCCATCGGACATGAGCGCCGGAGCCTCCGCTCTTTCCGGAGCTATTGGAGGAGCTGTGGCCAACTTGGCTGTTTTCCCTCTTGATCTGGTCACCACTCGTCTGCAGGTTCAAAAGGGCTACCTGGACGAAGATGATCAGTACAAGTCTCTCCTGGACGCGTTCACCAAGATTGTCAAAAACGAGGGCATCTTTGCACTGTACGACGGAGCGTTTCAGGATACCATCTCCACCATGGTGTCCGCCTTCTTCTACTTTTTCGCCTATGATTTCCTACGAAACAACCGACTCAAGATGAAACGCCTGCCCAATGGCCGTCTGCCCAAGACCCTCGGTATTGCCGAGGAATTGCTGGTGGGATCACTGGCCGGAATCTTCTGCAGATTCATCACCTCTCCTCTCGGTAACATTGTCACCCGACAGCAGACTGCTGCTCTGGTGCAGAAGAGCAACAGAGCTACCCCGGAGGCAGCTGCACACGCATCCGAAAAGAAGTACGGTCACGTCATTACCGGCGTTAACCCCGAGGTCCCTCCTGTCACACCCACCACCGTCGAGACACCCTCTGCTGTGCAGATCGCCAAGGATATCTACAAGGAGAAGGGCATCACTGGCTTCTGGACAGGCTACAAGGCCACTGTGGTTCTTTCCATCAACCCCTCGTTGACCTACTACTTTTTCCAGGCTCTCAAGGCCAATCTGATCCCTTATAAACGACGAGACAACCCTACTGGAGGCGAATTGTTCCTCTATTCGGCCCTGGCCAAGTCTCTGGCCGGTCTCATCACCTATCCTTACATCCTGGCCAAGACCCGGCTTCAGGTCAAGTCTGACAGTGGCTCTAACAAGGCCAAGTCTGCCTCGCAGATGGTGGTGGATACGATCAAGAAGGAGGGAGTTCTTGGACTATGGGAGGGCTGTCAGGGCCAGATTCTCAAGGGCTTCTTTTCCCAGGGAATCACCATGCTCATCAAAGACAAGATCGCAAGATTGCTCATTTATATTTATTTCCTGCTTGTTAGATAGACAGGGTGATAGACAAAAGATTGGTTCCGTGAATAGCACGAGTACAAGTAGACGAGAGTAGATGCACATGATCAAGTAATCATGAGCTACTTCCCACAGGTGTCTTTAGGCTCTTATCGTCTTATCGGACATCAGATGTCGAACCTTTCACCGACTGGTGCAAGTAGCTGCTATAAGTACGATAGAGCATTCGTAGGTACATACTGGCAAAGATCATGGACTGCTACTATCCGTGAGCCCTTGACAACAAGATGCGAGACTGTTCTGATATACCCCTGTCTTACTATTAACTGGGTCTATTGATAGTTGTTTGCTACGAGGGCTGTGCGGATGAGTTTGAAGCTACTACGAGTATCATTGTAACTACATTGTAGTTCAAGCTAGATGTAGGTGAGGATAGGGATGCTAATGAGGCGTTGCAGCTGATGGCGACTGATACTCCGGTGGGACAACTACCGGTGCCTTTGGTCAAGCTAGGATAGCCATGGAGATCATGTCTACAATATGAGAAAGGGAACAGCAAGCCAAGTGTGCAGGCAAAGTCATGTCTTTCACATCTACTTTCACTATCGCCCGGCTACCGACGTAATCTTCAAAACCCACTTTGACCCCCACATCATGGTCCGACTGTACAGCCCATCATGTATGCACCGATCTAAGATGCTTCGAGTCTCAACCAGAGCCTGTTGAGTCCTAATCAGGGATAGTTGCTCGCGGTTTGGCTCTGGAAGATTGGAAATGGGCAAACGGTGATTGGATAGAGCAACTGAGTTCGTGCACATTTGTCTGATTATGTCTTGGTCGCGCAGTTGAATTCGTGATAAGGAGAGACTAATCGTCGGTCCGGTACAGGAAGGTAAGAGCATAGCTATGAGTGGTGGTGACAGTGGTGGTAGTTGTGTGAGAACTGAAACGATACTTGCCACTTATGGAGATACATCAGTAGTTGAGTGTAGTTCATGTGCAGCAGTTGAACAGTAGTTAAAGAGCGGTTGATCGTCCTACCATGAATCAGTTCACACACAGACAACCAACGCTCGCCTAGAAAACCGCGATGGAATTGATAACACGGGTAATGTACAAGTACACAATTTTGTAGCCTTTAAGCGAGCAGGTTGAGTTAGTATCTTCTCTTGTTGGTCTTGGGCTTTTCGTTTTGCGATTTTTCGTTTTACTTTTTTTGGCCGCCTTATCGGTAGACCTGGTTGCATGGAAGATCAACTCCAGAAGGGTGGAGGTGGATAGATGGGGAGTCACGTGATAGAAGGGGTGTTTGTTGGAGATGAATCTGAGGCCTGAGTTGAGCTGTTACCAAGACTTGTGTAGATCAGATTGATTCATGATGGCTGGAGTGTGTACTGGAAGTCGGCACCGCCTAGCGACCATTCAGACAAGATCGACGACCACTACGATGACATATTGGAACCACATTTGTTCATCCCCATCAGGTCGGCCCCAGCAGCGCGACCTACAGGCAATTACTTGCACCCACTTGTATATACTGGTATGTAAACCCCACCGTCCTCTCGCTCCTCCTACTCACTAGGAAGTGAAACGTGTGTCTAACTTCAGCCACACTGGCCAGAGTTCGAGTCTAACTTGTACTAGTGTGCCTGTTTGGTGGGTACAAAGAGCCGGTTTGAGACCAGAGATGTTGCCTGCCGCTAGCAGAAGTCTATCAGTTTTGATTATCTACTGTGGACAGTTGGCTGTGAAATGTAGTCGTCCCCTCCCCGGTACCTGGTGGCTGTACTCGTCATTGAGTGAGGATATGTGAGACACGGACGGCTACAACGGCTACAAAAAGACAACATACAATGAGTAAAAAAAGAGACAAGTTAAAGCACGAATCCAGTAGATGGAGCGACAAGAGACCAGACCGGTGCCGTGGATGTGAGGTCTAATCTGATTTGGGTGGGTAAAAGCTGTACAATATGTACCAACGGTATTGTAAGTTGCGTGGGAAGTCGATTCGTGGGTCCGAGTAATTAAATAGTGACATGGGTAAGTCTGGAAGCAGCTGGATTGAACCAATGCCCTTTATTCTAGCATAATCCGTTCTATAGCTACCATCTACGCTTGTAACACGTGCCATAGCGATGAGATCACAGGATCTGGGGATTGCGAAAGATCCAGAAGTCCGATAAGAGTAATAATTCGTATAGACGATACTATAAGCAGTTGAAAATCACCCACAGACTCCTCCAACGGATCCAGAAACATTTGTGTGGTCATCCCTATCCCTTAATTAGGCCACGGTACTAATCTCAGAATGTCCACTGAAGCCCTAGACTGAAAGATCCAGCCGTCAGTTCCAGCATTTATGAACACTGTTGCTCCACAATGTCTCAAATACTCGCACTCATGTAATCAAAACACATATTATTACTAGTCATAAATCGTTACTTTTGCCCGGTTACAAAACCTGGGTGTTATTAATGTAAGAGGCCGCAGCAGCCTCAGCGGAGACTCGAGGCAGGTTGCCCTCCTCAGAGTTGGTGTGCTCGCCGTTCTCGGAGTTACTCTCGAACTTCTCGTCTCCGGAGTGCTGCTTCTCGAGATCGCCCTCGGTGCCAGGAGCAGGGTGAGGAGTGAAGATGTCCTCTCCGTCGGAGTTGTCGGGAGCATCGTAGACGTCGTCAGAGGCCTCCTTGAGGTTGACCATGGGGTAGAAGAGAGAAAGAACAATCATGCCGGCCACGCATCCAAAGGGACCGAGAAGCATGTGTCGCATAGCCTCGTTGAAGGCCATGTTGATCTCAGTTCGGACCTTGGAGCCCATGGGGTACTTGGTGGCCTTCTTGATCTTGTTGATGATCATGTTGAGGTCCTTGGCGGGGATATCGGGGGCGTACTTGTGAATGTACTTGGGGTAGAGGGTTCGGTAGATGGCACCGGAGATGGAGTCACCAATAACCTGTCCAACACCACCAGTGGTGTAGTACAGAGCGGTGACAGAGGCCACCTTGTGCTTGTCGAAGACTGCCTGAGCCATGGCGACAGCGGGAATGTAGATCATACCTCGTCCCACACCCTCAAAGACCTGGGCGATGATCATGACCGCCAGCGATCCGTGGGGAGTTCGGTAGTGGTAGGTCATACCGATACCGACCAGATGCAGACAGGTACCGATGACAATGACTCGCTTGCAGTGGCCTCTCCACCACATGTAGGGAGCAACGGCAAACAGACCCCAGGCGTTGGCGGTGACAATCAGAGTGGAGGAGACGTTGGTAGCGGCCTTGGGAGACTGGCCCTTGACCACCAGCAGCCAGGTGATGAAGTAGGGGATGTAGATCTTGTTGGCCATGGAGAGCAGGAACATCTGGGCTGAGGAGATGACCATGATTCGCGACTTGAACAGCTTCCAGGGGATCAGAGGGGTCTTTGTTCCGTACACCTCCCAGATGGGTGTGAACACCATGAGGAAAGAACCAATGGTGAGCATGGCAATGTACGAGTGGTACTTCCACTTGTCAGTTCCGGCAGCAAAGGTAATGGGCAGGAAAAAGAGGATCATGGCACCTCCAACCGCCAGCAGACCAATGATATCGAAAGACTTGATGAATCGCATGGGACCTCCGGGGCTGTAGAAGTCTCCTTGGCCTCCGAGTCTGTTCTCGTACTTCAGTCGCATGTAGAGCAGGGTGATAATAATACCGATAGAAGTTCCGGGGATGATAATGGCCATGGATCCGTAGCCCCATCGCCAGGTGGTGACCTTGAGGAAGCCGGCAACCACAGGGGCTGAGATCCATGGAGCCCACACAGAGGGAGATTGGATGAAGTAGGAGGCTAACACTCGGGTCTCGGTGGTTGAGGTATCAGCGGCATACAGCTCCATCATCAGATGGCCTCCGACCATTCCGATTTCCCAGAAGACTGTGCCTGCAAAGTAGCATCCAATGTTAGGCGAGGCGGCGTAGAGAACGGCTCCAATAATGTGGGCCACAACAACAACGATCCAGGCCTCCAGTCGGCCCAAATGATCGGAGATCTTGGCGCATGCGGGTCGGGCAACAACGAAAATGGCTGATTCAACAACGGCCTGAGACGACAGAAGAGCCAGGCCGGAAAAGTGGGAGGTAGCAAAGGGGGCGAGGGAAGGGAACAGATGCTGGGCAATAGTCTTACCTGAGGCGTAGAGGTAGATGAAGATCCAGCCGACAATGACGGTGGTGGTGGTCCATCCTCGTTCCTTGGCGTTGGTGTTGCAGTGCTTTCGAGGGTAGTGTTTAACAGGGACTCGAGAGAAGAAGAGCTTTTGGCACAGCGACTTGTACTTGTCCTCTACTGCAAATGCCATGATGTGATAATGGATGGTGTACTGATGAAATCGATCAAGAGATTGGCCCTGTTATATATCATCTTTGACGGCCCAAGATAATGTGATTGTTGAGAAGGAAGTGATGGATTTTGGCTTTGGAAAAACGCAAAACCAGAAAAAGTAAATGCATCTTAGGCGACTTGGTAGATGCTAGAGCTTGTCTTGGCAAGAGTTTAAATAAAGCTTGGCCCATCATTTCTGGTAGGGTGGGCGGTGGGGGTCATGGCAGGAGCAACAAGGGAAAACCGAGCTAAGAGACCAGATTCTTAATCTTTATCAATCGCTCGAACGATTTTCGGTGCTCCTTTCATCTCCTTGCCGTTCCGTACCCCCCATCTCCTCCACCCCGCTCCCTAGTGTCGTTCTATGTACCCCGCTGTTCTGTTTCTGACTCTCTATGCCCCTTCCCTTATAATAGCTATTGCCAAGAGTAGCCTTGAACTTTGGACCGGAGGCTATTCCCGAGTTTGATAGGGAAGCTTGATTGGACACCCTGGAGGATCAAAGAAAGAAGGGACAGAATGGGCCCTGGTGGATGATGCGACTTAGACTAGTGTGAGTGGATGACAACCAAATCAAAAGACAATCTAAACTGATAATCAACAAGATCGGTATTCTCGATTGATCCATTGACCCATTGATACGGAGATTTCTCCAATCGCAATGATCCTCCACTAAAATCCACCAACTTAATGTCGTGGATCTTACCTAGTCAATAACCGAAGTGTCCGTTGAATCAAGGTCCAGTCGGAGTGATTCATGTCTTCGTCATTAACTCAAGTTCTATCCTCCAAACTCTCTCATCAGTTGTAAATTGCATGGCTCTCACGATAGGTCTTGTTCATTATAGTGTACTGTGGCTACTACACATTATAGATGAAGCAGCCGCTTATACACACTGTTGCGACCAGACCCATCTACGAATACCCAGACAGCGTCAGCTCAATACAACACATTTACACACGTCCCTCAACACTATAGATGGCTAATTCTTATTCCGAACATACGAGTGTGCCTCTCTGGTGTCGGTGGCCTCTGGACTGTAAATCCAGTGCTTCTATTTCCAGTCCATCTACCCGACATAGACTTCCGCCAAGAAGTGTATGGCTGAAAGATGAAATCGATAAGAAATCGCGCATGAGCTTGGCAAAAGAGAAGCAGCGCCGTGCCGTATCATACCAGGTGCTTAACTGGTAGGTTGAAGCCTCCTGACCAATAGGGAAATAAATGCCAGCTGCTTGCATACTCACACCCCATGGTCCTTGCAAGAGCCCACTATCCCAGCACCAGCCAAGATCGTATACCCCTTTCCCCTCCGGAAAAATACAAGACACTTCTCTGACAAATTTCAGACGTCTTTGCGCTAAGTGAGACACTGCCCACCCTCGACCGCAAGTTTATTTTCGCTCCAGCTCTTGTTCCCGTCAAAAGACGATCACTTTTGAGGATCCAAGCGAAGGGTCTTTGTCTGGGGAGACACAGGTAACAGTGCCTTGCCATGAGCTGATGAAACAGAAAAAAAAAACAAAAACGGAACAGACACAGGAAGTGGTATTTCTTTTCGTTATTCAACCGGATGAAAATCCCGGAGTCTTGGCATGCAATCTAATCCATCTACACAGCATCGGATATGTAGTCCTTGAGACAGGAGTAACTCGTGACAACGTCTGATAGGCACGACAGACATACACAGACATCAGATGACACCAAACATACAATATACCGGTGGTCGACGGGAAATACGCTTCTGAGGCAGTCACGTGACCCTCATTTTGACAGCCCAGTTCTTTCGGAAAGAGCTTTTTCGTGTCTTTGAAAAAGTTGAATTTTAGGTGTTTCCAAAAGGTGGGCGGGTGGGTTATGCTAGAGTTTGGTGAGATGGGAGTAAATCAATGGGGTGGTAGGGACGCGATATTTGATGCGAGCAGTTGTTAAATCGAACAAAGACTTCATTTCCTATTGAATGCACTTTTCAGATTTTCCGTAGCATCTCTAGATCCTTTTTTATCGTATTCTTTTCATGTCGTATATTACTCTTCAACTAGCATTCCTTTGGAGCTTAATTTGTATAGTTGGTTTGTAGTTAGACTAGACAAGTTTATCAGATTAATCTCGAAATTGCAGAAGGACGCAGAACATGACTCGTGAAATTTGTCAGGATGCGTCACTCTTACTGAGACGTCTTGGCAGCATCCCTCAAGCATTGAGAAGCGTCTTGGCACATGCAATGTATGGTTCAGTACAGTACGTACACTTTGCACCGTCCCTGTCTAACCCCACGCAGCACGCCATTCGGTGTCCAAGCCTTGGCGCTGAGCGATTATGCGAGCACGGACTTGGCAGGGGTCTCGTGGTGCAGTATTCCGCAGAGATAGGTCTCTTGGCTTCTCTTTGTGCGAGTTGCACCGGTTTCCGAAAGAGATCTAATAGATGGCTTTATCAGGCAGGCGAAAGGGTCTCCGTCTGTTCTGTCCTGATATCAATATCCACTTGTTCATTGGTGCCCGTAGACTTCCATTTACAAGTCCCCTTTCTCGATACGTTCGGGTTTGGTCCTCAGCGTTCCATTTTTCGATATTTCTGTTCCACCTTTTCGTCCAACGGCACTTGGCAACAGTTTTTTAGTCGTCCAACATGCATGATCGACAGCAACGTGATTGTGAGACACTGGGCACTCTATTTCGTTTGTAACGGGTACCAGAAATGGGAAGCGACATCTAAAGGCCTAAAGACTCTATCCGTGTAGTTTCCAATCTACAAAATCGAAAAAGAAAAGCTGTAGGATACGGTAGCGTGTAAGGTACAGTGTGCACGCGTGATTGTCGTAGTGCTGTAGATGACTCCATACGGGGTTTAAAAGACCAGGAAGTTGATAAAGAGATGTATTTAGACGACAAAATGGATCAATTGAAGTGCTGGGAACCTCTGGAGATCAAAAAACACCCCATTCGAGATCATATAAGCTCAGAGCCTACATTGGCGATTTCAAATAGACCAAACCTGATTGGATCTTCTTTGAGGAGATTGAGATCCAACAAGTAGTTCAAATGGCAAGCTCTCCCCGGAGAGTATGTTGGTTTACCCCCCACTACTTCTAATCCTAGTGCAAAGCCAATTAAACGAGGCGCCCAGTGGTGATGTGCTGCTGATCGTTTACATATTTAATTTTATTGTAAACTCATATGGGCGTCAATCAAGGGTCTCATTTGCTCCAGGGAGTCCGACGACCCTCGGGGGTTGCTCTGAAAGTCCCGCCTATTAATTGGTCTCTTCATCTTATCAAAAAGATCAGTGCCGTGCGAATTGGGGGCTGGTTGGTGGATGGTTATAAAGCTAGTACAGTGGTTGGCTTATGCGAGGATGGGGAGACGTACGCACTGTTCTCAACAGGTATTGGGCATCTTAGCATGGACTCTAGACCACTTCATCAGCATAGGGAGTGATCTGATGGCTATTCAATCATTGTCAGCTCGTAGATCTAGTCGTATTGGATATGCTACTAGTTTACCCACCCGAACCCACTGCCCACCCTACAGTCACCCCTTGTTTTTGATCATACGGCGTCCATAATTGTCACGTATGTTAACCAACTACTTGTAGTCACGAAACAAGGGAATCACACGAGAGCTCTAGACCCTTTTTATACGAGCTCTTCAACCAATTGTTTTCTGTTATCATCTCGATCTTGCTGAGGCTGATGCTTGGCGATGACTTGTTTCTTGGCATCTTGGCGTTAGCAACCACATTTAGGCATTGTATTTGCTTCCAAAAGAGCTCCGAAGATTTTGCTGTCTATTCTCTGTGACTCTAGAGACGCATCAGAAGGACATGGTGTACTCAAAGGGTACTAGCCGAGCGGGTAAAGAGCAACGAAATTAGTCAAATCAACTCCAAGTCACTATACGATGCTTAGAGTACGAGTTCGGACAATTTCGGATGGACTCTGAGCTCTTCCATAATGCTGACGTTATCTCTCTGCTACTCTTCGTAACACCTGTTTTAGTAGTCATGTGTATGCTGCCTTTGAACTACCACGGTAGTCACTCTTCCCACGACCATACCAAAACAAAGGGAACCCTTTCAGCTCTTCTGTTTCACTCTGGAACGTCGTGATTGGCCCTTGGAGAGTGGTCAAGATCGGAGAGAAACCGAGAAGTAAATAGGAGTTAAAGGCTGCTTGATTGTAGCTACAAAGATCTCCCGAGGTCCGTTCCAATCGAGATTTCATCATGAATCGGTCCGTAGTGGTTTCTTTGGAGCTACAACGACGTTCAAATCAAACCGTACTCGAACCAGAAGGATCCACGATCAACAAGCCTAAATGCCTCGACGAATGTCTTGGAAAATCCGTATTTTACCGCCAAGGTTACTTCTCGTGACCAACTGAGTTGTATCTCCAGACGTGGATGACAGGAATAGTAGTAATGGAGACGGAGTAGCAAGCACGACGAGTCCAAAGAAAAAGACGAGAGAGTATGACGACGTTTTTGTACAATTACAAGTATCCCCATGTTCAATTACGAACGGCGCCCTACAGATTTCTTCCACACAATATAGCACATCTGTTCTTTCCATACAACGTGCGCCTGGTATGGGGGACGTATGAAGAGATGACTAGACAACAAGAGCCTCTTTGGTGGTATAGATATGGGAACTTCGCAGAAAGGTTTTTATCGGGGTGAACTATATGTCCTCATTCACTTTTACTAAGAAATACCCTTTCTATTCCACCCAGTATTGCTCCATTGAGTAAGCGGACGGTGGTTTATGCATACCTTGAGTAAGACCCTGGCAACAGGAGTATATAAGAGGTGAATAAATTTTCTTGCACATATTTCTTCATCACACAATGACGGATTATTGGTCGCTCTTTTTCAGACAGTGACGATACTGGAACCCAGAAAACGAGTGCAGCACAGTAGAGGCACGACGCGAGCTCAGAAGAGAAGCGACGATAAGTGAACCCCAGACACAAGGACAAGAGAGATACACTCCTGAACACTTGGGCGTGCCAATTATGGTACTAATCGATTTGCCAAAGAATATTCGTTTGTCAGGTCAAGTATGAGCACCACTGATACCAATCTCATTCAAAGTGATAGCCAGCGATACCCAAAGGATGAACAGAGAGACGCTCAACGACCCCGCGACCCGCTACTATTGCTCTGGGATTACAAAAGTGCCACTCAGTAATGATTGTCCAACTGTTACACAATAATAACACTTGCCAAGAGTTACTACCAACTCAGCAGGCCCCAACCAGGGTATCGGAACGAATACGCCGTTGGTGAAGAAGACACCATGCCATCTCAATCTCACTACGAACACGACGTCTCAGCCACTCTCAATACACTCAGCCATCCTCCACCCAGCCAAACTTCCAAGACATGTCCCAAACCAGTTTCAGATATTAGTTCCAGACTACTCAACGCGACTCATACACATCGCGACTCATACACATCGCGACTCATACACATCGCGACTCATACTCCATCGCGACACGATCAGGTGAAACTCGGTGGACGAGTCCAGAAGAAGACTCACTTGGAAAGCACCAGTGAACACACACAGCTGTACTCATACCTGTATAGCACGAGTGCATCATTCACCAGCCACATCCTACTGTACTGGTACTTTACTCACGCTGTCAAGCCCCCGCTGTCTTTTTGCCGTCTTTTTCGACTCACTGAGTTCAGGCTGATGCCGGATATTCAAAAAGCTTCACACACGCACGACTCAGGGACGACTCACTCAGGAACGGCTCACGTGTCAGGAACGACTCACGTCGCAGCATGCCCTACAAGTTCGTCGCTCCACCATCTACGCTCGTTTGGTTCTAAACCACTGGCGTCCAGCCAAATGCTTTACAATTACATGTTTTGTTTTTGAAGAGTTGATTTTGTGGGGAGTTCGAGTGCACCGCACTAATTTGAAGTGCACTTTGGGTGTGTGAAGTAAAGTGAGAGTGCGAAACTAGTCAAAGCACACACTCTCATTGTTCATGAAGCGAGCACAGACTTAGTCTCGTCCGTAAGACAGCTGCTCCTCGCTCCACAGAGGCTCAACCTCAACACCCTCGCCAACGCCACACAGACCGCCCTCGGCAGTCCAGTCCTCAACTCGCTTAAGATCAAGCTCCTGCCACACGTCTTCCAGGGCAGCAACCAGCTCGTCACAGAGTCCCTCATGGTGACCGGGGGTGGGGGTCACACGCAGTCGCTCCTGGCCAATAGGAACAGTGGGGAAGTTGATAGCCTGCACATAGATCTGGTGCTTGGTCAGCAGAAGATCGGAGGCGGCCTTTGCCTTCTGGGCGTCACCAACAAGAACAGGCACGATGTGAGAGGGGTTAGGAACAACGGGAATTCCTCGGTTGGCCAGCTTGTCCTTGACGTATCGAGTGTGAGTCTGCTGGGCAACTCGGTCCTTCATGGTAGCCTTCTGGTAGTTGATAGCAGCTCGAGCACCGGCCATGGTGGCAGGGGGAAGAGTGGTGGTGAAGATGAAACCGGGAGCATAAGATCGAACCATGTCAACAAACTTGGCAGAGCCAGCAATGTAGCCACCAACACATCCGTAAGCCTTTCCGAGGGTTCCGGTGAAGATATCCACTCGGTCCATGATGGGCTGTCGCTGGGTCTGAGCACCAGAGTGGTAGTGCTCAAAGTCGAGGTGCTCGGCAACACCGGCACCGGTGGGGCCGTACATACCAACGGCGTGGACCTCGTCGAGGAACGTGATGGCGCCGTACTTGTCGGCCAGGTCACAAATCTCCTCAATAGGGCCAATGGAACCACACATGGAGTAGACGGACTCAAATGCAATCACCTTGGGAGTGCTCTTGGGGTATCGAGCGAGCTTGGCTTCCAGATCAGCGAGGTCGTTGTGCTTCCACACAACCTTCTCGGACCCTCCGTGTCGGATTCCGTGGATCATGGAGGCGTGGTTAGAAGCGTCGGAGAAGTAGACGCAGTTGGGGAGAGCCTGGCCGAGCAACGACAGGGTGGAGTCGTTGGCGACGTAGCACGAGGAGAAGACCAGAGCAGCCTCCTTCTTGTGGAGGTCGGCGATAGCGGCCTCGAGCTCGACGGCATGTCGGTTGTGGCCAGCAATGTTCCGGGTTCCACCAGCGCCGGCTCCGTACTTGTCCAGAGTCTCGTGCATGGCGTCGACGACGACGGGGTTTCGGCCCATGCCGAGGTAGTCGTTTGCGCACCAGACGGTCACCTTGTCCTCCTCAATGGAGCCTCTGTGGGCTCGGGGGAACTCGGCGGCCAGTCGGTTGATGTTGTTGAAGTACCGGTATGACTTGTCCTGGTGCTTGGCGTTGATTTTGTTCTCGTAGAAGGACTCGTAGTTGAAGGTGGTGGCATTGTGGGCGTCCTGGGTGGGCACCTTTCCGAGGCCTCGCTGGGTCATTCCGAACGGGTAGTTGTCGAGCCGAGACGAAGGGTAGACGGGCGAGTACTGGGCCGCGTGGGGGCAGGTGCCCTTGGAGGTGTCCACGGCGGCATGGACGTCAACGGTGGCGGACTCGGCGTTGGATCCGGCGTCGGACTTGAAGCCACGCACTCCCATGGCCTTGCCCATGATGGGGCATTGGCCTGCCTTCTGGGTCAGTCGCCCGTTTCCGAGCTGCTTGAGGCTGGAAGCCGAGGTTCGACCAATGTAGGGGCAGAGCTTTTTGGACTGTCGAACGAGAGATTCCATGGTTGTCGAGACTGGTCTGGGGTCGTCTGGGACGTTTGGGTTGGGTGATGAGAAGGAGGGTGAGGTAAAATTTGGGCCCTTTTTCTGTGCTGCTGCGAAACCTTATTTTTGTGATTTCCACACTCTGCTCCGTCACCATCATTGTCCCAACTAAAAAAGTCACCAATGACGTGCATTGTTAGTAATTGAGGTTATTTGGCCCTTCCTCGTGGCAACCGCGCAAACGAACAGACGACCGGGTAGTGTCATCGCTGCTGGACCACGAGAGGGCATGTATATATGGTGTTCACGTGACGAGATAGAGAGAGCCATTGTAACAGATACTTGAACGACAGTATCTCGAGAAACACCAGACTACCTCCCACTACTTGTAGCACCTCTAGCCTGGCACGGCTTACAGATAGCTCACATCTACGCTGTTGCCGATGCTGCTGCTTATTCCCTATTATTACTCACATTGTAAGCTTTCTCATTGGCCACGTTCCACCTCCAAACTCTGCTACTCAACCGCCCTCCCCACAACTCTAACCCCACAAGCATGTGATGAGGACCTGGATGAGAGCCAGTTGCCAGTAACGTAAGCCAAACCCGAGAAAGGTGTGACAATCAGGCCCAAGGTATATTGCTGTTTAGCAATGTTCCACGAGGGATGACCGGATAAGGGGCCCCGGTCGTCATTGTACATGGCAACAGATTCTCTTCAACGCTCCATCCACTACTTGTAGCATTTGTGCAGTTGTTTGCAGCTCTTTGCAGCTCTTCAGTGTATTTTTTTCTCCCAGTTTTCACACTTTTCAGTGTTTTTCAGTGTTTTTCAGTGTTTGTTTGGTTTTTTTTTTTTTTTTTTTTTTTCCCTGCGTGCCCCTGATTCCATGTTTTTATTGCATGCCGTGACGATGACGGATGCAATGAGACGACGCAAAATGTTGCAATGGACTCGTGCGAATTCTGCCCGTATATTCACCCTCTTTCCAACCCATCAACCGCTACTTTCGAGCTGATACCAGAGATATCGTCACCCCCATTTCTCACAAATCTCCCTCATAAACTTCGCCGCTCCGAACAGTTCCGTGCTTCCGCGCCACCTCAAGGTAACCCTAGCCACAGTGGCAGAAACTCTAGCGTTTACCGAGGTCGGCGGTCTAGACCCGAAGATGGACTGGAGCATCACTGGACCAACTAACGTCTGCAAAAGAACCGTTTTCAGAGGTATTTTTATACAGATACTGGTGCAATCTGCGGCTATCGATGGATCAACCATTTTTCATACCCATCTCCAACCCGCCAAAGCCGAGATCTTCACACCTCCAGACTCGGTTATACTGTAATTTACTGTACTGTACGTACAGTGCGTGCGGCCAAACGATGCCAAAAGTGCGTCATCGGAAAATGACAAGCGGCTGAGAAGATGGGTGACTAATTGAAAGGTGGTCCAGAGTGTTTGTAGGCAGGCGTTTATGTCGTATTAATGGGCCGGAATGTGGTGGACTGCCATACTTGTGTCAGTGAGCCAATTGAGTCTAGATCGATACCGTAACTAGCTACAAGTAGCTACTGGAGCCACCGTCACCGTCAGAAAGCAAAGAGTCATGTCTGAGATGTCTCACTGTCGCCGTCTCTGCGAATCAAGTCTCCTCGCAGGGCGATTATCAAGATTGCCATTCGTCCACAAACCAATTAATGCACTTGGAAATCTTGTCCATTCAGGCAACTCAAGCACAGCTCGCAGTTATCAGATCAACTTAATCGCTCATCCAAAACGACTGGTGATGCTACAAGTACGATACGAGTAAAGTAGCAGCTCAACAAGACTGAAAAAGAAATCACTCAATTGAACTGTATGTACATAGAAAACAGACCACTATCCAACACACTAGCACCTGGTGGCCCTCTCCTAATCCACGAGCCGGCCGAATACCACCATACTCAGCAGCGCAAAATTCTCACGCCGATCTTATCAAATAAATCTGAAACAACGCACGCCGTCACACGTCCGAAAAAGCCCGTGCTCCCGTCTCACTCCCATTCTGGCAAATGCCACGGTCGATAATGCAACATACATCCAGATACAGTTGCAATACTTTTCATCAGCCCATTTTTGAGCCTCCAATAAGCATAACCCTGCAAGTCTAAGTGTAGCGCGTAAGCATACCTCTAAGGAGACAAACGATCATATCTGGTGTGTTGAACAATGTCCAGTTTTGTACGAGTATCCGTCGTCCGTCTCAAGTAAATGCGTCAACTATCGATAGTGGTACTTGAAGTCGTTTCTGTGCCCCCAATATCATCATTAGTTGATTACGAGCCTTTCGACTCCCTGCCTATTTACAATAAATATAATGTGCTCCATGCCCGACTACCTCGCATCCTTCATCGCCTCGTCAAGCTCATCTCGTCGCTGCTTTTCTCCCTCCTCAGTCAGACCGGCCAGGTCCGGCGGAATTTCAGCCATCTGAACACTGGGGGCTCCCTGCAAAGTTCTCAGCTGTTCCATCACCTGCACATGCACAGAATCCAGAAACTTGCGGGAGTTCTTGTTGTCGATCTTACCAGCCAGGTTGGGATGCAACGAGTAATCTGGAGCAAAATACTTGAGAAAAGGCATGGAAGAAGGCAACCGAGTCTCCAGATCAACGTCCAGACACACACTGGTCTCATAACACCACAATCGAGACACGTTGCGAGGGGTGTATCCTCCTCCTCCAAGCACAATCAGAGGCAGGCCAAACGACTTTGTATATGCAACGCACTCTCCATGGGCCTTGATGTTGAGATTGAAACATCCCAAACGATCTCCACCAAGCGAATCAGCTCCACATTGAAGCACAATAGCCGAGGGTCTGTAACTGTTGAGAACAGGCTCTAAAACACTCTTGAACAGCCGCACGTACGACTCGTCGTCGATTCCGTCTCGTAGCGGCACGTTGAGTGAGTAGTTCTTGCCCAGACTAGTTCCAATCTCGTCAAAGTTTCCCGTACCAGGGAAGAACTCTCCGTTATACTTGTGGAACGACAGAGTCATGACTCGGTCGGTCGAATAGAACGCCTCCTGCACTCCGTCTCCGTGGTGAATGTCGATATCAATGTAAAGAACACGTGGATACATTCTGAGAAGGTTCAGAATCGCCAACACAATGTCGTTCACATAACAGAATCCACTGGCTTCAAACTTTTTCGCATGATGCAGACCTCCAGACCAGTTGATGGCGATATCTGACTGGCCAGCAAGAAGCTTTCGACTCGCGTCCAAACTGCTACCTGCGTAAATGATCGAGTAGTCGTACATGCCGTCGAAAATGGGACAATCGTCTCCAATGTTAAACTTGGGTAAAACTCGCTGGAACTTTTTGATGTTATCCGGAGTGACACGTTGCAAGAAATCAATGTACTCTTCGGCGTGGAACTCCCGCACCTCTGTTTCTGTGGCTCTTCGGGATCTGTACAAGTCCAGTTTGTTGTGTAGCTTGTATCCCAGCACCAGATGGTCTGTCAGCATGAGTCGAAACGGTTTCATGGGGTGACGGACTCCATAATGGTATCGCGCAGCCTCCTCGTTGAAATGGTACGACACGCGGCGTTTTTGTGTCGTCAGAAACGACTCGTAGAGAGGCGTGTTTTCCACCGTCTTGGAGTCAAACACGATGGTTGGTTCTGACATGACTGTAGAGAAGTGGAATGTGATGTGATGCTATGTGTTGTGTTTGTGACGGTGTCGCGTTGATTTTGGTGTCACTTGTGCCGCGTCTCTGCCGATAAATCCCGTATTATGTGCTTTTTTTTTTCTGTCGTATATTGTTTAGTGCACTGGAGATGGGTGATGGAGGTGAATTAATTGTGCATATAAGAAACTTTATTGGTAGGGTGAAATTCTAGGACAGATAGAAAAGGTGGCGAAAAGTCGGGAAAAATGGCTTGTGAGCATATCTTTTTCTCTAATGTTGGCCATTATCTGACCATGGCTTACTTTATTGAGCAAGTAATTTTCTCTCATCATGTAGCACCTGACCCAATACCCACTGCCATGTCTCTACCTCCTTACCACTATACACAGCTAACATCTACAAGTACATACTGTACATACAGTAGTCTCAAAAGAGTCAATATAACGGAGGGTATAGAGACGTCAGAAATATAAAAATTCCGGAAAACCATTATTAAAGCTACATTTGAACGACTGGAAAAATCACTAGCTTGATCAAACACCTCCAACACGATGGAAACGTCCCTTATAAATTTCCGTTTTCAGAACCTCAAGTTTGAGATTAGTTTACCTGTTTAACCGAGGTCAGCTCAACATAACACTCAAAGTAAGGCACCAAATACCCTCACAGGAGTCTCAGTCTATATGAATAATAGTATCATCCACTCAGACCTCCCCAATCGACTTTTTTTGAGCTCCGTAACCCTCCAAACACCACCAACTCACCTCTCCTCCACATTCAACTGAACTCCCAACTAAACCCCAACTATCGCTCTCAGGGTGGTTCCCTCCTAACCCTAACCCTACTCTCCCGCATCGCCACATACATCATGCTCACGGTGGTTACAGTACTCTTCATTGCCACCCAGAACCACACAACAGGAAAATGTCAGGTAAGTATTGAGCGATGGATCGGTCGCCAATGGGGACAAGACGGATCACGCGACTCGATTGCGCCGCCGACTATTCGGATATCGCTAACACAGGCTCTGCTGGATTCGATCGCCACATTACCATCTTTTCGCCTGAGGGCCGACTGTACCAGGTCGAGTACGCCTTCAAAGCATGCAACTCTGCCAACATCACGTCGCTGGGCATCCGAGGCAAGGACTGCGCGGTTGTCGTTTCGCAAAAGAAAATCTCCGACAAGCTGTTGGACCCTTCCACCGTGTCGTACATTTTCCGAATCTCTCCTAGCATCGGAGCAGTGCTGACTGGCCAGATTCCCGACGCTCGTGCAGCTGTCCAACGAGCCCGAGGAGAGGCCGCAGAGTTCCGATATAAGTACGGATACGACATGCCCTGCGATATGCTGGCCAAGCGAATGGCCAACATCAACCAGGTGTACACTCAGAGAGCATACATGCGACCGCTGGGCGTGATCATGACGCTGATTGCCATTGACGACGAGCGGGGACCTGAGCTGTACAAGTGCGACCCTGCCGGCTACTACGTGGGATACAAGGCCACTGCATCGGGTCCCAAGCAGCAGGAGGCTAACAACTTCCTGGAAAAGAAGCTCAAGAAGAAGGAGTATGCTGCTGGAGATGTCAACGAGGTAACCGAAACCGCCATTTCCGCTCTTTCCACTGCTCTGTCTGTGGACTTCAAGAAGAATGACATTGAGATTGGTGTGGCTACAAAGGACGGATTTAGAAAGTTGACTGTGGAGGAGATTGACGAGCGGCTGGTGGCTATCGCCGAGCAGGATTAATACCGAAGAGATGAGAATATGGTACACTGAGAAGATGGCGTGGTGATGGTTTTAGCATGATGATTCTATTAACATCCCTCATTGAGGCCAATTAGAGAAGGAATAAATATATTGATATGAAAATGGACAGTGGAAGGAACATAGGGGTGGATTTGTGTGTGTACTCGTTTTACTGTAACTGTTCATACAGGATGGTTTTGTTCACAGAAGATAATGGTAAGGAAGACGAACACTGTTGAGTGGGAAATCTAAGAATTACATCCAAGTGAATCTGGGTCGTTCTCAAGACTATTGTATAGCTCATTGGTTGTGTTTTACAAGTACAATACGCGTCATCTCATCTGTCTGTCGGGTTCTCTCTCTCTCGCGTTATCTACAGTACTGCACCTCTGAGTATGTCAAATAGTTGTCCCAGTAACTCTATATTTATGACAACAAAACAAATAGCTTCTTCTTTGTCTCAACTAAACACTTATCTAGCTAGCCCACAAATGATCACCAACACGCCTCCCACCAAGCAGGACCCCTTTCTGGCTCTCAAGGAGGCCTGCGAGGACAATCCGCGTCTCCGTCCCGTCTCGGCTGTCATTTGTGACGCGGCCGAAGACCTCGCCTTCCGAGCAGGTGTCATCACCTTGTTCAACGAGCTCAAGATGCGTGAGCAGGAGGTGGAGGAACTGACTAACGAGCTCCAACGGATGCAGAAGCTCAATAGCGAGCTCCACAACATGAACGAACAGCTTCAGAGAGCAAAGACCCTCATCTCTGCATCGCTCAAACGCCACATTGCCAACCAGAGAGCTGCCAACGAATCCAGACTCGAGCCTCTCCAGGACCTGTTTGACTACGCCGCAGGAGACTCCGCGGAGATCGATTTCGACGTTGAATGAGAAGGACATAGATGGGCGTCCGGAGAACATAAATAATAGAGAAACAGATCCATGATAGAATATGTACAAATAACTGAAGGGGGTAGGGGGAAGAGGTAGACCTCTGCTCCAATACTGTAGGACTGCAGTATGTATGTATACACAGAAATGCCCTCAGTTAACAGCATATATCTATACAACGTCAGTAGATCAATCAATGTACTACTGTATGTACTTTCCAGTGGATAAGTACTCCTTCACCATAAGCCTTTTGCTTCGATTCTATATCTCGCGCTGGTGCCCACATCGTCTATTATTATACATTACTATCCTATCTGGATCTCCAAACGACCATAAAGTCGCACTTTTGCTGCTGCTTGCCCCGGCTTCGCTCCATACAATGCTGAAGCAGCCGACTCAGCTCCTGCAGAATCTCCCATTGCACCTTTTCAATAGCCTTCCAAATCACCTGCAACAGACCAATGATGTTCTGCAGGTTCGGGGCTGTTCGGATCTCAACAGGAGACAGACCCGACAGCCGCTTCAAATACTCGTAGCCATCCTCCTTGGGCACATAGCTGTTGATGGGCCGCTCCTCGCTGCGCGTGAGCATCTCTGAGCCCCACTCGGTGATCTTGCCCTTCTCGGCCGTCAGCCGAACATTGGGATCTTTGTACAACGCCATGGCATGATCCTCACATCCAGAGTTGACAAACACAAACGCCCAGAGAGCCAGGGCAGCCATGGTTACACTGTGAGGTCGCTGAATCACAGGATCAAGATGTCCCTTGTACGTGAGCTCGTTAGGTCCGTCCAGGAAGACATCTCGGAGAATCCGAATAGCATGCCAAACAGCAATACTGCCAGGCTCGGTACGTGCCCATTCGTGCATACGAGCGTTAGTAGCGTCGTACTGCGCTTGACGCATTTTCACTGTCAACATTCGAGGCACGCCAGCAAAGATCTGGAAATCGTGCGGCGAAAGATGCAACACTATCGATCCAAGATGGTAGATGTGAAGAGCCGAAAGAGAAAGGGCATCGGAAAGAGCTTGTTGTTGCTGGGGCAAAGTCACGGAGAAGGCGTTGAGGAAATCGGGAGGGAACTCTCCAATAGATAATCCGAGATTGGGAATGTTCATGCGGGGATGCAAATGAGGAAGAGGACCGCAAGTATTCGCCAGACCATACTCATGTGCCCAAAAGTCGTAGGAGCGCGACAAGATCTCCTTCCACGGCTTTCGACTCTTCCAGCCAATACTGCTGGCCTGCAAATCACGCTGCTGCATTTGAATGGCGACCGACATCAATCCAAATAGAAGTACGTGGCGTCCAAAGGGCTTCACGTCCACATGTTGCTTATTAAGCACGCGTTTGAGGGCGGACAGGAAAGTTGGAGGCGGCTTTCCAACTCCAGGAGCCCTTGGCTTGCCTCTTGATGGAGTCAGGGGGGTATCTACTGCATCAGTCCGGTCTCCATTGTTGTCGAACGACTCACTACTGTTCCACAACGCCTCATCAGGCAATTGTAGTCGGATTTCGTGCGCTGAAACAGCGGGAGTGTGTCCAAAAGTGACGGAATGAAGTACATCAAGACAAAAGGCGAGATAGGCGACCCGCTTGAACGACTCCACCTTGATTCGCTGATCATAAATACTGGTATCTCTGCTATCTGCGGAATCGTAGTAGTCAAAGTGGTCGTCAATGGTGCCCATAAAGACGGAGGATCGTCGCATGAGTTGGATGGTCGTGGCATGGTGCACGTGGCCTCGTTCGTGTAGGATTCGGTCTGTGTACATCTTCTCGTAGCACTCGAGAATCATGAGTGCTTGGAAGACCCACAGTTTTGCAGGCGGCTGACAATCAGGAGATGCAAACAGAATCCATCGGAGGGGATGACTAATTTTGTTTGCAAACGTCTGATTACCGTCCAGGCCAGCTCCCATGAGAATCATGGACCACAGTAGGCCTGGAGGGGATGAGTTGACTCGGAAAGTGCCTCGGTGAATCACGTCAATTTGGGCATTAATGACATCCCAGAATCGAAGTAAGTACTTGGACAAGTTGACAATGTTAGGGTCGTCTGCTATCGATGGGATCACGCTGATAAGCTCCTTTTGTTTCTCCTCGGAGATGGTCAGGTCTTCTGCCATTGGCGAGGGAGGCGAAAAAGTGGCCTGGGAGGCGGGAGAGTCAAACTGCTCGGACAGCGAAGACGAGTCTCCAAAGAGCCATGATAAAAGTTGCGATGACTCGGCGTTCAAATCGTAGTCGGTCATCTGATCAAACGAGAACATGGGTCGTGGACTAGGGATTTCGTCGGGTTGCCAGGGCTTGGGTAAAGCTCTGGTAGAGTGCAGTTTCGAGCGCATATCCATATCCAGAGCGTTAACCAGTAGAGTATTGTTGCTGAGAGGGGGAAGAGTGTTGTCCATATCAATACCTGTTCCAGGACTGTTGACAGGCAGGTAGTTGGACATGCCCGGATTCATCATGCCAGAATTAAGCGGAGCAGAACCTCCTTGAGTAGGCACTTGCGGAGGCACATTGGGCATGCTAGAAATGTTGTTGTTAGGGATGCTAGGGGGGCCGTTTGGCGGTCCGTTTGGACTCAGAGCGTGTTGTCCGAGAGGAGGTTGGGGAGGTAGGTAGCCTAGTGACGGAATTGGTGGATTGTTTACACTGGCCATGTTCGTGGTGGGAATGTGTCCCATTGGAGCTCCTAGTCCTGGTAAAGGCAACGGTGTCTGTCCTCCTGGACTAAGTCCGTGGGGTCCTTGACCCTGGCTCTGTCCTCCCGGTCCAGCTCCTGGCGGACCTCCTCCTAGCGCTGGTCCTCCTGATAATGGCTGCGTTTGTGCTGGTTGCTGTTGTACTACTGGCTGTTTCAACTCGGGCAGATCGTCTTCCATCTTAACTCCGTAGCCCCCATCTCCCTTCTCGTGGCGCTGGGCGTGTCGGGAGCGTAGGTCTGCTCTCACAAACGTCTTTGTGCATCCTGGGAACTGGCACGGGAAGATCTCCTTGGGTCTGTGGTTGAGCTGGTGTCGGGACAGGTGTTCTGCCCTGGTGAACCGTTTGTCGCAGCCGGGTTCTTCGCATGCAAATGATTTCTCCAGGCCCTTGCGCGATCTTCGGGGCCGTTTCTTGGGCTGCTCGCCGTCACTGCCGTACTCCGGGGTCGCCCGAGGCATGGCCGAAAAGCCCGTCTTCTGATCCATCGTGTATGAAGTGGGTGGTTGGGCGTGTGTGTGTGTGTGTGTGTGAGTGTGAGTGTATGTGTGTGTGTGGAAGAAGAGACTAGTGTTTAAATCTCGTGTCTATCTTGGGTCCTTTCTGTCTGTGTCGCGGAGAGCTGCCGGGCGTGTCTCCTTCTACTGGGGTGCCAACACCACGTTGTGTCGATGTCGCTCGATCACTCGTAGCAGTATGTCGCTCTGTGGGTCGCTGCAAGTCAAATCTCACCTGCGTCACTTTCCGCCCATTCTACCGCCGTAACGGGCTAGTGTGTCGTGGTGGTGGGGAGGAGGAGAGGGAGTGCGGCTCGGGAGTATGTGTGGATAACGGCGGATCGTCTCGATCGGAGTCCACAGTTTGTCTTTTCGAAATGTTAGTTTCCGAACCTCTTTTCCGGTGCTTCTCTGAAGATTAAACCACAGCCGCTGGGGCTCTGCACAGACCTGGACCTCCCTCCGCCGTTTTGATGCTTAGAGTCGCAACACTAACTCTCTCTGCTTTTTTTTATAATCACACTGCATGGAGCCTATTTTGCGGGCACAGTGGGCGGCCAGAAACCGGCTGAAAAATCGAATAAATTGTAAAACGAGGTGGACCATGACTAAATCAACTGTTCACACCACTATTTGAGCATCGACAATCTTTCCCCAGTCAAAATCCCACCCATTATACATCCTTCTAGGTGCTAGTCAGTCCCTAAAACACTACCTGCACTGCATTAAACTCCACACAATAAGATTGTCCCAGCACAACGTTTTGAGACACTGCTGATCAGTGGCTTCCTCGTAGCAAATCAACGGTTATATGTATGAAGAAGAAAAAAACTGCGAAAAAGAACGTTGATTATGTGAATTGATTGGAGACCGCGGTCGCCAGTTGCCCGGAAACTCGAATTGGAGACTCTCGAGACACCTTTCGCCACAAGTTCGAACTCAATATCCCCCACTAACTAACCAGTCGTATGCATGTATGTACAGTACATACTGTGTCTGCTGAAGTCCTCCCTTCTACTCCCCGCTGTCAAACTTTGCACGGAGAATATAAACCGACTTGGACATGGTGAACAGAAGAGGGGTGAATAGAATCTTTGTTCCCCGTGCCACATGTCTCCTCGAGCAGTGACCATGTTCGTTCCGCAGTGGCACTGTACTGTAACTGCATCTGACAAGCCCTGTACGAGTATCAGCACAGTATTATTACCGTGCAATAATGTATCTGTCTCCATGTGTCGTCCACACGGAATAAACGGAACCAGGAACAAAACTATCAGACACAAACAACATGATTCAACAACATGGCCCGTGGGCTTTCGATTCGTGCCACGAAAGCTGCTCTTCGGTGCCATCCCTCCTACAAAGTGTATCTTCTCCAACCACGATAATGACGATAACAAGGCTGGCAAGGTTCAGAGTGGGTGGGTGGGTGGGTCCAAGGTAATATTCAAGGCTTCGGGGCATTGGAAAGTGTTGTGAAATCTGATTTTCTCAACTACTATGCGAGTAGTTGGTGTTTTCAACACGTGCAGTCCTCATCTTTCCGCCAACTTCCGTCTATACGCCCACGCACCCATGAACATGGCATTAGTGTGACTTTTAGTGGAAAACAGGCGAGAACAGGCGAGAACACAGGCGCAACATGGACGTACACTGAAATCACTTGTTAACCGACCATCAATAGCGCCCCACGGTCCCTCAGATCTCTCCCATTGCTGGACTCGTGCTTGTAGCCTGTCTCAGCGACGATCTGCCGTATTTACAATTACACCTTGTCAAACAATTTCTCTTGTAGGGTCTTGTTTGCTTTTTTGGCGCACCTTGAAATTCGGCTCAGTTGGAAAAAGCAAAACTTTGGTGCGCGATTTGGGACGGCTGTAGAACGGTGAGGACGAGGTCAACAGCAATTCTGAAAAGTGCATTCTGCGCAAAATCGACTCATTAGTTGATTCGCCTCTTAGTATCACTTGTGCAGTTGGCCAAATCTCGGGCGGGTGCTGCCGAAACCGCCCAACTCAAATCCCGCGGTCTAGAAGCAGGGCCACGAAAAAGCAAGGCAGGGCAGGGTCCACGGAGTCGTTCATCTGGCTGAGGGAAAAAGAGGTGGTGCACAATTCAGATATATTCACAAAAAACATGATAAAATATCCACCCCAGACATGTCAGGCTCGGTCTCAGTCTCATCTAGCTTTCCCCAACTCCAGCCAGCTTCAGCATCGCCGTCCGTACTCACCACCGGCATCACCGATTCCCGATAATGACAAACCCAAACAATGGCATCTGCTCCTCAGTAAAAAACACACAAACAAACACAGGTGCCACAAGAAAGAGAAAGGAGAACGGAGACGGAATGGTGCATAGCGTCTCATCAGCAATGGCATGTGCTGAAATGAAAAGCGGGGTTGAAGTGCGGCTAATGGCATGACTTTCTGCCACACATTGTTTTCAGTCCCCTCCTGGGTGTTTTCCATCTGCAAAAAGAGGGAGTACTGCCTTTGACTCAGAAGGGCTAAGCACTCGTATAGAAGACCAGGGAGTGTAGCCACAATTTGTTTCTTGAGTCACAACTGCTTCAAGACGTCGGCATCTGAGAAGCAAGTTGGGCCAAGAGGGAACCAAGTTGTGGTGATTTTACCGACAGAAGATATCAGTCGGCGCACCAACCCCATTTCGAATCATTGATCAACCGGTATACTACAGCTTCATCTGGCTTTCTACTGCAAGTAGGCTACATAAGAACATTCTTTGTGGAGCCGGTACTTGTAAGAGTCTCGATAGTTGTCTGTTGGACCAATACAGTAAGATATCAATCACTAAACTGTTGATTGAAAGGATTGGAGTTGACAATTGAGCTGACTGAGGCAGTGCATTGGTCTCAGGGGCACTACATTATGTGCTTAGACCCCTGTATCCTGTCTCACTAGTACCGTCTCGACATAGATTGAACCCTCTGAGTCACTCTGAATAGAGCTGTAGAGGGATATAAACTGCTCTTAAGTTCGGATACGGCTGTGGACATGGTACGAAAAGGATATGTGAGACTGTCTTGGAGCATGCTGCAGAGCTCTATGTGGAGACAATGGCATCTACGGCCGGTTTGAGAGAAGTTGGAAGTTTGGAGAGTTCAAAATATTTGTCAAATAAACAGCTTCTGCACGGACTAAGACTCCCATTATCTCCATTACATTATCACCATTGAAGCCCTGTTCTGCTCGTAGCCATTCTGCTCGTAGCCATTCTGCTCGTAGCTATTCCGTCCGTCTTAGACAAACAGTCTACTTGTTGACTAATACACTTCAAAACCCGTCATTCCAAGAGACTGGTAAACGAATTATCATTGTAATCTTCGGATATTCAACCACATATCCCCCAGTGCGTCGTTCTGAGGTTCCGGCGTCTGTCTATCTAAGAATGGACACTGCCGTTAGAACGCTGACTAAGTCTTGGAACAAGAAAAGGAATGTTGACTGTACTTGTAACAGCATCTGACGAGCTGGTCGTTCGACTTCTTCAGGATCCCCACCGTTCTTCGCTATGGATACTTCTGTACACCAACGTATATGTCCAGTAGATACTTCCTAGCGCCGAACTGTACTTGTACTTTGTAAAATAAATATTTAGAAGACCGAGTGTTGAATCGACCTTTCAGACCACTCCAACCGCTTGCTGTCCTCGTTTCATCTTCTGCTGTCGTGCTCTGAAAATGAAGTACTTGCTCCACATCACGTCACATCTCTGTCACACTACTCGTACAAATGGTGCACTCACTATCCCACTTTTTCGACCAAGATCTGTTCCCTTAACGCGAATTGATTCCATCAGTCACCCCTTCCACTCGCCTCAACCCTACATTTCAATCTCCTTACTACTATACATATAAATTAGTCCTATTTGTCTACAGTACCTGTGCGAGCGGTGATCCGCACAAGTCATAACTAATGTAGGCGGTTGCAATCAACCAGACGTAACTTTGGTGGAGTGAAGAACATCACCAAAAGTGACACACAGATCAAAGCAACCAAAAGCTGATCAAAACCATCAGACATGATGATGCAACTAGTATTACTCGTTATACCATACTCCATGGTATAACTCGCGTTACTCGTCATCTCATATTTCATTTCAGTAACACAACGTCGCTACGGTCCGTTGGTTACTGAGGAAATTGCATCGCTGCATTCGCCACGTTCGCCACGTTTGCCAAATCTCCCGAATAAAACCCTCCTCCACCACTCTGCTGCGGGCTCTGGCTCTGGCTAGGTGGCATGCTCTCCACACTGTTTTCTCGATTATCCACCTTTTTCTTGCCGCCTCTTTTGGGCATGTACGACTCTGGATGCAGCCGTCGAATGTGCTGCTGCTTGTGCGTACTGGCCTTGGGACCCTTGAATGGCCGGCCGCAAATGTTGCACTCCTCCGTCTTGTACTGCTGCTTGGGGTCCGGATGCATGGCCGTGGAGATGCGGCCGGACTTGTGCGCGGACGCCGAGTGTCGAGGGGTGGCCGACCCGGAGCTCGTGTTACCGGGCAACGAGTCTCGCCGGGGCGTCATGGACAGCGCCCGCATGTTGGGCGACGGGGTGGCCCGAGTCCCGTGCATCAGGCCCTCGGGCGACTGCTGGGCCCCCACGGCGACTGCCACCTCAGCTGAGAACCCGGCGCCGCCAGGAGTCCCCACTTGCTGCTGAGGAGCCCGAGGGAGCTGCTGACGTGGCACGGGTGACATGGCCGCGGTCAGGGGAGGCGTTCCTGCGGGGGCCCCGCCCAAATGCTGGCTCACGGGGCTCTGCGACGCCACAGGCATCTGCTGGACCTGCTGCTGCTGGACCTGCTGCTGTGGTGGAGCTGGTGGGGGGCCTCCTCCAGGCCCAGGAGCGGGTCCTCCGGGTCCTCCGCTGGGTCCGGACGCCGCGATCCCATGGGGCGTGTAGTGCGCCGGTTGATGGGTGAGATACGGGTGCTGGTTGGGCCGTTGGAGCACAGCCGGAGTGTGTCGGAAAGTCGGATACGGCGCAAACTCATTGAGTCGGGTTCGTCTGGGGGGCGCAACCCGGGGCTGGGGCACAAATTGCAGCGGCTCGGGCGACTCGGCCTTGCCGCAGATGGCCAGAAAACCCACACCGTCGTAGTAGGACGTCATTGCAGCGTTTTGTAGCGTGGAGCGTGTGATGGAGTAGAATTAACGTGTTTGGGAGAATGCAAAAGTTAGTCCGGATGACGTAATGGGGCGACAGGTGAGCCGTTGTGCACGGTGTAGAGGTGCTAGAAAGAAGCTGAAAACAGATTCTGAATCAGCGAATCAGAAATAACTTGATAATCTCATAAAATCTGCACTTTTCACTACGCATCGCCCGTTAGACCGACCCACAAAAACAGTTTTTCACTCACGACTTAACTCCAATATCTCAATCCCATCTGAACCTACAACTGGTTCCTCGAATAGTAGTCCCAATGAACATTTTGGAAGCACGAGGCCGAAATTTTCAGATCCGGATCTCGTGAGTAACTAGATGGACGTGTTTTGGTGGCGATTTTCGGCGCCGCTCCCGTGACATCACCGAGAACCATTGGACCAACTCGGTACTGGAGTTACCCGGAAGTGTTAATGTCTGGCCGTTGATTGGTGCTTTTGACAGGCGATAGTTCGAACTGGTCTGGTTTCGGGCCGGAGACCAAGTTCGAGGCGCTTTGACGACATGGTCTTGTCACAGATGTTCATCGCAAGATCAGCTATGTTGGTGCGGAGATAGGCGGAGATAACCGCGAGCTGTTGGGGTTTGACTGTTGGGGAAGTTTTGAGTTGAAACAAAAATAAAAAATAAAATAAAATAAAATAAAATAAAATAAAAAAATAAAACAACCTGGAAGTGGTAGAGGATGTTTTCAAGAGTAACTGTTACTTTGAATGGAGAATGGATTCTGTTTGTAGACTGGTTTCAAGTACAAGTACAAGTACAAGCAAACTGGATCTCTTATTGTCTCGTCCAAGTCGGTCCAGTGGGTCTGCCATACTAGGACAGTGTATGGGATGGTTCTTCTTCCAGAGATGGTGGTGGAAATATATTCCTGTGGAAAGCAATTGAAACGTCTCCAATGAGTACGTCGAACAAATTATTGAAGTTCCCAGAACTCTTCACTGTCCAGAAAATGCCACACAATCTCCGGTATCTTGGCCCTTCCATGCCCTTCAATAGGTTCTGAGAAACCAACAGGACGGTAGCTGAGACATTATATTTGCTATTCGCTTGCAAATCCCACCAAAGGGTGAACTCCCCATGTTTGTCATGCTGATTCTGGGCTCATTATAAGCCTTCAATTGTCGTGGCGACCGACTTCCCAAACTAAACAGTCTTCTTGAAGTACAAGTTCAGGCACTGATCCCATCCCCACTTATTCAACAATCTCATCACTCTCTCCAGTTCTTTTTACTTCTAGCTGACTGTGTTACACATGAACACCACTTCTGATTTGATCTCGCCTTGTTCCCACATCATCTATACCCTCTACTTCAAACGACTCCTTTCCCTCAGAGAAATAGCCATTGGTCAAGCTAGTCAGTCAGTACGAGACTGTAGAATCAAATCATTGTCCTTTCTTTACACAACTTGTCCTTCCTTTACACAACTTGTCCTTCCTTTACACAACTTGTCCTTCCTTTACACAACTTGTCCTTCCTTTACACAACTTGTCAGTCCTCGGATTTTGGCTGACTACTTGTACTGATTCTGCATCATCTCAGAAGTGTGCAGTTTCATCTCTGTGACTAAAGCATCATACTGTTCCTTCTACTGGCTCCGATTATTCCTTGTTTCATGCATTATCTATACGATATTAATAAATATTCTTGACCTAAGCAGCCATGCCAGACATACCGGGGTTCTCGACCCGGGTGGCCTGGAGACCAGCTCGGTGGATTCGGTTTCCACTCTCATCGGAGACAATGTTCTGGTCCTTCTTTTCGTTCTGGGCAGTCTTCCACACCTCAACCTCCATGCCGCCTCGAATGACCGAAACTCGCATGGTGGCAAGCAGGTTGTGGCCAGCGTTGGAGTGTCGGTAGACACCTCCGTTGAAGACAGCGGTACCGTCCTTGCCGACGGCGCTCATAATGAGGGCCTTTCCACCAGGGTGGTGCTCGACAAAGGCAGACACGTCGTGGACAATGCCAGAAATGAGAACCAGATCTCGGGTCTTGGCCTGCTCTTGGAACTCCTCAAACTCAATGACAGGCAGCTGCTCAATGGGGATACCCCAGTTGAGGTTGTTTCGCCACTTGTCCAGCTTCTTCTGTCGCTGCTGCACGAGACCCTGCTCGATGGCGTTCTGGGAGAAGGTCTGGAGGTCCCAGGCGAGACCAACCTGCTTGAGGGTCCAGATGAGCCACTTGGTGGGGTCGTACTGGTACCAGATGAGGGCGTTTCGGTAGTCCGAGGGGAACTCGTGGTGGAAGTTGTGGTAGCCCTCTCCAAAGGTGACCAGGGCGGTAAGAGCGTGGTCTCGGGGAGTTCGTCGGTCGTCGAAGGGCTGCTCTCCAATCCAGTGGGCAAGGGAGTTGACACAGAAAGTCACCTGCTGCACAAAGGTGTATCGCATGATACCGGCGTAGACAAGACCTCCCTTCCAGTCGCCCCAGCCAAAGCCACAGACGAGGGTGGGCAGAACAATGGCCATGAAGACGAGAACGTAAACGTAGTACTTGTGCTGGAGTCGGACAACCCAGTCGTTGTTGAGGTCAGAAATGTCAGTTCGGCCCTTGTTCTTGGGGTTGGGCACAAGCAGCATCCAGCCAAAGTGGGAGAACCAGAATCCCTTTCGGGCGTCGTAAGGGTCCTTGTTGGAGTCGGTCCATCGGTGGTGGACTCGGTGAGACGAGGCCCACCATCGGATGGAGCCCTCGACAGCTCCTCCTCCAAACAGAGCAAGGATGATTCGAACGGGCAGAGCGGCCTTGTAGGCTCGATGGGCCCACATTCGGTGGTAGCCGGCGGTGATACCGAGACCGGTGCACATGTAATAGCCGACAGCAAACGCGGCGGTCTTCCAGTTGAAGGAGACGAAGGGAGCGGCAGCAAAGGACGACAGAGGCAGCGCAATCACCAGAATGAAGTTGAGCCAGTTGATGTGCTGGTGCCAGTTGGCCCAGGTGAAGGGCTGCTCGGAAATGTGGCGGCCCTTGTCGTCGTAGGCGCCCTGGCTCATCTTAACGCCGGAGGTGTACTTGACCTTGTAGTTGACATCTCGGCCGGAGGCAATGGTGTCGACCTGCGAGAGATCCACTTGGTCCACGTTTTTCACCATGTTGAATGTGTAGTTAGTAGATGAGGAAAGACAAGTATTCGATTACGTAGGGGAAGCGGCCCATCTATATAAGGGCGGTTGGAGCACCAGTGTGCCTGGGCTCCTTCCATCTCACATGCATTTGTTGGGCTTTTTAGGTTTGACTTGTTGAGAGTTGGGTTTCGGTGCCATTGGCGCAATTGCGGTGTTTGCCACGGCGGAAAACCGCCGGCGGCGCGGGTTGGGCGCTGTGGGGGCGTTTTGGCGGACACGAACACGTGCCATTACCGCCCCGCCGTCGTGGGTCGTCGTAATCCGCGCTGTCTATTCGTTGAGAGCTATGCATGTGGCACGCCAGAAGGGCAATTTCATATGAAGAAGATGTTCTACACAAAAAGTTTAATATTTTTTTCCCTGCGAGTCGGACAAGGGGAAAAAAACACAAAGGCAAAGGCGAAGGCGAAGGGCGAACGCGGCTGTGCAGTCAGAAGAAAAAAATGGATTAGCTGAGGACAAATGGAGGATGGGGAAGATGGACTTATTACGGAGTTCAATGTCCAGGTTTCGGCCATATCCTCTTGTAATGCGACTGTTGTGATTGAGTGTATTGACATAGTCTAGCGAGTAGTAGAGGATGAGGGTTGAGGTTGGAGGTTAGAGGTTAGAGGAGGTGAGAAGGAGGTGAGGAGGAGAAGGAGGCGAGAAGGAGGCGAGAAGGAGTTGAGAAGGAGTTGAGAAGGAGTTGAGAAGGAGTTGAGAAGGGAGAAGGAGGTGAGAAGGGAGAAGGAGGTGTACCATACGTACTATACTTGTAGCTAACTAACAGTTATACGGTATGATGGAGGATTAACGGACTATAAAATGGCTGTTAGATGATTCCGAGCAGACTAACACTCGATGTGAGCAGACTAAGGATGTGAATCCCGGAGAGACGGTGTTCTCAGCTGGATTTCAACTCCTCTCACACTATTGTTGTAGCTACAAGTAGAGCCTACAGGTAGAGACGAGTTCCACAATAGAAGAATAAGTATCGTATGTACAGTAGATACAGTATCGATACTTCAACGACTGGAAGTCTCTCAACCGCCAACAGATGAGATCTAGATCCAAACTAATGTACGTGTAGACAGACCGAAGACTTGACTCCCGAAAACAAGACTGTTGGCCCCTCCTTTGGCAATCACACTGTCTCACACTGCCCTTGTACGCCCCTTGTGGCACCCTGGTTCAAGCAAACAGTATAACTGGCAGCTACTGAAGAAGGATGGATGGTACAATTCGGTTCACGGGTGGTTTCGGGTTGAACTTGTCGCATGTGTTAATCCGCATGAGGAACAAGGATGAAAACAAAACATCTCCAACGGCTCATGGTAGATCCGGTCCGATACCCACATTATATCATGGTATATTCGGTAGGATACTCGCACTCGCACTCGCACTCGCACTCGCATCCTCCAAGTATATATACATAGTCAATGATTCCCCTCCCGCCCTCCAATCCAATCACTCCCGCCCAAAGGAAACGTGCTGGGCTGGTTCGTAGTAATAGTGTGTGAAGAGGAAGATGGTTAACTCGGTCGTGTCTCTCCTTAACTCGGCTCGATCGCCCTCGCTAACTCGTCGCCTCGATCGGGCCTGTTCCCTGCCGTCAGCTGATTGTTTGAATTCTGCACTGCACACAAAAAGCTCCTTGTCCCGGTTGTTTGCAGTTTGCTGTATGCCTCCGCCATTTTCTATTATATTTTTTATATTTTTTCTTATTATTTCCACCATTTTCCGCCATTTCCAACATTCGCCACCGCACATTACCCCTCGTTGGCGCCCCTTAAGCTCACCGTGCAGCTCGCCCAAATATACTTCTCTTATCCATCCCCAATCCCAACCGGTTGGGGAATTCAATTGCAAATTAGGTGCTAGGGAAGCAAGTCATGAATATCGGCCCATGGTGAATGGATGAGAGGCTAGGGCGCAAATGGGGCGCAAATGGGGCGATAAAACGCATCCAACTGACGACTGACGCCAGACGCCGTCCGAGAACCTATTACAAGTCCATAATCGGCCCCTTTCCCCCCGTAAAGACCCCCAAACCCCCTGTTGAACATCCATAATCGCATGTCACATGGTAATCGCCCGTAACGCCGGCTCCAAATGATTTTCCACGTGTTGAGAGAATCGAACAGAGGACCGTTGAAGCACAACAAAGAGAACCTGAGCTGAACTTCAAATCCCTTCTTTCTGCAGAATCGAACTCACACCATGGCATGACTAATGACAAATTGTAGCGCACAGGATTTTTCCATTTTTCCATTTTTCCATTTTTCCATTTTTCCAGATATTTTTCAAGTTTAAAAAAAAAAAAAAAAACATTATTTTTCCCACACACACTCTACTCCCATCCACCCCCCTACAATGTACAGTACACGGAACCGTGCAACTTGCATTCCCATACCCAAATACCCCTGATTTGCCCTGTCTGACAGACCCGACCCGGCATCATTCCCCTCCAATGCCCCTGACAAATATCAACCACGCATTGTCGCAGCAAACGCCGGCTTACGTAATCAAACCTCAGCTGGCCCTCGTGACCCAGGACCAGCTCGTGGGATATCTGATGGCTGATGACAGCTTTCTGCTCTCCACCCTTCCCCGCAAGTATCTCGCCTCCATCCTAAAACTGTACACGCGAGGTTTGGATGAGATCAATGACAATCTCGCAGACATCTACGCCGAGGCACTGGTGCCGGATTTCTCGGCTGGCGCGGAACAAGATACAAACACAGTCTCGTACAAAATCGACGGTCACGTGATCGAAATCCAGGAGCAGCGGAACGTGCTTTCTGGTCAGGGCGGGACTGGTCGACGGACCTGGGAGGCTGCTCTGGCGCTGTGTGAGTGGTTATCGCACGAGCTGCGAGCTGAGCGGGGTCTTGAGTGTGTTTCTCATGTTCTAGGGACCTTTGGTTTTCTCGAGGATGCTCATGTGTGCGAGCTGGGAGCTGGAACGGGGCTTTCCGGTCTGTTTCTGGCCAAGAACGGCATCAAAACCACCCTTACAGATGGTGATGATTTCGTGGTCCAACAGTTGCACCGTACTATTGAAGCCAACAAGCTGCAGAGCATTTGTTTGGACCGACGGCTGTTTTGGGGCCAGGATGAGCCGGACATGAGTGAGAATGTCACCCACGTGATTGCTGCTGATGTCACATATGACCCTTCTATTGCTCCTGAGCTCACAGAATGTCTGTCTCAGTTTGCCAAGCTCAAACCTGCTCCTAGAATTATTGGATCTGCTACAATTCGTGACGAGGCGACTTACCAGACGTTTTTGAACGAGTGCCACAAGAGAGGACTAAAGGTACGGCCTCTGAAGGAGTTGGTTCCTCCCTACGAAACGGATTTTGTCTTCTTGGATCCAATCATGGCTCCCAAGGTGATTATTGCCGAGATTTCCGCAAAAACCTGAAGAGCGTATCGCTGTCTCTATTGGAGGTACCAGTACAGACACAGTCCCATACCACAATGTATATAATTGGAATGCATATAGTAAACTGCATGAATGTCACATGTGAACGAAGTAATTGTTCGCTTCTCCTGTCTACATTGGAGGAATGTGCAGTTGTACATAGGTTTGAGTGCACAGTTCTCTTCTCCTTGTTGAGATATACTTCAGACGCTGGAATGAGCCATATAAACGGTCATCTGTAATTGTGCGAATCGATGGGATCCACGTACTCGTACTCGTACTGTAGATCTCATGTTTGAATCGAGGACCTAGCCTGTGCTTTTCAACCCTACTGCAAGAGCTACGCACATTGTTCAACTCTGTCCTGGCAAAAAGACCACCCGAGATACCGCCCTGCAGAAGCCATTCAACAACTCATTTGGAAAATCGATCACGTGATTCTGGTCCTACTCGCACTGTACATACTGTGTACAAGTAACGTAACTCTGCACTGCCTGGTGCCGTATGACCACAGTGGTTCTAGACGATGGTAAAACGGCGCAATATTGCCGCGGTGATAAATCCGAAAAAGTCAGCTGATCAAATAGCGGTTGGGTCGACACGCAGAAGAACATTCCGTCAGCAGTCCTCCAGCAAATACTGTCCAATCTATTCATCATTACTCAGAATAATTTCTCACCATGAACCCAATTCTAGACTGGCAATAGACAGGAGGTGGAGTATCAGTAGGATGTATCTCTATATTGGCCATTAGTGGTTCGATTTGATTTCTGAAAAAAGAAATAAACCCTCCAGAACGCGCCGAGTCTCACAGTATAGATATTTGCTCCAAACCCTGACTCGAATCACCAACTATACCAGTCCCCATTTAACCTCATCAACATGCACGACCCACGTCGAATGCAACAATGCCAAGACCTGGAGATGAGTTAGCGAGGTGGAGAGATGAGGGTGGAAAAACAGCCGGAAAAGGCCCAGCCAGGATTTCGGTCACGTAACATGGGTGATCAGGACGTTTTCCCCGGCGTTTTTCTTTTTCCGCTGCCTTTTTACCCCTCTAATGAAAACTCTTCAGTTTTTACCTTTGACGACGCCTCTACCGTTTGACTCTGACTTCAGACCGACCCTCGCTCGTCTCCAGTCCTCACCGCGCTCAATTCACATGACTCCACCATGTCGTACTCGCAAGTGCCCGTAAACCCGCCGCTGGAAACGGTGGAACTCGGCGAAATCAACCGCACTCAGCAAGACTATCATCCCGGCGAACATCTGCGCAGCCAGCGACACATCTGGACGCGTATCAATGCCCTGGAGCACCAGATTGAATTTCTGGGAGGCCAGCTGAGAGAGGCCAAGGAGGCCATGAACCCCAAGGGCCAAAAGACAACCTACTCGGAGAGCACGGCGTACGGAATTCTCTCGGTCATCGCCCTCATGTGCTCCATCATCCCGGGCTTCTTCGTGGCCATGGACTTGTCGGATGGACCCGCCACTCTCATGTGCATGGGCCAGATCTGTCTCATTTGCTTCATTGTGCTCTTCACAACCCTTCCCTTTGCCCACAAAGACAGACACATCTTCCGCATCTTCACCGCCATCGTCTACCTGGTGCTGTTGGGCTGGGAAACTTATGTAGACCTGTGGGCAGGACTAATCCATGCCGCTACAATGGTGCTGACGGTCGTCTTCTACATGCTGGACGCGCGGGAGGCGAGAATCCGAGAAATGACAGAATCCGAGGTGGACACTGTGGTCTAGAGAGTATAGTAATGTATTATTTGCTTAGGGACGCGTAGAAACCAGTTATTATTAGCAACTTTCCTGACAGTTAGTTGACACCTTGGTGAATTCCTACTTGGAGGCTCACGTATCATCTCAATCGGCTACACACCCCCGTCCACTTTTCCGCATCTTCCACTCACAAATATATCCAGACTAGTCCCCATAACCACTCGTATTCGTATACGGAAAAAGTCCGGAGTTAGTTACACAGCAATTTTCCGGAACCCTAACTGGGAGCTCAATTAGGCAGGTGTCTCCGAGGTGACTAGTTCGAGACAGGCTGTTGCTGAATACTGCGCCGTATTTTGCCGGTTAATGTGTATCTAATCTGATTAAATGGAGCTTTCTGAACAAAATTCACTTTTCAGCTTTTCAATTGCTCTTCTGGATGTGATATTACAGGTGTATCAAAAAGTAACCAGCTTCTCGAGACATACCAGCTCCAGAATCTACCACAGAGTAGCTAGAAGAAGAGGGAGTTCATTGTTGTTGCCACTCGACACCTCTGGGAATTCTTTAGAATGTACTTCTATTTCCATTGAGTCACTTCTACATCTTTCGGAACATCTAGTAACGTAACATCAATTCATTCAATCATACAAAAGATCTAGCCATTCCCTGTTCTCCCGCTTACAGCTTAGCTTGGTCAGTACCAAGAACAACGTCGTCCTGTCTAAGTCTCAGCATCCGTCGCAGAATTTTGCCGGCCTGAGACTTGGGGATCTGATCAATTACGACCACTCCGCCGTGAAGCTGCTTGTACTTGGGCAGCTTGGAGTCCATCCACTTCTTGACCTCGAGAGCGTCTCCGCCTTTCTTGAGCACCAGGAAGGCTCGGATTTGCTCGGTTCCCTTGGCTTCATTCTCAACACCGATAACAGCAGCGTCAGACACGTCAGCATGGGCCAGCAACATATCCTCGAGCTCGGCGGGGGCCACCTGCTTGGACATGGACTTGATCATCTCCTTGGTTCGGTCGACAATCATAAATCGACCCAGAGAGTCAACCAGACCGACGTCTCCGGTTCGAAGCCACTTGGTGTTGTAGCAGACAGAAGAGTCGTTAGCCTCGACAAAGGCCTCGGAGGTGGCAGACTTGTTCTTGTGGTAGCCATCCATGACCTGGGGACCTCGGACCCAGATCTCTCCAACAGGCAGGTTGTCGGTCTTGTTCTTGGCAACGTCAGACACAGAGCCCGAGTATGCGGGCTGGTCGACGCCGTCAGCAACAATTCGGACCTCGCAGTTGGGCACCAGCTTGCCACAAGCCTTGATGTGGAGGTGAGGGTCCGCGGGATCGAACAGAGTGACGCAGGGAGAAGTCTCGGTCATTCCATAGCCCTGGACCACTCGAACCTGCGGTCCGATCGCCTTGATAAGAGACTGGGTCACCTCAGCGCCAAGAGGAGCAGCCGCAGACATGATGAGCTTGACCTGCTTGAGGGAGTCGGCATAGTTCTTGACCATGGGGTTCTTGGCGAGTTGCACGGCGATGGGAGGCACCAGGGGCAGGAAGTTGGCTTTGTACTTCTTTTGGCTCTCCAGCAGCTGCTTGAGATCGAACTTGGTATGCATGATGGTGGTTCCTCCGGATCGGGGCAGCACCATGAAGAAGATGTAGAGGCCAAAGACGTGGCAGGAAGGGAGCACGGCGACGCACACGTTGGAAGCCTTGTAGAGAGCAGGGAAGGTAACCTGGGAGACCTGAGAGCAGGCGACAATGTTGTGGTGCGACAGCCGGACCGCCTTGGACTTGCCCGAGGTGCCCGAGGACATGCCCAGATAGGCGATACGCTTTCGAGCCTGCTCGGTGGAGGTGATGTGAAACTTGGCCTTCTTGGGGGGAGGAGGCACCGAGTTTCGCAGAAACAACATGGTCTCGAACTCGATGACAATGGGGAAGTTTGTGTAGCAGACGAGGTCGATGGCGTGCATCACCGTCTTTCGGTACTTTCGCTGGTAGATGATGACCTTGGGGTCGGTGACTCGGATCTGCTTGGACAGCTCCAGGGGAGTCTGCTGGGTGGAAGCCGGGTTCATACAACAGCCGAGCTCCAAACACGCGTAATGGATGGCTGGTAGATAGATGTTGTTGTCAATGAAGGGGATGACCACGTCCCCAATTCGTTCGTCTCGGTTGGGGGTCTTCTGAACGCCATGTTGGTACAACAGAGATCGGAACTGGTCGGCGCAGTCGAGAATCTGTTTCTGTGTCAGCTGCTCGCCGGTCTCGGCGTCGATCATGCACGGCTTGTAGTCGTCCTCGGCGTACGCGCCGGTTCGAATGAAGTCTGTGATGGAGCCCTGGAACAGTTCAATGTCGGGAAAGGTGGATTTGTGGATGATGGTGGTCATGTCGGGTCGGGGATGTTGGTGTCTGTGTTGCAAGTGTCTGTGAAAAAAGGAACTCCACCCAGGAAATGGACTTCCTTATATACCTATCGGGATTACCCCATCTCTGTGGTTTTATGAAAATGGAAATAAAAAAATGAAAATATTTAAATTGGATTTTCCGTTAAACCCTCTATATGATGCCGCTGAGATGCACCTTTAACGTTGCTAAAATGTGGGGTAAGCTGTCTGACCGAATATCCAGTCTGCGCCGGAGTCTTTCATGAGGCGTTGAAGGAGGGTTGTGGGAGACTTTTTGGTTTCTGTAGAAAGCTCTGGACTTGGAGAGTGAAATGCCCTTTTCAGAATTCCAATAGCTCCCCGACATCCCAAGACACGTTCCTCACTAATATTGCTCGGTTTGTCTCCCCCAAATCTAAACTTGGAGGCATGTACTGTTATGTCGGACGGTAGAAAAGGAGATAATATGAGACCATATAGCCGAGCTTTGGGGGTCTTTAAGTGTCTGTCAGCTATATGCCCAGATTCTGGCTGTTATAACTAGTCTTAAATGGCTTCTGGGCGAGTTGATGGACTTCTCGGACAGATGCTGAGGTCGAGGTACATGCTGTCGTACCATCTACAGCAATAGATGTCCATCCATTGACAAGATGTTCTATAGTTACAAGTCTACTTGTAGTACCCATGCATGCAGCCCCCCAGGTTACACCTTCTAAAATCGCAACGGCTATTATGACCACTGGAACAACTTGGACTCTGTTGCTGCAACTATGGCGATGGAAGGTTAGGCACTGAACTTTAGTCGAGAGCGGGGGAGCATCTAGAACGATATATAGAGACTATATCGAGACACAAACTTGATCAATGTATTCGCACCACTCAGCTGATTCCAATGATGCCACTTTTGTCTCCTCAACTACTCCCCATCGCATTCCACGTACCTCTGGCCCCCAACCTCTAGCCTCATACCCCGCAGCCAGAATGGCGCACCCGGCTAATCCTTCAAACCTAGAGCCGAAGATACAAGTTGAGCCTAGCCAGATGCCAGCCGAGGGCGTCTCATGGGGTTGCGGGGAAGCAACGTAGGTGCCTGGTGCGACCCAGCGGATGCAACCAGAAAAGCGCACGCACTCAAGCCATATGACCGTCGAACAAGGAGTATGCTTGGTATGGAGATATCTCCGGGAATCAGACAGAAGTCAGGTGTATACCATGGATATATTTTTAGGAGACAAGTCTATGTTTCCTGCTATTACATGGAGAAGTGAATCAAAGTCGCAGAACCAGATCGATTGAAGTACCCCCGGGGGAAAAGGACATATTGTGGTTGATGACATGCTGGTGTTCTGGAAGATTCAGCTATTGAATATGATGATATACTACTTGTACATTTGTAGCTACAGTAGATTGTCAGATCAGAGATATGTATCATCTACAATTCAAGTATATACCGTACAGTCTATAGAAGTACGCAGAACAGTCCCTGGGCCGATATCAGGTCAGATAAAACCCCGAAAGTCCCTAAAGTCCCTCAAATTAACCAAAGAAACCACTTTTATCCTTGTCGGTCACGTGTCTAGTCACATGACCGGTTTCTGTTTCCCTCTTCTCCCTACCCTGGTACCCTCGGATAAACTCTCTGTGCTTCCCCACAGATCGACACGACAGGGTGCGGTCCAGAGTAAATGGGCTGTAGAGTTGCTCAACGGAAGGAAGCGATGACAGGTTACGTTTCGAGCCAATTTCCACCGACTCTTTGGGTGGTCCGGTGGTCTTTGTAGCAGGTTAAAAGTGGGGGGAAGGGGAGTCATTATGCAGGGTGGGGGTCATTCGGGTGTCCAAGTATTGCTTCTGTTGGACCAGAAAATCGTCAAAAATCTACAAGTAGTCCTTTTTTCTCGGCACTATCTCCGTCAGAGCACAACCAAACTCACACCGCCCATCCCATACCATATCCAGAGCTTGAGTTACTGAGACAAGAGGGGAAGCTGATGAAGTTGGTCCGACAAGAACGAATGAGCGATGAGCAGAGGTTTTTGGTAACGAAACGAGTAAGAAGCATTGGACGGCTCAGCTCATGTGTATATGTCTATTATCGAAGACAGACTCAAACACGGGGTCTCCTTGCACTCCTGTGTATTGCACCTGTACACAACATACATAACTGAGACATGAGGGAATAGGAGGGGACTATGTCACTGACGAAAACGAGATAGGGGGTGTTAATCCCGATATATCCAGGCGGTGGGTAGTATCTCGGTCCTGGAGCTTGATATTCAACCATTTCCCTCGGCTCAGAGACCTCAATATTCGGTGGAACAGGACTGTACTTTGGTGGAACAAGACTGTACTTTGGTGGAACAAGATGGTTAGAACAAGACGGTCAGAACAAGACTGTCATTTGAGAGTCAAACGAGAAAAGTAGTCTGAAATCAGCTCCTTATAGATTCATTGAATCATCTTCATATCTGGGTGGACTTTTTTAGGTCCTTCTTCTCCGGAAATTGGTTGTACTTTTCCCCCTACTTGTCGATATCTTTACTTAGGAAGCTCAAACAAAATGAAATATATTGTTAACAAAATACTCCACTGACATCATCAACATTCTCAGACGCTCCATTACTCAGCTTCAGTTAGCCCCCTTCAACTTGGCCAACATGAATAAATTTATTTATTTATTTATTTATTTATTTATTTATTCATTTATTTATTCATTTATTTATTTATTCATTTTATTCAAACTTCATTCAAAGCTGCAGCACTATAGTTAGAACCCCAACTACTCCCAACCGGCATTAAACTCCCATGTTAACTCCGAGCCGAGATTGAACAACATCTCAAGATTCTGTAGAGATCGCCACCTCCCTTTCACCCAACATGCCACCAAAGGAATTCAATTACAAGCCGCAGGAAGATTACCCGTTCGTGGCGGCCATTCTGATGGTCGTGTCCACGCTGCTGGCCGTCATCTCCTACCTGCACATCGAAATGCCGCTGTCCATTCTGGCTCTGGTGGCTCACGCCTTTCTGCTCCTCACCACCTGGCAGAAACTCAACAAGAAGACGGTCTCGTTTCCCTACGTCTACTTCCAGGTTGTCATGGTGTCTGTGTTCCAGATTGTCTTTGCGCACGTCTTGGGCTTCTTCCACTTGTTTATCAGCCTGGGGGCGGTGTGGTTGCTGCAGCAGGCGGAGGTTGCGGGTGTCAAGATCCAGTGAGCGAGTGGACGCAGTGAGCGAGTGGACGCAGTGAGACGGATCCGTGAACGAAGCGAGTAGACTGAAAAGTTCCACGTTCACAGTTCTTTCATCGATTGCAGCCCGAAAAAAACCACAGCCGACCTCTAAAACGACCATAACATCAATGAGGGAAGTTACAGACACGACCGACCATCAATTGACATCATTGAAGCACTTGACAAGTCTTATAGTGCTCCTAGTCACGGTTGTGAAGTCCTGAACTGGACTGTTCCCACCTGGACCCACCCACAAGTTCGACATTATAGGCATTTAACAAAAGATCAACAATCTCTGCATCAATCTACTTGTACAACAATATCACAGCACTCTACAAGTATTCGTACAACACTCTCATAACATATCTTCTATCTACACCAAGTCTTTCAACAATGACTGTGTTAACACTGCTGAGAAGTAAGCTGGCATTTGGGGTGCAATTTCTAGACGCTCTCGCTAGACCATCCGCTCAACATGGTCGCACAGGAAATCCACATTGCGGATCTCGTCCCAGGTGATGCTATCTCGATTCTTGAAGATTGAAATCTCCGGGGTTCGACAGAAACTAGGAAAGGGAAGAGTGGGCGACACTTCGGGAGTAAGATCGGTGGTGATGGAGACGGAACCCATTGTGGACATGATGGATTCCATGGACGACGAGAACCGTCCATTTTCACAATCGACATCCATACTGCTGATGTCAACTCCGTCTGTATCTTCATAACAGGTGCTGTCTCCAGCATAGCATTTGTCCCACTCGGTTTTGGCCAGGTCTCGGTACTCGGAGAGAATTCGTTCGTGCTGAATGAATTTCTCCTGACGGGCCTTTCGGGACTTTTTGGTGCCCACCATTCGGTACCAGGTGATGGCGCATAGATAGGTGGTGTTGCAGAGATGGAAGACGGCTGAGGAGACGAGAATGGCCAGTGACGGCGTGTAGAGCGTGGGCGAGTACTTGAGCACGCAGAAACACGAAAACCAACACGCTCCAGCCGCTCCAGAAAGCACTGTCCAGGTGACTAGCAGTTGGAAGAGGCTGGAAAGTCGGGGCAGCAGAAGAACCAGACCGCTGAGAGTGAAGCTGGAAATGGCGGAAATCACCAGTAGAGGAAGCATTCTTGTGATGGTTGTGGATAGATAGGGGAGAGACTGGTGTACTTTTATATCGGTCTTGGAGTTTCTACCATTATGTGCATAGACTAGATGGAAGGGCGGTTGTCAAAGGTCTCAAATGGGCAAAAGTCCAGGATTTAGAATGTACTATAACACATTGGTTAAGTTCTTGCCAACTCCCTGACCATGTATCTCCTCTACATCTCCTCTGGATCTCCTCTGGATCTCGTTCTGTATTTCAAGCTATATGATCAGATCGTCCAGAACGACACTACTGCCGATAGAGATGTCTAAAATCACATTCATAGCACAGCAGCCGCAGAAGGGTACCTTGTTCATTTCGTTTATGAGAATTCTTGTCCTCCTCGGGTGGATCGCATAGAGTACAGGCGCAGGTGCATGCGCAGGTAAACAAGTTCATTTTCAGGGCGAAGAACTGATCTGAGACCGTCGGGGAGTTCGTTTTCGTTTTTATTCACCTCCAAATGACCGGGTTCTTGACTTGCCGCTCGCGGCTGAGATTTCTCCATCGTGTTTAACCGTCTTCTCTCCAATCCTGGCATCTAAAACTTCACTATATTCTATGGGCCATAAGCACTGCATTGCATTCAAGATGAAGGAGCAATTGGGGATATTGAATGTTATCGGCTCCAAGGAGCTACACTAGACTCTATAGATCTACACACTGCACAATAGACACGGATTCTGTCTGGTACTATGTGCAGTATGAGCTCCAACTGACCACCTGGGCATTGATAACTCTACAGGAACAAACCGCCAACTGGGATTGACGTCTTGAAGAGTGGTCTGTTTCAGAGCTTCATATCCAGAGCCATTAATGGGTCCATTATAGCATAGCATAGCATAGCATAACGAAAACAACTTTTTGATCATTGTCTGCATCTGGCTAGTCTATGGTGGTTCTCTACAGCTTGGTCCAAGTGGCGGTCATCTTCAACACTCGCAACCCCCAAAGGACATACATATATATATATATATTAGTTTATAACACGGCAGAGGAACAGTGGTCGGGGTAGCCAACCGGTTCAGTAATTTGCATCCTCCGTATCTTGTCATGGACCGGAGTAGTCGCCAGCAAGTGGATCAGCTTGATGGCTCATCTGCATTTGGTTGTGCCCCACGTAATCTCGTGCTCGCCTCGAACTAACAGTCAGCATCGTCTGGTCAGTTAGACAGGAACATTCAACTCCCGGTAAGCCTCCTTCACCTCAGGGTCTTCATCCACCTTCATGACCATCATATCCTGAATGGTCTGGTCTCGAACATCCTTTCTGCTCTGCTCACTCGGGAAAGCAATGAGTTCCCAGTCCAGAGCATTCTTGGCCTCAAAGTACACCTGGTCCACGAGGGTAGACACGTTTTCAATGTCCTGGGGCTTGAGCTTGCCGGTCTTGGCAATGCTGGTCTGTCTGATTTCGTCGGCCTTCTTGTGTCCAAAGAACAGCTCAATCAGCGGTAGATAGAGCTGCATGGCTCCAAGAAGGAACTCGGGCAGAATCTTTCGCAGCACAGAAATCAACTGGTAAGGCAGCTGGATCTTTTTGAGGAATCCATAGGCGTGGAACCACTCGAGCACCTGGATGATTCGGTTGTCCTCGGGACGGGTGTAGATGGTCAGTTCAATGAGAACCTGACATCCCAGAAAGTAGAATCGCCAGAATCGGCCGGTGGGCGCCATTCCAAAGACCCAAAGGAAGAGCAGAACGGCAAAGGTGAGTCCGTGCTCGGCCATGGCGTTCTTGACGCCGGTCGACAACACTTCCCAGTCGGAAATGGCAGACTCCTCCTTCTGTTTCTTGGATTTCTGGCTCTTGGACTCGAAGTGAGAGCCCTCCTCCTGTTGTTTGATGAGCTGCTTGATCTTGTCGACGAACGTGGGTCCGAATCGGTCGTAGCCAAACTTGAGTTTGGGGTCGCTGAGAATCTCGTACGAGGTCTTGAGCTCGATGAAGTCGTCTTCGGCCTGCTTGGGGTCTTTTCCAAGGCTTCGGGCCTTGTCGGGGTGGTTGGTCACAGACAACTTCTTGTACTGTCGACGAATATCACGGGGCAGGGCCGTGGAGGTCAGATTCAGAGCATGGTAGTGACTCTGTTGGTACGAAAGGTCCGAGTTGTCTTTAGTGACATCGTAGTAGCCCTGAGCCACCCGGAACGCCAGCAAAAAGATGCCAATGGTCAAAATGATGCGTTGTCGCAGGTTCTGCTTGCTTTTGATTGTCGGTCGCTCGCCCACCGGATACTTCATTTTCTCGTAGATCCACTGGATGATGGGCGCCAACACCGACGGCAAAATGCTCCACACTGCCACGGAAGAGATGAGCATGTTGGAGGTGTGAAGTAGGATGGGTTTGTCTTATTTGTGATGTTTGTGATGATTGTGTCGTTTCTGCGTCGTTTCTGCGTCGTTTCTAGGCCGTTTTAACGCCGTTTCTGTGTCCCTTGGTTCTGCCACCAAACTGCTGCCACTGGTGTCTTCGAACCCTGACAAACTCAAACCAGGGTCTGCAGAATGCGGGACACGTAAGCAGCGGGGTAATTGCGGTAAGCACGTGAGACTGGCGGGGGTAGAGTGGATCACGTGCACAGACAAACAATACCTATATCCAACACGTACACGTACACGTGTAGGGGCGTCACATGACCTACTCGATGACTAATCCGATGATTTATTGACTCTTTCCATTGCCTGTTATTGAGCTAGTTGCTATGTTTTGTATTGTATTGTAACTGCCTGGCAGACGCGAAAAATGCAACCAAGTCGCCAACACAACTTGAACTGGAAGGGGAGAAAAGTGGCGGCTCGTAGATCACGTGATTACACCTTATGAGGGGGGGGCTAAGCACAACACCACTCCCAGCATTTGTATCTATAGCGCGCAACTGTCAAGGTATCTGACTGCATTTCAATCGGCTTTTGTCGTGTTTTATTTTGTATTTTGGGGGGGGGTTATTTTTATTTTTATTTTTGTTTTTCGTATTTTTTCGTATTTTTTCGTATTTTTTCGTATTTTTTTCGTATTTTTTTCGTATTTTTCGATTATTTTTCGATTTTTTTTTTTTTGTTTTTCGTATTTTTCGATTTTTCGATGGTTTTTTTTTTTGTTTTTCGTATCATCACCACCATAAAATGCCCTAACCCAGAGTCACATGACCGGTCTCTTTGACCATCCCCATTTGGCACTTTTTCTTCTCCTTCGACTTGCCTCTGATCTCATTCGAATTTCCATGTTTTGGAGTTAGTCTAAGAAATATAGATTGTTTCATGTCCAGTTGTTCAGCTCTATGGACGTGACGCAGACATTATTGATATACCATTAGAATCTGCGCAAAAATCTCATCTTTTTGATATATCAAATTCGGGTATTATACAGCTCCATAATTCTCCGACACTGTCCCTTCATCCTAACTAAATTCAACAAATAAAATGTTAGTTACTTGTACTAATTCCCGGCTTAAAACACCCACCCAAAAACGTCCACGTATCTCACATAAAGTGATGGAGAAAGAGTCCAATTAGTGAGTGATAAAGAACTGATTTTGAGAAATCAAATTTTCCAATGTATTTTCATCGTCCCACCGATCAACCTGGTTTTTTCCAATTGTCTCTACAACAAATATTATCAATAATATAAAACCGCCCATCGAGGAATCGAACCAAAGACACAACTCTAACCCCAGATCCAAGACCCTAGGTATGAAGAGAAGAGGTGTTCATCCGATTCTCTTCACTACAACAAAATGAGCGAAAAGGAAGTTTCGTTTGTGGATTTGACGGCTGACGAGTCACGTGACGAGAAGGACGAGGTCGATGTTGCTTCTGTGTCACGTGACGATGCCATTGACGTGTCCGAGGTTCAGGATGCCTTGGAGCAGATTGATTTGGAAGTTGAGGGAGAGGAGGAAGCGGAGGCTGGCGGAGATGCCGGCCATGATGTGGAGGAGGAGCTGGAGGAGCAGGGGTCACGTGACGAACCCGAGGCTGTGGACGAGTCACATGTCAAATCACATGATGAGCTGGTCGGGGAAACGGAGGACACTACGGACATCAAGGAAGACGCCAACGGAACCGACAAACTGTCAATTGACCCTAGTACCAGACATCAGGACTCGCCAATTGCGCTGGAAACCAAAGAGGTGCTTGAAATGACCGAAGATGGGGACGTGGATGAGGAGGAGGTTGAGGAAGCTGTTCAGAAGGAGGAGGCTGAGGTTGACGCCATGGAGGACAATGCAGCTGCCGACGACGAAGCTGATCATCTGGCCGTTCCCGAGGCACCCCAATCCGAGTCTTCGTTCGGAGAATTTGCATCCGAAGACGAGTTTGGAGACTTTGATGATTTCGAGGAGATGCAGGAGACTGAAGCTGTTGAAGCCCAGCAAGTTCCGACGCTGGATACGTCACGTGAAGAGACCCCGATGGCGTCTCAGACGAATCTGTCAATGCCCCAGGCTTCCCCATCGGTCAAATCTGTGCTTGCAGACGACTCGTTTTCGTCCTTCACCTCTCTTTCTTTTGCTGCCAAGTCTGTTCTGGAGGACAATGGCTTGGCACAGGTGTTCCCCGAACCCAAGGAGCCTGCAGGCCAGAAATTTGAGCTTAGTGAGTCTGCATCTCAGATCTACGCTCTTCTGTGCTCGGTTCCCACTTCGGAACTCAACTTTCTGAAGTCGTTCACTCGACGACTGCTTCTCAAAGACGTGGGGGTGCCTCTGGATCTTGACGAGCTGCTCCCTCGCAAGGAAAAACAGCATTTAGTCATCAGACGAAGCCGTCGGTCGCTGGACAAGACGTCCAAGTCAAGAGATAGCACTGATGGAAAGACGCCCCCCGGCGGCTCTCGAGCGGCCACCCCGACTCCTACAGACTCGTCACGTGCCCAGACGCCTGTGACGGTCGATACCGAGCTCAAGCTCGACTCGTGGCTACGGCTGGTGGAGATTCGGCCCGAGCAGCGGGAACGAATGGAGCAGGAAGAGCTTCAGGAGCTGGTCAACCAACTCAAGACGGCCAACTCCGAGGCCAAGCTGCTGCTCAAGCAATGGGAAGACAAGCTGGCGCTGGGATACAAGAACAAGGAGGCGTTTGAAGCTGTTGTGGAGAACATGGTCGGGTTTGCCCAGAAGCAGAGATTGAAGAAGGGCGGTAAGAAGAAGTGAACAGAGTGCCCCGTGAACGGAGTGAACAGAGGTTGGAATAACGAAAACAACAACTACGACAACGACTACGACAACGACAACGACAACGACAATGACCACGAATCAAATAGACAAATATTTATTGCATACTACACAACTGACGGTTGGAATGTCAGTAGATCTATCCAGGTGCTTGGATTTGCACCAGAAGACCAACAAGTTGGTCAACTGATCGTATGCCTTTAGATATGCTCGTATAGGCACTTGTAGATCCACCAATCTCCCTCAGTTTGTATTCAAAAAGTGCAACCAGTGGGTGCATTTGATTACGTCGCCATCTACGCGTCCAAAACGGTGCAAGGCAGTCGCACCAGTATGTGTGTTTACATATGCAATAAATATCATGTCTAATTAACGGGAACGGCACTGGCGCCAATCTCCTCCACCTTCTTGGGAGCCTCAACCGCAGGCCGAGGAATCACTTCGAGGTAGTTGGCCGGCACGTATCCGCTTCGGCCGTCCCGAGTTCGCACTCGCCACCATTGCGAGGGGTTGCCCATGGGGTCTGTCTTTGCGAGAACCGCCACCAGGTCGCCCTTTCGCAGCTCGAGCTCCAGCTGAGGGTTCTCGGGCACAAAGTCAAAGTTGGCCCGGCAGAACTCCAGCTTGGAAGGGTCGATTTCGGCGCCACCCTCCATACCAGGGCCGCCCATTCCCATCTGGGCACCAGGCAGCAGGTTGCCATGCTCATCGTACATGCCCTCCTGCTTGGCGGCCAGCGCCTTGATCAGCCGACCCAGCAGGTAAGGCAGACCAAAAACGGCCGTCAGGAAGAAGAGCAACGGCTTGTACGAGGGCCGGGGACCTCTTCCGGGACCCGCCGCTCCGCCAGTAGCCTCGAACTTGGCGAAACCGGCAGGAGTGATGCCGTTCGCACCGGTGACAGGCTGGCCAGACAGCTTTGCCACCAGCCGGCGGGCCCACCGCATGATGGCGTAGATGCCGAGCAGCGAGCCGAGGGTGTTTTTCAGGTTGCCAAACTGCTCTGCAACAGAGACCATGGCGAAGAAGGACGACTGGGTCGCCATGTAGGTGGACTCGAGCATCTGCGCGAATCCACCCACGGCTCCAACGATGCTTTCGATCAGCTGGAATGTGGCCTGGGTACCTCCTGCCAGACCGTTCTGACCCATGGGTCCGCCACCCATACCTCCGTATCCTCCGTATCCCCCCATGCCTCCGTACGAGCCGTAGCCTCCATATCGAGAGCCGTACATGCCTCCCATGCCGCCCATTCCTCCGTAAGATCCGTATCCACCGAGTCCCGAGCCGTAGCCGGAGCCATACGACGAACCCATGCCGTATGATGATCCGTAGCCGGAGCCATAAGACGAGCCCATGCCGCCATAGCCCGAGTTCATGCCTCCGTAGCCCGAGTTCATGCTAGAGCCCATAGGCGAGCTCAGGGCGTTGGAGGTAGAGCCCATGGCCGAGGGTCTAGACGGCAGTTCGGGGGCTCCAGTTGCGCTGCCGGCTGAAGACGACACGGCGTCTGTGGAGGCCGGGGTGGCTGTTGCCGCCGGTGTCGCGGTGGCTGCGGAAGAGCCAGAGGCGCCTTCCCATGGTTTTGGTCGTGGCACGCTCATGTTTGCCTTGTGTTGTGTTGTGTTGTGTAGTGTAGTGTTGTGTAGTGTTTTTGAGAGAGAGCTGTGTTTGTGTCGCTTGTGTCGCTGTCGTCGTAGCTGCTGTTTTTGTGTCGCTTGTCTACTGTAACTCGTAGTTTGAAGTGTCCCGTCGTCAGTTATAAAGACTGTGCAAATACAAGGGAGAAAGTTGTGGAGAGATTCGGAGGAGGGTGAACTCAAACGAAAGTGGTAGTTTAGGGTTTATACGTTGGATTTTGACATTGAGAACATTGTAGAACAGATGTCTCCAGAACGAGCTGCAGCGGTCCTAGAGAGAAGCCGGAACCTCTGTTGGGATCACGTGATCTTTATGGGTGATATTTCCGCGTGAAATCCCCCCTTTTCCACCTTCAACGCCTCCAAGAACTCCCTCTTTTCTCTCTACTTTTTCACAAGAGTGGGAAACCTTATTTTCATGCATGTTTTCCCCACGTTTACCTCGGCAAAAATCACGTTGGCGGGGTGCACCGTGTAGGGTAACTAACGGCCGTGCATACACCGAGGCGTTGGTTCGAGGCGCGGTCCAGCACTTTTGGACAGTTGGTGGTTTCTGTGCGAAATCGGGGAACTGGCCAATCAGGGGCGAGTCTTTTTTGCATGTTTCTTTTTCGGAAAATCCGATTTTGCTCTCCAAGCAACCCTAACTTTTTGCCACCAGTTTCAGAAGTTAGCACCGGATTATTTAAAAAAAAATTGAAAAATGGCGAAAAAAAAATGGAAAAAAAAAAACAGAGAAAAAAAAGAAGAAAAAAAAACCGGAAAATCGGAATGAGAGAATGTGAAGACAGTGACGTAGAAGATGGTGAAATACACAAGACGGTGAGGTACAAATTCACCTGAAGTCCCAGTACAAGGGTACACTCGTATTTGCACGTATAGAATTTATTTAATTAATTAATTAATTAATTAATTAATTAGTATGTCGGAGTTCGACTTGTGAATCAATGTACGGGTACAAGTACGAGTACTTGAAGTGATGAATGTCCTAATCTGTACAACCATTCTAGAGACTGTCGCATTCATGGCATCGGGCTCGGATTCTTCCAGCTCCTCCGTGGAGTCAGAAACCGCCATCTCTTCAGCAACATGAGGAGATGAAAGACTACCTGTAGTAATCACTCAAGATCCTGCAAACTGCAAGTTGGATCTAGGAGATTCTCGGCGCAATGTCTTCATCCCAGGCTTAGAGACTGGATCGGTAATCTGGTCTCTACTTGCTCCAAGACGCGTTTACATCCAACTCAAGAGCTAGGACGGAGAGGAATCAAGTTGATACCACTGTTTTGACACTGATATGGTTGCTCTTTTGGTCTTTGGACTCAGAAAACAGGTACTATGACGTCTGTCAACGGTGGAAGGAGAGCCTGGCACCGCATTGAGTTCCATTATCAAGTTCAAGGGTTGGAGCTTGGACGAGGGTCGGACAGGGGTTGGATTCAAATGCGCGAGGCGGTACTGTATGTACTGTACTGGAAGGTGTCAGGTCTCATGTCTCTCGTCTCTTCTACTTGTAGTCTTTCTTCTTCTCATACACGTCTAATACACGTTCCTGTTAATAATCCATTCTATTATAGTCGTAGCAGTTGGAGTCACTTGGGCATCTCGTTCCAATTCACTCAAATCCCCCCAAGTAACGGTCACTGCTTCGCATCTCGCAATGTTGAGCTCGTTAATGACCTCCAGTAGTAGGCAGACCGACCGACAGCTTGAAAGTATCGTAAATGAGCCACTGCATACCGGTCAGGGTACCAATCATGAAGATTCGCACCGGCAGACCGTTCCAAAGACCCTTGAAACCAATTCGCTTGTAGATTCGCTCCACGGTCTGCAGAGTGGACTCGCCGGGCTTCTGCTCACTGTTGACCTTGGAGACCATGACGTCGGCGGGGTGGGAAATGACGGCACACAGAATACCGGCCAGGTAACCTCCGGCAAAGGAGACTCCAATCTGCTGGGCGGTGGAGAAGTCCTTCTTGGGCTTTCCGAGATACTCGTAGATCTTCTCGACAATCTTCTCGAACGAAGCAAACTTGACCATGGTGTAGGGGATCTGTCGGAACCAGAGGGGACCCAGACCCTTCCAGAGACCGCCCAGACCCTCGGAGGCGACAATCTTCTTCCAGCCGTCAATAGGGCCCTTGGCAAAGGGAGGAATGGTGGTCTGGGTTCGCACCTTGATGGCCTCCCAGGGACACAGAAAGATGTCGGCGATAAACTCGGCGGTGGCAGAGGCCGCCAGGAACACTCCCGTCTTGTACTTGGACGCGTAAGGCTCGCCCAGAAGCTGGGAGTACTGGTACTTGAACACCTCGTAAAGTCCGTACTTTCCGGCTCCCTGGAAGGAGTAACCGATAAAGGTGGCTCCCAGACCGGCCCAGATGCCGCCAAAGCCCTCGGTGGCCATGATCTTGGACCAGCCCTGCAGATTGCCCTTGTAGATGTTAGGGTCCACCTGTCGTCGACACTTGACCACATCCAGAGGAGTCACGGCCGAATGGGTGGGGCCACAGGCAATGATTCCTCCAATGGTGCAGGCCAAAAAGTACTTTGTGGAATACAGCTCGATGGGCCCAGTCTTCTTGCGCAGCTCGTCGACGCCCTTTTGAACCTCCTTCTCAACGCCCTTGGCGGCTCCGTCCAACGACGCTCGGATCCAGAAACTTGGTGATGATTGCGACATGGTCTTTGTGTGTCCCAAATGTGTGTGTTGACCACCACTCTGGCGATGGGAGGGTGTATTTATACATTTCATTGTCCAGTCCCTAGAATCAAAACTAAAGACTAATGTTTAATACCTCATGGGGGGGCACAATGTCCGATTGCTGGTCAATTTTTGGACTTTTTTAAAAAATAAAGACACCAATCAACTCTTCTCGTCAAGAAAAATCTCCCCATTTTTTCGGAATTCCAAAATTCCAACTCCTACAACCTCAATTGAACTGCCCAGTATCTTGACCACCAGCGCCAAGGTTGCTCTTGCCGGAAATATGCACCATTATTTCCGAAAGACGAAGCGAATAAGATGGTGGGTTTTTGCGCCATTTGCGATGCGGCACTTTGGCACGGAGAAGAAAGAACAGCAGGGGGGAGTTTTCGGCTCAATAATATCTAGATCACGTGACCCCGCCGCCGCCGCGGGCCCCATTTCGCAGATGACTAATCGGTTTGTCTCCAGCAGCAAAACCTTGTTTCGCGGCGTTATTTCCACTTGCCTTATCTTCGGACTTGGAGCCGCAGCATGTCGGAAAAACTGGTCAAAATGGTCGGAGTTGGTCATGTGACTGTCACGTGAGGTGTGAGCGAGAGGAGAATTGATTTGCAATGTTAAATTTGTATGAGATGGTTACAGGGTTATGAACATGTCTCTTTTTGTTTTATATTTCTATGGTTTTTTATTGGTTTTTTTTTGGTTTTTTAAATTATTTTTTGATTTTTTTCGCTTTTTTCACATTGTTCAAACACACTAATCTTAGCCCCAGTCCGATGACGTAATTGAAGCGGTTTGGGGGGAAACACGTGACCAGAGTGGTTCCGTGGTTGCCCTGGGGGCTTCTTTCAGCTGACTAAACCCGGTCACGTGCCTCTTGGCCCGGAATCGGTCGAATTTCGTCGGATTTTCATGCGGCTCCGGATGCGGCTGGTTTATAATAGGAAATAGGAAACAAACGCCTTAGCCGTGTGGTTAGTCAGCGGATATTTGGAGAGGGAGTGGGTTAGTCAGGATTCATGCGGGAATATGAGAATCGTACCGTACTCTTCTGGCCAATGTGGTTCCGAAGAACGTGACTCCAGGCTGTTCCACTGACCTCCCATCTGACTCCAGCCTTCTGAACTACTGTCTTAACCTGGTACCAATTGCACCTGTGAAAGGTATATATTTATATCCGTAATGGAGTTTCAAGTACTGCTCATATTATGTCAAAACAGTTTTCTTGACTGTCTGCTTGCTCACAAGTCGGCCCAAAAGTTGAGCTTGGTTGGGCGAGTTCGGCGTGATTCAACGGACGTTTGAGCGGCCGTCGTGACGATCTGTCGCTTGGCTTGTGGTCATTTTGGTTAGGGTCATTTTAGTTGCTGGAAGTGTACTGGGTCGGTTTGGAGAAGAAAAAATAAAAATAAAATTATTATATTATTATATTATTATTATATTATTATTGTTATTGTTATTAATTTGGTAGAAATCGGATTAAACACAAAATTGACATGTTTCACGTGATTTGTTCCCCTGATATCATCATATTTCTCAATCCATCTCTTTCGGTCCATTTTCGGCATCATAAATTGGTGCAATAGCCGGACGCGTCGGGCGCAAAATTAAAACTCGTCTTAATTAGGCATATTAATTAATTGGCGCATATTCGAACCTTGTTAATATTATTAGATGCACTTTTGGAGGAAGGGGTTGGACCAGCAAGTGAGTCGGTACAGTACTTGTACAGTACTTGGGTTGAAGTTTCTGATGGAGGGGTGGGGTCACGTGACCATCACCTCAATGCGTGGCCATCGTCGGTCACACACACCTCACGTGATCCCCCAGTAGCACTCGCATCGTCCTCCTCTCGTATTCGCTACACGTGCATGTGGCTGTTACACGCACACAATGCATGTGTTTCAGATGTTGGACAGGTCGCTGGAAGCCATCTAAGACAAAAAAAAACAAAAAAAAAGCTGATTCGGGGGTCTTTTCCAGCCGTGTTAGACTTGTCTTGACCCCTTGGTAGCTACTACTTGTAGCACAAGACTTGAAATGTTGAATCAAGGGGCATTGCCTACGGCAGCGGGATAGTGGCTGGTTAGCGTCAACAAGGGTATAGACCGGGTAATAGGTGGATGGAAACGGGATTGAAGGACGTTTTCGAGAGTATACACGCGTTTTCCCCATCACGCGCGTCTTTTTTGACACATTTTTCGAGCTCTTGTTGTCTTTGTCTGTCTGTCTTTTTGTCTCTGTCTACCTCTGTTTGCCCGTCCGATTATCGCGTCGATCCCTGCGTCTTAGAGTTGAATCTAACCCGTTTGGGATCGGCTGCAACCGTGGATCTGAGATCCAGGGGTGTATAAGAGATTGACTGTGGTCGGTGTGACGGGAACATCAGCGGGTTTTTTACCAGGTTGCCGAAGACAGATCAAACGAGACTGTCGACAGCACAAGCAACGTCTGATTCAAGCAGCATCTGATTCAGAAAACTTTGCGAACCGTTTTGAGGAGGGTGGTTTGTTATAATAGCAAGCAAAGAGGTGTTAGAGGACCGACGAAACCGACTGACGAAAACGACACACACATAAGAACCACCATTTCGCAATCAGTGTTCTCAACTTGTGATCTTGGACATCATCCGACACTCTTCACGGATAGAATGTTAGCACATGTTATACACCTGGTCCTGCCGCACCTCGCGGCCAAGGACACCAAGAACCTGTCGCTGACGTCCCGAGACCTCTACAAGACCATGGTGGCTCTGGAAGCGCGCCACTTTCTCGCCAGCAAAGACATCTGTCCCTGGAGCCAGCCGTTCGACTTGTCGTGGAAACAGGTGGCCGAACAACTCATTCCCCCGGAGAAATTCAAGCAGATTCCCCACCTGGACCTCAATCTCCACCAGCACACACCGTTTCGACCCTCCCCTCTTTCGCTCTTGTCGGAATCGGCCCAGGGACACTTCACTCTGGTTGAAGAAGAGGAGTTCATTCACGAGGAGCTGTGGGACACTCTGGTTCCCGACTCGGCGCTCATTTGCGACGCCATGTATCAGGACCCGACTCGAGTCCGGTTGGAGCAGGTCCAGACCTCCATTTTCGACAACAACTCCCTCGACGACCCATTTTTCGACCTCACGACCGGCACCCGGGCGAAAACGCCCAGACAGACCCAAACGTCGCCCCAATCGCCCCCCAATGCCTTCTCCTTCTTTGCTAAAAACCGCCAGTGGACCTTCACGCTGCCCAACCCGAAAAAAAACGAGTATCGGGTCACCGCAAAGGCATACACGCTGACGGGGTGTGCGGTTCTGGTCAAGTCGAAGACCAGATGGCTTCTGGTACTTTTGGAGGAGGGCAAACAAACGACAATTGCCCTCCCCATAGCTCTGACCCCGATTCCGGCCGGGGTGGCCACCTCTGGAGCTCACATTTTCATCTGGGAACCGCTCCACACCGCCACCAGCAACCTGTACGTGGTTACCAATGGCACTTGCCACTTTCTGGCCTCCTTTAAGGGGACCACGGCGTTTCCAGCCCCCCTCTTGCACAACCAGACCCTTCATCTAGTCCACAGAAACTCCATTGTCACCGTGGATGTCACTGGCAACAAAAAGATCCAAAAGACAAGCCTCAACCTCCAGGGAAGACTTCTGGGCAACGTCCAGTGTCTGGGCGACAGATACCACCACATGTCCTACGGCTACAAGGGCTCCATCTATCGAGTCTTGCTCAACACCGACACCAAACGGTACTGCGTGGTTCCCAAGCGTGACGACGACGGATACCTTGTCTATTGCGACGGAGAGTGGAAGCGGTACTTTTTCAGTCCAAAATTCTGGGCCATCGAGCCTCTGAGTCCCGTTTCCATGTGACTCCATAGACAGAGATGGCATGTCGAAAGAGAAGAGTCAGGACAGATGATATAATCAGATGACATAATCAGATGACATAATCAGATGGCATAATCAGATTACATAATTAATTAATTTATATTGCTGGATATACAGAGAATGTCCTATTTCCACAGACTGCAACCCTCCATCGTCTGATCTCTCTCTCACCAAACGATCAAGGACTGGCAAAAGACATCGAAACAGGTTCTAGGATTATTGTTCCACACGAGAGGAGTACAAGACCCTCTCTCCATCCAACTGAACCTCAGTCCAACCAGTTTTCTTTTGGTTATCTTCATTGTGCTGTGCTCACAATTAGACATGCTTAGTTGACTAATTACTTGGGAATTGTTAGAAAAAAACCCGGCTGGGGGTCTTTTTTGGACGTTCAAAAACAGCTGGAGATTCGCAAAAGGTTTCATTCGGTAACTAAAACACCAGTTGCTAACATAATTCGGAAATAATCGTGTTTTTTACTAGCAATATCTCTGCTATCGACGATTCAAGTTGCAGGATCAAGTATTGTTTGTTGGACACTTTGTTTAAGAATACTTGAAGAATGGAGCAGAAAAAATTATGCTGAGCACGCCAAAGTGAAGTTTGACGGCAGTGATCGCCCATTAACGAAGTTGATAAGGGAATACAACATGATCCGGAGATAACGAGACTAAAGAAACTCCACTGTCTCTGTTCAAACCGTGTCACACAGATTCGAGTTGATCAAGACGAGTTCAATCACATGTATCTGACCCAGCCTTCGGTTCCAACCTTCGAATTGGGCTCAAATCTCCTGTGTTGAAATTATGACATTATCGGATCTGTTGTCTACAAGTACTGTACTTGTACTTGTACATCTCTCTACCTGCGACCTCCCCAGCTCGCATACACAGATTAAATTACATATAAATACACACTCCCATACTCTCTAATTGTACCCATTCTCAGCAAGAACCTCGGCCAGAGTGTTGGCCAACACGTCGATCATACGGTCTATCTCCACCCGGGTGACGGTGTACGCGGGAGACACCATCATGTGGTCTCCGAGAACAGAATCAATGGTGCCCTTGCCCTTGAGGAAATGGGCGCCGTTCTCAATGCACCGAACATGCATGATGCCAGCCAGGTTCATGGAGGCCGGAAACACCTCCTTGGTCGCCTTGTCCGCCACAAACTCAACGTCCCAGAACAGACCCCGGCCCCGCACGTCTCCGACATAAGGGTTGTCTGCAAACTTGCGCTTGAGAGCCATGCCCAGATACTTGCCCATCTCGAAGCACTCCTCAATGAGATTCTGGTCGAAAATAAGCCGCTGGATCTCCAGAGCCACGCCAGTGGCAAACACGTGGTCCTGGTAGGTCTGGTGGCCGTAGACAATGCCCGAGCCCTTCTGGAAAACGTCAAAGACCTTGGGGGAAAGCAGGACTCCTGCGAGAGGAACGTAGCCACCTCCTAGTACCTTTGCCACGGTCTGAATGTCGGGGCCGCCAGTGCCGGCCTCAAACTCGGGCTCCCAGGCGTGGTAGGTACCGGTTCGACCCATGCCACACATGACCTCGTCCAGAAGGAACAGAGCGCCGTACTTGTGGCAAATGTCTCGGCAGCCGGAAATGTAGCCCTTGGAAGGGGGCACGGCACCGAGAGTGGCGCCAATCACAGTCTCGCACACAAAGGCAATGACCGTGTCGGGGCCCAGCTCCTGGAACTTGGCGTCCAGCTCGTCCAGCAGCATTTGGGTGTACTGCTCCTCGGTCTGGCCGTCCTTCTGGTGCCGGTAGGGGAAGCATGTGGAGACCTTGTGGAAGGCCTTGGAGTTGAGAATCTCTTTGTAGGGCACCTGTCGGGACTTGAAGCCGCCGAGGGAAAGAGAGCCAAGGGTGTTGCCGTGGTAGGAGAAGTCACGGGAGATGAAGTTGCATCGCTGGGTTTGGCCCTGCTCGTAGAAGAACTGGGTGGCAATCTTCATGGCGGTCTCGTTGGCCTCCGACCCGGAGTTGAGAAACAGGGCCCGCGAAAAGGCCCCGTTGGACTTGGATAGAATGAGCTCGGCGAGATCGTCGGCCTGCTTGGAGCCCACGGCATGCGTGAAGATGTAGGGCAGACCAGCACAGTGCTGCATGGCCTGCACGATTCGGGGGTGGTTGTGGCCCACGGCGGCGACGGCAGCCCCGGAGGAGCCATCGAGGATGTCGTATTGGGCGCCGGTCTTGGGGTTTTCCAGTGTCAGGTAGGAGCCTTTGCCAGCGATGGCTCGGGGGAGGTCCGCATTCACGGCGTTCTGGAAGATGGACATGGTGAGGGGTGCAATAGGTGAATCTGTGTTAGCAATCGAGGTGGGGTAGTCATCAGCTTTTGGCAACAGCATGGGCTCAACTGGTTCTGTGACACACAAACGCAGTCCATATGTCGGTGTTGCAACCACCTGTTGTTCCAGACAAGTCAGGTGGCTCAGACCCATGGAGACATACGGGTTGATAACCCCACATGATCCAAGCCAGGGACACGTACTAGTCGCCTGTCACTACAGATCAACGTAGATACTCACAATATCAGGTGTTGAAGGAAGAGAAGTCTAGATTGAGACACAAAAGAAGTTTCGAGGTGTACGATGTCTCGTGATGTGTTGTGTTTGTGGTGATTCTGGGTCGGTGTGAATCTGGGTCGGTGTGAATCTGGGCCGGTGTGATTCTTGGTCGGTGTGATTCTTGGTCGGTGTCAGTCACGCTGTGTGTATCTTCTGTTTCTTGTTCTTTCGATGTCTGTGTCAACTCCGTTCTAGTGTGTGGGTCAAAACACCGGGCAACAAGACGTCTATATATACTTGGGCTATCTTTTTGACTACGGCCTTGTTGTCACCACGCATTATCTTTTTGGCTATCGTATCGTATCGGACATGCGACATAGTCCAACTGGATCTGAACATGTCGGATATGCGATTCCGCAAGTGACAAGTGACAAGTGACAAAGAGAGGCAAGGGAGCTCGCAAAAGGACCGAGTTATAAACAGAATCCTCAGGGAACCGATCCCTGGATCCCGCCGCCCGAACCAACAGCGTCAATGACGACCGGACTGTGTTGCCTCCCGTTTCCGAGCCCCTTGGAAGCCCGTGTCGCCGCCCCGCCCATTTCGAACCCCCGTCACCCTCTTTGCACCCTCTTTGGTGCCTTATCAGAGCACAATACCCGTACCCCTGGTGCATCAACAATCCGCATTTCACACCAGATAATGCATCCATGCCGCACCCAGCACCAGATCCAAGTTGCCCAAAACGGGTCGCAGAGACACAAAACCACATCCACACGAATCGCCCCATCCCCAGCTCCACCTCCATCCACTTTCTTTCCTTCCCTTGCGTCCTCCTTCACCTACATTCTCCGTCTCCGTCCCCCTCCCCCACGCCAATCACCTCCGTTCCCCAATCACTAGCCTGACTCGGCGAGCAAAAGCGAAAAACGGAATCAATCAAATCAAAGCCTTATCATAGTGGTGTGCTCTTATCTGACCTCAGCAAGATAAGCACCGTGGTATCAGATATCTCCAGAGTATCCTCATTTTTTCCCGCCGTCTGGACGCCTCACAAGACGTTGCAAACACACCGCCGCGGCCAAAATCGCCGCCCCGCTTCCCCACAATATATATACACACGCCGTTACCCTCTATATCGACGCTTAGGCAAGCCACAAAACCATCAGAACGCCACACCAGGCCTATCGCCCAAAGAGACCCACGCAATTAGGAGGGGACCCGCCAATTCCGAAGCGTTGACGCTGTTTGGAACTTTGATAACGGTTGGCGTCTCACAGATAAGCCCCCGGTGATATGGTGTCATTGAGCTTATGTGGGAGGGCAGAGAGGAAGGAGCGGAGACCTGGACATTGACAAAATCACGACTGTTGCATTATGGTGGGAATCGATAATTTTACCACAATCTGAGAAGACACGTGATCAGAGATCCAGGAAACCCCCTTTTTCTCGTTTATCGCTAGAATCCACCACAATTTCCAGTCCGTCTCGCCTATCACTGACCCAGTGATTTGGACTCGGCGATTTGGAACAAAGAAAAAGCAAGAAAAAAAGAAAAAGCAAAAAGGAAAAAAGGAAGAAAAATAAATTCCTTTCGGCTCACATTTTGACCGACTTTATTTGGGGTGGGAAAAAGATAGACTTGGAGAGTCTTGTGTCAAAGCATTACTCTTTTTCAGCTCCTATGACATCTCACTCTCATGGTCTTTTTCTCGTGAACATTCCTATGCTTTAGGGTTTTCGGTACCTCATATTGAATGGGTTGGATATTTGGCATCAATCTTGGTGAAAACCGGATAGATATTGAAGATTTTGCAGATATAAAGGTACCTTCTTCTGCCTCGTCATCTTCTGATTCAGACAGTATATTTTTCTTTTCTGTCTGGTCACTTTTGAACGTCTTTCTCTACAGTTCAATCTTTTTATCACCATGAGCTTCCGCTCATGCCCTGATTTCGGCGCCGTCAGACATTTTTCATACGACTGGTACCACGGGGTTCTCGACCCGACATTCTCTTCAAGCGTGTCGCGTGACAATCCTGGTGTCACGTGACCCGCACCCTTCATAATCCCAGATCCAATTCTAATTGTACATTCCTAACGGGGTGGATATAGACACTCTTAGTCACACTGATACTGGACCTGGGGATTTGGGGACGTGAGCCAGTCACGTGATGTACTTGCGATCTCGGTATTTCAAGTGATAACAACAACCGACTAATCCGCAGCAAAACTTTGGACTTTTTTTAGATGTTTTTTTTTTTTTTTTTGAGTCGATATTGAAACCATCTTTTTTTCCGTCACTTTTCTTGAATTTTCTACAAAAATTCCAACACCTTTATCTCGCCAAAAAGTGTACAAAAATACACTGAAAAAAGAACAAAAATACAACTCACACATAGATCACATGACATCACTCTGCACACCCATCCAAATACGGACTCTTTCTGCCCTTTTGGGTAAGATCCTGGAATGTAGCCGTTTGGGATTGGGTCGCGTGCTTGGGGTTTCAGAGACACAAAAAGAAGCCGAAAAATCGCCCAAAAAAGCAAACAACAATGGCTTTGGACTGTTCCGCGGCTTCTGGCGAGTTTTTGCTTGCACTATGTAAAGTCCAGCTGGTCTGAGACTCATATGTAGACACCTGAGACCAGTGTTGTGTTTGTTTGAGACATTTGGGAGGTGGCCAAAAGCGGCGAGAAAAACACGTCCGATAAACGAGATTGGCAAAAGCCTCATCTCTTCGGTGCGCAAAACATGTATGTAGAACTCTTTGTGCACTGTATGGTCGTATAGAGAGGGCTGGAGGGTAGAGTGTCAAGTAATATGGTTGGTAATGTTAAGTAAGTATAAAAAATCATAATTGACAAAATTCCACCTAATAACAGAAAAGTAAATACAAATAATGAAGTAAAAATAAATAAATAAATATCTCTCAAATGACACACAAATACACAGAAAATTCAACAAGCAACCAAGAGACGTGCAAAAAAACACCAAAAAAATTCACACTCCTTCTACTTCAGTATTTCCCGATTTGTCCTCATTTATTGACACTAAAAATTAGCCCAAAAATCCACACCAACACTAAAATAGACACCGACATCGCAGTAGATCTCCAGCCGTACCCTCATCATCTCTAGCTACAAAATAGCACTTTTTCTAGTCGTTTTTTTCCCCCTTCTATTTCACCATTCAATCTTCTCTCATTTTTGACTATTAAATCGCAATATTCTTTTCCCTCACTTAATCCGCGTGGTGTAGACTTTGCACTGTAAACTCTACACGAAAAGAATGCGCATCAGGGTTAGGGTTACATAGTTACAGGGTACAGGGGTGTGTAATCGGCGGAGTGGGGCAGGGTTAGGGTGCAGGTGGGGCAAAAGGGCTAGGGCAGTGGGGCGCAGATTAGATCCGGGTTAGGGTAATCTTGTATGATATTAGTGTGCAATTGAGTTTGAGGGTGGTGGGGGAAGATGGAATTTTGAAAATATTGTAGTTTTTCGAGGAGAATTGTGATTTTAATTCCGGATAGATAATTAGGTAGATTGAGTCTTGGATATTGGATTTGTTTTTTTAAAATCAATTTCCGATTAAATTTGAATTTATTTGAATTTATGGATTTTATCTAATTTTTCAAAAAGGATATTTGATAATAATTGTATAATAAAACAAGAGTGCCGTTCAGAGAATCAAAAAACGCCCATATTACATCAATCGGGTTAAATAACCAACTCTGAAACAGTCCAAGTCGTAGCACTATTCCCAGTTGAATATGAACACTTCTATGATCAATGACTAATACTGAGTTGAGAGATATTTTAAAAAATCAAATCAATAGTAGAAGTAAGATGAGGTCATTGACTTCACAAATGCAAATTATCATCATCAAAAAGAATTTTTCACTATATGCACCTGTCTTTTCTCAATCTCGTTCTACTTGTAGTTCGTATAACGTCTCGTAAAAAAGGTCATACGGAACGTTAGAACTAGCGTTGAAGCTGCCATTGTTTGTTTCAAATAATATTTCTGGCCAATTTACGCTGGCTCAAAAGCCCCAGGAACCGTTCCCCAGCTCCTCATCTCCACAGTATTTTTTTAGACGGCTTTCTATTAGATGAAACAAGTTTCTGAGAAAAGATTGAGATCCCGACAGATGACTGTCGTATCAAGGAGAGTGTCAGTGTCAGAGATAGCTTAGGATATTTGAAGATTTGTGATATTTTTTTCACAATCAATTTGGAGTCGTTATTGATTGAATATGAATTGTTTCGATTTTCAGCTATATCTGTCGATAATTTGTAAATATTCGAAATAAATCAACGTCCACTTTTGAGACATCTGTGGGTTCATACACCCCACTATGTACAACTACCAATATTCAGAGCTCATTCGAAACAACCGCACAGTGTCTCAGTACAGTAGGACTGGCGACAGCTGACATGTCGTGGGGTGACATGGGTTTTGTGCTGCCCATGACAGTGGCTGTGTGCCATTGCAGTGGTGTTGTGGTCATGACATTAGCCCTGTGGTGCCCATGACACTGGCTTTGTGGCCATGACATTGACCCTGTGGTGCCTATGACACTGGCTTTGTGGTGCCTATGACACTCCCTGTGTGCCATGACACAGACCCTGTTGTGCCTGCCTATTGCATGTCTGGGCACCACACGACCCATGTTGTGGGCACCACCTGGGGTCTGTGGTCACCACAAGGACCGTGTCGTGCAAGTCCAGGAATGAGCAAGGTACAGTGCATCTTCAGCATACTGAGACGGGCATGTGGAGGTTACTGTAGGCAGGCCATTCCGACCTTGGCGCCCCTGATGGTCTGCATGTCATTGGAAATACTGGTTCCCCACAATGTCGATCCCGTGGAATATTAATCCGTTTTTTATGCCGGAAATTTGGGGAAAATCGGAGAAATCGCAACGCGGTATTAGTGGCAGAAATAAATGGGAAAAATCAATAAATCAGAATTACTTCCCACTATGGACGCCATTAAATATCACATAATCGGTACGGAAATACCCCACAGAGCCCTGTCATAATTTTCACGAGTTCAAAGTTAAGGCTCTATGTTATTTTTGGGGAGTTAGATACAGTCGATATCGGGGTTTAGAGCAGGATAGTTCAGATTCTGAAGAGTGATTTTTGTCGAGAAAAAACCGACAATTGTTATTACAATTTTTGATGTCCAAAACGTTTGGCATTTCACACGCTGAGAATTTCTGCGAATTTCTGCGAATTTTGCGAATTCAATTTATTTTTATTTTTAGCCCACCTTGGGAGCAAGCGGGGAAGTGCTTAAATTTAAAGTTGCACAATATGAGAGGTAGGGTAAGTTGGGTGTGAAAACGAAAAATTTAACAAAAAAAAAGTGTAAAAAAACGAAGCGAGAAAATAGCGATAAATAGCGAGCAAAAAGCGATAATATAGCGAACAACAAACGAAAAACAAACTGGGATGGTGCAGATAGATGATTTGTATGGATAGACAATTAAATCAATTAAATTCATTAATTCAATAAACCAATAAATAATCAAATCATTAAGGCGAATTAATTGAGGCATAAAAATTAATAAAAGGGTCAAAGAAAAGGAGAAAATCGGGAAAAAACGGAACCATCCCAGAATCCCTCCAAACCACCTACCACCATCTCCTGCGACTCCCCACCACGTCGCAAAACCACCTCTTACACACCTGTCTCAAAAAAATACAAGGGTATGGCGAGATATTGTTTGTCTTTGTCTTAGGTTTGGTGGGGTGGATATGTTGGTTATTTTGGGCGTATTTTTTTCGACATGCCCAAGGAGGCAGTTGCAGGGAGGGGTGCGGGGAAAATGGGAAAAAATGACAAAAAAAGATAGTAAAAAAAAAGGACGAAAATAGGGGGAGGATGAATAGAATGAGAGCTCCTTATTAATCCAAATATCGATTCTGTAACTCTTATATTCATCGAGACATGAACACGGAATATCCATTTAGCTCAAACTCTTTTTTCTTTGTTAGTTTTGTCGCTAAAGCCGCGATGTCGGTGATGTAGATGGGATTAGAAGAACGGGGGAAAATGATGGGATATTTTGAAGCACAAAAAATTGTAGAGAACAGGATCAGGGTCCGACTTCTGAAATCATGAAAAATATCCGAGCATTATTCGTCGAGATAAATACTTTTTTCATCCACTTTTCGATAACTCAAAATATTCTTTGTTCAAAACACGGCTGTTATGAATGTGTTTCCAAGTCGGTGGATATGAATGGGAATGGAATAAAAGTCGTACAATTGTAGAGCCCTAATTGGTAGCTTCAACTTGGTACCATTCATGTCTTTCAAAAGCTCTCTCTACCCTTTTCCAGCCTGGCCATATCCCGGTTTTCACTTTCCCCCCCCTCTGTCAAACCTAGAAACGATCGACAGGAATATAAATACCACCTCTTCCTTAGACGTTCGAATTCTCTCTCCCAAACACACTCTCGTTAATCTCGTCTCCAATGAAGTTCTCCGCCGTTGCCGTTGCCGCCGTCGCCTCCAGTGCTCTGGCTGCTCCCTCCCCCCGACTCCAGTCCCGGGAGATTCTTGTTTCCGGCGAAAATGCCGCCCAGGTGGTGGCCGACTTCGCTCCTGTTTTCTCGCTCGCTCCTGGCTCCTTTGCCGCCCAGGCCCAGCAGTCGGTTGGATTCCTTGACTTCTCCGGTTACATCAACTTTGCTGTTGGCCTTCTGCAGACCGGTGGCCAGTTCCTCAAGGACACCGGCAAGGCCATCACTGACCTGTCTCTCAACGAGCTGGGCCAGGCTATCTCCAACGCTCTTCTGGGCGTGCTCAAGTACCTCAACGCCTTCCTGGACGTGGTCAAGGGCGGTACCCGGTTCGACCAGGCCGTCTACGCCTTCATTATCAACTCCGGCCTCAAGGACTTCCTCACCAACGTTGGAATGTGGATTGTCAACCTGTCGCAGAAGATTCTCATGTCGCCTCTGCTCAACAACATTGTCGATATTCTTAAGAACCTCTTTGGCTGGCTGTTTGGCTCCAAGCAGACCGTCCAGAAGACCCTCGGCGACCAGGCCGACACTTCGGGCTTCGACCGAGCTATGCTCGCCGTCCAGTCGGTCCAGTCGGCCGCCCAGCAGAAGCTCGATGGCCAGAAGAACAACTAAGTCAGTCCTTCCCCTCATTTGTCATCTGTCAGTTTTTCTGCAGTTTAGTTTCGGATTCCCGGTATTTATCAACGTTGTGATGACGACAACGAGAGTATTAACATTAATTAATTCCCCAGTGGTCATTTAGGAGTGCCCTTGTAGTTGTATCTGTCATGGCCTGTTGCCTGTTGCCTGTTGCCTGTTACCTGTAGCCGTGTTGCCATGCTGCCATGTTGTGGTGCATACATGTTTTGTGCATGTATAGTGCATATACATGTATGGCGCATATGCATACATACCCACTTGTTTACTGCATGCACAGTCCAAAAACGAACACCCACTTTGGGATCTTGGCACAAAACCCTAATTTAACCGACATTTAACCGTGCATTGCATTCAATATTGACATTGGTTGGTGAAGAGGTGCGATTCTGAGAGTGTGATTGAGATGTGCGATTGAAAAGAGGGATTGAGAAGTGCGAAAATGCGATTCTGATAAGTGTTGGTCACTGAAAGGGGTCCGTTCTATTCTTTTTCTGTTCCGTTCTACACCGGTTTATTCCTCTCAGTACATCTTTCCATCCAAAAAGACCGTCATACTTGCAATTATTTGTATTTTAGTAACCGCGTTTTGCTGATATGATCGTCTCCAAACCAAGAGGTATCGAACGATACGTCAGACTCGTATTTGAGACAATATTGAATGATCTGAAGGTATAGATTTTTGAAGAATGACGAACATACATCTAGAATCCGTCGGAAAGAAGATATCAAGCCAAAATTTGCACATAATCTCAACCCTCAACACACAGAACCGACCCATCAACTTCCCCCGTCTTCAACGTCCGTTTTACGCCCGTTTCACACGGCTATTTTTGAATCATACTACTGACACGGCTAACGTGCGTATTTGTACGAGTATAAGACATCTGAAGAAAGGAGCAAACTCGTCATAATCAGAGCTATCTCCTGGTACCAAAAATTCCTTCTTAACCTCTGTATTTCTGAAATTAGCAACACATCAATTTCTGCGGAACATCTGATACCCAAATATAGTCCGTCTAGGGCCACTGGAGTCCGGATTTTCGTTTCAATCGAACCCACTTATCAATAACAATGTCCAGACACCCCTGTAACTTGTTGCTATAGAGGGGATTACGGAACTATGAACTATGGAACTATGGAACTATGGGAAAATATTGCGGGGATTAACAGAGCGATTTATAGGTGGATTGGACGAAAAAAAGATACCAATGAGATGAGAAAACCGAGAGCTTTCCAATGGTATTTTTTTTGTGTAATTATCATGCTTCATTGTGCAATTAGCTGGTTTTAGGGCGAGTTTTTCTTGATAAAATGCAAATCTTGAACTTCTACAAGTAGATCATAATCTGAAATATTAAATATTGAAAGGTGCGATCTAATACCCCCAAAACGACTTTTTATCCCCCAAATCTGCTTCTTCCTACTGTCCAGAAAACGACCTTTCGTAAATTCTGGAATTACTTGATATTCTTAAGTAACTCTAAAATTAGTTGGGCACCCCAGATTTTAGTTAAAGTTTTAGTTAAAGTTCCGAAATTTGCTGCATAGTTGTTTACATCATGCCAGACGGAGAATACGAGTGTCCATCTCGGGAAATATTGGGTCTATGGAAATGTAGACTAGACCATTGCAACCCCCCAGGTACAAGGAACAAAATGGTATATTCAAATATCCATTAAATCTTCCCGAAACAGACGCAGGTCCACCTTTTCCCGACCGCTTGGAATGTCACCAATCTCAATTAGGAAGGTGCAAAAAATGTTGCTGTGGGCATCCGAGACATTGGTGGAGATTAATCTAGTTTAATTAATGGCTAAATTACGCAAATGAGCAATCGTGGGTCCGTGGATCTTGAAGGGGGGTCTAGAAGGAGCCAAGAGGAGCCAAGCGGAGCCAAGCGGAGCCAAGCGTCTGATTGGGGCGGTTTTAATCTCTCATCTTTGTTGTGTTCGTCCAGGCAAGAAAGACATATGTCTGAGATTGGTGGTGGGCGTTTCCGCATTTGTTTAGGGCGTTTCCGGACAACTTTTGGGCGGTTCCTGTGCGATTCCAGGGCGGTTCCAGAGCAGCTCCTGGGCGGTTCCTGAGCAGATTCTGGACCCTCTAAGAAATGGCTTATTTCTACCAAAAAGCCATCAATGGAGTTGTTTTTTTGCTGAATGGGATCCACCCCGCCGCAGTTCAATCCATTCCAACTCCTTGCTGGTCAGTAACTGCAGTAGAATGTCAATTGAAGCATCTAGACCGAGTCGTCTGATCTTCTACGTGTACAAATGTACAGGCTCGTCATCGAATCAGAAAAGTGCAAAAAGACCAAAAAAAACAAACTGCAAAATACTCCCCATCTTCCGAATATTGCTATAATCAACTCCCCGTCCGCTCAACTCCCAATTCAACTCCAAATTCTTGTCCCAAACAATGGTGGCCATCCATACAAAATCAGACCGGATTAGAAGAGCCACTCATAACCGCACCGGGTAGTCACGTGACCGAACTAAAAGCAGAAAGGTCTTACCTTATACATGACCAGAGACCCAATTCCGACCTTTCATGTGACCGAACATACCAATCCAACCCTCTACGGTACCTGGAAAGACGGTCTCATCCAATTCGGTACTCGTATGTCGATCTTTGGCGCCGATCGGCGGCCGCAAAATGCGGGAAGATCATACTTCGGGTCGCATTGGAATGTATACGCCATTACTGAAGTACCGGCCGGCTGATCACGGGTATATTATGGCCCAACTAGAAGCTGGAATGGAGCTGGACTGGAGCTTGGGGGCGTGAATGAAAATAGACAAATTTGAACCGCCTCTGAAGACAATAAGAATAAGAGACATGTATCAAAGTGATCAGAAAGACTCGAGGAATCCGAAGAAACTAGTTGAATCTCAATAGCCCCTCTCTAGCCCGTTATAGATGGACCGTCAGACAGTTCATACGGATACCAAAAACTAGAGACATATCAGAACCAATGAACATTGAGTCGATCAAACGAGTCAATCAGAATAAGCAAACGGTCTGAAAATACATCGAAATACATCGAAATACACCGAAATACACCGCAATGAACTCCCCACCCCTCCACAGGGCCCATAGAGCTCGACAGAGATTGGTCGGAAAATGGCTCATTTCAAAGATCTCTTCATAGTCGCTCCCGAGGACTTCCATAGTCAATTTAGATAGACGAAATCGTCTAACACATGTCAAAAAACATTTTCTACCTCTCTTCTCTTCTCCTCTAGTCCTCCTCTAGTCTCTACATCTTTCTGTAACATGAACTGAACACCCAAGTTTATCTTTAGTCATCTGCAGAAATACAAATTTAAAAAGATGATCATAATCCTTGCAAATATCTTTACAAGTCTGTCTTTTCAGACTCGCTCAAAAGTTTCTCCACACGTCGTAGTCATCTCTCTATTTTCAACAAAACCTCCTCTATAAACTCCAGCAAATTTCCAACAAATTTCCAACAAAACATATCATAAACTCTAACAAATTTAAACAAAACCTACCCTAAACTCTAACAAATCTCCAACAAAACCTACCCTAAACTCAAACAACCCTCCCAACTAATTCCCCACAAAATTCTCCAAAATCTGAACTAACAAAATCCCACACATGATCCTAGCTAACCCACCCAACCATCACCCAATAAAAAATCAGACCAAACAAATACATTCCTCTAACCCTCAAACATCATCTCCGAACCCAAACCCTAGCCCAACCCTAGCCAAGCACTCCCCAAACCCCCACAATAAAACTATCCCCCACGGTATCGCAAAATCTTAATCAGTTACCCGGAATATGCACAATGAAGTCATATACCCTAACCCCGAAATACCCCTTTCGGACCGGAACGTAGCATCAAACCTACTTCTTACCTGCCAACACCGCTGCATAATATCCCACCTCACTTACTATCAAACACACACAAAACCAAACTTGAAAAAAGTGAGTATTTGAAAGCGGGCGTCGGAGAAATTGGACACATTTGTGTCCAAGACATGCTCTCTGTGGACTTATTCGGTGGGGGAGGTCACGTACCCTTGGTGGGCGGCGTGCGGATTGTGTCGTTTACACGGTCCGCGTCTTAGTGTTCCGCCCCCAACAGCGCGTCTTTTTGTAGTGGAACACAAAAAGGTGTGCACAGACACAAGTGACATAAGGAGCGTGGGCGGGTCGGGAGATGGAGGTGGAAGTGGAAGTGATGACCCAATGACCTGTTGTGGTTGCGTTACCGTTGTTGTTGGCATTGTTGGCTGTCGCTTCCTTGTCGTGTCTCTGTTTCTGTGTAACTCCGTCCTGTGGTTGTTAATGCCGCATGCGGTTTATCTCCCGTTGTCATGTGTTTGTGTTGGGGCAATGTTCTGTTGCAATGTGCGAGGTTGGGACGCCTAGGGTCATGTGCTGCCGTGGCCCACGTCGTGACATTTGTCGTGCGGTGGCAGTGGCGTGATGGGCAATATTCACAGATGGATGTGAACTTGTATCATTGGGACCATATTACCGTGGTAGTATATCGGCTAGACGAATTGTTCCGTTTCTATATCGCCATGCCCTTGTCCCGGGTTTTGTTTACACCACCACTTGAAGCTCTGTCTCCACGAGATTGGGTACATGTTGAATTGCGACAATGTGCATCTGTTTTCGTTCTGTTTCGTTCTGGATGAATATATGCGCTTGAATCGATGCGTATCCATGTTCTGCTGTTACCATTGAGCGCAAGCCCGACCCCACGTACTATTCCGTTCGTACTAACCCAGTGACGCGAGAAGACAACATCTACCTGGCTCGTCTTTCCGAGCAGGCCGGCCGTTACGAAGACATGGTGGAGTACATGAAGGAGATTGCCACCGGCGACCAGGAGCTGTCTGTGGAGGAGCGAAACCTGCTCTCCGTGGCATACAAGAACGTGATTGGCGCTCACCGAGCATGGTGGCGAGTGGTCAGCAGCTGCGAGCAGAAGGAGGAGCAAAAGGGCAAGGAGACCAAGATCATCGACGACTTCCGTCAGAAGATTGAGGCCGGTCTGCAGGACATTTGCCACGACATTCTCAACGTGCTTGAGAAGCACCTGATCCCCAAGCTCGAGAAGCCCTCGGCCGAGGCCACTGAGGCTGCTGCCAAGGATGGCGCCGACCCCAGCGAGCTGTCCGAGTCCATCGTCTTCTACTACAAGATGAAGGGTGACTACTACCGATACCTGGCCGAGTTCACCACCGACGACAAGCGAAAGGAGGCTGCCGAGAAGTCGCTGCAGGCCTACCAGTTTGCTTCCGACGAGGCCACCTCCAAGCTGCCCCCCACCCACCACATTCGGCTGGGTCTGGCTCTCAACTTCTCCGTCTTCTATTACGAGATTCTCAACTCGCCCGAGCGAGCCTGCCAGCTGGCCAAGCAGGCTTTCGACGATGCCATTGCTGACATTGACTCCATCACCGAGGAGCGAAGCAAGGACTATGCTCTGATCATGCAGCTGCTGCGAGATAACCTCACGTTGTGGACCAACAATGACGAGCCCGAGCAGGCGTAAGTGAACATGCAAGTGAACATGCAAGTGAACATGAGCGCTGCAAATGTGAATATGGCGGCGCAAGCGCAGTCTGTGATATCGAGATCGAGCAATCGGTGCTGGGAACAAGTGTATAGTGAAGTATTAGATTTTTGAACTGGGTGTAACGCCAGCACTCTACGGTAAAGTACAGTACAATACAGTATGTACCGGTACAGTACTTGTAATACGTATCTGTCGATGTAGAGAGTCAGACTGGCGAGATGAGCTTACTGAGGGGACACGACTTGGCAGGACTGATTCAGGACTGGCTATAGACTGAACATTCTGGGAACATCTGAGCAACAACCAAGTAGCAGTCCGAAGTGATGGCAATGACAGTCAATGGTTGGTATGGCACAGTGAGTGAGAACTCAGTCCTTTTCTGACTGGAGTTGTGAGTTGTGGAGCAGTCTGGAGTTCACAACGTCTCAGGAAGATCCAGATGTCATAGGACCGGTGATGACGGAGAGTGTTGTTTTGTTGTTTGTCCAGAGTCGGTTGGTTCTTTGGGGGATTCGTCTTACTGGGGTGGAGAATGCCTTCACCAATCGGTTAAACGGGCATCTGACCATCACGAGAATCTAGCGAGAATGCAATCAATGTCTAGGATCGTTTCTTTCAGTGACATTCTCGATTGACTTGTTCGCACTCAACTTGACCAGGATTATGGAGACGTAACAGAGGGAGACCCGGACCCGGAGGGTGAGTCAGACTGGTATTTGACGAGCAGTTGAGACAGGCAGTTATCTGGCACCAGATGTCGGATTCCACATCCTGTGATCTGGCAAAAGATGCCGGATTCATATCCGATGGCATGGAAGTTGCATGTGTCGTCGAGTTGTGATTCGGAGAGCGAGTTGCTGTTAACGACTCAACAGTGATCTGGGATCATCATTCTAGACCCGAGACTGGCGGAGCCACTTTCCGTCGAGTCACTCGAACGATCAGCGGCCCCACTCAGTCGGACTCTCGTTTCGTGCTGTCACTCCGGCTCATCGACTCTGGACAGTATGGACCTCCGGGACGAGCTGACCCTGAAATGGCTATGAACCGAATTAGTACTTCTTTGCTGTACTTGTGTTGGCATCTCTTCACAATACTTCTGCTGGCACCGTCATCAGCCCCCGAGTTCACGCTGATTTCTGTAATTCTGGACTCTCAACTGCTCGACTGTGAACCGAAGTGTCTCTCAGACTGACCGAGTTTAGACAGCATAGTAACCCAGCATGAACTAAGATAGGCCCATTCAGCCACCTCGGAATTGCAACTGATTGGATACACTACTAGTCACCGTGGATACCTTGCCTTCAATATCATATCTCCTCCAATACTAACAACCCCCCCCATACTTCACTACAGCCCGGCTGATCCTCGTCCACCTTCACGATATTAGATTCTATACCATAAATAAATAACCATCCTCGGAACTCCATGTAACGACAGATGGTCCAGACTAGTCACAGCCTGGTTGCCCGTAGGATGAACCGACTAAGAAACATCATAGTCAGTCATGTAACAGAGCCACTCGAGAGCCCGAGACGCAACACGTGACCCAGCTATTTCCGGCTGGGAGGCAATCACGTGACGAGAGCTTTTTCAATCGCATGATCTGAGTATCGCATGGTCAGAGCCGTGATAGCATGGTACCAGACCATGGGTTGTACATGGACCCACAGCAGTGGTGCACACCGCTCGAGATATCATCACATGACATGTCAGGTGACGAAAACACACGTTGATCACGTGATGATGGGTACGACGAACCCAGAACCTCGCATCACCTCCTTATCTCCTCCTGACTGCCCGACTAGGTCGCACAAAACTGTTTCCTGTACCCGGTTCATACACAACCGTTCGACCAAGAACAGCTCCAGTAGCACTCATAATCTGACTGGCACTGCTGGAAGCCCCAGTGGACGGAGGAGGAACACTGGCGACATTAGTGAGCGTGCCAATGAGCATTTCTCGCATGCGGAAAAAGTCGTTCTTCAGCCGCGTTGGCATGACCACTTTCTGTTCCACGGGCACAGGATAGCTTCTCTGGACGCCGGCCATGACCTGAGCAAACTCCTCATTGTCGTCCACAACCTCATCCTTGAAGGCCTCGTTCTCCTCGTCCAGGGCGTTTTGCGCGCTTAAAGTAGCCAGCTTGACCTGGTTCTTCTTCTGGTACGAGGCTAAAAGCACATCGTAGGGCTGTGAACGGCCCTGGACAGCTCGCTTGGCGCCCATACTGTGCGACTTGCACGTAAGGGACCGTGCACAGAGATCTCCGTTGGGAAGCGGGACACCACATTGCTTTTCCACGTCCACTGGTGGTTTTTCTTTTGGTGTGGACTTTTCTTTCTTTTTCTTTTTGGCTGTGTTAGCTAGATAAAGCAAAGCGAGTGAGCGGTAGACAATAACGATAAGCCAGTCATAGACGAAGGTTGCTACTGAACAGTAAGACTACCTGAACAGATGGCGTGTCGGTTTCTGGACGGTTCCGGGCAGTTATCACATATGCAGCAGCTGTGATATCAACAATCATCGTGGCTCGTTGGAGAGAATCGGTAAGAGCTTTGTCTGGTAGATATACTTGACTGGCATGTTGAGAAATGATGTATGATCTTGGTGAACCAATGTCCTGAAGGACGATGGGGCTTGAGCTGAGATTGCGAATCATGAAGCACGGAGAGACAGCTGAGAAAATGGCGACTGGAAACCGTGCCGAGCAGCGTACCCCATGCCTGACACACCAGCCATGAACAGTCAGAGGGAATATCAGTTCCAACGACAATTCCCATTCCAATTAGACCAGACGTCAACCAAGCACCAATCAAACACCAACCAGGCCACGGCTTCACTGATAGTCGCTCGACATCCACCATCTCAGCTCGTTTCAACACTCATGTCTCGTCTCAGAATCCCAGTCTCATCAACCAACCAAATCAAATGCCCTCCATGTCGACAATCGAAACCACCCACAATATCAATCAATCTCACTTCAGGTATCCCAAACACTTGTATCATGTCTTGAACCTATCACAACAACCGAGTCACACACAGAACCCGCCCAAATCACCGCCAACCGGTCTAATCGAACCGTTCAAACGGCTCCACGTGTCCACGTGTCCACTTGTCCACATTTCCACTCGCCCTTTCTCAAATACTCACTCTCTTTGGTGGCCTTGGTTGCCTTGGTGGCCTTGCCAGCCTTGCCGGCCTTGGACGCCTTGCCTCGGGCCTTGACGTCGTCGCCGTCCTTTTCTTTTTTCTCCTTGCGGGCCGCAGGCTTCGAGTCGCTGGCCGCCTTGCGCTTTCGAGTCGCTTTTTCCTTGTCGACCATGATGGTGTTGTTGTGGTGAAGAGGAAAAAAAAGATCACGTGTGGGGAGACCAGGTAGGGTAACAGCAAGTGAAGCTGGGCTCTGGATCTGGGGATTGTGCGGGACTGGCGGGGGTTTGGAGGGTGGAGGGTGGACAAGAGGAGGGGCTGCGTTTGTGTATGACGCCAGAAATATACGTGGAGTCTTGGATCGGAGCTGGTTACATAATCACAGAGCCAGATGTAGTGGTGGGATGAGACTTGGGTGTGGTTGGGTGTAGGAGAAAAACGAAAAACGAAAATATAAAAAAGAAAAGAAAAATGAAAAAACGAAAAAAGAAAAAGAACGAAAAACAAAAAGAGGAAGAAAAGAAAAGAAATAAAAAGAAAAAAAAAGAAAAAAAAAGAAAAAAAAAGAAAAAAAAAAGAAAAAAAAAGGATACATTGAAATTGGTATTTTCCAAGGAATTACAGACTTGTTTGTATGTGAAAAAAAGGTCAATTGTGGACTTAGAGTGGGTTTTTCGAAAAGTTTGTGCGAAAAATGTCCATTATTCGTGGTTTCCAGTTTTTTATATATCAACATATTACTGTACATTAAACTCTATAGAATGAGTTGGTAATGCGAGTGTACAGTCGTAGATAATGTATGGAGGACATTGATGAAGAGGAGATGGAAAATACTGTACATTGCATAAGAGGTCATGTTTGTGATCACGTGATAAGGAGCTTCCACTTTGGTCTCTTCAAATCCGTTAATTATTCGTCGTTTTAGAGTGGCTCGTAGATGGAGGAGAGTGCGTGGGTGGGTGTCAGTGGGTTGAGGGTCTTGGGCAGAGATGGGGTAAGAGCTGTGTGAGAACATGTGTTGGTTAATGTGTGAATATTCAGATGGGCTTGAGCTGGTAAAGAGAGGGCTAATATTCACTGTTTTAGAGGGGTTCTGTGGGCGGTCGAAGTACAATACTTCTACTTGGATGTACAGTAGCTACAGTATGCACTTGTGGAGTTTTCCATGCGAAAACTTGATATTGGAGACGATTTGAAACCAGTCTAGATGAGAGATTAAGTGACAAAGGACGAGTAGATTCCAAGGAAGTTGAATTTCAGCAAATCTGACCATATTCCGTATCCTAGGGAAGTCACAGACTAACCCTGATGGAGTTGGTATCAGGACTTGGTGTTCAGACATGCTACAGACTAGTTAGTGAGAGATGGTATTATTTTCACTCAATTGATCCATTTCATTCGAGAAACATCAACTTCAGCATCTCCTCGACGAGTTATGACCCTTTAACAACGCTTGTCATACTGCAGTTTTCTCAATTATATACAATATATACATATATATATTTTAAATAAAAAACCTATTTAGAAACCACGGTGAGATGGATCTGACAAATGTAAAACGGGGACGCATTCAAGAGAATGAGTACGAAAACGAGTACGAAAACGAGTACAAAGACGAGTACGAAACCGAGAACGTACAAGTACTCGTTCTCGTACTATACTTGTACTCATTCTCGTACAAGTTACCGTGAAGTTACTTAAGAACCTCAACCACCACCACCATCCAACCACCAACCACCACCATCCAACGACCAACCACCAAACCCAAGATAAACCCCCTATTTTAACCCGCTCTACACAATCCAAGTCGTTCCACCCCATCACCATCACCCATCCCCACAATGAGGCAAATACGGGCAATTGGCACCTGACAAATCCAGTTCAAAATCAACCCAAATGTGACAAAACCTAGTCGTGCGTTGGCGTGATGCGCACCTCGGCCTGATAGGCTCCACAAAAGAAAAAGAGCATTGCAAGATCTGCGGAGATGGTGTCTTTTTTGTTGTGAAAGGGATAACTGACACAAAAGCGAGCCGCCACCCGCCCAGCACACGGCCGCCAACCATAAATCTGCTGACTCAGCTGCCCCTCTCCAATTGAGCCCAAACCAGCCGCCCTTTGCGCACCTCTTGGGTCGCTCCACGCCCGCCTGAGTGGTCTGATATAGTGCACAGATAGATACATGTGGTGCATTTATGCTGCAAACTAGAGGGTAATGGATTCCCGGATTTGGGAGGAACCCTAACCCTACGAGCAACCGAGGCGGCTATAAGCCACCTTCCCACCTGTCCACTTGTTTTCCGACTCACAAACACACATTACACACACAATGCTTACCCGAATTACCACCGCCACCGTCACTCGAGTTCCTCGAGTCGCCGCCCGATTCTACTCTGAGGGCTCCACCGGTTCCTACCGAGGCGAGGGATCTGGCGATTCTTTCACCGTGAGTATGAGAGAGGAGAAGCATGAGGACATTGACAAGGAGGAATAGAAGGAGAGGAAGGAGAGAAGTTGGAAGTTTGCACTGAGTTGGGGCTAGATGTGTGGCTTTGTGGCAATTGATATCATGGGTGGTGTTGCACTGTGCACTGTGGGGTACTATCGTGGCACTGTGGTGGGTGGCGTCAACGAGTGATGTCAATTGGGGTTCAATTGGGGTTCAATTGGGTGATTAATTGGGTGTCAAGCTGGGATCATTATGCTCTATGGTGCTCAATTGGTTGGCGTGGCTTGTTGTCAGATTGATGAATTGCTACTGCTGTGGTCACACGGAACAATTGTCTCCAGTTCTGAAACACCTCAATTGAGATACATGTGTTAGACATGAGCTGTAATGACGCTTGACATTATTCGAGACCTGCGTGGCCGCCTTGTGTCGTCACCATCCTACATTGTTGCCATCCTGACCTGGCTCACCACGACTTTTTGGAATCAACCACCACATTTTCCCTATAGCCATCAACATGGCTTCCCCATTGCCAGCGACCATGACTTTCTATAGTGCGCTCGGTCGCTTTCCCCACGACTCACTCGACCTCATTTTACCATACTAACCTAGAAACGAGAGAAGGCCCAGGAGGACCTCTACGTCAAGCAGCAGGAGAAGGAGAAGCTCGATGCTCTCCGAAAGCAGCTTAACAAGCTCAAGCAGGACACTGCCGACCTTGAGAAGCACCTTGACTCCAAGAAATAGGCAATTAGTTTATGACATGATTATATGAGCAGTGATAGAACATGCAGAACGGAAACAGAAGGGAACTGAAGTGGCAGAAGAGAGTACAAGTAGGACAAGAGTACAAGTACAGTACTTGTAGGAGCAAAGGTGAAGCGGGCGGAAGTGCCAGCGGTCGGTGGTGGGGAAGTTGACCACCGACTCGGCCTTCTCGTTGGTGGTCACCACAGCTTGACCGTCCCAGACAGTCGAGACACTGGTTTCCGCAAAAGCCATTCAATAGTCTACAATGACAAAGTGAGGGCTTTTCGTCGTCTACAGGATATACTCCGGGCCTACTATCGTATCGTACTCGCACGTACTTACTTGTAGTAGCATGGTAGAACGAATCTACAGGAGCCTAACCTGTTCATTTATCAAAGGAAATACCACCAAAAAAAGGTACCAATGGACTCATAATTTCGTGACGATTCCACTGATGTAATAAGATCAACAAGTTCGAATACAAAAAGTCCATTTAGTGCATTGAGGTGGTGCTATCTATGTACAATACCGTATGTAGTACATTATACGAAGACAGTCTGTAGCTATGAGACAATGTAGATTTCTCCTGAGTACATTACGTGATCCACACGAGTTTGATCCGAGTCAAGACTCTCAATTCGAGTCTTTCCAAACTTCTCTCCAGACGTTCCTTCCGACTCCTCACTGCCCTTCTCTCTCACCATCTCCATTGGTGCACTGGGGTCCGAGTATCTTGTCGTAATCGTACTCTGAAAGATGGGGATCTTGGTCGTCGGGAATGGTAAATCGTTCTCCAATATTGGTCAACAAGTCCGGTTGCCAAACAGGTAGGCGAGCCGTAGCGTCGGTGAAGTGGTACGTCGGGGGGCCAGCTCAGACAGTAAACGGGAACGACTTTCCAATAGTCGACGGAAACCTGGAGGAAAGAGCAGACTCATTGATCCCGGCCTCTGCTCTGGAAAAAACTGCTTCTCCAACGATACAGGAAATGATGACCGACAATGGTTTTCCAAACACGTTGGAACTGAGTCCAATGATCACTTGACCAGCTAGAGCTCCACAGAATGCCTGTAAGATCGGATACAGGTCCTGGGAGCGTTCCTGGGAGCCGTTTCTGAGAGCCGTTTCTAAGAGCCATGGGCCATGACGTCCAGTCCTGCGATAATGACCAAGCACATCTACAGGTACAGTAGGTAAACGAGCCATGAATGAGTGTATGTCCACTCCGGTGATAAAGGTCTTGATAGACTGTCTAGTGATTGAGACGGCGATACAGCCAGTGTTGTGAATCGCCGCAGCTGTTATTTGGATAGAACGGGTTGGCGGAGATATCTGATACACAGTGACCTGGTATAGCATCTAACTACTCAGTCATGCTTCGTATTGTTTCATGGAGGTTCAGCATCTCACAGAAATGGTGCCAGCTGGTCTTCGCTGGGCAGTACCTGTGCCACTACAAACACTACAGTGGTCGGTGTCCCTCCAGTCCCGAGAACCATATATCATAACAATCTATTAATGCTAACGTCCATCCAAAATATCCTAGGTGTTGCTCGTTGTGAGCTATTGCTTGCTTGCTTCATCGCATCAACATAGGCCAATTCCATGGCTTCTTTCTCCTTCTCCTTGTCTCCTCGGTCGGTTACTATCGGTTACTCGATTACTCCTCCATCTTGGCCTCCTTTGCAGGAGCCATGTCGACGTCGCCGGGAAGAACATCCTTGACCTTGGCTCCGTGCTTGTGGCCCACCAGCTTGAGTAGGTTGGTCACGTCCTCGGGCAGCTCAAAGGCAGAGTGCACATAAGGAGGAGGGAAGGCCTGGCCTCCAGTGAGTCGCAGACAGGCGTCATTGGTGAGCAGCACAGAAGACGAGTTTCGAGCAACGGGAACAGCCTTGGAAGCCTCGTCTCGGGCCCGGGCCTTGGAGTTCTTTGAAAACTCGTAGAGAGCAGCCAGAGGCACAAACTTGGCCACCTTGACGGGAATAGGCACCAGAATCTGATGGGCCAGAATCTCGCCCAAACCCAGACGGGCCTTGGCAACGTTGGACTCGACGTGGGACAGCTTGAAGGGGTAGACGGAGGTGGTAGCCTCCAGCTGACTGAGCAGCTTTCTGCTGGCCTGGATCTTGAGTCCATAGGTGACAGAGAAGTCTCGTCCGTACTGGTTGATCACAGTTCCAGACTCGTCGTAGCCCTGGAAGTCGTACAGACGGATAGCGCCCTTCTGGGGAGCTGCAGCCATCTGAATGTCGACCTGGTAGGCCTCTCCAGCCTCCACGGTGAAGTTCTCCTCCTCCTCAATGTGCTGTTCGTACAGACAGACGGCGCCCTCGGTGGACTCCTGTTTAGCCTCGGACTCGGCCAGCTTGACGGCGTGAAGAGCTCGCTCCTCCTCGCCCTCAACCTCCCAGAGAACGCCCTTGTAGTCTCGCTCCAGCACAATGTCGTGCTGACCAGCGAGGAAACGCCGGATACGTCGCACAGAAGATCCAGGCACAATCTTGACGTGGTAGGCAGCAGCAATCTTCTCGACGAGCTCTCGGATCTTGGTACCGGTGACAACTCCAACAGCCTTGCCGGGGTTGGGATCGGTCACCTGGGCCAGGTAGGCAATGACCGCCTCGGACGCCAGGTAGGAGGCACAGACCGCATCGGCAGGAGATCCGGTCAGAGGCTGCTCGGTCTCGCCAGCAGAGGTATTGGGCACGTGTCGCACAACCTCTGTTTGTGTCACCTGGGCAGTATATCCGTCAATGTAGACTCCCAGAGAGATTTTGACCAGATCGCCGGGCGCCAACATGCCTCCCTGGAACTTGTCGCCGTTCTCGGGACTCACTCCTCCCACAAACTCCTGCTTTTCGATTCGAACGGGTTGAGCAATGCCCTTCTCGGCCACAGACTTGTAGACGGCGGTGGTGGCTCGCTCGAGGAACTCGTCTCCCATACGGCACATTTCTCCCACCGTGTACGTCTCATATTGGGTCAGAACGGTCTGGATAATGTGCTGCAGACACGTCTGGGTGATTTTGCCGGCCAGACGGTACTTGTCGGTGACGGAGCTCGTCAGTGTGTTTTTTTCGTCCAGAAGCGCGGTAGATCGGGCCAGAGACATGATGTTTAGTTGTGGGTTAGATGTGAGGTCCAAAAAAAAAAAAAATTACACTGTTATGCAAGGTGGAAAAATATTTGAGGGTTAGGGCCTTAAAAGCTAAAACGACGTAATTTGGGCGGCCGGTGGTATGTTCCAGAGAAGAGATAAAGACATGAGATTTGGGCTGGAGGGTCAGGATGATGTAATAAATCTACAGTACTGTTTTTGAGCAGATTTAATTAGCTTAGGGGAAGATTGAAGCGGTGGTTTGATACGACAATTTGTTGAAGAACCTTATATTTAGTTGAGACTATAGATGTGATGTTTGTTGACCATTGGTGGCGATGTTGAGGGGTTGTCTTGTTTGAAGACTTGGAGAAATAGAGGGGATAGTGGTGGAAATAGAAAGCTGAGTTCTGGAGGAGTGGAATGATACCAATATTGGGTCTTCTTGGGTTTATTAAGGGGCATATGGTGAGTATATTGTGGGGAGCTGGTGTAGGGACTATGGTAAAGAATGTACTGGTGCGATAAAAGCTCCCATAAGTGATAATTGAACAAGAAAGCATTTTGAAGCTTCTTTGTGGGGAAGATTAAATAGTTTTTACTAATATACGACAAGATATTTATCCCGAGAAGCCATGTCAGGAACAAGTAGTGTTTAGTTGGTATTACTTAGATTTAGTTGATGACTTTCTTTTAGTTGAGCCATTAGTTGGATTGAAATTAACATGAGCAAGAGTTGCAGAAAAAAAAAAGAGGAGAGAAAAGAAGAGAGAGCAAATGAGCGGTGACGTCTGACCTGACTAAGCAGTATGTTCGTCTGACTAACCACCCACATGCTCCCTTCTCTCGAATATCGCCACACAACCAACCTCTCTATCTCATGTGACCACTATAGGCTCGCTATCAGCGGCTAATTTTAGTTTGAGTCAACGGGACGAGCTTACTAAGGGAATTAGGGGGGGATTTACAATGGCGATTAGTGGCAGTTTTGAATTTCTGAAAGGTGCATTCCATTCCTCTCGCTTAGTCGATCAAAATGGTATCATTAAAATCCCCATAGCTCCTCTCGGAGATCTAGTAACCACCCTCCCAGTCCAGCGCCACATGCACCTCGTGCATATCTCCAGTATCCCACTTGGCCATCTCCACACCACAACACACACCAAAAAAAGACACACAAGAATATACACACAGACATGTCGGCGATTTCAGGCATGGATTTGGGCGGTGCGTTCCGGCTCGCCAATATCGGCGTTGGCGCCTTGACCGTCGTTGGAGGACTGACTCAGTTGGGTCTTAGTTTGTGAGTACACGGTATGGGCGCGGGTAGGGGGCAAGTCGGAGCAGTGACTGGAGATTGAGGGCTTGAGCGACAACATTGTGTGGGATTGGCGATACAGCGGCGCTTGGGTGTCTTTTTGTGACGACAGTGGCTGTTAGGGGACCCTCAGATACAGGTACTCTGTCTACGTGATGATACGGCATCCACACACGTTGCGCATCACACTGTTGGCACTACATTTCAGAGGTGTTTTAGAAGCACTTGACTGAATGCTTCTAAAGGCTGCTGTTCACAATCCCTTAAATCATAGCTCAATCGGGCCAGCTGGACTTGCTACCTCTTCAATACTAACTCAGACAAGATGTGAGTACTGTACGGACAATGACAGCGATGGTTGCCACTGATACGATAGCCCAACATAATTGATATGCTGAAGACATCAGTGGAAATGGCAATCACGAGAGACTGTGTCGGAGCACCTATCGAGACTGTGCCGGAGCACTCAGCGATACCAGCAATATGATGAGCACCAACGGAACAACAATGAACCGGAACAAGACAACAGAAACGAGAAAACAGATACCACAGATGGGCTGCAGAGAATCGAACCTTGTCTCCAGCAAAGTCCTCTATTCCTGCTGGTTCAATGGGATCGTTCTCACGATCTGTCTTGTTTCACATCGTTGGTAGTTTTCTGGCGTGCTATCTCCTCTGGCGTGCTATCCCCTCTGGCGTGCTATCCCCTCTGGCGTGCTATTGATTCAGACGTACTATTCAGCCTGGCAATGACTGTTGCTCATTCTGATGTGCTTCGCTCATGGCCTCCTCGCCATGGATACTGCCCTTCATCGATTGTTGTCGTCCCAACCTTTGGCAACCCAGTTCCATTACTAACGCAGATTCTCCTCTCATTCTATCTTATCATTTTTGGTTACTCAATTGCATCTCTCGAGTTTGCCACCCCCCCAGTGGCACATAAGTACGGCTCGTTCCTCTTCTCATTCGTGGGGCGAGGTATTCTGTACATTCTGATTGCCGCCATTCTCATGTCTGGTGGCTTCTTCCGATACCTCATTTCGTTCATTATTTTCGGAATCGGCGCTCTCTTTGTGGTGCTGGAGTTCATTCCTTCCATCGAACCTCCTGAGAACATGCGAAACGAGCCCTTAGACTACATGGAGGAGGTGTAGAGCACTAAGTGACATACATATGTGATAATAGATGATGAAAAGTGGCTCTCTTCCTTCCATGGACCCTGTCTACCCAAATTTAGGAGGGATATTATTAATTTAATGGTCCAACATTCGTATATATTGACATCTTCTAAATAAGGTTTTGAAATACCTTCATTCGACTGTTGCTACAAACATATATAATCTAAATAAATCAAACCCCATCCGTTTAATAATTGGCACCATTTTTGTCGCCCCATTAAGGCGGCCATTTTGATACCAAAAACTTGCCCATTTCTTCAAAAAACCCAACAGTTACCCTACTGCAGCATATATGCACACCACCAAGATATTCCATCTCGATATTGTCATGAGCTCTAATACAAAAATACACAACCATGTCGCTGGTCAAGAAGCCGAAAACCGAACTGTCGACGCATGTTGCGTCAGATCACGTGACAGAAACGTCGATCCAGCTGATTGGACACTCGTGCCCGGTTCTGGCGTGTGATTTGAGTGCAGACAAGGAGGTTCTTTCAGGCGATCTGGAGGGACTGGTAAAGCTGTGGAAGCTGTCACGTGATGACACGGTTGAGCAGTACGAGGTTGGAAAGCACAAGGGAGCAGTTTTGGGCGCGATTTTCCTCAAGCATCGTATGGTTACCTGTTCTACAGACACAACGATTTCCATTTTTGATGGCGGACACAAGATCCGGAATTTCAAGGGCCATACGGCTGCTGTGAACGTGGTTTGTGGAGGACAAAACGACGAGCTGATCTACAGTGGCTCGGATGATGGCAGTATTGGCATTTGGGATCCTCGAGAGAAGGATAGCGAGTCACGTGTGATTGAAACGAATTATCCCGTGATTGCCGTGGCTACAGATGGACACGAGACGGTGTGGAGTGCAGGAGTTGATGACGTGATCAGCAGATGGGACTTGCGGATGAATCAGCAGATTGATTTCCAGGGCGCTGATGGACACACAGATATCGTCACGAGTCTGAGCTACAATCACAACCGGTTGGCAAGCCATTCTCACGACAATACCGTGCGAGTTTGGGACACAAAGCCGTTTATGGCTGACGAAAAGTCGAGAGAACTGTTGTGTTTGACTGATGCTCCTAACGGTATTGAGCAGGCGACTCTCAAGGCGAAATGGTCTAGTGATGGAGAGCATATCATTTCCGGGTCTGCTGATCGAACAGTGGTGATTTGGAAGGGCGATACTGGTCGTCTGGTGCGAAAGGTCGGTGGTCATAGTGGCTGTGTTAATGATGTGGCTATGGTTGACAAATGGTATGTTAGTGCCAGTTCAGATGGTACGTTGGTGGTGTCGACCCTCTAGTGGTAGCGATGGTCAGAGCGACCAAAAACATGATTCCCCCAAAAAGCGACACTAGGAGGGGACAACAGTCTACTTTGAGCCTAGGTCTCGATTGGTACACACCAGTGTAATGCTCTAACCTCAACTTCAGGCACTGTATGTACCGCAACATGCGATCTAAACCGCGTGGTAATAAATTGTATTTATAATGAATGATACCTTTAGAGAGTAGGTCAGAATAGTGAAATACGATCAGGGACGAGTAGTGAACAAAAGACGTGTTTCGAAGTGTTGTTATTCCCATAGGAGAGGTGGTAGAGCCAGAGGTGAACTAGAGGACAGTAGGAAACCATGGATTGGCCACTTCAAGAGTTGAATTGTCCGACTGAAGCGTTGAAGCGTTCAACCTAAACGATGAAGAGTCCGACTGAAGAGATGAAGAGTTCTCTAGACCGGGTTTGAGCAGCTCCAACCATTATTTGTTGTATGACAATGTGTGTTGGGCTCAATGATGAAGTTCCTCTTCCCTGTTGGGTCCATAGATATTCCAACGACTAGAGAGAAACGCTAATAATACTGCCATATTATACTATAAAAAGAATATATAACACTCCTCAGTCATTTTTTTTGAAAAAAGGGGTATTACTACTCTTGAGATTAATCTCAGATCTATGTCGTTTACTCGACATTCCAACAACTTTAGTTGGAAAAATCTAACAACATCGGGGTGTTTCAGTCAGTATAACAGTATGTACACTGTACTTGTACCAAAATATCTGCGAAAACATTGTAGACAGTCTATAACACCTGTAAATAGCGATCTGGAATGAGTTTTCATGTTAAACGGCTTTTTTCGTGTCACATGACCTCTCTGGCCCGTCATAACAATCCACAGTTTTTTCTACCCATGTAAGGTCGCTTAGTCATCACGTGGACCTTACTAGTTGATGTCATGACTCCTCCTAAGGTGACACGTGCCTTGCACGTGACAATAATGACTAAAAAGCTGGTTGTTGAGAGTACAGGGTTATCCTGTAGAGCAGGATGCAGTATACTGTGTAGAGGATTATGTGGTATTTAGTTAAGACAAGTTTACGACGATCTACTTCCGGACGGTCAGCTGGATACCGTTTTCTTTTTTTGTTTTAATGAATGACTTTTTTTTTTAAATTTTTATTCTAATGATTCTTGACGCTGACCTAAGGAGAATGCTGAATAAGTCCGGGATCGAGATTTTACAACCCAATGGTTGCGGCCATATCCTGGTGAAAATACGGCTTCCCGTCCGATCAGCCATAGTCAAGCACCAGAGAGCCTAGTTAGTATTGTAGTGGGAGACCATACGAGAATCCTGGGTGCTGCAATCTTTTTTTGTTGTACATAGGAACGTTGAATTTTTTTCTTCTTTTTTTTGAGATCAGTTTTTTTGAAATTACTTGAAATTCGTGCAAAAATCAGGAAAAATCAGATTGATCAAATTTGACCAAGCCGAATAACATCATAGCCACTCAAACGTCCTACAGAGGACAAGAAAACAGTTTACATTCCGAGTAGCTACAAGCATTGGATCAAAGAGCTCGTCACTTGTACTCGTATCGTGTGTACAAGTATGGTCAGTTCTATAAGATGTAAAGTCAAAGTCTAAGGGGACCCTCTAGGTGGGTGCTTGCGCGTAGAGCCCCCAACTCTTATCGACTTTTCGTAACTTCAACCTGTCAAAACGACAGGATAAAAGAAGTTGTGTCTTGATCTTCCAAAGTTGTAACGGGCCAATAGGGTGACTTTGTGGGACAAGTAAATGTCCGTCCTTGAGCCCTGACTTAACGATGGAGTGAGAATTATCGAAGAATCGATCATTTGCCTACACAAAATCCACTCGCCAACCGGCCGAAAGAGCTAGGAGAGCCGAAAAGGTACCCGTGGCCATTCTGGTCGGTTCGCGAGTGTTGTGTAGAGAAAGAGAGTTGATGATGGGAGAAAAAAACGGCTAAATAGGATTCCGGAAAGGTGGGATGCACAGCATAACATTGTGGGTTCGGTTCACCATGGGGAGAAATTACTGCAGAATTTGAGAACGTGATCGAAAGTGATGTGATTTAAGAAATAAGTAGAAATTCGTAAATGTGAAATTTGAGACCTTTCGCATGATATGATTAAATTTCCGATTCGCGTAATATTTCCTCCTACGTTTCTCATGCACTAGGGATCGGGTGGCAACGTCGTTGCAACGTCTAAACCGCAATAAACCTGATCTCACAGCCTCTGTTTCACACAGCATGCGAGTGGCGTTGATTAGATCCTTGAACTTGCCCTCTTCACGTCTCACCCACTCTCACAAACTTGCTTCCACCGTCTCCACAAGAGCCACCCGACACTTTTCTTTCTCGTCCATTAACATGAGCAACAAGACCGATAGCGAGTGGCGAGCCGTTCTGTCGCCAGAGCAGTTCCGTGTTCTGCGCGAGAAGGGCACCGAACGTCCCCACACCGGCAAGTACAATTCCACGTTCGACAACGGCACCTACAACTGTGCTGGCTGCGACGCTCCTCTGTACACGTCCAAGGCCAAGTTCCGAAGCTCGTGTGGATGGCCTGCTTTCTACGAGGCCATTCCGGGCGCTCTGAAGCTCAATGTCGACAAGACTTTGGGAATGACCCGAACTGAGATGGTCTGTGCCAACTGTGACGGCCATCTGGGCCACATTTTCAAGGGCGAGGGCTACGATACCCCTACCGACGAGCGACATTGCGTCAACTCGGTTTCGTTGAGTTTCAAACCTGAATAGACCCGGCCCGGGTTTACTTGTTTACTGATTTGAGATTCTGTTCAATCTCTCAGAGCAGGCTCTTCTCGATGTTCTGAGAGCACCGTCTGCTGGCGTCGATCTAACACTCGTTGGCACCAACTGGGCATTATTGGCACACCAGGCTCTTCCGTCTGGTAGGAGGAAAGCATGAGGGTATATAGTGTAAGCATGAGGGTTTGATAACGTCATAGAAGCTGTGGGCAGTGTTGGACAGCTCCAAGAGCTTGTAGGGGGCTTTGAATGACTATTCGAGTGTGTGCTGATGACTGCCGTTAGTTGTAGTTGGATAAAACCGGTAACGGAACTGCAGCATTGACTGAGCCCCCTCAGCTTCGGGGCACTTCATATCGGATCTAACCAAATCTCTTGATCTAAATTGGTCGAAGTGTCCCTTTTGGAGTACTCCAACCAGACTTAGTCTACGGCTACAAGTAGCAGCTACGACAAGACCAGTTTCAAGGTACAGTACATACTGTAGATCTATGTTTGCAAGAACATTATGTATCTAGAATATACTCCATACTTGGATACTGTAACGTTAGTATCTACTCTAAAACACCGGTCTCTTTACAATAAGCGATCACCACAAGTGTGTACTCGTACTGTACCAAATATATGCCTAAGTTGCCGACCGTGGGTTGATTGTGATCACCAACAATGATGCACAAGCTGCCTAAACCACACCATCAAGTCCCCGCCACTCTGCTCGGTACAATTGCTCAATCTACTCCTCTCCCGGACCCATCTACTTGTAGCTACTGCACGCCAACCGGTGTATCCATGTCTGGCTATTCCTTGTGCGGACAGGAGACATCATGTCTTCCCACCGTCGTCTGTCTCCACTAGTCGTCTGTCTCCTCTAGTCGTCTGTCTCCACTAGTCGTCTGTCTCCACGAGTCATCGTCTCCAAGAGTCATCGTCTCCATGAGTCATCGTCTCCATGAGTCATCTATCTCCCTCACTTTACCCGGCTACCAATCGTTGTAACTCGAAAGGGCATCTCTTGGCAGGGGTTTATGAAACCATCTGGCATGGGGAGAGTACCTGTCTCCGCTGGCGTTGCTTGATAGGGGCCTCTAGCGGAATGGGGAGGTATAATCAGTCAGGGTAGAGTCCGTGCCACTAAGTAACAGTAGACCGTCGACTGGTATGAGACAATGGTGCCATTCTAACACAGGTAGTGGCGCTTTCTGTCACCTAGGTTGCGCTAATATGACCGGGATGCAACTACGGCGCAGGCAGTTGTCGCTAGTTGAAGCAACACTTTTCACACTTTCACACTTTCACTTCTCACACTTTCACTTCTCACACTTTCACTTCTCACACTTTCACTTCTCACTTCACACTTCTCACTTCTCACACTTCTCACTTCTCACACTGTATACTGTACCGACCAATGTATATTGTCGGATGAAACAGATCAATCCAATCAGGCTGATCTCCAAAAAGAAACGAGGTCGATCCTGCGGGAGATTGAGACCGTATCGACCGCAAGAATCACCATGTATGTATCTCTAGCGATGAGCCTCGTATATGTTGCTGCACGTCATTATGAAACGGGAGTGCAGCGCCTGTGCAATGAGTGTCAGTACGAGGCTGTACCTGTGTCGTCTACTGTACTTGTACTGTAGATGCTCTGGCACCGCGCTTAGTGGACTTGACACCGATAAACATACCAAGCCGAAACAAGCTGCATCCTAACTCAATCGTCTGTTCCTACTGTAAGAATAAGTATAGTAATTGTACCGGTAGCCGTAGGCTCCATTCTTTCCAAAATTCCAAAATACTGCGTTTGCATCTTCTGTCTCACTTGGGCCCCTGCCAGTTGCTACAAGCACTTACTGTACTTTACTGGTTCGTACTCATACCCCAATTGCTACTCCTTGCATCGACCGTTACATGGAGACTTTGATCCAGACCAGGATGAGGGTGACAGGGGTGGACCGTACCATCTGGAGCAGTAGAAGAGCCACAAACACACTGCTGACAAGTGCATACGTACATATCCATGCTAGTAACGAATCCATCACTGTGGCTCTTGTACTTGTATCGTCTACAAGTGGACGTGCGCATGTTGGTCTCGTCTTGTCATTTCATCTCTTCTCGCATACCACTCCATGAACGGTTTAAGGTAGCTAATTACTGTACACTGAGACAAAATTAACCACCGCACAACGTTGCGCTAGCTGGGGTTTTTATTGTTTATTTTTTTGAGCCCATTTTTGCTCAGAGTTGACTGCCTGCCACTGGTCATGTCTCGTATTTTGGCGGGGCAGGCAAACAGCCGTCCCACCAAGTACAAGTATGTATGAGTGATATTGTGTTCCGGGGACGGAGCCGAATCTTGGCTTCCTTGTTTCCGCCCCTTGTTTCCGTCACTGTTGCTGTTCCCCACTCGTTGCCAAGAGGCAATTTGGGCGTTTTTTTCTCTTTTTCTCTAATTTTTTTTCATTATATATTTTTTTTTTCGATGTTTTTTTTCGATATTTTTTTGAGGGCACAATATTTTGTACACGCACCCAATATTGGACGAATATTATTTGCACCCTATTTTCTTGCTCCCCTAGAGTTTCCAAAGTTTGGCACATGAGCACGATATACGAGGAGGGACAAGATCAGTACTTGTACTTGTACTTGTAGATACCACAAGTAGTCGGATGAACAGGAGTATGGGACTGGGATGGCCACGTGATAAACACTTTCCACTTGAACCCTCCTCTCTTGTCTACAGCTCTTCCCCCCCCTTAGATCTATCTGCGGGACGAGTATCAAGCAGGTGTCTAGTTGTGCAGCAAAAGCAACTTGGTGGGTGTGAGTTGATGTCAATTGATGTCAATTGATGGCAGTGCAGTAATAAAAGCACATGCAACGCACAAGCCGCGTCTCCATGTCTCCCATTTCAATCAGCCCCGTTATCCCGTTAACTCTTGTTTGTCTACAATAGCTTCTCTTCTCAGATATGTTAATTGTACGAGTCAACTCAAACGCTCAAACGTTTCGGTCACCCCTGTTGCATTGCCGATCAGTGATGGGTCTATGAAAAGGATAGCCAAGATACGAACGACTACGGCTACGATGGTATAACGTATGAGGTCATTTCTACAACCCACCAGTACACAACTACCCTTCTCCTCTCACTTTGCCGGAACAATCTCCCCAATTAGGCCCTGCTTCTTTTTTTTATTCTAATGATACCAGACTCTCTCCACCAACCACCAACTCGACCTGCCTTGGATTGCCACTTACAGCAGCGTTGGCTCAGCGGGCCCTTGTTGAGAGATGCGCTTGTGCTGGTGCGCCCGTCCAGTCATCTCACGCATGCACAACTGAGACATTGACTGGACGGCGACACGGGCCGAGGAAAAGGAAAGACAGTGAGGGGTACGTGTGGGGGATGAGTGGATGGAGATGGGCAAGTGGGCTGAGGGGATGGTTGGAGGATGGTTTCCGCGTCACCTGACAAAACATCAGTCCGCAGATCCCTCTTAGGTGTGTATCCATGCCTGTACTCCTATATACTTGCCTTCTTCGTTCTCTGCTGCCTTCTCTCTCTCCGCCGTCCTCTAGACTCAGTTAGGGTACAGTATGCACTGTAACCTTGTCCAAACTCTCAGGGGACAAGGTTTTTGATATTTTTTCCAGGTCCGAATAAACATCCACTCGGCGGGACGAGCGGAGATGGCAGAGACAAGATGAGGACGTGAATCAATTCTTCTAGATCGTGGCCTCAGATAGATACCGGAAATCCGTACTCCCACGCTCCCCAACCCCCACCATGGGGCGCACCTAACTCCACACATAAACATGCATCATCCATGTCCAATCTACTGAGCGAGAGCTAAAGCACGGTGGTTACGTCACGAAATAACACAAAGTGGACCTCTCCGCCATCGGCTGCGGCCACTGCAAATAATATTATCGTTGGGGCTCTCTCTCCAGCTCCATATATAGCAGGGTCGGGGACGTGTTGGTGTGGGTTTGCATTCTACAAGTAGTCGTTCGCAAGTGGAGACGAAATTTGATTTGACTTTGGCAAGTCCTCTTCAGTCCACCCAACCTACGTCGCCATAGGGGTCTCACAACAAGACATTCAAACTACCGTTCGACTTGCCCACGCGCCAGCTTCCCAACGCAGCTTCCAGATTTCCCAATATCCCATCAGCCCGTTTTTTCACAAGCTGTCTGGTTTGCACATTCCCACCCCGACTTTAGACTTCATCCCAGACGCACTGATATCCTAAGCGAAAAAGGTACAATTAGTCTAAACCCCAGACTCTACTAGAATAAGAGCTGCACTCCGTCTAGTGAAACCATGTCTTCTTCTCCAACCTCGTACCACACCATGACTTCACATTCGACCGCGCCCACGGAGCCGCTGAGCCCCGAGCGCAGTGTGTCCACGGACATGGACAACAGCCTGCAAAGCCAGGAACACGAGATTCCGTCGTTCCAGAAAAACGTCAACAACCACGGCAGACTGCCGTTGACCATCCAGCCCACCAAAGGCAGATTCGACACTCTCACGGCCAAGCAGATGGAACGACTCAAGCAGCTGTGGGCCGTCCTGCTCAAGGCCATGAACGTGACCCAGAAGGTCATCGAGGTGGGCACACAAACGTCGCTGCCTCCCACACGAGTCAGATCAAGTGGGGGCACAGGCGCAGACAGCATTTCATCCACGTCGACACGCGAGTCGGAAATGAGCTCGGCGTCCAGAAAGAAGAAACACGCACCCGAACATCTTGCCAACCTGTTTCTAGAACGCCTCGAGCCGGAGGAGGTCAAGCAGGCGCTGTGGCACATGGCTCGAACCCTCACTCCCGACAACCTCTTGTGTCGGTTCCTGCGCGCGCGGCGATGGTCGGTGCCCCGCACATGTGTGCTGCTCGAAAAAGCAATGTACTGGCGCATGAAGGAGTCTGGTCTCGACGAGCTGCAGTTCCGGGGCGAGATTGGGGCCTTCAGAAGCAACGATATTGACTACATCAACCAGTACCGGTCAAAAAAGTCGTACATTCGGGGCAGAGACAAGGCGGGCCGTCCCGTCATTCAGATTTACACACGGCGACATTTCAAAACAGACCAGTCAGTCAAGTGTATTAAGGACTTCACTCTGGCCGTGTTTGAGGCGTCTCTGCTCATGTTGGACGATTACAACGACAATGTCACCTTCCTCTTTGACATGACCGACTTTACCCTCTTCAACATGGACTATCCTTACATGAGGCATCTGTTGAAGATGTTCCAGATCTTCTATCCCGAATCTCTGGGTCTACTGCTGGTCCACAATGCACCTTGGGTCTACGAGGGTGTCTACAACATCATCAAGCATTGGATGGAGCCCTGTGTCACCTCCAAGTTCAAGTTCACCAAGAACCTCAAAGAGCTGTCACAGTACATTGATATGGACCAGATCCCCGAAGGTATGGGAGGAACGGATCAGTGGAACTACGAGTACATTGAGCCTCGAGAGCATGAGGCTGACAAGCTGCAGGACCATTTTGGCCGAGAAGCTGCTCTTCAGGAGCGATCCATGCTCACCCAAAAGGTGGAAAAGAACACTGTCGAGTGGCTCCAGGCGGTGCCTGGCAGCGAGGCCGAGGGAGAGACGCTTGATGAGCGACGAGTCATGATCGACGAGCTGAGAGACCAGTATTGGACGGTTGATCGGTACATCCGAGCTGTGACTGTGAGTGATCGGTTAGGTCAAATTCCTGCCACCAGAGGGCAAGTGCATGCTTAACCACTGATCTCTGAACGAAGAGCGGGCTAGTGGACACGTTGAGAGTGCGGTAGCATATGTTTGTGAGCAGCAGGCTGTGAAAGGGCAACGAACACGATATCCTTATCATCTGTGCATGCGGTGGCCCAGTCCAGACGCAGGCGTCTGCCCGCAAGTTATTTATCTAATTTCAGTAATCGCATTGTATATCACCTTGGAGAGTCGAGAACGAGATGGCATCGGTGGAGTCGGTGGAGGTATCAGTGGAGGTATCTGCACTGCACTCATACATACTGTACTGTAGATGTGGCTGAGAGAGAAGTTTGTAAGAGTGGTAAGATGATTTGTAGTTCCTGAGGATAGCAAACGAGTTATATATAGAGAGAGTACATCATCGTACGATTGCTGAATAGGGGTTTCTACTTAATTTAAGAGCGAAAAGTAGGGTGTTGAGATTAATTAAACCGGTACTTGAATTGTTATGACGGTGGCTGGTTGAGAGAAGTGCAAACAAGTATTGGTGGGTGCTCGGGTAATACTTGTACGGACTGATGATTTGGGGTAGCAGAAGTTGGTAGAGCGGTGACAAGAGCTCAAAGAACGCCGCACAGTAATTTGAGCCGAAGATCGGGAACAGACTCTGGATACTACAGGTTACCAACATTTCGGAACCCATCTTTCGGTTCCCTAGTTCTATTGGCTAGATCAGAAAGGGGAGCACATATTATCAGACCACTTGGGGCAGCTGGACGGACGACTATACAGGGCAGATGTATGGTTTTGGGCAGGAGAGACATGATCTTCGGTGGGAGATAGGACTTATACTGAGAGATAAGACAATTTTTGTTTCACTTGGAGGATTAGAGAGGCGTGATTTGGAACTTCCCATAACTTGTATTCTCAACTTGGAATTTTTATTATGTGACTGTAGACTGGATCAAGGAGAGGTGTTATATCTTGAATAGTCAACATGTATCTGAATACGGGCAATTGAGATCCCATCTTTTGTTTCCCTTTTCTTTCGTTTCTATCAAGTGTTGTTTCGGATATGTTGTTTTTTCATTATTTTTTTATTCATTTACTTATTTAACATGGGCTGTCAGTCCAACTAGATTTTAACTACACACTTGACACGCGGTTCTTGCATACTTGACATATTCCGGCATTGACTCAATGTGCTGTTAAAACGGAGTCAAAATATCACAAATTCCCTTGAAAATCAATCCAGTTGATTTATCGCGGTTCAATTATCTTTTGTGTCAAAATTCCGCTCCAATTTTATACCTCTATCATCCCTTATCACACCATATCCACCACTCTTCCCTCTCCAAATAAACTCCAATATCTCTGGTCTATGAACTTATTCCCCACGATTCTCCATCAACCACTCCCCCATCACACTAATACACAGCATCATGTTGAAAAGCAAGAATTTGTCGGCCCTGCTTTCACAGTCATTGACCACGTTGCCGGAAGAGCCCCCGTTATCGAGTGAGTATTTGGAGACTAGTCTGGGTGATACAACAGGTCGGAACGAACCGATAGAACAACGAGAGAACGACATGGGGAAAAAGGCACGGAATGGGATGACACAAGAAGATGCTGCTGATCTGGAAGGTTGTTGTTTTTTAATATAAAGACCAGACGAAGGTGTCAGACTGAAGTGACATTCTGCAGCTCCAACTGGTCAACACGACATGTGGAGTCGACTGGACTAGGGCAGAAGTTAGTTGAATGCAATGACTGAATGCAGTGACTGATACTTGTTACGTGTCTCTCTCGCTCTGGTGTGACTCACATGGCCATGACATCGTAGAGCTCTCTTGCAAAAACCAGCACGCACCAAGGCATTCATAGTCACAGCCGACAATGACGGTGACGCTCCCCTTCCCATCAACGCATCCACCGTCACTTCTCTGTCTTTCTCTCTTTATCGTTACTACCAAGTTTCTCTCGTTCATGACCCACGGCCATTCACAAATAGTTATTGATCGCTCCCGCTAACACAGCCTACGGTACCACATCGAACCCTCCACCCGCCATCTTCTCCTCCCTCTTGGGCTCTGCTCTCGGTCGAGAAATTGCCGCCTCGCATATCAATCCTAACGCCAAGTACCTGGCCCACTACCAGGGCCTGGACTCGGACCAAATTGCATCAACAGAACAGCAGTGGCTCAACAGCGTGTGTTCGGGCGAGTCCAAGAAAAAAGTGCATGTCATTCTCGCCGCCCAGACTTTTTCCGAGTACCTGAGGGGCTGCACCAAGGCGCTGGACGGCTCCAAACCCAAATGGGTCACCATAGAGACCAATGACGCGGTGTTTCTGGTGCGACAGATCGGAGGAGAGGAAGGACTGTTGCTGGTCACCGTGGCAACGAGAGGCACGCCCCTAGGACTGCTGTTTACAAAGACCGATGGAGTTTATTCAGAGCTGGAAAAGGGTCTTGAAGGGTACAAGGTGGCGTAATTAATTGGTATGACTAACAGCATACTTGTATATGTAATTACTGTACTATACTTACATATTCAATTATGCATCTACATGAATAAAGTACTTCAATCGGTTCATTATCGTACATATAGCATTTCAGCATCATCGAGTGGTGGAAGGAAGGTGTCCCATCTGTTTCCCTTCTACAACTCATTATCATCTCCAAACGGATTGTCATCCTCCTCATCCGAATAATGCAAGTTCTTGGGCTTCTTCGGGATGGGTGGAGGAGCTCGTTTAGGGATGCTGATCTTGGCCACCTGCTCGGTGACTTCATCTACTCCATCTTCGTTTCTCCAATCATCCTCGGGCTCAGAATCAGAGCCATGGACAGACGCCAACTTGTCGTAGTGCCGCAGAGCAGCAATGAGCTCCTCGTTGACATGAAGAAGAGGACCTACATATTCGCCATCGTGGATACCGTGAATATATCGCACCACCTTCTTTCGCAACTTTCGGCACTTGTTGAAACACTCAGTGGCATACGCGTCCTGGGTACTCAACTGGCCCTTATCCTTGTTGACCATTCTGAGAGCGTTGTTCAGGTTGGTAGCTGCAACGTGAGACTCCGCCAAAACCTCCTGGATACGCGGCTTCTCAACCTTGGCATTCAGGGGAGCATTAGAAGAAGATGCGGACAGTCCGGAGGGCGTAGAGCCTCGAGCAGACGATGAGGCAGGCTCGGGAGAAGAGCCCTTGAAGAATTTCGACAGAGACGAACGTTTCGACGACTTTTCCGTCTTTTCTCTGTCCTCAAAGTCCGCTACTCCACCTCCAGAGCGCCGGTTTCGGCTGGAAAACTGAGGTCGTTCTCCGGGCTCATCTTCCTCATCGTAGTCATCCACGGGCGTGCTTCCTCGTGTTCGAGTTTTGGACGAAAAGAATGGTTTCGACGAGGATCGGGGCTCGTCGTCAAACCCTCTCTCGTAACGAGCACTACCTCGGTTAGACCGCTTGGGTCTATCTTCGTCAGAGTAGGGAGACCGGTCACGTGGAGTTCGTGGAGACGCACGTGCACGGGGAGAATCGCGTGATCGGGGAGGGGGCGAGTCGTAGCCTCCATCTCGGCTGTCGTCCGAGTCCTCAGACAGGTCTTCGACTCGGTTAGAGTATCTGGAGGACCGTCTTCCGGAGCCAGAATTTCCTGCTCCTCCGTTGCCGTAGCTGCTTGCCCGTGATCTGGCAGCAGCGCTGGATGTGGCACCTCCCTTGTACAGAGAGGAGATACCCTCGTAGCCTCTCTTGCCCTTGTATCGGCTCCAGCTCTTGGCGTAGGCCTGGGCCTTCTTCTGGACGGCAGAGTCCATGGGATGCAGGCCTTCTGCGCCGGAAACGACAATTTTGAGCCGGTCAATCAGCTGAGTGTCGTTAAACAGCATGGAGAGCCGTTCTCCGTTCTCAACTAAGGTGTCGAGAATCACCAGAGCTCTGAGTTGGGCATGCTTGCCGCCGTACTTTAGTTTCTTTCTGAGAGCCCGGGCGGCTTCGGTGGGTCCGTCGGGACGCAATTGAATGATTTCCATGAGCTCGACCATGTCGGCCACATCCTCCTCCTCGTAGTCTCGTCCACAGAGAGACTCGATGGTGGAGGTGACGGCTGTGTATGGTTTGTCGGATGAGAGGAAGCCCATGATGAAACGGTGTGAGTGTGTGAACTAGAGCAGATTTTGGGCGCTTTTTGAAACTTGAGTGTCGTTGTGACGGTAGTCGGATTGGGTCAAAATGAGCCACTATCGTAGATTTGCGTGACTATTGAGAAAGTTCTGTCGGAGTCGCACTCTCTTTACTCTCGGATTCTCAGAAGAATCGGTCTTGAGTGAGTTTAGGTGGTGGTCTGTTAAGATGGAGCCCTGTGGATGTCACTGAGTGGCTTTTTTTGAGAGGTGGGTCGTGTTTGTAGGTGCCCCTTTGACAAGTGCTTGGGTTTGTGTTACTCGAGATGTGTCTGTGTCGCCAATACTGTGTCGGCCACCGATTCGTATCACTGAGTCTCGACCACTGTGTGTGCTGGTATGACGTAGATCGACGATAGTGGATATGCCAGATAACATGATTTAGGCTGGTTCAGGGCAGGGGTTGTGGGGCTGACCAACGGCGGCATTATTGTGGGCGGCGGCGTAGGGGCGGGGTATGGAGACTGAAGGGACTTATCAACTGTTTGAGGAGCGGTTCAAACCGGAACTCTTGTGCACATATAAATCAGCACAATTCTACCAAGGATTATTGCTGGTTTGTTCACTGGACGGCGGTCTATAAAGCTCACTCTAGGTTCACCAGTTTGAGAGTATAACCATAACCAATTTCAGAGTACAGCAGGAACGGACAGGGGCACGAGGAGTGGTTTGGGAAGGGGCTTTGCAGAACTGGAGACATATCTTGGGGACTCAAGTCAAAAAGTGCTGATAGGTGCTGTTTTTCGGATCTCTTTGTGATATCTGACCCGTCTGGATACCTCCAATGAGCACTTTTAACGATACTGTACAGCCAGCATTATGTCACATCCACAACAAATGAGTGCATATATTTGCATCCACGGCGTTTGCTCTTGATCTACCCGCATGGGCGTGGGTTCGTGGGGTCGGGGAGCGGTATATGCGTCGTTGGCGGAATCACAGGTTATGAGGGATTATTTTCCTAGTGTGTATGAGTGTTCTGGTTTGTATTTGTCGAGTGGTTTTCGTTGGGTTCAGATGGTCCGGATAGAGTAATTATTTGGAGGGAAAAATTAGAGGTGAAATATCAGTGAAATATCGGAGATGAGATGTAGGAAATGAAATGTAGGAAATGAAATGTTGGAAATGAAATGTTGGAAATGAAATGTAGGAGGTAAAATATCGGAGAAGAAATGTTGGAGGTGGATTTGTCTCTGTTTGCGATTCTTACGACTACAGTATGTACTGTACTGTACAGTAGGTATATACTGATACTCGCACGATGGATCCAAGAGGGGGATATATTATATATTATTATTTCTGAGACAAAATACGATATCTCTTAAACTAAACTGAGGCTTACCAGATGGAGTACGGTTGGGACATTACTTGATGATGAGAGATTCCTCTGGATGCAGAAAAACAAAACAAAACTAACAGCCATATGACTCGAAACAATCGTGCTGAAGGGTATGAATATTATTTTATAGATGAATGCACTGGTTCGGTAGCTTCAACTCCCTATACACAAGCGCTTTCCTCTGTTTCTTTTGACCCACTCAGCTCTAGCTCCTTCCTTCTCTCCACCATCTGCCCCCTTCCATGGCTTGACTTAGTAATCAGAGTCTAGACCGCCAATACCTCCCTCTTAGTCTTCGATCAATATACCTCCAATTCGCCCCAATCGAACCCAATTGGTGATGTCGCAAACCCGCAAGCACTCTCTTCGGTGCCTATTCTGTGACTAAACATGACTCCCTGTTAGTCACATTTTTTTCTACACTGTTCCACTTGGCTTGGAGCAAACTCTGAGGTCTAGCAATGTTATATTGCTTGTACAAACGGGGCATTGCGGTTGCCAAACTGCCAAAATAGATATACCATTGTGATTCTTACATTCAGCTGGTTCCAAATATAACCTCATATTTGCTCCAATCCGTCTGTAACTCCTCGTAAACCCCCCTCCAACACCATTACTAATACTCCAAACCCAAACCCAATACGTGATATCAGCCACACTGCCGTGCAGTCACTTACAGTAGCGTTATATACCTCCCCCGATCATCTCTGACAGTTTCTGTCAACTTCCAAAGTGTTTCTCTTTCGACGTTTCTTCTCTACAACCATGGCCACCGAGTCCGCTATCAAGACCATCAAGGAGCACATTGCCAAGGACAAGGTCTTCGTGGCCTCCAAGTCCTACTGCCCCTACTGCAAGCAGACCAAGCAGCTGCTTTCCCAGTTCAAGGAGGCCAAGCCCGTGATTCTCGAGCTCGACGAGCTTGACGATGGTGCCGAGCTCCAGGCTGCTCTCGCCGAGATCACTGGCCAGCGAACCGTTCCCAACGTTTTCATTGGAGGCCAGCACATTGGTGGCAACTCCGATCTGCAGGTTCTTGCCCAGAAGGACGAGCTGGCCGATAAGATCAAGGCTGCCCTTTAAATGTGAGCATAGCGACCGTTTAAAGAAAGTCACCACTAGCGATACAAACGGTGGTGATACATCTCAGATCGATGCACGTCTCGATTGCCCTGTGTTAGCAACATTGATCGCTGGATCAACAAGCGGCACTGTCATAGACAACATGATCCTAAATGATATACAGTACAATGTGTAATTGCAATGGCCATGGTGTTTCAATTGGCCCGTAGAGTTGATCGCAAGCAACTAGATCCTACTGTCACTGAAGCCCGATCTGAGGCGCCTTTTGTACCACTATTGGTATGTCTTAGTGAGCGCACATGAGAAAGAATGGGGTCCATTGGTCGGTTTTCATGTCCTTTTGCAAAAAATATGTACTGAATTGAAAATTTCGGCAAAAAATGACATCCGAGAGATTCGAACTCTCGCCTCCGGAGAGACCAGGATATTGATTCAGTCACCTGAACCTGGCGCCTTAGACCACTCGGCCAGAATGCCCGTTCTTGAAATAGAGAAAAACGTGACCTACAGTATCTTAAAAATTGCCGTTGTTGCGGCGAATAATTTTGCGAAATACTTGAGAATGAGAGTAGATTTTTTTACCAATAATATTTGATGTCGTTTGGAACACAATATGAAAGTTTCAGACGTCTATCTCCTTTATTGGGGGTATACAGCGCGACGATTACCGTTAGTCTAAAGTATACATTAATTGACTAACTAAGCTACTTACAGAAATAGAGCGATGACAGGAATGAGAGCTAGGAGAGGTGCAGTCACGATAGGAACTGCGGCGTTTGCCTGGGGAGGAACTGTTCCCGAGAACTGGGGCTCAGCTGGTTCAGAGGGAGAGGGAGGGGGAGAAGGTGTAGGCTCGGCTGGCTTGGAGGGTTCAGGCTGGAAACTGGTGGTCAAACAATCGGGAATATCACAAACAGAGGTGGTGGTGACAAAGTAAGTCATTGTCTCGATAGAAGGAGGAGCAGGAGGAACGGATTCAGACGTAATTGGCTCGGGAGTAGGCTCAGGCTTTGAAGAGATCACCGGCTCAGATTTGGGCTCAGTGGTGGGATCAGGCTTGGATTGAATCTTGGGTTGAGGAACCTCGGGGGAGGGTTCAAGGGCCTTGGTGGTTGACTTGGGAGTGGGTTCCGAAGTGGTGATCGGTTCTGGCTCAGGAAGGGAAGTATTATTTTCAATGTGAATTTTGGTGGTCGACTGGACAGGCTCTGGGGTGGACTCAGGGACTTAGAGGACCCAACCGACTTAGGAGGCTCCGTGGTTGACTTGGGAGGCTCCGTGTCTGACTCCGTCTTTGTCTCAAGAACATCTGCAGAGTCACAGGGAACAGTAACCGTGACAATCTTGCTGGAGATGGTGGTGACGATGGTTGTGGAGTAGAGAGTAGAGGTAGGGGGAATGGTAGAGACCTGAGCTTCGGGGGTTGTTTCCGGCAGAGTTGAAGTCTTGGAGGATGTTCTGGAGGATGTGCTAGGGGTTGATGTAGGCTTGGACTCAGTGGACGAAGGCGTTGGAGTAAAAGTCTTAGTAGGAAGGACAGTTGTTGAAGTTTTGGTTGTGGTTTGTTTGACACATTCAGTGACAACCCCAGTGGTGGTCCAGATATCGAAACCTGAATCAGTTTCCCAAGTCTTGGTTACCAGCACCTGCTCTTCAGGAGGGCAGGTGGAAGGAGGCCGGTTTCGACAGGTGGTGAAGACGTACTCGTTCACAATGCATAGCTCGTCCTCATATGTCATCTCGGTTTTGGTGTGGAGACGGTATTCGGAGGGCTCGCAATGAAGACCGAAGGCCTTGACTGTTTGCAGAGATGTTGTAGTGATTGCAGCTGAGTTGGCGGTGGTTGAAGAGGTTGAGGTCATGGTAGGCGTAGCTGTTGGAGCAGCCAGAGCCGGAGCTAGGAGGAGAAAAAGAGGGAACATGTTGTAGATGATGGGGTTCTTACGGCGGTGTCAAGGGTATTTATAGACATTCTGTAAACCCCCTTGATGATATTTCACGAAAGGCTTGATCGCTTTGGTGGTGTTTCTAATGAGCTTCACGGTTATTGACTTGGTCTCTTTGGTGAGATTTGGTCCAAGGTGTTTTTTGAAGTGACTGTTTTCGGTGAGTTGTAGCAGCCTCAATAATGGCCACTTTTAGTATGAAACAATACTGACTATTACTTTTCAACTACTCGTTCAAACCGCCCAGATACCAGCCTAATGATGGCAGTTACCGCAACGAGAGAAGCACAGCACAATTGCACGTGCCCCTGCCACTATCTTGAGCCAAACAGTTGTTCAATGCCCTTCTTTCAAACAGCAGTATTGATGTTTATTATCTCTCCTTTTGTCTGCTGACTGTTTGTCTGTTTCATCTTGTGGTTTTTGGTCCGGTCTATTGACTCTTCCTAGTACGGAGGAGCACGGTGTTGTAGTAGGAGGACCCCAGCAGTTTGCAAAATTCATAAATGAAAGCTCCTAAGGAACAATTTTCTGGATATAAACAGTATGTAGCAATAAAAAACCAATATTTATTACCAGAATTGCAGTTTTTGTGTGTTCTTTCACGTCATTATGACTGCTTGAGGTAGACACGCTTGACTGAGAACAGAGATCATCTAAAACCTGTTGTAGAGTAGATATCGAAATGAAATCTTATTCCAGCATCTCATTGCGGCACATATCCCCATTAAGTTGATTATCTACTCGCTAGCACCAATACTACTGCCCCAGAAGGTGGTCTCTCTGTACCGGATCTACCTCCTCTCTATCCCGATATCTTCATTAAAATTAGTTGGGAGAAGCTCCACCATATATAAGTAAGTATTTCACTCCAATCTCCCAGTCAAAACACCCTCTCTATCTCACCAACCACAAGGCTTACCGGAAAAGCAAGAGAGTATACTGCCATTTATTTCTCCATGAACCCTCAAATCCGCCGTCGGTTCCCCTCCACCGCTTCTCCCCACGCCATTATCTCCACCGTTAGTCCCCATCCGTGAACCCTATTTCCGGTTAATTTTTAAGCTCTGCATAATTATATCCGACTCTCTCAACATCGCCACTGCAAACACCTGCGATATATCTTCGTCTTTATCGGTTTACAGCCCTGATGCCACGTGACCGTGAGTATGACCAATGGGGCTATTCTGGCACCCGCAGAGATGGAGGTGGACGGTACGGATACCGAGATCGCTCGAGAGACGAGCGAGATCGGTTCCGGGATGTTAGAGACAGAGACAGAGACAGAGACAGAGACAGAGAAAGAGACAGAGGGGGTTACAGACAGGACCCGCGCGACCGACGTTATTCGAGATCACGTGAGCGGGAACGTCGCGGCTCTGGTTCACGGGATCGGTCACGGGATCGGTCACGGGATCGGTCACGGGACGCACATCGACCTCCCCCCTCGGGCCGTCCACACCAGCCTTCTGGGCATGATTCTACTAAGTCATCTAATTCCATGAGTGAAACTTCGAGTACTAGCCAGGTGACCGGCACCACGCCCAATACGACAAATGCAACCCCGTCGCAAGCAGAAATCGACGCCAAAAAAGCTGCCAAGCTTGCCAAAGTCGCTGAATGGAAGCGCAAAAAGGAGCTGGAGAGAAGTAAGAGCGCCAGCGCGAGCCCTGCTCCTTCCACCGCCCCCGCTTCTCCGAAAGCCGGCTTCTCCATGTCCGGATTGAGTGGTTTGCGTAAAGCTACAGATCAGGGCCAGGTGAAGAGAAAGATGTTCTTTGGGGGAGACTCAGATGAAGAGGACGCCGGTAGGAAGCCGGCAAAATTGTTGAAAAAGTTGGGTGAGAAGGAGGGCAGTGGTAAGAGTGAGGGTAAGGGAAGAGGTGGAAGCCAAAGTGAGGCCAAGAATGCCTCTGAAAAGAACGGTGCTGCTTCTGAGCCTGCCGAAGTCGACCCCCTCGACGCCTACATGTCTTCCCTGACCCTTCCAACCACCACATCTGTCTCCATAGCCGACTCCACTCCTTTGGAAAATCTCAATGTCTGGGAGCAGGTGGATACGCTGGAAAAGTCACAGGATCCGACTCTCGATCTTTCTGCGCTTTCGAAACGAAAGGAGATTGCGATTGTGGACCACTCCAAACAGGTCTATGAAGACTTCCGACGCCAATTCTACGTCGAATCGAGCGAACTTGCCGACATGACTGAAGCCGAAACGAATGAGCTGCGTCTTTCACTCGACGGAATCAAAATCCGAGGCAAAGATTGTCCCAAGCCAATCTCCAAATGGACACAACTGGGTCTTCCGGGACCTACTATGGGAGTTCTGAACGACTTGCGATACGATAAACCCACAAGTATCCAAGCCCAGGCAATTCCAGCTGTCATGAGCGGCCGAGATGTGATTTCTGTAGCCAAAACAGGTTCAGGAAAGACCTTAGCGTTTCTATTACCAATGCTACGTCACATCAAACACCGTGTTGGGGTCGAAACACATACCACCACTCTTTCGGGGGCCTCCTCTCACCCCTTGGGTGTCATCATTACACCCACAAGAGAACTGTGTGTACAAATCTACCGAGACTTGAGGCCGTTTCTGGCTGCTCTCGAACTCACAGCTGTATGCGCTTATGGCGGCAGTCCCATCAAAGACCAGATTGCTGCTCTCAAAAAGGGCACCCATATCATTGTCTGTACTCCTGGACGAATGATCGACTTGTTGGCTGCCAACCAAGGTAGAGTGCTCTCATTATCCAGAGTGACCTTCCTGGTCATTGACGAAGCCGATCGAATGTTCGATATGGGCTTTGAGCCTCAGGTTCTCAAGTTGACCCAATCTATCCGACCTGACCGGCAAACTGTACTTTTTTCAGCCACTTTTCCGAAGAAAATGGAACAGCTGGCGCGAAGAGTGCTCAGCAAGCGGTCGTCTGACTCCCTGGGTCCTATTGAAATCATTGTCGGAGCGCGCTCCGTGGTTGCTTCTGAAATCACGCAGTTTGTGGAAGTATTCCAGAACGAAAAGAGCAAGTTCCCGCGCCTTTTAGAGGTTCTGGGCAAGTATTTTGCTCAGGGATTCTTTGACGAGCAAAGTGAGGGTCGTGTGGGTACCGGAGAGTCGGCAGCTACCCCCATTCCCAACCCCAAGTGTCTCATCTTTGTGGAGCGTCAGGAGAGTGCTGATTCTTTGCTCAAGGAGCTCATCCAATCTGGTTACCCGTGTCTTTCTATTCATGGAGGCAAGGAGCAGGCTGATCGAGACCAGGCGATCAGCGATTTCAAAAGCGGGCTTGTTTCCGTGCTCATTGCCACCTCTGTGGCTGCTCGAGGTCTCGACGTCAAGGGGCTCGGTCTAGTTGTCAACTGGGACTCCCCCAACCACATGGAAGACTACGTGCATCGGGTTGGGCGAACCGGACGGGCTGGTCAGAAGGGTACAGCGTTGACGTTCCTTCTGAGTGACCAGGAGCGTCTGGCAGCTGAAATCTCACGTGCCATCAAGTCGTCTGGAAACGCGCCCCCTGCGCCTGTGCAGCTCATGACCGAGAGATTCGAGTTCAAGGTGCGGTCTGGAACTGAGAAGAGACACATGTACGGCTTCTCTGGTAAAGGTCTGGAGCGTCTACAGGATGAGAGAGATGCGACCAGAGAACATGAGCGACGAGCATATGAGGGAGACGAGGCTGGAGAGGCTGAGACGGAAAGCAGTACTCCAGCTGCCAGTACTGCAAACACTGATATCATTCCCAAGCCTGTGATTGTGGTTACTCCTCCAGACAGCAAATCCCCCACAACTGCTTACCACACGACGCTGCAGATCAACGACTTCCCTCAGCAGGCTCGATACAGAGCCAGTAGTAACACTTCTGTCAGTCGTGTTATTGCCAACACTGGTTGCAGTATCACTGCTAAGGGCGAGTACTATCCTCCTGGTCGTATTCCCGGACCCAAGGATGAACCCAAGCTGTTTATTCTCATTGAGGGTACCAGTGAGCGGGCGGTGAAACTGGCTCATCATGAGTTGTCGGAGCTTCTGGTGAGTGGTTTGGTTAAGGGCGCTAGGTATCAGGTGTAGACGATACCAAGGGGGGGTCAAACTTTGTAGGACCGAGTATGGAATGGTCCATGTACGAGTAGGAAGATGTATATATTATAACGATTGACGAATGAAGCGGTTGAGAGGCAGAAAGTATTCCACTTGTTCCAGTATCTACGGTACAATAACTAAGGAGTAACCATTAGTTCTCAGTCAGACTTGGCTATGGTGTCATGGTGTACACACTATTGGACTGTTGCTGAGTTTTCATTTGGAGATCTCTCAGGAGCTGGATCTTTTCTCATGCTCTCGTTGTATAACGATGTTTCAACCTGAACCCCGTTATCACCACCCTTCACCATTGCACCCCACCAATCGTTAAAATAATACATTCCTATATAATCCTTCTAGTCTCAGATGGCGCGTAACCATCCACATGAGTCGTCCTAGCCCCTTGTTGTTATTGTTGAGTCGTTGAGCATCTCTCCACAAGAAAGCATCGTGGAGACAATGTAGCCGCAGACAACACAATGGCAACACTGCAGAATCTCGGGAATCACAGTAATCACATGAGTCGCCCACTAATCATAAATCAATGGCTCCTCGACTTTCTCTGTCTTCATCAATTCGGTCCGGTTCTTAGCCTTCTCCTTGGCCAGCTGCTGACTGAGTTTGCCACCCTTATTCTGGCCCTGGGCCCGGGCCTCTGCGGCGCGTGCGGCGGCCTCCTTGGCGTCCAGCGTTTCGGCTGTGCCTCCCAGAGTGTGTCCTGGCGAGTTGTATGTGTTTGTTGGCTGTTTGGGCGGTTGTTTCTTGAGTGGGATGTTTTCCGTCTTTGCTGGTTTGGCAGGCTTAGCCGCTGGTGGTGCTCGTCCTGCGGTCCTGCCCGACGTGGACGCGGGCTCGCTCTTGCTGAAACACGAACCCATCGTTGTAGTCGGCGTCAAGTGTGTGTGGAGTGATGATGTGCGGGTTTAAGAGTGGAGTGCATGACCATGCGTGGAGGGGAATAGGGGTAGTTGCTGTGGGGGGGAGGAGGAGTGAGAGAAAAAAAGAGAAAAGTGCGATGGGAATAAAAGAGTGGTAAAAACTGACTGTATTTTTCAGAATTCAAATTGATGAAGATTTCGTCATGTTTGAAACACCTGATGATTTCGATAGAGCAGCCCATTGAACCTTGATAGTGGCATTTGAAATGAGTGTAGAAAAGGCAGTGGTGGACTTATAGATCCAGGAACTAAAAATATACATCAATGGTAGTTAGTTTTACAGATTTATCTATGTAGAAATGTGATATGACCAGAATTTCAAGAGATATTGACACTCTCTACTTACTTGACAGGAGGTTAATATTTCAACTATTTCAGAGGCTATTGTTGAAACTTTCAAGTATAACAATAGCTCGAAAGAGTGCATTGTTCTTGCTCCATTTTCAACAGATTTAAATGAAATTAAAAAGGAGAGTATTTTAATTCTGGTGAAAGTCAAATACATGTCTAATATTACAATAGGAGCCATTACTCCTGGACTTTTGGCTACCCCAAAACCAACTCTTCGTGCAAAAATTAAGGTTCCATGACTACCTTATACAACGCCCTCATAACCACTCTTTAATTCTCTTTTTTGACAGATATTTCTTTTGACGAGCAACTCACAAACTTCCTTAGCTGATTCCATCTACTTACCGTCGATATACCGCTCTCACAACCCCCCGATATCGCAGAAGACAAACTCCCCATCAACACTTTCCAAACTCTAATTCCAACCTCCATCATCACAAGGTCAATATCACCACTTGCAACCCACACAACATGTCCATCAACTTTTCCCACACCCTGTGGTCTCCCAGTGACACGGTCAAAGACGTGGCCGAGACTCTGGGCATCTCCAATCTGCCCGATGACGTGGCCAAAACGCTTGCCATGGACGTGGAATACCGAATCCACGAGGTGATTGAACAGGCGCTCAAGTTCATGCGACACTCGAAACGAACGACTCTGGGGACCTCCGACGTGGGCGAGGCTCTTCGAGCGCTCAACGTGGAGCCCCTTTACGGCTACGAGGGCGTGGCCAACGAAAAAAGCGTGTCTTACAGAGAAGCCATCACCGGACCAGGACAAACGCTGTACTATGTGGATGACGATGAGGTGGACTTTGAACGGCTCATCAACCAACCGCTGCCTAAGGTGCCTCGTGCCACATCACTGACAGCTCACTGGGTGGCGATCGATGGAGTGCAACCTGCCATCCCACAAAACCCCCTGGCCAGCGACATCAGAGCCATGAGTGTTGATCTGAGAGGCGCCCAGACCACCAACAACTCGATCGCCACCATCAACGGCTCGTCGGACGTCAAGGTGAAGCCTCTCGTCAAACATGTGCTGTCCAAGGAGCTGCAGCTGTACTTTGACCGTGTGGTGGGTGCACTTATGGACGGCTCGGAAGTGGTTGTCACTGCTACCGGAGACGAGAAGGAGGCTGCGGTCAAGCAACATGCGGCTGCTCTTTCTTCTCTGCGAAACGACCCCGGATTCCACCAGTTGGTGCCCTACTTTGTGCAGTTTGTGGCCGAAAAAGTCACACATAACCTCAAGAACCTGCCCGTGCTCTACACTATGCTGCAGGTAATTGACGCACTGCTGACTAACCCCACGCTGTTCATGGACCCCTACATTCACTCACTGATGCCCTCTGTGCTGACTTTGATTCTCGCGAAGAAGATTGGTCCCAAGCCCGGCCATGAGGACATTGTGGAGGACTCGCAGGTGACCATTTCTCAGTACTCGATTCGTGACTTTGCTGCATCTCTTCTGGCACGAATCTGCGACAAATACAACGAGATCTACGCTTCTCTCAAGCCCAGAGCCATCCGAACGCTACTCAAGGCATTCATGGACCCCACCAAGCCGATACCCACTCTCTATGGCGCTCTCCAGGGCATTCAGGCGCTTGGTAATGAGGCCGTTCGTGTGGTCATTGTAGGCAACCTGAAGCTGTGGAGTGATACACTTTACAACCGGCTGTTGAAGTCGTCGTCGGACTCTACTTTGGAGCTGGAGCAGCTCAACAAGTGTTTGATTTCGGCTCTGCGACAGATCAAGGGCCAGGCCATCTACCCCGATCAAGAGCTCACTGAGCAGGAGATTGATCGATGCAAGGAGCTGGTGGGAGACAAGGTGTATGAACTGATTGAGAAGCTGGACGATTCACAGCAGGTTGTTCATGGATTGGTGGATTTCGAGGGTAAGCAGGTGGAGTAATGGGTGGATAGCGAGCAAGAGAGAGAACTGCACGCGCATGGAAAAGGGGGACCCCAGTGTATAGATAGTTCTGAATGTATTTTTTATATGATCACGGTGGAGGAATATGAAGGATGGGTGTATACGACTATCTGTGAGTTCCTAGGGATTGTACTGTATGATCGTGCTACGAGCATTATAACCTTGATGAGATGGTCTAGTGGTTTTGTAGACCCGAATGTCGTAATTTCATGATATCGTACTTGTAGTTCAGCATGTGAGTAAGAGGAAGCCAGTTGGTCGAAATCGTATTTGGACTCTAGCTACTGTACATACCAACTAAAGCATAGTCCTTGATACTGTGTAGAAGGCTTTTTTGTCTTCTCTACGAAGCTACCAGTACATTCTTGACTTATAAACGGTGAGAACAGTGTTATCTAAACTTGTTTCAACATTGTCGACCAGATCTAGCCAAAATACGATCATAGAGCACGTGACTGTTTCAGCTCGGTGAGATTGATGAAGGGACCCCCGCCCATTCTGGTTACCTGTCTTCGATCTTGCTCTCAACTTCCTGAGTCGATGGTTGCTACAGTATCGGATCAGGGTGGTGAGCGAGGAGCAGGTGAGCACTTGGACAAACTAATTAGTGGCTTGTTGTTTGCCAGCAATTATGTATACCTGCAAACCTCTCTTAGACGGGGTATACTTTCTGCGCACCTGCAAGCAAGAGTGGTGATAGACATGGGCTCTTTTATGGCGCTTTTATGGCTCTTTTGGGAGTATTCATGTCTCACAATTGCATCTGGTGTCTTCCCATCGTCTTACAATGGCGTTAAACCAATTGGCATGGGCATAGAAGAGCAGCAAGAGATACAACTGATAGTGCTCTCTGGTTCTGGTCTGGTGTCGTACTTACTGATTTCTTCATCGCATGGTACTTTGCTGAGCTCAAACGAAGTGAGCGTTGACCAGAATCATTCTATATCTACTAACGAGACAGACATGGAGATATTTCGAGTGAGATGATGGTTCAACACAATGCACCACCTTCTGCCGCTATGAGCTGCTTGGATATTGAGTGGTTTTGCACCCTTGTCAAGTGTTGTACCTGGTGTCTCTTGTCTTTGAGAGCTCAACTGTGGAGGGACTGTCAAAAGGATACAAGCTAAGGGTGCTGTGCCCATTGGACCTGTTGCGCCAGTGTAGCACTGAACAGTGTTGCCAGGTGTTGTAGCAAGGTCTGATAGGTGCGCTCATAATCCAAAAACCTGAGACTGGTGTTTCTACACCCCCAGTTGTTGCCTTGGAACGACCGACAAGAAGAATCTCGTCTTGGGATATCCCCCAGGATGGGTGAGAACATGTTGTCCTTCTGTTTCCAGCCTGCTCGTTCGGTTCAAACCATCATGAAGAAATTGTCCCTCACTTGTTCAGTCTTCAACCACCTCAAATCTGTCACGACGGGATCGCACGCGCTCTAGGGGTCTTTAAAACACTCAGGCTGACCCTTGCCCTTCTTGGCTTAGCCATCGTATCAAAAACCGCAAACCACTACTCGGAACACTCGGAACACTCAGAACACTCGGAACACTCAGAACACTCATAACACTCAGAACACCCTGAAGCTCTGACCAGACTCTCCAGAGCTGATTAGGATCTCAAAAGAGTACTAAAGAGTTGGTAAATAGCAACCATTGAGTCCCTTCGACGCGTTTTGTACTCTCCTCATCTCAGGTGTTCTCTCTATCTTCATTCTGTGTTGCAGCCTGGAGATTCCTCACACAGGTGGTGAACAGCGCAGTGGCGTAAAAAAAAAGACAAATAAGAAGAAAAAGGACGGAATCACAATCTCCATGGAGTTGATCAGGAGCAATAGTATTGCCCATACAGATATCTAACCGACCCCAGACATAGCTATCGGTTCAGCAACTGCTCCCGACCCCTCCCATGTCTAATGCCACCTCACACTCACTTACTCACGCCTAGATTCTGCCCTAACACAAGTTCCTTAGCATCAAAGAGTCGATTTTTACGCTCTCAGCATCCCTTAAAATGGACTAATCATCTCTTTGGTTTGACTGGACCTCCCCTGTGTCGTCTTCCAGGTCCCTTAACCACCCAAGGTTGAGTGGTGAACTAACGAGATGAGCATCGAAAATGTGTATACAGGTTTGAAAAGCGAGGTTGAGAACTTGATTTTAATTAAAATAAAATGGCCGAAAAAACAAAATCGAAGTCTTTGATGCCGTTGGATGCTGTCTGGCGTTTTGTTTCTCCCGTTCTGAAATATCGAATAATTGACAACTTATCAAAACTCGGCAAAATTAACCGACAAAGAAAAGTCCCCTCTCTTAAACACATCAACAGGGTTGAAAAGAGCAACATTAGCCCAAATTCACCCTTTTTCTTGTGATCCCCCCCATGCAGTCTTTCATGTCCTGTCACTCGACGGTAACTTGAGATACCTCTTGGTAACTTTGAAAGTATAGATGTTTTGGAATCAAAATGACCGCTAGACTCGTGAGATGCTTCTGGTGGAGTCTAGAAGCCTGTATAGCATCAACCCAGCATGTCATCCACCGTCTTTCATATTTCCAAACCATCCTACAGTGTGATGATCTCTTCTCCTGCACCTTCGAGAGTCTCTTTTCTTTTACATAGGGCTTGCCCGATCGAACCCAGTTATTCATGAGAGGCACTCGGCCCGTTGTTTAGGCGTCCTTTTTTCTTTTCGCAACGTCCTTGGATTCACTCAACAAGTTAGCCCACTTTCTCTTTTGTTCTGTCCAGTCTGCAGCCGTGTGAGCATTGCTACTGTACATTGGCAATCTTGGCAGTTGATTCTTTGAAGGAAGAACCCCACAAGTACCGTACTTTTACTACTTGTAGTACTTGTACCTCCTTGGGGTTCGTGTAAGTTTTCGTCGCCTTTCTCTCGACCGCTGTCTCTCCCATTGGGTACACATCACCATCCCCGCAGAGTACAGTACTAGTAGTTTTTAGAGCATAGGAGATGATAAATCATTTTATAGATACATTCTACAAGTACAGTACATACTGTAGTCTCCTTTGCTCCATTCTCTGATCCAAACTCGCAAAGTGAAGTATTCCTTGTCCCAGAGAGGAATGAAATGTGTAGATTAACTACCGTCCGAGTCTCAGAGCAACCGAAGAGGCCCTTTTCAGACTTCTTTCGCTTAACCTATAGGCCCCTCAGCCAAACCATTAGCATGTAAAACAGCACAGCAGTTGGCAGCTCAATGGATACCACCCGTAAGAGTACAAGTAGCTTGACTACGAGAACAAGTAATTCCCTCGCGTGTAGTGTACACAAGCATGTAGAACTCAGTATAGACTCTTGCTCTTTAATACGGGTTCTTTTCGAACTACGGGGCAGTGACTTTTCGCTAGCCCTGCGCTGTCCTGCTAGTGTGAAGTGTCGTGTGAACCATGTCTCCACTAGTCTTGAAGCCAGGGGGGACTTCTTCTGACGACTCCAGTTGACCAAAGCGTGGTTTATAATAACTGCAGACACTATTTCTTCTTCTCTCACGTTCACATAGGTTGTACAAGTAGTATGTGCGGCGTACAGAAACATGCATTATGATGTCATCCTTGTATTCTTCCTCTTGGCCAAAGTCTGAGAGCCCACTCAGTCCTACAAGTACTGCACCGGTGCTTGTAGTCATTTCGCAAAGTCCTTGTACTCGTACATATTCAACTCTCCAACCTCTCCATCGAACAACATTGATGCTACTGACTAGACTGGCTTAAATGTGAAACAGGGCCCCTGTGACATCTGTACGCACGTGTAGAAAGCGGGTAGCCGTTCTATTGAATTTGTAACTTGATAGTAGTGTTCGACGCGGCTGTCTAAACCGTTTGATCAACTCCGGTTTCGTTTTCAGCTTTGAGGGGCGACTTTTGGCCTCCTTTTGTTTCACTTTTTTGATTTGAAAATTCTCACCAGAGAAAAAAATCGCAAAACGAGGAAATGCTTTCAAGCTAGAAAAAATTGAGCTCGGTAGCCACAATCTTTGAAGTTTCTCGAGTCTTTTGCTCGACTCCTTGATCTATGGCTGTTGTGTTTTTGACCTTTTGTTGCTACACTGTCAACTAGGCGTTGTACTGGAAGCTCATAACACACCAACTACTGTACAGAGACCGAAAGAAGTGGGCTCTCGAGGATTGGATATACTTGCGCTTACTACGGAATAACCCTGGGTCCTGTTTTTTCCCTATCTCAACCGGATCAATCGGTATGTTTCGCCGAAATTTCCATCCATCTCTACCACCAAGAGACCACCAATTAGTAATCATCACAACCACAAACAAGAAACTACAAGTACTTGACGGAAAGATTTACGCAGTAGGGTTGCTAATTTAGCGCGTTGCACAAGTTCATTTCGCTTCGCGGTTGTTCGAGCACAACTTGGCAAGCTCTGAGACAATTTGGGGTGCAGCGATGATCGTAGCTTACCGGAGCTTACAAGTACACGATATTATAATAGCGAACTAAAAGCTATAGTTATTATCATAGACGGTTGTTAGAATAGGATCCCTGGAGCCGTATTCCATAGCAAGCGAGTCAGATAGGAATCGCCGTAGTGCCAATTCCGTGATGCCGGCTTGGATACGTGGACAAAAATGCCAACGACTGAGATGGTTGGTTTCCGCATACCGGTGCGGAAAACGGAGCCTAAAGCCAAGAGTTCTGCCGCAGTCTTAGTTAATGTGGGAATATGCCATACAGGTCTGTTTCCGTATCTGAGGCCGTATTTTTTGTGCACTGCACTCGTACATACTGTACTCGTACGATAGAGTAGGACTCCGTATGGACGGGAGCACTAGTGTCGAGTTAATCGAGATTTTTTGTGGAAGCTAGTTAGGTTTACTTTTCCCCGAGTTAGTGTACTTGGAGAGCCACAGTCGCTATCTTGTAGTGTACTGTACTTGTACTTGTATTGTGACCGAGAGATCGAAGGTGAACTACTGTTGTACTGCAAGTTGCATCGGCGTATGTATGTACAAGTACATGGGGGAGGCGGTTTCTCCGGTGATAACGTGTTTGGAGGCGGTGGTTGCAGATGGTTGCTACATTCAATATTGATGGCATAAAACCGACCTAGTCGCGATGCGGGAAAAACTCGCACTTGTCCTCGCAGTCTGGACCACTGTTATAGCAACTCCTCCGGTGTTTGTTGAGGAATTCGTCCATAAAATGCTTCTTCTATGTATTTACAATCCACCAACCATCAATTAAACGAATACGGTGACTTATGCAACCCGAGCTTTTTGCCTATAAACCCTACAACCACGTATAGGAAGGAGCCGTGGTTGGACTGAGATGTGGGAGCTCTGCGGGGCCGGGCCAGAAGCAGTAGTTAATAGCTCTATGGTGGTGTTTCGCCAGCTTGGCGCGGTTTTATCGTTTAATATTGGCGGAATTCAGCTACAATGTTGCCCCAAACGTACAAGTAGCGTTGGTAGCATGTGTTGTCGGGTTCCGCACTTTTTTCACGTCTGGTTGAGTTGGTTGAGTTTGAGACATTCCAGCAGAAACAATAGCTGACCATGTATATATGATGGCATTGTATGCGGAGACTGCGGTGGCACTACAATTATGTCCTTTGTATTGATATGTTGTTCTTTTTGCACGATCCATTTCTACGGGTTTATTGTCGCTGTTTCTGAGTCACAGTGCTGCGCCGTTGACAATAAGCCATGGTTTGGCCCACCAGCAACGTTTAGGTTGTTTTTTCCGTCCAGTGTTGCATTTTCGCCGATTTTTACTTCTCAATCCTTCCGCCACAGTGGAGAGCCTGTAGCACCAGTGGAACTTCGATCGATCGTAATTAGTATAGCTGGCGAACGGTGACATGGTTTCGCACTAACAAGGAGCTACTGTAGGGTGCACATGTCCATGGCACAAGTACTGTGCGTGCTGTACTCTCGCCTAAACGCACAACCCTGCGGACCTGAGGGATGGCGGTTTATCGACAGAGGGTTATCGATGGTGGGTTATCGACGGTGGGTTATCGACGGTGGTTATCTCCGAGAAGTTCTGGTAGAGTTTCGGATCAATCCCGAGGATCTTGCCGTGCAACACGGGCGTTTCTGGAGCCGTCTGAGGGGCCGTTGTCTTTGGCAGTCTCTGCGGTTTTTTCCACCATCGCCCTTTCCACCATCGCCCTTTCTTTCCGGTCTCCCCTTTCCAGAGTCTCCCCTTTCCAGAGTCTCCTCTCTTTCACTGTCGCTTAAAAAATCTCGTTGCCAAGCCCAAGGCTCATGCGGTTGCCTCGGACCAATGCAAATGCTCAGGTCCGATAACCCCGGAGAGGTTGGCACTTTGTTTGTGGGATAAGCAGAGCAGAGTTTAGACGAAGCTCATCAAAGCGAGAAAAACGTGTCCGGTGGTGTCAAGGCGTCGAAGCGTCGAAGTGTCGTGGAGATAGCAGCGGACTTTTTTGGGAGCTACGATCACCGTCTTGGTGCCTTCATGGAGTAATCGGAGGCTTGCATTCCGCGTTTTCTTGGTCCCGAGCGAGGGTGTCTTGGCCTCGAACGCCGCTCCATCGCGTGTGTCTGACAGTGGCTCGCTCTCTCGATCGGCTAGTATCCGAAACTTTGAGTCTGCAGAGCGCGCTGGGTTTGCGGAGGCCTTTAGAAGTCTGCGAAAGGGCCAGACTCTGAGTTTAGGGCCAAACCAGCGGCAGGATGACCAGTGTCTGAGGTCTTTGTGCAGTTTTAATGCACATCGAATACGTGACAATTCTCTGCAAAGTGCGTCTTCTCCTGGTTAGGTTGGCGCCTACTCGTAGCTTGGGAAGAAAGAGAGGCCCTTGCGTGGTCTGTGATCGTATGCACCCATAGCATATTTTTTCGTATTTTTCCCGGGCCTTCTCCCTGATCTTAAGATCCTCATAACGCGGTGGACATCGAGCCTGGCCATTAGTGCCGAACCTTGGAGCTACAAGGTTGACCTTGCGATTGTATACGGGTTCTATAATAGCAAGAAGGGGGCTAGCGATGAGGGCCGGTCTCAGAGGGGCGGGGGCGCTTTATATTGGCGGAATGTGTGCTTTAGACGGCCGCTGGTTGGAGTGGAACGCGCGCGCTAAATACCTCATCTTTCGCCAGGCATAGCTTGGGATGATGGGAGCCCTTTTAGTTTCGCCGTCTGTCTGACTGGCTGTTTATCTGGGTTGCTGTTTGGCTGCGCCTTTGTAACGCACCTACCCAGAGTTGCTGTTCTGCACAAGGACCCAAGTACAGTACAGTACCTACAGTGCAGTACCAACTGCTGTATGGTGAGAGCCAGTGGCAAAAGACAAGCAAGTGTAAGAGAAGGAGAGACCAAAGTGAGCAGCAGCATGTATTTTTGGTACTTGTGCTGTAGCTGTAGTTGGATTCGCCTCCCGGCGCCTCTTCATTCCGATTCTTCCGAGCCCGGTCGCTTTGCTGCGATAAACTAGCTACCACCTAATCCTACGCACATTAGACACTCACTGACCCCGTTCGTAAACGATGGTCAAATGTAACCGCCGCATCCACATAGCAGAACAATGGAAAAGAGCCTGCGTGGACCAAGGTCTGCTGATCTACACCGTGCACCGGCATCGGTTATGAGTACTCTGGCTGAGCCAAACTCACAGGGTGCTGGTAGGGTAGATCCGGCTGTGCCCTACATCCAAACATACAAAGAGCAGTGTTTGTGGGAATATGGAATCCCGCAGTCGTTAGAGCGGTCGCGAGTACAAGCACTTGTACCTGTACTCACTCTGTCACTCTGACAGCCACTGTACTTGTAGTACTGTACAGTACAGCACATGTACTTGTACCTAAGGATGTATGTACGAGTACATGTATAATTCTGTCATTGCACTCACTTATAGGGTCAGTTATGGGCCCCCAGTGATACATACAGAGTTTTGGGGCCGCGAGGGAGAGGTAGCAGGGTTCTTCTGACGACCGCTTTTTTTCGCCTCGTTTCGACTTGCTACCTGACATCTGATCGGCCCTCCGTGGGTCATGGTAGTGTTCTGAATTTTACGTCACAGACCACACCCACCTGGAACTTGCAGCACACATGGAGTCTTTCGGGTCGACCCGCCAACCTACAAGCGTGGAGGAAATCTAGAATCCTTCTGGGTTTGCCGTCTCTTTTTTTGTTTTCCTCCTGTCACCCTCACCTTTTCCTTTTTTGCCCAAACTCAGGTTCCCTCCTTCTCACCTTTTTTTTTTTTTTTTTTTTCTGCATATACATTCATTTAATTATAACTTTGCCGTGAAAGAATAACCTTTGAAATGCCCTTCTTGCTTGCCTTTTGCACGAACACTAACCTACTTGTGAAACCCTTCTAGCTTATATATATACTGTCCAGCGGGTGCACGGGTCCAAGCAGTAACTAAGCCATTCTCGTACACGATTTGAATCGGTGAAGCAAGCAACACATTCACATTCTACGCCAACCCACGCCCGACACAGGCACAACTCACCCCCTTGGCATCTCACACACACACACATACACAGACCATTCCATACAAACACCGACACCCCAGATACCACCACCACATGTCATTCAACCACTACAGAAGTAGTAGAAGCCCGTATCGGGACCGATACGACAGCTGGATGCGGGACCGCCACCTGGACCGACAGCGTGAAGTGTCGCCGCACAGAACCTGCAGGAACGACCGACACGACCGACCGACGTCATGGGACACTAAGAGAGGCGAACGGAGGGACGAGCCCAGAGAATATAGAGAATACGGCAGCCCGGGAGACTCGTTGCCGAGAGCACGAGAGCGTGTGGGGCGGTCGCCGCGGTCACCACGCGACATTCGACGGCTGTCCGACTGCAGTCGCATGTCTGATTCCCGAATCGAGCTGGATTCCCCGTTAGCCCAGAGACGACATTCTAGCATAGCTCACGAGCAGATAGTGGCACGTGACAACCACAGTGGTACATTCCGCCGCGGCGACAGAGACTCCACATCCTCACGAACGCGGGTCAGCCGGTTTGATGCCGTCGACCCGGTGGCAGTGGCAACTTCTATCGCTGCCAAAATCAATGCCGGGCTCATGGCCCGTGATCTCGCTTACCGCAAGCAGCAGACCGATCCGGCGCGACAAATGGACGAGGAGGACGCAGAGTCACGTAATGAGGACTCGTCGTCGTCGTCAGCGAGCAAACTCTCCATGGGGTCTATGGGATCCGAAGACACCTCGGGCTACGACTCTCCACAGCCGGTCCCTAAGCGTCCTATCATAAAGATGACTCCTCGCTGTGTTAAGAGCCCCAGCCCACAGACTGAGACGCTTGCGGCACCCGCTGTCGCAGAGGCAGAGCCCACGCATTACACCCGTGATGTGGATATCAACGGCTTCCGAAGCAAGCACCTGCTGACCAAGTCCTCGACACAGGCTGAGATCCAGGCCACGACGGGCTGTTCGGTCACCTCCCGTGGCCGGTTCATGGACAAGGGCGAGATCCCTGGTGACGAAAAGCCGCTCCACCTGCATTTGGAGGGTCCCACAACGGAGTCCATCGCCGCTGCTGTCAACAAAATCCAGTCAATCCTGCATCAGGATATGTACGACGACCATCGAAACCCCGCGGCTTTCTACCGCAACGTGTCGGTCGTCAACAACTCCGGATTGACTCCCTTCCAGCTGCGAGGGCTTGTTGTGGGCCCTCAGGGACAGAACATCAAGCACATCCAGCAGGCATCTGGCTGTCGCATTCAGATCAAGGGCATTGGCAGCCGGTATATGGAGGGCGAAGTGGAGGAACAGGTGCCGCTGTACGTCAACGTGAGTGGCCATGACGAGGCATCCGTTGACATTGCTGAGCATCTGATCATGGATCTTATGAGAGTGGTGGAGAGCAGTGCTCATAAGCGATACCGAATGAGTAAGCGGTAAATTCGACTGACGAAGGTCGTCTTTATCTCGCCGCCTCATAAATTGCATTTCTTTTTACGCTGTTCCATAGCAGTTATTTATTTGTTTGCATAAGTTGATTTTTTCGCGACGCAAAACCCCGATACCTCAGGCGGACTGGAACTATTCCTATATTTCCATCGTTTTCCTCTTATCCCCACATTCCCTTTTACCTCTTTGGGTCTGTCCGACATCCCTCAGCAACCCATTAACCCCTCACCAACCTATCATCATCCCACCAACCAGCATGCTTTCACCAGCGTCTATTCCTTTTGCCTTCCTTTTATTTATTTGTCCCATATTGATACTAACAACTGACATGGTTCAGACTAGTTTCGATTTTCATGATTTTTCTCGTATCATGGTTTTGTTCATTATTTTCTGAATTCACCCCATCTAAATTATTTCATTACCCCCATGGTTATCCACTATGTTCGTCAGTTCCACTACTCCCACATACACTGCGTGATTGAACAAGTTTGACTGATCCGTTTTGAAGCCGCCCCTTACGAACTTGGAAAGGAGCTGTTTTTTATTGTCTGAATCTTTGGTTCGGCCACACGAAACAGCACTTTCACCAATCACCTGATATTTCTGGCCGGATCCTTTCCTTTCTATCTCACCCGCCCCAATTGCTAGGGGTGCTGTTCTTGAGTTATCTTGTTGCTTGTCAACTTGCTTGCTTGTAGATCCGTAGAAGGGTCTCGTCTGAGGTATTGTAGCTCCTCCCCCATGCATGCTTTGGTTACAAAGCTGGCTTCTTTTTGTGGTTGCAACCTCCACTTTGCATCCTGCTCGTAGATACTCACCAACACAGCTCCTTTTTTGTTACCCCCTGAATCCTTGAGATGGCCATGCTGTGCACCAGGCGCATGACTTTTTGCTGTGACACACGGTCAACAAGCATTAGTCCAACCACAAGACACGCATGGTATTTTCTTCCGATAATTCCAAAGCTGTATCTTCACTTTTTTATCTACTGTTTTTTTTTTTTGTTTTTTTTTGTTTTTTCCTTTTTCTCTCTCCTTAATTTCATCAATGTTCTCTTTCTTTTGTTCGGCCACTTCTTCGCGAGCTCAAGTTCAGTACTGTACTGACTGTACTTGTGTGGAGATGTTGGAATGTGCTACATAACAGTTGGCCTTCAATGAACTCGTATCGTGAGTTGTACACTGTAAAAACTGCTGTGCCCGTACAAATTGTAGAGCTGCAGATGTGAAAATATGTCAAAAAAAGCAATTAACCAGTACATACGATACTGTGCTTACCTTACCAGTACTTCTTGAAAAACAGGTACCATACTGTACTTCCCGGTACTCCTGTACATAGTGTATTTACTCGGACCATGTATTCGGGCCGTGTATTCGGACCGTGTATTCGGACCGTGTATTCGGACCGTGTATTCGGACCACGAACTAACGGCCCGACTCGTAGCAGATAGTTGCTGTCTGGCCGGGGAGATCCAGAGCTTTGATTGGTGGAGCAGCAAGAGCAGCAATTGATATGGGATGCTTGTGATAGTAGTGGACAGCACGTGTTTTTTTAGTGAGTCATAGAAGAGATATACGAGTACAAGTTAGGAACACGAGTGCATATTGTAAAAGTTGTGGACTAGGAGTTACGGATGTGTCACCAATGGAGCAACTGGTCACATTTTTGACCTGCATTATTATATTTGCGAGATTCCGCAGGTTTAGAAACACCTCTGTTTCTCCACCTTTTCTTACGAGCCAGCCATTGAGTACATCGGACGGACATGGTGGGTTCTGAGTATGTACGATACGGTATAGTCGTGAGTGTTATACGGAGTATTAAAGTAATCAACTCGATATTGATATCAGAAAGCAGCTGGGAAGAAGGGCAGTAAGAATCTCCTTTTCTTATTGTTTCAAGTTGGGTGGGTGGAAAGCTAGAGTCGGTTCTAAAAACCCGTGATCATGACGTCATGCACGAAGATGACCAAAAAAATCTCAAGAGGACAAAAGGAATGGAAAAAAACTGAAAAAAAGATTGCAGCACCCAGGATTCTCGTATGGTCTCCCACTACAATACTAACTGGGCTCTCTGGTGCTTGACTATGGCTGATCGGACGGGAAGCCGTATTTTCACCAGGATATGGCCGCAACCGTTGAAGATTAAAATTGTTAGGACCCTTACACCGGGTCTAATATGTCACGTGCGCAAATTTTTGAAATGTCTTCTTGGAGACATTGAAGACGAATATCGAATAAGTGGAGCCAGTACAACAATGAATACAGACAAGGAGTATGTTCCGAATCTGGTTGAAAGCTCACTTTCTGTAATTCATGGCTTTTCTGATAGTTCTTTAATGCTGCACCTCGTTCAAAGAGACCATACCCGAAGTGGAGGACCTAGAATAAAAAACAAGGAAGATCCGCCGTGGTTTTTCTACTAAACCAAAATGACGGGTTAATGTTGAACAGGAATCTTGTTGTCCTTATATTGCAAATACTTGTGATGGTGTCTTCAAAACACATTCCTCTACAAGATCTAGTCTAAGTATTATGTCTTTGTGTTGCCTTCGTGTTGCTTGTAGCAAGTATAGGAAAACTATTAGCACATCGGAGCTGGATCAAGATATCTAAAACCAGCTGTATGAGTCGCGTGTTTAATGGGGCAGGATCTTCATCCATTCCTAGGACCACTCCATTGTTATTAAAAACTGGGTCCAACCATTGAAAGGTCGGACAAGTGCTTTGAGTGTCAAATGAGCTCTTGGAGAGCTCTAGACCTCACACTAAGCCATTGTCGAGCTTCAGTGAGTGGCTCATTCAAATCTGCTAGACGGTCCGAAGCATTTGCTGACCCATTGGACGTGTTTTTTTGACCTCTAAACACGTTTGCTAGCCCTTCCGTATGTCTTCTGGTCCCTCTTATGTCGTCTGACCCTCCCTCATGTCTGTCAGCGGCTATCTATATTCTCAGCTAGCGTGTAGATAGCGACTGACACGAACATTTACCTTCCCCGGTTCAGAGATCAAGCTGTAGATGGGCGTACATGTGTCTGCTCATCGGGTTTCTTCATTCCACCAACAGTCTTCTCCAGCGATCCACTGATTCGGGGCGTCGCCTGGCTCAACACGACATGTGTCTCTTCCACCTTTTGTCGAAGCGTGTTGCTGGCAAGCAGAATGTCGTTAAGCACCTTTTGCTGGGCGTCGCTGGAGTTGACTGTCAGCGCCTCGGCCTCCTTGAAGCCGTTTCGTGACGCTTCCTTGACGCTGAACGAGATGTTTTTGGCCCACATGGTGTGTTGAGTTGGATAGAACTGGGAATCGAACTGAGTATGGTTTGCTTAGTAAGAATAGGTAGGGAGAGATAGGAGTAGGACATTGCTGTTCGCCGAAGTGTCAACTGGGTTCTTTTATCACAGAAATATGATCCTCTCGTAGTTGTACTATCACATGGCCTGTTCTGTACAAGTACTTGTACATGTGCAAGTAGACAAGTATACCCACCCAAAGTAAACATCCCATCAGACTGCTTAACTCCTTAGCAGCACTGACAAGTATTGTGCTTTTACCAGGCAAACTTGAGTGATAATATGTGGGTTTTATTACATATAATTAATAATCAGGTCTCTGTGATTCTCACGAGAGGGTTTTTATCTTTCTAGCTATCCTAAAACCTGCGCAAGATCACTCCTCTTCCACACTCAGTTGCTACTCTACTTATACTCCACAGGAACAGTACCTCCCCACATAACCTTCTGACACGCAGCAACATCACCAAGTGGATCTCTTGACACACGCCTCAGAACATCCACAGAACAGCCATTCCTACAATATTTCGCATTATTGACACGTGGATAGTTTGGTTAAGTGACACAGAAACGATACAAACGGATTCCTGAGCTCAACAGGACACATTGAACGACTAAACGACGCGTACCTCACACACAACTCACACACAACTCACACACAACTCACACACAACTCACACACAACTCACACACAACTCACACACAGCTCACACACAACTCGTCACATTCACCATGTCCAATCTCGATCCCCTTATTGAGACATGTCTGTCACTCATCTCACGGCTTCAGCGGTTTGGTACACACTCTCTGGCGTCTCGAGACGTCCGTCAAGAGCTGGCCGACCTCATCCAGACCAAACTGCGTGATCTGGACACGGAATTCGCACGATACAAGGCCACATGCCCTCAAGACACGACGTCGCAGATCGCACTCGAATCATATACGGAACAAATCGCCAACCTGCGTGTGCTGTACCGAAAGGCCCAGGTGACCAGTGCAAAGAATGTGGAGAAATCGCTGCTCAAGGAACGACAAATGCTGTTTGAGGGCCGCAAGGAAGTCAAGGAGGAAGCCAGCGAAAAGGCAGTGCTCAACAAGTCTCGTGATATTACTCAATCGCTCAAGCGGGTTCATCAACTGGCTTCTCAGAATGTTCTGAGAGGAGAAATGCACTTAGAGAGCCTGGACGAATCGTCGCGTGACATGCAGATGCTGCAGCAAAAGTATACCACCTTTGACGTGCTTTTGGCAGGCTCCAAGAAGCTGGTTCGACATCTTGAACAGGCTGACAAGCAGGACAGAATTCTAATGATGGCTTCTATGGGATTTTTGGCGCTTGTGGTGGCGTGGATTCTATACAGACGGGTGTTGAAGCTCCCCCTGATGATCATCACATGGCCCCTTCTCAAATTGTTTGGAATCGTTCGAGGAAGTGGTCCTAAGATTCCCAAAAACCCAGGTAACCCTGTGCAGGGGTTGGTTGACACGTTAGTCGATACAGTGGTGGAAGCTACTCCGTCTGTGGGCATGGAAACATTGGTGGATACCTTGGTGGAGACGTTGGAAACGGCACTGTCGTCTACCATTGCAGCAGATATAGACCTGGAGCTTCCAGTTGTGTCTGAGCCTCTGGACGATACTCTTCCTGACAGCGGTGTTCCCGAACAGAAGGAGGTTCCCATTCGAGATGAGTTGTAAAGCTCCAAACTCGCAAAAAAAAGCAATACTGTAGCTAATGTAATACAATGATCAAAGTCACGACCATTAAATACAGGTACATACCGTCATGTACTCGTTACAGTGTATTATTACACTTATATATACCATACATACTCCTTGTGAGTGTGTGTTAAACTCTCCAATCTACCAGTACCTCGTCAGTTCTGAATCTCTGAGTGCACTGGGTCTTTTCCATTTTCGTCTCAAAGCCCTGTCTCCATGCCAGAAGACCAGCATGGGCAATCATGATACCGTTATCGATGCAGAAACGCTCGTCGGTGGCGTAGACGGAGCCGTTTCGGTCACGTGCCATGATTCCCATCATCTCCTGGAGTCGCTCGTTGCACCCAACACCTCCCACAATAAGTACTTGCTGAGAGTTGACATGGGCCATGGCTCTTTCAGTGATTTCGACGAGCATGGCAAAGAGCGTTTCTTGTAGCGAAAAGCACAGATCTTCGGCGGTCACCTGATGTCCATCAACCACCAGATCTCCTGCCTGAAACCGCTTTGCCAGAGACTCCACAAACTGCAACACACCAGACATGCTCAGGTCCATGCCCTTGACGGTGTATGGCAATGGAACGTACTTTTTGCCCTTCTTGGCTAGCTGCTCGATATTGTATCCTGGTGAGGGGGCGTTGGGGATCTTCAGCACCCGTGCAAACCGATCCAAGCAGTTACCGACAGCAATATCAAGAGTCTCTCCAAAGATTCGATATCGCTGTTTGGAGTACGCAATCACTTGTGTATTTCCTCCAGAGACGTACAGAACCACGGGGTTTGTGGCGCCCGTGATAGTTCGGCCCATCTCAATGTGTCCCACGCAATGGTTGACGCCCACAAGCGGAACTCCCCACATTTGAGCAATGGTTCGTGCAGCAATCACCACGCTCTGCAAAGGAGCCCCCATACCGGGACCCTGGGTGAACGAAATGCAATGCAGTTTTGTAGGGTCGGATATCTTGGCCTCGTCGAGTGCCCGTTTGATGATTCGAACCACCCAGTTTCGGTGGTGACGAGCTGTGTCTCGTGGCAAGAATCCCTCGCCTGGAGGAGTGATGTAGGTGTCTCGAATGTTGGACAGAATGTCGGTGGAAAAGCCGTTTTCGGCGTTGGCATCCGTCACCGTGTGTTTGATTACGCCCACCCCCAGTTTGTTGGCGCTGCCTTCCAGTCCCAAGCTCAGATAAGTCGTCATTGTGCTGTTGTCTGAAAAACTGACTGAGATACAAAAGCTGCATGGTCGGGTTGGAAAGCTTATTAATTGATGAGCCGCACGATGGGAAGGGGACTACCAGTCGGTGATATTGGTATATTTAGGGCAATTTTGTTTCTGAAAAAACGGTTAATATCGCTAATTATACTCTCTTTACTTTTTCTGAGTGTTAGTTTCTCGAAAAATTACTATTTATGATGGTTTCCATGACATTTTCAGTTCCAACTAACTAACAACTAAAACGGATACTCCAGTTGGAACAATAGTTACGAGTACATTACTCCATTCTCTACTTGCAAAAATACCACAGCTTTCAGACGGACCTTGTGGAAAACGTAGTACGCACGTCACCTATACCTCGGCTATCCATTCAGAATCAGCGTAGTCGATATACTCACTGTTCCAATTGGGGAACCTTTCCAGTTCATATTCCTTCTTCGACGAATCGAAAGAAAAAAAAAAGGAAAAAAAAAGGGGGAAAAAAAAAAAAAAAAACCATCACCAGCACAGACAACCGATTCCGAAGATCGTACCAATCACCCCCAATACTCCCTCTTAGGTGGCTTGGATGTCCGAGACCCCCGAAATGTTGTTCCTAAGATACAATAATGTCGTTTGCCACATTTCTGAGTTCAACTGGGCTTATCTAATCCATCTTACAATGGAGTGGTGTCACAGGATGAGTTTTGGTCCTACAAGAATGTTGAAACAAACCACGTGATCCTGGTGTTGGTGCCAATAAACTGGAACGGTCAGAATCGCAATATCCTTCCCCGTTCACCCCACGGATATACTTTCCATTTCAGGATCACGTCACCCGCAGTGCAGGTTACCTTATCATGCATGTGGCTTTTGGTGACGGAATAAGTCTCATTAATGGTGTTTCTGGCGAGCTGTGATAAAACCGACACGTTTTTTCAAAACTTTGTGTCTCAATTAGTCTACAATTTCATTTTCATCCCTACAGCAGTTAACCCGGAGGTATTACCCCGCTTCTGACATTTTCGGATTCCGATAGTCGGTTTGATAACAACCTTATTTGTAATGATGCCGTTTGTTGTGTGTCTTTATAAGCCACCTGTTTGCCGGAGACACGTTGGCGCCAATTGAGGGAGAGAGAAACTCCAATCTAGTTACACAAACCACAAACAACGCGGTTATCTAAGCGACACGGTTACACAGACGACGCGGTTACACAGACAACGCGGTTACACAAACAACAGTCACGGAATCCACTCAATCGGCCCCCATTTGTCATTTTCTGATTCCGGTCCCCAGGTAGACAGCTTCATTCAGCTACATTTTTGAAAGCACGTACAGTTACAGTTACACCAACTATATCATCACTGTTTCCAGCATGTCCTTCCACGACAAGTTCATTTCTGACCGTTCAAAGGCCCGGTCTCATTCCCATTTCACGCTCAACCAGACGGCCAAGACAACCAAACCCCATTCCAACCCGATTTTCATCTCTGGAGGTCTTCCCAACCCCATTGGGTTCCCCATTGACGAGATCACCGTCAATCTGACCACCAGTCCCAATCCCCGACCTCGATTTGTGCCTGCTGCGACTCTGTTTTCCAAGCCAGGACTGGTCGAGTTCCCCGACATCACCGAGAATAGCACCCGGTTGAGCCAGAACCTCAAGATCCTCAAGTTTGCCGAGTCGCTGGAAACTGCGACAAACGGCAATGGCGGCCAGCTGACTCTCGAGCGATCTCTCCAGTACGGCGAACAAGATGGTCACCCGCAGCTCAAGAAATTTGTGACGGCCCTCACCAAGCGCCTCCATCCCCCCAAGCTGGACGAGAAGGACTGGAACGTGATCATCACCAATGGCGGTGGAGACGGTATTCACAAGGCCGTGGACCTGCTCATTAACCCTGGAGACCATGTCCTTGTTGAGGAGTACTGCTTCTCTCCCTCCTTTGACAACATTAAATCTGTCGGAGGTATTCTTGTTCCCATCAAGCTAGATTATGACGAGGGACTCGACGTGACTGGTCTCAAACGGATCCTTGAAAACTGGGATGAGGCCAAGCAGGGACCCAAACCCCGAGTTCTGTATAGTGTTCCTTCTGGCCAGAATCCCTACGGAGTCTCCCAGTCTCTGGAGAGACGTAAAGCAATCTATGCTGTTCTGAAAGAACATGGGATCGTCATCATCGAAGATGATCCCTACGGAGCCCTGGCCTACGAGTCCTACAACAAGAAATTCACCAACGGCAACTCCTCCAAGTCTCTGAACACTCCGGAGAAGGCTCATGACGAGTCTGTCGACTCTGAGGCACGTGAATCCGACATCTCCAAGGCTGATATCGACCATTACACCTCCTTGATCGCTCCCTCTTACCTCACCATTGATGATGTAGGACTGGTTGTTCGAATTGACACTTTCTCCAAGGTATTTTCTCCGGGACTTCGACTTGGGTGGATTGTCAGTCACGTCAACTTCATTGAGAAGCTATCTCTATACACTTCTCTTTCAACCCGGGCCGCTTCCGGCGTTTCTCAGCTGCTGATCAACAACATTGCTCACTCTTGGGGTCTTGAGGGCTGGTTGCGTTGGTGTCTTCTGTTGCGAAACCAGTATCTGGAGCGACGAAACCACCTTCTAGCCCAGCTGGACAAGCTCGACCAGTCCAAGATCACCTACATCACGCCTGTCTGTGGTATGTTTGTGTCTGCGCTTGTTCATTTTGATAAGATTGCGTCTTCGTCGTTTAATGGCGTCACTCTTCCCTACCAGTCGCGACTGGTGGAGCTTGGAATCGAGGAAGGAGTTCTGATTGTTTCTGGATCCAATATGGCTGCTTCCGAAGAGCTGCGTCAAACGGCCAAGTTCATTCGACTCACTTTTGCCTATGAGGATCCCGATCTGCTCGACGAGGCTATCAAGCGATTGGGTAAGGCGGTGGACCGGCTTTTTGAGGAGGGTGAGATTAAGCAGAAGTAGGTGTTTTCTGTATAGTACAAGTACATACTGTACCAGTATCGGTAGATCCAATACAAGTTCATCTATTGTATGCAGTAATTAGTCCAGGTTGCTCGGAGTAAAAGCAACTCCGATCTCCGTGAATATAGTCGATTGTTGTCAACAGATGAATCATTTGTTTAATGTAACGCGTCCAGGAACCACACGGCTGTGGCTGTGCCGAAAACGTTTTAACGATATTGGACTATTTTTGGACCATGGTGTCGTATCTCCAACCTTGCTATTAATAGCTCTGAGAATGAGGGAGGATAAAATATCCCAGAGGGGAGCTTTTTGGGAGCTCTAAAGGATACAATGGGTATAAATGGTTGGCAGCTATCAGAGTATCAACTCTCTCTTGTTCGTCTACTTCTCAATTGTTCAAAAAAATCTTTCGAAGCAGGGCTATACACTTCAAATTCAGTTGTATATACAAACAACGTCACATCTTAAATGGTACTATTTATTGGTTCAGAATTGCCACTCAATATCGTTTGGACACTTTTGAGACGTTTGCCACCCGTTTCTTTACAGCACCTGAACTGGTGGTAGGTGAAGACTGGTGATATTCTCTGTGCTGTTTGTATGGGTTTCTCGTGTTACATGGTCACGCATCGGAATGGGAGGCAGGGTATCTTGTGGACATCAAGGAGGTGTAAAATAAGCAGTGGAAAATTATACACTATGAGTTCAATTTTGACGGCTTTATTCTCCCCTATTGTCATTAAGTGCCAGTCTATCAGCTCCAAATCTAACGTCTGATTGCGTTGGCAAGATATTGACACTACTGTACATACTACGGGTACATACTGTACGGTCTGGATCAGCCGCTTTAGTGGAATGTAAACGATGACATACCTTACGAAACCAGAGACCTTTTATACTCGCAAGCGGCTCAATGATCGTCAATATATACCCCTCAGTTCAGTCGTACCATGTGTATGTTTTTCTTCACCCCCATGCCTGTCACCATTCGCACTGAAATCACAATTGACGCTTCTCCAGAGTCGGTTTCGGCCATTCTGTTTGATTTCAACAACTACCATAAATGGAATTCGTGGATCTCCATCTCGGGACCTCCGCCACTATCCCACAAATCAACCTATTATCTCTCTCTGGTAGGAGAACAACTTACAATGGACCAAGGAGAACTTCACTATGCACCTGTGATCATGCTGGCATCTCCAAGTGTTTTGAAATGGACTTGGTACGAGAAACACAAGTGGTTCATGTCTCATGAACACTACTTTGAGATTGTTCGCTCCCAAAATGACTCACAAAAATGTATCTTGAGACACGGAGAGAGATTCTCAGGGGCAGGAGCAAGAGCGATGTGCTATACCAAGTACTATCAGAAGATACAGGCAGACTTTGAAGGTTTCAATAAAGAACTGCGCATCCTGGCGGAATCCAGAGACATGGTGGAGATGATTTCCAAGAGTTGACATTCGGAAACGTGTTTAGATGACTTTGGTGGATATGGAGAAGGTGTAGGATTCTTTTTTAATATAATTGAATGTTTCTACAGTGGATTTTAAAACTCCTCCTCTTTCTAAAATGTGTCTTACAACCAGAATATAGAGCATTCTGGCCTTCAGTGTGTACCGGAGTAATCGACAAGTATATCCATATGCGAACCAGGGATCTGAGAAAATAGTAAAGTTATAATCACTGTCTCCCTTGCCTAAATAATTATCTGGTGAGCTCATCTTCTCCTTACCGTCATTATTGTATCTTCTGTGTGTGATGTATGTCATTTGATTACTCATCCAAAAGCTGAAATACTGCCCGCATTAAATACGGGACTTTTTTGCTCACTTTCCTGTCGTATGGCCGATCGAATAAATGGTTTCTAGCTCTTCTCATACGAGTGAGGCCTCAAAAAAACGCTACAGCAACATCCCGTTTCACGATATGTTGCAAAAAAACACTGATCAGCTAGAAGCTATGGGAATTAAACCCACATATGTTCCTCCACTGCCAGTTCTTGCGAACTTGACATGGACAGGAATTGAACCTGCAACCCTTCGATTACAACCGTATCAAGACTGGAGTCGAAAGCTCTACCATTGAGCCACCACATCAGTGTGTGGAGTTCCGGCAAAACTTGGGAGTGTTAGAGGACAAAACTGGAGCCACTTTCCGGCGAAAAAATACGTGATATGGAGGTTTTGAAGATAATACGTAAAATTAATATAAAAAAATGATCAGGTTCGGTACGTCATAGGAAAAAAACAAGGGAAAAATGGTGTTGGGGAGCAAGAGATGTATAGAACCGAGTTGGAATGCCCTAGATGTGGTTACCGACATATCAACATAAAGACTGGGTGATTATTCGGACTTCACTACATACCACAAGTTCAATCGTGAACTCGTATATTAGTTATATTGACTATTACTATTATGAAGTATGTACCGTGCAGTATCTTACATGTTCATGTAGGGGTTCCTTCCAAGGGTTGGCATAAGAGGTGCACAGGTAGTGCTATATATATTGACGCTAGTTCCCAATTTTATCGTCAGGTAGTGTGCGATACAGCATAGGTCCCCCTCCCTCTATGTTCATTAAGGCGATTGCTTGCAGCTTTTAAATGCTGGGCAGTGAAATGTCTACAAAAGCTCAACAGTCAGAGAAGTGCGTTATAGAAACCAAAGGGACTACTCGTACTTGTACTTGTACTTGTGGAATGTCGCATTGACTTCTCTCTCTTCCTCTTCTACTCGAGGTCCCTATCCACCGAACCCGTTATTGTTTCTCTTCTCCCACAAACCAGAATCCCCATTCGGATTCATATTCATATTTACTAATATCATCTATTCATATCTATACATACAGGTGGTGTACAAGCGGTACTTATTGTACAGTTGTGGTGTGAATCCATCGAGATTCTCTTGAGCCAGATTGACTTAGGTTCCGCATCCAGTCCTCCAATTCGATCGCCCAATGATGCTTGAACACGACAGTTGGAAATGCTAAACACCAGAATGTCACTAGCACCCTCCTTCTTCAGCTCGTCCATAATCTGGGCAATCTTCTTCTTCTCAGCCATGGAGGAAACGGCGCACCATCCCTCGTCGTCCAGAGGAGACACGGTGGCGGCTCTTCGGCCGGGTGTGATCTTGAGAAGAGCGTCTAGCTTGTCTCTGGGAGCGTTGTAGTTGCACAGAACGTACTTGTTGGCGGCAAGAACACCTTCGATTCGGCTCTTGATCATCTGGACCAGCTCGGGGTGAGAGGGATTCTTGGACACAATCAGAGAGGCAGACGTCTCGAGCACAGTGGCAATGGGCTTAAGACCGGCAGCTCGCATGGTCTCTCCGGACTCGACCAGATCGATGATACCGTCGGCAACTCCCAGGGCACAGGCGGCCTCCACAGAGCCTCCGACAAACTTGATGTTGGTGGTAATGTCCTTGACGGGGACGCCCTCCAGCTCGGCAAAGTACTCCTCGGCCAGAGAGGTGAAGGAAGTGACAATGCTCTTTCCGATCAGCTGCTTGGGGTCGGTGTAGGGGCCCTTCTCGGGCACTTGGACCTGCAGCTTACACGAGCCAAAGTTCAGATCAAGGGCGTTCTCGACATCCATCTTGGCCTCTCGGACCTGGTCGATTCCGGTGATTCCAAGAGCAACCCGACCCTCTCCGACGAATCGGGGGATATCGGCAGCAGGCAGGAACACCAGAGCCAGAGGCAGGTTGGTGGAAAGAGCGATATCCAGTCGGTTGTGTCTGTGGAACTGGATGTCCGAGCCCTTGAGCAGCTCCACGGCCTTCTCGTAGAGTCGGCCCTTCTTGGGGACGGCGAAGAGAAGTCGGTCGTTGAGATTGTTGACGAGATCCATTGTGTGAGTAGTTGTGTGAGTAGTTGTGTGTGTTTGCGTCACGTAGTGGTGTATAAGTAGACTGGGTCATGATCTGAAAAACCAGTTATAGTGACTCATGCAGACGGACTAAAATAAGCTTCGTTGGGAGAACAGATCGCATCGCTTTTGTGATGTGATCTGGGAGGTGTAGGGGGATTATAAATGTATAGTTGTTCTCGTATTGCTTTCAGGATCCTAGTTCTGTTTTCAAACTAAAAATTGGAGCATTTTTCAGCTTCCTGGACTTATCACCATTTTTCCGCCCATCTCAATTATGGTTATAGTATAACCCACGTTGGGTGTGGTGAACTTTGAGTGGATGGTAGAATGTGACATGGGGGGAATGGGGAGGCGAGATATTTGAAATCTGAGGATACCAAAATCTACCCCTTGCGGAGCTGAGCAGAAATCACTATTTATCTCTCGAATATGTCCATTTTACGACCCGTAAATATGTTAACCCCGAAATTGTCTGCATACAAAAGTAACTCGACCCACTTGCCACGTTGGGAATTGGTAGGGTTTCAGATCAGGGGTGGATGTCTACTTTATCTTGCGATATGTGCATTTTCTGGAAAATATAAAACCACCATTTTATTCCTCTCGACTCGCTGACTCTGGTGCTGTTTTCCATTTCTCTCTTTCCTTTCCCTATCACATTCTAGTCTCCTGCTCAACTCCACATAAAGTCTACACTAAACTCACGCCGATGAGCACTTTATGACGCAAACCTCTAACCCTGTGCTGTACCGTGTGTTGAGCGTGTTCCAGGGAGATGGCGACGCCCAATTTTAGTTACGCGGAGATAAAAATGAGCTTGCTGACTCGTCCTCGTGTCCGTTGGCCGCTTGGTGTTGTGTGAACGTGAGCTGGGCGTATTCGGGTTGAGTACTGGCTCTGTCACTTGGACAAGTGTTGGTGAGATGGTCCGGACACAGATTAAGAGTCTGGTTCTGGAGCAGGTGCAGTCGGTGTAGGATGGATGGGTCTTTCTTTCTTTCTGGGGTTATCCCTGTCCTATTCGTATTTACGCTGTCTCCCTACTGGTAGCTCCTACTATGCCCTGTGTTGGGCACCTCCTTACCTTCTGACCAGTTACGAGGTTGTTGAGAAGTAGTTGAAGGATAGCTGCTGATACGACGGCACAGAAATGGAGTTCCGGAGAAGCCAGAGAATCCAAATTTTTCTGGGAGGTGGTGGTGGATCCACTGTACGTCTTGTTTGCTTTGTAATAAAAAATGGAACATATTCTCTGATTAGTCATACAGTATGGTAACAGATCTCAGACCATTATACTGGTTAATTGAGGTCGGTATATGATGAAGAGAGGATGGATAACCACGTGGCCGCCGAATACCAGATGTATCCACATGCAAGGTAGGGTCACGTGATCGCCGGCCTACAAGGGCCCGATATCACGTGATCCACGAACACATGCATATTCACACAACCTCCACACGACCACCACGCGACCACGATTCCACGACCAGTAAGTGATGACTCCAGATATACGCAAAATACACATGAGAGACGCACGTCCACGTGACCCGACCCATCCATGCTGTGGATGAAATATTGAACCCACAGTTTGAAACAGGACAGTTTCGCGAAGTGAAGATCAGTATGAGAGTCGCATGACACCAAATGAAGATGGGTCGATACATTTGTATACTGAGATTGGACGTATACGTGAGCAGAAACGAATGTCAGGCGACCAGTCGATTCACCAGGGACAAGAAGAGGTTTTGCTAGTTCTAATGTGATATGATTGGTTCTTAATTTTCCCGATTTTTCTCGAGTTAATGTTGGAATTACTCGCGATGTCGGATATAATCCGGTCAATCAATAGAAATAGAACAATACAATAGATTGACACCAAAGACACAGGAATAAAGACAAGACGAGGACTCCAGACATCGTGGAAGCACTGGTGAGCGTCCCCAACTTCTTTCCCGTTGCCCACCAACACGTTGGGCCCCACCAGAAACAAAAAAAACAATTTATTCTCGTTTTTGTGCGTTTAATTTGGTACCCGAAAAAAACAGAAAAAAATTCACCACGGGGAGACGAAATGTTTACCTGGAAATCATACCATTAGAAAGAGAAAAACACATACGCTCCACTATAATCCCAAAAATAATCAGGGAACCAATCGAAAAATTAATACAATTTCTTCTACATCATTTCATTCTACCATCAGCACAGTTTCTGCTAACTTAAACGTTCTCACATCTCCCGACACGTGATGTGACTGCTGTCCTGTTTTGTCAAACCTTCCTAAAACAGCTCCCAACCCTATTCCACCCCACTCTCCCAGCCAACCCTCTTTGGCAAAGTAAATCGTGGTTCTTGACTTTTACGAAAAACAGCACAACACATACAAAAATGGTGAGTTATTGTGTGGCGACACAAGAAGTGGTGGAGGAGTTGCGGGCGACGATTCTGGACGCTACGGACGACATGTGGCGGGTATTTTGGACCGCTGAACGTGCACAGATGGAGAGAGAAATTTGATATGCGACACAAGCGACACAAGCGCACAAAAGCGACACTGAAAAGGCGCAAACGGAGGGGACCAAGGTCGAGAGACCGGTGAAGTGGCAGAGACCTAGATTCGATTTTCCGACTTTGCCACTTGTTTTTGTGTATTCGACGTGAGTCGTTTGGTCCATGCTAGGCGACATGTCCATATGACTGGATTCATGAGCCAGGACAGCAAAGACCACCCAGGACCCCCTAACATCTCGCCTGCATCAACCACACCATCTACATGACTCCTCGCTAGCAGTCCAGATCAATCCACTCGTCCACTCAGACAACCGACCAAACAACCAACCCCAACTCATACTAACCACAGGATAACGCTAAAGCCGCCCCCGTCAAGCTCGCCAAGGTCGTCAAGGTTCTCGGCCGAACCGGATCTCGAGGAGGAGTGACTCAGGTCCGAGTCGAGTTCATCGACGACGAGTCCCGATCTATTGTCCGAAACGTCAAGGGCCCCGTCCGAGAGAACGACATTCTCTGTCTCATGGAGTCCGAGCGTGAGGCTCGACGACTCCGATAAGCTGTTTCTTCTTTTTACAAAGAGAAAGCATTTTGTCGCCCAAAAAACCATATGTATTAATCGTACAATTTGATGTATCCATGTTGAGATTTGTAGAGAGAGCGTGCGCACAGTGTGGTTAAAACAAAAGGAGCGGGAGTAGTGTAGACGAGAGCATCATGTACGATTTTTTTTATTTTATTTATTTTAAGCGCCGTACGCGTACTGTACTTGTACTACAGTAGTACCCTCAACAGTGATGTGCAACTTCACTTATGTTCGTAGTAGGGTTAGTCAGGGTAGTTGGTAGCGATACTTGCACTCATACTGGTACTACAGGCAGATAGTTGGCGCTAAAGCCAGATTTAACCATGGTAATGGGTATAAAAAACATAAAAAATCGGAATTGTCTTCTGATCCAGATTGTACAACGGAGTATCTATTTTGGCTGATGTTAGGTCTTAGAGATGGAATCTTGATGCCAATATTCTACCGCAGACCGATGTATCCTACGATTCTGTTCGTACACTGGTGTGTGGTTCTACCGTACTTATTCGTAGAAAGACAGGCAAAGGCGATGATAAGATCGCCAGAGAAGCCGGGGTCGTGGCAACCGTTGTTTTTTTTTTAAAAAAAGTTTCAAAATGGTTCTTTTTTAGTTTTAGTTTTTATTTTTATTTTTATTTTTATTTTTATTTTTATTTTTATTTTTATTTTTATTTTTTAAAATAAGTGAACATAACACGAAGAAGAGCATTTATTTATTTATTTATTTCGGGTCAGAGAGATTACAAGAAACCAAGAGGCTAGAAGAATCAAGTACACGGTACAAGAAACCATGCTAACAATCACAATACATAACCACATCAAGCTATATCTGTCCCTGACGGACATCCTCATGGTGGACATCCTCTTGCTACTCCTCCAACATAATGACCAACACAATGCCACGATTTCGTTCAGATACATAGACATGGCCATTCCAGCTGCTGCAAGAATACCTTCTGTTCTAGTATTCATCAACACACTGCCCGACCGCAAACTGAAACTGGATACCAGCCCGTCTCCATCACACACTCAGACCAACTCGGTATGATGGGAATGGCCGTTGGATTAGGGAGTGTAAGACTGCGACTATTGGATAAGGGTAATGCGGTTGATCACCACCTTGCTCCTCTACAAGTAGATAGACGAGCTGTTAAACAGATGAGCTATTTGACGGGCAACGGGTCACCCTACCTATAGACAAACAGAGCTACACGTAGTAGATATAGGGACTATACATACCATATCTCCGACACGTCTGTTCAAAGAGCTGATTCGAGGATATATGGCATATTGGAAGATGGGACAACTGCGAATCCTCTCGTCCACATTCTCTTTGTCCACCCTCTTGGTCCATTTCTCTCGGTCCCTTTCTCTCGGTCCCTTTCTCTCCGTCTATTTACCCCTACACATTTCATCCCTCCTCTACAGAGAGCACGTCCCCACTTGAACCTGACGTGGGACAGATTTGCCGACCACGTCTACTATTCAACCCGCACTATCCAGTACTTGTAAACTCAGGCCCCACACTATCGCCTGGAGCTCTCGATCAAACCTCTCAATCAATATCCATCAAGTCGCGTTGGGTAGAAGAAATAACCCAGTCTCCTAAACACCCTGCCAAACACTGCCCCTTCTGTCACCATCTCAATGCGATGGAAACACTGGCCCCCAGAGGCTAAGTTTAGACCCTCATCGATCTACTCGACGATAAAGTTGCCGAGGTCTCTCGCTAACATTGTCTACCAAGAGGGTGTTGTGCATAGCCGCAGCCTATCGTGCATTATCAAACCTAACAGTGAGACATTGGAGAGGGAAGGAACAGACGACAAGATCACGTGAAAAGACACAGGTGGGGGTATCCCCGAGATCACGTGGTAAGTAACAAGTTTGATGCTTGAATAATCGTTCAGGTAACGTCTTCAGTATTCCCGGTACTCGTAGCTCGCAAGACATGAAATTGTTTGTACATCTGTTTAGTGTTCCACTACTTGTACATCAACTGTATCCAGAGTGTTCCGTCTTCTCTGAAACAACGGAACAAACGGAACACTATCCAACACGACTCCAGCCTTATAACCGTGCCCGGATGACTAGGATTCGAACCCCCACTGGTCGATCGAAAGATACTCCCAGACTCTGCAGTCAAGTTTGCCAAATGAGGTCACTGGTACACTCAAACAGGTATGCACATACTGTACATACTGTACCACTCTTTTCACATTTCGAGCTGGTGACTACAGTATCTTCCTCGAACGAGATTCTGTAGATCATGACAATATTTGAGATCCTGGACTATATCACAAGCTACTGATACAAGAGACTCAACCTATATACAAGTACTTGTAACTGTACCTAGTATCGTACTGTATCCAGAGTGTTAGTGTTCCTGAATGTTCTCAGATGGTGTCTGGCTGGCAGAAACCACATCTCAAGTTATCGGGGACTAGCTACAAACAGAAGAGATTTATACCTCTCACGACAGGTTGAAACCTACCCTGCTGCTCTTCGGCTTCTCGCCTTCAATATTAGCACACCCCTACCATCTAACATCTATAACGATACCATTAATGATCTATATAAATAAGAGGCAGCTGTTGTAGACGGCTGCCGCCATGGACTGGGTCCTGTGATGAATTGTATGAGTTCATGAGCGAAGCAAGTGAAGAGCGTCCAATCCGTTGACCCTAACTTCTACCAACTGACGCTGCACCGGTAAGTTCATGCGTTCCGCTCACAAGCTGGCTCATGCACCGTCACCTCACCTATTGATTCGCGCGCTCATGATTCGACGCTCACGAACTGTTGGTCTGCTCATTCGCAGCCTCCCCCTCTCGTTTCCAAAATCGCAACAGCAAATTTCCATACCGCTGCAGAACCTCCAGAGGAATCATAAGGTGGAAATCGGTCAGCAGCAGAAACTGCAGTTCCAAATGATTCAGTTCCTCCACAGGCAAACCGCCAACCTTGGCATACCGCGAGTTCTTGTAAAACACGTCTGAAAAGAACTTGGAGCTCACGGTGATGCCTGCAATAATGAGCCGGTGAATGTTATAGCTGTCCATAACAAACAGCTGGGTCGCCGGAATGTCGGACGGCGGCGGCACCTGCTTGGCCAGCAGCGACGACGCGGTGCTGCTGGTGCCGTCGTTAGACGCAGCAGCATGCGCGCCGGTAAATTCGCCGGCATTGGCCCGCTTGGCAATGCGGTCAAAGTACACTAGCAGCGACAGAAAGACCTCGTTTGTAGTGGGACAGTACTTGAGGATTCGCAGCAGGTACGAATGCAGCGAGATGGCTGGGATGTTTCGTCCGTGAAACGCCAGCACGTTGGCGGTGAACTTGTTGGACACATAATTCTGAGACGCGTGATGGTAGTGGTGCGGGTGGAGTGAGTCATTGGCCTCAATGATCTTCTGCAGGAGAGCGGTGAGCATAAGCAGCAGGTCATTGACGGGGTAGTTGGCAATGTCCAGATGCACATCGTCTTCGGTTTCGGACACGGGCACAGATACGTTGCCTATACTGTCCATGACATGTTCGGGGCCCGAAGTGGGGTCAGTAGGAGCAGTGGCCTCGGTCTTATCACCGCCCTCAACAACAGCAGTCTCTTTCTTAACCACATCAACCTCATCACCCTCCTCCTTTACCTCCACCTGCTCGGAAACCTCTCCGACCTTGACCTTCTTATCGTCATGGTCATCTTCATCTTCCTCCTCTCCAACTCCCTTGCCCTTGACATCATCAATCTGCTGCATGCGCCCAGACGAGGGCTTGCGCCGTGCAAACAGCGACTTCTCGCCGGTCGAGTCCCGCCGCGACGACGGGGCTGTGGTGTAGCCACTGTACGACGCCGCGGCCGTGTCGGACGAGCCGTAGTCCGAAAAGCCGCCGAACGAAGACGACGGTGGCGCCACGGTGCTGTCCACGGATCCGGACGCACTGCCGGCCTTGCTAGCGCTGGCAGAATTGGAGTTGCTGCCCGCAAGCTTGGATGTCAGGTTCGACGTACGCACCGACGGCTGGAACTCGACGGCCTCGCCGAACGACGACGAGCGCCAGTGGGCCGGCGCGTCAATGTTGGGCGAGTGGGCCTGGCCCTCGGGCGAATGGTCCGGCTCGAACGTCTGGGTGGCGAACGACGTCAGCCGCGACCCCTGGACGGTAGGGGGCTGCACAAACGACTGGTACGACGACGTGCGTTGTTGCTGGATGGACGACGTGAGTGATGACGGGAAGAAGCCCGTCTGCACGGAAGCACCCGTTCCAGAAACTGACGGCGCCGTGGGGTTTGCGTTCGGTCCACCTGACGACGCTGCAAACGAGTTTGTGAACGAGCCGGCGTTTGTGTTTGTGTTTGTGTTGGTGAAGCTGTTGGCCGAAAATGAGCCTGCAAAGGCGCTCGACGCCACGCCGCTCTTGTACGAGCTGCTCACCGAGCTGGGCTCGTTGTAAGCGCCCATTCCGGTCTGGCGGGTGGAGCTGGAGGGGCTAAAAAACGCCGAGTTGGACGGCGTGGCTCCCTGGGCCTGGGCGTGGTCGTGTGTGTGGGCGGGAATGCCAATGCCCGAGTAGGAGGCAGGGTGCACGTGGTCGTATCCCGTGGACTCGTCCGAGTCCGAGTACCCCTGGCCCTCGACCATTTCCACGTCTGACATGTTTGGTGTTGTTGTCGTCGAGGTGGTGTGTACCTATGTGCTGGTGTACGTAAGAGAGGCAGCGCATTGGGAGTGCAGACCCGTGTGCATCGCTGGGAGCTGCTGCACGGGTGCAAGTGGAGCTGTGGAGACACACACAAGGAGGAGGTGCAAGGCGGAACGGCGAGAGAGGGAAGAAAAAGAGGCGGGAGTGGATGCCGTAATTATATAAGCTGCTTTTCCCTTTTGTGTCATCACGTTCCCCCGCTATTACTTCTCCATACACACTCCACCATGTCGACTTACAGTATGTACATACGAGTATACTAAATAACCGAAAAGTACACGCCCTATGCACACGACGACGTTACTAAATGATAATTATCTGTATGTATGTAAACGTGGGAGCGGCTACAGGTGGACACTTTTCCTCTATTGCTCACCCCATTGCTCTCTATGTACCTGAGCTCGTGCAACCACCACCCATTTTATCTGGCATGTTTACTACACCTTGAACTTGTATCTGCCGGTACGTACATTCACCACTTGTAACTCGGGTCCCCTCTTGCTGGCGGCAAAAATTACGTCATCGGGGTTTTCACACAAACTGAATCAAAGACTGGAGGCCCGAAAATGGATTCGCGGTCACACGTATATCTCTCACTTTTGGTCGTGCTGGATGATGCTGAGAGATGTTGGAGGAAACACATGTTCTTTGCAGGGCTGTGATTGGCTGAAGTGGGAATGGAAAAGTTGGATGAAGAACAAAGGGAATTTTAAAGATACCAAAATGAAGAGGAGAACAAAAGGAGTGGAATGAACAGCTCAGATTGCAAAAATGGCGACTGTACCACGAACCGAAGCGTCCTCAACAGCCCCAAATAAACTCCCCACCGTTGGAATCTTAACTAAAATAGACACAGGAACGTAATCGAAAGCAAGAAAAGGAGGTGTGGATTCGGAGGGGTTGGGACCGGGGAATGGACGCGATCACGTGATTAAATGGATGGTTGGTACGACGGAAGAATGTGTGCGGTCCATTGAGGCGAAAGGGACCTAAACAGGGGTACTTTGATCAATAGGCGAGGGAGACGATTAAAAATTATACCATGATGTTCCTCTCGGTATGACGGATAACGCAGACAACTTATTTCTCAAATATTACCACCAGCCGGACAGTATGACGCCCGTTCACCGGACTTACCTCATGTTCGACAACCTTATACTATTAAATATTAACCGTGAAGATCGAACCTGCGAGGTTGAACTTTGAATTAGTGCGAGGGTCCAGAATCGAACCTGCGATATCGAAGCAAGTGGTGAGTGGTGCACATTGGGAGGACAAGACCTGGTGGATGGTAAAACGAGATGTAGAAATGAGATTTGGAAACTATTTGAGAACCAAATGAGTGACACAAACGCCAGGAATATACCGATTGTACCATCTACCTAGCAACTCGATCACAGAGGTTACAATTCTGTTCGCTTGGGACTTGCTCTATATCCGTTATGGCGCCACTGTGGCTAAGGTTTATGCATGTTTGACGCACCTCGCCACACCTCTTTTACCATCATCACACACTCTCCAGACTACACACTCACACGGTCTTTACCACACAACTACTACCTCCATGTCTCGAGCAGCAAAACTCACGTTTGGAATCACGTCGGCTCTCACCATCGGCACCATTACATATGTGCATTTCGACCAGAGGTGGGCCCAGGAGGCTCTCCGACAGGGCCCTATTAACGACATGGAGCGAGTCAAGCAGCACCGAGAGGACAAGCAGCGACGGTTTGACGCCATGAACGACGACGAAAAGGCCGAGTTTCTGCGTAAGGAAAAGGTGCGAAAGGAGTTGCTCGCAGAGCACGATATGCAGCTCAAGCTGAAGGAGCAGTACGAGAAGGTGCAGCCGTTGTCTAAGAGCTAAGAAGACCGAATGGTGAGCGCACAACAACCAACTATCGGCTCGATCCGGCATTTGCGAGCGTTTGAGATGTCAGATTAGATAGTATTGAGCGTTTCTTCTTAATTTTCCTCCAACAACCAGCCCAACATGTGTCTGAAACAAGTCACTAATTGTATATAGTACTATTGATTATCTGAATGATCCGGCAGGAGGTTTGGGGTAGAAAGAAAAGTAGCATGAGTGCTTGTAGAAGTAGAGTTGTATCGTAGTTTGTCTATGGCAGTTTAGTCGATAGAGACATTCACATCAGAGAGAGTGAGAGTATGTCATGTACCGACTTGATCAGTCTGGGTTGTGGTGAGAAATACGACGTAGGAGAACATCTTGACAATAGATCAGCAGCATAGTTTCTTGCAGGCATTCCTACAAACAAGTAAATGACATCCACATAGCGTGTGTTCGTTGATCAGCGCAAAGACTACTCTTGAGGAAGTCTGTATCAACCCGAATTCAGCATTTTGAGCAGGAACAGGCTTAATAGTCTCGAGCCATATTCGACTTCAATCATCACTAGTGTGGATATGCAATTGCTCTCACGATAAAGGCGGACTAAGTCGATACAGCTCATGTGTGTGTGATCCAAACTATTGTCCATATGACAAGATTGCAGTTAACGTGGATATGGGACTCATAGAAACTGTAGCTGCTTGGGCATAGAGATACTGACACAGCTCTTGCACTCTCTCACAAGATGCAGCCTATGACACTTCGGAACCACAGTTTGGGTTGGTCATCACCAACAAGTGTCATTACCGTATCACGACATCAATATCACACCGAAACAAGGAAAACAGCCAACGTTTCTGATCCTCTCGGTGAGCTGGACATGTTTTCTGCTTCCAAAAAAATATAAAAACTGCCACAGGGATATCTCTTGAGAAGTAGCTCCTTTTAAAATGAACATCGCTTCGTCTCATTCCCGAGAAAGAGTTTTGAATAGTTCTAAGGGAACACTGCGTGTAACATAACAACAATAAAAGCCCCGATGCAACCCACTCTTGGTCTATCTTGTACTCATACAGATAACACTGACATGGTAGTTTCGGAGTGTAAGTTCACGTGACCTCCAAAATCTTAATTACCTCACATCTCTGTGTGGAATAAACTTTTTTGTCCCAGGTCCAGTTGGGATAAATCACATGACTACTTCCCGATTGGGACAACAGTCACAGACTCTCAGTCCCAAGCCCGGCAAACATTTGCAGGTGCATTACTTTTCACTCTCACGAACCGTCGACACCCCACAGCAACAATGGTCCAGCGAGTTACTTACCGACGACGAAACGGATGTATGTATGAGGAGCGAGGACGAGCCGTGAGCGGCGGAGAGCGACTGATTCTGATTTGATCCGATTTACGACCTTCCAGGCAGACGACTGTGGCCCAGGCACAGAGGGACATGTTACACAGAAGGAGCTGGCATACACAAGAGACACTGCAAAATTTGTGCTGTGTATGATATGTGCTGATAGAAGGGGGGAAGAAGGATGATGTGGTCAAGATGGGGGGTTGTTTTAATGTCGGTATCTGTGGTTCTGCGTCACAAGTCAGTTTAGCCAAGGCGGAATTATGACAAGACGAGACAAAAAACAACTCAGTCTGAACACGTACACTACGACAGCACATAAGTCGTAAATCGGTGGTACAGAGATCAGTCAGAAAGACATTTTGGAGCGTGCGAGAGATTCACCATATTGATAGACGGTATCTTTCACACACTCGACTAGGTCTCATGTGCTCTCTGAAGGTCAGCTCAAGATGTGTGGTTCGCATGCCATCTCTCTCTCCCAGCTAAAACTAACGCAGACAACACCCGATCCAACCGAGTCAAGATCATCAAGACTCCCGGTGGAAACCTCCGATACCTGCACATCAAGAAGGCTGCCGGCCGACCCAAGTGCGGTGAGTGCGGCATTGCTCTTGCTGGTATCCCCACCCTGCGACCCCGAGAGCTTGCTACCGTTTCTCGACCCACCAAGACCGTCCAGCGAGCCTACGGCGGCTCTCTGTGCGCCAACTGTGTCAAGGACCGAGTTGTTCGAGCTTTCCTCATCGAGGAGCAGAAGATCGTCAAGACTGTTCTCAAGGAGACCAGCAAATAAGCATTTCTAGCGGATGTGTAAAAAATTTATTGTAAATCTAGCATGAGCGACAACACAGCGAGACAACTGTTGCAAGCAGCCTGTAGAGAATGAGCTACAAGTAACGAGTATTCCACTTGTAGTATTGCAATTATTATCTACTTGCACGTGTACCAATTGTCAGCAATATCAATCTCCTTCTGTCTACTTGTACTGTGTGATTTTTTTCCCACCACCACTAAAAACTCTGTTCATCTGGGTTGCAATCCAGGTTGGCATCATAGGGGAGATAGTTGTAGAGATTCAGACTGAATCACCCCTGGGATGTAAAAAAATCTGACCGTGATGTTAATGGAGGGTCTCTTGACTTCAAAATTGTATGAACTTGCAGTTGGAGAGTTTCCCATGGGTGCAAGTATGTGTGAGTCTGAGAGGTCCTTGTTCTAGTGTTCTGGATCACGAGGAGGGCATTTGACTATCTGGTTACTGGAATGTACCTACAGGTAGCTTGTGCTCTTGTTGGTAGAAGTTGTCGTCTCCTTTTGGTGAAAGTCACAGTCATCTCTTTTGTCATGGTGATCAGAGGTGTTCTTCACAACTATAGTATAGTAGACCGGCTTGCTGAGCTCAATCCGAGCTCTCTATAAGAGCTGGTGTTACTGTGACATTTCCTGCGACTTCCTTGTTGAAATTACAGGCGAATGGATGTTACTAATCAACCTGCGCAAGACCCATTCACCACCTCTTGACTATCGTACTCGTACTGCCTGACAATCTCTAGGTCCACATTGTGGGACGATTTGACTAGGGCCAAGGAAGGGGTTAGTTGTATAGATACAGGACCAGTTATTGGTCATCTGAATGAGTCCTAATCTCATTAAAATCAGCTGTGTGTTGAACATTATGTAATCTACAGACTGCTCTCTCCAGTTGTCATTAGAAGAAGCAGAACCCAGTAATCACTAGAACCATCAGTGTATCGGTGGATCTGAACACTTCAGCGCTCGTATCCTGACTAGAATCAACCGCAGATCTGACATGATTTCTCAAATTATACCTGAAAGTACTCTAGAGAAAGAACCTGAGGACGACGGAGAGAGAAGTTACAACCAAAATACTTTCACTCAGAGAGCGTATTCTTTTTAACAAAACCCTTAACTCATCAACAGTCTGACAGCTAAATGACAGACATCTCCTTTGCATGGCAACAGAGACTCAGTACAAGTACAAAAACAAATACCTGGCTCTGAAATAAATAATACTAGTAAAAGTTCAACATCCACGTGATCTCATGATTAATCAGCTTTGGTCCGTCTTATGGATGAAATTTGTCTCACAGAACCTCTTAGAAGTTCCTCTACTCGCATGCTATGCAAGAAACAACAAGAAATATATACCCCTTCGTCGAATTACGTGACGGAATATATTGGAGTAGTTGCACAAGCAAATTACCTGAGGAGACCAACCTCCACAGAAAGCTTCGGAACACCCATTTCTCTTAGATGCCAAAATGATTTGTACTGTATTTGGGTTGGATTTTTCGAATTAATTCGATTTAATGAAAATATATTGCCGAATAATCCGAATTAATTCAGATGATACAACTAACGTTGCAGAAAAGTAAGTATTTGAGGAATCGATTCACTAAGAAACCTTTAAGAGTCTCTAGATGACTACAAATCCACCCATCCGCTCTTTCATCCCCTGATAAATTATGTCGATGGAGTGTCAAAGTCGTTTTTTGAATTTTAACCGAGCAAATGAAATTCAAAATGAAGGATAAAATGTGGAAGTCGGAATATTGACGGAATCAGGGAATGGGAAATGTGAAGCAACCAATATTAACATCAATGAAGCGATTCAAAATGAAAATTACACGACAATACACGGTTCAACACCACTTTCCCACTTTCCGCACTCTCCCCGCTATACATGGAAAAATAAAGTTCAATATACTCCTTACCGAGAGAAATGAGTGAGGTCGACAACTGGCGGAATATCCATCGAATATCTCCAATCTTTTTACCAATTTATTTTACGTCACCAAAAATGGGGCTGTGGAGTTCCAGTTTCCCTGTCGCGTGACCACACCTCGTTCTAGCGCTCCTCCTCAAACTTACCCTACCGACACCACCCACATTACTCGTGTACGAGATGGACTACTCTCCAACATCACTACCCGATGAACAACAACCCGTACCAGTCGTTGTCGCGCAACCGATTTGCTCCCATGGCGCGCAAGGGCAGCGAGGACATGTCCAACGCGGGATCGGGGCACTTGCAGCACGCACAGCTGCCTTCTAACATGCCGACACAACAGGGACAACAGGGTCAACAACAGGGTGGTCCAGGACAACAGGGTCATATGGGCCAGGGTCCTGGGCAGGGACAGGGGCATATGGGTCATGGACTAGGCCCTCCAGGGCAGCAGGGCATGCCGGGCCAGGGTTCTCCTCAACCAGGACCCCCCCAAGGTCTGGGAATGGCTGGTCATACACCCCAGCCCGGTCATAACCAGCCGAATCCCAACCCAGGTCACACTCCTCAACCTGGTCATAACGCCAATCCGGGCCATACGCCCAACCCAGGCCATACTCCTAACCCTGGACATCCACAGAACCCCCAACAGCAACAGCAGCAGGGCCAGCCGGGTATGCCTAATCATACGCCTAACCCCGGCAACGCTCCTACGCCTGTTCCGGGCCCCAACCCCGGTCCCGGCGTCTCGGGCCCCTCACCTAACCCCGCGGGACTGGGACAGCCCGGAATGGCACAGCCTGGGTTAGGACAGCCCGGCCAGATGGGCCCTGGAGGCCCGAATTCGAATCCAGCGTTTGCTGCAGCCCAAGCTGCCAAACTGCAGGCTATGAACCGTATGGGAAAACCAATTCAGCCTGCTCAAGGATTCCGGAAACAGATCGTCGGTACCGCTATTGTGCGTCTTTTGCAGTACTGCGAGATTCTGGGAACCACCAACGAGGCAATTCTCACCGATATCAATTTTTGGAAGAAGTTTGTCGGTGATTTCTTCTCTGAAAATGGACTCATGCGGTATTCCGTGTCTAACGGTAAAGAAACGAAGCAATTCGAGGTCCCCTTGCAGATCATCCCGCGATATTATCACACGTTCTTCATGAGTAACACAAAACGGATTCAGATTGTGCTGGAGAACCCGCGTGAGTTTCTCACATCCCAGTCGGGCCATTTTGTGCAATGTACTAGGGCCTCTGTGATTTATACCTTTAAGGATGGCGTTTCTGTGGTCTCCACTGGATCTATGAGAACTCTCCTGAATCGGTTTTTGCGAATCGAATGGCTGGATTTCCATACTCTGGAGCATCAGGAGATGGTTCTGCGTCAAAACATCCCCCAGATGATCCAGTGGGATAGAGACAACAATCAGGGTCAGAATAACAACGAGGGGGGGCCTCCTTTTAGTCTGAAACCCTCGAACGTCACGTCTTTCGGAGTGGCTAGCTCTGTGATGCGGTGTCTTGAGATCTCGGAAACAATGTCTCATATGCGCGACCTTATGATGTTTTCGCTCCAGACTAATGTCACTGGTCCTCTGCATGCACTCGAGACCTTTTCCAAGGTTCTCCAGAACCGAGATCAGGGTCAGGCAGCGGGATTAGGACAAGCGCCAGGGCTTGGACAGCCTCAGGGCGCTGGAATGGGACCTGGACAGGGTATGCCTGGTATGGGTGGTCCTGGAATGGGACCTGGAATGGGACCTGGAATGGGTGGACCCGGTATGGGAGGTCCCCATGGACTTCAAGGACAGCAGCAAGCTCAGCAGCAAGGCCAACTAGGCCAGCAACAAGGCCAGGGTCAAGGTCAAGGCCCGGGTCAAGGACAAGGTCAGGGCCAACCCGGACAGGGCCAGCCGGGACAAGGACAGAAGGGGTATGATTTTGAAAAAAGTCCCAGGAGTAAGAGGAGGAGACAGAGTAAGGATGAGAAGTGACGAGTGAAGTTATCAAGAACATATCATGAGTCGGAGCTCACACGATGCGGCTTTTAGAAACATGCATTACCAGTTTCTTCTGTCTCATCCGCTCACTCATCCTCTAACCCTGCTAACTATAGATTTGTAAAGTATTGTATTATTTAATTCACCGAGATATTGTGTCGGTAGGGTTCAAGAGGCGTGTTTCTGGGGAGTATGGTACAATAGTACGAGTTAGTACGAGTATGTACTCGTATTGGTAGGTATGTACATGCTGTACAGTAGGTGTTGATCTAGCTTGTACTGATGACAAATCGCCCAAGAGTGTGAATTTGTCAATTGCCACAGAGTATTACTATTACTATTGGATACCGTGCTTGCAACTAACTACCTCCTTTGATAGTACCACCACCTACAAGTATGTATGTACACACCTTTCACCAAAGATCACCACTCTTGGAGTATCGTTCTCGATATTCATACGCGTTCAAATCTCGAATTTCATCTTCAAAAACCGAGCTCGCTCTTGTCAACCGTGAATCGGAAGATCTCTTGAATCTTTCCATAATACCAACGTCACCGCTCGCCACCCTCCAGGTAGGTGGAGTGAAAGTGTTAATACGGTAATTACGTCAAGCGCAATTCCCTTGATGATATAAACCGCTCGGTTAATAGTAACATTACATAATTGAAGGGGAACAAATGCCGTAGTTTCGGTAGGAACTTGTAGTAGAAAATACTTATCCCTCTTCTGCACCATTACCAATGCTCCTACATTTTTACCCATTTTATTCTCATTTATATATCCATATATTCCCTTCGAAACTTAATGGTTTGCGCCTGCAGATACGCGTCTTAAATTAATTACCGAGATGCAACTTACTCTGATCTCACTACTTGACGACCCGCCATATTGGCTCGTTTCCAGCCAAAACACAAAACCCCCCCCCCCCATTATCGACATATCCGTGACCGCCCGGTTCTATTGTTACCACTTTTATCACCCCAAACATGGTATCTTGTCCTGTCTGTGGCAAATCCGTCGATCTGGCACGTGTCAACGCCCATCTAGACGAAGGCTGTCCCGATGAGGCGCCAGAAAACACACCCAGCAAGTCGTTTCTGAAACGCGAACGCCGCGATAAATCCGAGTTCGAAACGCCCAAGAAAAAACCGTGCTCCAAGACCGTTTTTTCACGCAGATCTCCATCCGAATCTGAGTCTGATTTTACACAACGACAGAGAATGACGCTGGGTCCTAAACCGGAGGGAAGAAAACTCGACTTTGGTGCTCCGGCATCCGTGGATCCGTCTCCAGCTGCTCCTCCCACCCCAGCTGCTCCCAAATCAGCAGCAACCAAAGAACCTGCTCGTCACACGCCTCTTCCTGAATTGTGTCGACCACAAACGTTGGACGACATTTCGGGCCAAAAGGAGCTGATGGCTGTATTGCGGCGGTTTGTAGCGTACGGCCGGATCCCCTCAATCATCTTCTGGGGCCCTCCAGGTGTTGGAAAAACGACTTTGGCCCGGATTCTGGCCAAGACGTCAGGCAATCGGTTTGTAGAGCTGTCAGCAACTCAGAATAACGTGGCAGATGTGAAAAAGGTGATTGATCAGGCAAACAACGAGTGGAAGCTGCTGAAACGAGGAACTATTCTGTTCATTGACGAGTTGCATCGGTTTTCAAAGGCTCAACAGGACGTGCTTCTGCCTGCAGTTGAAAAGGGAGACATTACATTGATTGGAGCGACTACAGAGAACCCCTCTTTTCGCCTAGTGGGTGCTCTGACGAGTCGATGTCGAGTTTTGACTCTCAAGAAGCTGTCCATGAAGGATATCAAGGAGGTTGTGGAACGCAGTCTTGTTAAGTACAATGATACAGCTGAACACGAGGTGATTTTGCCAACAGAGGTGATCGACTACATTGCTGGCATTGCCGATGGAGACGTGAGAAGCGCCTTGAACATCCTGGAGCTCGTGGTTTCTGTTTGTGACATTGTTGAGGAGCAGCCTGAGAAGGCAGTAGAGGAGGAAAAACCTGAGGAAACCAAAGACACCACCACCGAAGCCTGCGCGGCCAACGACACCACCGACGCCACAAATGAAGCAACACCAGATGATAGTGCCATTTTGAGCGATAGTGAGGCTGCTGAAAACCCTGCTTCAAGCTCACAAGACGCCAGCTCTCAACTGACTGTCACTGCATCACCACCAAAGAGATACCGAACCACAACGCTTCGGGAGATAAAAAACGTGATCAGAAGAACACACGTGCTGTACGACAAGAACGGTGACAATCACTACGATGCCATTTCTGCATTTCACAAGTCCATCAGAGGCTCTGATCCAGATGCCACCCTGTTTTACCTCGGAAAAATGCTCAAATCTGGTGAGGATCCGCTGTATATAGCACGCCGAATGGTTCGAATTGCCTCGGAGGACATTGGATTGGCAGACGACAGTTTGTTACCTCTATGTACTGCTGCTTATACTGGTATCCAACAAGTGGGCATGCCAGAAGGAGATTGCATTCTTGCCCATGCTGCCGTCAAACTGGCACTAGCAGACAAATCCGTCAAAGTGTACAAGGCCTGGGGCATGGTTAAGGAGGCTCTTTCCGATGAACATGGTCTGCTAGCCGCCGAGATTCCCATTCATCTCAGAAATGCTCCTACCAAGCTTATGAAGGAGCTTGGATACGGAAAGGAGTACAAATACAACCCGCGGTTCCTGGGTGGCAAAGTCAAACAGGATTACATGCCTGAAGGGTATGAGAATGTCAAGTTCATGCCCGAGAGACACCTGGGAACAGAGATTGATCCGGAGTTGGAGGGAGAGATTATCGATGAGGAGACGGAGGCTGAGTATTATGGCGGTGTGATGATCTAGACATACAAAACACTCAAAAGTGGGCACGAGGCGAATGTAGTTGTGTGATCCGCGTGACTACTGGGGTTTCGCTCTGCAATGCAACATGTACATACGAACTACTTGTAGTATAACCATGAACGTTTTTCAACGAGACCGTCAAATAGCTGACACGATAGATATCGTATGGAAATCAAATTACGTGTCAACCACCCACTGTCTACTATACTCACTGGAGCACACCGAGCACACCGAGCACCCACCTGCGTCTTGAACTGCATCTTGAGCTGCACCTGGACACCTGGAATTGCATCCCCGACTGCACATGGTGCAAAAGGAAAGAATAGCAGCAAAAATGCAAGGGACAAAAAGGAAATCTGTCTTACAGATAGCTTGGGCATCTCCCGGGGGCGAGTCGAACGCCCGATCTCAAGATTACAATTGTACCATTACAGTCTCGCGCCTTAAACCAGCTTGGCCACCGGGAGATAATGAGTTGAAAAATATGAGAAAGAGCGGAGGTTTATATGAAGAGTGAAGATATTTTCCGCAAATATTTTTGCTATAATGAGCTCAATGAAATATAAAGAGAATGAATTTGAAGTGCTGATAGATTTCTGATAACCCTGGAACAGTTTGGACGAACGGGTTGGGTGTGGTGAGAGCTGAGCGGGGATAGAAGTGTTAATTGAGAGGTGTATGTGAAGCTGAGTGGAGTATACTTGTACTTGCACTTGTATTAAGGTATATCGGGGACTTGAGATATGTTTGGCTCGCAACGATGATCTTCAGACACATTTGCAGTTCTTGTATCTAATCAGTTCTTGTGTAAGACTCATCGTCGGAGATGTGTATAGATTTTAGGTCTGTATATCTACTCATTAGAAGCAGTAAAAATATCGAAGTATCGATGCATTGAAGAAGGTCCAATTACTCTGACACTTGATGAATAATTTCAAACTGTACTCATGGGAACAACCATCACCGTTGTCATTTGTATGGAGAACAGAACACAGCACATGTCAGACGACAAGAAGAAAAGGAGACTTGGGTGCAAGTTTCAATTGGGTATTATAACTCAACAAGTATATATTTGAAGTCTCTGGAATGTTACTCACCGTGTTAATGTTGACTCTGATTTACACGTTTTTTTTATAATTTTATTTTATTTTATATATTCTAATGATTCATTACAGCTATATACCTAGTAAGCCGGGTTATTGGCGTTCAATAAATCAGACACTTATGAATCGTTTCAGTGAGCGCGGAGATATCTTTTTTTCTTCTTCTAATAAAAAACATTACAGTGGTGGTTTTTTTTATTTTAATGATTCATGTTTTTTTATATTTTTTAAAATTCTATGATTTATTGGGAAATGACTTAAACCTAGGAATATATTGATCCAACGATTTTTTTGGTTAATGTTCACTTGGTCCCTTAATGTTCACTTGGTCCCTTGGCCCAGTTGGTTAAGGCGTCGTGCTAATAAGAAATTAGCCTCTTTGCAACGCGAAGATCAGCAGTTCGATCCTGCTAGGGACCAAATTTTTTCCAATTTAGCTGGGATGTATATTTTTTTGTTACATTTTCATCATGATATTCTTTCATCAGTCTTGAATCACTCTTCCATGTATATCACGTGATCTTACTACAAGTAACCACAATGGAATGTCGGAAGATGTACTAACCAAACAAACAATAAACAAATACGTCAACAGACATGTGTGCATACTGTAGTCGCATTACTCTTTCTTATAGTTCCATCAATTATGTAACTCGTACCTCATATCTCATGAGAAAAGGTCAATGCTACGTACTGTATCATTATTCATTAAGCTACATAGATAGATCACGTACCGTACATAGTGTACCATCTCGTAGCAGTGTTCCAACAGTAGCAGCTTGGTCAATGGCCACTGCTTGTATTCCCCCAGGCCAGCCAGATGAGGGATGACAACGACGCTTGCGTCTCAATTTACCCATATCTAGCTTTAAGGCTCGACCATGTGAGCCCTGTACCGCTCGCTGTCCTACCTCACAACCAGACCCACTTAGTTCATTTGGAAGTTGTTCATTTGGCAAAAAAGTTACTCAGCCACTCCTTGGCCTCATTGTAATCTCCCTTTGCCTGCAGCAACGTCGTTCGCACGTTCTCCAAACACTGCTCGTCATCGGGTATACTAACAGCTCCAGTCTCGTCCTTGTGGGCACCAAAGTGCTGAATCTTCTCGCACGAAAGCTGCACCTTGGAAAGGCCCAGAGAGGCCGAAGATCCCTTCAGAAAGTGGCCCAGCGAAGACAGAAGCGACAGGTCCCGAGACTCGAGCGCCTGGTCCATCTGCAGAAAGGTCGAGTCCGCCTGCTCGTAGTAGTCTTCAATGATCATTTTGCTGAAGTCATGGTCGTCCGGATCCTCGTCCATGCCCAGAATCTGCGAAAAAGTGTTCCAGTCCACAATGTCATTGGAGTTGATGCTGTGGGTGGGTTCCGAGTACTCCGTCTCGTGTTGCGGTTCTCCGCCGTACTGTCGCAGCATTGTATCGTCGATGGACATGACTATGTTTGTGTGAAGATGACGTTTCGGGGTTCAGTGTCTGTGTCGTCAATCAGATGTGCCTCTTCGATTTCTCAAAGGGTGGGGTAGTGGGGAGTCAGTGAGACCTGCGTTTGTATAGTCTGGTTTGTTTGTGTGTGTGTGTGTGTGTGTGTGTTGGGTGTGTGCCTGTAAAAGGGAGTTGCTGTAGAAATGGCTCGCTGACTGTCGTAAAGTCGATTGTTCTACTTGTAAAACTGCGTCTGTGTCTCGGGAGTCCGCTCGGCCGAAATCACTAAAGAGCCTGAAAACGAAAAGATGTGGTCTACCAAAAGTGGTGTACCGGTTGTTAAGGACCGCCAGATCTAATGTACTGCCAGCTGCAGTTACCCGGCTGCAGCAAATGCACTATAGAGTTGGATTACTAATGTTCTAGAGCAAGCGGTGGTGCATGGAATGATATATCTTCTGCACTGAGAAACAACTCCACATCCTCCGACGAACTTGGGAATCATCCCCTTGGCCATTCTTTGGGGCATCTGTCTGCCCTCCAATAGGTGCATTGCTACTCACGATCATGCCATTCAAAATTAGAGTAAAGTGGGCGGTTAAATATGGAATGCACTGAGAAATGGAGCTTCAAACGGCAAGAAAATGACGACTAGTATTATCCAAAAAAAGAACTCTCTCAAAACAGCGCTGTTGTATTTATAGTCCTGCAGTTTTTTTTCTACAATTTGTGTCAATTTCTTTGCATTTATTGGAAATCATTCACTATTCCAGCCAGCTATCCTTTTTAGCGTTCCTGAAACCTTAACATATTGCTTGGGAGGTGGCAAAAAATAGTAATGTCATAATAAACGGCGTGTATTGTATGTTTGCGCAAATATTAAACCACCCTTACATCCGGCTCGTCCAGTGCCACAGCTTTCCTCTATATGAAGACTCCCTATCCCCATTGTTAGAGGATCCAGACCGTTTTCAAAAATAATTTAGACTTTTGTAATCTTGTATTCAGTGACTAATCGCTGGTATTTGAGATTTGAGAAAATCGCAATACATCGAACAAATGACAAAAACCTACCATCACGGCAAATAAGACACCATTATATTGCCTCATCAACTACGAGTACAATTACTGTACTTCATCCTTCACAAAAACTCACCCCTACCCCGGCCAACCCCGTACCCCTCCTTGTTTTACCCAGACGCCTTGCGGGCGATCGGAAATTACCATTTTTTTGGGAAACGTAATTTAACACAAGTACAACCCTTCATGCACCCTTTCTCCCTCCTCCAGCCTGCCCCATGACCCCCAATAATACCGGCAATGGCCAATCTATCCCGGTGTCTCACCAACAACAGATATTGTTGGATACGAGGCTCGGTTAATTTTATAGTTGCAATAAGCTTCAAGTATTTAGTTGACCGTGGCTTGTCATATTTATGTCCCCCCCAAATTCCAACCTTATCGTTATCGCACCCCAAAATCCACCGACTCAAAACAGTCCGTATTCGCTACTCAGAAGAAAAAGAATGTCCACTGCGTTTTTGTGAGTATTCAAAAAATGGAGTGAATTTGCCGACACTCACGCGAACACCCCCAACGCCCGGAAGACACGTGATCTCATCGGCCCCAAACCCGAGTCAGCAGAGCCATCTCATCAGTCATCTCAATTGAGTCATCTGGATCACGACGATGACAGTGGAGATGCGAATTGAGTGACAGGAATCGTACGTGGGTTAAGCCAAGCTAAGATAACGAGTCACATGACCTATAGCGACTCGTAGATCATGTGTTTGGGTGTCGAAGTCATCCCAGGACACGTGACTTTGAAAGGCTTCTTTTTTGGTCATCTCTGGTACATACTTGTAAGGATATCAGGGATCTGCTATGATTGAAGCTTGGTTAGAGGTTACTATTCTATTACACACACGTGATCTACGCTTCCACTAGTCACGTGACATGAGAATGTCCACACGAGCATCCCTGCCCCATCTTACCAATTCTCGTTACTAATCCAGCTATGGAACTCTTACTCGTCCAGAGGTTCTCGGAAGAGTGATTGCAAACTCGTTTGAGGTTCCTGCTCACGTGAAAGTCTCTCCAGCGACTCTACATGATCACGTGCGATATCACGTGAAGAACCGTGACTACCCTGGTGTGATTGCCAAGTCTGGCGCTTCTGTTCAAGGCACTGTGGCCTTCAATCTTTCGGATTCAGATGTGGCCAAACTCGATGTTTTTGAGGGCGAAGATTACAAGCGTGTTGTTGTCGATGTTGATGTCGATGGAACGAAGGTTCCCGCCCACTTGTATCTTTGGATCGGAGGTGAAGATCGGTTGGATGACAAGGAGTGGGATGTGAATGTGTTTGTCAAGGAGAAGATGGACAGTTGGCTCTATGAGGAGCTCGGGGTCCATGTCAAGACGAGGGAATAAGATACTCGTGCTTTTCACACCACAGACGGCCCATCTCGATAGACAGATGTGCACAGCACCTGTATATAATGTATCACAACTGAGAGGGTTGGGATTGATTTTAAGATAATCAGTTGTGTGCAGCTTTTTATTGATCTCGGAGTAGTACTTTGTACAATTATGAGAGCTCTAAAATCTATATCCATCCTATCATGTCGTGCTGTTTTGTTTCATTAATTGTGTACCATAGTTACCATATTACTTTGGGTTTAGTTTAAAATAATTAGTAGGCAAAATTTGGCCGACACACCAATAGCAGAGAGAAGTCCACAGAGATAGGAAAAGCAGTCAGATAACCACAAATCCCAGTAGACTGGAGGGACGTGATTTATTCCCAATTCAAGCCTTCGGCCTCCTAGAGTCTGCTGAAAAGAGATCAACTGCATCAGGTGGTATGTAAGGAAGCTCACCATGAGCGCCCAAAAAACAACGAAAGAGAGCCCAAGGGCCGCAAAAAGATGTGCACGGTTTTGGGCACATCGTACAGCCGAGAGATTCGAAATCTCTCCTCCGAAGAGACCAAGATATTATGCCAAGTGGCACCTTGAGCTAGCGCCTTAGACCACTCGGCCAGATACGAGGTTTGTGGATGAAAAAGGGTTGAAAAAGTTGGTCTAGAGGAGGAAAAAGAGGAAATTGCGAGCACGCTTGCCATATGCTCTTCTGAACACCCGAATCCGTGTCCGATATTCGGGTTTAACATTGTTATAGGTATGTATGTACATACTAAGAAGCTGAAATGTAATACCTAGAATCCTTAGAAGATAGAATAAGAAGCTCTTGACTAGCAGTGAGAAACAGAAGGTCTAGTCATGCCGTTACCATATGTCTCAGCAGTTGCACACCTTGTCCAGTTAGTAGAACACACTTGAGTCTCGTAGTCAATCTGAGAGCTATGTGAAGATAGAGAGTCTTCAATAGTTCTTTGGCTTCCTGGGCGGGTAGTAATTGCTGTAGAGTGTCAGTTTAACCATCTTCGTCTCAAGTTGTACATAGTCTGGGCCTCATTAACAGGGTCAAAGCTGAAGCTGCTCCATTACCCACCAGAATCTGTCAAAAGTCTTATTGATGACGTTAACTCACCCAAACTGGACAAGCTGCTGGTTGTGGCAGCCTACAACTCGCTTCTGTGGACCATCTGTCTCCTCAACTCAGCGTTGTGTACAGTAATGTAACGTAACTCCGATCTGAACTCTCTGAATGTGGAACGGAGTTAGCCACTCAACTCCAAATACGTGCTCACAGTTCGGTTGTAGTTATTAAATAATTCTATATGCAATCCTCCTCTGTTATCAAACCCTCACGAACCGGCCTTGTTGTTCAGCTCAAACCTCAACGGCCACCCCATGCAGCCGGTTCTTTCCATTTCCCTCCTCGGTTGCCGTCAGAGACTCGGAAATATCGGTTCCTTCGCTCTCCAAATTATCCTTGGGTCCCTCTTCGATATCATTGGCCACTGTAAGCTCACTGTTGAGCTTTCTCTCCTTTCGGGTTCGAAGCAGCCAAATCACATGGGAAGTCATGATGCCCAGCTCCAGAGCCAGCACAATGAGGTACAGAATGCAGCCCAGCACGTCAAAGTCGCCCTTCTGGAACAGCAGCGACAGGAACGAAAATAGAGCTCCCAGTGAATCCATGGTCAGAAACACAAAGTTGATTCCAACCACCTGTCCGTTTCGCTTCCACAACTCGTAGTAAGGAGGCAGCAGACCGGCAGCCAGAAGGACACAGGCAATGATTCCAATCATGAGATTGGGCCAGGTGGTTCCACGGTCGTACAGGTACCGGAATCCAATAGAAAGTCCCACCTCAATACAAGCTGCTGCCACGATCGTGCATCCGACCAGAATCAAACAGTATTTCATAGGCCGTTGGATCGGGGGATAGTAGAGACACTGAAACCAGCCAATGAAAGAGAAAATTCCAAAAATCTGGGGCTGCACCTGAAGAGCCACTCCTCCACGCTGAGCAATGAAATATACTCCAAACGGAACGGCCGAAGAACCCCATAGAAACAACATGATTGGTGGGAGGCCTTCTGTGCACTTATGACGGTAGTTGTGGATCACCTGGGGTGCCAATTGGATGCACCACAGCACGGTTCCAATTGTTGACAGGACGGTCGAAGCCGTCGTTTCTTCCACTGCCATGAGAAGATGTGGGTATGCTTAGGTAATCTGTCTCTTTGGGAGATTCAAATTCACGGGTAGAATTTGGGGGTGTAGGTGGATGAGTCACGTGGGGGAGAGGTGGATGCGAGCCTCGTATGGTCTCGTGATCTCAATCTGGTTTATGGTATAACCTCCGGCAACGTCCTGTGGAGCATTTATATACATGGTGTTAGGGTGCACGAAGCGACTAAGCTTATCAGGGCGAAAACGAAAAAAAAGACTAAATTTTCCGGCGTTTCCTCCATAGAGTTCGATCTCCCAATCTGGCAATTCCTCTTTGGGTAGGTGCGTGCGTCTTAGCGGGCTCTGCGGGTAATACGGTCAAAACCGCGCCCATTTTCGGGCCTGTCACACCACCGCAGCGGGCCACGCTCGTCTAACAACTTCCCCGCCGCAGCGTATTGGGTGCAACCCACAGTGCTCATTTGGTGCACGCCAAGAGGCTCTATGAATCGCCACAAACAGGGTTCGGAGGCGACCGTTTAGGCGTGGCGGAGCTTGAGCTTAAATCGGAAGCAAAAAAAGATACCGCTTGGCAAGAGTGATTGGCCAAATTTGTGTGGAGACTATTGAGGTAGTATTCCAGCGGATTCGAGTTCAGAAAGCGGTGATATGGTGAGAAATGATTGCCTAATCCACTCATCTTCTTACTTTGACGGAATAACGCCCCCCAATGGCTGCTGTATGATCCCCTCGTCCCACGCGTCCTCGCATGGCTGACTCGTATCTGCACATGACTGGTGAAACTGAGTTAGTTGCCAACTCTATGCACACAGGCCGAAAGTGGTTAAAACACGAGAGCAAGCGAAAAAAGGCTCTGGAGCGCCACCAACGGGAGGCAGGGCATAAATCAGTCATATCCGTGATTGCAACCCCCTTTTGTTGTCCCGTTTTCCAGAAAAAGGCTGATGTAGATGGCCTGGAAGGTCCCTAGAAAGAGTTTCCATATAAAGTTGGGATCCAGGTCAACTGCATATTTTCTTCCCCGCCTTGGATGTGGATATGAGGTCCGTGTGAAGTCCGTGTGTGACTGAGGGGGGTGCCAATTGGTCTTTTGGCCATTCTCAATTTGGGGCCAGATCACCTGTTTGGAATGGCGCTGCGTTTGGGGTATGTTCCACGCAAATTCCGGTGAGGATTTGGTCTGATGTTAAGTAGGAGGGAAGAACAATACCGACATAAGTTAAGAATTTGTAATTCCACATAGAATAGCGAGAAAACATGTAGCCATATATTTAGGGGTATCGTTGGACTTTCCAGAATGAGGTGAGATTTTATGGTACCTTTTATTTGACCACAAGTAGAGAGCTTTACATAAAAAAAGTCGTGGTGAATTTGGCTGAGTCTCATTTAAACTATGTATTTTTTTCAGCTGTCACAAGATGCTTACTCGTAGATGACAAAACTATTCTCCCTTTATCTACAATACAATTACCACGCCCTACTCATTGTCCTTTAACAAACCTGGGGAAGCAACAGAGTTTCCAATTACGTGTCAGCCACACGACCTCCATGAGAAGAGCGTTTTTTTGCGTTACTGTGGAGGCATGTTTTGTGATCGTCGTACTTGGAGATAGAATGGAATGGTCGGAATGGGTCTTTGGGCTTACTAATGACAACTTAGACGTCAATTCCAACTTCAACAATCTCTCCAGTCCCTATTACAAGGTGGATTTCAGCACATGCAATCAATCCCACGGTGAAACTTCTCAATTACACTTAGTTGACTAATTTGTTGACCCCTTCGTTGACACTTTTACATTGCTCTTTGTGTGCTAAAAATAGATCCGAAAACGATCTGAAACACCCGACGAGAATTATCGAAGCTGAGAGCCATCTACGAAACCATTTCTCCACTTCCACTCCAGCTTCCATTTGCCCTGGAATGTCAAATCCGACGCTATCTTTTTTTGCTTCGAATGCACATCGTCGGTGGGGTGAGTTTTGAGTTGATTGTTAACATGGGAAGGAATGACTGGAGAAATAATAAAAGAAATCGGAGAAGTTGGATTTTTTTTTTGCGAAAAATCTCAATATTTTTGGCAGCTCTTTCTAAACTAACCTATAGCGTCAGATTGCAAAAATACCTCGTCAATATCATTTTATAAACCCTCAAATTTGTTATCTGTTTTTGCTTTCAATTGTGTGAGGCGATATTGAAGCCTAATTATTGGGTTTAATAAAGTAGCCCGATCAGAGCATTTTAATCGAGGGCAAGAAACACAAACAGGGGACACAAAGAAACCCTGTTATGACTAAAACAAAAAAATAACCAGAAAAGTCCCCTTGCTCGAAGGGGACATATAACCTCAAATGTTAGGTGTTTCCACCAACGGAATCGGCTATGTAGAACCTTCACAAATTTCCTACTGGGTAAGGGACAAAGCTTATTATATCAACTACATTGAAATCCGAAATAATTGACATAAAGAACAGATCTATAAGACCAAAAGATGACCGATAAATAAATTAATTCACGTTACTGTCTTGTTAATAACTCCTTCACATGTGTATACATACAAATATGACATATTTCTTCATTTAATTTTTTTAAAATTAAACCTTTTTTATTTTCTATTAGTCAGCAGAATTTAACATCTGCAGGTCACTTTTTCGGTATTTTTAAATTCTGCCTGGCTAGCTCAATCGGTAGAGCGTGAGACTCTTATTCAGAGGTGATCTCAAGGCTGTGGGTTCAAGCCCCACGTCGGGCTTTCTTTTTGGTAACGATTTTCACAAAGTATTTTTGTACATTGAAAATATTTAAGATTAAGGTTACCGAGACCGTTAGGTCGTGTGCACTTGGCAGGGCGTTTTTTCGACTACAGAAACCGGTATCGTTGTCGGGTTTTTGCGTGGATTTTACTCACATACAGTAACGTGAACAGAAATACACAATTTGGTAGTCTTTTTTCTCTTTTTTCTCTTTTTTTTCTTCTTTTATTCACATTCCAACTCCACAACTCCTAGAAACCGGTGGTCGTACGGCGTCATTTGACGGCTTATTATTTGGTGTTATAGGCTGGATATAAGCGGAAGAAGTTTGAGTTCCGCTCTAATGGCATCCGTGGAGTGAATCTTCAAGAATACGTTTCCATGGAACCAATAGAAGAGCAAATATGAAGTGCCGTTAGTGAGAGAGTGGGAACGATACACTACTAATCTGAGGGTACTCTGGTGGTCTAGGATAGAGCAAAGAGTGAGATTATCTACGTCTTTATGAAATTTGCTTTCGATTGATACCATTTTCAACCAGATATAATCATTGCACGTGTTTCTAGACTACTGCAACCCGAGGCGAATAAAGTACATAGCTGTGCCGTGGAAAGGGTCGTTGAGTGCTTGACGGAAGAGTTTCTAAATGTGGCATGTAGAAAGGAGATACTATTTTGATGGCGGCTAATTAGTATGCGCCTTGATACACACAGATGGCTAAAGCTGCACATATCTGTCAGTAATGTAATGTACCTCGCTTTCACAGAATGCAGGGATCATGGCAACCAAACCAGACATGTAAGAGAGTCGTCTACAGTTGGAGTCACGTGATAAGAATAAATGGGAGAGATTATCTATTGATAATAACGTGTTCGCTATACACAACTGGAACTACATACGAGCAAGCTATTACAAGTGGTAGTCTGTCTGGAGATATAACTATCTACAGTAAAGCTATAAGCGAAAATTTGATTTTTAAATAAATAGTACCATTGAAAAGCTATTGAGCCAAGGAACTATTTGGTGTAATATATACCCATTTTACCTCGAACTGCCGCTTTTAGACCCAAATCAATGTCCTGAAATCCCACATCAGCTTCTAAAGGTCAATATTTACGAACAAAAGTAGTACCTAGACTTTTAAACACGACAAGAAACTCAGTTAGAGACTTCAAAGTACTTCAAACAACCCATAAGATACCTGTTATCACCCAATACACATCTCCAGTCTCACCATCTAGATCAGGTATATTAGGGTTAGGGGTTACTAAATTGAGTTCTACATAACCATGGTCTATCTTGACATTTATCAGACTGCCATCTCACTAACAGACGCAATGAACAACTCGACGGTTCTGCAAGGAAAAGTTGCGGAGATCGCATCACGTGTTCTAGACAAGATTCCAGATCACGTGAAGACACAGGTGGCCGATCACGTGACTAAGCTGACGGACATTGGCAAGTTTTACTACGACAACAGAAACGATTACACCAGCACCGTGACTGATCACGTGATCTCATACTACGACAAGGTCGCCACCTGTGCTGGGACCCACTATGCTCAATTGGGCAATGCCGTCACCATGTGGATGCATGATCTGCCCTTTGACGAGCAGATTCTGATTTTCTCGTTTCTCATGGTGGCTGCTGTCGCCGTGGTTTATGCCGGAGCCAAGGCCGGTGTGTGTCGACCTTTTGGATCACGTGACCCTGACGAGAATTCGGAGCTTTTCCACATCTGTGATCTTCAGGAGACTCAGACTGAGTCTGTTGGAGATTCCGAGGCTCTTTTCATGCCTGTTTTCGGAGGTCTGTTCCTTTGCGGCTTGTATTTTGCCATCAAATACCTGTCCAAGGAGACTGTACAGTGGTTCTTGACCCACTACATGAGTTTTGCCGGCTCCATGAGTGTCGGATTGGTGGTTTCCATGGGATACAAGGGTCTCCTCAGAACCGTGTTCAACAGCAATGTGGCTCATTACAAGATTGTTCTGTGTGACGATCGGGCATACCGAGGTGTTGGAAGCTTTTCTCGATCCGATATCGAGCAGATGGAATGTGATAAGGCCGAGAAGGCTGATGGAGAAAAGAAAAACTCGAAATCCAAAGCCAAGAAGAAGTCCAAGAAGGATAAGACCGTATCAAAAGGAAAGAGCAATGCTGGTGGAGTTGGAAAGGCTGTTGAAAAGTCTGATAGCGTTGTGGCTGTCGTTGAGAGTGCCAAAAACACGCCCACCAAGGGCAATAAGAAGTCCAAGAAGGATAAGAAGGGAGAGACTGGACTCAATGGCTCTCAGCGAGCCGGCAAAATGTCTGACATTGATGACAGCTTCAAAACAGAATCCAAGAAATCCAAGTTCAACCTTATGGCCAAGTACTTTCCCATCATCACCACCGACGACCAGCTGTATGCCATCCATTTCACTGTTGTTGACATCCTGTGCTTCTTCCTGTCTATTTTCTGTCTCCTCTCCATGATCAAGTACCCCGAGATTGCCAAGAACTGGATCATCAACAATCTGCTGGGTGTGTGCATTGCCATCACCGGTATGTCCACTCTCAAGCTGTCTACCTTCAAGTCTGGTCTCATCATGCTTGCCGGACTCTTCTTCTACGACATTTTCTTTGTCTTTGGCACTGATATTATGCTCACGGTTGCCACCTCTATTGACGGCCCCATCAAGCTAGTGGTCCCCAAGAATGAGTTTGGCAAGGGAGCTCTTCTTGGACTCGGTGACATTGTCGTTCCTGGCGTCTACATGAGCTTGTGTCTCCGATACGACGTGTTTCGATACTACAAGGACGGTAAGGAGCCTTTCCATCTGGCTCGAAAGATCAATGCTCCCTACTTTGTGACGTCTTTGATCTTCTACGTGATTGCCCTGATCACCACCATGGTGGTTCTGTTTGTGTTTGAGCACGGACAGCCCGCACTTCTGTACATTTGCCCTGCTCTGATGATTTCTACTTTCTTGGTGGGTGTTTACCAGGGGGAGCTGGGTGCTCTGTGGGCCTACGACGGAGAGAATGAGCTGGAGGAATAATGTACCATATAAAACAATACCATTAAAACACGATACTGGACGGAGTTGGATATTTATCGATTTTATTCGAACTTATGGTAATTTTATCGAACTGAATTACCCTGAAAATTCAGCTTAAATCAAAATAATTCCGACGCACACTAAAAGAGGCTTTGGCAGTGTCACGTGCGGAAAACAAACTCCAGAAAACGAAACCCAAATTATCATTCGATTTTATAGGGTCCAGTTATTACGCTTGGTATCGGTCATATGAGACGCACTGAAAGTCTAGAAATATTCACGTGACGATTTCAGTCACATTCCTATTTTCAAAATTCTCATATCTTCAAAACTGGCCATTTTAACACCCTCTTCCAGCATCTCCGACAAAGTTATCTTGCTAATTTCAACACGCCGTAGATCGGCACTTATCACTGAAGCTATAGGGGGGTATTTGAGACAGAGAAAGCGGACATGTGATTGATTGCGTCTGAAGAAGTCCCTCTGCCAACTCCCAGTGCATTTTGGCCTCTCAATCGTCTTGTAGGACCGGACTGCAAGTTCGACAGCAGTGCTGACAAATGTATACATGCAGAGCCGATCGGTTCCCGGTTCCGAAGACTTCTTCATTACAACAAAACAACGTCCGAAATGGATCCTGAAAAGCAGCAATCACATCCATGTCACGTGCCCACCATATCTACGTGTGGCTATTTTCTGGCTCACGTGACTCCGCCTTACAACGGACATTTTTTGAGTCTCGTCGGAGTCCTAAACCTAAAGTCTGGCGCCGTGTGATAAGCTACTTGCTGCATTGCGGAGATATATGAATATAAGCGAAGGGAGGCGACTGTTATTGTGCGACGATAAGAGAGCGCTTCTTTGGACCCCCGACAGCGACAGCGACGCAAGTAACAAAGTCCCCTGACAGGTGACTCTTTCGTTTAACGAGCAAAGTATCAGTGACGCAAACAGCAGGTGCAGCCAGTGCCCCAGAACCGACAAACCCCCACTACATATCGGCGACAGCTTGTACGTCGACCCCGAAACGGCTCCTTCGTCAACTACCGACGATTCTCTATTGATTGGTAGTTTTAGCTGATCAAACAGACCACTTTTGAGCGAGTTGACTACGCCACTAAAGTTACACAACAGTTACACAGCAGCTATATAACAGCTCCAACCAACGGCAAAAGCACACAAACAATAGCCGGTTCGTCTCCACATCCACAGCCATGGACACACACGGAATAACCGACACGGTGGACGAGCTGACCCGTCAGAACCTCGAATCGGACGAGTGCCAGCCTCTTCTTCCTCCCGAAGAAACCTGCGATGAAGAGAGCGACTGTCCGGACTCTATTCTCAAGCCCAAGTACGCCAAAATGCCCTACGCAAAGCGACCTAGCCCAACGGTGCTCATCGTCGCCTTTGCCATTTACGCTACTGCCATCATTGCCTGGAGTTTGATGAGTATCAATGTGCTGATCAACCTTGTATGTCAGCGAGAATACGGCAGCGAGAGCAGCAACAGCGGCACCGCCGGCAGTCTGATCTCCATTCTGGCCGCTCCCATTGTCGAGAACCCGGCTCTATGCCAAACCCCACTAGTGCAGAAGAAAACTGCCCGGTTCCAAATCGTCATGGAGACTGTGCAGAGTCTTGTTGCCATGATCACCGTCACACGACTGGGCGAGCTGTCCGACCGAATTGGCCGAAAGCCGCTACTTTTGTGGTGTGGAGTGTGCACCGTTTTGAACGCTCTCATCTGGCTCCCCTGTGTGCTGTTTGGATGGCATTACTACACTCTGGTTGCTGGCTCCTTCTTCACGGGTCTATCTGGCTCAGTGCCCATGCTCATGGCCATGAACCACTCCTATGCTACAGATGTGGTTCGCTCCAAGCACCGAGCAAAGGTGTTTGGATACATGCACGGAGCCATCTTTGCCGGAGCAGCTCTCGGTCCGTTCGCGGTAGGCCGAATCACCCGAAGCTGGGGAATTGTCGCCGCCATGGGCTTCTCGCTGTCGCTACAGATGGTCTTCTTGGGTATCATCTTCTTCCTTGTTCCCGAGTCACGTTCTAAACTCAAGCGAAAGTACTCCACTCACTTCAAACGAGTCAACAGTAGAAGTCGACTGGCAGGATCCAGTGGACGAAACAACTCGGGAGTGTTTGCTGACGATACTTCTGGAGTACGAGATCCCAACAAGAACAAGGTGCGTATCTCCATTGTCGAGGAGGCCTCTCAATCTGCTCCTGATCTGAGAACTCCTGACTTCAGCGGTAATCATAGCAGCGGTAACAGCGACAGTGACTCTGGCAAGAAGGGCAGGGTTTCCAAGTCTGTGGCTGCTGTCAAAGAGCACTTCGAGTCTCTGTCCATTCTATCCTTCTCCAACCGGTCTCGATCTACTCGAATCAACGCCTGGATCATTCTGTCCATTGACGCGTTCATGTACTGCTCGCAGGTTGGAGTGGTGGGTCTGCTAGTGCTCTATTCTGGCTTCCGATTCAAATGGGGAACCGAGCAGACTGGAAACATGATCAGTCTCATGGGTCTTTCCAAGGTCCTGGCTGTCATGCTGTTCATGCCCGTGGTGATGGGCATTCTGAACCGAGTGTTTGTAACCCGTCTGAACCATATTGACATGACCGACCTGTTTGTCATTCGTCTGGGTATGATTGTGAACTGTATGGGTTGGTTTGGAGTGGCCACGGCCACGTCAGGCACGCTCTTTTTGATCGCTGTGGCCTCCATGTCTCTTTCTTCCACTGCCTCCCCCACTCTACAGAGTGCTCTGGTGAAGTATATTGACAGAAAGGACACAGGCCGGCTTCTGGGAGCGCTGGCACTACTGCATCACATTTGCTCGCTGCTGGCACCCATTGTGTTCACCAGTATCTACACTCTCACGGTTGACACGCGCCCCGAGCTTTGCTTCTACATTGTCAGTGGCATTTTCGCCTCCATGTTCGTTGCCACCTTGTTCATTAGTCATCCCAGCGATGATGAGTAGGTGAAGACGTAAATATATGATGAGGGATAGAGTACAAGTATTTAATGAGTAACGAAATCGAAAAGTAATAATGCAATTTAACTAACAACAAGAGCCTCGATTGAACACAGGAGACACTTTGCTCTTTCATTTGTAGTCTAAGATACAAGTACAGTGTACATACTGTAGTTACTTTTTTCACTATGTAAATTCCTGTCCCTGCACGCGCGTCTGACAAGCCAGATTAACGACTGAATTTACCCAAAGGGGAGATCGGCGATTCAGGGTTAGGAACAGTTTCCATGTGATCGAGTGTGTAGAGATGTTGGATATGGACTGACAAAGTCATGTGACTTAGGTCACGTGGTTTGTTTTAGCCCCCGCCAAACCATTTTCTTGTACTCTTTATATCTCGTATGATGAAACACTCAGGATGCATTTGAGATGTAGCCGTGCATTGCTGTTTAGGAGTGATGTGGGGAGAAAGCAAATACCGGGGTGATTTGAACCATTTGAATGGAACATGAGAATACCGGTAAATAGCCCTGAATCAGGGGATAGAGATGGTACAAAAATCATTTTGTTAGGGCACCTATAGCCCGTACAAGTCACGCACAAAGTTTTATAAACAGAGTTCACATCAGTCCCCAGATCTTGATGGGAACCGCGTACACAACGGTTTTGGCGGATATAGTACAGTAAGGGCAAGGGAAATAGACTAATTGGATGGCATATCCGGGGCGTTATAATACGTTCCGTTCCAACTGTCAGCTAATTTGGCAGGGTGATTATCGGCGTATTAGTTCGTATCTGTTCGAGCCGTTTTAGACTTTATGGGGGGTTCTGGGGCAGCTTTTTGGGATGAGTAGAAGTACGAATGGATGTAAGGATAAAGAGCTGATTTTTCAATGGCGCAATAGGAGGTGGTTTTAGATATTATTTTTCAATTTTCAGCTTGATATTATCACAATATACCCTCCTACAACGTGTGTTTGGGGTCCAGGTAGGGTGAATGTTAGTTGAGTTTGGGTTTCAATAAATTAGCGAGGAAATTAAAAGACACGATTTAAGGGGCTTCTAGAGGGCGTAAAGAGGAGATGAGAAACCGGATTTGTTCAGAGAAAACAGGATTATATCACTGACCACGGAAACAGTCCCCTCAACCCCTCATAACCTCCTACCTAATCGGGACATTGGGTTCAAAAATCTCATGTAATGCACCCCTATCCGGATTGGGTTTGTACGCGATGCGTTAATGATTGGCACTGGTTGACGCGACCGACAATTCTCCCCCACTATCGATCTTGAGGTGTGATCAGAGCATACCAAACGACACAACTCCCCACCATGGATCTTCCGTCGCCCAACGCGCCCTTTCGAGGCATGCAGCGTGTTGCCAGCAGTTCTTTGGTGAGTATAGTGACATGACAAGAGCGCACATGTGTGTGACGTTGGTTTGAAGGAGGGGTGGGGTGTAATTACACTCATGGGTTCTATCGTACGACAGCGAGATTGGACGTGCTGGATAAAACCGGCGCCTTGTTCATCAAAAGGAGTGCTTTTTGATTGTGGAATCGTTTGTGTGTCCCCCTGTAGGCAAGGTGCGTTTCCGCGGCAACAGCGTCCTGGTCGAATCCGACTAGTATTACGAGCAGTCAATATGTTGGGACGTGACGTGGCCTCTTCTTGTACTTCATCTTTATCGCCATGGCCAGAATCTCGAAACCAAGACCGTCCAACGCCTCCGTCGCCTCATACGGCTCCTTGAACGCCTACGCGCAGACCTATGATTTGAGTACCGTCTTTGGGGAGAGAGGGATGATGCAGAGGTGGTGATAAATGGGTGAAGATGGAGGGGTAATGTCACGGTGGCAAACTCGGCGGGTTATGGTTGCTTCAACGAACCGTCGGACGGCTGTGGTAGATACTACCACGCACAGGCAGTAACAATGACTTCAAAACTACAGCTGGGGGCACTGTGTTCCAGTGTTCGATTTGCAATGAGAAAGGAACGTCAGATGCTTCCATTGAACGCGTGGCAACACTTCTGTAGTCTCCACTGGCCGTCGCTACCATACCGTCACCATATGCATGTCACACAGTCACCATTGCCGTCATCTTTAGTCCTTCACGCATTGCTAGCCCTCACTCAGTGCACAATCATTTGTTCCCACTTTCCGAACCCTACTAACTCAGCTCCGACACAAAAAAGTCCTGAAAAAAGGGACCAAATTCTCCCTCCTGGTCTGCGGCCCTGGAGGCTCTGGTCGAGCGACCTTCGTTAACGCCCTGATAGACTCACAACTTGGCGAATCCGGCGACAAGGTAAAACAGCTTATCCACCGAACCGAAGTAGCACCCGAAGAAGCTCATATCGAACCAGGTATCACTCTCGAGCCCTGGACTGAGACCCTCTACGACGAGGAGGGTGGAGCGCTGTCAATCACGTTTGTTGACACTCCCGGTTTTGGAGACAACATCAACAACGAAGTAGTGTTCCCCGAGCTGCTAGGTTTCATTGAGCGTCAATACGACAATGTGCTTGCGGAAGAGAATCGAATCCGTCGAAACCCCAAGTTCCGAGACGATCGAGTCCACGTACTTCTCTACTTCATTGAGGCGACTGGACACGGTCTGCGGGAGCTGGACGTGGAGCTCATGCGTCAGATGAGTACACGGGCCAACGTGATCCCCATTCTCGCCAAGGCCGACACTCTGACACCCTCCGAGCTAGCTGAAAACAAACGGCTCATCATGGAGGACATTGAGTACCACCAGATCCCCATCTACAACTTCCCTTACGACCCTGAGGAGGATGATGAGACCATTGAGCAGAACTCCCACCTGCGTTCCCTGCTTCCGTTTGCCGTGATTGGCTCCAACGAGGTCGCTGTGGTCAACGGCAAGCGATGTCTTGTTCGAACATACCCCTGGGGCTCTGTGGACATCGAGGATCCCCGTTTCTCCGACTTTGCCGTGCTTCGAAACGTGCTGCTGGGCTCGCATCTTGAAGACCTCAAGGAGGCCACCCACTCGATTCTGTATGAAAACTACCGAACCAAAAAGCTGTCGACCAACGACTCGCCGCTCATCGACCAGTCTGCGACCCCCGACATGTCAGAGGAGTCGTTTGTGGCCCGAGAGGAACGTCTGCGAGCCGAGGAGGCGCGATTCAAAGAGATTGAAGAAAAGGTGCAGAGAGAGATTGCCCAGAAGAAGCGCGAGCTGCTTGAACGAGAGCGGGAGTTGCGGGAGATTGAGGCAAGGCTCAAGAACGAGTTGGTTGTGGAGGAGTAGACGTAAGCTAGGTATACGCGATATGGAGGCGAGGTTTTTAGTTCGCCAGAGGAGTAGATGCTCCGAGGCATGTAATGTTTAACAGATTATTATTGATGTTCCTGCAGCCAGCAAATGTTACCGAAGTATTATTTCGTAGTTTGACACCTATAGAAAATTGGTATAGGAATGGCTAACAAAAAGATAGCCCAGCATAGTGAGTTGTAAAAAAAGGATTACAGCACCCAGGATTCTCGTATGGTCTCCCACTACAATACTAACTAGGCTCTCTGGTGCTTGACTATGGCTGATCGGACGGGAAGCCGTATTTTCACCAGGATATGGCCGTAACCGAATTGCGCCGACCCGGAATCGAACCGGGGGCCCATCGATGGCAACGATGGATTTTACCACTAAACCATCGGCGCTTGTTTTCAAAAAATTCCAAAATCGAACTTGTACTAACACCGTGGGTTAGGGTAGGTAACCTAAAACGGGTTATAAGCCCTATCCCATTATCCTATTTTGTTACTATAATCTTAAACCCCTGTTCAGAAACGGACAAAACTCTATTCCCACCATTATATTTGTGATTTGTTTTAGATGTAATGAGATACCAGTCTGGTGAAATATGGATAGTGGGTGATCGAAGTCATCTGTGAGCGATTTATCGCTTAAATGCGGGGACTAATGTACGAATAAAAGTCCCCGTCAAAGCACATTGATACAGGCGCAATATTCTACACACGCTACACACGCTAACATCTCAATATTCAATAATATATATACTTAAACATGTCTGGTTTCCTCTTGATCAGAAGGAGTGGGGGAAACAGACTCGACCGTCTCAAGGGCAGTCTTCTCTTCGAGCAAGATTCGAGGCTCAACGAGGTTGTGGTCGACAGCAGTGCTCTTAGGGAGCCGTCTGGCGATCCAGACAACGTCCCAGGGTGTCTTGGGGTTGGAGTCGGCAAAGATCTGGTCAATCTCTTCCAGAGACCGACCGGCAGTCTCGGGATAGAAGAAGTAGACGACTGGAACCATGGCTGCGTTGATGACGGCAAAGATGATGTAGGTCTTCCACTTGATAGTGTCGAAGGCCACGGGGGTGATCATGACGACCATGAAGTTGAAGACCCAGTTTCCAGAGGTGGAAAGGCCGTTGGCGGGAGCTCGAATCTCCAAGGAACTGATCTCGGCAGGATACAGCCACGACATGCCCAGCCAACCAATGGCAAAGAAGGTGTTGAAGACGAAAAGGAAGACGGCAGCAGCAACACCGGCGCTCTGATTGTCGAGTCCTCCGTCTGCCGGTGAAGATGCAGCGTAGACACATCCTGTGAGAATAGCCATAGTAGCTGCCTGACCAGCAGCTCCGAAAATCATGAGTTTTCGACGTCCGAACCGCTCGATGGTGTAGAAGGCGATCCAAGAGGCTAGGAAGTATTCGGTACCGTTACAAGCAGCGAGAATTCGAGAATTAGTAGGGGTCATGCCGACAGACGTCTCATAGATGTACGCCGCATAGTATGTGATGAGATTGATACCTGTGATTTGTTGCATGACCTGACTCCAGTAGGCCAGCATGGTTCGGTGGAAATTCTTCTTCTTGCCAAAGGTGAACATGAGTTTCATCTGGGACAGGAAGGGCAGTTCCTCACCCATTGAAAACTCGCCTGCTGCAATCTTCTCACGAGCAGCAGGTCCATCAATACCCAACTGAGCCAATTGTTCCAGCATGATGGATTCTTTGACGTATGTGATCTGGGTGACAACGTAGGGGTCTTCAATGTCCACATCTTCGAGGGCAGCAAAGACTCCGGCTGCTTCTTCGAATCGCCCCTTTTTGACCAACCACCTTGGAGATTCGGGGATAGTAAGAACGGTGAAGAAGAGAAAGAGACAGAAGACAATTTGGAATGCGACAGGGAACCGCCAGTCAGCGTCGTTGGCCTTGACCCAATAGAAGCCGAAATCGATCCAGTATGAAAGAGCGATACCGGCGGTGATAAGAGCTCCTTCCAACATGACGAGTTTGCCTCGTTTCTCTGGTTTCGCACACTCAGACTGGAGCATGGGGACTGTTGCGGTGATGAATCCGTTACCGACACCCGAGACGACACGGCCTGTAATGAACATGCCCAAAGAGTATGAGGCACATTGTAGAACGGCTCCAATGGTCATGATGATTGATCCGTAGAAGATGATGTACCGTCTACCGACCTTGTCTCCTCCCCACATGGTGAATAGAGCCCCCATCATGCACCCGATCTCGTAGATGGCAATTGCTGTGCCTTGGATGGTGGTGTTGAAGGACTTGACATCCGGCGGTAGATAGTCAGAAGTGTCCATCTTGGGGAACTGCTTGACAAAGGAGGGAAGAGTAAGAAGACCTCCCATGACTCCCTGGTCGTATCCAAAGAGTAGAAAACCCATGCCTGCGACAGTCGCAACATAGTGATGGAGTCTTTGGCCTCTGAAGCCCATGAACGAGGTTTTGACCTCGCCTGACTTGGACGGTACTAACCAGTTCATGTTGGTGGTTGTGTGTAGCAGTGATTGGAAATGTATATGTGCTTGTGGTTGCAGTTGTAGTGGTTGCAGCTTGTAGCCCATCTACCACCAGCCTTGTGACGCTCTTATATACACCATGATCTCCCCCCACGCCAAGAATGGTCGTGCGATGTTCATCCTGGGGTACAACACGTACGCCAAGCGCTGGTCCGTCAGGGTGCTGTCTGCCGCCGGAGCGGTATCTGGATTAGGAAGCCGTGTGTTAAACAAGAGTAAAGGCATGAGTAGGGGAGAAGAGAAGAGGTGCTTGAGATATGTTGATAGAGGCAGCGATGAAGCAAGCTGGTGAAAACTGACGAGGTCGCGTAATCACCAACATACTGGCCATTTTCTTGGCTTGTTCTCGTCAGCTCGAGATCTACGGTGACCTACTTCCGTGGGATTTTGACGGCTACCGAATACGACACCCGATCGGTTTTCGGCCGACTTTCCCAACCGGGCATTTTTCTCGCATCTGCATCTCCGCACAAAGAAGCGGCATGCCCGAAGCGCCCACCCGGTATATTTTCTTCAAACAAAGAATGCAAACGTTGGTGACAATATCTACCGAACCAGCTACTGTACTTGTACAAAGATCAACCAGGGCTAAACTCTACCCCACACTTCGCTGCACGGTAAAACAGCCGTGCGTGCGCAAAGCTCTATCTTTGCTGTAGTATGAAGAGCTGAGGTCAGGATCTCAGGCTGAATATCTCTCATTATTCCGCCATCGGAAACTTCCCCACCGGATTTTCTACTCATGGAAAAACTGCACGCTCTCCAGGGGGCGCGTCTTGGCATCCGGACAGCTGTCCTTGCGGTTGTCCTGTTTCGTGCACCTCCTTGTTTAGGGTCACAGTAGAGTTCGGCAAGCATGGGCAGTCTCAGAAAAATATCTGTTGCTGGGTCCAGGGTAGCACGAGCCGGTTGGTATCGAGCAACGTTGAATCTAATCGAGAGACCCCGGGTTCTGTGGGGGTAATGTGGGGTAGTCGTGTCGTGGCAGGGCGTCTTCTGTTGAGCTGGGTATACAGGGTACCTGTAGTTGTGTGAACGACTTTGGCTGTCATTCATATATGGCATCTCAAGACACCAAGTATTATCATTGATCCGGACCAGAGGGTATCGTACGGATGGTGTGATTTGAGACATGATCTTTACAACCACATTGTATTCGCACGCACCAGGGGTCTCCTCTCTACAACATTCAACACATACCTACGATACCGTCCGTGTCCGTATCCCAATTATACTGTTGAAGTTGATTTACATAAATATTAAGCTGGCTGAGTAGTGTTATTGGCACTCCTCTCAATCTCTTTATCTGTTCCAGAAACCCTGTCAGGCGCCCCGACTTCCTCAGAGGCTGTCTCAGAATGAGCAGTAACATGCTTGTCTTCTTCAAACACTCGCTCTTCAAGATAGTCATCTGCCACGGTGTGGCGAGGAAGCCGGTGGGCAATCCACACAACATCCCAAGGAGTTCTGGGATTGGAGTCGGCGAAAATCTGATCAATCTCCTCCAGAGATCGGCCAGCTGTCTCGGGATAGAGGAAGTACACCACAGGAACCATAGCTGCGTTGATACAGGCGAAAATGATGTACGTTTTCCACTTGATTGTATCGAAAGCCACCGGGGTGATCATGACCACCATGAAATTGAAGACCCAGTTACCTGACGTGGAAAGACCGTTGGCGGGTGCTCTGATTTCCAAAGAACTGATTTCAGCAGGGTAAAGCCATGTCATTCCGAGCCAACCGACTGCAAAGAAGGTGTTGAAGACGAACAAGAAAACCGCTGCCGCAATTCCAGCTCTGGGTTTATTTAAGCCCCCGTCTTCAGGAGTAGATGCAGCATAGACACATCCTGTTAGAATAGCCATGGTTGCTGCTTGTCCAATGGCTCCAAAAATCATCAACTTTCGTCGACCAAATCTTTCGATGGTGTAGAAGGCAATCCAAGAAGCGAGGAAGTACTCGGTTCCATTGCAGGCCGCAAGAATTCGAGAATCGGTAGCGTTCATACCTACTGACGTCTCGTAGATGTACGCAGCATAGTAGGTGATGAGGTTAATGCCTGTAATCTGCTGCATCACCTGGTTCCAATAAGCGAGCATAGTTCGATGGAAGTTCTTCTTTTTACCGAAAGTAAACATGAGTTTCATTTGCTAGAGAAACGGAAGCTCCGCACCCATCTGGAATTCTCCATAAAGAATCTTTTGCCTAGCTGCGGTACCTTCAACTCCCATTTGAGCAAGTTGCTCTAACATGATGGACTCCTTCACGTATGTCACTTGACTGACAACGTATGGATCATCAATATCCACATCTTCAAGGGCTGCAAAGACCCCGGCGGCTTCTTCGAATCGCAGTTTCTTCACCAACCATCGAGGAGACTCCGGTAAGGTCAAGACTGTAAACATCAGAAACAAACAGAAGACAATCTGGAAAGCCACTGGAAAGCGCCAGTCAGCATCATTCGTTCGAACCCAGTAAAAACCAAAGTCGATCCAATACGAAAGGGCAATACCTGCAGTGATGAGAGCTCCTTCCAACATCACCAGCTTTCCTCTCTTCTCCGGTTTAGCGCATTCAGATTGGAGCATAGGAACGGTGGCAGTAATAAACCCGTTTCCAATGCCAGAAATCACACGGCCAGTAATGAATTGACCTAAGGAGTATGAAGCACACTGAAGAATAGCTCCGATAGTCATGATAATCGAACCGTAGAAGATGATATATCGACGACCCAATTTGTCTCCTCCCCACATGGTAAAAAGAGCCCCTATCATACATCCAATTTCGTAGATACCCACAGCTGTTCCCTGAACAGTAGTGTTGAAAGACTTGACTTTGGGAGGCAGGTAAGATGAAGTATCCATTTTTGGGAACTGCTTAATGAAAGTAGGCAGCGTGAGTAGACCTCCCATTACTCCTTGATCATAACCGAAGAGCAGAAAGCCCATACCTGCCACTGTAGCGACGTAATGGTGCAGAGTTTGACCTCGAAGGCCAACAAAAGAAGTCTTGACTTCTCGGGATTGTTTCGGATAGAGCCAGTTTTTCATGTTGGTGATAGCCAGCGACATACAGAGAAGACTCACCCTTATATACAGCTCAAGACAACCCCGTTTGTTTCCCAGTCATTCGTTTAGATGAGACTAAGACCCATTAGTGGCAGCCTAAATGCGGCTTCTGCTTTAGGATCCGGTCTCGGATTCACCTCTATACAGCCTCACATCTCCCAGCCTTGCTTCTTCAATCTCACCTTCTCGTACACATGACGAATCACACATGAAACATCTGATACGGAATCGATTTGAGGGAGGTTTAAGCTGATGAAGAGTTGAATTACTGAACATGAGCATCTTGGTCAGGTCGGCTTCCAAATCTGATTCCCGCTTTATCCACGGCTACTTCCCTAAAAGGAGATCTCTCCAAGTCTATATCTAAGACTAATAGCTGAACAATGGCAAAACCTATTCCTGGAGCTTTGTGCTCAGTTATTCGAGACTACAAGTAGTACGATAGGAGAGACTCGGATGTCCTAAATGGTGCGGCCGCTTCATACGAGGCTAGCGCCACGAAACCGACCCCACATTTCTATCTCAATCTATATTGGAGAGAAAGTCTGTACATAGTGGCCCAGGAGTGTCATCTCTTGTAGAACCCCTTGATTCGACTTTCGCACCTCCATTGAAATTACCAAAGTGTCTTCTTTACAGAGGGCTATCGCTGTGAAAAACGATCCCCAACAAACTGCACGGGGTTCCTAATCAGGAGTTTTGGAATGCCAAGAGCGTCCCAAGAGATGCCAATGCGAATATGCAGACAATACGACGGCTTTAAAGACATCGGTAATGGCATCTGGAGTAAATGTGGCAAAGTAAAGGGGAATTTCTAGAATAGAACCAATTACATAGAATTATGTTGCTGAAATAGACATGCAGTAATTCTTAAACCCCACATATTCTTCTCCAACGGTCTAAAACACACTGTATTGAATGTTTTTTTCTATCTCTTTATTCTAGGGAAACATATTTCAGCTACTTGAGGCTTAGAAACAATGATATACCCGCACACCAGATTCGGATTCGGATTCGGTTGTTCAGAAGAGCCCATTACACTGGTGCAAGACCCACTTGCAGGACCGAGATATATGAATCCCGCTAGAACTTGTTATTTAAAAAGGAAATACAATTTAAACAGAATCATATGAAAATTAACCGCTCGAGATTTCATATGACATCTTTAACGGTTAACTTCTCCCCCACCCACCCGAAATAGGCCCGTTCTTTCAATGAGAAGATTGGAGTCACGTGATTTGACTGTGATCTCTTATAGTTTCAAAAAGAGTCTAAATTAAGCTTCGGTTGTGTAGTGTAGTGGTCATCACGTCAGATTTTGATCGAGAGATTAAGATTTCTGAGAACCCCAGTTCGAACCCGGGCACGACCTTTGTTTTTGAGAAGGCTCCTTTGTATTTACCAAAGAATGAGCTTTCTATCCCATTTTTTTTGTAACATTCGACTGATCCCGTCTTCCCTAATGCGTTGACACTACCAGGAAGCCGTCGTACGAGTTATCCTGACAGTTGTGTAAATCAGTGAGACTGTCCAGTCTGATCATCGATAATATAAGTGGACAAGTGGACAAGCGAATTCAGCTTTGAAGTCGCATTAATGTATTGAAGCCTGCCTGATATTTCCAGGTAAGTGTTATGGTCTTTGAAGGAATATGTGCAGAGCCATATATTGGACACTCGTGGTCCTATTTGTATATATAATGTTCTACAAGTTCAGAAGTGGTTCTCCATGCATTCTTGGATCTTGGATCTGGTGGATCGAGAGCAGTTCTACAAAACCTAGGTCTCCAATTGAAAGTAATCGAATGGCCCCGGGAAACAATTGTGGAACATGGTCCTGTACATTTTATACCTGCAAATATGCCCTCGCTGAATCGCGTGTGGGTTTCTGTAGTACATACGTGAGTATCCATGGAAACAGCATACATTCCTTACAAGTAGACACATTGTGGAAATACACAACTATGCGAATCGTGGAATCATAGGAACCCTGAAAATGTGACCCATGTACTCGAACTACAAGAAGCTAAGTACAAGTATAGTACAGTAGGGATCTAGTTTGTAAACACGCAGAAGAAACATCCAGATGTATCCCAGCATTGGTTAGGCACCCTCCATTAACTAGCAGATGCCCATAAAATCTTCATTGGGTGAGAACTGAGGCCCAATGTGTACTTCAAACGGGCTCGCTGAAGAAGAAGGCGGCAGACAAGTATCTACAGTTTCTCTCAGAACCGCTACTAACAGCTTTCAACATTTTGCCTAATACACCATCTCAAGCAACATCACTGGGGAAAATATGGTAAGCTACTCGTAACACCATCTGCCGAGCCAGCAGTTCCTAATAGGTAGCTCCTAACGACGAGTGTCAACAGTGTGAATATGTACACTGTACTACCGGTACAGGTACTACCTGTACTTTCAAGTAATAAAAGCACCAATATATTCGAAAGACATGTATTCACCGCAGAAGTGTCTACTTGTGCCGTTACATGTTCTTACTATATGACCTTTTGTTATTTGCTTCCCGTTCGCAACTTATTGCAAGATACTACACTGTCGCGACCTCGTTGTTGCGCGTCGTCAATCGTCAGCCCTGGGGCATTTTTGTCTATATAATTTTACTACACGACCGCCTGTCGCTGAATTACACTCAATGCTTCGTCGTCTCCTTCTCCCCCTAGTTCTCCTCCTCTCCCTCTCCGTCACCCATCAGATGCTCGAAAATGTTGCCACGCTTAGAAGATGCTCGTGACGAGTCCTTGGACAGAGGAATGCCCGGGGAAGAGCTGTTCTGTCGGCCCTGCTGCTGCAGCGAGGTCTGGGACGAGTTTCGCGACGCGTTGGAGCCGCCCCGACCCATCATAGACGAGGGAGGACCAAACGTGTTGGAAGAATCAGATCGGATCTTACCAAACTGCTTAAGATCGCCAGTGTTGAGCGAGTTTGTGTTTCGGTCCCGCTCGTTACCGCCACGGTACGACTCGGATCGACCACCCATGGGGTGTCCGCTTCGTCGGTTTCCGCCTCGGTGGGAGCGGTCTCGGTCCTGCTGCTGCTGCTGCTTCTCCTTGGCTGCGGCAGCCTCGTCCTGGATCTCGGAGATAGTCTTCGGACCCTGGTCGTTGGACTGCTTCCAGCCGCCAGCTCGCATCTCCAGAAGATCCAGAATCTTGAACTTAAGACGCGACGGCAGAGTGCCACTGTTCTTGGTATCGGTAAGTCGCTGGAAAAACATGTCCATGAACTCCTTGGAGTTGGGCGACTGATCCATACGCAGACCCACGGTAGAAGTTAGCTTGCACAGAGACTCAATGGTCTCCTCAGAGGCTCCATCCTTGGGCGAAATGAGTCGAGTGAGACAGCTTCGCATAATGTTCTCGGACAACATGTTAAGCATAAACAGCTCACCGATGAACACCATGAGACCAAGGCCTCGTCGCTTGGCAACCACGGCCTTGTCATACTCGGGAGTGGCGTTATCGGGGTCCATGGGAGAACCATCCTCATTGGTGGGCAGCTTATCTTCCCATCCCTTCTCAAACTCATCCTGGCATCTGTTGAGCAGGTACTTTCGGTACAGAGCTCCACCTCGCACGTACTCGCCGTTCTTGTCCTTGACGTCGTCATCATAAATATCAGGATCAACAGTGACCATAGTCTTCTTGCAGAACCGAGCGTACATGGACGCCCAGTGAGCCTCATCGGTGGCCTTGGCGAACGTGAGCTCAAGCACCTGACGCAGCGTTCGGCCGTCGTGCTCGTGCTTGGACTGGGATGCAATCTCCAGAATCTGGTCCGAAATCTTGTCAAACTTCTCCAGCGTCATCTTGTTAAGCATGGAGTTGACCTTCTTCTGAACCACATCGGGAGGAATTCGGGGAGTCTCTTCTTCAGCGGGCTCGCTCTCGGCAGGAGGAGGAGTACTAGTTTCCTTCTTGGCAGCCAATCGCTTGGCGGCCCACGAGTTCTCACTCTTGGGAGGGGGAGGCACGTACTCAATGATCTCCTGGTTGGCGCCCTGGGGAGGGTATCGCTCTCTGTTGCTGGGATTTCGACGGTTTCTGCTGCTGTTGTTTCGAGTGGATCGTCCTCCGCCCTCTCGGTCACCTCGGTCGCCGCCTCGGTGGCTCTGGTGATGGCCACCGTGATCGCCTCGCATGTTAGAAGAAGATCCCATTCGGGGCATACCTCGTCCACTGGGTCCTCCGGGGCCTCCTCGTCCAAAGTTGGAGAAGGAGCCCATCTGCTGGTTGGGGCCACCACCAGAGCCTCGGCTGGAGGCTCGGGGTGCCTTGGAGCCCTTGCAATCCTCAGTGATAGCCTTAGCACCCTCCAGACCACTGGGGGGCTGCTCGGTAACCAGAGGCTGGAACTGCAGCAGGAAGTCCAGGCTGTATCGGAATGTAGGGGCGGGAGACACCTCCATGAGAGACTTGGTCACGGACTCGGGGTAGGTGACCTTGGTAGTGATTTCTTCGGCGGTTAGTGGTGTGGCATTGTTCCACGAGTGAGCGAATCGCTTCTTGAGTCGCATAGTCTCGGCGATCTTCTCGACAGGATTAGGAGTGGACTCGGAGGCGTCTTCGGTGGGCTCTCCCTCGGCGGAGGGCTCCTTGGGAGGCTCGACAATCTCGACCTTCTTCTCGACCTTCTCTTCCTGAGCAGGGGCGGAAGACTCCTCCTCAAGCTTAGTCTCGGCGGGCTTCTCGGCCTCAACGGGCTTAGCCTCTTCCTTAACATCCTCCTTGGGCTTCTCAGCCTCCACGGGCTTGGCATCCTCCTTGGGGGTCTCCTTGAGCTCCTCCTTCACCTCTTCTTTCTGATCCTCCTTGGGCTCTTCCTTCTTGGGCTCTTCCTTCTTGGGCTCTTCCTTCTTGGGCTCTTCCTTCTTGGGCTCTTCCTTCTTGACCTCCTCCTCAGGCTTGGTCTCAGGCTTGGGCTCCTCTTTCTTCTCTTCCTTCACCTCCTCCTTCTTCTCAGTGCCCTTCTCAGCAGCCTCCTTTTTGGCTTTGGCAGCAAGCACCTGGGCCATGAAGTTGGCCTTGATGGAGTCGCCGGCAGGGTTGGACGAATCGGTTCGTCGGTGGGCAACCCGCGGAGAGTTAGGCTTGGGAGAAGCCAGAGTGGCGTTGGGACCCGTGGGCGTTCCGGTGTTGCTACCGGGAGTCACAATGGGTCTGTGAGTGACGGGGTCCATGATGGTCAGGGGCGAATGGGTGTGATGGGGAGAGCCGTAGGGCTGGGCGTACTGGGCGCCGGGGGACATGCCCTCCTGGGGAGGGTAGTACTGACCCTGCATCTGGGTCATGTCCACGTAGCCGTAGCCTCCGTTGTACATGGCGGCGGGAGAGTAGGCCATGTGTTGTTGGCCCTGGTTGGGCGTTCCAGGCTGGTTGTTTCGAGGCGAATAAGCCCCGTTGTTATAGGTGTAAGACATTCTGCGTTAGTACAGTCTGGGATGGCGTTGATTGTGTGTGTGTGTTGTGTCGTGTCGAGTGTCGTGATACGTGGATCATGAGTTTGGGAAGTTGACAAACCGGCTGTATCAGGATCTATAATGGTCACTGTCGCCTGTGGCAACCCGTCTGGCGCATTTGGATCCCTTACCGCTTCCAAAATTGTGGCCCAAATGTCCTCAAATGCCGTTCAAACTCGTCGTGATGGCCCCATTTCGCAACCTCAAAAACAACACACAAATACCGGCGAGAAAGGGCCGTGTAGGGTCTGGTCGCCACCTCCCGTCAGCTCCTCCACCCTCTCCGTCTCGAATAACTCACCCTTAGTTACACTCACCTTCCCCAAAGATCACTAAATAGGATCTTTCACAAGAAATGTGTATGTGGTAGGAAAAAGTTCAAATTCTGCAAAACCGAAAGTGAAAAAGGATTTTCCATAAGTCTCTCCCAATGGACGGGATGGCTTATGGGGCGGGGCTGTTGGGAGTACTGTAATTGAGAGAGGGGAGAAGAGGAAGAAGACGATATTGGCGGTGAGATGTGTGGTTGTATATATGTATTTCCGCCTTGTTTGTGTCACCAACCCCCTCCACCAACGAGTCCTATTACACCGTCTACTTCTGTACACACGACCTCATACCCTTCTTGTATCAGAACACCCATGATCTGTCCCCTGATCTATACATACACCACATGACAACCTAGGTATATTATGTGACAAGGACCCGCAAAAACTTGTCGACCGGTCACGTTATGGGACGCCATTGAGTAGGGAAAAAAGCCATCACCTGAATCGCTGACTAATGGAAATTGTCGCGCATTCTGCCGGGTCTCAGCGTACATTACAGAATGAAGCGTTTGCCAGCGTACATTCCAGCACACCTGCCGCTTTGGGCATATCCCCAAAATTGAGATTCAAATTCAAATCTTGTTACAGCTGCCCCGATTGCTGGCCAGCACACAATACACCGATACCCCCGTGTGTTTCGGGCGGATCACGTGATACGCGCGTCTCCTCGGGTCGGGATCGAGTATGATGCGGGCTGTAGGCGTACGGGAGAAAACTGGGCTGGAAAACGGCTCATTCCGTGCACCTGTTTAACACGTTCGGCTGTAAGGCTGAGTAATAAGAGTCTCTGGAAGCTACCTGGGAAGTTTAGCTGCAAGACTTGTATGTAAGTATGACACAGCTGCCATGGATGAGTGGAGGTATGAGAGCAAGAGTTGTCTTGTGGTTGGTTGGAATTACCGCGGCAGCTTGTGATCACGTGATCAATAGTATTGGTCTCGGGCGAGGTCTTGGGTGTTTCTACTTTCAGTTTGATCCACTCTATAGGTATTTTTGCATCGTCATTGGACTTCACCGTGTTACTGGAAATAGACGCAGGCGAGTATAGCAATATTGATATGGCCAAGAGTAATTTTGGTGTACCATAAGAGTGGAAACACAAGTATAGGTACTTGTACGTAGATGAGACCTGATTGAATACAGGAACATTGATGACGTACCGCTTCAGATAATTCAACCAGTTCGTGCGAGCAGCTACAATACCGGTCCAGGTTTTTCCTTCTTTATATATATATATATATATATATATTTATATTCATTTGTAGAATCTCTTGTTCTACCTTAATTAAGAGAGTCCCCAAAAATACATTTTAGTTGGGGTTTTAGTTGTAGTGGAAATTAGTAGAGCATAATTTAGCCGTTCAATAAAAACAACTGTCAAGGGAAGGGACAATGTCCATCTATCAGCCCTCGCAACGGTCGCAGTAAAACTCTGAAGATACCATTCGACTCGCGTTGATTCAAGGAATCCAACCATACCTCTATATTTCCTGTATCTCCATTCCATCATAATGTGTATGTTGTGCAACTCTCAACTAACGCCGATCGTACTTGGCTCAGGTTACATGTCTCAAACCCCTCCAGGAAAGTCTAAGCCCGCCACCCGAATTACCTACAGTACACTACTGCGTGTGTACGTACAGTTACCCTACCGACCTTTTGTTTCTGGTCTCCCACCAACACCACGTCCACCGGCGAATTTACCAGGCCATGCGACCCAGATGGCATATCCCATGTATACCTGGTTGCGAGCGGACCAAAAGGGAATATTAAGTGTTGATGAGCGTTGTGGGGACGGTGGGCATCGCTACATCTGCAAAATCACAAGCGATTGTTTCTGCTGGTACTGTGGCGACCTGAGTCGTGGTGATCGGTACACGGGTCGTCTGTTGCCAGATATAGCCACCCTGTACTGTTACCCTACCTGGTGGCTACGCTGCTTTGCCCTCTCCTCCTCCTGGCCAAATAAAAATACACTCCAACCACTGCCCGGTGCCCTCGTCTCAACGTGCGACAAGCTTTGCAGCCAGGTCCTGTTTCATGCACCATAATGTACCATTTGCGCAGATGTGCAGGCCTTTCCCCTGAGAGCCTGAGGTGTCAGATATCACGTGTAGGCGGTTGGCGGGCGCGATTTTCACCAATAAAACTGGTTGACCAGCCAAAGCAGTGGCTTCCCGGTCATTCTCCCCCGTCCCACTCCCCTCTCCCTAGCCAGCTTTTCTGTCACGTTCCACTCTGTTTTTCCATTTGGCAAAAAACCCTAACCGCCCTCCCAACATGGTGCGCACGTCTGGATAAAACCGCAACGTGTGAAGCTCCCCCAAAACCTCGACAAGAGCCCCCACCAGCAGCCCAGCCCCGTCCCCGAGCCCGCCCGTTGCGCCCACGACCTGCGCCGCGCCCCAATCCGCCTCTTTCTGCGCCCAAACGCCGGTTTCTGCGTCCAGGCGTCCAACCAAGCCCTTTTCTGGCTCCCCAAATCGTCAACAGCCAGAAGCAACAGACAACAAGATAGTGAACAAGCTGACTCGATCGATAGCAACGTCCCCTCGACGCGCCCCCGTCCAAAATACCCATCTACAGCTCCGTCAAGGCCCTTTTCGAGTATCTCCAGGATCCTCAACCGGCCGAACCGTCTGCTCCAGCAACCCCAGCAACCCCAGCTTCAAGGACTCTCTGGTCTACAAACATGTCCACAACAATCGCCTCGCCTATGTCCACGCCGACCACCCAGGACCCTGGTCCAACCAATAACCCCTTCCGACACCTGCAGACCAACTACTCGCAGCTTCCCCGACATATGATCTCCCCTTCTCTGGACAAGTTTTCCGACTCCTCCAGCTCGTACTGGGGTTCGCGACGGTCCACGGGAACTAAGGAACCCGTAGGACTTGCCCCCGAGGTGCCCCAAAACGTTGTCGATGACGAACTGCAGATCATCGGAGCCCAGGTGCTGCGAGACGCGTCTCCTGGCGATGGAGACGACGAAGACAACTCGTCTGAACACACCACAGCCTCGACCAGTGGCTCTTCCACCGGCGGCTCGCCCTCCAAAAAGCACCAGCCCAACTGGCATGACTTTTACAAAAACGGGTACCCCGATGAAGTCATTGTTATCGACTCTGATAGTGATGACGACCACGGCGACGACGTCAACAACACCCAAGTGGCTCAAGTAGCAACTACTGCCACGACGTCAAAAACTACTATCAACCGTCGAATTTCGTCCGCCGCTGACCTGCCCGTCAAGCGACGAAAGTTCTCGCAATCGTCGACATCAGGCTCCACCACCGCTACCCACAACACGTCGTCCTCCGACCAGCAACTCGACACAAACACACATACAACACTCGACCAGGACTCGGACAAAAATCTGCTGGACGATGACGAGAACGACACTCCTCTGACTCCACCACCAAAGCTTCGTCGAAAGATCCCCGAGGTGTATGTTCGGCCTGTGGCTGACGCCAAGAAACTGTTGGCGTCTCAGTACGACGATAAGGACGGCCATTACGTGACCACGTTTTCGGACGTGTTCACCGAGCGATACGTCATTCGAAAGCTGCTCGGACAAGGCACTTTTGGTAAAGTCGTGTCGGCTTACGACAAACAGACTGACTCGCTATGTGCCATCAAAATAATCCGAGCGGTGCCCAAGTACCGAGACGCGTCGAAAATCGAGCTGCGTGTTCTCACAGCCTTGGCCGACTATGACGCTATGAACAAGAACAGATGTATTCATCTGCGCGAATGCTTCGACTTCAGAAACCATGTCTGTATCGTCACAGACCTGCTGGACATTTCCGTCTTTGACTTTATGCGTGACAACCGGTTCCAGCCCTTCCCTGGCTCTCACATTCAGAAGCTTGCCAAGCAGCTCATCAAGAGTGTGGCCTTTTTACACGGTCTGGGGCTTATTCACACGGATCTCAAGCCCGAAAACATTCTACTGAAGAAGGCAGCTTTCGTGCGGGTGGCCAACAAAAACCTGGGACCGTCGTCGATCCGCAAACACAACTACTACCGCGCACACGACCCCAAAAAGACGGAGCCCAAGACTCGTAACGTGCTCAAGGACACATGTATCCATCTCATTGACTTTGGCTCAGCCATCTTTGACGATGAATACCACTCGTCGGTGGTGTCGACGCGCCACTACCGGGCCCCCGAAATCATTCTCGGCGTGGGCTGGTCTTATGCCTGTGATATGTGGTCCATAGGCTGTATTCTGGTGGAGCTTTTTACTGGAGACGCCCTGTTCCACACCCACGAGGACTTTGAGCACCTAGCGCTCATGGAGGCCATTATCGGATACCCGTTCCCCAAGGCGTTCGTCAAGGAGATGATCTCCAAAAAACCCAGCGCTCAGGTGGGCAACTTTTTCAACGCCCGATCCGGCAAGCTCGGATACCCCAACAAGGACACCACCACGAGCTCGAGGCACTACATCCGAGATACTCTGTGTCTGACAGACTTGATCCACACATCGACGCAATCCACGAAGAGCCGCAGCGAAGGAGCCAACCCTGATGGGCAGTTCTGGGACCTGTTCCTCGACTTGGTGCGCAAGATGCTTGTGTTTGACCCCCGTGAACGAATTACTGCTCGAGAGGCCCTCCAGCATGATTGGTTCAAATGTGGGATTTCCGATGAGGGTAGTGTTTAAATCACAACTCTTCTGATACTAACTGAGGACGCGTTAGCACGGGACATGTGCCCGTCCTCACTTTTTTAATTTTATTGGTTATGGGATGGTTAGATTTATATGTAATTTAGTGTATTTATTGTTTATGATGGTGTGGGGAGTGGACATGTAACAGCTTCATGGAACAGCAGCAATTGATATTGATTTGAGGGTCATCTTCAACACCGTTCGTATCCAGTTACAATAGTCCAAGCAGTGTATCTGAGATAATGGGTGAATACAGGCATTGGTATGTACTTGTATGACGGGACGTAACTGTTGAACTGTTGAAGGGCTTTACTTGCCAAGTATCATAAGAACTGTAGGTCTCTGAAGATATACAAACAGGTTGCTAGATGGCTTGGAATGATGACAAACGATCAACTTCAGCTATTGGATTGACACTACATATCAGAGTAATGGTAACATCTGATGTTCATGTGTGCTGCCATTGACGTAATTGTGGAGATACACAGTTAGAACAGCTATCATGCGCTGATCGTTCACTTGTTTTTGAAACCAGAAGCCTACAATTTGTAAATGAGAAGCTTTACCGAACGATAGTCTCTCTGTCACTCGCGCCTACTTTCCTCCTCTAGCTACAGATCCTGAAGCATCCACATCTGCCAGGCTACGCCACAGCTAAGTCATTGTAAGGATGACGAACTATCATACAGTAAGACTGATCGCTTCAAATCATTACAAGCGAACAAAGAGCTTCAGTATTTCCATACTCTCCGTATCTGTACTTGTTTATCCCCACACTTGACCCATTCAGTGTGGAGTATGTACATGGCTACATCAGGCTTCTGGTCATTTTCAATGGCCGTATCCAACACACCTGATAAACATCCAATCACTGAAAGAATACCTCCAGAAGACTCCTTGAGCCATGTTCTACAAAATAAAATCTTCAGAAACTCTTCAAACCCCCCTCCCCGACATTTTCTCTATCGCGCTCTCCACACTCCAGCTATCTACACTCTAGGTTAGAACTTCCAATCGTGGACAACGCGGTTATGACGTAACCGGCCTAACGGCGGCAGTTGGATAAAGTGAGACTTGCGCAGTTGTAGGCCAAATGAGAGGTTACCAATGGTCACGTGAGCGCTTTTTCGAACCTCGGATTGGTTCTGGTCGAGTCTGTCTCGTGACTGGACTCCTCCACACCACATTGCTCTACCTCGGCCTATCATGTCCCCCAGAAATCAGGTGCATATTCCCTCCACACTTGTACCGACCAAAGTCTATATGGAACGTTATTTTCGGCACGTTTGAAATCGCTGTAGTGTGCAGATACACGGGCTATCAGGAATGCTCTTATATAAGGGACGCGATAGATCAACTGGACACTTGAAGCAGAACACATATACAACTTGAAGCAGCCCAAAATACCCCCTTTAGGTACGCAAACATACACCTTTGTTCTCCTCGGTAAAAACAAAGTTGTCCCCGGATATCAACCGAAATATTTCAGCTGCACGAGCTTCTCAACCTCTCTACGAGTACACAGACACACACAAAACAACTGCCAAAATGTCGCTAGCATACACAGTCAACCTGTTGCGGGCCTCCGGACGTCTCAACAAGGTCCTGGCTCTTCTGTCCAACGCCGGAACCCTGGATCCCACTCTAGCCTTTGTCGGGTACGGATCGCTCTTCGTGTGCGAGCTGCTGCGACTCGAGTCCGTGCAGATGGGCGTGGTGGTGGCCAAGGTTCTGCTTGGTCAGGTGACCGGTCTTGATATCGACGAGTCGTTTGAGAAACTGGGTCTGGCCTCGGATCTTACTGGCGTGGCTGACTCGCTGGGAGTGCTGTCTGGTCTTATCTCCGACATTCGAATCTTCAACCGTCTATGGGGTCTGGTTGGTCTCATTTCCTGGGGAATTTCCGAGTACGATGCCCAGCAGAAGCCCCTGGACGTCAACGACCCCTACATCAAGTACGACAAGGCTGTTCGAGTTATCACCGCCCTGCAGGTGTGGTCCAACCTCTTCTACCAGCCTCTGGAAAACGTGGCCTACCTGGGCATGCACAAGATCCTTCCCGTGAGCGACGCGGCCCAGAACTCTCTGTGGCTCCACTCCTCCAAGCTGTGGGCTCTCCATGTGGTTCTGGAGCTCATCCGACTCGTTGTGGAGATCAGACGAAACGTCAAGAGACAATCGATCGAGAAGAAGGCTGGAAAGACTACCACCACCACCGATACCAAGGCATGCAACTGCACAAAACTGCTGCCAAACTTCCTTAAGGGTCTTGGAGACCAGTGGTGGAGAGACCTTGTCATCAACCTGGCCTACCTGCCTCTCACAGCCCACTGGTCCATCGACGGTGGTATTGTGGACAACCTGATTGTCGGGTTCCTGGGTGCATCTGCTGCTGCCGCCAACGTGGGTTGGAAGTGGAAGAAGGCTCTGACTCCCGACGTGCCTGTCGAGAAGAAGATGCAGTAGGTGTATTCATAGAGTATATAATAGATAGATTGTTGGATTTTGAGGTAAGACAGTCTTAAGGAAACAGTCTTGTGCGGTGGGGACAATCTCGTACGGTTTTCGTAGTTACCAGCGTGTATAGTGGCTGTCTATTATTTTGTATATATATCACAACATGCCGCAACTGATGCGTTACTCATCAGCAAAAGAGTTGACGACCTCCGTCAAAAGCACCCCTCTCATGGCTTCGGGAACGTCCATGGAAACCATCTGGAAAGCCTCCATCACATCCATACCTGCCTCGGCACACAGCTGTTGTATCTGAGCCAGAGCAGCCACCACCTCTGGAGCCAGTTCTCCGTCCTGAGCCTGATCAGTTCCGTCATTCTGGCCTGCTAGAGTCACATCCGAAGCAGCAAACTCGCCGGAAGAGTAAACGTTGACGTCTTCTCGAGGAGGAACAGGATCATCATCATAGAGATCAGACTCGGCAAGAGGCTGGGCGTATTTCAACAGAGTGGGCTCTCCCGAAATGACCAGGTGACGTTTCAGCGACTCATTCATGTTGTACCAGTGAGCAGGTCCCTTGCTTCGGGTATAGTCAAATGCCACGGTATCCCAGACCTTGGTGAAGAGCATCTTGGGCTTGGGATCGTCCCACAGAGTTCGGTTTCTGAGCACATAGAGCTGTGACTGGGCCTCAATGGCCGAGTCGGAGCCGGATGAGTCGAATCGGTGGTTGTGTGGGGTTCCCAGGCTCTCGGCGAGCGTGTATCCGATCCAGGGGAAGGTCTTGATCGCTGTTCTGAGAGCTTGTTCGGCCTCAGCATCCTTACCATCAAGTAGTAAGGCGAGAGCAAGAGAGTAGCCTAGTTGAGGGGCCAGTTTTTGCTCTAACATGTACTTGATGGCTGTAGTGTCTCCTCCCTGTACGGCAAAATGGTCCATCATGTATCTGCATCCGTAGGGATCGTAGTCGGCATCGTCCAGAGAGTAGATGAGCTTGGAGAACTCGAGAGTGGTGTTCCACAATCCTCGTCGCGCCAGAATGTCAATGTATAGGTAGAGGGTTCGGTAGAATTGCCTGTTTTCAACGTACTTGAACTGGAACTTGGACTGGCCAAGAACGGCCTGTGAAGAGGTTAGTAGAGCTCGGTTGAAGACGTACAGAGCTCGTTCAATGAGGTCGGCAGACTCACTGCTAGCCTGACCAGTGTTGATACCGTTTCCAGCCAACTGGTTCAGAGTGGATACGTTGTAGGGGTACTGACCAAACAGATCGGCTGAATCTTGTCCGATAGCTCGTCTTTGGACAAATTGGAACTCTCCCTCGGCATAGGAGTCAGAATGTGTGAATCTGAATGCTCCTGGGTCAGCCGAGAGTCGGGCCACGCTCATTTCCGACTTGATCTGAGGGATCCAGTAGGGTTTGATGGTGACAAGGGTCAGCTTTTTAGTGGTTCCAGGCACACTTCGTTTGTCCTTGCCTCCCCAGACTCTGCTGAGTTTTTCCAAGTTCTTTTTCTGATTGTTTGTAAGCTGATTGGTAAAGTTTTCTGCGGTTCCGTCTTCATCCCACAGTCGGATGTTGCCGTAGATTCGCTTGATTTCGTGCTCGGGGTTGAGTAGAGGTGGAGACACGCTCAAAGGCGTAGTGGGCACTGCGTTTTCTTCCTTGCCCTTTTTGTTCTTTTTCGATTTTCCAGAAGTGGGCTCTTCGGTTGACCCTGTAGAAGCGGGTGCAGTCTTAGGAGCCTTGCTCTTGGCAGGCTTCGTCTGAACTGGTTTGATAGGCTCAGTTGGTCCCTGTTTCGAAGTCTCAGAAGTGCTAGAAGACTTGGAAGAACTAGAAGGCTCGGCGGAAGGCTCTGGAACAGGCTCGGGGGTACTCTGTGACATCTCGGCTGGCTCATCTTTGACACTCAAGCTCTGTACCTGCTCTGCCAAAGAAGCTGTGTCTGCAGGAACCTCAGCTTCAGCCTGTTGCTTCTGGGCGGCCTTTTTGGCGCCCATCATACGTCTCATTGCCGAAGACATATTGTGTGTAGCGGGTGTATGTGTCGATTGGCCTGTGTCGTTGTATTGTATGGTGAACAATATCAGATCATCATGTCGAGATGTCATACATGCATGGAGCAAGTTTGGGTTTGTTAGTAAGCTGATCCAGGAAAAAGATACAAGGAATGGATGATACAGACGAGGGGTGATTATATCAGGCTAACGCTCATTGATGGTGTGCGAGCTAGTCACTGATATAATGTCCAAAATCTTGTCGATAATGTCTCCGGTTGCCAATATTATGACCACAGCTATAAATGGTCTCTTGTACTAGAACAAAACCAGACACTCTAGCACAATACCTCCTCTCACTCGTATACACTCTCTGCACATTCCCACCTCTTTAAAATCACATAAATACATTGCTATTTGGTATCGGTCATGGCATGGTCTCATATACGTCGTGTACTATGTTACTGACATAGCTGTGCTTGGCAATTAGCCCTTATTCAGTCCTGAAAACTTTCTCGAGGCTGCAGTTTGATGATAGGGAATCCCACGTCGTCCACCTCCTCCACTTCCTTCTCGCTTTCATCGTCGGATCCCTTCTCAGTCTCGCTTCGGCCTCGCTTCTTTCGCTGTGGCATTGCTGCCAATGGCTTGTTGCGGTTCAAGCTGTATCTTTCCGCACCGATTCCCTTGTATCCCTTGACCTCTCGGTCCTTGTTAGCAGACCCCAGACCGAGTTCTGGAGCAGCAGAAAACGACTTGGTGATGTATCCTCCGAGAGATGAGGCAGGACCGTACGTTCCTCGCAGTGGGTTCTGCACGTCAGCAACAGGAGTGAAGCTCTCGTGTCGAAGCGACGCATTGTGATTGCCGGTAGTTTTGTGGCCGTCGGAAACGCTCTTTCGAATACCCATACCGACGGATGCCAGTTGATCCCTCTGCTCGTCGTCCAGGTACTGTTGGAACGAGTTTGATCGCTGAGCTGCGGGGGCCTCGACGGGCTGTTTCTGTTTCTTTCGTTGTAGCGACATGGTGTGGTTATTCTAATAGAAGGACGTTGTAGCTGTCCTTTTGTTGAGTGAGTCGGTTCGGTGTTGGTTGATGACTTGTAGTTAAGGTGGTGGAGTGCACATCAAGTTTATTTACTGTACTGTACTTTGGGAGTGGTGCAGTCAAGTTGCGCATAGTTTAATGAGTCAAGCGAGAGTCTACTGTGTATATTATGTGTATGTACTGGCGGCAGCAAAAAGTGTGCCTGAAAAATAATACCCGTGGCACCGGATAGCGGTGACACGTTGGGCACAAAGGGTTGGACTGAATTGGAGATCAACGAGATGAGTTAGGATTAGGGTTCCTGTGAATCAAGGGATGGCCTAATTGAGCCGCTAGGGTTGGGGGGTGGGGGTTGTATTAGTAATCTGAGTGTGGTTTGAAATGGTTGATTTTTTTTCAATTCTGAATGATGGTGAAAGCTTGAAAAAACCTAACCTCAGGGCTGAGGTCAGCTACAGCACGATTACTAATATACGTACTATGCTTGTACTTGTACTCGTGCTCCTCCCAAATATCTACCATAACATCGCCATTGTTTAAGATGTCAACTTTTGGTCTTTACAGAATGTCCGTCGATTAATACATGATATACCTGCCGTTTCAAGCACCGTTACCCGTACTCGTACTTGATCCATAACGCAACAGATGATGAACGCGGACGACGTTCTTAGGGCCTCACTGGCTACCATTCTCTACATTCGAGGAGTGTTTGAGAGCAGCTCCTACACGGTGTCTGTGACTCCAGACGGAGCCCCATACATGAAGTTTCTGAGAGGACATGATGGAGTGTCCCTTGTTTGTGATTGGATTGTGAGTATGAAGTTGTGTTACGGTCTGTCATGACCCGTGTAGACCAGCTATTGGCCAACATGCTAACTAGAACTATGCGTGTAACGCTTTTTCAACCGGAAGCGTTACCAGGTTTCTTATGGAGTTTTCACGGACGGATTCAGAGACTCTGGAGGAGTACACACTCACAAGTGACCAATTGCAGGCTATAGGAACCCACCCAGGTTTGTATTTCTCTTCTCTGGCTAAGGAGCTAGAGTCTTACAAGGATATGACCATGGAGGTGGACTCAGATAATCTGCTGGTTGTCAGCATTTCGCTAGAGTTTGTGGCGGGGTATCCTCAGCATTTGCAGCGAGCCTTTCGGGGGATTTTCCGGACAAACACCGAGGGAGGTTAGCGGGCTGTTTGTAGCCATTCAAGCTGCGCATTGCGAAGAACGGGATGAGGTCAATAAAAGCTGGTGGGAAAGTAGTTGTTTCCAGTGCAACTACTTGTTACCTGTTACCTGTTACCACTGAGGGGTTGATCTTGTCAAGTAATTGCATACCAGGCCCACCCTCGTGGTGTATCCCACTTCGCTCATCACCCCTGTGTATGTGATTTGATCTCTTTCTCAAACTTGCTCATATGCTTATTATCTGACAGGCACCTGAACCCCATCTGTTTGGTCTAAGAGGGTACGTCATGAGTGCAGTTCTCATCAGACATGAACCTATCTAGCTTGCTCTGCTGTTGCTTTATCTCTCGCTTGTTCGTATCTTCAATTTCAACTGGTGGACTTGTTCAATACACGGTATCTCTGTATCTCTTTGCTGTTCGGCATCCGATCACGTTTCACAATCACGGTCGGTTCGGTTCGCGGAGGTTAGTGTGTGCTACATTACCCCGCGCAGCAGTGCCGAGCGGCGGATTTCAGATCATAATTTCGCGAGCTTCTTTTAATTCCGGTCGTTGTGCTGTTACAGAAGAGATGTAGAGGGCGGTATCCGGAGTAAAAATGAGATTCAGCACCGAAAATGAAGATCAGGTATCATACCGTTTTGTCGAAGTATTTGGTCACAGTAGCACATCGTTTCCACAGTATTCACCGCGTCAGTAGCTTGTAAGCTGTTTTCAAAGTGTCTATGGTCGGATTCATAGCTGAAACTTAGTTTTGCGAGAGAACATGCTGTCACCGGAAGTAGAAAAGATTGAGAAAAAATAAAAACATAAGTAGGGTCTTCCCATTTAACAGAAAAATATTATGGATTTATATTTCCTCTATTCGTCGCAAAACCCGACTTGTGTCCCTTCAACAGACTTCTAAGCCGCACAACTCAAAAATACTTTATTCAAGTTAGCTTGATTGTTTAATTTATAAGTCCGGACTGAAATTTGAGCTCTCCAGAAATTCAGGATAGCTGTCCAGGACAAAATATATATCATTGTGATTAGAATTTTCTGCAAATTATTACTACTCATGTGAAATCTTATCCTACTAAGTATGAAGGCGTCAGCATCGACTCTCTATACACTTCCGAAACCTACCGTCTCTTCCGCTTCACTTCCGACGGAATTATAGTGCACGTTTATCGCATATCTCATGCGGAATATGCAGGCACCGGCGATAAAAATATGAACACTCTACAACCCATGAGACTCATCAGTACAAGCCGAGATCAAGAATGGGGCCATTTCGGGTGGTGAGTTGAAACCTGAAACTGTTACTTTGAAGATTCTCCTGTATATATATGTCCTCTGAACGTCTCCACTAGAATACTCACAGACAACATCTCAATCATCGTCCTACACCATGGAAGGATCTGTCTTCACCCAGATTGTCAACGTTGCAAGCTTTGGAAAGCTCTTTCCGTATCCTGAATTCCGACCAGACTACGTGATCCCAGACTTTGCTGCTGAGAACGACCCCGTGAAGAGTCATAGTGACATCTCCACAAACACTGCCGTCATCTCAGGATCTACAGTCGTTGTCACATTCACTAAAGATGACCCAGAGAACCCCAAGAACTGGGGCACCGCAAAGAAGGTGTTTGTGTCCGTTCAGATCCTGCTGTTGACTTTCGCCATGTACGTCGGGTCATCCATCTATACGCCGGCCATTTCTGAAATCTCAAATGACTACGGAATCTCCACTGTAGCAGCTATCTTGCCGTTGTCGGTGTTTGTCTTTGGATACGGAGTAGGCCCCATTGTTCTCTCTCCTCTTTCTGAACACCCTGCTGTTGGACGTCTCTGGATCTACATGGTATGTCAAGGTATCTCCATTTGTCTCATGGTCCCTCTAGCTCTTTCACCTAACTTGGGGGCCATGTTGGCACTTAGATTTATCATGGGAATCACCGTTTCTCCCGCTCTTGCAACTGGTGGAGCTACCCTCGGAGACCTGTTCGAAATTGCGTACCTGCCCTTTGCTCTGGCCTTCTGGTCCATCTCTGCCATCTGCGGTCCTGTCTTTGGACCTGTTCTCGGAGGAGTCTTTGCCCAGGTGCTTAACTGGCATTGGACTATCTGGATCTGGATGATCATTGCCGCTGCCGTCTTTGTTTTGCTCTTCTTTTGCTTTCCAGAGACGTCTGAACACCACATTCTCCATAAGAGAGCTAAGCGTCTGCAAAAGCTCAACCCCAACCTCAACTACACCACTGAGGCAGACGAGGAATGGAAGGCCATGAGCAACAAGGAAGTGGCTTACCAGATCCTATTGCGACCATTGGTCATCATCTTCTCTGAGCCCATCGTCTTCTTCCTGGACGCCTACATTGGTCTGTCCTATGCCATTCTGTACACCTGGTTCGAGGCCTTCCCCATGGTCTTCTCCGAGCTGCATGGCTTCAATCTCATCCAGACTGGACTCACTTATCTGGGACTTATTGTAGGAGGACTTTTAGCCGCCTTCGTCTACGTTCCCATTGTATACAAGACATTCACCAAGCCCGTCATCGAGACAGGTGAGTTCCCTCCAGTGGCTCTGTTCATGAAGATTGCTCTCATTGGAGCCATTCTCTTCCCCATCTCTGTCTTCATGTTTGGTTGGACGGCCCATAAGAACATTCATTGGATTGTTCCCACGATTGCAGGCATGCTGAATGTACTTGGCCAGTACTTCATCTTCCAGACCGTCTTCAACTACCTGAGTGGCTCGTACCATCGCTTCATCGCTTCTGTGTTTGCAGGAAACGGCCTGTTCAGGTCGGGTATGGCGGGAGCCTTTCCCCTGTTTGCACGGGCCATGTTTGTCAAGCTGGGTCCCGGCAACTTCCCTGTGGGCTTTGGTTGCACTGTCCTCGGGTGTCTGTCGGCTCTCATGATTCTCATTCCGATTGTTCTCATCAAGTATGGAGAGAGGCTCAAGGGTGGAAGCAAGTGGGCCAATTAGAGGTTGGTGGAGTCAATCTAGAGCTACTGTACAACTCACTACCAGTAGACATGCGTATAATGATAAATCAAGTGTTAACGAGGCGACTGCATAATGTTGGCGGGGTTATCTACGATACCGTATCAGACTACAGTATATAGGACTAGGGCAAAAGTAACAGAGAGGTACTGTAGAATCACAACCAGAGTCGCAACACAAAAACAAGTCAAACCCTGAGACTCTTGGCTCGTATAATTCTCCGATGTAATTCTTTCCTCGATTTAACACCCCCTGTCTCACAAAAGCGAAACCAGCCAACCAACGGAACACCGTCACATTTGCTGTAGACTTCCGAATGCAACAGCTATTGAACCCCCCACTCGATAGCTCTCTAATGAACCATTAATAAATCCTTAATAACGATCTTCGACTCGCCAAGAAGTTATAATTCTGGTCCACGAAAACTAGCCATTGCTATAGCTGGCTGCTAAGACCAACTCAAAAGTTGTTGCCGGATTTATGTTCCGTCGGTGAGACAGAGACATGGACGAGGCTGTAACAGCAGTAGCAATCACATGATCAAAAGCAGTTGTTCGTACTGTAGTTGTAACTCAGGGGTGCCCTCAGATACACGCTATCGACCGCCCACCATTCAAAAGCGCACTAAAAGAAGCTATCTTGACGGGCAGAAAAAAGCCGGATTGGAGATCCACCCAACTTTATGTCGTCTGGGAGGACCACAACACACACCCACGGACGGAGTGATACAGCTGTCAGGTATAGGAGGAAGATGGGCTCATTTATCGTTGCAAGCATAAATGGCGGTTAAATGTGCAGGAGCAAGTGCTCACAGGAACGTCTATAGGGTGTTCCAGATGCCACCATAAGTACGAGGAGGAGAAAGACTACCAGTAGCAGCTACTGCTGTTGTACATGAATTCCGAGTACAGTACCAGCAGACTGGTCCACTTGGGTCTAAGTTTTTCTGAGACAATGGGCCGGTGGGAGAAAAGTACAGTGAGACAAGAGTAGGGCCTCCGACAATTAAGCGAGTTGTTTCAGGTGCAAAAGATAAGATGGTGATTGTTGGGGAGAGACCCAAGGGGGATAAACAGGAACCAACATGTGGAAGGCCACTAACAAGACATCCAATAGGTATTGTTCCTGAAAAATAGCCCTTCAACACAACAAGTCATTGTCTTCCTACGCTATATCGCTCTCTCATACAAACAGCCTCGCTCCAATATCCACCTCAGACCACGGCCGCCCAAGCCAAGACTAAATGCAATTACCCGCGCCCGAAGAAGAGCGTGGAGGTGGATGGCATTGGTCTATTGTGAGACATCGGAGTAGCACAAGCCAGAACAGGGACAATGTAACACTGGGGGAAACACAGCGACCCCTCTACCCCTCCTACATGAGATCGGCATCAATTAATTAATTTCCCCTAAGCCATCTTTCACCTGTCCCTACATGATATATTTGCTTTTCTCTTTTCTTTCTGTTCCGGTTTGTCCATGGCATTAGGTTTAGGTACATGCATGTGTACGGTGTGCACGGTGGAGATGAGAATTTGAGAACGCCATAAAACGCCCGGAAAGAGCCTGGAACGCCCTGAAAAGTACCAAGAGACTTACATACATGGTCAAGATCTGATTTCCAAATTTTCAGCCCTCAAAATTGCCCGCAAACCTCCTTCAGCCCCTTATCCGCTGCCCACCCTATATACCTCCACCCAACTCTATCGAGGTGGAGGATCTACAAGCCCCCATAGATATATACCCTGCGACCCCTGTTGTGATCCATGGCATGCGACTGCTAGACAATGACACTTTCTGGGGCCAGATAGTGTACCTGTTGTCCCGTCGACGGCTTCTCAGGTACCCCGAGGAGGAGCCCGGCTTCGTGCCGCCCACCTTTGGGGATTTCGGGGTGGAGGCCGTTGAAGACCGCGACTTGGAGCAGCTGGAGAACGCCAAGCGGCAGTGTGTGGATTCCGACGACTATCTGCCTTCCTCAGACACCTTTGAGTCCGACAAGGGAATGATCTATGTGAGTTGGTACGGACCTAATGATGCTGCCAATCCCAAGAACTGGAGTCTTCTCAAAAAGATTATCACGGGTCTGCAAATGGGACTGCTGGTCGGTTGCATTTACATGGGCTCGTCCATTTACATGCCTGCCATCTTGCAGTTGGAGGCTGAGTTCCATATTCCCGAGGTGGTGGCTATTTTGCCACTGGCAGTATTCGTGTTTGGATACGGAGTAGGACAGACATTGTTTTCTCCGCTCAGTGAACACCCGCGACTGGGACGAATGTGGATCTACAATCTCACCCTGCTCGTATTTTGGGTCCTACAGGCCCCTACAGCTAAAGCCAAGAACATTGCCTCTCTCACAGTTCTGCGGTTCATCTGTGGAGTTCTAGCGGCTCCCTCGTTATCGATGGGAGCTGCCACAATGGGAGACATGTTTGAGATGCGCTACATGACGTATGCTATTGCTTCATGGGCCTTCTTCTGTTGTACTGGCCCTGCCCTGGGACCTCTATTAGGAGGAGTTTTCTACTTTATCAAAGACTGGCGATGGACCTTCTGGATACTGGGAATGGTCTCATGTGGAGGCTTCATCATCCTCTCTCTTACGTTACCAGAAACTTATGCCCCCAACATTTTGCATAGAAGAGCAGCACGTCTCAGAAAACTCACAGGTAACCCCAACTACACCACCATCTACGACGAAGAGTATGCTCAGCTTTCAGTGAGTCAGCTGGCCAGAGAGTTCATGCTACGACCCTTTGAGATTGCATTCACCGAACCCATTGTTTTGGCTCTGGATGTTTACATTGCCATGCTCTATGCTACTCTCTACGTCTGGTTCGAGGCCTTTCCCTTGGTTTTTCACCAGATCCACCACTTCAACGCCATTCAGTCGGGTCTGGCATATATGGGACTCATGGTTGGAGGTCTTCTTGGGCTGGTAGCATACTGTTTTACCACTTATTGGGCCTTTGAGAAACGTGACGCAGATATAGAAACGTTTATGAAGCTGTGTCTGATAGGAGCGGTCTGTTATCCAGTATCTGTCTTCATCTTTGGATGGACTTCGCATCCAGACATTCACTGGATCGCTCCTATCATCGCCTCGGGTCTCAACATGTTTGGCGCCTTTTTTATCTTCCAGACGAGCTTCAACTACCTTGGAGGCTCCTTCCCTCGCTTCATGGCATCTGTGTTTGCAGGAAACGGTTTGTTTCGAGCATCGTTTGCCGGAGCTTTCCCTCTCTTCTCAAAGGCATTGTTTGTCAATCTCCAGACCGATCCCAAGTGGCCGGTTGCCTGGGGATGCACTCTTCTAGGCTGTATTGGAGTGTTGATGATCATCATTCCTGTGCTGCTCATTATTTATGGAGGACGTCTCAAGGGAAGAAGCAAGTATACTGGACAGTGAGCGCCCAACCACAATACTAACAATCACACAAGCACACACGCGGTGCTCTACAGTCATGTACATACATTTTATTTATAATAGATGTTCTGAAACGATCGGATGATGGTGCAGTACATACTGATTCATGTACATACATTTTATTTATAATAGATGTTCTGAAACGATCGGGTGATGGTGCAGTACATACTCTTCTTGTAGGACAGCAAGGCGACGTCTGGAGGAGTATGAATGTCAGAAGGAGTGGGTCAGAATACTAGACTGGGCTCCAAAAATAGAATATTGGATACAGACATGATACAAGTAATATGTAACCTGATATAAATAGAACCGATCTACAAGTTCTCGTATCGTACTGATATTTGTATTGCGTTGCGGAAGCAAATTCATTTCATCGTACATCTCCGCGGTTGCGTTCTTGGCAACATTTGTGGCTAAAAATAGTAACCATTGGAAGAGGCGCTACTCGAAGATAGTGCGATGGAGCAAATCAGGTCCAAGCCCCTCGATCATGGCCATTGACCCTGTTAGGTGTCACTCTTTTCGTTTGCTTCTATCTCTTCTGGCCAAGCCCATAGCCCGATCACCAGACCTCACCCCACGTTTCGGCTATTTTGTTGGACATTGAATGTTCCATGCAGCCAAGTGGTTGTTGAAACCGGGTTTGGAACACATACAACGGTTACGGCAGAAGAGGGGGTACGGCGAAAGGGCTAATATTGAATCCAAAGGGACAATGAGAGAGACATATTAGATGTGATCTGGGAGCGAGAGAATTTACAGGTTGTGTGTACGGCACCAATGTATGTAGTACACTGTACATACGAGAGTACTCTTTTTGGTTGTGTGCTACAAGAACAGTATGTGCTGACTCGAACTCGCACAGTACTGCCAGAATATAATTGCCAACTCTTGGAAGCTTCATTTCCGCTTCTGTCTGATTCGTCATATGTTGCGTTTTATAACAGTGTCTCATTCTCCCCGTGTTCGTCTCAGCCTTCCACACAGATTTTAGACCTGCGGAAACGCATCAACTCCCAATTCTGTGTGTATAATTTCCGGTGGTGTAGACTGATGGGGGAGGGTCTGGGAAGGACCGGGTGAAGGCCCAAAAATCGCGGTTTTGGGCGCAGCGGTAGATGGTCAAAAACGCAGACGCCGCCAATACTCCGGTAACGTCGGCCAGCCGCCAATTACAAGTATCGCCCAGAGCTGGTGACATCACTAATCATTCAGGAGATAATATGACAGGAAGTCAAAAAGTTCCAGACAATGAAAAATCTAATCTGCTTGGCATGTGACACGCTAGGATATGCGTCGGTCGAAGAAAGAAACAAGAACCAGAGAATGGAACGAAAGAACGACGGGGACAAGAAAGAGACCAAGAGACGGTGGGTGGATGTGAGATATCGAAAGGTCGACTTGCCAAGTATCGCACAATATACACACATTGATCGCTGTTGTATCGCCGCTATTGTCCACACTCCCTAACACCATCAAACTCAAATGACGGTGTAAGACTCTCCCCTCAGCCGCATGGCCAATTTGGAAGCAAGAGTCTTGTCCACCAGAGTCGTGAATGTACGGCCATGTACGTACGTACGAACTAGGGTGGTGGGACGCATGCCAACACGTAATTCACGGGCCACAGGAATCTTCTGGGGTATAATAAGCGACAGGCGAATGCTAAGCTCCTGTATTCAGGGGTGGGACCTGGGAGATTCTGGAGTATGGGGCTCATGTACAACGTAGGTACTGTACGGTACGAGTGGCTTTGAGATGAATACATGATGTCATTGTCAGGGAGAGGGAGAGAGAAGTTGCGTCTAGAGAGTTACCGTGGTTGCAATGCAGTATCGTACAACGATGAACAGTAAGGACTACGGTACAGTGCGTACGTAGGCTCCTAAAGACAGACAGAACTTATAGGGATCTTTTTATTGTACTATCTTCTGTCTGACACCTTTTAGACAAGCACTTTATTATGAGCTAAAGATGGTCCATTTCGGCATATTAAGCTAATCTCAGAGACTGTATGTATACACTTAGAAGGACCAGGGATGGGCCACACAAGAGGCCATAGAACATCAAAGTGAAGTCTGTATGGTATCGGAAATCCGCTTCCGAAATGATATCATCACACAGCCACAATTGAGCCACCCCTTCTCCACACACATGGCCAATTACTGCGATACTCAGCCACCACTCAGCCACCATCACTCAGCCCATACCATCATACGTCACGTTATCCAACCCAATCTTCCCTCCCTTTGTTAGCCGTATCCCGCATGCATTACCACGACACCTGCATCTTGTCTGTGGGATAGTCTAAAACCGCCTAAACACCTTGTTTCTGTGTCCACGCTCGCGCTTTATATATAGAGAAGGTGAGCCCTCCGAAAACGAGACATCTAATCACATAACGTACACAAACCATGCAACTCACCTCCGAAACCATTCCCCGCTACACTGTGCTCACCCGATACGTCCAGACCGGCCTCTCATTACTGTGCTGGTGTCTGGCCATCTCCGCCGTGGCCCTTATTGACGGAGGCTACTGGAGCACCGACGCCTACGGAATTGCCGTGGGCATCCTCACCTTCATCTGGCTCGCCTACGTCATGTTTGTGCCCGCAAGATACCCCAAGTACGCCAACGGCTTGGCTGCCGTGGTGGGCGAGGTGCTCATTAACATTTTCTGGTTTACTTCCTTTATTGCTTCCGCCGCCCAGCGAGGCCCCGAGTCGTGCAACTTCAGAGGCTGGGGAAACCGATACCTCAAGGACTGGGGATCCTCCTGTAAGGTCGCCAAGGCCTACATTGCCTTCGCAGCCATCACCTGGCTCTTTTTCATCTTCTCGACCTTCTTCGTCATCAAGACCTCCATTCCTCACTTTAAGATTGGAACCAACGCCGTGATCAATGCACCTGTCCTGGTCGGTGGAACTCTGGGCGCTGCTGTCGCCAGCGACCCCGAGGACCCTGAGGCTGCTGAGCGTGACCTCGAGGGAGGCCTCCAGCCTGAGGAGACTGTCCATGTGTCCGACGAAGCCGAGAAGGAGATCACCGTCGACCCCCAGGTCTCTCAGGTCGACCCCCACGTCTCTCAGGTGACCACCCACACCCAGGACCAGGAGACCGCCCAGGATCTCGGCACCGTCAAGATGCCCGATGAGACCTACCAGCCCTACACCTCCACTCTGGATACCCACAACAAGTAGAGATAGGCGTGGGCTTTGCAATTTGCTAACTGTAGTAGGACAACATCATCATCAACAAGATAAACATGCAATGTAATATTAATTTAATGGAGTATAAATGCAAGAAGCTATCGGTGTGCACCTACTGGTGCTTTATAGATTCTGTAGGTAGTGAGAAAAAAAATTTGTCAGAACTTCATTCTTATATATACATATCACATGTTGTTATAATATAGCGGGGTTGTGTTTTGTGTAGCCATGACGCTGTCAGTTGATTAGTGAGCAGCATGGGGAGCGTTAGGAAGCTCGAGAACAGACTCTCGGATGATCTCAAGACCCTTCTTCATGTCCTCATCAGTGATGACCAGAGGGGGAGCCAATCGGATGATGTTCTCATGAGTGGGCTTGGCCAGCAGACCCTTGTTGGACATGAGCACACAGAGGTCCCAGGCAGATCGGCCGTTGGCCTTGGACGAGTCGATGACAATGGCGTTCAACAGACCCTTACCTCGGACAGTAGTGACAATACCGTTGGACTCCTTGATGAGGGGCTCGAGGGCAGCTCGGAACTCGTTTCCAAGTCGGTCTGCTCGCTCGACGAGCTGCTCGTCCTTTACAACGTCCAGGGCAGCCATGGCCACAGCACATGCCAGAGGGTTACCTCCGTAGGTGGATCCGTGGGTACCGGGGGTGATCACGTCCATGACAGCGTTGTCGGCCAGAACAGCAGAGACGGGAGTGACACCACCGGAGATGGCCTTTCCAAGCAGAACCATGTCGGGTCGGATCTCGGAGTGCTCGAAACAGAGCAGCTTTCCGGTTCGGGCGATACCGGTTTGGATCTCGTCACAGATAAGCAGCACGTTATGCTTGTCACACAGCTTTCGGACCTGCTGCAGGTACTCCTTATCGGGGACAATGATTCCGGCCTCTCCCTGGATAGGCTCGACGAGGAAGGCGGCGATCTTGGATCCGGCGTTGTTGAAGGCCTCCTCCACATCGCCAATGTTGTTGTATCGCAGAGGCTTGGCGGTCTTGGGGTCAATCTTACCGTTGGAGTCGGGGATGAAGGGACCGACACCCTCAAGGTAAGGGCCGTAGTTGTCGGTGGCCTCGTTATCGGTAGACATGGAGACAATGGCGAGGGTTCGTCCGTGGAAGTTCTCAGTGGCAGCGAGCACCAGAGCCTCTCCAGCTGGGATGCCCTTCTTGAGGTAGCCCCACTTTCGGGCAATCTTGATTCCGGTCTCGACGGCCTCGGCTCCGGTGTTCATGGGGAGTACCTTGTCGAAACCAAAGTAGTTGGTGATGTACTCAGCGAACTCTCCAAAGATCTCAGCGTGGAAGGCTCGAGAAGACAGGGTCAGCTTCTGGGCCTGGTCACACAGAGCCTTGACGATCTTGGGATGGCAATGGCCCTGGTTGACGGCAGAGTAGGCAGACAGGAAGTCCAGGTACTCCTTTCCTTCCGGATCCCACACCTTGGCTCCTAGGGCCTTGGTGAACACCACGGGCAGAGGGTGGTAGTTGTGTGCGGAATGCTTGTTTTCTCGTTCAATGGCGGCGGTAGACATGTTGCGTGTTGTGTGGTGATGCGAAATGAAGTTCTAGGTTGTGTTTAGGTGGTCACAGTCAGGGTGTTATATACCTCGAGATGACCGCTAGGTATTGCACTTAGGGTCACGATTTACGTGCTGATGTACGGATTGAGTTTGTGTAGCACCTTTAATGCGCTCCGAAACAGGTATGTGGATAAGGGCTGTTTACCCTGTTGGGGTCCCCAACCCTAAACCTAAACCATCTCGAGAGCAGCAACATGCACCTCTTCCCCTAAGTACAGGAGATAGAGAGCCCGTTGCAGGTGGGGAGTGTGGCATGGTGCCGTTTAGTGGGAAAATTTTCCGGGCCGAATGGGCGGCGAGGGGGTATCGGTCACGTGAAGAATCACGGTCTGTGACCCACAAATAAGTTGGCGAATCAAGTTTCACCGAAACTTTGGACTTTCGTGTGTGTTCATTAATGAGCAACCTCCCAGCTTCATACCATAGCTACCGTCTCACGTGTTTATTGCAGACCACTCGTACTTTACGTCATAGTGGCCATTTGAGTTGGATGGGTTGGAGCCGTGTTTTGCGGTGGAGAAGGTACATAAAAGTACATTACTGTCGGATTAAAAGCGGTGGAGGACACGAATTGAGCGATTTAGAAGAAAACGCACGTTTCCGATTTCAGTTTGAGCCGCTAGAAGGGTTTCTGAGGTGGATGGTAGGTTTTCATAACTGCACAATGGTTAAGTTTGGCCTGATTCTACAGAGAAATATTAGCCGCCAAAATTGAAATCGGTGATGGGAAGGTGTTCGAACGCAGGGGTGATGTCATTGTCAATACTGCACGAACCTGTACTTGGCAGGGATTACGAGGCGGAACAAGTAATTGTTGGTATATACAGGTACGCACACAAGTTCTTAGTTGTGCCAATGTACTGTAGTTTCAGTAGTAAGTACGATGTGGGTCTCCAACTGCAGAGTTAAGTGGTAATGGTATTCTAGTAGACACAATTCGGGCGTTCCTGCTCTTGAATCATGGTTTATATACTGGTTGATATAAGTGCGGCAAAGCCCCTAGTAATTACCCATACCCAGCTGGACAATCAGGTAGACGTTGAGAATGGCAATGAAGAGCCAAAGAGCCCAGCACACAATGGCCAACACCCAGTGGTTGGAGTAGTCGAGCCATTGGGCTAGAACTGTGGTCTCGGAAGCGTCGTCGGCTGTCACACTGGGATCTCTGGCGACCTTCATGAGCTTTTTGGAGTTTGTAAAGTAGATGAGAGGGAAGGTGAGGAATGGGAGCAGCAGGGTCAGAGCCACCTGGGAGTAGTTGAGGGCTGAATTGAGACCCTCCTTGCCGACAGCAGCAGCTACAACCACACAGGGAACGACCGCGATGGATCTAGTGATTATTCGTCTTAGCCAAGGTCGAATTGTCCATCTCAGAAAGCCCTCAGACACCATTTGGCCAGCAATGGTGCACACGATGCCTGCTGACTGACCAGACAAAAGGAGAGCCAACATGAAAATGGTGCCTGCGCCCTTGGAAATGTACTGTCTGAGAAGTGAGTGGATTCCGTACAGATCGGCTGTGGAAGCATCACTGTTTCCGTACAGAGTGGCTCCACTCACAATGAGGATAGCCGAGTTGACAAACAGAGCCAGGGTGAACAGAGTGGTTACCAGCTCGATGATGGAGTACTTTAGACAGTACTTAATGGCCCCGATTGTTGGCTTATAGGCAAAGTACTCTTCTTCGGAGTCCTTTGAGCTGTCTGGAGCAGGGGCAGTTCCGTTAGCCACGTCCCATTCTCGAAGGCGAGGCTGGACGAGTCCTGAGCCAAGGAACAGAGAATGAGGCATGACTGTAGCTCCCAAAATACCTGCTGAGTCAACAATACCCGTTCCTTGAATCAGTGCTCGACTGGGAGCAAACCCGCGGAAGATCTTTCGGACTGACTGGTGGGGGATTCGACAGAGAAGGATAATAAAGCAGATGGAGACACCCAGAACGAGAGCAGCAACAGCATACTCAAAGAACCGGACCACTCGCATTCCTCCACCAGGTCTGTAGGCAAACAACACGATCAGAACATCAACAATGGTCATACAGACCCCTGCGATCAGGGGAATGTGAAGCAGGATATCTAGAGCAATGGCAGTACCAATGACCTCAGCGATATCAGTAGCAACAATGGCAATCTCTGCAAAAATGTAAAGAGTTATTGACATCCATTTGGGTAGGTATTCTCGGCAACATCTTGCCAGGTCCATACCGGTGACGGATCCCAGCTTGATGGCCAGAGACTGGAGCACAAGAGCAATGATAGAAGACAGCAAGATGACAAAGAGTAGGGCGAATTGATGGTTGGCACCACCAGCAACGGCCGTGGAATAGTTTCCAGGATCCATGTACGCCACAGAAACCATGAGACCTGGACCCAGGAAACGCACGTATTTCAGAAACGCCATCTGGATGGTCTGAAGCACAGTAGGAGCAAGGGGGGGAGGGGGAGGAGCGGAAGGACACGCGTGATTAATCACTTGGTCCTTGGGCCCCTCAGATCCTCCACTGCCGTTCTCATTGACACTGCGTTCCTCAATCGCGTCCAAGGGTATCCCTTTCCCTCCGTCTTCGTCATCGCAACCTGTCGCAGGTTTGGGCACGTTACCAGAGCTGAAAAACACGTTAGAAATGAGATTGGAGTCGAATCGTCGGGGGTTCTGGTTGTACCCGGGCCGAGCCCAGGTCTTGTCGGTGTCTTTGGTCGGACAATTCATCTTTAGTAACTATAGCTACTAGAGGTTGTAGTGTAGATCGCCCTGCATTATCGTCTGGCCGAATGACGAGAGTTTTGGTTAGTGTGTGTGCGGCTGAAGCCGGGAACGGGAAGTTCCGGGTGCGCACATTCGTCAGAGCGACTATGTCATGATTCTTTAGATAGAATGGTCAATTTGAAGCATTTTACTAATTGAAAATACCATCAAAACTGCTGCTCATATCTTCCTTCTATCTTTAACGGCTCCATTATATTAAACACTCTTTTTTCTTGGCATTAGTGTAGGCTCACTTAGAGTTCCGATACCCCCCAAGGTGGCCCCTTGGAGATGCGGCCAATAGCATTACAGTGCGGCGAAGGAAGATTGACGGTCTGGAAGAAGTGCGCGATATCTCAGATCCAGAACAACATGGAGGATATACATTTTTTCTGTCAACGCAGTGTTTTTTTCGATACGTGTACCAAAATGGAGCTACAATTACGGAGATTCGAGTGGTAGCATCCAAAGCATTACTTTGTAGATATTACATTGTCAACGAGTCGTGCATAAAAGGTATACTAATTTGAATGGCTGGAATGTGGTGTTTTTTTTCTTCTACAGTACTGTAGCTACAGTATTTTAGTTTCCGTGTGATATCTCCATAGTACAATGAATCCCAGGACTATGTACCTCAGGACCCCATTCTCCTCTCATTTCGTCCGTGGTCGATCTTCACGCTAGAAGTCCCCCCTTCATGGTCCCACTGAATATGCACTTCCCCACAGCGGCTAATGGGAGTGGAGAAGAACGCCAGCTTACATAAGCCCCGATGTCTCCAAGAATATGTTTCGAAATGTTCAAATTGTTCAGTGGCTCCCCAACGGTCATTGGCATGACGTCGACATACATGGAGACGACCTCTGTTGGGCTCTGTCTCTTGGCGCAAGTCGGCGGAGTATGTAATTGTACGGTTACTCCTGGTGAAGATTGCACCGTAAGAGGGATTTATTATTGCAGGATGGCATTCGGAGTCTTCCGATCATGGAAAAGAGTGTTCTTGTGTCGCTTTTTACTCGTACTGGGATCGGTAATGGGATCACTTTTCTGGACCGGAACAAGTCTCCGAAGTTGAAAATAAATAAAATGCACCGTTCCCAGTACAGTAGTGATTGAGTTCTCCACAGAGTTAAAAAGGGGAGCCGAGAGGAGAATTAGGGGGCGAGTAAAAACGGGCTATTGTGGTTGGATTTTCAAGGTTGAAAAAAAGAAAATATATATTAGATGGTAATTATAACATGTTTTACCCCTTCAAACATAATAACTCATCATATACTGGGTTTGAGACTCCTTAACAACTGACCGTTACAGATAAACTCTAATCAGGAGGGTAAAAAAATTTGTTCCTGTTTCTCAGCTTCCGTTTTGAAGTCGGTACACTCAACTCTCCGCTTTGCAGTATTTTCCGTGCGCCAAAATAGGAAAAATAGAATGGAAACAAAATGAATGAAAAAAATGAAAAAAATGAAAAAAAACTGAGAGAGCCGCGGCCAACACACCGTGCAGAAAACTTGGCATTTAAGCGGGTGAAAAAGCTGCACCAATGCTGAGAGCGCTGCTGAAGTTCGTAGAGCCACGAGGAGACGGGTCAGCACTATCGTGTCGCTATAGGATCGTCACCACTTTACTGTTCTACTGTCTACCTTTTTGCTTTCCGCTGTTGGCACTTCCTACAACCTGACACACTCTTTTTGGTGGATATGTCGTACAGGATGTCTCCTTTTTAGCACGTCGCTGTTAGGGGTCAACTGCTCCGCCGAACGTAACCTTGTTTGAGTGGGTGAGAGAAATAAATATCATTTTATCTCGAGATATTGGTAATTAACCGGTGGTAAAAAGTACACAGAAATACTCCTCTTAAACAGGGCTGTATTTTCATACCACCTTCGTCTCATTTCACCACCCAAATCTTCCAGTAATGCCGTCCCCCTCAGAATCCTATGTCTCGTCATGCCAAGGAGTGCTTGTTCCATTTGTTTGCACCTGTCAAAACAGACGTCCAAATCGGGTGGAAAATGCACCAGCCGATAATACCGCAACTGTCAAGATGGAGCTGAGCGACCCAAGTGTTTGCGATCGTCCTCTATCTACAGTGTTGCCCCAAAGCCCGTACGATCAGCGTACCCCACAATAGGCATTGACATTGGGTTAACGGATGTACGGCTGAGAACTTTGATAGGGGCCTAGATGAGACTATAACTACTCTTAAGTGAAACTCGCTCTTCACCCAACCACCATACAATAGACACTCATGACCGGCCCTCGCACCACTCATAATTTACATATTAATCCGCTGTCTGGTCAATATGTCTGTTTACACCACTACATGGCGCTTTGTTGGGGCTTGGCTTGTGTCGGTGACAGCCAAATATGTCAGTCTACACAAGTACATATGCTGGCTTCTTTGTATGAGCGCATGTCGATGTGCTTGTCTAGGCCACATTCGACCTTCCATAACCTGAACCTTGCACTTTCCGCCGCGCTGTCCAATCAGCAGTGTGGGCACCTGTCACTCCATAAACAACAGCGTATATATAGTCTTGGGGTCGCTTTTCGGGCGCCTCCAAAAAAAACTGCTCCCTTTTTTTCCCCCTCCAACACTTGTACCATACCCAAAATGAACAAGTTCGCCACTCTCGCCGCTCTCGTCGTTGTTTTCTTCGCCCTGTTCACCCAGGCCGCTGTCATTGAGAAGCGACTGCTGGGCCACAAGATCGACCCCAAGTACCCCCTCAAGTTCGACATTTTCTCCAACTCCAACCACTGCAACGGTGCCCGAATCAAGTCCATCACCATCAAGACCGGTGCCGCCGAGAAGTGCTACAAGACCGAGCGATTCAACTCCGTCTACGTTGCCCCCTCCAACGACTGTGAGATCCGAGTCTTCAAGGACCACAAGTGCCGAGGCGACCCCGACTACATTCTCGAGACCCAGGGAGGCAACGCCACCTGTTTCTCCGACACCAAGAACGCCCGATCCGTCATGGCTGTCTGCCAGGAGTAAGTCCACAACTCAAGCTCTCAAATTTCATGCCTACTTGTCGATAGATGATGGCATCTAGGCCTTTTAATATTAATGTCCATGGTAGCTTGGGGGACAAGTAGCGATAGACACTGTAGCAAACGATACCTCAAGTACAATCATTTCTGTAGCCTGTACATACTGTGTACAAGTCGAGTACATGTGAATTGTCTTAATTAGTTAGAATGTGTAAAAAAAAAAAAAGCACAAAGTATGGTACTTCGGAGACTGTTTCAGATATGATGGCCATTTCTGTCTAACTGGAGGTCACTGTAAGGTAAAAGTACAGCACATACAGTACATACAGTATTGTACAAGTACAATGCATTAATGACCTTGTTGCACTTTTTTTTTCTCATACAATTCAACTCATTATAGCAATATCAAGGATAATTCCAAATAATCGACTGTAACTACTCGGATGAGTTCACACGGTGGTTCATATAATGCACACTTGCCATCGTTGGCTCATCTGTTGGAAGGGTCGAGCCTCTTCCTTCAACACCTCTCCAACTATCACTTGTTGAACGAAAACCTGGACGTGAGTGACACCACTAGTTTCCATTATGAGGGACGATTCACTCAGCTGAATTTTTTCAATCGGATGGAGTGTTCAGTCGAACCCTCCACTAGGGTGCGGTGACTCTCCTGATGAGTCTCTCTGTTAGAGAGAAGAGTCTGGTTATTGGAAAGACTTCCAGTAGGTGATATGCAAGTCGTTAATGCATTTGTTATGGTATATCTAAAAAGTTTTGTTATTTTTTCAACATCACTCAAATAAATTTCATGAGTCTTAACAAAAATGTGCTTTCCACTCTGAAGACCTGGACCCGACCCAAGACGCTTTGCAGGAGCCCCCTTGTATATAAAGCGGGCTGGAATTTGCACGTGTTTGGAGGGGGCTCTTAACATGTCAGATTTACAACTCCAGTTGGTGAGATCGTTTTGACAACGAAGTAGTGCGCTCATCAGTGGTCTCTTCAAATGCTGACTGGATCATGCTTCTCCTCATTGGTGATGATGCATAAATTAGAGTCGACGCTCATAGGGAATTAGCGAAGATATCGAGAAAATCGACATTCAAAAGTAACCGAAATGTCCCCATGATCTCGTCAGGTAATCCCCTTTCTATTTGTGAACAATTACTCGACCAACTACCATTCCTATCCTGGCTGTCCTCTACATCAGAATTAACTCAGGAACTGAACTCTACCATTACAACTACACTCAGTCGTCATCATGAAAAGAAGCCGAGATGAAGACCTCGAAGATACCTGCAGAGATTTTGCACCAACTCCAAATACCTATCCAACCACTTATACCTGCTCGCTGCACCCCGATCCAATCTCTTTTGCGTCATTGGAGGCCTTCGAAAGTCATTACTCAACCAGCCATACTTGGACATGCACCACTTGTCAGGCCAGGTTTCCGAGCGAAAAATTTCTGAATCTGCATCTGGACGAAGAACACGACCCGTTCGTAGCGATATCACGTGACCGCGGCGACAAATATCTTGCATGTTTTGAGGAGGGCTGTGATAAACGGTTTGCAGAGTACAGGAAGAGGAGGATGCATCTGGTTGACAAGCATGGGTATCCGAAGAACTTCAGGTTTGGACTGGTGACAAAAGGACTGAAGGAGGGTGAGGTTTCGCTTTTGAAGCAGTGATGAGTCGAGGATGAGCAACTCAGGGCTAGACGGGTGGTTGTGAGTTTTTGGTTTCCAAACTCACAATGGGCACGTCTGAGGGGGATATCGCAAGCAGTGCTGTAGAGACGACGAGATCGACACAGCGCCAATAACTTTACATGTATACACATTCAACTGCCGATTCTGGCCACATACACTAACCATTCATCAAGGGTTATACAAATACATTGCATTATGTTTACATCTATGCTATATGAACCGCACTGGTTCATGTTAGGGATCGGTCTAATAGCAACTATGGCTTAACGACCTTCTTTTTCTTCTTCTTGAGAGGTTTTCGACCCAAACCAGCCAAAGTCTTCTCAGAGTAGGTAGTATCGCATGTAGGACATCTTCTGTTGCTGGGAATCTGGCTCATGATACACAGACAGACAGAGCAGACATAGCCAATATCCACCACCTGTTTAGTCAGGAAACATGCTGCTCGAAAGTCCACATTGGACTGGGTGGGCAGCACAATATGGGGTCGTAAACTGGGGTCTGAGATAAAGCCCGATAGCAGATACTGAACCAAACCCTTGGGTGTTTTGGAGTTCTTTTCACTGATATCCATGTAGATGCCGTGTGTCGAGTCGCATGCTTGTTGCAGAAAGACCTGGTCGGATCCAGGACCCAGTTTGCACACATCGACGGGGATCTTGAGCTTTTGGGCGGCGAAAATGCAGTTCATAGTAGGGATGTATTGGATGGTTTCGTTTTTGTGTCCGACGGTGAGCAGCAGGATCCTTGCTCGCATTCTCGACTCGTCCACAAACACATGTTTGTTTATGAACCCTAGAGCTAGACTCAGTGCTCCGGAGATGGCCGAGTTGTGTTGTTTCTCCTCCTCCACGTAGTTGGTGTGGTTCAGCATGTTCCACAGCTCCGTCTGCACAACCTCGTCCACCGTCTTGAATTGTCTGTACATGGAGTGGTCCTTCTTGCTGGGTGCCTGTTCTCCATCGCTTACACTCTCCGATCTCTCTTCTCTCTCCTTTGATCTAGTCGATTCAACGCCGCTTTTAGGAGGATACAAAATTCGAGCACCACTGGCGTTGTATCCAATCACATTAACGCTGTTGGAGTTGTGCAGAGCCAAGTGGGCGTTGATGAAGACGAGAATGGAAGCCACAGCCTCCGAGATGGATATTTGCGACTTGATTTCTTCCCACGACGGCACATGGGCGTCAATGATGATCGACAACAACGACGGCGTGTCGTCCAGAGTCTGATCCTCCGTGTCCTTGAGCTGGCGGGACGTTCCATCAATGGCGTTCATGGTGGTGGAGGAAGGCTTCGGTGTCTGAAAAGTAGATGTTAGATAGAGGATTTGAGTTTGCTGATTTGAATGAGCTGCGAAAGTACCAGTACAATCCTGTCTTGTACTTGTACGAGTGTACAGTTCTTTTTACACGTGTATAGGGGTGGGTACATATTGATGTGATCATGTGATATAATTAGTTGATACTGTACTGTGAGTGGGATTACTTATCCAGTTCCTTTCTTCTCGGTCTCCATCAAAGCTTAGTCATGTCATATTTCAGTGGTCAGCCAGCCTGAACTTACCTCCCTACAATATCGTGCCAGTAGAGTGAATCGAACTCACGCCACTGCCCATACAATTGTAACATGTCGCTCTATCACACTCAGGGTTCGTATTTGAAGCTGTTATGCATCACTGATCGGTTCGAAACTCGGCCCGGATCTTCAATCCATGGTCCAAAGTGCTCAGAATGTCCCGGCTTCCACTTCCGCTTCCTCATTCTTCTTTTCATTTCATACACCCCGTCTACAAGTAGTGCCTTCCTCATAACAGAGTTCGAGTCTCATGCAGGTCTAAACCTCCACTGATATTTTTCATTTAAGCGTTCACCTCATTTTCGAGTTTTGGCCTGACCCCTATATACCCCAAGACACTCCCCAAAATGGCCGCCACCAACAGACAGATCTTGACGCAGGGCGACCGGTCATACGCCAAGAAAAAAACTAGCCAGTTTGGCGTGGATGAGGTCTCCTACGACGCCGCCAACCGGAAGGAGTACCTGACGGGCTTCCGAAAGCGAAAGCTGCAACGAAAGGAAAAGGCGCAAGAGAAGGCCAAGGAGCAGGCGCGGCTGGACCGGATCGCCGAGCGGAAAAAATTGCGAGACGAAAGAAAAGGTGACCAGGAAAAGGAGCGAGCTCGAATGCAGAAGGCCATGAAGGATATCGAGAGAGCTCGATCGGGCTATTTCAGCACTGACGACGAGAAGGATTCTGATTCTGGCGACGAGTCTGAGGATGAAGAGGAGGACGAAGAGGAGGACGAAGAGAAGACTTTAAAGAAGTCGAAAAAGTCGTCTAGCACTGATGAAGACGACTTCTCCGACTGGGAGGGTATCGATAAGCCCGGAGTGCTCAAGAAGCAAAAGAAGAAGTACGTGGACGGTCAGGGAAAGAAAACCACGGTGACCATTGAGGCCGTGTCCCTTGATTCCGATGATGAGGACCAGAACAACACATATGTGGACATGTCCAAGGCTGACGAGGTCTTGAAGGAAAGCTTGGACAAGGCTGGTCTGGCCGCTGTCTACTCCGGCATGGCTGAGCCCAAGGTCAAGAAGCTGGTCAAGAAGACCAAGAAGAAGTTCCGATACCTGTCTTCCACTGAACGAAAGAAGAACCTGGACAAGGAGCGAGCTCGAGCCAAGGCCAAGCGAACCAAGAAGGAGTAGGACACGTTGGACCGTACTGGTAGATAGTTTATTGCATGCATGTATTATAGGATAGCCAGGAATAGGGCGTAGATATGGTTGGAGTGAGTTGTAACGAGTTTCAGTGTGTTGCGTGTGATATGAATTCAACACCGAAGTGCGAACTTACTACGTATATATCTACAGTACATACTGTACTATTATCAGATCATTAGCCGTTACTCCTGGATAAATAAAATGCTCGAATACTTCTTTACAGCATATACACAAACTCCTTCTGGGTCTCACTGATGGTCGCATGATTTGTTCCACTGATGCGTCGTCGTTTCAGAAAGAAGACAATACCCAGAGTACCAAATACCGAAGCGATCATGAACCCCATGTTGATCCAACATCCCCGTTTGAAGAGTGGACCATCTGTTGAGGTGAAGACTCTCAGGACCAGTACTCCATACCAGCAGCTCACAGACGAGAAAATGGCGAAGGACATGAGTCGCTTGTTTCTGCCCTGAACATTACTCCCCAGCCATCCACAAAGAGAAGCAAAGGCAGCAGTTGCATTAGGAATCGTGAACCAGCCCCCTCCGAATTTGATCCACCAGTTGTGTTCTGAAGGCTTGCACAGAATAAGTGCCCATCCAATGATGCAGAAGAGATAATTCATGAGCAGAAACGGGGACAAAACTTTTTTCTGGGCAACCAAATACCCCTGAAAACTTGACCAAATGACACCAAACACGAGAATAGTCCATATGATCAACTGTCCCAAGGCTGCGGTATACTCCAACTCTTCAAAAGTCGCACTTTGAACCTGTGCATAGCATGACACCAAACAGGAGTATGTAAAGAAGCCAAGGATGGAGATAAACCAAACCAAGGGATCTTTTGCAGCGGAAATCAGACCTTCTAGAGGTGTCTCGGTCGGTTCAATTGGGTTTCCTCCTCCGTAATCTTCTTCAGTAAGTGTCTTGAAGACGTTGAATGCCTGCTCTCCGTACTTCGATATCCATTTTGGAGAGTAAAAGTTCTCAGGGAGCATGTACCAGACCACCGGAGCAAACACTACTGAACATAGGCCGGCTATAAAAAAGTCCCAAGACCATCCGGGTTTGCCTGCATTGATGAGACGAATCGCGATGGCCAGCATAGTGAACAGGGGGACCATGAACCAACTTCCACCCCAGACACAACCGACCACAAAGTGAGCCTCGTATCGGCCATGGTGTTCATAAATCATGTGGAGAAGAGCAGGCAGAGCAAAGCTCATACATGCTCCCATTACTGCTCTATCACAAATCAGCCCTGCATAATTGGTACAGAGACCCAGAAGAACAATGCACAGACCCCAACAGAACATTTCAACACCAATAAACACTCTAGGCGAGACTCTGAGAAACAAAAATGCCAGAGGAACTGCCAAAGTTGCATAGGGAAAGTACAGGGCAGCCTCAGTCCACTCAAATTGGGTATCGGACAGGTGGTTGAACTCCTGAAGCTTTCCTCCCTGAGCAGGCCCAATAACGTCACGTGCAACCAGATGGGCCACGTAGAACATTTGCAGCTGTCCGGAAATGGCTAGTGTTGTGTTTCGTCGGAGCTTTTTGAAACTGTTGGTTTCGATAAGAGTCCCTGACTTCTGAGAAGTTGTGTCAAGGTCTCGTTGCGACTTGAGACTAGGGTTCTCTGAGCCTGACAGAGGTGTGGGTAGTTTTTCGGCGTCCATAGTTGTTCATCTTCTCTGATCTCGCCATCCATTCAATATATATATCTCTCCATTCCTTAGCTCTTCCATCACGCAATGAAAAACTGTGGCGCATGAAGAGATTTAAGGAGTATCTCTATTGCTGAGAAGGGTGCTGTGCAAGAGAAGAACCATCTATTGCTCTTAAAACACCTATTGGTGGAGAAGGTATCTACTGGAATGTCTGTAAGCAAAAAGTAAACAGTTATTATGCTCCTTTCAAATCAATTGCACATTTCCCAGTCTCTCCCACTGCTCTCCTCCACGTCTACTTTCCCAGGATATTCAATTGACCTCGCCTTCTAACACCGTTTCTAGAAGCTCAGCCTCGTAACGATATCAGAGTTGTCCAAGAACCGAGAAATGCCACTGTAAAGAGAATATCTAGACAGCTTCAAGGTTTCTACAAGTAGATCAGCTCAACGTTTGTACAGTTGAGAACCTCTTACATCTCGTTTAAGGTACGCAATGCAGGGATTTGCGGCTACCAAAAACGTGTCTTAGAGCCTGGTATGAGGTCTTTGTCCACTGAAGACTTGATAAATGTATCGTTTTTCACGCTCGCATCCGGCTGGAAGTCATATTTATCTTGCCAACGGCACATTTCAGCCTGTAATTGTGTCTCCATTCATACCTCCGAGAAAAGACAACCTTCATAGAGCCGAGTTATTTAGCAATCAGTAAGTATTATCAACTCAATACCAACTCAAAGAGCTCGCTAAAAGTCTTCCAAGTGGCTTTCAGAACCTTGCAAAAACCTACACTTTGTCCAAAAGATCTCCAAACTCGCTCCAGGCCGTTTAATTGAACGGTGACCTTATCCACTCTCATTCGGAGTCATAGAAAGTCACTATTCTGGTAAATATTGCTCTTAGGAACTTGAAATTCGTACTGGAGAAGTTTTTAACAGGTTTTAATCAGTAAAAACAATTACTAGATCCCCAACTGCTCTGTCGAAAGTTCAGCGTCACATCCAGCGATCTCTGGCGGAGTGCATTAGATTAGCGCGTTTTAACGGTCTCTTCCAGCCCTCCGAAAGTCGACTCAAGAGCAGATAATAACTCTTGACAAGTACAATTGCATCATTACAAACACCCTGACAAGCCTCAGTTCTTATGTGTCCAACACTCCTTCTACATACTTTACTCCTTCATCCATTATTTCCACCCCACTTTCTCCACTAAAAGGTTAACTATAAGATTGTGGCTTGTGAGAGAAATAGACAAACTTTGGTGGAGGTGAAATGTCGTCATGCAGAAGCAAAGAGATCTACGTGGGGAACGGTAAGAGATAATATGGACAGTCACATGAACTAAAACCAAAGCTATACAACTTCGACGGTTCTTATCCAGGTTTTAAGTGATTTGTGTATTAGTGTATTAGTACTGTAGTTGTAGCTACCCTCTGTTTACCCAATTGTTGAACATCTCAGTCTGAACCAGTGCCTTGAAGAAGGCCACTTTGCTGACATCTCCAGAGCCATTGAACTTGAGTCCCATCTCCTCCTCGCAAATGAGATTAATCTCGTCACTGCGACCACCAGAACTCACAGGCGTAGAAGAACCGCCTCTACCAAAAACAGCATACCGCAAAGAGTAGGTGTTTTTAGAAGCATGGGTGAGATCCTTGTAGAAGTCCAGGGACGAGAAGATGAATGAATCATCCACAGGAACAAGATAGCGAGACAGCAGACTGAAAATACGAGACACAATCGCCTGGAAATGGTTGGTGATGTACTCGTCAATCACCTGGTCCGTCACCTGACTGTCGTTAAATAGAACAACCATATCAGCCAGAAACTTCTTATCAGGAACGAGATACTTGGGTGCACATTTCTTCGTCTGATTACGAAGTTGATAATCTTCATCGTATTGCACAGGAGGTGATGGTTGTCGAGGAGACGAGTCGTACCACGAAGACAAGGACGGCATTGATATCTGGTTACGTAAACGAGAGAAAGTCGACTCGCGTGGTTTCTGGTCTCTAACCTTGGGATTGTGAATGGAGTCGGGTGAAGAGCGGCCGTTAGTAAGCGAGTTCCGCGGCGACTCGCGTGATGACTCACGTGGAGAATTGATAGACTTCCGTTTTATATCTCGTGATCGGTCACGTGGTTTAGGAATGTTCTCTTTCTGACCTTTGTACTTTTGTCTTGGCTTTAGTTTCTTGTTCAAGTTGAAAGTGCTCAACAAGATTAACAACGAATCGTCAGCAGCCTCCTTCTTCAACAAGAAGGGATTAGTAAGCCCCGTGATCTTGATTGTAGGGTCAGTCGATTGCGTGTGAATAGTCACGTAATCGCGAACCTGTTCATACGGATAAACCATGGGATAGACCATGTCGAGCATACAGCTGACCAAACTAGACACGAGGTGTGGTGAAGAGGCATAGATGGTCACATAACGTTGAAGTAGCACGGCCTCGAACAGTGTGTACAGATCAGAAACGTCTGCAAGAAGTGGAAGCAGATGGGTCCAAGAAGAAAACCGAGTGAAGGGAACAATGGTGTCTGTGATGTGGGTTGTTTGGGTCACGTGATTCGTTTGTACACGTTCGTTCTTGTGGGTGACGTGGGTGCCCCATTTTAGACTAATTACGTCCCCAAAGAAGCCCACGTCTCCATCTACTCCTGGATCGGGCCATTTACTCATGAGTTCAATAGCCGTTTCAATAACCGGGTAACGGTCGACCATGGTCTGATTTGTGTTTAGGTAGGACTCTGTGACGACAGTCTCGAGGCACGTGATGAATAATCGGGGCAGGTAGTGCTCGGAAATTATCACTAGACTCTCCTGAGTATATCCTCTTGGACTTTCTGGGTCTTTCCTTTGACTGAACAGGGTGTATCCAAATAAAGTGGTTCCTTCAGCGTCGTCGTATCTGAACACGTGACCTTCTCTTAGTTCTCCCTCCACAGGAGTCTTTTCAGGCAAACATGAAAAACAGATTGTATGAAAGTCCTGTTCCGAAAACTTGACCCTTGGTGCAATCAGTTTCAGATCAGGACCTATATCCACATCGAACTGGACCACCAGGAAGCATGTGATCCAGCGTGACAAAAGTTGTCTAGTCTTTTCTGGAATCTCGAGCTGGTTCTCCACAGCTAGACTCTCGTGGATCTTGTATGAGCTGGTGAACGATGATGGGATTCGTTTTGCCATGGTGTGGGAAATGATACTATATCGAGCAGTGTAATTGTCCCTGAAGAATCAACAATGGTCCGTTTAAAACGGAAGTTGCAGTCACGTTGTCAGCTGTTCGTATAGAGCCACGTGATAGTGTGTCAAGGTCACGTGAATGTCGTTGTTGTCTCGCAAGTCGTAGTTGCGCAGGAAGGCACCGTGTCGGAAGGGGTATGGGCTGACTGGCGTGAATTGGCGGCTTTATCGGTCACGTGGCGGGCTGAGTGTCGCGATTTTGGTCACGTGATTGGGTTTGTGTGTCGATTCGGAGCTCGGTCGTTATTCTCTCGAGGTAGCTAACTGGAAATGAACTGATCCCCCTAAGTTCCTGGGCTCCTCAGACATCATGTGGATTCATGCATGATAACCTAAATGCAGGGGAAGATCAAAACACGGAGTCCAACTATGGGGGTCGAGAGTGGGGGTAGTAGGAGTTGAATGGGGGCTGGAAGTGGTAGAAATAGATTGAGTAAATGTGTGTAGAGCCTTTCGAGATTCGATTTGCATCTTTAATTACTCCTTTTCAATTGTAACGAGTTCTGTGTTGTAATGGGAATCGAACCCCGGTTGTTTGAGGTGGTAGTTGGGAGCGAACAGGATGCTCAACTGTGCAGTTCATAGATGTTGAAGTAATTGGTAAGTAACAGTTGGAATGGTTTTTTCGAACCCACCGAGTACCCATCGAATCTCCAAGGAATCACCTGAAATCTACCAAATAACGACGACTAACAGATTTCTCCATACAAACCATTCTGTATCGCTTCTCTTAAAATGCCGCCATCTTTTTCTGCCTCTTGATCTTGTCCTAAACAAGGGATGTATTGTATGTACTGTAAGGACATATTCCAGCTTGTTGAAAAAGAAGAGAAAACCAGATGGAATGTACTACTTGTAGTACAACTTCTTAGCTGGAACCCATTAAGTAAACAAAATAAGCAGGAGTCTTTTTTTCACAATCCCTACCATAACTGCTCTCCAATGGCCTGGAAGTTGTGCAACTTTCTTGGTTCCACACCGTCCGCTTTACCTGGGAGATACAAAGAAAAGAAACAAATAGAAGCCCTCAGCGGTCTTCTTTTCGAGTCCCGCATACCTTCCCAGAATTTAGCTAATGGGCAACTGCCTCTTGTTTCAGGCTCTGAGTTACGTACTGTACATTCAGTGTACCTACTGAACTGTACGGGTACTGTATGTACTGTACACCAGCCTCCTTCGAGGCTCCATCGGTTCTGGATGCCTTTCAACTCTAACATGCTCGGGTTTTCGTGTAAGTGAGTCTTGATAGGAACTTCATAGAGGAGTGGCTCCGTCTCTGGGTGGAGGAGGAGGAGGGGTGCTCCGGATTGTATGATCCTTCTACCTCACCGCTACAAGTACAACATGACCAAGCGGCATCATCAAACTCGCACATGTTTGACATGTTACATCAACTCAAAAAAAAGCATCACAGGACAGCTGCGAAAGAAGAGATCGAATTTTGAACATATCGCCAAGTTGTTGGGGTTTAAATATCAATCTAAAACCGTGAATGACTAACGGTAGAGTTGATTCAACTATTCGCTCTTGGCTTGCCTCTTGGCTTCAATCAAACGCTCCCAGGGCTACTGTGGGCTAACATTCTGTCTTGCATCAAAAAGCAACTGATATCTGCACTCCTTCCATGCAGGTCCCCCATCCTGGAAAGAGCCGTTTATACGACCCTGAATAACCCAAATTGAACGTTCCGCCACTAGACCTATACATGCGGAAACGGCTGTAATCTGCGGAGACACACTAGTTGATAATCGGGGCAAATAATAAGAGGACAGCTCCGTAGACGTGATTAAATGTCTCACACACTTCAAAACAGTTGTATAGGACATCCATATATCCCCACCAGTCTGCACAATTGCTGGGGTTACATCGAAATAAACTTGAGATCGACACAACCTCGAGGGACAAATATCAAAGGAGCTAGCCATCTGAATTTGTAGGATCAAAAAGGTAGAAGAAACACATTAAACATTTATAGATGCTTTGAGCTCTTCCAAATCCACTTATCAACTTCTCATCTCAGTCAGACAACTACAATATCCCCAAATTACTCTTCTAACTTTACCATCCTCCACCTTGTGCCAATCTTGCAGATCATCATCATGGTACCTTGCCATGACGTTAAGACACTTGTCCCAGGCACGTTTGAAACCTCCAATGTTGCACCAGGGGCGAGTCGGGATCTCTTTATGATTTATATAAGACTACCGTGGGATCTGCTGTTGTCTCCTCACAAAAACTCCAACAATGATCTTTAGCAACATTCTCCTTTCTACTGTGGCTGCTGCCGCAGTTATCAACCTGCCCCTCAAGGCCCGAGACCTCTCGGACGCCCCTGAGATCGCTGCCGAGCTTTTCAAGCGACAAGCAGGTGTTTTCCACAGCACCCAAACGAAGGGAGACATCTTTTACGAGGCCGAGATCGAGATTGGAACCCCTCCCCAGAAGGTCTCCGTCTGCTTCGACACCGGATCCCCCCTTCTGTGGGTGCCCGGATCTAACTCCACCCAATGCAAGGATAGCTGTAAGGGACGAACCTACGATGTCAGCAAGTCTTCCTCCTGGCAGTACCAGAAGGAGGGAAAGAATTGGGGTGGAACCGGAAATTGGGGTAAGGATACTGTGTCCTACGCCGGACAGACCCTCGAGGACTTCAACGTCTGGGTCTCCAAGGACAAAATTGCCAACTCCCAGGGTATTTTTGGCCAGTCTATCTCAGACAACAAGCACGGCTCTTTTATCCAAGGTCTCGCGGACTCTGGAAAGATCTCCCGAGCTGTCTACTCACTCAACGCCGAGAAGCCCGTCCTTTTTGCCGACGCCTCTACCAAAGGAGTTGTCACCAACGTCTATTATGGAGGTTTCGACAAGGCCAAGTACGAAGGTCCTCTGACCACCATCAACTGCAGCCACCCGGGTGGCTACGGCATGCCTCTGGGCGGTTTGTCCATTCAGGGAGAGGAAATTCCCGAGGAGAAGAACAAGCGACAAATTGTTCTTGATACCGGAGGAATCAAGGTCCAGTACTCTAACAATACTGTCGAAGCTCTCAGTAAGAAGTTTGGTGGTGAAGGACAGTTCTCTGAGGGAGCCTGGGAGGTCGGTTGCGACCAGAAGCCCGAAATCACCTACCACTTTGGAGAGACCAAGATCGACATGCCTCTGTCTGACTACGTCTCCAAGGGCAAGGATGGCAAGTGCCGAATCAACAAGATCCATCTTTCCGGCAACGATGTCAAGACCTTGCTCACCGGCCCCACCCTGATCTCTCGGGCTCTGGTCATCTACGACAACGAGCGATCTCAGATCACCATAGCCAAGGCCAAGTACACCGACGAGACCGATGTTGTTGAGATTACCGGCGACATTCCCGGCGCCGTCCCCTTCAAGCCTTAGGACTTTTGTAATTATTGAGATTCTCCATATTGACAGTGAAGAGTAGATAGACCGGGAGTTGTAGAAAAGTGATAAGGTAGTAGATATATACCGATTGGGCATTGGTGATAACCACTTGTAGCAAGTCTGAGACACCTTATAATGCCTATAGCTGTCTCTGGTGGTCCAGAATTTGTGTATCATTGATGCGACAGTGGTATCTTCGAATGGTGTGTTAGGTGAGTAGAACGGAGAACGCAAAACCCAGTGACGTGAGCACATGTGCACCTATATTGAGATTTTCCAGTAACGCAATCATTAATTATTCAGATATCTGAGCCAATGCGATATACTCCTTGATTTCTCCTCCTAGTTTTTTCCTCTACCCTACAAACGGTACAGTACATACTTGATGTCCTGAGACACCCGGGCCACTATTACTTTGACTTATCAACTGAATTTGCCACTTCATTACCATATTTACTTCACTACAACTAAATTCCTAACTATTAATGTTTTCGATCCTTAATTTTCCGACCTGATTATTTTACCAACTCTATTTGACACCTCACATTGCATCACCAACAATTCATTTGCGATCTTCCTCCACACAACAACACAAATGGCACCCATCAAATACCCTTATTTGTTGTCCAAGTAAGTATGCGAGATGAAGCGACAGTGGAAAACGGTCATGTGACAGTTGGACGAGCATAGTCGAGGATCTGAGATCTGGTGGGCGAAGTGCCATATTGAGATCGGTGCCATGTTGAGATCAGACGGAACCGACGATATGGGGGATGGGAAGAGAGTCTGGAAGAAGCTGGATCCACGTGACTCGTGATTTCAGTTCTTTCTATCCCCTCTCGGTATTTGGTGAACGAACACGTTACGTGAAGCAGGAGCTGTGGGTGGTCAATCGACTCTTCACACGCATCGGGCAGAACACCAAGGAGCTGCAGGATTCCACGTCACATGGCTCGATGTGGATCTGTGTCTGGTGATCACACTTTGCATAGTGTATGGAATTCTGGAGCTCACGTTTTTCATATTGTTTTGAATCCATGTCGTGCGGGTTGGTCGTCCATGTCATTGGATCAGCCCAAGCACGCAGGCTGTCCCTGCATATCCAACATCGCTGTACATTCTTCACTCAGATGGCTATGCGCGGTCATGTGTGTCTTGACACGACTCATACTAACCCAGATGGCTGGACCCTCTGTTTGCCGTGACCATCGGAGTGCTTGCCTACGGAGTGTTTGAGCAGCGACACGGCCGACAGGAAGGTCACCGACTGATCGACCTCGTCCAGCGAAAGTGGGACCGGGATATTAACGGAAACGTTACCAACTTTCTTCCTATTGAGGACAACAAGGAGTAAGTAGAACTGACGATGAAAAATACATGTATATATGATTGAGACACCGGTTTGGACTGATCTTGAGGGTGATCCGAGACTAGACTGGACAGACTGGCTGTCTTGTACGAGAGAAATGTTGTTTGCGCGACAGAGTTGTAACTGTCGCTTTAGTAGAGTCTATAGTCCGAGACTTATGCCTCGAAACATAGAATCACATGCTTGAACTTGATGTTGAGTCGTATGGCGGGAGTTAAGAAGACCCGTACACCGAACTAGCACCTAGAAGCATCCTGACAGTTATGGAACGTACTACAGTGCTTGTATGTATAGCTGGTGGGTGGAGAGTTTGGATTGGGGTGTATGTTGCAAGCAAACACCGTGTCCACCGCGAGCAGTCATTAGAAACCATCAGTCTTCATTGATCAATCTCCTGATCAAGTCCTAAGTGCAATCCTGGGCCATTATATAGAGATATATGTACTCGTAGGACCGCATTCTCATTTGTTGAGGTTGGTGCAATTTGTATATATCATCATGTCTTCCATTCAACAAAATACATCTATAGTGTAGTAAGTGTATGGACTGAGTCATGGTGAAGCTATAGGAGTGTATTTATACGATATGTACATGTACACATGTACATATAGATAATATCTCGGGCACTTGAACGGAATGGGAAGCAGTCTGTAGACATGATCAATATGTCTCCTTTGCAATAGCTGGTGTCTTGGTTCAAAAATCGCCTACGTAGTCCAAATCACATGTGGCTATGGGTGGTTATTATCTATGGATATTTTCTGGCCTACAATGTAACATTGTTGTGCATAGACAATGGAACTACAATGTAGACAGGAGGAGAATAACGGGCGCTTAAACAATGGACGAGCAGATAATATTTGACGATGATGGGAAACGTCTCCAGAAATTGACTGTCACGGTCTGAACTCTTGGTAGAGGTATCTCTTGTCATGGGTAGAACACTGACTGGGAGGTGAACAATAAAAAGTGAGTCTCATGGTGGTTTTGAGACACCTAGCTGCTTAATTCTCAAAAAGGGCCATAATTCCAAGTGAGAAAGAAATATTTGTTCATCGTGCAAATGATATATCTTCTCGAAACACTCTTTAACCACTTTAGTTGACCATATCACAGATATAGACCTGATGGAAAATCTCATGACACTATTGGCCGGAGGTGGTGGGCTGAGGATGAACTACAGTATGTACAGTAGTATTGCACCACCAGTAGCTTGTCTGTTTCTCGTGGCGTGTGTCTAGGAGTTTGTATAGAGCCTCCGCTTGAGTCCATGGGTGGGATATTATCTGAGACCCCGTTTCTGGCAAAAATAAATAAATATCGTCGATAATATCTGCCAACTTGGTAATCGTAATATCGCGTAATATCTACGACATGGATTTGGGGTCTTGCACGAATCTCTCCAGCGTTCGTGTCTCCATTGAAGCCTGCCATTTGTCAAACTTATCTGATTCTCCAGGATGTACTTAGTTGTGCTTTTGACGTAATCAATCTACAAGTAGGGGTAATATACTCTCGGGTCAGATTGATATAAGCATTAGTATGCATTTTTTGGGGCCGAAAAATAGTGGAATCTGTACACGAACTTGAGCGAGACCATTGCACCTGTATTCGCACCATCACCACGTGTATCATATCGCACCAACCGGTAAAATACGGTACTTTGGCTGCCTCTTTGATGGATTAGGATAACGCAAGCAGTTATCCTGGTTGTACTCCACCTGGTTGCCAACACGGCACCCGGCTCCTGATGATTAGCGAAGAACTACGTTACTAATCCTTGATCGTCAGCGGGGTAAGTGTATAACTGTTGCAAGGTTTAAAAAGATTCGGGGCAGCTCAAATTCAATAATTCAGGCTCAAGGGGCCTAGGGAAAAATGGATCGGCTCGTATCGAGCCTGTTTGGGTGGTGTGCAGGGTGCATGTGCATCATGTGGCAAAATATCTGGAATAACTGGGAGGAGATGGACGAAAACCGTAGACGCAGATTTGGCCGGATATATGGCGAGTCTCGTATCCGATCTGTCGTTTGCGGCCCTCCCCATCTCCGTACCTTCCCCAGATCTCGCCGGGACCCACACTGGTTGCCTGGGATATGCACCTGTACCCCATGTCTCAGATGAATTATTGCACAGGACACACACAAGGTTTCATGGGGGGAAGAAGAAAAGAAGGGCCAAAAAAACCAAGACAGGGAACAGTGACAAACAACAGCCATTGGCTGCTTCTCCGAAAGCAGGGTCTTGGAGGCGGAAGCTCGAGGTTTGTTTCTGGACCGGCCTGAGACAAGCAAGAGGCACACATGAGAGAAACCATGCATTTCCGGTTTCGGGAGCGCTCTTACCGAAGTTCCTTTTTATTTTTTGTTTTTGATTTTTTATTTTTTGGCGGGAAAAATTAATCACGAAATTATGAAATTAGATGCCGGCAACAAAAGTATTGTTCCAACGATATAAGCGGCTAACAAACGGCCTTCCGTGGACAGGACTAGTTTTAGTGGCTATCTAATTTCGTGGCCGCTCGCTCCATGATCGTCGTACGGATCGACACGAACAATGGCCACTCTACAATAGTGCTATGGCTTTGGGTGGCCTTGTCTTGTTACGATCGTCCTTGTGGGGTACACTACAGTGTCTATCAACGGGGCTTGTTCGGGCCCCGTAATAGGGTCGCTTATGGTGGTCGTATACGGGCATCTCCTCTGACAAGAGTGTGGAACAACCATAGAAGCCTGCATCTATCTGGAAATGTGGAGAGCAGGAGGGTAAAAACCACCTGTTCATGGGCTAGATCCGCACGTTACATGCACTGAGAGTAGACTAGCCGCAAGAAAAATTACGTGTGCTGTACTTTACTTGTACCGGTAGGTCTTAGATGAATCTATTTGCCATCACTGAGAACAATAGCGGATCGAGTTGAAGATCCTTCCCCCTATCGTGGCTCGTTCTGTTAACCTCTTCATGGATGACCCAACCTCTGACCCAACCTCAACCTCCCCACTCAAAATAAAAAAAAAAAAAGTATGAAGATGCACAAGACATTGCTCGCGACCACTGTCTGAGACAATACTGTATCCGCACATAGCCGGAGCGGGTTATGACTCCATCACCACACTACTACAGTTTTTTCCGTTTCTGCCTGGCCCGATAAGCCCACAAAAAAGCGCTCGCCTGTTTCTAGATTTTTGCCTTCTATGAACGGAAAAAAAGTAGCTCATACGACAGGTTTAGCTCCAAGGCGTAGGTTTCTTAAATGAACCACCACCGAGCTAGAGCGTAGCATCTATGACGGCGTGGTATTGGATGGTGGTGGTGGTGATTACGATGATGAGCGTAGATTCAGAGCTCCAACTCTACTTTGGTCGGTTGAAATGTCCATCTGTCGTGAAAAATTGCACCCCTTACTTTTGCCGTCAGGCCACCCGCTTGCTCTATCTGCGACCCCTCAAACTCACCTGCCTACCTGCAGCAATCGATTGTTCTGCAGGTGGTGGCCCTGCAACCTTATTTTGTACCTTCTCGTACAAGCAGGTAGATATATATATAAGTCTGTATCCTGGGAGGTAGCTGACACCATCCACAAATACGACACAGCTGAGGCTCAGTACACTCCTTATCATGACCTCAGTTCTCCTTTCCTACAACACATCGCACAACAGCTATCTGTGCCGACGCTGCTCCTCGTGCAACACGGACATAACAGAGGACCTCTACTCGCGACATAAGGTCCGATGTGTGTATGAGGAGTTCATGCGCGAGAAGGCCAAGAAAGAGGCTCTGCGACACGCCATTAAGAAAAATCAATGAGCAAGTGTCACACGTTTCACATGACAACACTGCAGCATCTGAGCTCACACGTTCAGACTGAGCTACAGATGCACATACACACACACACACACACACACACACATACATATTGTACGATATGGGGTGCAGTTGTACGATACATACTTGTAACCCCGTATTACTGTACCGAACACTGGTGGAATACCACCCCCGAGCTGGTCTCGTTATTTATTTATTGAATGAATGGAGTTTATGATGCACCTAATTACAATCTCAATCTCGTACAAGTAGTCTTCTATCTATCTCACCGTACACTCGAAGGTAAAGTACGTAGTTTCTTTTTACGAATGGTCTCAGAAACGGGCAAAGCATATCCCCGTTGCAGAATAAGTACTTATCCAAAGTGAAAAAGCCTCCATGGCCAAGGCGGATATTCCCTCAAGGCATGGGCGGTTGATATTGGGGGTCTTTGTGTCAGATAAACCCCAGATAAGACCTGTGGATCGTGCTAGTCGAATTAATTTCCACTTAAAATGGAGATGTAATGACTTGCTTGTTGGACGCGAATTTAGATCAAACTTCCAGATGCGGGAAAGTAGCCCGTTGGACTGCCACTAGTGGTAACCGGGATAGACTACCAGCTTCATCTGGCTTCCACTATACCCATCTCTTGATCCTGCGTTAGTGTGAAGTTAGTAGTGAATGAGACTGCGAGTTGGATGGGAAGTAGGTGGGGTAGTGGTCAAGGGTGGTATTGGTCACGGGTCGTATTATTGATCACCTCTATCCTCGTATTAGTGTAGTAATCCTTCTAGACCATAACTGGGATCTATCTCTGCATAAATGGAACTCGTCTCTTTCATGTTGGACTGATAAATGACTATTATAAACGCACTTTTGCACTAAGGTCGTATTCACGTTGACTGGTACAGTATACTCCACAATCACATGTTCACTCTAGGACAAGAACTATTAGCTAGTACAAGTACTGTACAGTACAAGTACAAGTACAAGTGCAATTGGACATTGTAGTTCCTCAAGACGGGATCATCTTGGCTTTTAGAAGTTCTCTACTTCCACTTGATAAGCTCTACTACCGATACAGTACAGTGTGTATCAGTAGTACATGTCTCTAGACCAGTGAGACTACTCAAAGACAGGCACCATTGACCTGCTCCATATTCCGTTTGAGAACATGAGACCTAGTTGTGCTCCCTCTTGAGTGTGCGCCGCCTTGGAAAGTGAGCATGCACTTAATAGCAGGAACCTCATCTTGCAGTAGGGCTTCTAGACACAGTTCTAGTCGCTCGACAGTAGACGGCAGTGTTCTGGATCTCCTTTGTTCACTAGAAAGATCATCATGGCACTAGCGTTCTTCTTGTCGCTACCCCTTTCAGTTACACTTTCTTGGAAACGCGCATGTCTCGAAAGGGTCTGAGCTACGAGCTACTTGTGTGAGGGCAGAATCACTACCCGGTTTGGAATATGCAAGATTCAAGTGAATTAATGAGACGTAGATATAGTGTCTCATTGGAGCTCGGTTGTCGAGTGAGAGACAGGTATCCACCAAGTGAGACGTTAGATTTTCCATATTGGTCTGCTCAGCCTTGGTCGGCCTTTCCGAATCAGTAGACTGAAGGCTATAGTACTTGCAGTATCTCGGACTGTGCAATAACCAAAAGGTCCTTTGACACAAGTCTTTGGTTTAAGCGACAATGGAGCCGAAACCTGTCGTGTAGCCGAGGAAGTGGCTCGGTCAGACATAAAAAAAAAAAGGTAGTTGGGAGGCCACCCTTGATCGCTAACGGGCTACCTGTACTGGACAGCTTCACCATCCAATCACCAATGCTTCTCTATCCCCTTAAGAGCCTCGGCCTTCTCCTTGGCCGTCTTCTCCTGGATTAGCTCCAATTCATGCTGATACTCCTTCTCATACTCCTGCTGGGTTTCCAGATCAGAATCCGCGTCGGGATCAAACTCCGACTCGGTGGGCTCGAGGTCGGACATTTCTGCCTCCCGGCCAAGCTCCTTGAGCCGTCGCTTCTCAATGTTCCGGGCTCTTCGAGCGGCACGTCGTTCGTTCTGCGCCTGTCTTCGGGCCTCTCGTCGTGCGTTTCGTCTAGCCCGAGCCTCATCCGTGCTCATCCCCTTCGCAACGTTTGCCAGTAGTAAGACCATCGTGTGTTATGTCTGTTCTGTATGTGTGTCTGTGAGTCTGTGTGTGTCTGTGGTTGTGTCTCTGTGAACGTGCGTGTGTGTAGAAAGGCGTGTCTGAAGTGACTGACGTAAGAGATACAGTTGCCAATGCTTTCAATCACTGCCTCTCCTTTTAACCAAGCCAAGCCCAGTAGTTGCTGTTGATATAGTGAACTCAAAAGAAAGAGGAGAGCCAAAATTAAAAAGCAATGCATGATGCGATGAGCTCAACAGAAGGGCTTAAAACTGCTCCAGCCGCCCCATGTGATCGTGAAAGTCACGTGATTAGACCTATACTACCACTTAGAAGCTGTCTATCAACTCCATACCCCTGAAAAATAGCTTCCCGGATCCAATACGGCCATCCTCCATGTTGCTGACTCGCAAACTCTATCGAACCGTTGAGAATGTACCGTTAGCCGGCTCGGAAGAGACCCAAAGGTGAGCAGCAATGGGGCTGGTTATTTTAGTCACGTGACCGTTTAAAAGGGATTAGGAAAAGTCAAAGGTGAGCAGCAATGGGGCTGGTTATTTTAGTCACGTGACCGTTTAAAAGGGATTAGGAAAAGTCGAATCTCTTTTCTGTTGACTACCATTTTTCCTTCGCTAAGGTTTCTGAAATTTCACCCGTTTACAAGTATCGTACAAGTAGTACCCCTTATCCCTGTTAAAACTGTGAACCCAGTTCAACTCGTACCCCTTTGACTTGCAGTTGGTTACTCGGAATTCTGGTGAAAATGCATTATATGTACAGTATTCAGTCAATTGCATGAGAAAAAAAGAAGTGAATCTGTTTCCGGCTAGTTGTGGAGGTATGATGACGTCAAGCAACAGGAACATGAACATCGAGTATACACATAGAAGTACATACTGTCCATACTGTAGTAGCCAATGTTCACCATAAACTGTCGAACTGGAATTTCACTCATAAGTAGCTATTCATACTTCTAGCACCATCGCAATCACCATAATGAGAAATCTTGCGCATCTTAATGGCGAACGTGAAATCTATAATCAGTTCCAGGTTGTCGTCGTCTGGCATTATGGACTGATAAATAAGATTATATCCTAACCCTATAGTTACTCTGAATCTCGGAATAGTGGCGAATACATAAAATTCTCATACCATTCGCACCAACGTTCTCTCTGCAAAAATCCGATCAAAACGAATATAATCTCGTTTCACCAAATTTTAGTCCCCTCGATTTGTGTCACGTGACAACCTTATTTTGGAACGTTAAAAAATTGTGCATGCTGCATACGGTTTGGCATATTTTTTAATCCCACCATATCACCAACACCACGCACCGCACAACCATGGGAAAAGCTGATACTAAAGACGCCAAGGTGCGACACAGCCCGCTTCATGTCGACATGAGCCAGGGCAGCGGACTTCTTCGAGAATCCGCCAAGCAGAAGACTTCCCGAAACACCAAGAAGACCGATGCTGCAGAGGAGGATTTTATTGATTCGGCCACTTCGCGACGAATTCTGCAGATGGCACGGGATCAGCAGCGAGAGCTGGATGAGGAGGAGCGAGGCGAGGAGTTTCCCGAGGATGACGATGTGGAATTCGAGGACGAAGACGAGGAGGAGGATGAGGAGGAGTACGAGGAGTACGAGGATGTGCAACAGGAGTTTATGACCCCTGAGGATGCTGCTCTGTACGCGAAGTACTTCAATGAGGACGAGCCTGTTTCTCTGGCCGATAAGATCATGGCCAAGATTCGAGAGAAGGAAGAGGAGGAGCAGTTTGAGCGAACTGGAGAGGCCCCTGGAACCTCCCAGGGTTTGGAGGGAGAGGGAGTCATGCTTCCACCCAAGGTCATTGCAGTCTACGAGAAGGTCGGAGAGCTTCTGAGCCGATACAAGTCTGGAAAGCTGCCCAAGGCATTCAAGATTGTGCCTACGCTGCGAAACTGGCAGGATGTTCTGTACGTGACCGATCCTGCTAGCTGGTCTCCCAACGCAATCTACGAAGGAACAAAGATGTTTGTGTCCAACCAGCAGGCTAAGGAGGCCCAGAAGTTCATCCAGATTGTGCTGCTGGAGCGATTCAAGGAGGAGATTGAAGAGAAGAAGACCCTAAACTACCACGTTTATCGATCCCTGAAGAAGGCTCTGTATAAGCCTTCTGCCTTCTTCAAGGGTTTCCTGTTCCCTTTGGCTGAGCAATGCACACTCAAGGAGGCCATCATTGTCAGCTCCATTCTGTCCAAGGTCTCTATCCCCACTTTGCATTCTGCTGCTGCTCTCATGAGACTGGCTGAGATGCCTTATTCCGGCCCCACTTCTCTGTTCATCAAGGTGCTGCTCGACAAGAAGTACGCTCTGCCCTACCGAGTCGTTGACGCCGTGGTCTTCCATTTCATGCGTTTCGCTCACGTTGAAGAGGCTCTCCCCGTCATCTGGCATCAGTCCCTTCTGGTCTTTGCCCAGCGATACAAGAGTGATATCACGGAGGATCAGCGAGACGCTCTTCTGGATGTCATCAAGGTCAAAAACCATCCCAAGATTACACCTGAAATTCGACGAGAATTGATTTCTGGCGAGTCTCGACCTATTGTGGATGAGCAGATGGAGGTTTAACTAACGGAAAAAGGACTATAATAGATGTATGTAGCATAATTAGAGATGGTTGATTGGTATAGAGCGTTGCTAGCGGTGTTTGCGTGTACACGGTGGGGTTTTAGTTAGTGTAAAGACAGTATGGATGTGAAAATGTACAACAGTACGATACTAGAGGTGCACCATAACGACAAGAGAGGAAAAGACGTATTTTATTGCACAAATATGAGTGCCAGAAAGCGCAAAGGAACCTATTCGCCCTACATCCTCAAACCCTTCGACTTCAACCAAAAAGTAGCTATTCAAACCAACATGGTTCGAAGGGTGTAATCCGATTGAGCCACATGGAGACAAGTTTTCGTTAAATGGACTTCTTACATGGTTTTATTGTGGTTGAAATAATGTAATAATCGACTTCTTTGGTCCTTCTGGGTCGAATCTGAGATCTTTGGATTTTCATGGATTCAGGCTACAAATGAGATTTCATGGATTGAGAATGTATGGGGCCAATCACTTGGCGATATGGGTAATTGATGGATTGGTAAAGAATCTAGACTGTTTTTATTATCAAGTCAGTGGTCTCACTCAAGTAACTGATATTGGTGTGTAGTTATCAACTAACATTACTTAACAGTAGAACTGAAAACAGAAGGAATCTGGGATACGAAGATATTTTCGTCAAAACCCAGATTCTGGGTAGCATTAGGGAACAAATACTGCAGCTTTAGGTATTCCCTTATCCTCTCGGATGCTCCTATCCCTCCTTTACACTCATATCCGCTCAAGTAACGTCAAGTATTATACCAAGTAATTTAGCTCACTATCAATCATTATATTGTTGACTACTTCCTGGTACCAAGTAACACTCTCAACTAAAATAGTCTCGACCAACTACGGTAGGGCTACTGGACCGTACATACAGCACTCCGCACGACTCACGTATACTTGCGCCATTTCTAATAATGAGTAATTGAGTATTGAGTTGGCAGCTGAATTGTGTACATGATGGACCCGGAGGTTGGAGTTTGGATTTTCTTGTTTGTTAACTTACGCGGAATGAGACACCAGAAGCAATGCCACCGTTTTGCAACCAACTATAGTCGATAATTTTTCACGGCCCACTGTAATCCAATTTCAGCTTGTTTTGAAAGACAATCCGCCAATAGTGAGACATTGGAACTTCATAACTGGTCACGGTTCTTTTTCTCCCTGTTTTTTCCGTAGCTCGGAGCTCTCTTTGGTGTTGATCCGAACATCTCCACACAACGACAAGCCACATATCCGAGGTAAAAATAGCACCCAAAAAATGCAGCACCAGGTGAGCCTCGGAACAAGTCTCGAATACGCTCCGAAAGCAGATTTAAGGCATAGAAATTGACCATATATAAGAGTGGAGAACTCTACTTGTATGATAAAGATCGGGTTATGGGCCTCGCCAAAGCTACCGTGGGACTAACTCAGCTCTAAGATTAGAACCACAAAACCCGGGGGTCGGTAAAAGCAATTCTTCAACTTTGATCTCGTCACTGATTTGAACCATTGTACAGTATTATAACAGAGAGCCATATGCCATGCCATCTGCACGGCGCTGATGCATGTCTGTGCACTGCAGGTGCAGGTGCACGCATGGATGCATTACTGCATGCGGTTCGACTACACTTCCTACGGGCACAATACTGTGCGTAACACTACTGGTGACGCACTGTTATTGCGTTTATTGATGCAGATATGAAAGACTGGATCTATGGCTCTTGCTTTTTACGCTCGGTCAACCGTTGGTACACACGTGCATATTTTAGAAAAAGCAGCCACGCAACTGCGTGAACTACATTGTATGGTCTGTAATGTTTAAACGGTCCACCAACGGCGAAAATTTTTAGAAATCGTACGATCTTTCCCAGGGGTTACAGGGGTCTTGATTCACACCTTCAACTCTACTGCTATCCGCTTACTTTGTCGGCATTTACACCTTGGTTGGGCTGGCTCATACCCCCGTCATTTATGCCCGAAGTCGACTCTTGGACAAGGGGGTGTGGGAGTATACGGAATGCACCCCACGGTGGGCAGTCTGATAAAAATGCACAAAGAGTAGATAGTGGGGTCATAACATGGTCAAAACGCGATTTGTGCCCCGCAAGTGCGGATCAGATGCCCAAGAACAAGCAGTGGCAAACAACCTCGCGCTCGAAGAGAGCAAACAACCTATAATTACTGGGTTTTACCAAGGCAACTCAAGCAGCCACTTACTTCGTTGCAGCTATGTTGTTCCCGAGACTTGTCTCACACTGGCGTACAATTCAAATTGACTCGCTTGTATTGTACCCGTACCAGTACCAGTACAATGCCTACACTCAACTAGGCTCGCAATAGCTTACATTAAGCTAATAAAGGACAATAAATACATTCTATATACAAGCAATGAGGACATATGGCCTCTCTAGTTGGAGATCTTGGACACCTTCATAAACAAGGTAGAGAACAGATACTCCTCCCCCTGTAGGTCGTTCAATGGCACGTGTCTATATCCCTCATTGAGCGACGACAGTCTCAGACAGGAAACCGCGAAGGGACGGTCCTGAGTGTACAGCGTGATCTGAACAAAAGAAAACTCGTAGTCTTCGGGACTCAAAGACAGACTCCAGTCCTTGTTCCAGCGAGGGTTGAAGCCATTGTCAATAACTGGCGATGTCTTCAACTTGTGGTTCTCACCAGGCCCGTGCAGCTGAGCCACAATGTACGGATCAAAAGACGACTTTCCCAGATCCTTTGGTCGAGGCAGCTGTTGCGCAGAGATGAAAGACAAGTTCACAGAATGGCCTGATCGGGGACTTTTGAGGTGACGAAGATACGGTGGCTTTAGCACATATCCTCCCCGCGCAGCAAACATGGCGTCATTCAGCTGGGCCGGCAGATCGTATGTCTGCCAGTTAAGAGCCACCATCTGCGCTCCATTCTGCCAGAAATAGAGCGGGTTGAGGTTAGACGATTTGACACGGTAGCCCGAGGGGTATATTCGCGTCAAGTATCGTCGATTGTGTTTCATCATCTGCTCCCTGTTCTCGGGGTCCTTGCAGATGGAAATGAATTTTCGCTCGGAGAAGGAAAAGCAATGGTTAGTGGTCTTGGATTCCGGGAATGCAAAGTTTCGGAACTTGAGACCTTGGACATAAACACCTAGCTCGCCCAGAGCGGGAACAATCTTCTTGGTCGTGCCACTCGTGTCCTTTCTTTTTCCTCCGCCTGAAACGGAAGGAGTACCGCTCAAGTCGTCAAACTCAGAGGCTGTGGTAGTAGAAGAGGATGTGTAGGACGACGAGAATGAGGCACCATTATTTTTATCGCCTGCAACGGGCTCTCTGCCGGCCTTCACCTTAATAAGAACTCGATGTTTGAGCTCATGAGGCGACGGGAGATTGAGAGCCCCAGGAACAAGAGGTTGAGTGACCAGATTCTCGCCAAAAGTGCCCTTGAGAATATCGACTACCTTGAGCTGATTAGAGGCTGAGCAGTGGATTTCCAAGGAAAGAATCAAAGGGTTGGGGGATGCAATGAACCCGTACTTTCGAATGGCAGAGCACACGTCTTCCACAGACACCGATGAGGTGAATGTTCGGCCGTGCTTTACTACCGGACGGTCATCGGGTCCGTCCCAGATATCAATCTCGACCGATCGACAGCCAGATTGTAGAGCTCGGATGTACCCTTCTTCAGACGAGGTGTCTGCAACCTGACGACCAATCAGATACGTATTGTGAGACGTGGAGATGTAGTACTCGTTGAGTGGTCGGTTGAGATTCGTCTCTGGCTTGACAAACAGATTGTAGGAAGACAGAAGGAAATCGTTGAACGAATCAACTGTCCAGTAATCGAGCGAGGAGTCGAATGTGTCGTCTTTGGGGGCGAATTTGGCCCAGATCTTCTCAAAGATATGGGGCTCAAACCGGGTTCTCTGCACGTGATCAAGGAACCCAAGCAGATCGTCTCGAGTCATACGATCATCACTCCAGATGTTGGCTGGTTCAGGCTTGCCAAGAGTCTGGTAGTACAAGGTGACAATCTCTGGGCGTCGTTTTAGCAGCTTCACAAAGATCTTGAACTCGTTGAACTCCAGAAAGCCGGACTTGTCGACATCGGCCTCATCAAATTTAGACTTGAGATATGCCTTTGAGCAGAGCACGTGATGTCGTTGAGCGAGACGCTGAACGGCTTCGAATGTGAGTCTCTCCTCACCCTGCTCCTTGGCTGCGTACGACTTCCAGTGCACAGAGGCAATCTTGGGATTCGAGGACTGGAAGCCCCGCATCAGCTCCTGGCGAAAATACACTAGGTTTTGCAGAGCGTCAACGAACAACGTAAACTCCTCCTTGGTCGGGGCAACCAGATGAAGCGGCTTGCGGCGCTTGTTCTTCATGTAGGTGATGGTGACCCATCGTGATTCGTGGTTGGACGAGACTTTGAGTTCTTCTCTGTGGTTGCGGGCGTTTTCCTGCAGCGAAATCTCACAGATGGTGTCAACCGAGAAACATGCACTGGCCTTCTTGTCGTCCCACGACACCTTTCCTGTAACAGGGTCGATTTTGAACATGCGTTGCACCTTTTTCTTGTGTGTGATACGTAGAAAAGGCATTCCCTGCTGTAGAACGAGCGGCACCGTGACCTCTGCTGATTCAGAGGAGAGAATAGACGATACTGTGGCCACGTTTCCGGCCGATTGTTCCTCCGAGTTTTTGTGTCGTGTGATTGGCATTTCCACGCTGGGGCAGCTGCTGCTTCTGCTTCGGAAAGGGGGGCTTGTCGAAAGGCCTCGGCGGGAGAGTTTGCGGGCGAGGGCGGTCGGAAGTTCCATAACGGTGGATCCGAGAGTCGGGCTGATGCTGAGGGAAGATGCGAGAGTGTTTGCGAGCGAGGAGGGCGAAAACCGAGGCGAAAACCGAGGACTGGAGGATGTGCTCAGACGAGGACTGATGGGCACAGAGAATGGGGTTGTGTTTGTGACGATAGGCGGAATGAGTGGCGGCACTGTTCCCAGCACGGGTGCCGATGCTGCTGGCGAGAGATCTGTGGCGAACAGGCTTGTGTCGTTGGAGTTGTTGGTGTCGTTGGGGTCGTTGGTGTCGTTTGGGTCACTGTGTTCCGACAGTTCGAGGTCCAGAGCCGAATCGTCCTGCGTTTCTTGGATCACACTGTTTCGGAGCGGCGGATAGCTGTCTTTGCGGCCTCTCAGAGCCTCCAGGCTCTTGTATCTGGCGATTGCCCGCTGGGGCCGGTTCTCCAGATCCAGCGGTGCTATATGTTCCAATGACATTTGGTTTGCTTGCAATGCGGTTCGAAAAAGTGCGGCAAACGCACTGGTTTGTGCTGCCAGCTTTTTTGGGGGGCGTGGCCAGGGGTCTAGTCGGGGGAGCCGAGAGATTTGGGTCGCCTGGACGCTGGCTGGTTCAACTTGGGTTCAAGTACACTCGTAGAGTGAGAGTGTCGTGGGGGTGGATCTGCTGTCTCAGTTTTCCAGAAAGTCACGTGGTGCCGATAGTGCCGTGTGTGCCGGAACGGAGCATGGTGAGCGGTTGGGCATGTGGCGACAAGGTACGGTTTGTCAAATCGGTTGAACCGGAAACCTCATGGATCTTGTTACTCGCAAAAACGTCACAATGATACACAATCTATGGGCTACAGCGCGTCTACAAATGGCTCTGACGTGAGCTTATCCCGCGAAGTTTGGGAGTTTGGGTACAGGTGCATTTTCATATATAAACCCGGGGGCTAGGCCCTTGTCACCACCGGAAAAACGGGAGTTGCAAAGCGTGGGAGAAGCCAAAAAGATAAATATAGACGTTGTCGGAGCAACTGGTTTTTCCGTTACGTAGGGGAGGTATGAGCATGGACGCGACACGCTTAAATAGACGCTCCACCGTGCGAGCGTAGACTATCCGGGTGGCTACCTGAGCCTGTTATGTGTAATAATTTCCACTTCCAGTTCAGCTATTGCACAGTATTGCAGCAAACGCCCTGACTGCGTGCAGATTTCTCACCTGAGGTTCCAACGGCAGCGTCAGCGTGCATGTACAGTACATTCTGCATATCCACATACCGATCCATGTGGGTATGTGGGTATGTGGGTGTGTCTGGTGCACAGGTTCAGTGTAATGTGGTAAGCACTCGTTCCCTTTTGTCGAGCTGCAGAATGCCGTTTTTTTACGATCCGAAACTCAACCACGCCACCACAAAAGTTTATGGCACAATGAAAAGTACAGTACAAGTAGCGAGACACCAGCTAAACACGCACCAGGCACGGTTTCTATTGATGCAATAGATGTGGCTATTCCTCTCGACCGTGCTACAAATATTTATACATTGTACAAGTACGTGTGCAACTTATCCATAGATTGGTGCCTGTGTACTTGTATATGCCTTCCCCCTATTTATTGCCTGAGGGCGGTTTGCAGCCCTGAGGTATGTACCTCCCACTTATCTCATACAACCTCAACCACGTGATGCACCTAATAGTAGCCAGCCGCACTAGTCATCTTACAGCCCCACCCCCTGACAAGCAACACTGTCCATACCCAGAGGCAAGCTCTCGACTTGATACAACGGCAAATCCAAGCTACATTACCACCGCGGACCCTTCCTGCATGATTTCTCCCCTTCGCAACGACTCATCATGGCCTGGAATTTGACCAAAAGTGAGTGTGACAAGACAGACACCCAGATACGACATGATACACAGACAATAAATACGATACAATCAAGATCAGGCACAGGTATCGCACTGCCATCTCATGATTAGTGCATATGGTGGCGTCTTGATCTGAGCACCCTGGACCCCGAATGACCAATTATTATGGCGGATATCATCGCCGAACAGTGCTGGCCATGTAATAACCAACTAACACAGAACTCAAGGAGACGACTCTGTCGTCGTTTGGAGGACGGTCTTCGTCTCAGACAGTGACAAACCTGCCCACAGTGTCTACTAAGCCACAAGCACAAACAAAGGCGCCGCCGCCCAAGAAGAAGCAGCCCGAGGGACCGAAGCAGCCTGATGGACCCCCTACACCCACCCTCAAGTCTGGGTTTGCAAACAAGCTGACTACGTCTCTGTCCCACAACTCGACCAAAAGCCACAAAAGCCAGACCACCGTGCAAACCGTGCAGTCTAATCACACATCACTGAAGGATATCACCGCCGCCGTTGCCACCCCCGTGAGCACCCATGCCAGTACCCATACCCAGACCAGTGTTGATGCCGACTCGGCCACGGCCGCAACCACTGCCACCGCAGCCACAACGCACAGCACTGAGGACCTCAAGCCCGTAACGTCCATTTCCAAGCCTCATTCGCCACATTCGCCCTCCGTGCCCGCTGCAGGCGTGCTGGATGTGTCCATTTTTGGAACTGAGGGCCTGTCACTGCCTGACGCTTACAAAAAATATTCTGCATACTTTGAGGAGCAAGACAATGGGGGACCGCCTCCAGTCTATCTCGTTTTGGAGTTCGATAAGACCCAATTGCTGCTCGAGCCGACGGGTGGCACCGCTCTGGACTGCCCCATTTGGAATGCCCGGTCTTCGTTTGACGTCTCCCGTACAGACGAGGGTCTCACGATCAATATCTACGCCAAGCTTCCAACCACGCTAATCCAGAATGAAATCCACCCTCTCCTGGGCCGTAGCAGCGCTTTGGGAGACGAAAAGTCGACCAACACGGTGCTTGACGTCTTCCTCGGCTGCGTGCGAGTGCGCCCCGCGCTGACACATGCCAACCGGTCTGTGGACGGCTGGTGTTCGGTGTCATCTGGCACGGGAAGACTCAAAATCACCGTGGATTACAAACCTACACCGAAGTCTCAGTCGCAGCTGTCAATGCAGTCGTTTGAGCTGCTTAAGGTTTTGGGAAAGGGCACCTTTGGAAAGGTAATGATGGTGAAGAAAAAAGACACGCATCAAATCTATGCTATCAAGTCTATTTACAAACACTATATCATTTCCACGGACGAGGTTGCTCACACACTGGCCGAGCGGACCGTCTTGGCCCAGATTCGCAACCCCTTTATTGTTCCGTTGAAGTTTTCGTTCCAGAGTCCGGAGAAACTCTATCTTGGGCTGGCATTTGTGAATGGAGGCGAGCTCTTCTACCACTTGCAAAGAGAACGCTTCTTTGACCTCAATCGAGCACGTTTCTACACCGCAGAGCTACTCTGTGCTCTTGAGTGTCTACATGACTACAACATTGTGTACCGGGATCTGAAGCCGGAGAACATTCTGTTGGATTACATGGGACACATTGTTCTTTGTGATTTTGGTCTGTGCAAGCTCAACATGACGTCTGACGAGAGAACTAACACCCGCTGCGGCACGCCTGAGTACATGAGTCCCGAGATTCTTCTGAACAAGGGATACAACAAGTCCGTGGACTGGTGGACTCTTGGTGTTTTACTGTACGAAATGTTAACCGGACTCCCGCCATTCTATTCCGACAATCACAATAAGATGTATCAGCGGATCCTGAATGACCCGCTAAGGTTTCCTCAGGGTATGGATCCCACGGCGGTGGATATTATTACAGGGCTGCTTCAGCGAGAACCTTCTGAGCGTTTGGGGGCCGGGGGTGCCCAGGAAATCAAGGCCCACCCCTTTTTCAAGGACATTGATTGGAATAGGCTTCTTGCGAAGAAGTACTCGGCGCCCTTTAAGCCCAGGGTTCTTGATCCTACTGATACGAGCAACTTTGATCGCGATTACACGAGTATGGTTCCTCAGGATAGTGTTACCAATGACTATCTATCGGACAGCGTGCAGAAGCAGTTTGGCGGCTGGACTTATCTGGACCAAAACGTGTTGCATTAAGCTAGATTAGGGGGAGAAAGAGTGTGTGACTGTGAAGTACAAGTAATTGTATGTACAATCAATTAATTATTATCATGGCAGACGCTGGATTTTGGTGCACGAGGCTATTTGGCTTGTTTGTGGGCACAATAAGGCCTCGCTAGTTGCTCTTTGACAGGTACATGATGTATGTACTAGGGTTGTAGCAACTGCCGAGGCTGCCGCTACAGTAGTTTCAGGGTGCTGTCAGAGTCGAGAATATGCTAAAAGCTGCCCTATACGTTGTTGCAGCCAACGGCCAAGACATTAAGGGACCCTGGGTCAGCTCTAAGCGAAAGTCTAGTGACTTGTGTGAAAAACCCGCATTGGAAAAGAAACACTGCCTTTTGGGACGAGCACTTCCATTATTATATTACCAGAGATGGTAGTGGTCTCGTTTCCGCTCCCAGTAGTGTATAAGATGACTCCTTTTGGGTCCAATAAGGCTGTGGATCAGGTTTACACTCGGTAGTCTAGTGAGGAGAGGAGAGGATGGGATGGAGATACTCGCTAATGGCTGCTTCTCGATGGTTGCTTTTTGCTCTTGCTCGTCTCGACAGTAGCCCCGAGCAGGAACAAGGTGTGCAATTGCTTCTACTAGGGTCCGGCTCAGATAGATGTATCGATGCTGTTTTGCTTCTTTTTGGATTTTGCAGCAGGCTGAAATTAACATGGTACGAAAGCTAATGGTGGTACACGGGACAAGGGCAGCTGTCAGTTTAGCTCCATGGAAGAGTCTAGTAGACATGAAAAAAAAGGAGCTAGCGAACGGTAGATGCTCACTACCACGCCATCGCCACATACCACCATGGCTGCTTCGACTAGGCGTGTCTCTAGAGCGCCAGCACCCTACAGTAGTATACGTGCGGAGTGCATTGGGGGGAGAGGATACTGGTATACGGTGGGGAGAGTGCGACGTTCCCCTGTAGCTTCTGTCTGGGGTGCGGTCCCAAATGGGGCATTTAGGGGTCCAACAAACGTCTTTCGAATGTCTTGCAAATGAATCATACGCGTTTCACGATGTTTCACTCGTCCAGATTGGCTCCAGCAGAAACATAAAGTTGGCCAGAGCCAGTTTCAGGATCGACTGGGGGGGAGGGGGCTGTAGTCGTAGAGTGAATGGCTGCAAGGAGGATGTCGCACTAGTGATGACAGAGTTTGAAAGTTAGCAACAAATGGAGACAAGCGGCATCGGCCCTTACTTGTAGCTGGTATTTTGGGCTAGTCGAACTCCACAGCCAAAGTTGGAGTCGGCTAGTGGCGAAGGTTGTTAGTATGTATGCCCACCGCAGTGATCAGCACTAATGTATGTTGCACAACACATGGCTTACAAAAGCACAACTATAGATGGCCGAAGAGCTCCATGGTACTTGTCCGGCCTGTGCACCCGCCGTTAGGTTGGACTCTTGTTGCGAATGACGGCTTCTTCCGTGCCCAGGTAATGCAGGTGGTCTTTTACACATGCCAACAATGACAGAATGACAGCGTACGTTGGGCTGCCTTTTTAAAAGTTTCTTGGCGAAAAGGTAAAGTTATACGACTTGAACTTTGTCCCACAGGGGGTCGACTTGATTTTGCGATTTTCTGCCTGGTACCCCAGCCAGCTTGGAGATGTTGCAGGAGGAGGTGTATTCGAGGGAGCTACTGTTTATGCACATTTCTTGTCTGCTTTTGTATTGGACATTCCGCGGTGCATGGCGCATTTGGAAGTCATCTGTCAACCGCTCGGAGAGATTTTTTTTCATTCGTCAATATGCAGATTGTCTGCGGCGGGCGTTTGTTGGAAGCCAATCGGACCTTGTTGCACCTTCTAACGAGTTTCTAGACCTGGTCAAAGAAGAAGAAAAGAAAAATAAAGAAAAAGAACGTTTTGACTTTGCGCTTTTCAGACTTCACTATCAATAACAACCACACCGCAAACACCGAAGATCAAACAGGTGTGTGTGCATGGAGGTGGTGTAGCGGGAAGAGAGATTGGACTCGCTCAGTCGGATCCAATAGCCACTCCCGTCGATCGGCGAGGCTATGGGACACGGCTAAGTAGCCATAGCTCCCCCAGGGTTGCTCTAATGCAGCCACTCGAGCTCTACGGGACAGTTTAGTGGACATTTTCAAAGAGACAGATGCAACACTATGCAGCCAGTCAAGAGGCTCACGGCTCCAGGCAGAGTCGGTGTGCTCGGAATGCAACCGTTCGACAGGACATCGCATAGAGCTATTGAACTGACTGCATGGACCCAGGCTAGTCGTGGAACATTGCCGCCAGCCGCCAGCATCCGCGCTCGAGGGCACTTTTATATGGGCAATTGGCGATAGCGACTTGTGAATGGGCCCAGATCACCATGGAAACAACTTCGTCCAGTGCAACGATCAGTGAGGGAAACTCTTTTCAACGTTAAGACATTGCTTGAACCACCTACGGCTCGTATCGGAAATTCATCTACACCAGTTGCATGCAGAGTCTCCTTGTCTTTATGTCAACAGGGGCCTAACACGGGTTTTGATACAAGAAATACAGCCAAATTAGGCCGACAAGGTTGAGTAGAAGAGCCTGGGGAGATGGTTGGTATAAAGACTTCACGTAGTCCGTTCTGCACAAGCACCGACTATCGACCCTTCGGCATCCCTAACGACTTTCACTTCATTGGCCCAAGGCCATCGTAATTCAGTCTTTCCTCCGACGTTCACTGGTGAGTACATTCACGATTACCGAATCGGAGACTTGAGACTGCACCTCTGGTTTCACCTCCGATTTCCCCTCCGATTTTTCACCCATCGCACATCATTGCACATCATCGTCAATCACTGTCAATCTCCCGTCCCCCAACCACAAAGACTTCAAATACTAACCCTAGCCACCGAGCGTTTCACTTCAAACCGTTTAACCTCAGCCTTAAGTTAAAGTTGACTTGGTGAGTACAATAGGGAGCGATTCACACCACTTGCTGGAGCTGCTGGAGCGCCTTAGAGGCACCCCCCATACGGGTATAGGGAGCCACAGCTAGTCGGTGGGGCCACTTCATACCGAGAAAAATACCATACTAACACAGTGTGAGCATGAAGATCTCTCTTCTGCTCTCCGTTTCAGGAGCCCTACTTGCCGCTGCTGGTCCAGTGCAGTACAAGGCGTGCCTTCCTGCCTCCTCTCTCTCAGCTGAAGCCTGTGTGTCCAGCTGCGATGACTTTTTGACCCTGGGATCCGACCCCGAACAAGTGAGTATTCATTTCCGACAGGCCACCCCTGCCCCGCTGCCAGCACTGTGCCGACATTAGGCTTTTTCATCTTGGACAAATATTTTTCTGGGCTGCATTTTACGAGCAGCGACCCTAAAGGTTCAATTCTGCGCGCACAACTGCTCTTTGCAAACTTTGCCAAGCCTAATGCGATAGATTATGCATTGCTGCAAAAGAACATCTTCGTGCAGATTGCCAAAGGTCCCAGCTGCACTGCACTGCACATATGCACCTCAAACCACACACACAAACAAGGACAGATTACTAACCCAAAATAGTGCCTGCAGTGCCTGTCTGTGTTTGATCTCCCCGACCAAAAATGGGACGTTTACGACCGGCTCGAGGAGCTGGGACTCGCCCCGACACCCCAAATCACAGTCTGCGGCGCCGAAAACCCCCAGATCACCCCCGCCCCCGCCCCCGTTCCCGTTCCCGTGCTCGAAAAACGAGCCCCCATTGTGACCGTTTCGTGTAGCACCGCCACCACTTCCAGAGACTCGTGTCTCACCACCTGCGGCAACATCATCAACCAGATTGCCCTTTGTCTCGGAGTGAGAAGCTGTATCTGTGACCGAATTGTGACTTTTAACAACAATGTCGAAACCTGTCTCGAATGTATCACCAGATTCGACTTTGGTCCCGTCTTCGACATCCCTGGTAGATTTTTGCAATTCCTGGCTCAGTGTGACAGAGCAACTACTGTTCCACCCCCAGTTTGTGTTACTCGAACAATCGATACCAAGGTTTCCTGCGAACCAGACACCTTTACTTCAACTTGTTCTGTGGCCAACAACGACAACATGAGTCTTCTGAAGTGTACCGAGACTTGTACCAGTATCATCACTTCCATCGGTCTGTGTCTGGGCTTCCGATCTTGTATCTGTAACAGACTGGCTGCAGTAACTACCGCTGTCGCGCAGTGTATCCAATGTGTCTCGATTTTCGATCTCAGTGGAATCCCCTTTCTTGCAGCCAACTTCCTCAACGTGCTGGGTCAGTGTGGAGTGAACTCCCAAGCTCTCACTAGCTGCTCCCCCCTCACCATTTCTGGTAAATGTGTGACCATTTCTTCTACTCTGCCTCCTGCTCCCGTGACCTCAGCCGCAGTGACCACCAGCTCCAAGCCCCCCGCTCCCGCTTCAACATCTTCCCCTGTGGTCTCCAGCACTAATCCCGCTTCCAGCTCGCCTGTTGTGGTGCCCAGTTCCACCAACCCTGTTGTTTCTAGCTCGCCTGTGGTTGTCCCAAGCTCTTCCGCTCCTGCTTCAAGCTCGTCTTCCAGCTCGCCTGTTGTGGTGCCCAGTTCCACCAACCCTGTTGTTTCTAGCTCGCCTGTGGTTGTCCCAAGCTCTTCCGCTCCTGCTTCAAGCTCGTCTTCTAGCTCGCTTGTGATTGTCCCCAGTTCTTCCACTCCTGCTTCAAGCTCGCCTGTGGTTGTCCCTAGCTCCTCGGTTGTTGTTTCGAGCTCTACTCCTGCAATCCCCACTTCTTCTAGTGCTCCAGTGGTTGTCCCCACCCCCTCTTCATCTGCTGGTATCACTCCTCCCCCTGTGTCATCCTCTCGGGCTGCTGTGTCTACTTTCACCTCTTGTAGCACAGTCACCCAGTCCAGGGATAGCTGTGTCAAGACTTGTGGTGATATCATTCGAGAGATTGCTCTCTGTGTTGGAGTTCAGCAGTGTATTTGTGACAGAATTGCGACTTTCAACAACAACGTCGAGGAATGTTTGTCCTGTATCACGTACATCGACTTCGGTGGTCTGTTCAACTTCCCAGATCAGCTTCTGAGATTCATTGGCGGCTGTGGACGACCCACTACTGCCTCCGATGTTTGTGTTACCAAGACAATCGACCCCGCCGTGTCCTGTGAGCCTGATGTGACTTCTTCCACCTGCTCAGTCGGTAACAACAAGGATCTGAGCTTCACCCAGTGCTTCAATACTTGCACAAGCATTGTGAGCTCCATTGGTCTGTGTCTCGGAATTCGAAGCTGCATCTGTGATCGTATGGCCAGCACTGCGGAAGCAGTTGGTGACTGTATCCAGTGTGTGAGTCTGTTTGATTTGGGTAACATCCCTTTCCTCGGTGCCAACTTCCTTAACTGGCTTGGTAACTGTGGTATCAACTCTCAGGCCACTTCTCAATGCAGCTACCAGACCATTGCTGGAGAGTGTTCCACTCTGAGTAGCTCTGTCATTATCACCTCTGCTGCTCAGTCAACCTCCTCTAGTGCATCGATCCCTACCTCATCGGCTCTGACTGGTGTGTCTTCCACCTCTTCCACAGACACAGGATTGTCGTCTGCTACTTCGTCCTCGGCATCTAGCTCCGATGTTTCATCCAGCGCCTCTGACTCTGCAGTGACTTCCACTGAATCTGGTGCCTCTTCCACAGCTACTGATTCTGTTGCGTCGTCAGGAGCTTCCAGTTCCGATGTGTCTTCCACTGCTTTTGGATCGAGCTCCTCCATCACTGCCTCTGACTCGGGTTCGTTGTCACCTTCTCCCTCATCTACTGAGAGTTCCGACGCATCCACCCACATGTCCACAGCGTCCTCCACCGTTACTGGCTCCGACACGACCTCCTCTGCCTCCAGCTCCGATGTGTCTTCCACTGCTTTTGGCTCAAGCTCTTCTTCCACTACTTCTGATTCTTCGCTCTCATCTACAGAGACGTCGGAGATATCCACCATCACATCTGCTCCTTCCACTTCCACTGGCCCTGTCGCTACTACCATCACTTCTTGTAGCACAGTCACTCAGTCCAGGGATAGCTGCATCAAGACCTGTGGCGACATCATCCGAGAGATTGCTCTGTGTGTTGGAGTTCAGCAGTGTATCTGTGACAGAATCTTGACTTTCAACAACAACGTCGAGGAGTGTTTGTCCTGTATCACCTACATTGACTTTGGTGGTCTTTTCAACTTCCCTGATCAGCTGCTGACCTTCCTTGGTGGCTGTGGACGACCCACTACTGCCTCCGAGGTGTGTGTTACAAAGACCATTGATCCTTCCATCTCGTGTGAGCCCGACGTCACTTCTTCCACCTGTTCCGTTTCCAACCCTCGAGATTTTACTATCTCTCAGTGTCTGAAGACTTGTGGCGATATCGTTTCTTCCATTGGTCTTTGTCTTGGAGTTCGAAGCTGCATTTGTGATCGTATGGAAAACACTGCTCAGCTTGTTGGAGACTGTATCCAGTGTGTGAGTTTGTTTGATCTTGGAAGCATTCCCTTCCTTGGCGCCAACTTCCTCAACTGGCTTGGTCAATGTGGTGTCAACTCTCAGGCCGCCAGTAACTGTGTGTACCAGACCATCACTGGTGAGTGTCACACTCTCAGCAGCTCTGTTGTCATCACCACTGCCGCTCAGTCCACCACCTCCTCCAGCGCTGTCGTTGTTCCTTCGTCGTCGGTCCCGACCATTGTGTCATCCACTGCTACCACTGACATCGTGTCGCCTAGCAGTAGCACTGCTGATGGATCCACTTCCAGCGATGGTATCACTTCCGCCACTTCTGAGTCGTCTTCCACAATCACTGCTACAATCAGTGACAGCGGTAGCACCACACAATTGTCGTCGTCTGGCATTTCATCGGATATCAGTGGTTCTGTGTCTCAAACGTCTGAGTCGTCTGCAGGTACATCCACCGTGGAAACCTTAACATCTGACTCGAACACTGAATTTGGCTCCATCACCACTACATTCTTGTCATCTTCTATTACAGATGTGTCCACTAGCTCAACCGCCTCCGATGACGAGCAGTCCTCTACCGCTTCTATCCCTGAGTCCAGTTCCGTGATGTCGACTTTGTCGTCTTCTGCTGCCATTACTGAGTCTCTCAGCTCCGGATCTGTGTCCGAGACTTCAGCTGTGTCCAGCACTCGAACACCAATCATCTGTGCCCGAGACGGTATGAATGAAGAGGATTGTATCACTCTCACTGATGAGTCCAGCATCGTAGAGTCTGCTACCACTTCCGGTGGTGTCTCGTCTGAGTCGTCTGCCATCCCTAGCACTGATTCTGTGACAGCTTCGACCACTTTTGAGTCTTCTGCCACAGGTGTGCCCACATCCTCAGAGATCCAGCCTACGTCATTTGTCGAGTCTTCAAGTGAGTCTGCCTCTTCCACAGCTGAGTCCTCTTCTGTGTTTGAGCCTTCTTCTTCTGTCGTTGAGCCTTCTTCTTCTGTGGTCGAGTCCACCTCTTCTGAGGTTACTAGTGATACTACCTCTTCTACTGCTGAGTCTTCTTCTGTCGTTGAGCCCACCTCTTCTATCGTCGAGATTACCTCTTCTCAGGTTACTAGTGAATCTGCCTCTATCACTGCCGAGTCTTCCACCGTGGTTGAGCCTACTACCTCTTTGATTGAGCCTTCTTCCCAGGTTACTGGTGAGCCCACCTCTTCTGTCGTCGAGCCCACCTCTTCTGTCGTCGAGCCCACCTCTTCTCAGGTTTCTAATGAGTCTTCCTCTTTCACAATTGAGTCGTCTCTCACTGAGGAGTCGGTCACTTCTTCTATCGCCACCCCAACCTTTACAGGCGAGGGATCTATCACCACTACCATTATTGAGTCTACCTCCTCTTCCGAAGAGTCAGCGTCTGCCACCACTGATGCTACCCCCACCGGCGAAGAGACTGCCTCCACTACTTCGGAGCAGTCTTCTGCCACCCCTACCGGTGATGTTTCTTCTGCCACTCCTACCGGCGATGTCTCGTCTTCCACTCCTACTGATGACGTCTCGTCTGCCACTCCCACCGGCGAAGAGACTGCCTCCACTACTTCGGAGCAGTCTTCTTCTGCCACTCCTACCGGTGACGTTTCGTCTGCCACCCCTACCGGTGACGCTTCGTCTTCCATCCCTACTGGTGATGTCTCATCTGCCACTCCTACCGATGACGTTTCGTCTTCCATCCCTACTGGTGACGTTTCTTCTGCCACCCCTACCGGTGACGCTTCGTCTTCCATCCCTACTGGTGATGTCTCATCTGCCACTCCTACCGGCGATGTCTCGTCTTCCACTCCTACTGGTGACGCTTCGTCTTCCATCCCTACTGGTGACGTTTCTTCTGCCACTCCTACCGGTGACGCTTCGTCTTCCATCCCTACTGGTGACGTTTCTTCTGCCACCCCTACCGGTGACGCTTCGTCTTCCATCCCTACTGGTGATGTCTCATCTGCCACCCCTACTGGTGACGCTTCGTCTTCCACCCCTACTGGTGACGTTTCTTCTGCCACCCCTACCGGCGATGTCTCGTCTTCCACCCCTACTGGTGAGCCTTCTTCTTCCCGGGTTACTGGTGAGCCCACCTCTTCTGTTGTCGAGCCCACCTCTTCTCAGGTTTCTAGTGAGTCTTCCTCTTTCACAATTGAGTCGTCTCTCACTGAGGAGTCGGTCACTTCTTCTATCGCCACCCCAACCTTTACAGGCGAGGGATCTATCACCACTACCATTATTGAGTCTACCTCCTCTTCCGAGGAGTCAGCCACCACTGATGCTACCCCCACCGGCGAAGAGACTGCCTCCACTACTTCGGAGCAGTCTTCTGCCACCCCTACCGGTGATGTCTCATCTGCCACCCCTACTGGTGATGTCTCATCTGCCACTCCTACCGGTGACGCTTCGTCTTCCATTCCTACTGGTGACGTTTCTTCTGCAACCCCTACCGGTGACGCTTCGTCTTCCATCCCTACTGGTGATGTCTCATCTGCCACCCCTACTGGTGACGCTTCGTCTTCCACCCCTACTGGTGATGTCTCATCTGCCACTCCTACCGATGACGCTTCGTCTTCCATTCCTACTGGTGATGTCTCATCTGCCACTCCTACCGGTGACGCTTCGTCTTCCATCCCTACTGGTGATGTCTCATCTGCCACCCCTACTGGTGACGTCTCGTCTGCCACTCCCACCGGCGAAGAGACTGCCTCCACTACTTCGGAGCAGTCTTCTACTGCCACCCCTACCGGTGACGTTTCGTCTGCCACCCCTACCGGTGACGCTTCGTCTTCCATCCCTACTGGTGATGTCTCATCTGCCACTCCTACCGGCGATGTCTCGTCTTCCACTCCTACTGGTGACGCTTCGTCTTCCATCCCTACTGGTGACGTTTCTTCTGCCACTCCTACTGGTGACGTTTCTTCTGCCACCCCTACTGGTGACGTTTCTTCTGTCACTCCTACCGGCGATGTTTCTTCTGCCATCCCCACCGGTGAAGAGACCGTTTCCACTTCCGGTGTTGTTCCCATTTCTTCTGGTCAAGAGTCTGCTTCAACATCTACAGATTCTAACTCTGCTACCGTTTCCTCTTCTGGCCAGGAGTCTGCCACTGGTTCCACGTCCGGTGCTGTTCCTACATTTGGTGAGCAGTCGGGCATCACGTCTGGATCTACCCCTACATTCACTGGTGACAATGGTTCTACTGCCACTGTCCCCATCTCGACAGAAGGCTCTGGAATCAACTCTGGAGAACTGGACTCTGCCACCCTTGAGGTCCCCACTGCTACATCTGCAACTGGTACTGTTTCCGTTGAATCTCAGATCACATCTTCTTCTGGAGGTGGTGGAGGTCTTGCCTCTGAAGACATTCCTGGATCCGCTACTGCTACTGGCACCGCTACTGTTACTGGCCTGGTTCCTGATGTTACTGGCTCGGCAACTGCCACAGGTTTGGCTTCTGAGGATCTTTCCGGCACTATCAGCCCACTTCCTACTACCACCAACTTGTCAGGCGCCTCTCAGCCTCTCACTACCATGTCTACTTCTACACTTGGTGGCGGTGGTGCTATTGATGGTGGTTCGAACGGATCTGGCTCTGGTTCAGGCTCTGAGGGCTCCGGCTCTAGTTCAGGCTCTGAGGGCTCCGGCTCTGGTTCAGGTTCTGAGGGCTCCGGCTCTGGCTCTGGCTCTGGTTCAGGTTCTGAGGGCTCCGGCTCTGGTTCTGGCTCAGGTTCAGGTTCAGGTTCTGAGGGCTCCGGCTCCGGCTCTGGCTCTGGCTCTGGCTCTGAGGGCTCCGGCTCTGGCTCTGGCTCTGGTTCAGGTTCTGAGGGCTCCGGCTCTGGCTCTGGCTCTGGTTCAGGTTCTGAGGGCTCCGGCTCTGGCTCTGGCTCTGGTTCAGGTTCTGAGGGCTCCGGCTCTGGCTCTGGCTCTGAGGGCTCCGGCTCTGGCTCTGGCTCTGAGGGCTCCGGCTCTGGCTCCGGCTCTGAAGGTGAAGCACCTCCCCAGTCGCCTGGTGGTGAGACCCTGCCTCCCCAGGCCAACTCTGCGAAGACTTATGGTGTCTCTGCTGGTATGATGGGCATGGTTATTTTGGTTGTTCTTTTCTAAGCTAGTTAGCTAGCTATTGGTTTCTACCTCTTAAAATTGTCAATTGTTAATGAATTCTTTGTATAAAAAATCTTGTTCCTTTTATTATTATATTTATATGTACATTTATTGTACAAGTATTACTGTACTTGTAGTTGTAGTCTCCAATAAGTACAATGCCTTGCTTGATAGTTTATTGAGCTCGGTCGTAAAGACGAGTAGGGCTATGCAAGATTAAGAAGTGTACTGAACTCTATGTATTTTGAAATTCTGGGTCTCGAGGTTCTAGAAGCCCGGTACGTCAGGGACCCTCGCCTGTCTGGAGGATGGCCAAAAACACGATTTATATATTTGCTGCTCTGTTTGTGTTTCTTGGTTTTATTGCCGGTCACGTGTTATGGAAATTCACGCAGATTTTTATACACCATCAGAGTGGCTGTGCTAAAATTATTAGGCTACAGTGTACATATAATAACCCATCTCTCGGCCACTTGTACTCTTGCACTCCCACCCTTTCCACGCTACACAGCACACGCTAGCGTTTTTTTACATCACTTTTACGATGGCGGCAGTTATCAACCGAAGTGTGACTTCGCTCCACAACGAGCTGGAGTTTCTGTTTGAGTCCGAGGTGATTTCCCAGGCTCTTTATGACGATATTTGCAACAAGATCCCTCGAAAGCTGACACCTGGTCAGAAGCTGGACTTGCCTGGTTCTCAAGTTGTTGGCATTGCCGAGGTGACTGAGCGGGTTGCAGCTGTTCAAATCACCCCTGCTGCCCCCTCCCCTCCCGTTGCTGTTCATCCTGCCTCTGCTGGTTCAGGTGGCAAGGTGGAGGCTCTCTATGACTACGTCGCACAGGACCCCACCGACCTGGCTCTTGTCAAGGGCGACCAGATTGACATCATCGAGAAGCTGAACAACGACTGGTGGAAGGGCCGAGGCCCCAGTGGCAAGGAGGGAATCTTCCCTGCCAACTACGTCAAGGAACTGTCTGATACTCCCTACATGGCTCCTCCTCCCGTGAGCCGATCCCAGAGCACTGTATCGTCTGTGGCTGCGGCAAGCTCCACCACCACTCTTCCCACGGTGTCCTCTTTGGCCGTGAACGAGGAGAAGTCCGAGAAGTCGGCCTACCCTTCTTACAAGCAGCCGGACTACGCCGCTCCCGCCGCCCATTACAACCCTCCTCCTCCCACACAGTACAACCCCCCTCCCCCAGAGCAGTATGGCTACCAGGCCCCACCTCCCCCGGGATACCAGGGAGGGTACCAACCTCCTCCTCCCCAAGGCTACCAGGGCCAGCAGCAGCAGCAATACTACCAGCCCCCTCCTCCGCAGACTGTGGTTGTGGAGCAGGGCCAGCAGCATCAGGGTGGCGGAGGCCATCTCAAGAGCATTGGTTCAAAGTTTGGAAACGCAGCCATCTTTGGTGCTGGAGCTACCCTTGGTGGAGACCTCATCAATTCTATCTTTTAATCACGAAGTAACGTCATAGAGAATATATTTATTGCCTAGTCTGTTGACAGACCATTGCCAGGCTCTTAAAGTGAGCTAATTAACCATCTGGGACTCCATTCTCAATCAGAGGGAGGTTACAGACCTGCATCGATCAGGCATGAGCGAGACGTGCGGAACATGGAGATCTGAACCCTCCCGAGCTTCCTAAGTTTGGCTCGTTCTTGTGGGTCCAATCTTGAGGTAAATCGTGGGCTGTGCGACTACTTGAACTCGTACTGTACTTGTACGAAACGCGTTCGTAGGTGGAGTTGACTGACTGTTGTCATAGGAACATGGTCATGGCGTCTACTTGTACCATTGTTTGTTATTGTGTTGTATGGTCTAGTCTGTTGCTGCCTGCACACTCTTTTGATTTGGCCCCCACGCCGTCACGTCACTGTGCATAGATATACGAAGGAGTGTATTTGAGAGTCCAGAAAATGCGAAAAAGAAAAGCTGATTGATAATTCCTCGGAACTTCGCTTGGAGAAAGAGAATCCCCAATTTGAAAGCTTTACCAAGCAACTAAAGAGTGTTTGGAGCGCTGAATGGGCTATTGTAGTGTTTATACAGCGCTGTATGAATCTCTCTGGTGGGAGGGATTAAAGATGGTGTGTGAAACGAGTCTGCGACATGTCCCAAAACCAGACATGATTTATCAAATATCAGGCTTCACTAATTAGTAATTCGTTTGAATGAACGAGTTCGAAACAAGAGCGGTTAATCTGGCGTTACTTGCTCTGTATTGCAAGTACATGTGACTATATTGCTTTATAAACTCATACAAGCACACGTACAGTACATACGAGTGGTACGCGTCTACATGTGTGCGATTTAACCCCTTCATCGTGATGGAGCATACTCCCGCGAAGAGGCCAATTATCACAATCGCCAAAAACAGTTGTGAGAGCTAACAATCGGTTTCAACAGTTTCAACTGCTCGGTTGGATGCATGTCAGCTGTCTACGGCCCGTTTATCCTGCAAGCTCCTCTCAGTGTGGTACCTACGACACTATTACTCGTACTGGTACGACCGTCCCTGGGTACCCACTAGACAAGACGAAACGGAACCGAAATGGGGATAGAGCTACAGTGCAAGTAGTTATGGAACATTTTATGTTAATTATAGTCAAATGAAAATTAGGGTCGAGACAGGAGTTCGGGATGCTTGTGGAATATCTAGCTGTGGAATATCTAGCTGTGGAATATCTAGCTACTTGTACTCGTAAGTGCCGTATAGTAAGTGCATTTCCGTTGAATAAACAAGACTCTCTCTCTACTTGTACACTACAGTATATACCATGTTGGGTGCTACTATATCAAGCGTCACTATCAAAGCCACTGCATTCTCCACCTTCCACTCCATCCATGCTCTCAAACTCATGGCCAGTATAATCCCCCGGACTTGCCTATATACAAGTACTTGTGTTGCCGGAATGATCAGGTTTGGTCACGTGTAACATTGTACGATGCCTACTGACCGCCCTCAAGTATTGCATACATACTGTACCACCACTTGTACTCGTACTCCACCCTTGTTGGTCAGGTATGCTCTCTTCAGTGCCAACCCATTCTGATTGATCCCGAACCCCGCTCACTTGATGCTTTTCGATGTACAGCATGTACTGTACTTGTACTCGTACCGCTACATACAAAGACTGCATCTGGTCTAAGGGATACCGTTTAGCAGGTCTAGCAGTTATGGAGATTGGCAATCTCTGTGTCTCATCCATTGCTGTTCCAGTACTGAGCCGGCAGTCTAGTCAGTATTCGCAATCGCACAAGCTCTTGTACTTGTATGTACTGTACATAGTCATACTTTCAACTACTGGTATTGTACTGGCACTCGGATGTAGACCACCGTTGTCGAGATAGTTGCCCAGAGTCAATCTGGTCCAGTTCGGGGGCAAGCCATAATATCTACCCGGTGACACACGTGTCGAACCGTCTTTACGTGCGGACCACTGTTACAAGCCCGGCAACAGTCGTCAATGTACAGTGTCGAACCTGGTGGCAACACCTGTCACTCACCGCTTGGCACCCCACACAGTGTTCCAACTTGTAATCACGATTACATCATCTGCGGAAATCGAACTCACGCGCGGAGAAGAAATAATCCCAAAAAAAGACGGTCTGAAAAACCCACCATTTATCGGACTTGATCTGCACCCCATACTCTTCCCCATAATGTATAAACTCTCGGACTTGGGGTATTTTTGATTGGGGAGCTGCACGCACCCCACGCACTTGCCATGCTCTCTCACACACAAGGTATGAATGGTCCAATGGGCCTGGTCAAGGAGTAAGCTGAGTGCGTAGGCGTGGAGTGGAGTGGGTGCTGAAATTTAAGTGCTCAAAGAGTCGTGAAAATAACGTCGAATATCGCAGTACTAAAGGCGGGGTATTCAATCCTGCGACCCCTGCACTGGAAACCGTTGCCATAATAACAAATATAATATATATACAAGTACTCGAACATATATATGCCACGCAGACCGGCTCGGACATTGTCGTGTTTTGCTATATACACCGTTCTCCGGCTTTGCCCGATTTGCGTGCCTGCGGATTGGCTGAACGTGAAACAAGTTTGCTGCAACCGAATTAAACGGCTGAAGCCAGCAATCCAACCACCGAGTGGCAATCTACTGGTTCGCAGCTTTACAACCGTGCAAACAGCGCTCCGTCCCCCCCTTATATACACATGGTGGGACCTTCTCCACGTGAAAACTAGCCTCGGTACATTTAGTTCGGCAACCTTACCCCAGCTGAGCTTATTTGCGGTGGTGACGAAGACCGTTTTTAAAACCCTAGAGTCTCCCCTTCTTCACGCCAACACACACAAAAAAGATGTCCGTTTGCCTCGCCCAGAACCCCACCGTGACCCGAGTGGTCAAGCTGCTTGAGACCCACGTCGGTCGAGACAAGATCCTGCGGTCCATCCAGTACTTCTCGCGGTTCCTGACCTACTACCTGTTCCGAAAGGGCTACACCAAGGACACCATTGATATTTTCCGAAAGATCCAGAACCAGTTCTCCATGGCCCGAAAGCTGTTCCGAGTTGGAAAGCCCATTGGCCATCTCAAGACCGCCGCCGTGTCGTTCGAGAACAAGACCCTGGACCCTTGTCTGCGATACACAACCATTGGCCGAAACCTCGGCTACGCCATCTACCTGGTCTTTGACTCCATCATCTACATCAACGGCTCCGGCATCAAGAAGATTGACAACATCAAGACCATCAAGAAGGTCGGCTCCTACTTCTGGGCCTTTGGTATCTTCTGCAACATTCTCAACTCCATCCACAAGATCAACATCTGCAAGAAGAAGCGAGCTGCTCTGGCAGCAGAGAAGGAGAAGGACACCACCTCCGCCAAGAAGAACGACAAGGACGCTGCCGCTGCCCAGAAGCAGCTGGTCTGGGATCTCCTCGATTTCTCCATCCCCCTCACCTCTCTCGGCTACCTGCACCTCGATGACGGTCTCGTCGGCCTGGCTGGTTTCGCTACCGGTATTATGGGTGTCCAGAAGGCCTGGGCCGCTACTGCTTAGATAGATAACTCGCAAGAGACGTATGCTCAATAGGGAGAGCACAAAGAATAATGAGTTTTGACTGTGTTGTAGCAACCAAGTGTGTCTGTAGCGTTCCGTGTAGTTCTGCAGATGAACAATGTGTGCAGATAGCAGCATGCCAATCAGTAGACCTGAGAAGGTGTTACCAGTACGAGCACTGTACGACACAATTGATACATATCCATAAAACGCGTCTTCGGAGATAAATCAATGTCTCAGATGTACGATAAGAGCAGCGTATGATGTGAGTTGTATTGTGCATGGAGAAACTGAATAGCATAAGAGTGGGTAGAGAGAGGTGAAGTGGGAAACGATCTGTTTAAGAGGCATGGCATGGCTATATGTTCTCTGACGTCTCAGTATCACCATATGACCACATACTCCACATTCAATCCCATTGATATCCCTCTACGGAATCGAAGGATGTACGAGTAGATACTGAATCAACCATTGTCACAACCACAAGTGTACAAGTAATGACTAACCACCACTATCAATTGACTGGTATACAGTATCATATAGTTTGTTATAGTAGGACGCCTTTCAGTTCAGTTACTTGACAACAATCTCCTGATATACAAGTACTATCCCCGTATGTAGTCACGCGACCCATAAGGACTTCAACCAACATATAAGACCTCTGTGTATGTCACGTGATGGCATAAAATGTATATATGCTATTATTCGTTCTCCGTTTTACCACTGTCATATATTATTGCGATATACTGGCCCCTCATCAATGACATCCTCCTGTTTGTGCTTAGTAATCTTCCACAAACCCTAACCTGGTTATTCAACATGACGCATGTTTCGAGACACGCTCAGTATATCGTCGCCATGAACAAAGCACAGGGGAATCCGGCTGGAGCCGCTGCCGGCGGGGCGACCACGGCCCAGCAGCAGCAGCAGCAACAAGCTGCTCGACGTCGACGCGCGTATTTCTTCAGCGAAACGACGGAATCGTTGTTGAAAAAGTACGAGAAGGATGCTCCATCGTTGGAGCTACATATTCACAAGACACATTTCCGGTTTGGCAGCCAGGAGAGCGTGATTCCGAAAAACTCGCCGCTCATCAAAATCTTTCTTGAGTACGTTAAGGAGGAGCAGATTCCGCTGGCGGCCACAGAGGTGTTCAAGGATGCAGGTATGCGGTTTTACGAGGGATGTATTATTTTGGAGATTGTCGATTATCGAGGAGTTCCCGACAAGACCGAGGAGACGGAGCAGCAACAGCAGCAAAATCAACAGCAAAATGGTCAGGATCCTAATCAGCAACAGAATCAACAGCAGAATCAACAACAAAACCAGAACCAACAAGAGACACAGGAGCCTACAGTTCCGCCAAAATCTTACAGAACGCTACTGAAACCGACTCCGCTGTCCATATACCACGATCTCATGTACACAACGGACCCCAGTCACGGTCGATTCACCGACCAGCTGGCTCTGCTGATGGAGGCCGAGATTCTGAACCTGACGATCCGGAACGTCAACCTGTGGGTGTCGCAGGATAAGTGGAAGGATCAGGACAACAAGCGATACCTGTCTGCGCCCGTGACGGAGCCACGCACCTTCTCGTCGCTCAAGGAAGCCAACAAGCTACTGCACCAACACAGACCCGAGGGTATTGTGATCCAGAAGCCTCAGCATGAAGACGTGTTGCACCAGACCTCGGACATTGAAGAGCTCATGTTGGTCATGTCCGACCGAAACGACGACACTGCGACTACTGCTACGGCCGGTAAGTTCCAGCGTCTCGGGTTTGTCGAGCAATGGCGGAAGAAGCGAGACCGCATCAGGCAGCAGATGCAGGCTCAGGGAGCTACTGGAGCACCTGTTCCTGCTCCCAGTATTGGTCCTGGACCTGGTCAGGGCCAGATTCCCGGTCAGATGCCTGTTGGCGGCCAGATGCAGGGCATGGGTCCCATGGGCGGTCCTCAACCCGGTCAAATGGGTGGGCAGATGGGTCCTGGACCTGGTCCCATGGGTGGACCTGGGCCTGGTCAAATGGGAGGCCCCCAGCAGGGTTTCAACCAGATGAACCGAGCCCAGATGCAGCAGAGAATGCAGCAGCAGCAACAGCAGCAGCAGCAGCAGCAGCGGATGAATGGAATGCAGAACCCCATGGGAATGCAACAGGGCCCACCTATGGGAATGCAACCTCCCGGAGTCCCAGCGATACCCGGACAGGGAATCAGTGCGTTTGGAGGAGGACGACCTCCTGTTCCGCCTCAACAACAGCATCCTGGAGGTCCTGCCAGTGGCGCGTCTACGCCTGCTGACTTTGGTACGCCCGCTGCTTCGCCTGGAGCAGTACAGAGTCCCGGAGCTAAAGCTCGGACACCTTCCGCTTCTCGAGGAAAGGTGACCAAGCCGCGGGCCAACCCTGCTGCTAAGCGGGGGAAGGCTGACTCGCCGCGTAACGTTGCTGGCAAGACCCTGCCCGGCGGAGAAAAGACGGTGCCGGGAAAGACTGTGCCTGGTAAGACCATTCCTGGAAAGACTATTCCTGGAAAGACGGTGCCCAAACGCAAGAAGAAGGATTAACTAACGGCGAAATGTATTATAGTGTATTAGACAAACGAGAGTGTAGATGGGTGGGGTGGTGTTTTCAGCAGAATCTGGGCATGTAGCTGAAAGTGCATCCTGTAGCTTGTTCACGTGTCTATGCTGTAATCGCCATACCATGTGTTATCATGGCGCTGGAGACTACTGCCTGCCACTACTAAGGATGTATTAAACGATCTTACTACACATCATATCCGAAATAATACAAATGTCAAAGACGTAACTAGAAAACTAAATAGCTCGAGTCCGCACCGTTTATTCACAACCACCCGATTCAAACGTCCAAGCCACCTTGCATAATCTCTCGCTTAGTGAACTTTCTTCGGAGTCCGTCTTATCTCCGAGAAGATGGTGATGTGTAGGGGGTTTAAAACTGCGTGTGTAGGAATGTTGATCAAATATTACGAATACTCTGTGTCCACACATCTGATTCCTGTCGAAAATCTGTCAAATATTATGCCTTTTCCATGTGACGAGCTCCACCAACGCCACATCCATTACCCCGCTTTAAACTCTCATCTGGGATATATGATGGGGGAAAGAAGCAGGTCTGCGTTCTGTTTCACCACATGAGCATCTTGCCCAACGAACTTTTGCTGCTGGCTCTGGCCCAGCTGCCGCTCGACAGCATCTGTGTCGCTGGCTCTGTGTGCTCTCACTGGCGCAAGTTGGTTGTGGACAATGACCAGCACCTCTTTGCTAGCGAAATGTTGCTGCTATTTCCTCTCATGAACCCCATCAGACCACATGAAACCAACGATTCGTATCGTCTGCGGTTTCTCAGGGCAAGTCTGGGTCGCATCAAGGGCCTGCCTAACCAGATCATTCACACGAGGCTATTCTACGAGCTGCAATTGCTGGATCAAGAACCCCCCACAGTGGACATTCAGGCCATCAAGATCGACACGACGGATAACCAACACATCACCATCCACAATAACGAACTGATCCCCGCCAACATGACTCCCTTGTTTGCTGAAGATGTCATCTGCAGACACTGGGCTACAGACCAGAGCAGTGTGTCCTACATCAGAGACAAGATGCTGGTTCGCAATGGTATAGAAACCGATCTATCCTCTGGAGAAGCCACCAACAAACTAAGTCACTACGATCTGCGAAAATGCTACATTGACACTATGTGCATCTTTTCTGTGGGAGACCGAACATATGTGGTGAGACTCAAAAGCTCCACCGCCAAGTGCTTGTCTGCACAAATGAGCGGAGATACCCTATATTGCATAATATCCGATCATCAGTGGACAGTAGTTAGGGTGACTTCTAGCGGCGAGCAGACAGAGGTGGTTATAGGAGACCAGGAGCTGACACCCTTGCTTCAGGTGCTGCATGGACATGTGTTTGTAGAGCAGCCATCTGTCTCGTACACCTCAACAGTCTACTATGTGAATATGGACTCGCGCATCTCTTACAAGCTGTACCGGACTGATGGAATGGGCTCTGGGCTTCCATGTGCCGTGTTGGATGGGTTCATCTACGTGTACTATGGAGTTGACCGACGGCGGCGGTTTAATCGACAGATGATCAAGCTGTTTTGTGATTTTGGCAGCAAGCAAAGAGAGTCTGGAAAGCAGCTCGGTTATCAGGTGCCAGTCTACGTGGCGTGTATTCAGTATACGGACTCGGTGGATTTAGCAGGAGGCACTCACACTAAGATTCTGAGTGATGCTACGGGCGCCTATTGCTTGTCTCATGACTTTGTCAAGACTAGTGGGCACTTGTGGAGGCCACGCGACCATCAGATTTTACAATTTGAGCAGGACGAAGAACTATTTCAGGTCTGTGTGGAGCAGGGACGGGGACGGGTGCATGTGTATAGGTATGCAGATAAATTTCATTGTGTGTAGAAGAATTCATTGGGCGTTTCGAGGTGAGACAACTGTAAGACAAGGACGTTGACGTTGCTGTAGATAGGGATAATTGCTCCTACGTGATGCTAGTGACACACTTGTGTTATTATATCTGCCTATACTTACTCCTGCTCGTACGCCTACAATTGAAGGTCACGGGCCCGATTTGCACTCTTAAAACTTATGGCAGAAGCCATCATCACTTGTTGAGCGTTGATCTTGCCTACCTGGTCCTGATTTGTTTTCCCTCCCAGCTTTTCTGTTTTTTCTTTCGCTTTTATCACTGCTGCCCCTGGAAATATGCGTTTTAACTCAGTGATAAGCTTGGCGGACCATTTAGGCGAAGTGACTTTTGCGGAGAACGATAGTAGAGCGTTCAATGTTGGCCATAGGCGTGGCAAGAGGGGGGTTGATCAAGCACATCATCTGTGCCTCTTCAGAAACCAGTGCTCGTTCTCCTTCTCATCTTTCATGTCCTCACTTGATCCACGTTCCCCATGCTTTCACATTCACACTCCACCTGTCCAATGCCACTCTAAAGCCTAACCGCACATGCAAACAAAGAAAAGCGCGCCCCACGGACTTTCACAAGCTGGGGAACAAAGAGACGAGGAACAACGTTGCTTTGCATTTTTCCGCTCTCCAAAAAACACGGGGGGGTATATATGAGAGCGGGGAGACGTTGAAGGGCTCTCAATCATTGTACATGGTATGCCATCACTAATGGAGAAAGTCACCTTCACCAGCAACTACGCCGCAAAGACCCTGTTTGCCACCCAGACCCTGATTGCAATGCTGGCCATTGCAACCATTGCGTTTGTGGTCGATAGCTCCACTGTGTGGATTCTGATGGTCGCCTTCGTGGCCGCAGCCAAGGACATCCACAGAGCTCTCTACGCCTTTTACAACTGGGCCCGGGATATCGATAGATACAACGTCGAGCAGGACACGCTGAGATTTGGCTACGGCGACGATGTTTACAGCAAGATCTAAACATACACGACCAGCATACAACCATTACACAACCCCCATTGCACATACAACTAACCTGGACTCCGACCTAGTCCACGCATCCACTAATCGATTTTTCGACGGAATCACATATTTCGCATGTTCTAAACGGTGAGGATGGACTGAGTAGCTACACTTCTACAGAGGCGACTTCCACAGTGGACACTTCCGCAGTGGACACTTCCACACGCTATCAGCTACTAAGCCCACCACAACGCTCTCCAATCAACGCTTTCACACCTACTGGTGTACCAAGAGAAGCATTTGCTCTCGTTATTTATAGTATATAGAAATACATTTTATTACACACATGCATTTTTTTTTGTCCGTTTCCCCTCCCCGGAAGCACCTCTTGTCCCCATATGGGGTCCCCATAGTTCCTGGGTAGTTCCTGATGTCAAACACACTTCTGGCCTCGTGCCTTGTTCAATCATGCTCTCATCGTCAGGAGGGGCAGTGAGACATAAAAAAGCAAATCCAATGTAAAATTCAAACAACAAAATAATGGTGCAAAAAGTTGGGCAAGTGACATGGGTTAAGTACAAGTAGGGGCAGTTACCATCGGCAGCGTATTTGCTACAATAGTGTCTGTTAAGGGCGTCTTGTTAGATCTCCTCGCAACGCTCTCTCTCTCATCCTAGACGTGCCTATTCACTCCTCTCGTATAACACTCTCGCCTATGTTTGGCCACGGAAATAACTGAAACCCCGACTAACACTAACCCGATCGTTTTATGTCTCACAAGAAAGGTGGCACGAAATAGCGGGGTTGCGGAAGCTTGCTCGACACTGTAATTAACTATTTGACTGGTGAGATTGCCATCAATGATCGATCTTTCACATGGCGTTTGATATTATCCAAGATACCACTATCGTGGCGCTGTTGTAGCAGATCTTAGTGCGAGCAACGGATGCATGAAGCCATCTACTGTACTACAAGTAGGGTGATACTGTAGGGTGGGCAGACGACGTTCCAGCAGATTTATCAGGCGGTTGCTAATTTCTTGTTTATGGAAGCGCCTGAAATAAGCAAACTACTGTGCAATGAATATTCAGATCATGGTATGTACTGTACGACCCGGTTAGGGTCATTTTCTTACTCTGTAATACTTCTCAGACACTCACCAACGCCTTCGGATGAAAGACATTGACTGCATGTACAGTACATACGAGTACACTGTACCGGTACTAGTAACTATTTTCAATCTCTTTCGCTGCTACAGTACTCATACTCGTATCATTCACGTCTACCCTTGTCTATCATTGTTTGTCTATAGTTCTACGCCTTAAAACTATGCCCATAATGGTTGGGTCGAAGGTAGGGGTCTCCAGGGGTGTCGTAAAGCAGCTCTCTGAAAGTATCCTCCCCCTCAGGATAGTCCTTGTGAAAACGACCTCTGGCCTGCAGCTCCGGAATCAGATACTTGATAATGTCGTCGTAGGTGCCTGGAAATGCAGCGTGACTCAAATTGAAGCCATCGACGTCCCCAATCTCAACCCAGTCTTCAATGACGTCAGCGGCAGACTCAGCGTCTCCCAGGGCAAGTCCACCTCGTCCAGACAAGGTGTATTCATTGGCAACACGCTCCACGTTCCATAGTTCGTCCTTGGTGTCTGTTTGAGAGGCCCATAAATCAACCCCACGAGCAACCTGAGGATTATCGCCCTCTCTTAGGTCCAGATCAGGTGGGAACGCAGTCAGATCTGCTCCAAACATTTGAGAACAGAAAACGAGGGCTCCTTCCTTGTCCCCTGCAGCATTGAGCTCCTTGTAGTACCGCTCGGCCTCCTCTTGAGTCTCCTTGACAATGACCAGCAGAGTACAGACGACAAAGATCTGGCGGTCTCCGGCAGCCGCTCGAAGAGCATCTACCGTCTGACGGACCAGCTGGGGGCTTGGAGCAGACACAAAAACCGTTTCAGCATGTTTGGCAGCAAAACTTCGACCAGCAGAAGACATGCCTGCCTGGAACAACACTGGGGTTCGTTGCAGAGAAGGTAGAGTCACAGCGGGACCCTTGACCTTGAAATGCTCGCCTTCATGGTCAATGTAGTTGATTTTGGAGGTGTCAAAGGTGTCTGTCTTAAGCCCCTTTTTGACAGCCCCTTCGCCCCACGAGCTCTCCCACAGCTTGTAGACGACATCCATGTACTCGTCCGCCAGCTTGTATCGATCGTCATGAGCCACCTGGTTCTCAAGATTGAAGTTATGGGCGGCAGAGTCTGAGTTGGAGGTAACAATGTTCCAGCCAACTCGTCCATCAGTGAGATGGTCCAGGGTAGAAAATTGACGAGCCAGAGTGAACGGAGGAGTGTAGGTAGTGGATACGGTGATTCCAAAGTTAAGATGTTCAGTGACAGAAGCCATGGTGGGTACTAGAAATAGAGGATCATGACAGGGGAACTGGACCTTCTTTTCCAAAGCTTCAAAGTCCTTTCCACCCTTGTAAATGTCGTAGATTCCCAGATGATCGGCCACAAACACAGCATGGAACTTGGCGGCCTCCAGTTTCTTCGCCAGGTCCTGCCAGGGTTTCATCTTGGCAAAGTTGCGAGCATAGTCCGAGTGTTCGGGGTGTCTCCACAGTCCAAAGTTGAGATGGTTAGGCGTGAACATTACAAAAGCATTTAGAATGATCTTTTTGTTTCCCTTGACCCGTTTGGCAGGCAGTTCACCGTTCTCATCGTAGCCCTTGTAGGTGGAATAGTCGAACCCGTTGTTCTTCTTGACGCCGTCTGTGGAGGGCATGGCGATAGCTGTTTTGGATCAATTTAGTTTGCAGTCAAGTGAATTGCCCGAATTATTGGCACACAGATCATTTTTAAACACCAAACCGTGGCTTGTGGCTGAACCCAGAGATTGTACAACTGATAACGAGCCCAAACTGTATTGCATCATTGAAGCTGTAGAGTACATAATACGAGGAGGGCCTGCAGGAGACGATAAAGTCTATGGAGATAGTGGCGTTCATGGTAAGGAGATAACGGGATGGACTTCACAGTGAGACGGATAAAAAATCGCATTGAAGAAACCCCAAGGTTCATCATCTTTAATCAGGAGCATTGTCATGATATCTCAAATTCCTAGTACCGTACCCGGTACACCGTGGTTTCGGGGACGCTTTTACAAACTGTGGGTGTGGATCCCAGCCGGAAAAGAGGTTCGAAATCTCCATATTGTACTGTGCTTGAACACTGCTACGTTATATGGCTCAGATGTATATATGCAGCTGGGGAACACTGGGGAAGGCTGTGTTGTGGGATTCATAAAAATCTTCTGTTGGTGCCGCGGCCTCAAGTGCCATCTCAAAATCGTGAGGGATTGCTTCTCCATGCTTTGGTTGTTGGGCAACTTCCGTATGTACTATACTGTACATGTACTTCTTAATGTTGCTTTAGAAAGTAGGGAAGTTTTCTATTCTGTTTTCCAAGTATGTAAAGACCTTCCAGTTCTCCTTCTATGCTGAGACAGAAACACCCATATACAGTCGTTCTAAGACTATCGGGGAACGAATCAGCCGGTTGATATGGGTTTTATGACACGCTAAACGACCTGAATGACTCTGTATCTAGGCTGGGTAGACTTTCTGAGAGCCACACAAGAAAAAATTTAGTCACAGAATGAAAAGATAAGGTCACATTCGTAGACTTCCCCATTCTCAATTGGGGACATCACCGTCGTCTATTCACGTTTAAGGAATTTGATAGCGACAGGTCAGTTATATTTTGGGCTATTATTTCTGCATGGCCGTGTGTTTCAAGATGGGGGTCTTATGGCCCGGCTCCTGACCCTCAAGCATCTGGCAGTGTGTTGATAGCAGAACGAAGTCGCTTGCAACGAAGTCGCTTGCAAGACAATATATGTACGGGATCCTCTTTGCCGTAGGTCTTGAACTTCGGAAGGGTTAAATCTGGCATTTCTTGTTCACAAGAGTGACTTTGTCCAATCGACTGGCACGAGTTCGTGTTGTTCCATTCACTGGTTTGCAGCCTCGAGACATCCTTTGTAGTTTATAGAATGGAGACCTGGGCGGAGCAAAACCCAGGTTATTTTGCGGTAATATCTTGACTTCCTTCTCAATATTCTCGAAGTTCTTCAAGAGAAGGAAAATATTCAGCTCTGTTTGACATGCTAACCAGAGAGCGCTACTGTAGTGAACACGTTGGGGGTCGACTACCAAGCACTTTGATCTGAATTACACAATAGGAATAGTTGATACTATAAAATATGATCAGAAATAGTATCAACTATTCCTATATCATTCTTCTTGTAGTCCTTCTTATCTAACTCATCAGTTTCTGCTTCTTGCCATATTTGAACCGAGCGGATTTCTGCTCGTGCAATGTCTACAAGTTAGATATTAGTTGGAGTTTCGCTCCTGGTGCTCCTCACATCTTCAACATGCAAAAAACTTACAGCACAGCGTCCAGTACGAGTACAGTACATGTACTTGTGCTGGTACATACTTGTTACTGTACTGGTATGGCACTTGATGAGAAAACACAAACACTTTATTCCAGTACAAATTTGAACCACCACACCACATCTTCTAACTGTGATTAATTATATCTATTCAAACATGCATTGATTAACCCTGAACCACCTTCTTGACGGCGTCAGGCTGCAGAGCGGCCTTGCCCACGCCAGGCACCACCTTTTCCTCCTCGGGGCCGTGAACCTTGGCTTCGGCCTTGCTCTGCTCCTCCGCCTTTTTGGCCCGAACCTTTTGATGCACGTCAAAGTCCAGTTCAACGTTCTTGAGAATCAGCTCTCGTTCTCGCTCCCACTCCTGCTTGACGTTGTCAAAGCCCGACTGCCATACCTTGTCATGGGCCTCCTTGAGGACTCGCTCCTTCTCCCGCAACTCGTCCTGCTGGGCCATCCACTCCATGTGTCGCAGATCGTCGTCAGAGGGCTCGTAAATGTGCCAAATGGTGTAGTGGGGAAGACCAACCACAGACATGCCCATTCGCTTGCACATTTTGCCGAACCCCTCGGTCTCGGCGTGCTTCTGGAACGAAAATGCGGGGAAATGGGCGCCGTGTCGGAATACAGCAGCCTTGGCAAGAATGGAAACTCCTCCAATACCGTCCAGCTCCATTTCCACGTGAATATCACCAAAGGGATCTCGCAGGTAGGCAAGATGGGGTCTCCAGGTAGCGTACTCGGCGTATCCTTCGACGATAACAGCGTCTTCGTCCAGAGTGTCAGCCAGTCGGAGACCGGCGTCAGACTCCTTCCACGAGTTGAGATCGTAGGGCTGCTCGTTGCCCAGCCAGTCGGGCAGGGGTCGCCACACATTGGGCACAATCACGTCCTTGTCGTGGCTCATGAGATCCTCCATGATGGTAGTGGGCACCTTTTCCACGTCGGCGTCTCGCCAGTAGACCCACGAGTGATCGGGTCTGAGAGCCACGGACAGCAGCCAGTTTCGAGCACGAGCCATGAGCTTTCGTCGGGGACCCTGGGCCTCGAAGCCGTGACGGTCAGAAAATCCCTGGCCAACGGCCTGGCCAAAATCCTTCTCGAAGATCTCAATGCTACCGAACCGCTTGGACACGTCTCGGTTGCTCTGCAGCGTGTTGAGCTCCTTGAGCAACACTCCCATGGTGTCGTCCTTGGAATCGGACACCAGAAACGCCAGATCTATCAGCACGTGGGGGTATGTCATCTTGTCCATGTGGGCGAACAGCATGGGCAGGTGGGCTGCGGCATCTCTGAGAGGCACCAGGAACAGCACTCGCTCGTTGCGGTCCTGGCCCCGTGCGCTGCCTGTGTAGTCTGCCAGATCGTAGTGGTGCACGCTGTCGATGCCCAGATCGGCCATGGGAGGCAAGCTGGAGGAGGTGAAGGGAACGAGCGCCAGCTCGCCAGAAAATACCCATGAGAGAATGCTCAGGCATAGATATAATGCTGTGCCAAACACTGAAACCAGGCCCAGCGTTTTGCGAGTCGACGGGGCCAGTCCGCCTTGGTTGCGGTCAAACATGTTGGATTTTGGTAGTGTCATTGAGACGTTGTGTGTCTGTTTGGATGACAGAAGTTGTATGTGATGTGAAAACTTGGTGTGAGTTTGGGTGTGGCGTTTTTCTTTGGTCTTGTCGCTTGGTTTGTCGTCGTGTCGGTCGCGTAAAAACTGTCTTCCACTGACCCCCGTATCTCCTCAAACCACTATCGTGTGTTTTGTGTGTCGTCGCCAGACGTTGAAGTGCGTCGTGCAGAAAAAAGACAATTTGAAACTCTACCCACTGGCATGCACGTCCACAGGTTGTGACGTGGCGACGCAAATATCGTCATAGTGCCATAGGAGGGCATATATATATAGCGTGGCTTTAGGACAAGTTGGTCTCTGTAGCTACCTTCTTTTTGTGGCCTCGCATATATAAACCGTCGCCCCTTAATCTACTGCGCTTCTCGTCTCCACCACGCTACTATATGTCAGAGTGGGAGAAAATCCGCACCAAGAGTGGTGGGAGAAGCGCCAAAAACGAAAAGTGTGGGTGGAAAAAAAAAGATCAATACAAAGTCAAATGCGATAAAAAATATGGCTCCCATTCCACTGCCCAGATAAAGGGGCCGTGGCGTACTAAACGGGGGCATATCGATTGCGAATAACTCGTGTTCGACTCACTCGACTCGACGGAGCTTTTTTTGCCTTCAATACAACGCCCATATATATTCTCCATAGCGTAGCATGTTGCGCCCTCCTCTTGTCCCCTATATTTGCTTCACCTATCACAAGAGAGTTAATGTGCAGAGCTAAAGGGTGAGGTGAATAATGCACGAATGAGCCGTGCCTGGAACGCGGTATACGGTGCAACAGCTTCTGGTACTGTACCGGTAATTACAATCGATGGATACAGGTACTATGGACACTTCCCTCTCGTCATGTGACCGTGCTGCGTCTTTCCGTCGCTCATTAGTGTCCATCATGCAAATCTCCCTTTCCTAAACTGCTCCTAGGTTTTCAGCCATGGCCATCTTCAGGCGTACAGTGCTGTACTGGTACCTGACAGTCATGTGATGTGCGCATGGAAGGACTGACGGACTACTTGGCGGGCCAAGAAGCGCGTTTTCTGTGTTCGTTTTGGGCAATCCACAATTGTGGAATGGCTTGTGTACGCGTGTATATTATGTGACCATCAAAAATTTCCGACTTTTCACACCCACTCTTTCTCCTCTGTTCTCCCTATATCTCTTCTATTTACCTCATGTAAATGGCTGTTATTGTGCCCGTGAAGCCTATTTGGACTAGAGTTGACTCATATACATCGACTTGTAAAATACCACTACAAAATCGAACACTGGCCGGATTCGAACACCGCGACCTGCAACCAACCACCTCTAATTATCACCACTATAATACTGCTTCAACAACAATGATCTGCTCGATTTCTGGAGAACCCGCGCAGGAGCCCGTTCTGTCGCCCAAGTCCGGTCACATCTTCGAGCGCCGGCTCATCGAGACATATGTCCAGGAAAACGGCAAAGATCCCATCAATGGAGAAGATCTGATGGTGGAAGATCTGCTAGAGGTTAACACCAACACGCCCACACGACCCAAGCCGCCACAATATACATCCATCCCGTCGCTTCTGCAGGCATTCCAGAACGAATGGGATGCAACCGCCCAAGAAGTGTTTTCGCTGCGCCAGCAGCTGCAAGAAACCAAGACTGAGCTCAGTACCGCTCTCTACAAGCAGGACGCGGCCGTCCGAGTGGTTGCTCGTCTGACCAAGGAGAGAGACGAGGCCCGAAAGGCCCTGGCCGAGCTGTCTGCCAACCTGGAGTAGCATGGGAAGGAGGTTTGTAATATATATGCATTAATTATCATAGAGGTTATGAGGAATGAGGGAGGAAGAAGTAAAGTAGATAGACGATGACACCAACTACAGATACAGTATGGAAAAAAATGACGTGTAAAGATGCTTAATGTATTATGGGACCCAAAATGAAATACTATAGACTCCAGCTACTCAGGTCTCTCGGCCCCCTTTACTGGACAGCACTGAACTTCCGTAATTGAATAGTCTCAACATGAAACGTAAAATAGAGCCCTAAGTACAACAGAAAGTTCAATTGTATACACAATACTGTTATTTCTGACCACCATTTCCGCGTTTTTCCGCCCTTTTTACCCTCAACTACCACATCTCCATCGCCGAAACACAACGGCAACCTGGCCGAGCGGTCTAAGGCGCCAGGTTAAGGTATCACCTTGACATAATATCCTGGTCTCTTCGGAGGCGAGAGTTCGAATCTCTCGGTTGTCAGCAGCGAGTGCTCGCCATGCGAGTACCTTTTTTTTGCCGTGCCATTCTTTGAGGACAGTTACACTGCATCAATACACCCGGTGAGGACACTAACCTTACATATCCCCACAGGCACAGAATACGATACCAGCCTGTACTGCTCTATAATTACACCCCACCAGCTGAAGTGCAAGTGTTCTTGTACTCGTACATCAAACATAACTTCAGCGCATGGCCTCCGTCATTCATTATTATATAAATACCTTAACGAGCCACACTGGAGGAGGGTTTTCGAATAGGAGGGGGAATCTTGTTGGAGACGGATCTAGAGGATGCCCGAATTGGCGGTGGCTTCTTTTTCTCCTTGGCGTCCTTGTCATCGTCCTTGTCACTGTCTCCTCTCTTGGAAATGTTCAGCTCAGACGGCTTCTCTGGTCGGGGAGGGAAACTAGGCGCTGATCTCACCGTAGGAGACGCCGTAGTGGAAGTGGGCCGAGATGAGGGCTTGGAAAATTCAGACAGGAGATCTGTTCTGGATCCAGTCTCAGAACGGGATCCGAAAGAAGATCCAGGTCGTGAGCCAAAAGCAGATCCAGGTCGTGAGCTCGTAGTCGAACCGGGTCGTGAACTGCTCGTCGAACCGGGTCGGCTCGTCGAGCCGGAGTTGCTACCGTTACTGCTGCCCTCAACGCTCTTAGGGAGCCGTCTCTTCGGACCCTTGGCCCGTCCCTTCGTCATATGAGTCAGCTTCTCGCCCTTGTTCTTGCGCCCAATTTCAGAAGAGTCAATAGTAGCAGCCTTTCTGAGAGAGAAAGAACGCTCAGCACCACGTCCAGAATCATTTGAAGACGCCAGGTTTGGACTCGAAGCATTGGGGCCTCGGGTCAGAGCGTTAGCAAGCGCAGAAGTGAAGTTGGAGGCGTTTCCAGGCTGAGGACGCTCGGGAGACCGTTCAGGAGATCGCTCGGGAGACCGTCTTAGTGATCCATGGGCCATCGTCAGGCGCTCCAGCACCTCGTCCTTCAGCTCTGCATTTTTCGGACCCTCCGTCTTCTGCAGCTTCTTTTGGGCAGCTGTCAGCCGTTCCTGGACCTCATCCTTCAGCTCAGCGTTCTTGGGTCCCTCAGTCTCTCGTAGCTTCTTTTGCGCCACAGTCAGACGCTCTAGAACCTCATCCTTGAGTTCCAGTGACTGGGGACCAGTGGACTCCTTGAGAGAGCCCTTCGCAGACAGCAGATTGTTCTTAACCACGTCAGGAGCCACATAATTCTTCTGTTCACTCTTTCGCAGGCTGTTTTTCAGCTCAGCAAGTCGCTCCTTCTCAGAAGTGCTGGGCTTAAGCGTAGGAGCAGGCTTAGGAGGCTTCAAAGAACCCACACGTGCCAAGTCAGGCAGTGACTCATCCGTGGCAGGCTTGGGAGCGGGCTTCTTATCACTCAACGAGCTTCTGAGAGCCTTGAGACGAGCCAGACGCTCCTCATCTTCATTTCCACGGGGAGAAACGACAGAAGGGGAGCCCAGTTTTGAAGAAGAAACGCTCGGCGAGAGAACCTTGGGGGACAGAATCTTGGGAGACTGCGAATCTTCGGTTCGGCCAAAATCCCGTCCCCGGGGAGTCTCTTCTCGCCCTCTCATGTCTCTATCTCGGCTTCCAAATGGAGACTTGACGGGAGAAGGAGACCGAGAAAGCCGAATGGAGGAGTTACGCTCGGGACTATGGTTCTTCTTGAGCGCAGATTCAAGCCACGAAGACTGCCGTACGGGGGAGAACCGTCGAGAGTCAGAATGTCGAAGAGGAGAGAGCTCAGGAACAGTGTCTGAGTCAGCAAGAGAAGGGGAAGCAGGAGAAGTCACGTCCGCTGCTGGAGACTCAGCTCTAGGACTGGGAGAGGCCGGTTTGGGGCTCTTAGTGAGCTTGCTTTCTCGCAACGACTCTCGAATACTGTCCTTGAGACTCTTTGACGAGGTGGCAGGTTTGGGACGACCAGCAGACGAAGATATATCCCTCTCGGGCTGAATCGAGTCAGATCGAGACAGAGAAGAGGAGGAGGATCGCGAAACAGGAGGAGGGGGTCGGTTTCGAATCTCTGTTTTGTCAGAACGCGACACAGGCTCAGGAGTAGTACTCTCCGAAGTTCTAGTCTCTGACGACCTCGAAACAGGAGGAGGGGGTCGGAACTTCTTGAGCTCCTCCACAGAAATATCTTTCTCTGACTGAATGGAAGACACAGAGTCGGATCGCGACATTTCCTTTTCCTCGTCTCGCTCATCGAAACCAGACTTGGGCTTGGGCGAGTTCCTGGCAGCCATCAACTGTCTGATCTTGTCGACCGAAGGCTTGCTCTTGACCGAAGGAGTAGGTCGTAGATCGTTCTCCTTCTCCTTCTTCTCCGCAGCTCTTCTCTCCTCCTCCTCCTCTTCATCGGCCTCCTTAAGTAGCGCTTCAAACTCGGGGTTGATCTCCACCTCCACGGGCTGTTGGTGTCCAACCTGCTTAAAGTCACGCAGTGTACCGTGTCGTTTCAGGGCTGAATGAATGAAATTGCCTCGAGAAGGAGGAGGCGATCGCGACAGGTTGGGTGAAGATGGCGAATGCGCCAGAGTGGGGGTTCTTCTCAGGTCGGGAGAATGACCCAGGGTAGGTGTTCGAGTCTGACCCAGGGGAGTACTAGATTGGCCCAGGGGGGTTCTCACAGTCGTGGAAGACCGCTTGGGCGTAGTATCGTCCAAATGCAGATTGTGACGCGAGTTACCCAATTCAGCCATACCAGGAAGAGCCCGGGGAGTTCTGCTCTGATGCTGGGGCGACTGCCCTTCTCGGTGGATCGACTGTGTTCTCAAACCGGAGGTAGACGATGACTGAATGATACCTGGAATGGCAATGTCTCTGGGTTTGTCGTCGAGCTTTGTTCGAGGCATATGACCAGCCCCGATTCTGTTCATAGTTGGCGACTGTTTGGCCACGTAGGGAGATGCCTTGTCCGTAGGCAGTGGTGCAAAGGGGTCATCCCGTTCGCCAAATGAATTACCAAACTGCTTGTCGTTCTTGGTCCTGTCGTCCTTATAAGAGGGATTAAGTGTTGCTTTCTCCACCTTCTCCTCCTTGAAAGAAGGCTTCTGCTGGAGTACTGGCTTCTCCACAGGCTTTTCCTCTTTGAAAGAAGGTTTCTGTTTCAGCACCGGCTTCTCTATCTTCTCCTCCTTCTCCTCGGCAATGGAAGCTCGAATGGAGTCCTTCATTCCAATCTTTGTACTTGTACTTCTGTCTCCTGACTTATCTCCGGCAATTGAGGCTCGAATGGAGTCCTTGAGAGCTTTGGAATCAGAAACCTTTCGAGCAGCAGGTTTGGATCGGACCAGGGGTTTGACAGCTTCCTTCTCCTTGAGGTTCTTGCTGCTGTCGCTCTCATCATCCTTCAAATCTCCATATGTCTTTGGAGCTAGTTCTCGTCCTTTACCTGCTCCCACCAAAGCGCTAATGGTATCCTGAACATCTCTTTCCTGCTTGGAAGGTGACGTGGATCGAGATCGTTCGGCCCGCAATCGTCTTCGGCGCTCTTTTCCTTCCTGGATTTCGTTTTCCAGCTTTTGAGCTCGAATCTCGTCTTCTCGGTCACTGGGTTAGTGTCATGTTGCACGGTATTCGTCTCTGTCTGTCGCTTGAATGCACTCACTTCTTCTCGCCGAGCTCGCGGATCCGCTTGAGAAAGTCCGTCACGTCCGTCTCGTCACTCATGCCGAATCAACGTGAGTAAAAAGACCGCTTTTGTGTTGTACCAGTTGGGTTCGTGTCTGATAGTGCAAGAGGGATTAAGTTCGCCAGGTGTTTATTAACGGAGGTCCAGCCAGAAATTGGGACTTTCGGAGATAGGGCGGAAAAAGCGGTTGGAGCCGCGGGTGGATACATGGGATGGTGCAGTGGGTATTTGCGTGCCGGATATATCTTTGGGGGTGCTCACATGACCCATATTCACGTCCCCCACACGTGCTACGCGTCTTCGTCATCTGACCGTCTAGTGTGGTTCTAAACCCTCAATGGGGTTGGTGCTGCTAATTAAAGGAGCAATCATGCGGTCCAGGAGGAGGAGGTTGGGGTGGTTATGAGGTGAGATATTGTGGGGGAATATGGGGTCTTTTGTGGAGTAATTTGGGTGATGATGTCCTGAATTTCGCTCCTTGGAGCTTCTGGGGATTACGCATGCTTTTTTGTGGAATATTTGGGATTTATTAGGATTAATTTGAATTAATATGTTCAAGATACGGCGAAATTATGGAAAAAAATACAGATAAGAACGCTAGAGAAGCAGAGAACAGCTGTGAGAACCTCCATGGCGAATTGATGGTCAAAATTCAAAATTGAATCCGCTTAGTTGAGTGCAAGTACCTGTACTGGTAAGAAGTATGTACAGTATCATAAGAGTCGTTTCAAAGATTAGTAAGGAAGGACCGAAGACCAGAGAATGTGCGATAAACATAGAGCCACAAATAAGCCAATGGATTGAGCTCTTTCGATTGCGCACATCATTGTACAACAACCCGCTACAGAATCGTATCGTACCTACCAGTACTCGTACAGTATGTTCGGAACATGGAGACACCGTTAGCAGGTGATACTGCTCGTAATATTATGTCACAAGGGGTTTTGAAACTGGAAAAGACGCTTGTAGATACATGAAACAGGGGCTGGTATAACTCGGATACTAACTTGGATACTATATGGTAGCCTGGATTATATTTGGTCGGGTAGTTTAGCTGACTAAGTCAGCATACGAACATTCAACTATTTGGTCAAGTAGGATGTCAACAAAATAAGCTTTGTAAAGTATTTTTCCAATACTGCCAAATACCGCTCCAAAATCTTTGCAATTCATCCCTGGACCAGTATATCCACCACAAATAGACCAATTCAGTCAATGACCACACACACAGACATGGTCCCATTGTTCCATCTCCGCCTCAACGCCTGGGGATATAAATAGATTAGCCGTACGTACATAACAAAGCTATATATAGCCTGACCCCACGTTGAGTATGGTTTTGGTTTGGGCTATGACGCAATGACAGAGGGATTATGATAAGAAGGTCATTGATGGTACTGGTGGTGGCTCGAGAAGAATACTGTCCTAAATTAGCGTCGGTATTGGATTTTCTCGATTTTCAGCGACTTTTCAGCGATTTTCCCGAATATTTCTCGAATTAATACTTGTGCCATTTTCTTTAATTTTACCAATATTCACTAAATTACCCTAAATACAACCCAAATTGGCGCCCGCTGACACAGCAATAACCGAAAATATGCCGACACTTCCTACACGCATCAAGCTGCAACGAATCGCCGAGATGCGCGCACCTGTCTCTCTATAATCTCCAAACAATAAACTATCACCTAAACCGTGAGTCTGATGCTGGCGATCGCCATCCACAATGGTCGGCGCGACAACCAAGATGAAGGTTAAGCCGGTCACAAAAAACACGACAACGTAATGGGTAGTGGGGGCGCGCCGTACTAAACAAACCAGAGACGGTCGTGTTTGGGGCTGGGAACTTGGCCCTGCAGATTGGGGCTGAAGCGCAACAGAAAGATATTCTGCGGCTTGTTGTCACGTGCTTCCAATATTATGGATCCCCTGCTGAGAGCTATAATTATCTCCAACTCAAGGGTGCGTGGTGCAGTTGTACGTATTCAGACACTGTCGCATACAGCCATATTGTTGCGGTTCCCTAACCCTGTGCATACATGGAAAATGCAGCCGAGAGGCGGGGCACGTGGCCGGGGGCCGCTAGGCGTGTCCGACGGGGAGCTGGATCGATCGGGTCACGTGTTTTGCCCCTCCCCTGCTCTGTGTTGGTCTGGAATTTCTGACGCATTTTGAGCTCGGTGCATCCCCCCTAAATATTGTCTTTTTCTTAAGCTTCAACTATGAACCAAATATGTGAACCCAAAATGCACCTATGTTGAAGCTTGTGCAAAATACCTGCACCTGGATTTGGGCGTGCTGCTCGACATCCTTGTTTGTTGGTTTTAGTGCGGATTTGTGTCGGTGGACACTCGCTAGCGAGCTCCGTCAGATTTCTCCACGAGCTGCCATAGATTGCGCTCTATATTGGCCTCGAAAGTCCTAAAGCGGACAGGCCACCAGAATCCACCAACCAACCATATAGTCGTGTCCCTTAAAAAAGTATGGAACCTTAGAAACCTTGATGACCAACCTCTTTTTGAAGCCATCTCCAAAAACCGTGCGTCTGCTTTTATAAACCGGCTTCTCTGCACACCTAAGGGCTCTCACACACACTAGCGCCATGGACAAAGCCAAGAGGCAGGTAGCAGCTCCTCCAGCCGCAGCTCCTCCAGCAGCACCACCTGGAGCACCAGCAGCACCCGGAGCACCAGCAGCACCCGGAGCACCCGAAAACAACGTCACGTCGCAAACGACACAAATGGAAACTACCAGTGACGAAACTGGGCCCAGCACGGACCTCAGCTCTGCGCTCAGCACAAACACCAACACAGACACAAACACAAACACTGGACCCTCCACAACATCGTTGCAGTCCCTCACAACATCGGACACAAGCAGCATTCCCACCACGTCGGCCGGCGAGTCGTTTTCGAGCACCTCAGAGACCCCCAGTATATCGTCGTCCAGCGAGATCCCCAGCACGTCGTCCATTGAAACCGCATCGTCGGTAGAGTCCAGTTCTACGGAGGTGTCTTCTACGGTGGAATCAACCACAGAATCGAGTACTGAGTCCTCTCTGCCCCCTACAACTTCGACAGAACCATCTACGACAAGTGAGCCTCCTACGACTTCATCAGAGCCGCCAACAACTAGTTCAGAGCCTCCTACAACAAGTTCCGAGCCTCCGACTAGCAGTTCTGAGCCCCCCACAACCTCCTCAGAACCTTCCACTTCTTCCATTCCTTTTGCATCCTCATCCTCATCTTCGTCTCCACCCTCATCTTCATCTTCATCTTCATCTTCATCATCTTCATCATCTTCATCATCTTCTTCGTCTGCGACTACCTCTTCTTCTTCTATACCCTCTTCCACCACATCGACACAGCCGCGGACCACGTCCCAGCCACCCACAACTACCTCGGAGTCGTCCACGTCGGAATCCCCGTCTCCAACCACCACGTCTACCACTGCAGAAAGCACCACCACGCCGCCGATCTCATGGTCGTCTTCCGGCTCGGTGACCTTCTCCAACGGTGTCCCTGTGACAATGACGCAGACTGTAGACCTGCTGGTGACCAGGACCAACCCTGATGGATCGCTGGTAACAGTGCGCGCCGGATCGCATGACTCTTCTTCCAGTTCAGGAGGAGGCACGTCCACAGGCACCATTGTGGGCTCCGTTGTGGGCTCTGTGGCCGGAGTCGCCGTACTGGCGGTGTTGGTGCTCATGTTCATTACACGCAAGAAGAAGAAGTCACTCATTGACGTGCTCACGGGCCACACCAAGAGCAACAGTGAGCTGGGCGCAGACACGCCGCCCTTCTCAGATTACCACAATGACAACCACTCACCTCCTGAATCGTATTCGGGCTACCGAGGCTGGTCTGCCACTCCTGGTGCGGCCCTTGTGGATGACAACAGCACCGTGCCTCCCAGCTCCTCTGGGGGACCCGGAAGTGCTGCTCTGTCGCGTTCTGCGTCTGGAGTTTACAGATCCGGGTCGCAGAATAGCAATGCCGACTACTCGTATTATCGACAGCCCCGAAATGTTGCTTCTGAGGGCATGACGCAGATTGACTCGCTACCCGAGAACCCACAGTACGATGTGCCGTTCGAGTACGCGCAGAGCATTCCCGAAAGTCCGCCTCGAGGCCGGTTCACTGAACAGGACGACTCGCCCGACGAGGACTTTGATTTTGTGGTGCATCCCTCCGAGTCGCAGACGTCACAGGTGGCGTCCGAGAACTCGCGCAACCTGCCCATCAACTCGCTCATGCATCAGTATGAGCGTGTGCATGGAATTGGGCCCGAGGAGGATGTGCCCATGGACGGTCTTCCCATTCCACTGGGATACTACGAGACAGTTATGGAGGAGGACGAGACGCCTCATCCAGTGTATGCCCAACCCAAGGCTGCTCCTAGCAGGGAGAGTCGGTTTACTGAGACGGGCTCTTTGTAGACGTTTGTATTTTATGCATTATTTATTTAGAACATGCTCACAAGTTGGCTCGTAGCGACTAGAGCCTACGAGCTGTCGTTGTTGCGACTCCTACTGCTTGTACATGCTGGTGTATGAACTTCCTCGGGTAGGGACAATAGGAAGATCAAGCTGTCTGCAAGTACATACTGTACATACGGGTACAAGTAGTTGTAGCACCGACGAAAACACTTCAGGGTCGTTGCACTGGTACAGTAGAGTGAGTTAACACTGTAGACTCCGCCGCAGCTCCAGTGTTCGATACGGCTACAGTCTTACTCTGCTCCACGGCTCCAACTGAATAGTGTGAGACAGTGAGTTAGCTGGCCAGGGATAAGGCTGAAACAATGGTCCCATTGGGGTGAGTCGCGTGGAGCTAGGCTTGGATGGGATTATACAGACTCAGGGTTTCCTGAACGTCTGAAAGGGGCTAGCATACAGTTATTTTAGGGGGCTTCTGGTATGTTGTCTGGGTCGTATAAATCTTTAAGTAATGTGACAAGCAATATTACAAAAAAAAGAAGCATTTGTTAGCGAAGACCCAAGTAAAATGTATACACCTAAAATTCCGCAGGAGTAATGTTAAGCCATTAAGTTTTCTATAATGACATAAACACCCTTGTTTTCGGTGATGGGAAATCGGATCGGGTTGAAATTTGAAATGGGGGTAGATTTTGGTGGTATGACCTTTCAGTACGAGTTTCCCGCAACTGGGTTCACTATTGAGTCTTTTAGAGACCCCTTGATGAACTCCAACTTTGTATATACCGCAGCAGGCTATCACCGCAGGGAGTGGGGGCGGCAGAATGAGCTCCGTAGGTGCTAATTAATGCACGCGGCAAGGGGCACAGGCACATGGATGTAATGCCTGGCGGAGGTGTGCTGGAGGAGGTGTGCAGGCCGAGGCGGACCCGTGCGTCTTGTACGATGGCTGTGCTGAGCTTTGAGATATCATTGGAGGAGAGCGTGGGCTAGAAGTTCAAGAAGTTGCCATATCGAGATAAGAATTACATGGGTGGATTCAGCACAGCTCAGAGAATCCATCAATGTATTTCTTGTCGTTTGTTTATCTCCATTTGCCTGATTTGAAGCACTGTGTTGTAAATGAGGAGAGAATAATGTATACACAACGGTACAACTCATTAAATACCCGCTGGAATCGAGTGATTTCAACTCGGATAATCTGGACCACCAAATATGAACAAAATGATCTACTTACAAACTACAAGTAGTCTGTCAAATGCGCGAAACACCGAAACACCGTGGAATTTGTATTCTTACGCCTTAGCACAAACCCGTGAACAGAACTCTCCAACTCGGCCGAACCCGGGTCGATTGGAACCAAGGTAGCTCGGGTCTATTAATTGAGCGAAGGAGAACAATTATCCCCATACAAAAATGCCTAAAAAATGGCTGTAACCATCTTAACAGACACCCAAATCTTGACAGTGTTTCAGCCCTAATTCCAACATCGTCGGATTGGGTTAGGGTGCTAATGTTCCACCTAATTCGACATCGTGACCTGGGATGTTTTACAAGAACCATTTGGAGAATAAAGGATCACCCAAATACAGGATTAATAGTTCGGAAGAAAATAAAAGGTACCATCTTACTCAGCTGGTCCACTTTGGTCAACAAGAGTCTCCTCTTCTACAGCAGTCAAAAGTTCAGGTTAGATGATACCTAACGAGATATCTGTTCCATACTTGTTCCATACTTGTACGAGTAAGTCCGTTCTCTAAGCTCTTTTGCGTTGTTGGGTATCTCGAAACTGAGCTGGAATATACTGTTTCAATACTGTTTTGATATCGTTACTTGTACTGGGTACCCAAGCTTCAGTTGTAGACGCTTCATCCACCACCTGCTGCACCGTCTGTAGACACAACTGGTGTGCTGTCAAACAAGCAGATTACCTCCTGACTCTGAAGATACAGACACAGACATAAACACAGACGCAGTATCTACAGTACTTGCACTGCTCTTATATAACCCGGTCTAGTTCACTTGTATGCTGATGCGGAGTACAATACATTCAGTCTAGGTGTACTGGTAGTAGTCGTACTCATACGCACCGGCACCAGTGCTCATTCCGCTAAAGTGCACTCATTCTTGCTCCCAGATATCATTTCTACTACGCTCACATTCACAAAAGCCGACGCTACGGATTTGGCTTATGTTGAGGGTCTCACATCCTATCAATACATATTTTTTTCAGCTATAAAATAACTAATTTACTCGGCAGCAGTTCGGGTGAAAGTGTACTGCTTGGAGTGCTTGACAACGGGCTTGATGATACCCTTGGCCTCGAGATCTCGGAGAGCAACTCGGGCGAGAGAACCTCCAATCTTGAGTCGGTCAACAAGCACGGAGACAGAGACGAGCTTGAAGGTAGCAGCCTCCTTGAAGATTCGGTCGTACAGGGGCTGGTCAAGGATAACGTGGTGCTGAGCCTTATCCTTCATCTTCTGGGCGGACCACTTCTTCTTTCGGGTCTTTCCTCCGGCCATGGCGGCGGCGGCCTTAGCGGCCTTGGTCTGCTGCACTTTAGGGGGCACTGGGTTAGTCTCAGTTACGAGGAGCGTAGCACGAGTTATTGAACACCGGCTGAAGAATGAATGTCGTCTTGGAACGAATGACATTGAACGTCGCAACACAGAAAAACAAAAAACACAAACACACAGACTTGGTTGATCCACTCTTATTCTCCATCACGTCCAACTGAGTCCCTCTTGCCCTCCTATCATTGGATCAATATCACGAGTAGTCGTGTGTGTGTTTCAAAGTCGTCGTGTGAGCCCATCTATCTGTGAATGCCGTATGTCGTTTCGTGGTCAAGTTCACGCAATTCCATCCTGGTCGTTCGCCTTGTCGTCTTTTTGTGTCGCTGTCGAATACTCACTTTTTGCTTATATTTTCCTCTGTGGTGTCAAGAGAGAAAGATTCTACAGGGACAAAATTTTCGGTATCAAAATGGAGAGCCAGTTGGGAGGTTGCACACGTGATTTCCCGATTGGGAAAAGACAGTCCCGACTCAAGTCAGAATTGAGTCTGTCACGTGCTGGGAGGTTAGGAAGTGGAAACTTTAATTCGAAATCCAAGAGGGTCATAATCTGTCAATAAAAATATCGGCAGGAAAATAGAGGGATCTATAAAAATAAGTGACTAATAAAATAATGTCTATGAGCTGTCTTAAGATACAATTGATTATATCCGAATATAGAAAACGCAGCGTTATCATATTTTAAAGTTTATATGAACTTTATATATGAACTTTATATATTCAATGAAGGTGACCTCGCTAGGAATCGAACACATAAGCACCCAAGTTGAGGCTGCTGAGACGAGGTTAGGGGAGGCTCGAAACAGACAGAAATAAATATTATACCAAACATACATGGAAAGTCTTATCGAGAGTCATTTGTTTTCGAATCACCACCACAATGTCCTTCCAAAACAAACGAGGAGCTCTCAATCAAATCACCAAGGACGACTTTGAGGGCGGCGAAGGATACAGTCGAGACGAGCCCGTGGAGGAGGCTCGAACAGCTGACGCCGCTACAATGTCCAAGAGAAAGGTCTTGCCCTTGCCCAAGAGACGAGGCAACGGAAGCAGTGGATCTACTCCTAAGGCTTCCAATGGCTTTTCTGGACTGTCCAGCTTCGGTTCTGGAGCTTCTCCTGCGCCCCAGATGTCGTTCTCTTCTCCTAGCACTACCGGGGGGTTTACCAATACCAACACTACCAACAATGATTCAACATCAGATACTACATTGAAGCGTATTGCAATGAACGAGAAGTTCGTGGACACTATTTTCGCCAAGGTACGGGAGAATGCCGCAGTTGATTTGTCTGATGTCGTGAGCAAGTATCTCGAGTACTCTAAGACACTTGGAGGTGACCATGCAAACGTTGCTAACAGCACTACCAGCACCACCAGCACAATTTCTGCGCCTGTTACTACAGCCACACCGACTCCTGCTTCTGCCGACAAGCCCAAATCGTCGCTTTTCTCGTTTGGAGCTACTAAGAACTTTTCCGCTGCCAACACAGACACTGAGAAAAAGGACACTACCTCCACCAGCACTTTTACATCATCACCCTCCTTCAACTTTGGAGCTGGGGCAGCCGCAAAGCCCGCAGTGTCGAAACCATTCTCTTTCGGTACATCTAGTGATACCAAGGAGGATAAGCCTGCTGTAACTACTCCCTCTTTTGGTTTCCCTAAGGCTGACACTACTAAGGAGACAGACGCCAAGGACACCACCACTGCTGCCAAGCCCTTTACATTTGGATCTTCTACTCCTTCTGGACCTTCTTTCAGTTTTAACAAGTCTGGAGCTGATGTTGCCAAAGAGAAGACTGCTCCTTCTTTTTCGTTCACAGCTAAGAAGCCCGAAGAAAAGAAGGAAGAGAAGAAGCCTGAGCCCGTTTCTGTGGACTCCGATTCCGACTCTGACGACGATGCCATTGACATCACCAAGGGCCCCAGTTTTACTTTAGCTGCACCTCCCACTACCACAAACTCTGCTTTCTCTTTCAGCAAGCCTCAGAGCGAGGTGAAGAGCACAGGTCCTTCGTTCACCTTTGATAAGAAGGTTTCCAGCGGTCCTTTCAATTTCAAGTCCGAGACCAAGACTGAGGAGAAGAAGGAGGATAAGCCGGAGGAGAAGAAGGAAGACAAGTCCGAAAACAAGAAGGACTTCACCTGGAATCCCTCTCAGGGAGTTGTTTTCGGCAGCAACAAGACCGAAGAGTCTGCCGACAAACCCGCATTTTCGTTTGGAAGTACTTCTTCGGCAAAGCCTTTTACTTTTGGCGCTAAGGCTGATGATGCTGAAGACAAGCCCAAGCCTGCTTTCTCGTTTGGATCTAAGTCCGCCGAGTCATCTGACAAGCCTGCCTTCTCATTCGGAGCCAAGCCCGCTGAGTCAGCCTCTTCGGACAAGCCTTCTTTCTCTTTCGGCACCCCTGCATTTGGTGCTAAGACTGAGTCTTCCTCTGACAAGCCTGCATTCGGTGTTTCTTCCGGTAACCTGTTCAAGGGTGATACCAAGGGGGAGACTAAGCCTGCTGCTGCTTCTTCCACCGAGTCCGGTGAACCAGATGACACCCCCAAGACCGTCACAGACTCGGATGACCTGTCAGGACAAGGACCAGGTGAGGAGAACGAAGACAATGTCGCCGAGTACCGAACCAAGCTGTACAAGCTGGATGACGGAAAGTGGGACGTGTGTGGAGTGGGTCAGCTGAGAGTGCTGGTGGACAAGGACACAAAGAAGGCCCGAATTTTGATGCGAGCAGAACAGAGTGGACGAGTGCTTCTCAACTGTGTGGTTCGAAAGGAGTTGACGTACTCGACGACAAAGTCGAACGTGAACATTGTCGATTTCGACGCGGACTCGAAGCCAATCAAGTACATGGCCCGAATTAAGACTGCTCCTGAAGCTGAGCAGTTGTCAGCTAAGATTGAGGAGGTGAAGTAAGGAGAGGGGTTGACATGAGGTGATGTAATTGAATACGTTGTAACATATCCCATGATTAGTAAATGCATGGAGGAGGGTATAGAGGGTGCTCGTGGCATACAACTGGGACCGGCACAAATAGGTGTGTCCATTCTGTATATATCTTAGTGTTTACAACATCCATTACACTTTAGTGCCCTCTCTCACTCTCTGCAAGGAGATAAGGAGTAAATCCAAGGGGGATCGTATGGAATTTCGACGAGTATCGTGATTTTCCTTCGAGTCAACAAAAATCCCAACTAAATTTAAGTGTTGTTAACAACCTAAGTAATAGATCTTCTACAGGCCACACTCAGTTCCACAATAGCAAGAGAAGAACAAGCCATTATACTCGAACAAGAATGATAGCGATTGAATCCAATGCTACTGTACGTACTGTACTCCGATAACTTCAGCCTGTCATTCTTCCATCAAATTCTTCACTACATACAACGCCAATTCATATGTTACATCCAAACTAATGGCACAACGTCGTCATACTTATAGGCGAACATAATCACATCATACTTTTAGAGAGAAGAGAACAAAATAGAAAGGCAACATGGGGATATTATGACATCAATCAACTCCTCCAGAGGAGCTGATCAAGACTATATAATTTTGATCCCTCTATTCTCTCTACAAATCCCTCTACACTCCCCCCCCTTTTTCTTCCCCTCATGTATGATCTCAACGGCAATACCATAACATAATAGCTGAGGTTACAACCAGTACGTAGCAGCTAACACCGCGACGATATAAGAGGCCACAGACACCCGAAATGAATGTTTTTTTTTTTTTGCACCCCTTCAGTAACAGCACGTGCCCACACGACACCTCACGTGACCCATTTGCACCCCCTTGCACCTCGCCACCGCCACCATGCAGTCCAACCTAGATCTGCTATCGCCGATAATCTCTCTCCACTACAACCACCTCAGCATGGACGAAACACAAGAATTGCAGCTGGTCAACGCGGTGGATCTGCGGATCACAATGGCCAAAGAGGACAAACTGGGCGAGACGATCGGCGTCTATCTGGTGCCTCTGTTGACCAAGCTGGCGTCCAAAAACGTGTCAGTGCGACAAAAGGTGGTTGAAATGTGCCAGCATATCAACACGCGAATCAAGAACACGACATTCAAGTTGCCTGTCGACGCCTTGGTCAAACAGTTTGTCGAGAGTGACAGTGAACTTATCAGAAATTTCGATCTCATGTACATTGAAATGGGTATTGCCAGAATGGGTGATGATGTGAGTATTGTGGGGCGATAACTCCTTCAAAGGGTTAACAACCCGCTGCTATTTATGGGCTACAGACAGTTTGCGGACCCCATAATGATACAGACAGGTGGTGGTTCCACAACTCAATTGTGTGCCACACTGACATCAATGTCTGATCTGATATATGATACGATGGTGAAACAACAGATGTCTAGTTTAAATGTGATCTTGAAGATCCATGAAATCTAACGGAATGAATGCGTTAAAGCTAGGGTTTCCTAATACTATCCAAGCAACATGGCTTTCAGACCATGTCACTATCTGCAGCTATGATCTTTAGCAACACTTCCAGATACAACCTGCTCTTGTCTTTCATCCTCTACGGCCACTCATTACCGTTACTAACCCAGAAATCTACCCTCATCATTCCCCTTATCTCCTCAATTTCCACCCTCTCCTACAACCACTCCAAAGCGGTCTTCCGCATCCTACTTAAACTCCTCCCCTTCATGACCTACCCTCCCCGAGGATCCACTGAAGCAGACAAGTTTCGTGAAACCCTTGACGTCAACGACAACGACATTGCGTACCTCGCTCTTCGCTTCACAGACGTGTTCAATTTCTCTGCCACCAAGAGAACCGGAATGACCATCAGAGAATACGAGTTTCTGTCAGCCGAAGAATGCACCACTGCCGTCAAGAGTCACCTGCTCAAATTCATTAGTGCGTTGTTTACAGACACAGAGTCGTACATTCCTCTGTTGTGTGCGTCTACAGACGGCAGTTCAGCCATTGGAGAGCCAGCTAACGACGCCTGGAAGAAACTCCAGGTAGATTTGGAGTCCGAGATGCTTACTAACCAGCTCTATCAGCTTCTCCTCGGGTACAATGGATCTTCCCCTGTGAAGCAAACGACTCAGGCAAAGATTCTCGCGGCTCTGTGTCATTCGGTGCATGCTGCCAACGTCGATGACGCCTTCAGAGCCATCCAGTACTTCACCCAGACTGATTTCTACTCTCGAGCTGCAATCATCCAGTTTGTTAATTGGATTGTGAAGCATTCCAATGAAGAGCTGTTTTTGCGCCACTCTGGAGACCTTCTCGAGCGTGTTACTCACCTTGGAAACGATGCCAAGACCGCCGAGTCAGCACAGGAGCTCATGGGCGGTATCCTGCGTCGAGACTCTCGTCTGCTGAGTAACATTTCTCACGTGACGTTCCTATTTGACCGGAAAGCAGGTGACTCTTTGTCAGAGCTCATCAATCCGCTGGCAAAGTACCCCGAGACAGCTGAGAAACTGATTCCCCACCTGTCTCGGTACATCAGCCACCAGGCGACTCAATTTATGGCTGCTAAGTACGCAACTCGAGTCTTCCCCTATTCAAGCGCTCATGCGCGCTTCCTTTGTCTTGTTGGCCTTACTTTTGGCCGGACAGACATGCTTGAGGAGTGTAATCGGGGACTGAACCCTTACTGGATGCGAGCTGTTAATGTTCCATACATCACCAGCCATGATTCGCTCGACGTGATCAAGGGAACTTCGGATTCGGACATTTTCCAGTTTCCCGATGTGTTTGAGTTATGTAAACTGATCCACGAGTCGAAATTTGATCTCAAAAAGGCCGCAGAGTGGATGTTTCCCTACCTGGTTCGGTTAACTGTGGCTACAGCTATCCAGGGTCATGACACTGTTTGTGTGGTTGATGAACAGTGGGAAACACGTGTGGATGAAGCTCTGAAGAGTGATGATCACGTGAGAAAGCTCGTTATTGAGTATCTGAGCAAGACCGACATTTCTCCTATTCTAGATATCATTTCCACTCATCAGACCTTCTCCACTCTTCCTGAAGTGTCACTGGAGCTCTACTATTCCCTGGTTTCTCTGTCTACCAAGTCATACAATGTCTTTGATGCCAACAACAGCGTGGTTCAGCTTGCTCTGACCTCTCCCTACTACAAGATTCAGTCCCACGCTGCTCGTGTGATTGGCCTGGAGCAGAGCGAAGAGGTGGCTCATAATCTAATTGCTCAGTGTTTCAACCACGTGCCAAAGAACGTTGATGGACCCATTCTCGTTTTTTCCAACCTGGTTTCTTTCCTGTCTGAGTCAGACATCTCCTCCGCGCTGGAGATTTGTTCCACTCATATCGATATGGAGTCCGTTCAGACTTTCTTGAGTGAGATGAAACTGCACAGAATCTCTCTCGACAACTGGAGCCGTCTCGATGATGTCAAAAAGAAGACTCTGGTCAAGCCCACCGAGCATTCTGTGCTTGCATTTGCTTATCTCAACTTGGACAGTCCTGATTTTGAGTCCAATGTTGATAAGATCTTTGCCATTGAGTCAAAGCAGATGGATTTTGCCTTCTTCACCGGTGAGGCACTTTGTGTGCTTGCTGCTGGGTGGGAGACTAAGTTCGTCAAGCGAAAGATGTGGAAGATTGCAGATAAGCTGCCTGTGAGTTCCCTGGCAGAGGAGCGAGTGAGCCAGCTGACTACCAGACTGATCAACATGGCAAAGACGGTGACCAAGCCTTCTCTGCGGAAGAGTACCGCCATATGGCTTCTTTCTGTGGTCCAGTACTGTGGTCATATGATCCATGCCCTTCTTCCTCAGTTGCAGCTTGCTTTCATGCGATTTTTGCCTGAAAAAGACGACATTGTCCAGGAGGCTGCTTCCCGAGGATTGTCTCTTGTTTTCGAGCAGGGAGACTCTCGATTGCAGAAGGATCTGGTTGAGAATCTTGTCTCCTCATTCGTCACCGATAAGTCGTCTCACAACCAAAAGGTGCATCAAGAAACCGAACTTTTCGAGCCTGGAGTTCTCAATACCAACGACGGATCGATTTCCACTTACAAGGATATTCTTTCGCTTGCTTCTGAAGTCGGAGATCCCTCTCTCGTGTACCGATTCATGTCTCTGGCTAATCACGCGTCTCTCTGGTCCTCCAGAAAGGGCATTGCGTTTGGTCTGGGTAACATCTTTGCCAAGGCTTCGCTCGAACAGCAGCTGGCCGACAACCCTGCTCTTGGAAACACTCTCATTCCCAAATTGTACCGGTACAAGTTTGATCCTAGTACTGGACAAGTCATGGCCAACATTTGGAAGATGTTGATTGGCGAGTCTTCCACTAAGACGGTGAATTCCCATTTCGAGAGCATCCTCAAGGAGCTGCTCTCTTCCATTTCTTCCAAGGAGTGGCGAGTTCGACAGGCTTCTTCGGCTGCTCTTTTGGACCTACTTCAGGGTAGACCCATCTCTCAGTATCTCGATCATTTGTCCGAAATATGGACAGCTTGTTTCCGAGTCGTTGACGATATCAAAGAGAGTGTTAGAACTGCCGGTCTTGGTCTCACACGTGGCCTGACTACTGCTCTTGTTCGGTCTCTGGAAAGTGACTCCATTTCAGACGCTACTGCAAAGCAGGTGCTGGACCAGATTATTCCTTTCCTGCTCGGAAACTCCGGTCTGCAATCGTCAGCTGAAGAGGTCCAGCATTTCTCTCTGGATGTGTTGCTTCAGCTGATCAAGAAGGGCGGTTCTAGACTGAAGCCTTTTATTCCAGATCTTCTCTCCGAGTTTGTAGAGTTGTTATCCACCCTCGAACCGCAGGCAATGAACTACATTGCTCTAAACGCCGACAAATATGGAACGACTGCCAACGACATTGACTCGTCGCGCCTGGCTGCTGTGCGTCACTCCCCCATGATGGACTCCATTGAGGAGATTATCGACCTCTGTGACGCCGATCTGATGAAGAAGATTGTTCCTAAGCTGACTCTGTCAATAAGAAAATCGGTTGGGTTGCCCTCCAAGGTTGCTGGTTCGCGAATCATTGTTACCTTGACTATTAGAAAGACCCAGCTGTTCAAACCCTACGCTGGTCCACTTCTCGTCAAGTCAGCCATTCCCAGCATTTACGATCGAAACGAGACTGTGTCCAGATCGTACCTTGCTGCCTGTGGCTACCTGTGTCGTTTGGCGGACGACGAATCCGTTCTGAGCTACATTACTGAGTTGCAGAACCTGTACTTTGGAGAAATCCAAAAAGGTACTCTTGAACGAGCTCGAATCTCAGCTGCTATTGGAGTGAAGGAGATCGCTGCTCATGCCGCTGACAAGTTTGACTCGTTGTCAGCCTCCTTGTTGCCCCTCATATTTGTAGGCAAACACGATTCAGATCCTGCTGTCCAGGATGTGTTTACCAACATTTGGAATAACAACACTGGAGGCAAAGGGGCCATTTCTCTGCACATTAAGGAGATTATCGCTCTGGTTTCGCCCCATTTGTCTTCTCAGCAGTGGAACATCAAACAGATTGCTGCTACTTCCATTGCAGATGCTTGCAATTCTGTGGGTAAAAACGTTCTGAATGATGAGCTCTTCGAGGTGATGATCTCTGCTTGCCAGGGTAAGAGCTGGACTGGGAAAGAGGCTGTGTTTGACGCTCTTGTCTCTCTGGCCATCAAGTTCAACCTCCACGATGCCGTTGTTGATAAGGTGGTGACCACTGAAATCAAGCGAAAGAACCGAGAGTACCAGATTCTTGCGCTCAAGTCTGCGTCTAGGTATCTCGGCCACTTCCCATCGAAGCAGCTGTTTGATATTTTCTCTGACATTTGTTCTCTTTACCTCCTCTCCAAGTCGGACTTAGAAGACGTGGATATGGATTCTGATGATGAGGAGGAGCTCCTTAAATCCCAGAGTGAGGACAGAAGAAACGCCATTCTGGGCACTGCTATCAGAGCTCTGTCGATTGAGAGCACCGACGAGGACGTTTCTTTCCTGTCATCCTACTTTTCTCAGGTTTCCGAGTGGATCCAGCTTGCTTTGACTCCTCCCAAGAATCTGAACAAGCTGGCCACTAAGAAGTCTGTAGATCCTACATGGAAGACAAAGTTGTGTATTTCGCAGGCTCTGTATTCCGTTGTTATTGGTTTCTTCGGCCAGGAGAAGCCTGCTGGGTTTGAGAAGCAGTTCCTGGAGATTTGGACCCTGGTTGCTGATACTTGTTTGCTGACTACTAATTTGGACAAAACCAAGGTGGAGGTGTGTAAACTTGGGCAGGCTGTTTTGAACTCGAAGATGAGTGATGCAAGTAAGGAGAAGGTGAGAGAGGTGCTGGTATTGGCGGAGGAGCATGAGCAGTCGTTGATTGTCAAGGCTGAGCTCGGGAGAGTTCTGAAGAGCATCTGAACGAGGAAATCCGACCCTGTTGGTGATGTCAAATTAAATTGATTGCATCAGATGTATTATGATTAGATAGAATAAATTGATTAGATGTATTTTTCATTATTTTGTAATTACATAATACTGTATATTGTATGTATTCCACCTATTCGTTTAGTTAGTATTTAGTTGACATTTAATTAATTCTAATTAGTTAAGGTTACAATTATGGTGGGGATTTAGTTGGGATGATGGTTGAGATGAGGGAAGCAGAATGGTCTGCTCTAGACAGCCTCCCTCGCCGCTAGAACTGACATATAGATTTCTGGTGCATTATGTAACCGATAGAGAAATTCCAGGTTCTCCTCCATGTCTTCAATGCTCAACCACACTTAGTTTGCCACTCCGCGGTCATGCCGAGGTATGTTAAATGTTACATGAGTATGTCCGCTGTGTAAAGGGTAAAGGGTATAACCCCGCTGTTCTGTCCTACTGCATTCTCAACATGTTTCCCAACAGTTCCTTGGTATCCACTCTTGACCCGGTCTATGACTATTGTAGCTAGTGTGAGATAAAGGACTAGCCCTGTCTATTAGTTCCTACTAATGGCTATTCCGAGCTTACTGCATGTACTGTAGTAGAAATATAGGTCAAGTGCGAATGACGTAATTTTCGTTAGTGACACTGAATTTGATCATCAGAGTGTTTTCTGTCATTATCATTTCAGCGTGGCAAATTCATCTACATCTACCATTTCTCCCCCTATTTAATCCATTTTATACCGCAAAAATGCGTGCCCTAGCTTTTATCAACGCATCTACCCCACCTTATCACGTGGCGCACGAGGTGCATAATCGTGCAGAGCAAAGATGACGTCAACCGAGGGGGATGAGTGAGTAACGTGGGGCAGGGCATGTGGACGTGGACAGGGAGACATGTGACCAGCCCCCTGAATACGGAGGGGTTGTGTGTGTGTGGCGTGACTTTATGAGCAATTATGTCTCCCCACGTGATCCAGAACACGTGACCGGAGCGCCGTGGCTGCCTTTTCGTCCCGTTGTGGCGGTATTTAGTTCAATCTCTGATTGCTTTCTGGTATGGACATTTCCCGGGAGCTAATAAAGTAAGGGTCATTTGATGTCATCTTTGCGTGTCCCTTTTAGGCACTCTTTGGCCGTGCAAATGTTGTTAAATGGGAACCATGATTGGTGCTTATTTCCCGCAGTCATGTGGCAAACGGCGGTCCAAGGGCGGGCCACAGAGGGGTGTTGGCGTGGCTGGAGGCATTTGTGCGGACAATGTTATATATAGAGGGTTTCTCCCTCCCCATTTTCTCTATCCGGTCTATATTTTTATCCCTCATACCTCAATCATTGCGGTGTGATTGTTTTGGTCTTCCCCAGCTATCTTAAAGTTAAATGCGTTGATAAGGCTTGTTGTGAGATAACGTGCATACGCGTCACACACATCCATAAATAAATCTTGCTACGCGACTTTGACAACTTGTACACTTGTACACTTGTACACGACTCCCCCCAAACAAGACACCACACGCTTCCAAACACACGCTCCCAACCAGCCACTAGCCACCATCCCACCTAGTCACACACTGCCCAGACACAGAAACACAGACAAAGTCTCAGACACAAACACATCCACATTACTATCGGTAGAGTCCTTCCCGCCCTACCACTTGCATTGCTGCCACATAAATTGCGGCACGAAACACATCCATAGAATCGCAGAGTCTCTGAAGTCACTTCACCACTAAGGTACTCACCGTTCACCACACCGTTCACACATACCTTATCACCACTGAGGTACATCACTACAGCCTCACTACCAAGGTAATTTTTCCAAGACTCACTACACCACCTCTCCACAATGTCATACCTGTCGCCCTCTTCTTTCTACTCCTGGCTTTCGGGATCCAAGAACAGCCAGCGTGACACGGCAGAGCAGCTCTCGACAGTCAACGGCGGCCTGGTCCCCCTGGACCCCAACCAGCGGGTCGTCACAACCCTGGAGGACGACGACGAGTACGCAGTCGTGGGGCTGCGCAAGCTCAGTTACGCCGAGGTCGTCCGTCTCGAGGGAGGCAAGGCCACGCCCGTGCCTCGGATCCCCAACCCCAAGGGTGCCACCGCCCAAGCGCCCGCTCCTCTGGTGACAGAGGCCTCCGTGAACCGACGGGCGTACGAGGCGCTGGCGGACTTTTCCGACGAGGCTCTCGGGGATGCCAAGTACGACCCCATTCGCAAGTCCAACCGACGAAAGTCGTTTGCTGGCAAGTAAGTGCATCCTCTACCCGTGGTGCCTTATTTGGCCACGACCCCACGCCCTTCGGAGGCTTTCGTGCGGTGCCTGAGTGATCGTCGGCGCACGAAGTAGCTCATTGAGCGACCCACTAGAGTAGCGATCATACTAGAATGTATAGCAACCCCCAGTTGTAACTATATAACCAATACATATAATACTACATGGCATGGAATTGTGAATTGAGGCTGCCGGACGCAGTTAGAGCGTGTGGCACTCACATACGGGAGTCATGGATTGGTTAATTGCATGTATCACTTTCACTGTACAAGCAAGTACAAGCACCGGTACAATACTTGTTTGGCTGTATAATGTAATATGTAATCTGAAGCGGGAGCATCGATAAGGTAGTTTATATAAGAGAATACGACGGTGGTAAGTGTACGCGTGGTATATGGTCAATTGAGTAATTCTTACAAATGGGTTGGACGTAGTTCTATCCGAAAATAACCTCTTAACTTCTCCAGACTTGTTTTGTTTACTCTCTCCTACGGGGGTTCTATACAGTCTACGGTGTCTTGTTTGCACCTCCAAGGTTATACTTCGATGACGCCTGTATGATACAGCTCTTATCGGAGATTAATGTCTTAGATATATTGGTTGGGCCGTATACACGTGGACGCGTGTGTGTGGGTATAAGCAGTTGATAAGAGGCTGATAGAGGTGCCAGGCGTGTGTTTTAATTGCATGTCTGATTTTGGGTGTGGGTATGGTCTGTTTGGGTTTTAGTTTAAGAGTCTAAGTAATACCGGGATTACTTTGAGTTGGTTAACAAAACAGGGAACGGCAAAAAAATTTCAAGAAATACCACTACAAGAAGGCTCACGTGATAAAAGTGGACGTTATCAGCGACTAACCGGAGAACTTGTCCATTCTAAGCGCAACACAACTATACTAGACGCCCTAGGGATGGCATTCGGAGCTGACCAGATTAGGAGATATGTGAAGGGAGGGATTTTAAATGGCGTCGAATCGTGTCAAAAACGGTACCACAGAGATATCTAGGTTGTGGTGAGTTACTCTGAGTAGTTTATATCGTGATAAAACCATCATTAAATGAGATATCAACCTATTGATATTTCTTCAGAACTGAGCTAACTTAACGTGGGGGGGGGGGGGGGGTCTAGGGGTCTGGGTGCGGTCCTGGAAATATTGATAAACATTTATGTTGCATACGAGATTCTGGTTAGTTAGATTTGTTTCATCACTACTTCTATGCTTCTGTTGTTTCCTCCGTGTTCCGTAGGGTCATCTTATATACTTGTATTATATGCATGCTAATTATCTCTTCATATTTACCCATTCCCACCTACAAAAGATCAACATTCTTGGGCTTGAACTTCTTACCTGATCTGTCTGCGGTTCTAAACAGGAACCGAGACCCGATAATCTCAAATTCCATTTCTCCCACATCAACATGCACAATGAACCGAGTTCCAGACTTGTCCACAATCTTGAGTCCTCCTACCTGTGTGTCTTTACCAGGGTTATCCAGCTCCATTCCTTCCAGGCTATCCATCTTCTCAAAGCACTTTCCTCCCTCACACACAATAACGAAATTTGATTTCGCTTCCCACGCCACAATACCAGTCAAACCGACGATAGAGGGGTTTCTGGCCTCAATAACTGTGATTTTGGCACCGTTGAAGTCCGCCGAAGTGAGTTTCTGGGCGTAGTTCATCTTCTTGGCCGAGTTGATGTCGTCGTCTCCTTCCTTGACCATCAGCAAGTCAGTAATGTACCCATTCCAGAGCTTGTTGAGTCTTGTGTAGGTTGAGTACTTTGGCAGTTGACGCCACGACTCCATTTCCTTCTTTGTCACGGTGGTATCACAGCTTTTGGACCGGTATATTCTCTCCATGACACCCTTGATTGTCTTTTGATGAGTTTTGGCGTCCTTCAAAAACTGCGAAAGGGCCACCCGTGGTTTGTGGTCGTTGAGCAGACGTTGTTTTTTGGTTCGCGGCGTCTTGACAATCTCCTGAGGCGCCTTCCATACCTCTGCAACTCCCGTTTGGCCCTCATTTGGCGTCAACACCAAAATCGGTTTCTGTGTTCCTCCCATGGAGTATCTTTGCGAGATCAGCTCGTCAATCTCACTACCCCGATATCCCGCTTGCTTCAGCAGCCCCTCCTCGATGCTCAGTTTTTGCTTGTTGATGTTCATGGTGATGGGTAGAAAGAAATATTTGAAATTAGCTCGCATTGCATTCTTCAGATCATAGAACTGTGGAGGTGTCCATCCAGAGATATATTTTGTAGGGTAAAAGCGTGAAATTATTGCATCACTTGAATATATACTAGACTATCTGTAAAATGAATATTTTATCTTCTCGATATCCAACCTGAAAGGGAAAAATCCAACGAACCTCAAATTTTCCCAACTAAACCAAGTATTATCTGTGAAGGATATGCCTCTGTGTCTTGTATTGCGCACATATGACTGATTCCAATGGACGATACGCGCGCAAATTCTGGATTAATTCCTATCAGAACATCAATTATGACATTTTTGTTGTATTTTAGTCAATTCTACTCACAAATTGTTCTTCCCCACCTTCCCACATAAAATCTGCACCACCAAAATAACCTCCACTCAACATCACGGTTGTTCACCAACTTCATCAAATCATGATCCGACGAATACAGACATTAAGAACCATCAAACGACCTCAAATATGTTACACAAACCGACACCAGCATCGCTACAACTCGACCGTGACCCTAGAGACCATTGCATCCCAACCAGGACCTCAGATCTTCGTTTCGGCCATTTCTGATCCATTTCTGAATCTCGCGTTGGAGGAATTTCTGTACGACCACATGCCTGCACGTGATCCGAAATCTGAACCCAATCCCGATCCTGACGCTCTTTCCAACAACCGATTAGTCATCTACGTCAACTCTCCCTGCGTGGTAATCGGACGAAATCAAAATCCCTGGCGAGAAGCCAACATTCCTGTGCTCGAGAGTCTTCGGATTCCAATGATCCGGCGGAAATCCGGCGGTGGAACAGTTGTACACGATCTGGGAAACGTCAATTACTGTTTTATGACGAGTAACGAGGATTTCTCGCGAGAGAAGCACTCCAAAATGATTATGGAGAGTGTCAATGCAGTTGGAGATGCGCCGGGAGGTCCCAATGTCGAGCTGAAGCTGAATTCGCGCTTTGATATCGTCGATATTAGTGACAACAAGGTATCTGGATCTGCATACAAGATTCAAAGACACAAGGCGTACCACCACGGAACTATGCTGTTGAACTCGAAACTTGACGTGCTGAAGGCCTTATTGCATCGGGGAGAGAACCTGGGCGTCATCGAGGGCAACGGAACGGCATCTGTCAAGTCACCGGTCACTAATATTGGTATGGAAAAGAATCTGTTTATTGAAACAGTCATCAAGGGCTTCTCTGGCATGTATGGAGTTGATTTCGAGGACGAAAGCGGGCCTTTTGTGCAACTCAACGTGATCCAGCAGTCGGACTTACCCGAGAAGGTATACAACACCGCCGAGGAGATGAAGACGTACCACTGGGCATATGGACAGACTCCCAAGTTTACCCACGTGATCAAGAATGATGATCTGGACGTGGAAGTCGAGTTTTTCGTGGAAAAAGGAATTCTGAAGGACGTCAAGGCCGATTCAGAGCACCTGCAGCAGTTCAAGTACCTTAAGAGTGTGGCGCAAAACGAGGGAGTTCAATACATTGGAGGAAAAATAGCGGCTTTCGTGACAGACGAGAGGCTGGGAGACTGGATTGCCAAGACAATTGATGGAAGTGGAACGGAGAAGGAAGAGATTGTGCTAGTTGGAAAGAAGGAAAAGTCTCTGAAGGATATGCTAGGTTAATTGAGTACGTACACAACACAAGAAGAAGCACAGGAATAAATCAACCAGGCATGCTGCCACCAAAAACAATGAGTCCGCAGCCATTGCAATATCTGCCTTAACACGAGCGGGAAAAAAAACAATTTGCCCACTACCAGAATTGAACTAGTGGCCTTTGCATTACGAGTGCAACGCTCTACCCCTGAGCTAAGAGGGCGGGATTGTGTCGGCTAAACCTTGTTTTTCTAATCTGAATGCAAAGGAAGGAAAAAGTCACGTGATCAAATCTTAAATAGAAGAGGGCAATTTTGGCGAGGAAGCGGTTGTGATATGGAGATGGGACAAGTTTGAACACTTATTCTGGCCCTGGACGTTAACGATGGCTACTTTAAACAATATTATCGAGAGCAACCGGTACTAATATTGGATCATTTATGTATTTCAGACTCGAAGTTTAAATTGATGTACATGCCCTGAAATGTATTTTCCTAGAATTAAAAAAAAAGAAAGAAAAAGGAAAAAACTGAAAATGAATACAAGCCTTGGGCGCTAAAACTGGTGACAGGTGTATGAGGACTCACAAGCAGTAGAAAGTCCTACATTCTGATCATTCAGATACAAGTACTCGTACTGTACATATGTGCTGTAGTGGTATTTTAATCAACTTCCTGGATTTAATATTCAATTTAAAATGAAGTCTCATAAATATGTATCTGGTAAGCATTTACATACACTAAAAGTACACTCCTACACCCAACTACAGAAATCAGTACATTCCACTTGTACCAAATCAATGACACCTACGCCGAAATCGGTACTTATATTTACAACGTCTACATGAGGGTGTAAACCCCAAGTATACTGTACCAGAACGCTAGTCTTCGGACTCAAACAATATCCCTCCACTTCCACTCGCCCCAGGTGTACACCATATGTCCAAATTCATCCTTGTCGTCGACTTCTCCTCCTCTCACTCTAATGAAACCAGCTTCATCCAGCAGCTTCCAGAGCTGTTCTCGCACCTCATCGAACTTGCGTCGCAGAGGAACACAGATAACAGCTCTAGAGTCGCTCTTTCTGTCCAGAAACTGCTCGAGCATGTCTCTGATCCACGGAGGGTGGTTCTCAGAGTATACTGGGTCTGCCAGCACAACTGTAGTGTACTTGTTTGGGGTTGTTTCGTCCTCCAAGAACGAACCAGGGTTAGTCCAATCAAGTGTACGGGTCTTGAAGTTTTCAATTTTGTTTTCGACAAAGTTGGTTTCGAGGTTCCCAACGATTTCGGGTAGATCAGTAGCGATGGTAGGGTGACCAAGTAGAGATGTAGCAATGCCACAGAGCCCCGTGCCGGATCCTAGCTCCAGGACTGTGTCCTTCAGCAAATCAGGAGTTGATACGAAGATTTGAGACAATACGAAGCTCGAGCCCCAGGTTTTTAGACCGAGAAAGTCGCCCGTGAGAGGCGGCTCTACCAGGGAAATGGTGGGAAGTGTGTCGATTTCGATTTTGCGCAGCATTTTGGGGTTGGCAGTTCGACCGGAGCGTTCGGCGATGCGTTGAGCGGCTTTTTGCCAGATTTCGTCTCGCTGATCCTCGTCTTCAATCCATGCCAGAGGAGAGGCACATAATGTCGTGAGCCACTGGTAGAAATTATGGGGGTCGTTTGACACGCCGCTCTCAAAGTTGTGGATCACATTTTGGCTATGCTTCTCGAGAAGAGTGATCAGCTCGTCTGCAGACGGCTTTGTGTACAATTGCGGAGGGTCGGGTTCGGTCATAATGGTGGTTTTGGAGAAGTGAAATATTTAGCCTTTGATAGTGCTGCTGATATGTGAGCGTGGGGTGAGGTGGGGGACATGGGTGTCATTCAGATAACATCTCTGTGTGGCAAGTACTAAGGGATAATCGGTTGGGATTGTCTCAATTTCTGCTTATTGACTTGATTGAATGTAAATTTCATCGTTTCCACCACATTTTTGAGACATGTTCTGGCCAATCGGGGCTCAATCATGGAAGAAATAGTTAGAAGAAATAGTTGATATTTATAAAATTACTGGAGGACTACAGTATAATACTTGGTCAGGAATGAGATAGTTATAAAATTTATAAAAGAGCTAGTAGAGAAGTACAGTACAGTACTTGAACTTGGACGAGAGGAATCTGACGCCTTGTGTGGCCCACAGATCCAACAAGACGAAAGCTGCAACGAAGAAACTAAACTGAACATTTGCTCTGATGAGAAAGAGGTATATTAAGACCTGTAACAAGTAAATACCACCTGCTTCCTGCTGACAAGGCCCATGAGTTCCCTACGCAGGCTAAACAAAGAACAGTCCCCGATAATGCTGCTGTATATATATATATATATATATATATATATATATACATATAAAAGTGTCTACAGAACCATCGAAAACCAATTTAAATCAGAAGTGAGACCAGACTACCCTTACCTGACGACAGTTTACAAGTATCCCAAAGGAATACTCCAATTTAGTGGGCCCCGTACCAGATTGAAGTTGATCTTGGAGAGAGTAAGATCTTAACTGTTGCACAGAGTAATGTGCTCTTATCCCTCAAGTTCACCATTGAAGATGACAGTATGAAGAGTGCCGATCCATCGGAGTCGGACACCTTCCCAGGTGAATTTTCTCACGGAGTACATACTGTACATAATGTACATACTTTGCTTTAGACAATAGCTTGGTTGGAAATGTTCTCACCATATGATCGTCTTTACAGCTCCAAGGGGAGGGCATGCTCAGTATATACAGTATTCGGGTATCAAGATCTTAAATATTTAGTCTTATGAGGCTTTGAAATGCCAGACCGAGAAACAACTGAAACCCGAGGGCCAACTTGTTTCTCAATGTGTAGCCCTTGGAATCATCAGGAAGAACATCGAAATGTCTGGTATCACCATCACTTGCAAGGATGTCATTTATTTTCCGGTTCACACTGTTGTTCGTTTCTGGCCCTTCTTAAAGAATATGCTATCCAAAAACTGTCTGGAGATCCGACATGACCCTCCACCTTCAGTTTCCTTCAAATGGTACAGCAGCTGATATCACTAATGTAATATACAAACGCAAGCCCAAAATGGCTTTTTCCATCAATGACCTCTGTTTAGGATGAGAACGGTCCAAGGAGGTATGTAATGATGAAACAAGGAAGTTCCAAATCGCTAAACGGGACAGAAACGACCAGACGTGCAGTCAAGGGCTGGAATGAGAGGAAACTCGTGGAGTTGTATCTCGACACTATTGAGATCTTCAGATAAAATAAGTAGATCATGTAATATATCTCACAAGTGTGCAACTATTGTGACAAGATTTTCTTAATAAAAAGGTATCAAACGGTGCTTCTTGTAGAGCGCTGAGGATAAGATGTAGTTACTGTACATACTGTACCGTTCTAGATCAATAATTCGAACTGATCTGCTGGTACGTCAGCTGGGAAATGGAAGTATCCCACAGTTGGCTCCTTTACCTAAAGTATTTCCTTTCTTCTTACCTGGATATCCACTCCATCATCTCTCCACAAGCTATTTTCAGTTTTAGTTCGGCGGCCCTCAAAGAGCCCGATACCGATAAGACAACCATAATGGGAAGGATCGACGCATGGATTTTGGTCTACCAGGGCGTATATTGGTGTGAGGGTATCTACGGGCTTATAATTAGAGGCTTGTAATCGCACCAGTATATACTCCGCCGCTATTCCTGGACAGTTGGAGTTTCTACATGGCATAGTGCATAAGAGAGAAGGAACCAGTATGTATAACAGCTACTGTGCTATGAGAGCGGAACGTCCAGCTACCGTAAAAGGGATAATGGAAGTATACTCCAAACCAGGATACTAGATATCCCTCTGCTATTGTTATAGAAATGTCTCTTCTGTCTATCTCAAGTGATGGATTTCCAGGATATGCCCTCAAATGCAATCTCGCTGATAGGACGTCACTGGCAAACCCAGACGGGCCATTCACTGGAAGTACAGCACAATAGACACTGTAGCCGCAGGGGCACGAGTACTCGTACAGTACCACAAGCACTTGTTGTATCCAGAAATAGTTCCACCAAGATATTGGGACGTTAATTCGAGGCTGTCCCCCACCCCCCTACTTTGTAGTGCATTTCTGGATTCTCCTGAAGTATCCTCCTGAGTCCTAACTGTAAGCTCTCTAGTCTCAATTCAAATCCGAGTATTGAGAGGGGGTGTCGATGCCGTTCGATTTGCACCTTCCCAAAAGTGAATGTACTTACCTCCCTCTTCCACCCCTCTTGCAGTCTCCCCGGTACGGCAGACACTAGCGATTTGGTCCAAAAAACCGGAGGCAGAGAGCCATTGTCTGCAGTCACCAGACTAGGCGCCGAACCTTGCGACACCTGCAGTTAGCTGGGGTAAGACAGGAAAGTAAATGTTGTGAGCAGCTGTTGTGAGTGGGATTAAGTGGTGAAAGGGGTCACAAAAAGACCGCGAGTGACTCCGTGTGGCCCCACAGAGACGGCCGCCGCCCAACTGGACTCCCTGACACCCCCTTTAGCCCAATGTCACATCCATAAGGTTCGGTGGCGGACTTCGGACAGTGGTCTGGCATTGCACAAGCCAACTTTGTGACCAAGCCCTCACTTTTATTATATATTAGGTATACCCTCCACCTACCACATGGTAAGCGCAACCACCCTCTCTACCCTTATAAGCGGTTGCCAGGCGGTTCTTTGACAACACATTATCACCACCACCACTCAAAGCGACAAATTGCAGCCGCCGTCGCCGCAAAAACCACAACCACAACCCACAATTTCTGCAATCAGCTACAAGTACCACGTCGGTCCACATGGGGTTCGTCTGCTCACATTACTTCGATGAGCCATGCATTTACTGCTGCATTTCGTGCAAGTCACATCTCAGTCGCAACGACGATCTCAAGAGCAAGGTGAGTAGAGGGGTGGCAAATGGCAACCCACGCAGGGGTCTCCAGGTGTAGTGTGTTGGGTGTGTTTGGTGTGGTGGGGGTGTGCTTTTTTTTTTTGGATGCAGTGCCATACGGGGTGTGCTGGAGCTGGCACCTCCCACCACCACCTCCTGTACGTCCTGCTGCCCAACACAATCGTGCACAATCGGAAATTAGGTTGGGAGTGGACCTGGTGACCGGCGGCAAGGGCGCAGTAGCTAGAGAAGGGGATTGGGTCGCTCAATCCGATCAATCCGATCAGATGACGGCGCGTCAAGAAGCGGGCAATTGCACAGTTTCGCTTTTCTCTAGACTAGCACCTTCCCCCAGTCACGTGGTGTCTCACGCTGTGTAGCAGTTGGCCCCATTTAGGCCATGGAAATAAGCTCGCGCCAACTCTAACCTTGGACCAGCTAGATGGACGGACCAGGACGGACCAGGACGGACCCGTTACCATGGATACTAACACAGTCATTCAAGGGCAAGTTTGGAGACGCCTTTCTGTTTGACCAGGTGGTGAATGTGAAAAAGGCCGAGCCCGTGCTCAAAAACATGATCACGGGGCAGTACCTGGTGCAGGACATCACTTGTGCCCAGTGTGGCTCCGATGTCGGCTGGACCTACGTCAAGAGCCTGGAGGAGGCTGAAAAGTACAAGGAAGGCATGTATATTCTCGAGGTGGAAAAGATATGTCTTTCCAAGCGCGACGGCTTTATGCGCGACAGCAGTGTAAAGGAGAGCACCAGGGGCGTTCAGTCGGTTTGGACCTTTTCAAGGGAGAGGTTGTAGTCCAACCGGAGGGCTCTCATTACTAACAGCAACTTTTATTTATAGACTAATGGATGGTATTTTTACGTCCAGTACCGTAATTGTAGCTACAAGTATCCAGTACATATGCACGCCGCAATACACATATTACATATGTAAGGCCTATGTAGAACACAAGGGGGGGGATAGTTTGAGAGCAACCAAGAGCTTAGTTATATGTGCACATACTTTTGCCATCTTTTTGAGCTATAGAATTGATCTTTTATTGTTCAGATTGTCTCATTGTGGCCTGTCGTGTTCCTGTATCATGGTTGCTGCCTCGCCAGACTCCTGGTTTAAAAGATAGACTTTGCGTTATCTATTATCAAGGTTTGTAGAGCCGTGATGGCTGGAAGGAGAACATGGGTCCTCTGGAGCCAGCCATGACGTGGTAATGGAGAGGGATTATTAGTGTCAAATCACGACAGTTAGTGTCTAGGGACACATACAGGTTTATTAATGAGAGTTCCAGTGTTCTGAATTTAGGGTGTCTCGTGTGTCGAACGATGTGCGACAGTATTGCAAACATCTATCTAGACCTGGACGAGCAGATGTACAATACTGTAGTTTGTGAATCCATTGGAAGTTACAAGTACTTGTCCAATGCTGCCTGTAGAGCTCCAAAAACCTGATTCCAGGCCTGAGATGATGAGTGATCTAACCAGCTAGAAATTCAGGTGGCTAAAAAACAGCATCTTCTGATGACTACAATACCTTTTGAGTGTTCTTCACTAGATTCGTGTCGGTTAAGGCCTTCGTTTCCTCAATTATCTTCTTCGAGAAGAATGCTGAAAGTTGAATGTCCAGGGGTGACAACGGAAACGACTGAGACGAAAACGAAAAACACCTGACTCAAATAATGAACACGAAGAGCCCAAATCGTATTCCTTGCTGCTCTAAACAGTAAATGTTTCTCTGAGCAGCCTAGAATAGCCGGAAAAAACTGTGCTGCCTGGGTTTGCATGTTGCTCACACCTCTAGTCACCGAACCTCTCTGAGTGGTACACTGCTTGTATTTGTAGCACAATTACTTCATAAATCCAGTGCAAAAACTAAGAAATGTATTTTCTGATCGCAGTTGTACTCATCCTCATATTCCCACGCGATATCAACGTCCTGCGTGTCCGAATTCACTGTTGCAGTAGTTTGCCAAGGCTACATTTCTAGTGAACTTTTTGTTGGCGTCAATTCTTGAAAAATTCGACGAAACTCGGAAAAAATCTCAGCTATCATGAAATACAAGGTAACTATACCCGTGACTTCAGTTAGGTGGTAGAGTAGCATACACACCATATGACGTAATATAATCTGTGCCTATAATTTTGCAAACAATATTTGCTTCGAACCAGTATACAGCACTGTACATTTGTAGTGGTACCATATTGCTGCGATGTCTCATGAGCTACAGTGCAAAAACGTATAACATTATGATCAAATTACTTCTCATAACTATATATAAATGATGGAGCTGGCCGACTTGCTTTAGACGACAGGCACTTGAACCATACGACTTGCTAAGCTTATGGTGACCATTACGACTGGTTGCGCTCGGCATTACTTCTTCTGGTTATCCTCCTTCAGAGAAACAATCTGGTTCAGAACAATATCCTTCTCAGTAGAATCCTTATCCATGCAAAAGTATCCCACTCGAAGAGCCTGGAACCGCACACTCTCGGGGGATCCCTTCTTCTCCTTGCCAGTATGCTCACCAGTGACCCAAGGAGAGTTCTCCTTGACGTCGTAGAAGCCGGGCTCGACAAGAGCATGCTTGTGGATGACCTCGGACTCCTCAGCAAGATCTGCAAGGTATCCATCGGGGTGGCCCTGAGGGTTCTCGGACTTGAAGAGCTGCTTGAAGATTCGGGTCTCGGAAATCTTGACGGGAGACTTCTTGGCAGCACACTCGGGGACCCACTGGATGTATGTCTTGGGCTTCTTGAAGGGAATGTCGTTGTCGAGATGGCAAATCAGCTCGGTGATGTTTCCAGCAGCATCCTTCTTGACCTCCTTGAGAGAAATGTTGTGGGGCACCTTGAGCAGACCCACGGGCTGAGTAGCAGTGAGTCGGAAGAACTCCTTGCCAGCAGACTCCTCAAAGTCGCTTCGGTCAATGTACAGCTCTCGGGTGAAGGGCACCTTTCGCGACCGCTCGTCATTCTTGCCAAAGGGCATGTCAAACTCTTCAAAGTGGTCCTCAGGCAGGTTCTCAATGGTCACCTTGACGGGGTCCAGCACCATCATGAGACGAGGAGTAGTGTCCTCAAGGTACTTCCGCACATTGTTCTCAAATCGAGAATGCTGAATGTTGGACTCGGCAGTGGTGACACCGAGAGTGGAGACAAAGTTGAGAATGGCTCCAGGAGGAATACCTCGCCGTCGAATAGCGACCAGAGTGAAGAGACGGGGATCATCCCAGCCTCGAACATGACCCTCAGAAACGAGCTTGGCAATCTTTCGCTTGGAAAGAACGGTTCCAGTGATGTTAAGTCGGCCATACTCTCGCTGGGCTGGTCGGTAGACGTCCACAGCGTCACACAGCCACTCGTATGACTCACGGGAGAGGTAGAACTCGGTGGTACAAAGCGAATGCGAAATATTCTCCAGCGAATCAACCAGACAGTGGGTGAAGTCGTAGGTAGGGTAAATCTTCCACTTGTCGGCAGTTCGGTGATGGGGAGCGTTGAGTACTCGGTAGGCAACCAGATCCCACATTTGGGGGTTGGGGTTGTTGAGATCTTGCTTCATTCGCAAAACTGCCTCTCCGGGCTTGTAGTGGCCGTCTCGCATCTTTCGGAACTCCACCAGGTTCTCCTCCACGGTTCTGTTTCTCCAGGGAGAAGGCACTCGCTCGCCTCCTCGAGATCCCTCAGACACTCCTCGGGAAGCCTTCATCTCCTCGGCGGTCTGGTGACACACAAACGCACCTCCACACTCGATCAGCTTCTCAGCTAGGTCGTACAGCTCCTGGAAGTAGTCCGACGAGTAGGTGACCTTGTAGGGCTCGAAGCCCAGCCACTCAATGGTCTCTCGAATGGAAGTGAAGAATCGCTCCTCCTCGGCCTCAGGGTTCGTGTCGTCAAATCGCAGGTAGCACTTACCCTTGTTGAACTGGGCATAGCCAAAGTTAACGGTGATGGCCTTGGAGTGGCCAATGTGCAGGTATCCGTTAGGTTCGGGAGGGAACCGGGTGAAAACCTGGCCCTTGGTGGCCTTGAGATGCTCAACCATTCGCTCCATGTTGGCCTGAGGGTTCTCTCCAGTCTTGTGCAGGTTGCCCAGGAAACCGGTGGTGAACATGGCGGTGGCAGACACCTTCTCAGGCTCCTCCTTCTTGGCAGCATCCTTGGCAGCAGGCTTGGCCTTGGGCGCCTTCTTCTTGACGAGATCTCGCTCATCCTTGGGTCCCAGAAGCTCCTTGAGCTGCTCGTCGATCACGGGCTTAAAGTCGGCAGGGTTGGCCCACTTGAGAGCAGGGATCTTCTTGGCAGCCACCATGACACCAGGCAGGGCCTTGTATCGCTCCTCCTCGAGCTGAGCCTTGTTTGCGGCAATGTAGGCGGCAATCTCACGATAAACGTCGTCCCGGGTGACCTCAATGCCCACGCCAGCAGCCTGATCGAGGCTCTCGGAGCTGTGTAGGTCCTGGGCCCACTTCCAGGCGGCGTCCAGCTGCACGTTGGTCTTGATTCGGCCGTCGGCAATGGCAGAGGCGACCTCATTTCGCTTCTTGATCACGGCTTCATCCTTGGCGTCCTTGGAGGACGAGGCGAGGTTGTGGAGTAGAGCAGCTCGCTTCTCGTCCTTGCCCACGTTCACTACGTTGAGAATGTCGTTGAAGGAGGCGGCGACCTTTTTGTTTTTCAACACCTCCTTGATCTTGGGCTCGGCAAAACCGAGATGTTCCAGCTTGGTGCTGAGCTCGGCAACGTCGGACATGATGGTGTGTTGTAGTACAAGTACTTGTAGTGTGATTTGGAAGGAGAGAGATCACGATAGATTAGAGATTGGGGTGACAAAAACTGAAAGTTTAAAATCAACGACAAAACGCTCCATGCAGAGTGGAGTAAGAGGCGAAGAGGCGAAGAGATGTCGGTTCGATTACCACTTGCTGAATTGGCAGAAATGGAATTTTTTCAGATCTGGCTGTTCCACGCGTAGGTGGTTAGCATGTTGGGCATGCGAGAGACAGGCGGCAGTAATTATATGAACAATATCACATTACACGACTCGATTGACCATCCTTGTATTGGCTCTAGTACACTCAGTGTCCCTCTCAGTATGGCTATTGATACTCTAGTTTTCTCATGATATGGAGGCGCAAACAGCTCAATGTGAACAGCAAGAAGAAGATTAAGAGTTCAGACTGAACATGTAATTTATGAAGTGCTTTTACACCAACAATTGCAGCCGAAGCTGTTTTTCAGCGCATGGATCCTTCAGTACCGATGACTCTCCAAAAACAAGATTGGTAACTGTACTTGTAGTTACAAGTGGGAGATTTTTGTCAACATTCTCTACTCGTACGTGTACTGAAGTAACCGGGCCTTGTTTCCCTACAACTCAAGTAGAGTAAGTTTCCATAAAGGGTCCGACGTCTAGCTACAATGTGATAGGAGTCATCGTGTAGACTTGGTCCCGAGTCTTTTCCCGAGAAGAAGACGTAAAATTGGGATTCCTATAGTTCATATACCCAACCGTGGAAGCGTCTTGGTCCTCATTGAATCAAATAAATATCATTAATACAGTATATACATGGGACTGTAGATGTGTCCCTCTCTTCCTTCCAAGTCCAGGCAATGCATGTCAGATCAGTGGTTAAGAAGCCGTTAGAACGGCTGAAATGTGGGCCAAACACCAGGTAGTTTCTATCATGCCGTCTTTGTCTCTCACTCATTTCCTTTCACCTCAAAAGCAGTCTCACCTGTGGCTCAGAAATGGTCTTGAAGAGCACTCCGAGATCCAGGAAAATGAGCAGCTGGACGAGCAGAATGAGCTGGAAGAAGTTCCATTGGGGCGCAGTTTCTGTGAGGTCTGCGACTCGATGTCGGAGCCGGGAAAGGACGGTTATTGCAGGAAATCGCGCTTTCAGGCCCATGGCGCGTGGATTTGTGTGTCTATGGTGATGTTGTGCTGGTAGGGTTACCTCTCAACGGTTAAATGCAGCCTATCTCCGAGTCTCCGATATAATGTGTGGAGATGAAAGGTAAAAAATATATAGAGGGCTGTGAGAACGGTCCAAAAGGTTCCAAAGAAGGCTCAAAGTTCTTTTTACTGCGATGAGCAGATGATGTGGACGAGGGCAGGATGATATTATGCTACTAGTGGCATTTCAACGTCGATTTTAGTGCAGATTTGGTCTTCCAGTGGCGTTGTGATTTTTTCGGATTAACTACAAGTAGTTGCATACCATCCGATCCGGCACCAGAAGACGCAACAGCACAGTTCACAGAAAGCTGATAAGGTAGCGATGTCGGTACTCGTCACACTACCAGACCCAGAAAGGTAACATCTGTTCGAAGCCAAGCCGTGGTTTAGTTCCGTAGCAAATACCTGAGTCTAGAATGTGCTCGACCGGAGGGACTGGGTGTTCACGTTGTATGGATCCTTGGAGGAGTGTTAGACTGGAATTCCTCCAGACAACGACGTCATAGTCACCATTAGCACAGGCTGCTACTGCATGGTTACGTAGGTACTGCCATCGAGTAGCACCACCCTGGACAAACTCGTATAAACATTCTAGAAACACCTTAACGGTGAGTGCAGAGTTTGGTGGTCATGGGATGGAACAACAGTGGCGAATGAGAAGCGGAAAGAAGGAACCACGGACACTTAGCCAGGGAACTCTGTAGTGCCGGGAAATGTGTGGCATGAAAGACACTGGAGACTGAGGAGCGTCCGATGCAAGTGTCACACACAGTGACTCACCTTGGACAGAGTTGGATGTGGGGTGTGTTAGGTATCATGGTCTAACAGTCGCTGTAACATGTAGATGTCGAGGGCATAGTCGAATAAGTTGTGTATCGGTAACCGCAACCGATATTATTCACGTTCCGTAGTTGGTAGATTTTTTTATGGCCAATATGGTCGAGTTCGTCCGTGACCTTCGGCAACTCACCGCTTGTGTGTTGATTCAGCCTCGTGATAACAGCAAAGTTCACTCACTGCCTGAAGCCAAACCTGAGGGGTTAGAACACCTTTGGCGAGGCGAGGTGAGCAACTCTGTCTGCGGTCCATGTTCAACATGTAACGTGAGAGTGGCTGTTCACCAGTGTACATGACAGTGCGCAGCTTGCTGCACCGAATGCACATGACAGGCACATGAGGGTGTGTGGAAGGACCGATGGCGTGTGCTGGAATTGGTGCTACTGCAACAGCTGTCGCTAATTCTTTGGTAGAATCAGTTCAGACAGCATCTGTCACACGATTACCGGTGGCGAAATCTTCCGCGCACTAACCCACGTTCACTTGTGTGCATCTGGTTCTGCCGCTCAAGTCCGATCCGAAACCTTGGGTGTAGTAACACTAAACAATAATAACATCATAACAGTGGTGATAAAGGCTTGCTGAGACTGAAAGTTGGCGCGTTGCCAGAACACACAACATTACCGCTCACACAAGTCATTGGCAGTGAAGAGGTGGACAAAACAAACGACAAATTGCAGCACTGGTGACACAGACCCAGAAACAGACGCAAATACAACCACAAAGCACGTGACCAACCCCTCTACACAGCTTGTAATCGCCGTTGCACGGTCTACCCCCCGTCAGACCCCTGTCAAAACAATCAGACTCAGACGACGACTTCGTCTCACCAAGTGACAAAAAGACATTTGCATCATCCTACAACATGATCATTGCAAAGTTCTCTCGAAAAATCAACCCGCTACACCGATCCAAACGCCACGATCGAAACCCACCGTCCGATGGCCGTCTGCCAGGTATATCTCTGGAGGACGTGTCTCAGGTGGCACCTGCCCCTCCACCAAAAGACCACCGGTATTCGCGCAAGTCAATGGACGAGGACAGCAACGAACGACGGCGCCTGCGGCATTTGAGTCCGTTCAGATCGTCGGAAAAACGAGCGTCTGGAGAGTATCTTCGCCAGGCTGAGAAACCCAAGACAAGAGGAGCAGGAGAGAGACGACCCGGAAGCCAAACCGCAACACCCAGCCCGCCGCCGGTCCCCCACACCAACCCGAACCCCAACAACAGAGCTTCCCTCGACATGAACCGTCCAGACCTGCCCGATCGAGGTCCTCCCAAACCCTCACGCCCTGCCACCGACGACTCGGCCGTGTCTAATGCGAGTTACTCCACCGTAAGTACCTCCTTTGGCGCAGGACACAGCCAGAGCCCCTCGTACCCAAACCCCGGTAGCCCCAATCGAGGGAGCCCTAACATGGGACATCGCCGAGGAAGCCCTAAGAGCAGCCCTAAGATGGGAAGCCCTAACATGGTCCATCCTAACCTGGTGCACCCCAATCCAGGCTACCCTAATGGTGGCCGTCCCATTCAAATCCCTGGCCAACATCAGCAGTACCCTAGCCCTGGCCAAATCCCTAGCCCCGGTTCTGCTGGTGCCAAAACCACCGTCAAGTCGCCTCTGATGCGGCCCGATTCGCCCGACCAGCCGGTGCCCGATATGACCGACTTCAACCGGTCTTTCCATGTGCAGAATCCCGGCAAAGTCACATGTGGATTCGAAGACATCTTTCTTCCCGTGGACGTGGAGAAGCAGGAGCACCACCGACTTGAACATCTGCAGTTCCGACACGAGGACTCACTCAAATTGCATCACACGCTGCAGAAACAGCTCTATAACAAGCCTGGAGACGTGGTTCTGGAGTTCTATGATGTGACGGTCTACAAGGAGGACATTGACAACTTACAGCCTGGATACTGGCTCAACGACAACAACATTTCGTTTGTCTACGAGTACCTGGAGCGTCTGGAGATTATGCGGGCCGGCTTCCAGTCCCAGATCTTCTTGTTACGTCCGTCTATGGCATTTCTGCTGGGCCAGGGAGACCCCAAAGAGGTGGCCGAATTTCTGCCCGATTTCAAGCATGCATCCTTCATATTCTTGCCCATCAACGACAACAACAATGTGGAGATTGTCTCTGGTAACCATTGGTCGCTATTGGTGGTTTCTGTGGAGGACGGAAAGGCCATTTACTACGACACTGTGGGCGAATGCAACATTGCAGCCGCGCGGAACGTTGCTGATAAACTGGGTGTTGTTCTCGGCCAGAAGCTCAACTTTCTCGTTGCTCCTACTCCTCAGCAGAGCAATGGCAGTGACTGTGGAGTCTATGTGTGCGAGATTACCTCTTTGCTGCTGAGGCGACTGCTGTACACCGAGGGGTTCATTGATTTGGGTATTTCCAATCTCACCTTTGTTGCCGATGCAGGACGAACATTCATCCTCACTGCCATCTTGCAGCTGATCTCGATGTTTGGTCCCAAGATTCGGGAGCGAATTGAGTGATTGGAGATTGATTATTTTGGTTACATGCATGTTAGTAAGCGATTTGGATGTTTCTTGATCGACCATTATGGAGTGTTATTTGCATCTAGTTAGAAGGAATATATTTATGATAGATTTCGAGCCCACATTGTAGTGAAATCAAGCTATTTCGTAATTGGCGGAACACTGTAGCTCCGTAAGCACCAAACTGAAAAGAGTAGATCTGTACAGGTTGGAAGCACATTAGTAAAAGTACTAGTTATCTTACTGATAACTTTAGTTGCGGTTGTGTTGTGTCCCTAGCGAGTGTTGAACAACAACATTCACAGTAGACAGTACTAATTTCTGCTACAATACAATACAGTACAATCGTAAGTAATGAAAATGCATAAATTATTCCTTCCACAGCCTTCCTACAGTACAATTCTCCACCCTCAGCCAGTTCGGGTTGTCTAATGCAACTGTTGACAAAAGTAATAGTTCAGGTTGGGAACATGTCGACCCTCCGAACACTTGAATCCAACCCCAAACTCCACATTAAACGCCTCTCCCTGATTAGTGTGTGCAAAATGGCACATGGAGTCCAGTAGGCCCTTGTTCAGGAATTCAGGGCGCAAATCGTACCACTTGACCTTCTGCCAGGCAGTAGCGGCTTGGTGAGTGAGCCAAATGGGGTCATCAAACGGGTATTGCTTCATGCTAATATCGGCTCCATAAATGACTTTTCCCATGAGCATCACATCATCCGGTTTGGGCGCACATTGGTCTCCAAAAAACCGAGCGTCATTGTGAGGAAATGAATGCACAGAATCATCAGACTTGTGATCCTCAACGTACCCAGGGTACTTGGCGGTGACTCTTCCCGCTCTCTGGCCTCCTCTCAGAACAGGCTCAAAGACATAATCCTCCCACAGCTCGCCATCGCCAAAAGAAAGACTGATTTCGATCTTCTCAAAATTGAATGTCTTACGTAGCATGAACGCAGCATGCCCCGGGCCCATTTTAGGCACCTGAATGTGTCGAATCTTCTCAACTTCACCATTTTTGTACACATGATCGGTAGTGAAGGGCTCGTTGGATGTGAACTTGTCCCGTGACTCGACAAACGCTGCATAATCCATGCCATTGAACTCCACGTGTCTTAGAAGAGAGGGATATTTTGCTGAGAGATGCGCTGCACGTGGATTGACTTGAAGATCACGCTCTACAGGTTCATCATAGCTTGCTGAGTCATCCTCCTTTTCTTCTTCTTCTTCCTCCACAGAGTCATCACCAATGTCTTCCTCAATTATCACATCCGGCACAGATGTCTTCTCAGCAACATGTAAATCACCTGATTGAATTCGGGACATAACAAACTTCTCCTTAGGGTCATTTTCGTAGTCACGTGACTCTTCAACAAGCCCCCAACTCGCAAAATAACCAAGTTCCAGCACCAACATGATCTGACTAAACTTGGTAGCCATGCACTGGTGTCCGGAAATGTCCCCCTCTGAGTAGCTGAGCAGTTCTGATGTCAGTGGCGATTCCGGCAGTCGGGCTACGTAATCTTCTACCGCTTCTTTCACTCCCTCTTCATTTGACGCACTGATTTGAACGTCAGGAACAATCACCTTCTGAGACACATGACACAGTGCCTCTGTGTAGTTGGCGTGTCCAGCCACCGGCCCCTGATCTCGTGGTGCTGTAAAATAATGTGCTCCGTTTTTGTGTCCCAGATCAATGGTATCATCATACAAGTTGTGACTGGCACCTAGCCTGGTAATGTAGTTTGTGAGTCTCCAGTTGTCGACAAAGTGGCGTTTTTTCGGTGGTAAGCTGAGCCAGGTTCCAAATATCACGAGGAAGACGATGAAAGGCAGCAGCTTGCGTTTCGAGATCATTGGATAGCCGTTTGGGTCACTTTCTTATGGCGATAGTTGTGGTAAACACGATAGAACTGACAGACCACGTCGCAGATGGCGGAGCCAAAAATGAGTAGAAGCTCCAGTTGTATCCCCGCTACTAGCAGCCCACGCAGACGTCCAGACTAAAGGGTTCGGAACTATTGGACTAGTTTATGCGGCCACCGTACCAGATTTAGCAGGGGTGTAAAATGCCGAGTAGTGGGCGTAATGAGAATCAGAAAACGATGACAAGATGAGGGAGATGTGGAGATTCGATTTGATAGCTCTTGTGACAATTGGTACAGTATTTCGGCTGCTGTCCGGTGCTGATGTTGGGGTCGATGGAAGAAGGTGTGTGCAGTAGAAAATGTGGGCTAATCTAAACTCAACTACTTTTGTTGGAGATCCGCCTGTACAGTATTACAGTAACCTGTACTGTAGACAGTACCAATGTAAACGAACAACGCCAGAGGACATAGCGTCGTGGAGAATAACGGGTCACGTGACATCTATCCCCTTTGAGTTTCTAAACAACTTATTGAATCATTACTCAAACTTCCATTATCAGCATATTAACTAACGTCGCGTCGTCATGGAGCATGCACTATATTTGTATACTGCACTGCAGAATATGGCTGCTCATTACGATACCCGTACAATCAAGGACTGTCCGGTGGTACAAGTATTTGGCTCACGAACCAAACTGCCGCAGTATATGTATCATTCTGTAGTTCCAAGAGAGCGGGTCACAATGATCAGACCCAATCTTTTTGAAATTTCGCATGTCTCCAAATAAAAGCAACTTCTTGAAAAACCCAGCCACATATCTCTCAATACATCTCCAATTGACACAAAAATTGCACCACGAGATTCCTCTCGAAGTAAGCATTCTTTTGATACCAAGAAAAATATAATAATTGTTATCTAATCATCTTCTGCTACAGGTTTGTACAATATGTACTGTACTGTGTACTGTACTTGTAGTCAGCCACCAAAACTCACCCACTCACGTTAACCTTCTCAAATCACGTGACATCATCTAGCCCCAAAATACTCCTCGACTTCATTAGTCACATGACCTACCTCCAAACACCACGTGCTTGTATCCCACGTGGATAACGCTTCTCATGAGACCTAAATATTGAGATATTACGGGGAGTGGCAAACCCTAACCCAGCTATACACCTTCATGGCAGTGTCCTAAGGTGTCCTGCCTGGTGTATACTCTGTTTTTTTATTATAGGGAGTTTTAGGGGTGGTAGGGAGACGGTGAATACCTGATTGAATAGCTGAGGTTTCAGGCAACATTTTGACAAAATATTATTGGCAATTTTGCTCATTATTTCACCATTTGAGCGGGTATTTCCCCTTAGTCTACCTAAGAGGCAGCTACTTGTAGCTACTTGTAATTAGCGTTGGCGGCATTTGAGGGAGCAGATATGGGGCTGGAAAGCTATCACATAGAGAAAATTGAAAAAATCAAAAGTATTGCTTGAGCTGCAAATAATCCTTCTGTGCTTTTTTTGTCTTCATTACGTTACTATTACACTTCTTTAATCGACTCCTCATCACAGCAACTCCACACAATTTAAGCCTTTATCTCCAGAAGTTTATCTCGGAAGGTTAAAATAGGGAGGTGCAGTATCACAACATACAGGCATAACATCCGACCTCTGACCCTTTACTTTTTGCGTGCGAAAGAATAGCGAGATTTCACCAGGTAGTATCTCGGTTGCCGGCGGAAAGAATTGAACGACACTCGATAGCCGCTACGACGAAGCAACACACAAGTGCGCAAGTCACACACCACAGCCAAGTCATATAAACATCGCAACGACACATTAACGATCACAGGGCACCACACAACCACGGCTCCTGCATTGGTTGAACATCAGTTTTATTATTCGCCACCGAGTATTCACGATATTGGCTCTGTTGCAGAATTGTGAACCAACAACAACGTTACAAGCCTAGTGTCTCTCAACAACACCCCCTTCAACATGGACATTGTTGCAACGACACAAAAGGAGCTGTATGGATGGTACGCGTATGCATGGGCCGCCGAGCCGTTCATGGTTGTGGCTGTAGCAACTTACATCCCCCAATTGTTGCAATCATACGCTCGTCAGAATGCGGTTTTAGCAGACGATCACTCTCAGCCCTGCGATTCGCCTCCAGTGCCATTTCCAGGCGACCCCGGAGTTCCTACCGACCCTGGTATCCCCCCAAACAACAGTCTGTCCTCATCTGTGCCCTGGTTTCTGCGCGCAAATGAGATTCAGCTGTTGGAGTCCCCCGACACCGTGCATACCATGAAAGACCATAAGGCGAAACCCACACAGCCCACGTGCGTCATCAAATTTTTTGGCATCTACATTGACACTGCATCTTTTCCTCTCTACACATTCTCGCTTTCAGTGCTGCTGCAGGTCGTCGTGGTCATCTCCATGTCTGGAGCAGCCGACCGCGGCCGTTTCCGAAAACAATTGCTCTTGTTTTTCGGCATTGCCGGAGCTCTAACCACCGGCCTGTTTGTTTTTATCACCCCCAAGCGGTACTACCTTGGTTCGTTCCTCGCTATCGTCTCTAATGCTGCTTTTGGTGCCGCTACAGTGTGCGGAAACGCATATTTGCCAGTCCTGGCAGCAGGTATGAAGGACGGAACCACGTCAGAGGAGCCCAGCGAGCCCAGCACTCCTTCCGATACGTCGAAACCCGCCTCCAGAAGCGAGAACACACCGCTGCTATCCGCCTCAGGTGTTGACTACGAGACTGGAGAATCATCCAACACAGCCGAAATCGTCAAAATCGACCACAGAGCAAACGTGTCGGCCAGAATCTCGGGAACAGGTGTAGCCCTGGGCTACCTTGCCGGATTCATTGTCCAAATCATCTCCATATATCTGGTCATCACTACAGGTTCTACCACCTGGTCTCTGCGTCTGGCTCTGCTGATTGTTGGTGTATGGTGGCTCATTTTCCAGATTCCTGTGCTAATGTGGTTAAAACCACGTCCTGGTCCTCCTCTTCCTATCAAGACAGACCCCCAGAACCACCCCTGGACTGCTACTCTGGATCGTGTCACTAACGGAGGATGGTCGTATGTTACCTATGGATGGAAGACCCTCCTGGTGACCTTCAAAGAGGCTCGTCAGATGAAGGATGTGGCTCTTTTCTTGGTGGGTTGGTTCCTAGTGTCCGATGGAATCACTACCATCAACTCCACAGCCGTTCTGTTTGCCCAGGGTGAGCTGCGGATGTCTCCTGCTAATCTGGCGGTCATGGGCATGCTCGTTGTGATCAGTGGCATTTCTGGAGCCAAACTGACACCTCTGATTGGAGGAACAAGGGCGTCTCCTATCAAATCCATCGTTGTAGTGGTTTCTCTGGCTGCTGCAGTTCCCGCTTACGGTATTCTAGGTTTCTTCTTCACCAACATTGGTCTGAAAAACCCGTGGGAGCTTTACGTGCTTGCTGTTTGGTATGGCTTTGCTCTCGGAGGTCTCAACACTGTCTGTCGATCGACGTTCAGTATGCTGATTCCACGCGGAAAGGAGGCTGTCTTCTTTTCGCTCTTTTCCGTCACCGACAAGGGCTCCTCTGTGCTCGGGCCCCTACTTGTTGGTCTGATTGTTGACAAGACTCATAACCTGCGCCACGCCTTCTACCTTCTGTTGGTACTGCTGATCACTCCCATTGGACTGTTCCTGATGATTGATATGGAGCGGGGTAGAAAGGAGGCCGAGTACTTGGAGACGGTGGAGGAGTAGATAGAAGATGTGGCATACTTACGATATTGAAATATATTACGGATTTAGCCAGCCTACGAGTAATGGAGGCGTATTACTGTATGGTGGCGACAGTCAATGTTACTGCCCTTGATAGTTGCACTAGTGGACTTACACAGGGTGGCAGTGGGTGCGGTGATACTTTCACAAACAACTTTCTCCCCACAGATATTCTTGCTTTGGTCTGTGCTCATTTGCAACTTGATGATATTGTCGTCTTTGGACAAGTTAACAGACCCATACGACTCAGCTGATGGGAGTAATCCTTGAGCAACAGGGTACTACAGCATGTTCTTTTTCGATACAGGTACAAGGAGACATGCAGGTCATTCTTCTCAGGTGTCTGCTCTTTTCTTCACCTGTAGAGTATATCCAACGATTTAAGTCAAGTATCGAGAGAGGACTACTGTGGAGTGTACTGTACGGAAGGCAGTTGATAAGTACCAGTTGTATTACAGGTGGCTCTTTACAGTTGTCATTAGTTTAATCGAGATGCTTGTATCGTTTACGTAACTGCAGAAGGTGGTTTGAATGAGGTAGTGTGTTCTTCCAGACAGTTGGCTCCTGTTGGATTGGCAGTCTACTACGACATGCTCTTTAACGTTGACTTGCCCAGCAGATACAACCTACGGGGTTCCCTATCCTCGTCTAGTCAAGGGTGTCGAGATGCTAACAGATACAGTGACTAAGCAGTATCCCCGGTATTGTCTCCACAGGCCTTCTGGAATTGTAACAGGACTGGTTGACCATGAACTCGCTAGTATATGATGGACATAGATACATGATAACAGAGAAACCGAGGCATAGAACAAGCCGGATAGTTCACGTGACAATTCCAATTTACCGCAGAAAAAGAGATCACATGACTTCTCTACACTACAAGACAGCACACACTCAGATTCCATACACTTCGGTAACATATCTTTCAATCGCATAAACTAGATAACAAGATTATGGAATCTGCAGTATACATGGCTTGGACTAGCCATCTTATTGAAGAAGACAAGCCACTATTTAGAAAAACAGGTCAGGTACGATATTGTCGGACAAACATGTGGAATTTTATTGAAAGTGATGATGGCAACTACGACAACGACGAATATCACCCTATTAACGGGACCAGTAACCACGATATCTGCGGAAATCACAACACCTTCAGCACCGACCCCAGCTCGTTCAACTTCAAACCAACTTTCAAGCTCAGTGATACTCTCAAATTTCCTAGTCTGTCCAAATGTCGATCAGAGACCAACATTCGGTGTGGAAACAGTGTCGGATTCGGGAAATCCATTCTCAAGTCAAAATCCGAGACCCAGTTGGTGTCTATTCTGAAAGAATCTACTTCTCGAGAGTCTGAGGAAGATAGGTATCTTTCTGGAGGGTATTCTGAGACGCTCGTCGCCAAGGAAGAGGTTAGGTTTAAGAGACCTACATTGAAATATACCAAATCTGAGTCCAAGTTTGGAACTTATGGGTTCGATTCGTGTCGGTATATTTCTGGAGATGAGGACTACAGTTATCGACCCGAGCGAGTGGCTACTGACAGTTACAAATACTCATCATTTAGCCCCGGAGGTAACGGAGACAAGAAGAAGGAGGCTATCCGGGTGCCTGGATCATCGTCTGTGAGTGGAGCAAGTCTTGGAATGCGATCAACTACCTCCTATACACGTTCTCTTGACCATTTCACGTTGAGAGTTGTCAAAGGGGGCGAAAATGATGGGGTTCCACGACACAAGTCTCTGGATAGTATTTTGGAGTTCCCTGAAGAGTACAACTACGACCATTTTACTCTTCAAGACGATCATACCTTGGGCGAGAATGGTACTGGGAATGCCATACCATCCATTACTAATGCAGTTCAATCGGACATGAACGGGATTGAGCCTCCAGTTGAGAAACAACCCATCCCCAGAGCCAGTTTGAATGGGTCTACTTCCAGTTCAAAACCTGGCTCGAGCTTTTCTTCTGCAGAGTTGAGTTGGAGTCTTCCTCACATTGATAGATCTGAGCCTCCAAAACCCAGCAACTTGGCTTCTGGATCTCTTTTGAGATCGAGTTCTCGACCTCCCCCCAAGCCAAGACGTACCAGTACTCACAGCTTCTCTCTGATATCCAACGATCCTAGGCCATCAGCAGTGTCGATCACTAATTCAAGACAAACTACCGCTGGAGGGCCCAAGACACCTCACCATAATACTCAGTCCGACAAGTCCAGGTCAGTGTCCAAAAGTAATCCCCCAGTCAACCATTACTCCCATTCCAACAATCAACAAACATTCTCAAATGAAGAAACCCATTTCAACAACCCTCTGACTCCTCAATATACCAACCCTCGACAGTCAACCCCTCCACCCAGTGACGTGCTGAGCCCAAGAGAGCCCCAGAACTCACCTCCAAAAGCTGATCTGCTCGCGGCAATCGCACATATTGTCCCTCTGGTATCAGTCGAGTCATGTGACAAACCAGCTCAACACGAGGCCACTCCTCCTCCTGCCAACAACACCGCTTCTCCAACACATGACAATAGCCCATCGGCGTACCAGAACTCCAAGTCACGCGCAGTTGCAAACTTGCGGAACCGCCAACTGCTCCAAGCCCGAGGCATCCGAGTATTACCGCCCAGTCCTCTCAGACAGGTCTGTCACGTGAGATCAGACGAAGAAGACCTCGCCGGCCAGACGTCTGCACACCCGCCTGCCCGGAGAGCCTCCTTGTTCAAAACATACACGCAACCACATGAAAAACCGGAGACATCCATGGAGTCACGTGACTCTGTGTTCAAGACGCAGACGGAGACGGCGCTGTTCAAGTCACGAGACCTTCTGGAGAAGTTCAGGCTTCGCAAGCCTACGACCTTGACTTTGGCCAAGAATCTTGTGGATGAGATTCTTCTCTTCTCGGCTCGGTATCTGCTCATTAAGCAGGAGAAGCTACGTAAATATGCTCTACTTCATTCTGCCGTTACCAACTGTTACCTTCTCAATACTGGCTGGATACGTGATCACAAGACCCGTATTTTCTCTAAAGCCGAGGGACCCTTTATTGTCAACAAGAGAAAGTGAGGAAAGGGATGACTGCAAGTAGTTTTTGTGTTTGTTTTTTTATTTTAATAGAGCCGTGCCATGTTACTGTGACCTGTTTAATACCTCAGATAGTCTCGTACTCGTACAAGTAGACATATATCTACACTCATAATCTCACATGTATCAGCTGTAGGTACACTTATGACCCGATGGGATCCAAAAGAGATACGAAAAGAAGTACAAGGCAAAACTTGCTCGGAAGAGATGTCTAAATCCAGCAATATCATTAATTTCAAGTGTTGTGTCTCGGTACTTGCCGTTTGGAACAAGACCCATTTCATCTCGGTCAAAAATCGTCAGATTCGAGATGCGAGAACTCCACGGAAATATGCGCACTCACGTGATCAAGAATAATCTCAAACACGTAAACACGTTGAGTCAAGCCGCGGCACAGGCCTCGTCCGCCACGAGCCCGGAGAGAGCCCACCCTGCGATACAAACCTTGAGCGTGCCCACCAAGGTGTCACGTGATCTGCTTTCTCCACAGCCTATCCTACCATGTGTGTGCCCACGTGCGTTATCGAACAAAGCCGCGCTGAAATTTAGCTTGGCTCGTGTGCGCACAAAAAATGTTAATCTTAAAATGTGACGTGCAGTTTACATACAGAAAAAACGCATGTCCGCTAGCAGTCGTGTGAGTCTTCCCCACAATGACTCGGATCTACACTGCGAAATCCAGAGCGTTCAGGGGACGTAAAAAGGCCACAAGGGTATCAATCGAGGACAAGCACGTCTTTTTAGCGTATTTCTAATTTCACTCTTCGATGGGCGAGCGAGACATCATAGGGTCTATTTATGAAAGCAAGTACAGTATCGTAGGAGGTAGAATGTACACACGCCTTCGGAAAAGACCTGGTCTTGTTTTGCTCATACAGCTCTCAGGCATCGGCTCTTTGATGCTATTCTCCAAGGTGGAGGAGTGACGAATGCGTCGGCTTGCAGTGAAACAGGTGGTAGCTTCAGTTTTGAGTGATGCACTCTGAGCTTCGACGATGCGGGCAGTGCAACATGTTTGAAGAGCAGCATATTCGAGTCACTGACCAGGACCAAGACGTAGATACTGTGAATTGTTGCTACTGTTGATTGTAGCTACCGTGAATATAAGACTGTTGCTCCTGCACTGGCTATTCACTACCAGCTTGACAGTTCATCTTCAGACTCCCCGATAGAAAATAGCTTGACGATTCATAGTCGTAGCTATAAGAGGGCTAGAAGCTACAAAAGCACATGAGACTAATGCAAAACTAGCACTTGTTGCAAGCCTTCTTTGATAATCTTGCTTGTCATGCTTGGGGTCACAAGTCATAGTACAATGTACGTTTCACTAAATTAGTTTTCATACATTTACCAAGCCAAATCCTTGATGAAAGTGTCGCCAACTCCTTCCAAGATGCTCCCATTAACATTAAATTAGTAAAATGGACCACCACCAGTCTGCTGAACCTCTCCACCAGCTTTTGGCCAACCAAATCCCCCGTTTAGAGCAATTTTGGCTTGTCCTGAAACCCCGTGTTTTTTGCCCGGATCAGAAACACTCTAACCGAACACTATTCGAATGTTATTTGCAATCGACTTGGACAAACAAGGCTGTCGATCGCACCCGACAGACACGGCCAAACTGCGGTATGCTGAGGTCGTGTGCCGTGTCTCGCAAAAGTTGCTTTTGTATGAGGGGTTAAACGGTATGGATAGACGACGCTTCCAGGCGGTCTGAATGATAAGAATGGTCTATAGCACCAACTGCACCAGGTCCACACCCTTGTACAACCGCGTTTTCCGCTTCTAACGCAGTTATACCCGCGCCTATAGCTAGCTTGGCTTGATCATGCGTGCCATATCGAATTGTTCGGTCGTACAAGATGCACCATGAGAAGGACACAACCACAAACCATAGTTGTAGCCTCACATAGTATCTATACACATTATCGCTCCCTTGAAGCGCTCTAACGTCAGGTGTCTCAACCAGTATTATTCCATAACTCCTCCATAATAACTGATAATATCACCTCTACTGACCCGACTTGGAAGGTCTATCTTTTCATGTCTCAGGCCAAGCACAAGTCCAAAGTCTGTTGGAAGCTCATTTTCTCCCACCCAAGAGCCGTCCAGAGCCAGTTTGGACCCCGAGCAGCCATCTCCGTGGGGTTTCCTTGCAATTTCCACTTTTCGTTTGCACCGTTTAGCACCCACCGCTTCCAAGTTTTTGCGTCGGGGTTTTTTTTGTTCAACTTTTTTTCCAGTCCAACTTGTTTGGCTTTCCGTTTCTGCACAAATCTAAACTGGGTCACACTACCACCTCGCGTGCCAGGGTGGAGTGGGCTTGGAGAAGTGGCCGAAACCAGCGACAAATCCATTAAATTTCATTTTGAAAAAACCAGAGTGGTCAGGAAGTTCACGTGACTATATCTAGACTAATCACGTAACCACACTACCTCTCCAGCGTCCTCCGCAAAAATCCGCCCCCTGATCCGCCCTGGAACCTTGTTTCTGCACGGCAACTTGCAGCAACGTTATTTTGCATGGCCACGTGCGTAGATCAAGCCAGGTAGTGGGCGTCGATGCATGTGGTCATGCGAGGGGAAAAATCTGGCGTTCGTCCTGAGAAGATGAGTCGCCCAAATATGGGAGATATAAGCGTATATTCTGGACCGGGGCCGTCAGAGCTACATTTTGCATGTTTTCAATACCTGCTGCCGTGTCTTGTACACATTCAAAAATCGCCCCCACGTCATGTGATGTAACTCTAAAGAAACGTGCTTAATCGATCCCATTGATTGGAAGAGTCTATCCGGCACTAGCGCTGACCGTCTTATCAGACTTGGAGCTCAAAACCATGGGACTTATATGGGTGTGTGGACGGGGTGTAGAATTTCTCGTGTTTGCGACTTTTGATTTTAGACGCCCTTTGCACCTGCTCTAGCGACCGCCGAGACTGAATAATGGCCGTGGTGTCCCCTACAACCGGCCTGCCCCCCGCTCAAGCGGGCCCTCACCTCCCTCCAAACACAAACACCGTCACTCACACGACTAACTTTACCCACGTGCGCTCGTGTCCACGTGTGGAGGTTTTGGGTCGTCAGCGTAGCAATATATATGGTGGCTCCGAGGTGGTTTCTCACAATCCACACTCCAGACCGCCTCCACCGCCACCGCCCCCAGGTTACCCACACTACAGCCAACACCCCCCAGGCAACTACTACACACACCCTTCTCCTACTACCCCCAACACGGCTTCTCCGACCCACTACCGTCCGCACATGTCGTCTCCACACATCCCTTCGCCGCCCCACAGTGGCACGCTGCACGAGTACAAGAAGACGCTTCCCTCCATTGGCAACATGGTGCCTCCCATGTCGCTTCCTCCGCCGCTCATTGACTCCAACTCGTCGGATTCGGGGGCCTCGAATCAGAACAAGTTCCCTCCTCCTCCGGGCAGACGGCGCACCATCATCCACATGAGTCCGCACGTCAACACTGCGCCCAACAGTAGAAACAACTCCATATCGCGCACCAATTCCATGAGTCGCAGCAACTCCATTAGTGCCATGAGCTCGCCGGGCCTGCCACCGCTCAACCAGCACCAGCAGGTTTTCAGCGACTCGTCTGACGAAGACAAGAAGACCGCCGAGGCACATGAACAACAACATCACCACCAACAACATCAACACAGCGAACAGCCCAAGCGAAAGCTGTCGAGCTTGGATCCCCTGGAGGAGGAGAGCCCGATGATGAACCCCACACACAACAGCCACGTGACCCACATGCCCGGCCACGTGAACAAAAAGCCACGACCTGACAAGGAACTCAAAAAGTCGGCCCGCAAAACCGCCCACAGTGCCATCGAACGACGACGACGATCGAAAATGAACGAGGAATTCGACTCGCTCAAACAGCTGGTTCCTGCTTGTAGACAGTCAATAGCGGCTGAAGGGGGCGATGCCGGACTTCACAAGCTCACCATCCTTCAGGCTACTGTTGAATACGTGCGATACCTGCAGGCGTGTCTGGATTCTGTCGAAAACGGACAGCAGATCTACCTCAATGGCCCCGAGCTGCCTGGGAAGAAGGCACGAGGAAGCATGAGTTACTCCGGAGGCTCCAATCCCCCATCCAACCTATGTTCTCCTGCCTCTTCCATTTCAGGAACCCCCATGATGCTTCCTGTAGGCAGCATGAGTCCTCTGGATCGGTTCTCGTTTGGAACTCCCCAGATTAGCGGCCAGTCTGGCTCTACCCCGAGTATGACCCCTAGTATGACTCCCAATATGGGACCTACTGCCACCAGTTTCGCTCTACCTGAGTCTGCCATCAAGATTGAGGACACAAAGTCGTTTGAGGCCAGCCGAACCCTGTTGATGTTGGGTCAGAAGGATAAGGAGAAGGATCGGGGATTCCTCAAGGTGAGTGATTTGCTCAGTTAGTGTGCGAGAGCTCTCATCCAAATCATTAACTGGGACCCTCATTCATCATCTAGTATATTAGTTAATTTATTATAGAGATTTGTACAATACTTGTAACGGTTGAAGGGGCTTCCATTCACCCAGTCTGTATCCATAGCAACCCAGAAGAACCAATAAAACACTACAATTCCCCACGCGACGGTATGCGCACGTTGGTTTCTGCACGTGCGTCCCCACGTGCTCATTATCTCGATAAGCATTGACGCATATACTTGCACCAGATAGTGCACGTGGTATGCGAGAGAATGCAGGGCTAGAGTTAATTGGCCACCATCTCCGCAACAGGAAGCGTTTTTGCGGAGCAGGCCACGACTTTGGAAATACAGGGGCCATTGGTGGAATAGATGGGCTCCCCGCAAGGAAGAAGGTGGGCCGTATTGCAGGAGTCATGTTTGGTGGGCATTGCTTTAGTAGCTACTGAGACACGTTCAGAAGTCACAGTTGTACGCGCGCAGTGTGTTTGTAGTCCGATTATAGCAAGAAGTCTCATCGCAGTACAGATGATCAATGTTTAGACCTGTCTTAGTGTGTATTTGTCAATTGGCTTCACTGATAATCACCCGTGGTCCAAAGAAGAAGCATCGTTCAGAGGTAGAAGTGTAACTGGCCCTGGGAAGAGTGAGCGTGTGCCTCTCCTATGAGGGGAAGCGGTCCACGAGGAAGGTGTGTCTGAAATAACGCTTTTGATTTGACAGTTGGGACTGTGAGACGTGGTTTCAGGAATGTAGAGTGAGACATGCGGCTGGAAGCCATTTCCGGGACACTGGGTGCGACATTGATAGCGTAAGGGGAAGCCACAGTATGTACTACTTGTACTAGTCTCCACCAAAATGGTTGTAGGAGAAGTTGTGGTTCTTGTTTATCTGGGAGATTATATTCTATCCGTTGTACAACTACACGAAGTATTTCCTCAGGGAACCTTTCAGTTCTATATCTCAGTGATCTGTTCAGTAATACCAGCTCAGGAAATGTACGTGCCTAATGAATGCTAAACTGACATTGGAACTGATCCAAGATAGCGGTACACAAGCAGAGTTCTTCTATCCACTAAAGGATTGTCCAACTGTTGCTTTTTGCGATTCCAACTTCTAGTGCATTTTCTATACCAACTATAAGGCGCTCCCAACGTTCGTCCAGTTCTAGAGCGATAGAGAGGCCTGTTATGACCACCAAGACTTCGGATTCTTAAAAACAGAACTGTCGAACGACTTTGTAAGGCCATATTATTAAATGATCAGCATGAATCAATCAGACTTGCACGTTCGGCCTTGTCACTGTTCAGGATATACTGTATAAGAAGAAAAGCCAATATGACAAATGTTCAGGTCAATTGTCCGGATTGTAAAACCTCTACACTGATATTGTTCATAATGCCATCAATATATCCCCTCCCCCCCTTTCAGTGAGAAAGGAACCACTTTAAAATCCGACACTGACGCTCGAATTCTGTGACGATAACTGTAATGTCTCAGTATCAATGGATACAGTACCGAACGAAATTCTGCTCAACATTTTCCTCTTTTGTGAACTCGAAGCAGCGGTTCCGCTTAGTCAGACATGTTCGCGAGCCGCCATGATGTGGACTGATCTCGACGCCACCGTGATTCGTTGCCGAGTTCTAGAACGGGTCCCCTGGATCACTCTCAACGAGTCTGGAACCGGTCTTAGCTCATGGCAAAAGTGCGCTCTAGCAATCGTGGCTCGGACTGAAGCGTCCCAGAACAAACTGAGAGGATGGAGTTATGTCTATCAAGAGAATGCCAGACGACAGATCACCCGAGGATCCCGTGACAGCAGATGGAGCCCACCTGTGGCTGCAGAAGAGGTGAAAAAGCAACCAGGGGTGATTCATCCAATGAGAGGGCCAAATCCAGAAGAAATCAAGGTCCGGCATCCAGACGCCTTTTACTCGCCAGTGGTTCTGGATGAGAACGACGTCTTTCTGCACATTTCAGATTTGAACGACAAATCGCACCACAACCTGATCAACAAGGGTCTTTGTTCCAGGGATGAAGATGGCACTTGGGTGGTCACCAACGAGCATTATCTGCATGAGAACGTCAAAGTCACCCTGCTACCAAACAATACTGGGGCTTTCTTGATGGTCTACTACGTTAAACGTCAAGCAGATGACCCGATTGAAACAAATTTCAGCTCCCAATTCTACCATCTGACCCCAGAGAGTGTTCCGCCATCCTCCCTGGATCCCCAAGAGTGGCTCAGCTCTGCTAAACCTATTGGTCCGCCTATCTCGCTGAAATACCCAGAGCTCAATCTCAGGAGAGTAGTATGCAGCTACAATCAGGTCTACAATGGTTTCCTCTACGCAATGGTCCGTGTAGGCGAATGGGTTCGGTTCTGGATCGACCTGGGCATTGTAAACATAGACGGCACTCGTGATTTGGCTGTGAATGCCAATTTTCCAATTCTGGAATGTTCATTTATTGATCTCACAAACAGAGACCATCGACGGGGATATGTTGAAGATGGACTGGACAATTATTTCGTTCTTTCTGGCGAGATTAGCACATGGATTTCAGACCTTCGAACTGGAACCTCCTATCATGCCCAGACGCCTGAGCAACGACTAGAGCAGCAAACACATGGTATAAGCCCGTTCTTTTATCAGCATGACAAAGGAAGACCCCATTTTCACACGTGGCGCCTCTGACATTTGCACATTAACAAACTGGCTAGCTCAAGCGGCCAGCAGTAACACGTTTTGGTATAGTTAGAACTATTTGCATTCCCTTTGCACATGTCAGCACTTACTTTATCTACCTCACTCACACACTCTCTCTCCCATATTGCACTCCAAATACACCTCCTGTAAATAATACCCCAGTTATAGAAGCTTATCTTTGGCCACTGTTTCTGCGACATGCTAGAAAAAAGTAATCTGTTGAAACATCTGTAATCGGCATCAAATCGTTCAGAAATCGCTACCCAAGTACCCTCCACATTTCCAGCTTCACACCCATACCCCTTTGCACCCCTCACTCGCCATATTACGTAATCACCAAGACTAATTTAATTTCCTTATCCACACGATACACTTTGACTTGCCATATCGTCAGTCGGACTTGTTCATCAACACACTAGCGACCACATCCGCCACATCCGCCACAACAGCAACCACCACCATCTATCTCATCATATCCCTGATCTCGTATCGACCAGCCAAATAAACTTTGGCGACTACTTTATCACCACATAACATCATCATCCACAGTGCCTCCTCGCAAAAAACACAAGGGCTTACGCCACAAAAGCGCACTTGGATCGGCTAAAATGAATGGAAATGGACGGCAACCGGTCACGTACCGCGGCTACAACACGACCGAAATGACCCGTCTGTTGCTGCAGGCGCTGGGCGACCTGGGATACAAAGCCACCGCAGAGACGCTGGAAAGCGAGAGCAACATTTCGTTGGAATCCCCTCACGTTGCCCAGCTTCGTCAGGCCGTCACTTCCGGTCAATGGGATGATGCCGAGCGCTACTTTGATGGGGTGACTCTCAGAAGCGGTACAAACCCGGCAGAGTACCGCTTTCTGATTCGCAAACAACACTGTCTGGAACTTCTGGCCCAGGGCGACGATAAGGGAGGATTGAGGGTGCTTAGAGAAGAGCTAGCACCTCTAGGCGTCAACACACACGAACTTGCCGTTCTGTCCAACCATGTGTTCGAAACAAGAGAAACAGTGCTGCGACTTCTCGACGGTGACGCTGCCAAGTCGCGGGTGGCGCTACTAACACAGCTGCAGGCTTTCATAGCCCCCTCGGAAATGATCCCCGAGTACCGCCTGGCAACATTGCTGTCCCAGGCCCAGCAGCATCAGGTTGCTAAGGCTGCCCCTTATCACATGGTACCCCAGCAGCAAATGTCTCTTTTCGAAGACTACAAGGGCCAACCGGATTTGTTTCCCGACAGAGTTAGCCATGTGTTGGAGGGTCATTCGCACGAGGTTTGGAATCTTGAGTTCTCGCACTGCGGCAAGTTCTTGGCCTCAGTGTCGTGTGACAAGTCTATCATCATCTGGAATTTGGACACATATACAGCCGAGAAACGTCTTCAAGGACACTCTTCCGCCCCAGTGATGGCACTCTGGTCTCCTGACGACTCAATGATCTTGTCCGGAAGTCAAGACAAGACTGCCCGTCTGTGGAATGCCAAGACTGGTGAGCAGATTCACGTCTTTGAGGGAATTCATGCACACACCGTTTCCTGCGCATGGCTGCCTGATGGCAAACGGTTCATCACGTCGTGTGCCGACGATGCTACCATGATTTTGTGGTCAGCAGAAGACTGTACCGAGGTGCATCGATGGAAGTACAAGGCCATTCATGCGGCCGTTTCGCCCGATGGAAAGCGGCTGGTGGCAGTGGGAGGACCCGGTCCGGCGCACAACTTTGTTGTTTTCGATCTCGTCACGTTTGAGGAGGTTGCGGAAGTTGCCACGTCCCAGAAAACCACCTCTGTGAGCATTTCAGCCGACTCCCGGTACGCCCTAATAAACTTCATGGGCCCCAAGACCGGCGATGGGGTACATGAGCTGCAGCTGTGGGACATTTGCAAGCTCAGACTGTGCCAACGGTACATTGGCAACAGTCCCAGTGGATGTGTGATTCGATCGTGTTTCGGAGGAATCGACGACTCATTGGTGTTGAGTGGATCCGAGGACTCGAGAGTGTACGTGTGGAACCGCGCAGATGCGAATCTCATTGCCATTCTGCAGGGTCATTCATCTCTCGTCAACTGTGTGCAGTGGCATCCCACTAGGCCCATGTTTGCGTCAGCTGGGGATGATCACACTGTCAGAATTTGGGATAAAGAGCAGTGAGAAGACATGATATGAAGCTGTGACATGTAGAATCGTTGAGTTGTGGCAGTGGGCACGTCAAGCAGACTCTACCAACAGTACAGCGAACTGACCCGTAATGACCGTTCACAAGAGTGCATGAGTAACGAATAAATGAGTATTGATGAGCGGTGTATGTATTTTTCACTCCGGACCTTCTTGCCTTATCAATGTCTATCATTGAGATTATCAGGCATAAGGTCGCATTATCTCGACTTTGAGGAAATACAGTATGTAGATGTATTGCATTGAATTATGTTGTCCTCAATCCTCAATTCCACAGTATCAAAGAACAGTTCCACGAGAGTTTCATGGTCCATTATCATGAAAGGGTCTGGGTTTCCCCTTGGTTTGCTTTGAGCGATCCTCTTTGCAAAGATCTGCTTCATTTAATTGCTTTCAGCCTGTCTAGGGGTCTCCAGCCTTCGATTAGTTGAGCTATTGCTGTCTCTCCTTCGATATTCTTCCTGATTGTGTCAGAAGCGAGTTTTCCTGTTCCTGGTAGCCTGTACATGTCGGAGATCCTGAGAAAATGGGAGCTTGACTCGAGTTCAGGTCCGTCTGTTGTTTGTAAATGAAATGGATTATCAATCTGGTTAGATCTGAAGACATTTCAAGTTTGAAGACCGTGTCAACTCGCTCAATGCAGTCATTGCTCATCATTTCTTGATACAGGCCATAATGTGCTCAGGATTTAACAGTGGACTTTGCAGTGCTCTCCATCCTCACAGACGATGGTAATATCTGCAGCTTCCGTGTTCTCCAGCATTGTTTTGAGCTCCTAGTGACTGAAAGCTGGGCCCCTAGGTTTTTGCGAGTTGTTCTTTCATCAATATGTAGCTTCGGGGCTGATTTCACTGATACAAGCAGAGAATGAGTCTAGGTCTTCTAGGTTATTGTCAAATAAACCACTTTCTCTCGGTATAAATTATGGTATATTTATCCATTTGAAAGAATTCAACTCATCACTCACTGCCATTGACAAAACTGAGCTCTTTTTCAGTGGACTTGATGACATATTGGAGGTTCGTTGGCCATGTGGAAGTTGATGAGCGAAATCATCGTAAGACCTACATTTCCGATAAAAGCACGGTAGTTGGCTAGACCACAACGTACAATACCGATTGGACCTTAACCCAAGCGGTTGCCGCACGAGGTATAGTAGATGTTAACCACAGTACTCATCGCATGTGAGTCCACTCTTCAACACTTTTCACCGAAGTAGCGTGCCAGGACCCAACCTACTCTTCGTTCTAACTCTCACGAATCCACGTGTGGCGGATTCAGACTTTGCTATTTGCCTAAATGGTCAACTGAGACTTCGAGTATGTGTTTTTCGCTGCGTATCTCGGTATCATGGGCTGTTGTCTATGGTTTCTTAGTAATGCTGCGTGAATGAACTTATCCTAACTGCGTTTGTTGTCTTTTTTTTTTTTTTTCTGCATATACATTCATTTAATTATAACTTTGCCGTGAAAGAATAACCTTTGAAATGAATGTACGCTTACACGAATATTACTAATTAAACACGTTTAGTGTCATGGTCCAACTTGGCACGTACCTATTTCCAGTAAAAAAATCATAAAAAAACCTGGTTCAGTCCGTGTTGTATGTTGGTCCACATAGCTTCGCGTGTTTGTTCGTTCATCGGGAAAACGCCACTCCAGTCTCCAGTTCTCTAATCTCAATCCTTCCATTGCCCTCTTCATTTGCATTGCCTTTGAAAACTTCTCCTTGTGGTTCTTCTTCGTCATTGGTTTGGTTCTGCGTCCCCTGTGGTGACTACGCGCCCTGCTACGCTGTTCTCTCGGTGGCCTCGGCCGCCTTTTACGCTTGCTACTGTGTCTACTCTCGCTCATCGTGAAGTGCTGGCGGTTGTCCATCGTAGAAACACATCTGGGCTTCCTTCAGGAATTGAAGCAAACCCTGTTGGACATGTCCCAGGGTGGCGTCGTCCCCTGAGTACCGGAGGGATCTCTCCATCTTCCAGATCCCATAAGCCAATTCCCGCAGATATTTGCGTGTCTTGACTTGTTGATGTTTCCGGGGGGCGTCACTGTTCACATGCCCTGGGAAAGAGGGGAGTACTCCACATTTCGACTCGGTAAAGATCCAGTCCTTTAGAGAGTCCACTGACGGAATCTTCATCCTGGTCAACATGGAAAGAAGAACTTCGCACTTGCAGAAGATATGCTCGTGCAGATCCTGAATGATGGCCTTATCACAGAGCCCGCATCCTGGATTCTTCTTGGTGAAAACGTGGTCGTCAGGGTATCTCCATTTCACGAGCGGAAGTCGAGATATCCGCATGAGGTGAAGAACTTGTGCTTTGTTGGCGTCGGCGATGTAGTGTTTTCGAAGGTCATGCATTACCTCCTGCCAGACCATGTCGTCAGAGATGCCCCCGTAGTCGCTTCGTTGAGTCCACTTCTTCGGTCGTGCAAGTGTGTGTGGGAAGTTTGGCAAGTCGGGAGACGAGGTCTTGTGAAACATGAAGTTCTCTAGAGTAAGTGGTCCCATGCTCCACCGGAGGTGGTCGATTTCCGCTGTGGACACCATTCTGACCGGATGGTATCGTCTCGCGGCTGCGATGTCGACGTGTGCTTCCCGGAAAGATTCTGCTGCTCTCACGTTCACCTGGTTTCGTTCCCAGATTCTGTGATTAACTGTGTCTGTTGTAGAGGGCTCGTGATCTTCTCGAGGGTTGGCATGTTCCGCGGTGAGGGGCTTGTTGAGCTCGAAAGAAGCTCTGATTGCGTCTCGCATGGTGGGGGAGGCTGCGTAGCCCCAAGCTTGGCCTGTCGGAAAGCGGCAGTCGACGCGCTGGTGTGGCTTTTCCTGTGTGAGACTGTGAGTTCTGCTGTAGAACTGGAAGGTGCAGTCCCAAAGGGCCGGCGATGAGCCATGGAAGAACCTGTAAGCCCGAGCGGCCTTCAGGCACACCATGAAACGTCCCATGTCCCGCAGGTTCAGTCCTCCTCTGCCTACCGGAGTTTGGATGAAACCATTGCTGAAGGTTTTGCGTGTTTTGTCGGGTGATAATTTGTTGATCTTGTCGCACGCTAGTTCGTTCAGCTCTCGGATGAAGGTGTTGTCGATCTGGCTGACGTAGGGTCCAAGGAAATTCAGTTTCGAGAAGAAGTAGATGTTGATCATCCACGCCTTGCTGTAATAGGGGAGACCCCATAGTGAAAGGCGTCGCAGCGACTCCTTGAGGTCCTCCTTGATCTGAGCGTAGTGCGTGTCCAACCTTTCGCGATTTCCGAAGTGTACTCCGAGGTACCGGAAAATGTTGTCAGATGTCCGGAGCGTCGGGGCCTGTCGTGTGTTGTTGTCGGTTGGCCAGGTGGCGTCAATTGTTCGCTGCCATTCTGCGTCAATAAAGGTTAGTGGAACAAAACAATCGGGGGGGCCGATCTTCTGAAGCACCGTCTTTGACGGGTTTAGTGTGAGGCCTGAGACCCGTTGGAAGAGGCAGAGCACTCTACCAACCGTGGCCACGTCCTGGATGTTGTTGAGGAACACCGCTATGTCGTCCGCGAAAGCCGACACCTTCATGTGTCCAGCTGCCACTGCCTCCGGGTGAGTAGGGGGTTGTGGCGGCCTGTGCCCAGTGGTGTGGTGGTGGGATAGTGGCAGGCCTGGGGCCAGTCCAAACATCTCTCGGTCCAGACGACGCACAAGTGCGTCTACTGCGATGATGAAGAGGGTTGGAGAGAGAGGGCATCCTTGTCTCACTCCGATCTTGATGCGGACTGGGCGAGATAGGACACCTCTGATGTTGATTCTCGTTACTGCGTTCTGTTGTACAGCTAGGATACGGTTGATCATCAGTTCCGAGACACCCACATTTCGAAGCGTCTTTATCACCCAACTCTGGCTGATAGTGTCGTAGGCTTTCCGGAAGTCCAGTGATCCTACGACCCAACCCATGTTCAGCTGGGAGTAGGCGTTGCAAAAATGATCCATGGTGTCGAGATTGTTAGTGATGTGTCGACCCGGTACGAAACCGTTTTGGGCGCCGTGAATGCTGTCCGGAAGAATGTTCTGGATGGCTTTGTTAATGAGCTGTGTGTAGATCTTCACCTCTGTGTTGATCAAAGAAATAGGCCTGTAGTTGGAGATGTCGGCCTGATCTCCCGACTTGTACAGTAGTTTGATGATAGCGGTGTTGCGTTCGGTGCTGATGGGCGAGTCGGCTCCAGCTTCGTTGTAGACGTCCGTCATCAAGTCCCCCAGCTCATCCCAGCAGTCGCGGTAGAACCTGTACGGGATGCCGTCTGGCCCTGGCGCGCTGTTGTGCGTAGACGCCTTGATGGTATCGAAGATCTCCTCCTTGGTAAAAGACGAGTCCAGGCTTGGGTTAGCTGTATTCACCCTCCGGGTTTCTTCGGGGAAGAGGTCTAAAAAGGCGCTGTCGTCGGTGTCGTTGATATCGGCAGCTCTGTCGAAGATGTTGTCAAAGTATCGAGCTGAGATGTCGCAGAGAGAGGAGGTGTCGGTCTTCACTCGGCCTTGGTGGTTCCGTAGGGAGTGGATCTCCATCTGTTGCTTGGATTGTTCGACCCGAGCATGGAGCATCGGGTATGGCTCGTTAGCTGGGTAGGCTTGCCAGTCTGAGGCTGTTGCCATGAGGGCCTCGCGGCGTCTGTTGTCTGGGTGGTTGGAATCTCGAAGTGCGCGGTTTTTGGCTTCCTGTTGGATGGTGACCTTAATGTTTTCTTTCAGGCATTGCAGCTTCAGGCTGGGCTTCAAAGGACCATATCGCTTCAGAATGGATTTGACGTGGAACTTGAGCCAAGCAATGTACTCTGTATCAAAAACCCACCAGGGCATCCTCCAGGTGCCTGGGCCTCTGTCTTGTCGCTGGGTGAGGTTGCCAAAGTTAAAGACGAATTGGACCGCGTGGTGAGAGGACTTCGTGATGTTGTGACCCTGCTTGTTGGTTACCAGTTGTGTGGATTTGATCCACTGTGAGAGTGTCGAAGAGATGTGCAGCTGATCCAGGCGCCTGCCAGCTCCGCGGCTGTTGTTGGTGTGAGTGTAGAGGCCTTTTCTGTGTTTGCTGATTAGAGTGTAGGTGTCTAGTAAGTCCCAGTTAGCTAAGAAGTCCTTAAGGTGAGTCGTCACTTTTTCGCCAATCCTGCCGTCGTTGGAGGCGACCGCGTTCCAATCGCCTGCCGCTATCAGGGGGTATTGGCAGGGATGGAGGCGTAGATAGTCGTCTAGTGACTGGTAGAACTGCCGGTTAGTGAAGGGGGAGGCTCCCTGCTCGTTTGGTGCGTATACGTTGATCAGCGATAGGTGTCTGTCGGTGCCTTTGATGTGCACGTCGGCCAAACACAGTCTGTTGTCTAGGGCTGGGAAGTATTCAAAAACTGTTGTAAAGTTTGTGATGGTGACGTTGTCGGAATAGACTAGCCCCACGCCGACGCTTCTATTAGAAACACCAGCTGTGGAGCCGAGGAGGGTGTAGTGTCTGCCCCCCGGGTAGGGCGAGTTTGAAATGATTTGTTGAGCGGTTTGTAGGGAGGAGTCCACCCAGTTCGTCTCTTGAAGAAGGACGAGATCGGGGTAGTGAGTAGTTCGAATAATGTTTACAATGGTGTCGGGTAATCGGTTAAGCGCTTCCGCCATCTTAAAACCGCCGATGTTAGCCGTGATGACTTTAACATTCGGAGATTTCATTTTGGCCTGGGTGCTCTTACATGGGGCTTTAGAAGGGGTGGTAGTAGAGGTGAAAGACATGCTTACTGGTTCTGCCCCGGTCGGAGCATTGTGTCCACCTCATGGAGAGTGGTCACCCTAGGGGGGTTCGGGGGACTGTTCGGGGGTTCTACAATCTCGTCTACCGAGCTGAGTGTCGCACCGTCGTGGAAAACTTTGAAGTGGCATGTAGACAGGAATGTCGGGCACCTCCCGTCAATGAACTTTGCTACCTCCTGAGAAGGCAGCCAGCAGAGTCTGTTCTCCGACCTGTCCGGGTTCAGGATTTGCACCGGAACCTCGCTCGAGGCGGTCTGGAAGACCGCAATGTGCTTCTTGCCGAGCGTGGTGTGAGAGGGCTCGCCAGAGAAACTGGAGGTGGTGTGCCCTCCTCGGGGTCGGCCCTCGTGGATACTTCCGGGGGGGGGTTGTGTTTGGTTGGTCGTGTTGGGACTGGTGTGGTCGTGGGGAAGGCCGTTGTTGGTGGCCTCGGTGTTAAGCGGGGTAGCGGGGGGAAGAAACTGGGTGACATCAGGGGCTACTTCAGGGTGAGCAAGTGCGTCAGGCTGGGTGTCAAAGCCGTTCATGGATACGTCAGCCTGTTCCGTTTCCTGGTCGTCGGGAACTGTGTCTTCCTCGGAGGCGGGGATGTTGATGGGTAGATTCTGAGTTCCATGCTGCTGGTTCGTAGAGGGCAGCTGGTTAGTTTGCTCGGTCTCTTCGGGTGTGTCCTCTCCGGTTTTGTCGCTCAAGACTTCAAAGTTGTAGTAAGATCGGAGGGGCTTCTGACCGGTGGGTTGGGGGGACGTGTCTCGAGTCCGTCTATGTCTAGGGGACTTAGTGCCGACGGTCTCCCACTGGTGAGTAGCAGGCGTGTGGTGGAACTTGCGAGTTTGGACCGGGGGCTCCACGGTGGATGGGGCATGGATGGAAGCAAGGGCTTTACCTCTCTGTGGGAGGGTACCCTGGTGAGCGCGGGTGCGGAAGATCTTGGGAGTGACCATGTCTTTCTCGGGGCAGGCCTCCCGGATGTGCTTAGTGCTCTTGCACTTAACACAGATGTTATCGCCGTTGGCGAAGTGCATCTTGATCAACTTTGAGCCGGTAAGCCTAGCCTTGGTGGGATCCAGGTTGACGAAGAAGTCGGGGATGGTCTGGGGCAGGGTGGAGCCTAGGAGAGCACGAACTGCGATCACAGGACCCGAGATGTTCTGATGGTTGGCAGAGGTCATCAGAAGGGTGCCACTCAAGAGGGAGGAACCTGGAATGGCCTGATCAATGTCTACGTCGAACTGGTTGAGAATAGCGTTGAGGTGGATCTTGAAAGCATCCTCCGTCTGACGCTCCATCTTCATGTACGAGGGTAGGTTGAAGTAGTAAAGTACTCTTCGTCCAGCAGGGTTAGCCGAGCCCTTCCTCATGATGCGATAATCTTGAGTATTGGCCTCAACAATGAGACTAACTGTCTCCAGAATGACAGCCATTCGTTGTTCGTGGGGGTCAGTGAGGGCGTCCGACGTCAGGTAGTGCCAACCATTTCCCACTTGGTAGCAGTCTTCAGGGTCCTGTTCTAAGTTAATCTGGTCGATCAGGTGGGGGACGATGTCTAGGTTGTGCCTGGACAGGTCAAACTCCGCCAGACCAACCTGACCCTTGATCTCGTCGAACTTTTCGATGACGCCCTCGAGGACACTGATGGTGTCCTTCTCGTCGACTTCAGCGGCGTTATCGAGGTGCTCGAGGAACATGGAGATAGGAAGATTCCAATCAGGGGTGGCGGAGCGGTCAAGAGCTCTTCGGAAGAAGTTTTCCTTGCTGGCTACATAGGACACGTTGAAACGGCCGGAGGTATGCCTACCATTCGGCGCCGCAAGGGGCTCCGAAATTCGCTCCTTGTTGAGGTTGAATTTGAGTGTGGAGGGGTTCGATGTCAGGAGAGCCTTGACTTCGGCCTTGCTCTTCCAGGCGTTGAGGGTGATATTGTTGTCGTTTTTTTTGTCGTTTTTGTCGTTTTTGTCGTTTTTTTTGTTGTTTTCATCGTTTTTGTCGTTTTTTTGGATTTTTTCAATGTCGGTTTGGTTGGGGGTTTCGGTTGAGGTGGCTCCATCACCTCGCGATAAATCAGGAGGTGGGGGGTTCGGAGCGCCCAAGGAGTTACCCGCCGAAGCTTGGGCTTGCGCTGTTTCCATGGTGAACGTTTTTTCTGGTCGCGCTCGATTTAAAGATGTCTTTCGATATAGATAGTCTCCCAATTTTGTAAGCAAGTTCTAACAAAATGACTCAACTAGATTACTTAATTATACTGGATAACCCCCATGAAGACTCTATCTGTCCGAGCAGCCATGTCTCATATGCAAAACCGTCATAAATCTATTCTTTCTATTTCACCTGGTAATAATAATACATTTCTTCTTCGTTACTCCCCTACTCCTTATCAACGTTCACCTTCTTGGGTTCAGGCTTACCCTCGATCTTGGGGATGACTACCTCCAGAACGCCGTTGGTCAGCTTGGCTGTGATGTGGTCTGGATCGATGTTTTCTCCCTGGGGGATTCTGATTCGTCTTTCGAATTCTCCACACTGTCGCTCGTTGATAACCAGTCCCAGACTGTCCTTATCGGTCTCTGAACATGTCTCGCCACTGACAGACAAGACTCTGGCTTCATCTTCGAACTCCACCACAATGTCATCCATCTTGACGCCTGGAAGCGACATGGAGACTCGAATGCGATCGGGTTTGTTGTACAGATCCATTTGGGGCACAAACTTGAAGGAGGAGGGCAGCTGAGGGGCCTGAGACGATGTGGGAGACCGGGTGAGCGAGTTGTCCAGGAATGGAGACGACATTGTCAAGTCTCCAACTCCTCGGAATGGATGGTCGATGTAGTCGATAATGTGTCGCATGGTGATTGTAGGCTGTGTTTCGTTGGTTGTGTGGATGGTGTCGCACTTGTGTAGATAAATCGACTTTGCAGGTTGTAGATTGGACTTATTCGCTGATCAAATTGCTTGGATAATGACATTTCTAGTCCCCTTCCGCACCCTTTATACCTCCCTCGCAAAGTTGTGAAACATCCGTGGATTAAATTAAGCGTTCATCCGATCTATCAGCATCATGACCTGCACTTGGCGGCTTGGCAGACAGCACGTTACAGAAGAAGAAATCACTCCACAGAGTCGATCGTCAGATGTAGAAATACAAATGAGTCTCCACAAGACCCCAGCTGTCACGTGGAGCCTTGCCACCTTTGCCCAAAAGAAATATTTCCCCAGATCAACTAGTTTAGCTGAAGTTTAACCGAAAGCTGTTTGGATGCTTGTCTGAAGAAGGCCATGGTAGATGGTACAGTGATAGAATGGAGCCCAGATTCGACAAGCAATAATATCCTACAGTTCCTTATTAATATCCCGAATATCGCGTCAACACCACCACAATTGGCGGTTTTACAGCCAACGGTCGAATGCACAAAATCCTTCTGGAACATTAGTATGAACTCTAATGAACAGGACAAAACACGTCTGCGCCATCAAATCTGACAATTATTCATATCATATTGATCGTAATCACGTGAATAACACAGATACAGCCTCCATTTCTCTCCATCTCCTACCTTACTCCCTCCATGACCCACACTTCTGACCTCAACCCACCAACCTAAATCTCAGACCACAATAAAGTTATGGGGTGATATCTCCACGTGCGGAGGAAAGCAGAGAGACATCGGGGCTGGGTTCGAGGCTGGGGAGGAGGTCATGGGATCACGTGATTGCTCCGGTATCTCATGCTTCTTGCTCAACAAGTCAACCACAGAAGTGCTTTTGACCGTTGAACAATGGTAAAAGCAATATGCCAATTGAGCGTTGAGAGTATCTGTAGTTTAAAGTCGACAAGGGTGGACAAACAGCATTTGACTGTAACTCCCCGTTACAAACTTGACATGATCTCAATACACCAAACTGCTCTTCTGACGCCCTACTTTCATTGACGGCAATAATCTCCAACATTCCGAGGCTTCAGATCAGGCGTTGTTTGTGTATCACACTTCTGCCTGAACCTTGTACATTATCAGCCCACATACGCATGGCTGTGCATACGAGGATTGGGTGGAAAATGTTGAGGGTTCAATTCGGGGTAATTTAGTTGATGTGGAGAAAATCTGAGTGAATAATCAAAACCAGTGAAAATATGGGTGCATTTTTTTATAAAAAATGTGAGTTTTTTCCCCTCTTTTTGGGCTCCAAACACGCTCTTCCATTCCAAGATATGTACTTTAAAGTTTCGTCTTCTAGAAGATACTGCAGGGAGCTGGGACTCGTAGAGAACAGAAACGTCACCATAACAGAGGGTAAATATAGTCTGATATCTAATTGGTTCACTAATTCGATCTCCCCATGATCATGTGATTCGATTGCTGTTGTCATTTTATGTTTGGCTCCAAAATTGCGTATTGTAACGTCTGTCAAGATCTCCGACCCTCGGGCCGGAGTTAAACGTTACTGGGCTTTGTTACCAGACATCACTGGGTATGGTATAAATATGGCTGTGGAATCCGCTGAGGGAGCCAGAAAACGTCTTCAGACACAAACGCAACCACAACAACAACCATACCAAAAATGCACGGCAGACTCGACAACTTTTTCGCAGAGAGACCCTACCTTCCTCACCTGAGATCTCATGACAACAGTCTGACTCAGGATGCTAAGCCCACCGGAGCTCCCTTTGCCCCTCCCATGGATTTGTACGACAACGAAAAGCAGTACCTGATTCATCTTTCTCTTCCCGGAGTGTTTCCCGACGATTTGGAGGTTGAGACTGATGCTGATCTGAGACTCATTACCGTCAAGGGAGTGTTCCGAAACCCCTACGAGGACATGAACGAGAATCTCAGAATCAACGAGCGACGAAGCGGCGCCTTCGAACGACAGATCAAGTTCCCCAAGGGCACTGTTGTTGAGGAAGACAACATCTCTGCCAAGCTGACTAATGGTGTTTTGGAGATTAGTCTCAAAAAGGTGGAGGGTAAAGAGAGAGAGGTCAGACGGATTAAGGTGGAGTGCTGCTAAGCAAATTACTTGCCAGAGACTAGTGGTGAAGCGATTAATGATGAAGAAGTAGCTGGATTTTGCAGGAGAACCTGTACTATACTATGACTTCTCCTTCGTCTGCTACAACTAGTTAAGTAATGGGTGTTATCACACCATATGTATATTGAATGAATAATGACCACTCTTGGATTTTGTATACTGTAGCTCCAACTTTTGCTGTCATCCAATTTCCACTCATCCAGTCGGTCACGCACTATGCTCGTTCCGTAACTCCAGTCACAAGTAAATCTCTGGATCCGTACATTACTGATCGACTCGAAAGACCCCTGTTCACCATGGTTATACCACTACCATCAGTCTCAGAAACACTAGAAAATCTCCGTAGACCGTCTCATACCGCCTTCAATGTTGTCTACAGTTGGTATGGGCTGGTACCTGGCATTCAAGCCAACTGCCAATCAAAGAACGAGAGAGATTCAATTACGGAACTAATGTGTGCTTGTATTTGTACCGTTACCCTTGGTTCATCTCCTTTATAATGTACCCATACATATCAACAATTCGAGTCACGTGACCTGCCCTGTCCTCCCTCTTGGGGCTGATCATACAGACGTGCATCATTAATATTGTAGAAAAGAGGAATACAGCTGAGACGTCACCCAAGGGGGGTATTTGAGTGCGTGGTATGTGTTTTTATACCCATCCATCCCCTTTCAACTTCACATCACTCTTTCATCTCCACCCTACAGGCCAACTAATTGTCTATTAGTCCAGTTACGATATCGTACTTACGGCTCACCATGACTCCAACCACACAGCCCACCAACTACTGGAATGAGGATCGTGAGAAACGCTTCTTGTGTACAGGGTGTAACATTGTCATGTCGAAGAAAGAAGCTCGAACTCATCACTTGTTTGTCTCCTGTCGAAGCGGCTTCCTCAGGGTGTAATTGAGCTCCTTGGGGGCAGGCCCAGCTGGACGTCATGCATACATCTATTTATTTTAATTCAACAAATGCTACAAGTAATTTCAACTATTTTCCTGATTTAGTTGGCATATTTTCTGCAATGTCGAGTATGTTCATCCAGAACTAAGTGTGACTTAATTGAACAAATTTGTATTACTGTTGTTGTACCTGTGTTAAAAGTTGCACTTTTACGACTACAAGTACTTTTTACAGGTATCAGGTGTGTTATTTGTAAGAATCACCTCTTTATTCGCCCACTGAGACCCTCTCATTCCGACTCCTTTTCGTGTGCTGTTCCCCTTCAAGTACAGTACATCCCATTCCTGATGACATAATCCTATTTGCCTCATTTGGGAGTTTGCTGGGGATGGCATAAAATGTCTCAAAAAGGTCCCAAAAGTACTCCGATTGTAAATCTGAAGCCACCAATAGATTTCTCGTGCCCACATTAAAGTACAAAAGTGGCACTATTTCCGTACCAAATCGATCTCATCATCCCCCAACAATCCTCACCCAACCTCATCCTCCAGCGACTTGAGTTTTAACTTAACTTTGACGTCGATAAATTCACCCACTCTGCAACGACACTGAGGACCAGCAACAGTGATTGTGGAGCTACACTGACGATACAAGCACGATAGGAGGCCCATCGACGCGTGACGACACTTGAAATACGACAGACAAGCTATACCATTAAACAGCTCTCACAAAGCAACCATAAACACATACACAGAATCCAACACACACACCCCATACGTTCAGAATCCCACAAAACACAAGACACAAGCCACACAATGACAGATAGATGCGAAGTGGAAGACGTGCCCAACGACATGCAACCTCGATCACCCGAGCAGGTTTCCCACCTGTCAGCTTCTCCTGAAGGACGTGACGATTGAGCAGGTGGTCAATGCTTCCAACAACAACAACAATACTCTAACTCCTCTGGCTGAGTCTTCTGCCGGTGCCACCCACACACCACCATCATCCGTGCACATTGTCAACGAGCAGAAGCTGGCAGTGCGTTCGATCCGACAATTCCTTCAATCTAAATCTGCATACGATGTTCTCCCTGTGTCGTTCCGGCTCATTGTGCTGGACACGGCACTGCTGGTGCGAAAGTCGCTGACCATATTGCTGCAAAATAACATTGTCAGCGCGCCTCTGTGGAACTCCAAGACGTCCAAGTTTGCCGGTCTTCTGACTGCCGCAGACTATATCAACGTGATCCAGTACTACTTCCAGAACCCGGACAAGATGGAGGAGATTGACAAAATCACGCTAGATGACTTCCGTGACGTGGAGAAGGCGGTGGGCGCCAAACCGATCGAAACCATTTCGATCCACCCCATGAAGTCCATCTTTGAGGCTTGCAAAAAGATGATTGAGAGCAAAGCCAAGCGAATCCCACTGATCGATAGAGACGAGGAAACGGGCCGAGAAATTGTCGTTTCCGTGCTGACCCAGTACCGAATCCTCAAATTTGTGGCGCTCAACTGCAAGGAGACGCGTGGTCTGATGATGCCTATCTGCTCGCTCCCCAAGCTGGGTGTCTTCAAGGGACTCGCCACGGCCCACATGGACACCCCCGTGGTCCAGGTCATCAAGCTGCTGGTGGACGCGCGGGTGAGTTCGATCCCCATCGTCGACACCCACAACCGACTCATGAACGTGTACGAAGCCGTGGACGTGCTGGCACTGATCAAGGGCGGCATCTACACCGATCTGACACTGTCTGTCGGAGAGGCGCTCATGCGACGGCCCGAGGACTTTGAGGGCGTGTACACATGCACTAATCAGGACCGTCTGGATACCATTATGAACACGATCCGACGGTCACGGCTGCATCGACTGTATGTGGTTGACGGAGACGGCAAGTTGGAGGGCGTGGTGACCCTGTCCGACATTCTCAGATACTTGTTGTTTGACGAGGATGTCGAGCAGGTGGAGGTTAAGTAGAGCCACAAGTAGCGGCAACGCGACTACTCGTGAACGCAGTCATTAGGTAATCATATTCATTTGGAGTAATATTTGAACAACTTGCTCAATGAGTGATGGGCTGATTGTACCACCTGCTTTAGGAAAAGTGGACTCCAATCTCCAATTGGTAGTACGTGTCTGTGTAGCTTAGAATAAATTACATTAATATAAATACTGCCCTATGGGGCTTATTTTTCTCCCTTCATGGAGCTCTATGTTTTCCTCAGCAATGATTGCGAGCTGGGGGGGGGGGGGGGGGGGGGGGGGGGTTGGATTGTAGTGTAAATTGGGCGCTGTCGGTCCCGTTACATCTTCGTCTTGGAACCATGCAACAGATGACTGATATGGTGAGGAGCGTTTCCGAGCTGAACACTGAAACTTCTCTCCTTTGAACCCTCTCTAGAGTTGCTACCAGAGCCATCCTTATCAGGATAGGGAATGGCCACAGAGTTGCTCTTCTTGTGACTGTGACTGTGGCTGTGGCTGTGGCTGTGGCTGTGATTGTGATGATGTTCAGGGAAAAATCCTCCAATATGGGGGTGTCGTAGTCCAGTGGCAGCCGAAGCAGCTCCTGTCAGATGGTGACTGGCAACATGGGCCTTGTCTCGCAGCTCTCTCTGTAGAGAAATGAACGACTGGGAGGCCGAAGGAGTGCCGGAGGGCGTGTTTGAAGCAGAGTTAGATGAGTTGGAGCCATCAAAGTCCCGCTCCTCCTTCTCGAAAGATCCCCGTCGCGGCTCAAACGAAATGTTCTCCAACGCACGCGACATCTTTCGGGCAGGTCGCGAGTTGTTGAACATGTTAGTGAACCGCTCAGCAACGGTATCGTCATCAATGGTGGCCGAAGAAGACGCTGTGGATGCTGCAGAGTGCGTTCTAGCAACCTCCAGCGTAGATGCAGACGATCTCTGAGACCGGGTGGAGTTTGCAAACAGCACCTTTTTGCTTCGAGGCAGCTCCAGCTGCGTGTCCACCTCTTCCAACACCTCGTCATCGTCCTCTTCAATGGCAGACTCGGTGTCTGTGATGGCCCGCAGGTCAGCTGGTTGAGCCAGGCCCGAGTAGTTAACGCTTCTGAGCCGGTCCAGCTCCTCCATCTCTTCCAGCTGCTCAAAAGTAGCAATACCAGACACCTGGGATCGAGATCGCATGTACTGAGATCGTCGGTTGAAAGAGGAGCCTGAACTAGAAGATGAGGAAATAGAAGGACGTTTTGCCATGGACGTGGCTGGCGTGGTAGACTCGTCGTCAGAGTAGGTCAACGAAGACCGAGGAGAACAAGAAGACACTGTCCCCATGGAAACAATACTGTTCATTCTATCCGAGGACATTCGCTCGGACATCCTCTCGGAGGAGTTCGATACCAGAGGTCCAACTCGACCGCGCAGCTTCAGAGATACTTCTGCAGCAGCCATGATCACATTGTAATTTTCGGGGTTGTCGAAAATGGCATCGTGGGTTCGAGTGAGGGTCGAGAACATGTTGAAGCGAGACACTCGGTCATGAACACGCTTGGACTCGTTAAGAGTGGCCAGGCCGGGACCAGGAATGTACCCGGATTGAGAAAAGGCCCGGCGAGTGGACAGAAGACGTCGGTTTTCGCCTTCAGAAGACACAATCGAGGCAGTTTCACCCAGTTGAGGGTATTCTCGACACATGTCTGAGGACACAAACCGGACCACAATAACAGTCACATTGTCGGCTGCTCCATGTTTGAGCGCATATGAGACCAGAGTGTCGGAAGCAACTTTACAATCATCAACATGTCGAATCAAATCAACACAGGTTTGATCGTCAACAACATCCCAGAGGCCGTTTGAGGCCAGAATGAGGAACTCATCCGCAGCCCCAAGAACGGTATCGGATACAAATGGCCGGGACGAAATGTACCGTTTGAAGCTCTTGTCTCCGAGAGATCTGGTGACTCTGTGGAGACCGTCAACCTTCTTGTGGGTGATCAGACCTCCACTAGCCACGACTCTTTCACGTTCTGAAGGGGCAGACAACGTGTGGTCTGCAGTCATACGTTGAGCTCGTCCCTTATGGCTCAAGACGCACACACTATCACCCACATTGGCTACGACGAGACGTGTTATCATGCTTCCATCGTGATTATTGGACGACTGGGCCAACGATTCGCGTCTAGTATGTTCAATGTAAGCCACTGTGGCACATGCGCCTCCAAGCGAGTATCCCGATCTCGACACGATCCACTCATTGAGTTTGTAGAAGGCAGCTGATATTCGAAGCGACAGGTCGGGGGTGTAGTATCTTGGTTGAGAGGGAGTTGTATTATTGTTTGTGTTAGGAACCTGTAGATTGTTGGTGTTTGGCGCATTTGTTGCATTTGTTGCATTGTTGGCACCACTCGTATTAGTCGTATCTGTCACCACAGACTGTGAAACACTCATAGCACGGGCGTACATGCTAGGACGGGGTTTGTTGCCCACTGGACGTTCATGGACAGCACCCAGGGCCGCGTAAATCAAGGGTCTGAGCTTCGATTTGCACCACAGAGCAGTTGCGTCGCCTCCATGGCCGTCGTAGACTCCAAAAAACGCCCGGCTTTCGCTCACGTGGATGTCGTGACAATCATTCATCCGGGTTCGGAAGTCGGAGTTTTGAATTGCCGACGATGCATAGGAAAGGTTTAGGTGGGTGTGATTCACCGGTTGGTCTGAGGGCGCGTGCGTAGACACTGTGGGAAGCTGTATTTTGCTTGCAGAGTTATTTTGATTACTGTTCTCCGAGTTGCGGTGGCTTTCGCTTCTGTGGACGGAGTTGTCGGAGTTCCTGTGGCTGCTGTGGCTGTGTCGCTCTGAAACGTTGGTCTGACTGTTGGCAGCGCTGGTACTGGGACTCCTGCGCACCAACAGATCCGCAGTGGAGACTCCGCGCATATTGGCGGATTGTGGGCTGTAGTAGATTAGAGAATGAATTTTGGTGGTGTTGTAGACAAGACACTGGTCTTGGTGGGGGAGACGGGGCCCTGAGAGGTAAGAAGATAGAGCCGAATAGGAGGTAAAGTAGAATCAGAAGTAAAGGGTGTGATCAGAGTGAGTGTATCACGTTGTTAGAGTCTGAGTTAGTACGTTGTATGAGAAGTTGCTGTCGAGTAGTAGCGGAAGAACGGCATGAGAGCAGTAACAGCAGGGGATCAAGAGTGTTCTGATCCACCGAAGGTGTTGGTGTTATTGGAAATGCTGTCTCAGATAGATCGCATGATTTAGTAGATCACACGTGTTTGTGAAGCCACGGTTTATCGGTAGATGAGTGGACGGTCAGTGCGACAGAAAGAGTATCAGAGAAGAAGCGATGGATCTGCTTGGAGCAGCTGGTTATGGGTAGCACCTGTGTACCAGAAACAGTATAGCACAGAAAAGCCCTCAGCCCGACATCTCACGCTCCCTTGACACATTGTACACCCCATTATGGCACATGTCGGAATGAATCGTTTTCAAACAGAAGATAGTGATACGTGCGTATGAAAAACAGTAGCTCTTGTAGCAGAAGTATAGTCTCCCATAGACTATCACCTTTGAGTCCATTACCAGCCCAAACAGGCAGGTGCAGCTCATTCTGTCTCTATCCACAACTTTTCAGCCGCTTGAGCTCTGCTTCTGTACAGTGCGACTTTTGTTCATCCTTCTGTACATCTGAGGTATCGTTGGTTCCGCTGATATGAATCTCACTAGGTAGACAACCGATCAGTGGCGCGAAAAAATACCATACGTCATGACCTTGGCACGCAGGTATCGTCTCCACCATACACTCCCTCGTGGTAGTACTCACTCTGTAGTAGCCGTCGGTATTTTGTTGGTAGCAACTGTGGCGGTTTGGTGGTCTGGTACTGTCACTGTGTCGCTCAGTGTTGCTCGTCAACTAGGCTGTTTGCCGTTTTTCGTCGCCCAGAAAGTCGTGTTGCAAACGTGTGTCGAAACCAGTATACAGTATTACTGTCTATCACACTTTTGCCAGACTTTCTTTTCATGCACAAGGTACTTTAGAGGCGTTAAAACGCGCATTACTACAGGCGGTGATTAAAAATATGTACAAACCGAGGGAAATTCGGCAAAAACCGAGATGCGGGGAAATAATAATGCCGAGTTACCCAAGTGCCCGTTGGACGGGCGGATATTCCGTTTCTGTCGCTCCTTGCCTTCCAGAACACCCACTTCAGCTCCCTTATACTCTCGGCTTGATTTTCACTCATATACAAACAAGGTTACCGACACCAAAGGACAAGAGCCGTGTGAAAATGAGGAGACGGATGACATTCAGCAGTTTGAACCGCCCTGGTGGATTCGCGTGACCAAAAAGGCCCAGGTCCCGACCAATCTGAACTGCTGACACATGTCGTCTGTACCAGGACACCTCCCCTTTATTTAAAGAACAAGGTTGACGGTTTTACGTGTAGGAAAAGTGTGACGAGCGTGTAAAGCAGTGCAAACGACAGCAGCTGAATGTGACAAAAGGTCCACAATGTTTGCTCAGAAATGCAAAAATAAGCATGTATATAGGCTCTGAGGCCATCGATAGCCGTTGCGCGGCCCAGAGTGAGCTGATTTTCCAAACCCGCGGGTTTTCCAGCAAATTTTGACATCTTTTCACTCTCCTTTTTTATCCCGCTCGAAAATCAAATCGACGAGAGGCTACTCCACATTGCTCCATTTGCTACATGTAGGCTGCACGTTTCCAGACATTAAAAAAAATGTCATAAACGTAATACACAACTAACTCCGTTATCTCCGTTCCCCACACTCCGAAACCGCTCCCCACACGGGTCTTGGTGGCGACAAATAATTCTTGTGGCACCTCTGGTCGCTAGCACCATCTCTAGACGCAACGGACGTAGGTATTTTTCCGGACGCCGTTATTAGAGCCTTTGTAGGCCGTTTTTTTGCATGGCCTTAACATTTGGACCCAACCTAGTTTGGGTACCAAAACCCTAGCCCTTACCCAAACCGTATACCCCAAGAGGTTAATCAAAGGGTGCTAAAAAAAATGTTTGGGAGCACGAGCAGGTCTATAGACAACGGTTTATGGATGACTTTGACTTGGGGGTTGATGAGGGCAGGGTAGGGGTTTGGGCTGGTCGTGTGGGTGTGTCTGTGTCTTTGTGGTTCAAACTCCTTTACTGATCTTCTCCCCAAAGGGGTTTTTGGTACTTTTACAGACCTCCTATTCCCCAAATGGTCCTACACCCTATCCTCATAGCGCCGTATTACAGCCGAACCAGCACTTGATCGAGGCACACGAGAAGATCCCACTGGAACCTTAACTAAAAATCCAACTACGACTCTGTTGAAAGCCAACTAGAAAGGCTAACCACGTCGAGGCCAATAAAAGCCATCTATTAGCCGTTAATAAGGAGGTTTTCTGGAAATATAACGGGACTTAACAGAGTTACAAGGCATCACGGTGGGTCCCTGTAATGCAATTGCTTTGGAAAAACAACATTTGGACGAGTCCAGCCACACCTACTTGTAGTAGAACATGATCCAGCTGCTTTGGGATAAATAGCCGAGCAACGTGCGTGGTGGTGATGAGAGGGGTAGAGCATGAGAGAAGTGCAGATTGGACAAAGTCGGTCACTTGACCCCCACGAGAGGGAGGTGAGGCGAGGCGATCTTGCGTGTTTTTTATCAGATAAACAGCTCAATGTTTCAGAGTATAAGCGGTTAACAGTATGATAAGAAGCGTTAAAGTGGAGACAGTTGATATTGGTGGGGGAGGCTTCCAGGGGCTCTAAAAGACGCAATAATCAAGATACTACTTAGAAATTTGAAATGGATATTGTTTGGCGTGGTATTATCTGAGTTGTGAATTTTAGTGTGGTACTTCTTACGTGAGAAGGGTGGAGTTCATATCCTTTCTGATCATCTTCAACCAAAAATAGTGTTTTACAGTTGTGCATTGTGCAACATCTCCTTCTTAGTTCGATGACATACATATAAAAATAAAAACGTCGTACTGCGCCACCGTAGGACACCAAATCGAAGACTGAGTATGTATCGTACTTACAGTATTGTACTGTACGAGAACAAGTATTATTAGCACTGGTATCCGAAATACTTTTACGATGATGTCAAACCGTTCAGTCCGCCCTCAACGCCACCTCTACGGTAGTTTCAGTAAAACCACCACATAGATAGCGTCAGAAGCCGGTAGTGTAAGGGCAACGACACAGTGCGGGTCTCCATGAGCAAGCCCAGAGAGAGACCCACTAGCTGCAAAAATAGTTGTAACATTAAAAGACCCAAATTGGGCCGTTTCAGTTGTTACACTGAAAAGAACAGATACTACACTTGATCTAAGCCAAAAGGCAAAGAGATTTGTAAGGAGCAAAAAGGGGTACGGGGGAGAAGGTGTTTATATACTGTTGGGATGTTTAAACTCTATTTAAGTAGGGTAAGCATTCGAGTTAAGGCTCACATTTACCCATACAGACATGTACGCTTGTAAAGCTGGGAGGGGTTGGTAGCGAGTTAGAAAACAGGTCAATGAATGTGGTAGACTTGTTATTCCTTCGAAATGTAATTGAAAATATTCACCTCATTGACCACCTCCTTGGATTGTGCACAATTGATGAACACCATAAATTAGAATGATTGTTTGATTTCTAGTTTAAACATTAACCATTTCAGTTGAGACAATTGTTGGTCTCGCGGATGTCCTTCTTAAATATGCAGAAAAAAAAAAAAACAAGTAGCTTAGTTACAGCACTACTTTTGAGAGCAGTGCCATGTCAGAAACGAGTGATCTGAGGGCATTTTCTGTTGTCAAATCGAATGAAGAACTAATAAAACACCACTTTGAATGTCCGTAGCTGTTTGGTTGTCTCTAGAAGACGACCTACGACAAACAAGTATCAGGCCCTCGGCGCCCAGGACAGATACAGTTGTCTCACTGTACAGCATCACAACTAGTCCCCAAATTCTCGTCCATAGTGTATGAAGATGCAGTGAGTATTGTGTTCATTTAATGCACAGACATCAAAAAAACGTAAGACCCATTTCACAGTCTCATTTCGGTAACCATCCACTGTTCTCGAGCACCCTCTCTCCCTCTGATTAACTTCTTATCCTATAAAGCTTATGCATCATCGCGCCCAAAAAGGGAACCGTAAACAACTCGTCATCTACGCACCATTAAGCACCACAGGGGTGTTCTAGAAGCTAGGAAAGAGACAATGACGATCGCAAATTGCAATCAAACTTGTAGTTAAAGTCGGAGTATATATCCTCTGAAGCTTTGAAGACCTCTGAATCATGGTTTTCAGGTGTAGATGCGGCCACCAGTGTCATACTGTACAAGTACAGGGTACCTCATTACTGTACAAGTACCTCATTACTGTACAAGTACCTCCTTACTGTACAAGTACCTCCTTACTATACCAATGTTCCTGTTGTGCTTCCTCCACTTCAAAGACCAAAAATGTGTATCCATGTGGCATAATATATGTTCCCACTTCCTGTATTCCCTTCCGCTGTATTGAGGACGCGCAACAATGATCGAAACATTATTAGGGCCGAAGTCGATCGAAAGATGCCCAAATAGAATCGAAAGTAAAGCAATCAATCAATTCAATTACATGGATACATAAACATCAACAATTTTTCACTGTACGTAAAAAATCCATCGAGTTTCCCCAACTTTCCTTCCCCATCTACCAACATCGCCTAAAACTAACGAAAGCAAAACAAAGCTCATCGACACATCACACACAACCGTTATGGCCTGTCAAATGTCTCTACAGTAATCTTGTCTCTTAGCCTTGTATCCGCCCGACGAGTAGCTGTCGTCTTGTACATCATACCCCACAAACGGCGGCGGCTCATCGCATTATTAGAGTTTTGATGCTGAATTGAAGAAGCAGTATCTATCTCGTGGTTAAAACAACGGTAATGCTGTAAAGAACTCCAAACAGATTATTGCGAATCATCAATTCACTTTTCAATTGTCATATCCACTACATCTTCACCATTGACCCCTGTATCCATAAAGTCATCGCGTTATTAAAGTTTCGTCATACTACAGCCTACCAGCCACACGATTTTCCTACTACATCTCTTGATCATTGCTAACCAGGTGAAAAGCCCAATTGCATCTTTATATCATCATATAAACGTAATACCGTAGTATTATTTATATACTATCTCTACGATTCTAACTCCTCCAATTCGTTTTCGAAAAATCCCATTTCACACACCCCATATTTAACCTTTCTGTTATCTTCCCAAAAGGGTAATCAATAACAACCTCCTTATAACATCTGTCTCTGACACAGGTCATATCAATTCTTTGCTCACACTCACTTCTGACCAGACATCAGAGCCCTCGAAAAATATGTCGACAAAATCGCCTGTCACTCCTCGATACGGGCCTGCATTCTCCCTGACCTCTCCAAACTCGCATCCTCCTCATCCTCATCACTACACAAAAGACTCCTACTCCAAGGACTCGTCTTTCCTCAACGCTAGCAACTCTTGCTCCATCAAAAACTCGTTGTCGGACTACTCGACCGCCGACTACTCGAGCTTCTCCATCAAGAGCGACTTTTCGAAACCCAAGTCGCTGTTCAAGTCACCCAAAAAGCCCCAGAGTGTCATCGACTCTACTCCCTCCATCCTACAGCTCAATGTCGTCACTAACGATTGGTCCAGTAAGACCAACATCTCCAACAACAACTCTCAATTGAGCCCGAAGAAAAAGAAGGCCGTCACTGACAGATTCATCCCCAAGGTTGTGGGCGTCACCAAGCTCGACGAACGACCCGAAACTCGTGATACCTCTTCCGACCCCCGAGAATCCCTTGCTTCTTCGGATACAGCAGTCAAGAAACCCTCCAATAGCTCGCGTGAGACCCTGCGAAGCTCCCATGATAGAGAAATCGCCGACGCGTGCGGAATCTCGCTGTCACACAGAATCCTCGAGTTCCAACCAGCTCCCCCAAGCAGAACCCATGACCTGAGATCGGTATACAACCGACCTGTAAAACCCTCAGTTGCTGCTGTCAACAGACGAAAAGTCCCCACTTGTCCCGAGAGAGTCCTCGACGCCCCGGGCATCCTCGACGATTATTACCTCAACCTCCTGGACTGGTCGTGCGGAAACCAGGTCGCTGTGGCCCTCGAAAAAGCTGTCTACGTGTGGAACGCCGAGACTGGAAGCGTTGGCGAGCTGCTCGAGTCTCGCGATTACATCTCCTCGGTCAAGTGGTCTTGTGACGGTGCCTATCTCAGTGTTGGTCTGGGTTCGGGAGAAGTCCAAATTTGGGACGTGGAAGAGCAGACCAAGCTGCGATCCATGTTTGGCCAGACCTCGCGTGTGGGAGTTACATGCTGGGACCGGCATATCCTGTCTTCGGGGTCCCGTGATGGCCACATTTTCAACCACGACGTTCGAATCGCCCAGCACAAGGTATCTGAGATGAATCACCACCAGGGCGAGGTTTGTGGTCTAGACTGGCGGTCAGACTCGTCGCAGCTGGCATCTGGAGGTAACGATAACACTGTGTGCATTTGGGACGCCCGGTCCACTGTCCCCAAGTTTACCAAGACCAACCACAAGGCTGCCGTCAAGGCCGTGGCGTGGTGCCCCTGGCAGATGAATCTGTTGGCGACCGGAGGAGGAACCTACGACAAGTACATTCATTTTTGGAACACAACGACCGGCGCTAGAGTTAATTCCATCGATACGGGGTCGCAAGTGACCTCGATCAAATGGTCCCAGCATTACAAGGAGCTTGTTTCCACTCATGGCTTCCCCAACAACAATTTGTCAATCTGGTCGTATCCGTCGTGCACCAAGATTGTCGACGTTGTTGCTCACGACTCTCGAGTTTTGCATGCCACTCTGAGCCCTGACGGCCAGACGCTGGCCACCTGTGCGTCCGACGAGAACCTCAAGTTCTGGAAGATTTTTGAGTCCACCAAGAAGAGCGCCGGCAAGGAGGGCGTCATCCAGAGCAAGGAGATTTCCACTGTGGGTATTAGATAGGAGGATGTATATAGCTTTAATGAGTAGCATCGACTACGAGCGGTTGTTTTTATAGTCTGACTTGTAGTTGAGATGTAGTTTGTAATCCACACAGTCTCTGAGTGTTGTCATCTTCTATCCAGAATGAAGTGCTCAGATGGAGAGAGTACGACATTAGACTGTACTACAAGTAGTAGAACCAACTTATGGATGCTTGTATGAGATAGGCGCACTTCTCATGAGAGTTAGAGATATGGCATGCATCTCGAAATGTCAAGATGGATGGATGATTGGATATCCGAAGCGAGACTGTAAGATGAATGTCCTCAGACGCTAGTTAAAATAGCTACACGACCTTCTGGTATGATGCTGTGGTTTCTCTGCAAGGATACCCAAGTGAGTATCGAGTCCATTTTGGGGTCTTAGGCTCTCTTGTTTGTTCTCTGCGCACAGTTCACTCCAGATAATCCTCTGGGCGGTCAGTTAGGGCTCTTTCCATACATCTACTTTACGTAAACGCTGTCTACAGTGTTATAACCTCACCATACATTTCTATCTATGACCAGGTTGTCAACCATCATCTGTTGACCAGACAGGGACATGGCAATGAGCCTGTCATTATACTTTATAACAGCTTTTAGTTAGCTGTTACTCGACTCACCAACTTCCGTTACGCTCAATTGGTTCGTCTAGTTCTTTCCAGCACCGGCTCGGAAGTAAATGACATCTCCATCCTCAACCACGTAATCCTTACCCTTTTGTTGCAGCTTTCCGGCAGCCTTGACGGAGGCATCGTCGCCGTACTCGACCAGGTCCTCGTACTTGGTCACCTGGGCCAGAATAAAAGTGTTCATGAGATCGTTATGGATGACACCGGCGGCCTGAGGAGCCTTGGTACCGTTTCGAATGGTCCATTCTCGAACCTCATCGGCACCGGAGGTGAAGAAAGAGATCAGACCGAGAGTCTGTCGCATTGTGGTAATGATCTTGGGCAGAGAAGTGGTGGCACCAATCTCCTTGAGGTAGGCCTCGGCCTCCTCCTCGGTCTCCATGTGGGACAGCTTCTCCTCCAGGCAGACGGAGAAGGGGATGATGACGTCTCCGGGAGAGTTCTCGTCGATCCACTGTTTGATCTTCAGCAGGTACTTGTTCTTCTTTCGAACGTAATCCTTCTCAGACAGGTTGATGAGGTAGATGGCGGGCTTGGCGGTCAGCAGCAGCATCTCGTTGATGACCAGCACCTCCTTGCCAGTCCAGTTCTGGTTGGCAATTCGGTGGCCGTCCTCCAGCAGCTTGATGATCTTCTCGCAGGTGGCAGCCTCCTCCTTCTTCTGCTTGACCTCCATGGACTGTCCTCCTCGCTTGACAATCTTCTCGACTCCCTCAAGGTGCTTCTTGGCAAACTCAATGTCCTTGAGTCGAAGCTCGTCCTTGATGATCTGGAGATCTCGCACGGGATCAACGTCACCCTCGATATGGATAATCTCGGCATCGTCGAAGCATCGAACAACCTGGAAAATGGCATCAACAGCTCGGATGTTGGACAGGAAAGCGTTACCAAGACCCTCTCCAGCATGAGCACCCTTGGTCAGACCAGCAATGTCGTAAACGGTGATATGAGCAGGGACCTTGGAAGCGGGCTTGTACATCTCACAGAGCTTGTCAAATCGAGCAGAGGGGACGGTCACTCGAGCCTCCTCAGGCTCAATGGTAGCAAAAGGGTAGTTGGCGGGGTTACCAAGAGGACATCGAGTGATGGCCTGGAAAAAGGTCGATTTTCCAACGTTGGCCAGACCGACGATTCCGGACTTGAGGTTGTTGCCGGGTCGACCGAGCAGAATCTTCTCTTCCTTGACGTTCTTCTTGGGGGGCATTGTAGTGTGTGGTGTTAACCTGGTGATGAAATTTTTCACTGCTGAATACAGTAGATGACTTGGTTGGTTGTCATCCCTAACCCTAACTTTGAAGCCGGAGAGAGAGCAGAGAGTTGGTGACAGGCCAAGTTGTATAGGGCCAGGGCTTAAGTAGAGGCTTGTTTTGGAGTATGCTACACTCTCCTATAACTCGTATATATCCCGGGTTGTCTCTATTTTGGGCTCATTAACCATACGTGTCAAATCAAGGTTGAGCTTGGAATTTCAAAGAAAGAGTGGTTTGGGGGTTAGGGTTGGGAGAATGGGAGATGGATGCCCAAACCCCGAACGACGCGAGCATGTCAGATTGAGCTGACTTCCTAAGAGAAATGGCACGTCCAGTATTGAGCAGAGTGAGCAATGTGAGCAGAATGTTTGTGGTGTTTGGTAAGCATTGATATCCAATAAGTATTTATTGGATCGAAATGGGTCATTGCATGTTGCAAGGCTGCAAAGAGTGTTGCTGTAGCGCCAGTAGATACGAAGTTAGTTGGGAGTAGTTAAGCGGACAAGTCACCTGGGGGTCATAGTCGGGCTTTTTGAAAACTTTTGATATATATATATATATTTATAAATAAGCCACATTGAAATAAATTCCTTCAGTATACTGTAGGACAGCAATGTTTATATCATTGTCTATCGGATTATCCTGTTATAACATCTCTTCTGCATTCTCAGAGAAGCCATATTACTTAGGCTTTTAGTTAGTATCAATTTGGTCATCCTTGGTGAGCCTAACAAGTGTCTCTTTTGCCGTCCTGTTTAAAGCGCAATTTAGAATCGAACTGGCGGTTGTGATACTTAGATATGTTAAGTTTTTTTAAAGTAAATCAAATTAAATTTGTTTTTATATTATATACTGTAACATTGAAGGTTACTTGGTACCATGAACAAGTGTACTTGGGAAATTCATAGAACTATTATCAGTGATTCAGAGGCAAATTCGACAAACCAAACTTATACTCCCGGTTATCCATGATTTCTAACTTGGAAACGTCAATTTTTTTTACTGACTCTGCCCTCAAACTACTTCGACTGGACTCCCTTTCTCCCTCAGATCACATGACTTGTCCCAGCATGGAACTCTATTTTTCGCATCACCACCATTAGAAATACACCATCCACACGACACGCCATAGTGATAGTGATTCAACATCGACACCATGAATCAAGGGCAGGGCCAACAGAATCCGAACGCCGGCAACGCCCAGGGTCAAGGTGCCCAGGGCCAGGGCCAGGGCCAGGGCAACGCCCAGAATCGGCCTCGGTTGAACCCCCAGCAGCAACTCCGAGCTCTCTACCAAAACTACCATCAGGCTCTTGAGCTGTCCCGGCAGAGTGGTGGCCAGCAGCATTTTGTACACGCGCAGCGGCTGCGCGAGTTGATTACTCAGGTTGAAGGTCGAATGAGACAACAGATGGCTCGTCAGGGTCAAGGACAACAGGGACAAGGTGGTCAGCAGCAAGGACAACAGGGACAGCAGCAAGGTCAACAGGGCCAGGTTCCTCCGCAGGGCCAGGTCCCTCCGCAAGGAATGGGTATGGGTATGAACCAGGGCCAGAACCAGGGCCAGAACCAAGCTCAGGGCCAAGGTAGAATGACCCCCAATCCCCAGGCTACAGGCACGCCCAACCCTGGAAACACACCCAACCCCGCTAATGCCACTCCTAACCCCTCCAACCCCACAAATAACCCACGGATGAACCAGCAGCTGCTTCAGGCACAGACATTCTTGCTGCGTCGACAGCCTCCTAACTTCAACGAAATGACGTACGAGCAGCAGCAGACGTTCCGGGTCAAGAACCTCGAGTCGTCACGCCGAACACAGCACGAATGGCAACAATCCATGGAGCAGATGCAGCAGGTCATTGGCGACCCCAACACTACCGATGATCGTCGTCAGCAGCTCCAGCAGCAACTGGACCAAATCCGGCTGAAGAAGGAGGGTCTGAGAGCCATTGAAATTGTGCTCGGACAACAGCACGCCGCTGCCGCACGAGCCCATGGTGACGTGAGCGTGACTGGAGCTCAGGGCCAGGGTCAACAGACTCCTAACCAAGCCCAAGCACAGGTTCCCCAGAACCAGGGATTGCGACCCATGGGCCAGATGCAGGGCCAGAACCAGATGCAAGGCCAGGGTATGAACCAGGGCCAGATGAACCAGGGTCAAGGCATGGCCCAGGGTCAAGGTATGGGCCAGGGACAAGCTCAAGGACAACGACCCATGATGCAGATGCGACAAGGCCAACAAGCTCAAGGTCAACAGGGTGGCCAACAAGCACAGGGCCCAGGTATGCCCCAGGGCCAGGGTATCCAAGGCCAAGGTATGCCTCAGGGTCAGGGTATGCCTCAGGGCCAAATGCGTCCTGGCCAACCCCAGGGACAGCCCCAGGGCCAACCTCAGGGCCAGATGCGACCTGGACAGCCCCAGGGCCAGGGTATGCCTCAGGGACAAGGTCAGGGTCAGATGCGACCTGGTCAACCCCAACCCCAGGCTCCTCAGGCTGCACAAGCGCAGGCTGCACAGGGACAACAGGGCCAGGGCCAGGGTCCCTCCTCGCGTCCTAACCCTGCTCAGCAGCAGCAGCCCTCGGCCATGGTTTCTCCCACCAGAGCCGCCGTCAACCCCTTCCCTATTCCCCAGCAGCTTCAGGCTCGTCAGGGACAGGTTCCTCCCATGGCTGCTCGGCCTCGAGCCACTCTAACAGGTGGAAACGGAGCGCCTCTGCCTTCTCTCAACCACCCTCCCCACACTCGAGCTCCCCCCGTCGATATGATGGGCGACCGAGTTCTGAGCAAACGAAAGCTGTCGGAGCTAGTTCGATCGGTGGCTGGAGAAGATGCCGAAGCTACAGTTGATGGAGACGTCGAGGAGCTGCTGCTGGATCTCGCCGATGAGTTTGTGTCTTCTGTTACGGCCTTTTCGTGCAGACTGGCCAAGCATCGAAAGAGCGATACCCTGGAGTCCAAGGATCTGCAGCTGCACCTGGAGCGAAACTGGAACATTCGAATCCCCGGTTACAGCGGTGACGAGGTTCGAAGTGTGCGACGACTGGCTCCCACTCAGGGCCATGTTCAGAAACTCGCGGGTATTACCATGAGTAAGGCTGTGGCCAAGTAAGGATAAAAAGGTTGTGTATAAAGAATATATGTATTATAGAAATAGTGAGATGTAACGAACGAAGTACCTAAAGCCGAAGATGTTGCCAGGCGGACCAGTAGCATGTCGGGGTACAGTACATACTGTGTTGTACTTGTACCGATAGTGGTGATGTCCCTGAACTGCTAGTCAACAACCCATGATGAAATGGCTAAGAAACAGGGCAACATGTATTTGTTTCTATCCAAACAATCCCCTTGGAGGAAACTGTTGATGGAGCTGACTAATATGGCAGTTCCGTTCATAGAGACAGACACGATAGAAGATGATACAGTTCAAGGTGGAGATACCCAATTTTCTTGAGGTGATGAAAGTAGAGAGAAACAACATCACCAATTTACAATTGTTATACCCTTGGAAACCTCTCGATCTAAACACAGATGCCTGCAAATGGACATACTGCTTCAGAACCCACCAAGATCTCAAAAAGAGAGGCAAGACGAGAAAAACGAGAACAAAAACGTGAAGCCAAAAAAAATTCCAATCGCTTGAACAAAAAAACAATGACAACCGAGAGATTCGAACTCTCGCCTCCGAAGAGACCAGGATGTTGTGTTAAGGTGTGACCTTAACCTGGCGCCTTAGACCGCTCGGCCAGGTTGCCGTTTTCTTGATTACTAAGAGTGCGAGGAACCGGTATGTTACTTTTGTTAATAAAAAATTGGACAAATTTGCATCTAGAGCTAAAATGAGATTCCTATTGGAATCCTCTATACTGCTTATGTTTTATGATGCATTATTGTTTGTCCTTCCTATAGTATATATGCTATTATGACTTGCTACCTATGCTAATTAAACTTTAACAAATTACTTCAACAGTTCTTGTGAGATTTTGTATTTGTTACCAACCCAAGTACTGCAGTGTACTTGTACTTGTACTTGCAAGTACTCTTAACATCAATTCTCGTCAGATTAAACTCAAACATGATCAAACTTTACTGAACAAAAAGATCTGGTGATGATGTTGTCACTCTGGTTGGTCCAACAATGTCCAAAATATTTCACATAAAATGACTCAGATTCGAACACGTCACGGTGCCTTACGTTCTGACTAACCTGTAGAGTTTTCAGCCGCTGATATCGTGTTAGACTCAAATTAGTACAGGGATTAAGTTGGGATCCACTTGTTCCATGCACAACCGTGAACATGCTCTTTCACCCACAAATCACTACGAGTACCATTGACAATGTCAGACCTTGATATCACCTACTACTCGCCCAAGGAGCTGCTCGAGTCGCCGAAGCTGCTGGGATACATGGATTTCATCAACTCGTGCTACCTGCCTCTGCATTTGCACTTTCATACCTTTACCACTGCTCGGTTCTCTGATCTCGAAGATTTCAAAACCTATGTGCGGGACGGGAACGTCACCCTGGCCATTGCCCGTGATATTTCGACTCAGGACATTGTTGCTGCCGGAGGATACAAGCGAATGAGCGACACCGAGGCTGAATTGACTTGCATGTCCACAGACCCCAGACTCGGAGGAAGAGGCATTGGAACGCACATGGATAAGGATCTGGAGAAACACGCACGCAAGAACGGATTCAAAAAGATGCACGCCATGGTCATTCGAGAACATGGACGGGTAGTTGAGTTCTACGAACGGCTCGGATACGTCAAGAAGAGTGAGGAGCTCATCAAGCCCGGTGGAACTTTTCCGAACGTGGTGGAGGTGAATGTGTGGTACATGGATAAGGATCTCTGATGGTAAAACAGCCATGATCTGTTGTGGTCCTGCTTTATCCGATCTGTTGAAATGTTTTTACCAGAGCACATCAACTAAATGACTGTCTAAAACACAGGCTCGGCTGAGAAAGACGTTTAGACAAATAGATAGGTTACATTTGTATGCTCGTTAATTTTGCTTTAAGAACTACGATACAGAACTGGCTGTTTCTAGGTACGGCGGTTGTCGTCTCATCTTTTAATTCTCCTCAATCCGTTCCTCTTGACAGTGGAACCGCCAGTCCATGGTGGTCTACTGACGGTCTGTCCACAACATGGATCCTTCAGTCCTTCAGTCCTACAAGGCCATGTTTGAGAGCCTTCTGTCGACCACCCCTTGTATATGTGACCATGTTATCCTGCTCGCATACCTAATAACAGTCCGATTTGATATTCCAGAAAGTCAGCTTCCGTGTATCAGTATGATATCTTGCTTCATGTCAGAATAGTGAAGTAAAACATATGATAGTTATGGCGCACGATTTTGGTTACTATCTATCGATGTAGTTATATTTGGAGACATCGGAGACGTCGTTTAAACCCCTTGGACGTCCTTTCTGTGATAAGTGTCAGCATTAGTCCTACTTTACAGTACTTCATGCTTTCACTACAATACACCCCCCACAGCATTACAATACATATGATCCTTGTCTTCCGTCATTCAATGTTAGTATACAGTGTGTCTAGTCTTCGGAGGACCATTTTGCATCCATAGAGGTGGACAGCTTGGGCAGCGAGTCAGACTCTGCAGAGTCCACCGAATTACCCTCCTCCGTCGCACCCTCTGTCGCACCCTCTGTCGACACCTCCTCGACTCCCTCCACCCTCGATTCAGTCTCAGTGTGAACACTTTCACTATCACTGCCTTCTCCTCCTTCAGTGTCACTTATACGACACTCTCCAGTTTCGGTTGTGACTCTATCGATAGCCTCCTCAGTCACATCCCCTTCGGTACCGTCCTCTTCGCGACCGTGACCATCGTCAACCATTCCCATCATGGACCCGACAATGGGCTGCAGATGGTCTTTTTCAATCTCGCCAAAGGGATCGCCAGATTCCTCGATCAATTCATCAAGGCCCCCACCAGACCATCCCTTTCGAGCTACGCCTTCATGGATCTCAACCTCCGCTCGTACAGCCGAAGAAACACTTCCAAGAAGAGTGTCTCCTGCCAAAGAATGTGCCTCCCACATATCTTGATAGTACTTGCCCTTGAGAGCGTCCAACCCGTCAATCTCGGCTGCCACGTCCATCAACGACTGTCTGTAAGCAGCTAGATCACGTGCCCGCTTTTGCTTCGCGAACCCTCGCTGTTGCTGCTCCTTTTTGCGTAGCTCCGCAGACTTGCTCACGTGACTAGACCGGTACTCGGAGTGGATCTCAGCCGATCGCTGCTGAAGACCCTTACCGAGGGCTGTTACCGGGACAACAAAGTTTTTGTCAATTGTGTCGCCTAGAATCTGCTGATGATTGGAAACCAGCAGATAAAGCCCTGCAGCAGCCTGGAGGCCGTCGGGAACACCTTTACAGTGAGAAAGTTGTTCCAGGGCACCTCCAAACTCAGCAGAGGCACGTGACACGAGATCGAGAGCGTCTCTGTACTTTTGCGCCGCCTCAATCACGTGATTGTACGCCTCTCGCGACTCCTTGATGTGTTTGGTGCCGATAATCTGGCTTTTGTCCATGTCCAGAGGCAGTGATGACGGCGGCATCATCGAAGGGAGCGAGTCCCCTGTTTGTGCCGTTGCTGCCGAAAAGTGCGATAGCCGCGACGTGGTAGATGCATCACTAGGACGGCGTTTTCTGGTGAAGGAGTAGAATTCAGAGAGGTGGGAGTTTTCTGGGTTAGCATCAACTACTATGAGTAGCACACTCAAGATAAAGGATCGCGATTACTTGAGTGGGACAATCAATGGGGATATCATAACAGCTGGGAGCGGTTAGGTGCAAGCTGTGACTGGCACCAGCGAGAGCGGCATTTATGGAACAAGCAATTGCAGGTGGTAACTAGGATTTCTCAAAATGTACAGACGAGCACAGGAAGTAACGAGATCGTTGATACTGTCAAAGTGACGCAGTAACGCGGCGACATTGTGTGAAACATGGCGAGATTGTCTGACTGGTGATGGAGTGCTGAGAAGACCATGGTGATGGACATGATACAAGTCTGGCATCTACAGAAACACCACCGAAAAACTAGACAGCCTGTATCACTGCGACGATAACCATTGACGTGGGTGCGGGCTGTAGCTGAGCCGCATTGCACCAGCAAGTTATCTGATATCGACATTGATAACAAGGATTTGAACCACTTGGTATGTGTCATGGACATACCTGAAAGTCCTCTGCAAAAATTCCTGGTTCTTCTGGATTTTTCGGGCATGTTCTCTGTGGTACCATAGTCGCCTCTATGTCAATGTAACATCGGCGTAGTGTAGTAACTCTTTGATCATATCTCAGTCATAACAGCTGCCGAAGTCATATCACTCCTTCGGTGTGTGTCACGACATCGTTCACGTCACAGTCCCCCCATTTGTGTCACCCGAGACGACACCAGTGCGAATTTTTCCATATCGTCGATGGTGTGCTCATCGCTCGTCGCATATCTGTATTGACATGTCATGGTTGTCGAAGTCGTGTAAAAACTAGCAAGGCACACGTGTCCTGTCACATGACCCGTTCTCCGTATGCCTATGTGACTTCCACGTGACTCGACTTGCCCATATCCCCTTCCCTTTCGCTTCGAATACTCACCCATCGGCTTTGATCAACAGTAGAGGTTGTACATGACAATGCTGATGGACATGCAGGTTAATTAGGCCCTGAGTCTGTCACGTGCAGCGCGGCCAGACGAAAGACTATACCACGTGATCCAGACATCGCAGAGAAAAGAGGGAAGATGCGTTCCGCTTGGCATCGCGTGAAGAGTATTTTTGCTGTTTTCACATTTCACTACTACCCACTTTTTGCACCGTTGCGATTCCGACTTCCATTCTCGTCGAATCCGTCGAATCCAAGCTCTCGCTAAGAGCTTAAACGCAACTCTATGGGCTGCGGACTCCGATTGGTACCGTTGATTCAGATGGTTTGGGGGTGTTTTCTGAGCGAATTTCTGCATAAATATGTACTCCTTGAGACGGAGAATCCAATGGATTTTCCAGATTTGAAATCAGATAACTTTTGGAGGAGCAACATAGACTCTACACCGAGCCTTGAAAAATAGCAAGAACCGGATATATGAAAGATCTGAGATGATCCAGAAGAGGTATTGGAATTCTGAAAACAGCCGTGAGATCCCCTCGGCTAGGATATTTCAATAAAATGACCCATTTCGTCATATATTCTCTCCTCCATCCCCCAACCCCCTGCGTGGCTAATCACGCTAAGTCGGAATGTACTAATTAGACGCAACCCTTGCGAAACCCTTTGAGAATGTGTGTTTCAGCCCAGTCACGGGATAGCCTTATCGATAAGATCCATGACGTCATGGGCGGTAATATTCGTCACACCAGAAATATCAAGCTGGTTTCCGCGGTGATCATATCTCTACCAAAGATGGTAATGGGTGAAGGTACTACTATACCGTATGTACTTTTACACCGACGCTGTATTTGCTGTACTCGTTGGCGGCAGAACGTTAGATCATGAGATTACGAGTACAAGCATTAGTAAGAACCAAGAACCGTAGTACTGGATGAGAGAGTATCTGGTAATATCAGACAATTGCAAAGGTTTTGCATTGAAACCCCAGACGTTTCTTACTCCAATCAACTACTGTAGTACATACCCCTTACTAATCTCAGTACTGTACACGTCGAGCTCAAGACTTCTCCTTCCCAGTGGTGCCTGTATAGAGGTAACTCGAGGTCAGACAAGAGCACTACAGTACTGCATCAGCTCAGAAACTTTCGGCGTATACTTAAGTCTCGATATTATTCAGCCACATTAATCAAGTTCATCCAGAACTCCGATCTCTCTGACTTTTACTGAGACTGCCAGACTACATATGTACAGCAGGTGTTTACTGTGGTAGTGTTCTTTGGTACAGAGCCCACAGGCTGATCTCTACAGCTTTCAACAAATCAAAATTAGAGGGATCGCACATGTTTTCCCTTCTCTACTTTACTGTAGATGTGTACCAGGTGCTTGTACTGTAGCTCTGTCAGAAGGGTGGTACCATACGCGCGATGTTCAGAACACATCCAAACTACACCACGAATACAAATAACGAAGTATTACTACATTTGTCAACTCCAGTGTGAATAAGAGTGGATTCTAGCACTCTCCTTTTCCCCCTGGTCGCCCCAAGTTGGTCTGTCGTCTCTACGTCTACAATCTCAAATCTGCGCGAGAAGCCCTTTGGCACTTCTCTATGTCGTTCCTTCTGAATCCAAACAAACATCAATTACCATCTAGCATGCTCAGCATACGTCTACTTGTACCTGTTTTCACAGTTCTAACACCAATCAGTCTCGGGAATGCTTAAGCCTTCTCCTTCTTGTCGGCCTCGTGCTTGGCCCACATGTCCTTGAAGGTGGCGCCGAAGACGGTGGTCTGGACGGCCTGGGAGGTGGTCAGACCAAGAGACTTTTGGTACATGATGATTCGGCTCAGCTGGACGGAGGCAGTGCAGCCCAGGAAGAAGTTGACAGAGGCCAACAGGTAGTTCTTGGGCTTGATGATCAGACACCATCGGGTCCAGATGAAGCCGGTGGCAAACAGAGCGGCGTTCTGGGTGCCGGACAGAGTCTCGACAGGTCGAGCAAAGTCAGAGATACCGGCAATGACCAGAGCCCACTTCATGACGGGGGCCCAGAAATGGACCGTCTTGGGGCCGGTCTCGGAGTTAAGGTACCGGGTAAATTTCGAGGCGTGTGCTGCGGACATTGCGTGCTTTTTGTGCTTTTAAAAGTCCTTTCGGGGTCTTTTTGTGTGTTTGTGTGGTGATGGAGATATGACTGATGTGCACAAACTGATTCCAGTGCGTCTCTGGCTGTGTGACTGAGGGTCAAATTAGCTTTTTCAGACCTTAATTGTTGAGCGTTGTGGGTGAAGGACGCAGAGTTTGAGCTGTTTGAGGTATAATCCGTGGGGGGGATGCGATTGAGCGCGTATCAGTAACCGAACGAAGAGGTGTGTTAAGTTGGGAGATGAAAGAGGGGAAACAAAATATAAAAAAAAGGCGGATATCCACGTCCATTTATACTATTTCTGCTGTATTTGTGTAATTATCCGCAGCTAGACAATATCTCAACCATGTCCGGGTAAGTTGCACCACTAGTGTGAGTGAGTAAGTGAAGACACCAGAAGCGCAATACGATAATGGAGCTAATCAAGAGGCCTTTTTCGGTGTTGAAAAGATACACGATAATTCATGCCAATCTTGCATCTGATGTGTCTGTTTTTACTTGTCCCCGCGTCCTATTTCTGCCTGTTCTATTATGTTTATGTGTTGTGCATCTGTATCTCCGGGGTTCATCTCAGTGCAGTTCCCCCGCGATACCATCTAAAGTGTCTCTACTTGGACACTTTCAGCTTTGATAGAAATACTATTGGTATTTTCGAGATCCCTGGATGGTTCTGGTCACGATGATATCATCATCTCTTCAATTGCTGTTGTTCTTGGATTGCAAGAGTCCCCATTATGACAGTCTCGCGCACCCCCAAATGACACTTTAATTTTCAGAATTCCGACACTAGCTCAAATCGAACTCACGGCCACCTCCCAGTCCACTGTCCAATCACAAACTTTAGGATCCAGGTATTGTCATAGAGAGAGTGCTACAAGGAAAGGTTCGATACTCACATCAATCACACTACACAAAAATGTCCGCAGCACTCCGAGAAATCCGATTCCACCTGTGCCAGAACGGCTCCTCGTCGGCTCCCCTGCGACAGTTTGTCAAGAACCAGATTGGTGCCTTCCAGAAGGCCAACCCTTCCACCAAGGTGCTGGTTCGAGAGGCCAACGGAGTCAAGCCCATTGTTTTTGCCCGGTTTGGTGAGTACAAAAGAACAGCTGCAAGTGAAGCGAGTGCTGGATCCAAAAGCAGCTATCCGCAGCTGTGAGCACAGCGAGCTGTTGTGGATAGCCGTTGAATGAGACAAGGAATACCGAATGACCACATGAACTTATGTAACACTGCGACGACTACGAACAAAGGCATTGCCCGAAAAACGAACAGAGATATCCAGAGAGTCATTTACGAAGAATGGCATCTAAAGAAAGACATCCAACGGATGACTGGGAGCAGTTACACCCACGACGCGACTCGTGTTTCCGACCTACACGAACGAACTTTTGATATTGCGAAGTCGAAGTGCATAATGGTGACAGGACTGTCATATGAAAATGGTGTTATATTCACGACTACTTGTGACTTTTTTACAAGGTACCTGTTTGGACTGAGGTGTATCAGTGATTGGAGAGATATCCGAGCGAGAAGTTAGGTTGGACGGACACGAATAGGAAGAAAGCCCAACACTAGTTGGTGTTGATTGTGTAATGTCAGCAACTTCCCGTTCTGTATAATTGTGGTATTTCTGAGGAAAGTGGGTGGAAGTATGGGTTGCGTTCATCGGAAGGTCAAGACAAAGTGGCTGTATTGGTTAGAGCGGATTAGCCTTGAGGTACTCTCTCGTTTGTTTACGACTGGGTTGGACTATGGACTTCTGCACACCACATCACTCTATTGTTTTGACTGATACTCGACGTTCGAGGTGGTGGAGTTCTTGGTGCCCATGCCCTTCCTGTCTGGCGGTTTCTCAATTTCATGCATTGATCTCTTCAAGTGTGAAATGGCGTGTTCAGCTAGATACTGTCGACTGCTTTCCCAGATCACTTGAACTAAACCTCTTTCTCTCTTTCTCATATCTCCATTACCTTATCTGGTTTCAAAGTCGCTCCATGTTTCTTACATTCGTTGTTTCAACCTTGATCTTGGCATTTCCTGTCATCCGTTCGTCGTTATATTTCTGTTCTTACTCTGATCCTCTTGGACAGGATATCAATTCACATCCTCCATTTCCATACTAACACAGACCACGGCCATGAGTCCAAGATTGGTCTCGACGTGTCTTCCGAGAAGGAGGTCGCCGAGCGAGTCAAGTCTCTGATCGAGGCTAAGTAGAGCATGACAATTGAAGTAGTTTTATTGGGTTGAAAGTGTAGACAAGAAATGGTGTATATACAGTATGTGTATGATGCGATCATTCAATTGTATTGTAATAGTCGTTCATACAGGTACAGTATGTACAGTAGTCGTAAGTGTAAACAATCGTGAAGCTGATATCCCATGCCCATGGGAGTTCCTGTATATTCGTGTAGTGATTCGGTGCTCGCATCTGATGTTCACGTCTTACCGGCTCCGCTAATTATGTTCCGTTCCGTGTTAACGCCGTAAAAGCCGATGCATTGGTGGACATGTTCCAGTACAAGTTACTGTACAGAACTTCTACAGTACCCGTAGATGCCCTAATGGTTGAATTGAGGTCGGGAGGGGATATCGTACAAGCCTTTGACTGTCATCGCTTCACTTCTTTACTCGTGCTTTTAAAATCCCACTCAATTGACTAAAAGTATTCGTGCTTGCATCTTCATCTCTATGCACCTTGAATGGGAGTTGCATATATGTCACTTCCAAGTGAGAGCTCATATCTCGACGAAGACACGTTCAAGGGATTCTGGGAAGTGGATTCGATCCATAAAGACATTTTTACTGATTTATCAGGGAAAAATGGTCATGTTTTTTTCTCGAGCACGGCTAAATGAGCACATTCGGCTGAAAACACAGCTTTGTTAACTAACACATAGAAAACGCCTTTGAAAGTCAATACTGGAGCGATGAGAGGAACAAGAGTGTTATATATGTCACAAGCGCAAGAGTATTCCATGTCACAAGCGTAAGAGTTATCTATCTCTTACTTAAATTATTCGTCACTTCTCATGAATGCGCCATTCTCAAGGGGCTAAATGGCGCGTGTAAAAGTTTATATGTATTGAAGTTTCTTCTACATCAGCAGTTCTGATCAGTTAAAAAGAGGGTATCACGTTTCGGACTTGGGTCCTTTTTTGTTCTGTAGAGACTGGGTTGATGGAAGAAACAACTTCTTGACTTTCATTGCGACACGACAATTAATAAACGAGATAGATACCACATGGAATCATTTAGATTTTATAAGTAACTCTAAAAAGTTAGACGGAGACTTAACTCCAGCGACGTAGATACTTGACAATATGTGGCTGTAATACGTCCAAAAGAGGATCGATGCTTCGATGGCATACGTATGTCCCATTATACACATCTGTGATACAGCATTGGTCTCTTCTTCACGTCACTGCTACACCTTCCGTTTTGAGTGGGATGCAGCAGATGAAGATGAAGCGAAATGACCTTGGATGAGTTGATTTATGCAAAGAAAAGCCATGAATCAATGTATCAAACAGAAACTAACCAATTCACAACCCGCTCGCTCCGATCACGTGACCTACAGACCCTCATATCCATCTCATTCTCACACAACTCCCATGCCTGAACTCTAATACACGTCTCCCCTAAACTTTGCACTACATACGTGACAGTTACTTTTGTACCCAAAAACCAAACCCACACTCACTCCTTAGTGTACCTCTCACCACACCACACCCCACACTACATCTTCACTCACTACAGAACCGACCATGGAAACCGTAGTGACGACAGCGACTATTGCCGCTGCGGCCGTGTCACCCTCTCCGACACCCTTCACCACTCAGCATCTGGCCGGCGAGCAGATTCTGTCTAAGCTGCATGCCATTGCCTCCTCGGCAGCATATTGGGGAGAGAAGCTGCCCGGCTCGGCCGTGGTCAAACGATACATTGTGTCCTCGCATCAGAATGACCCTGTTAGAACCATCTTCGAGCTGCTCTTCTTCCTGTTTGCCGTACGATACTTTGTGGCGTCCCGATACTCGACCTCTAATCCCCACCACGTCAAGTTTACCGAGGCCGACATTGACGAACTGGTCGCCGAGTGGGAGCCCGAACCTCTCGTACCCAAGACTACTGTCCTGGAGGAGCTGGACATTGGCTCAATCCCGCTGATCCACGGCGAATCGGGCCCCGTGGTTGACGTAGAGTCGGCCCGGGTCGGACACGTCAAGCGAGCCACCAACCTGGCCTCTACCGACTTCCTGGGCTGGGCACGTGACCCCGTCATCAAGGAGCGGGCCGTCCAGATTATCCGTGAGTACGGAGTCGGCTCCTGTGGCCCCCCCGGTTTCTACGGAAACCAGGACATTCACGTTAAGTGTGAGCGGGACCTCGCCCGGTTCTGCAACTCCGAGTCTGCAATTCTCTACGCGCAGGCCTTCAACACCATGTCTTCTGTCATCCCCTCGTTCATGAAGCGAGGTGACATTGTCATTGCCGACGACCGAGTGGCCACTTCCACCCAGAAGGGTCTGCAGGTGTCGCGAGTCACCCTGCGATGGTACAAGCACAACGACATGGAGGACCTCGCACGTGTGCTGGCCAAGACCAACCACGAATTCCGAAAGGCTCCCCTCACCAAGCGATTTATTGTCACCGAGGGTCTGTTTGAGAACACTGGAGACCTCTGTAACCTCCCTGAGATCATCAAGCTCAAGTACCAGTTCAAGTACCGACTGCTGCTGGACGAGTCGCTGTCATTTGGTCTCGTTGGATCTACCGGACGAGGAGTGCTGGAGCACTTCCAGGAGAACGGACACCCCGAGCTCAGCCGACAGCAGATCGAGCTGACCGCAGGCTCCATGGCCATCGCCTTCTCGTCAGCTGGTGGCTTTGTGGCCGGCTCCGATGCCGCCGTCGAGCATCAGCGAATCGGATCTAACGCTGTCACCTTCTCGGCTTCCATGCCCGGATACCTTGCTGCCGCCTCTTCGCAGGCCATTGAGCGATTGGAGGAGGATAACTCGCGTGTCGTCAAGCTGCGTGAGAACACCACTCACTTCCGAACCTTTTTGGAGAAGCAGCTGCAGGCCGCCCGAGTTCTGGGCTCCGTGGTCGAGTTTGTGTCATCTCCTCAGTCGCCTCATATCTTGATCAAACTGAGTGATGACTTCCGGCCCGAGACCCTGACGTCGTTCGTTGCTGCCGAGGAGCTGCTTCAACAGATTGTCGATCTGTGTCTGGCCGAGGGTGTTCTCATCACACGTCACAAACGGGTCCCCACGCACGAGATCATTGCGCTGGAGAGCATGCTGCGAATCGAGGTGTCTGCTTCATTGAGCACTCAGCAGCTGGACGAGTCTGCAAGCATCATTGCAGGTGTTGTCAAGAGCATTTCCAGTGCGTAAACACATACACGGCGTACGACGAAGCATGATTGCGTGAATCTGAGAGGTCCGCGCATAGGAACAGCCCCAGAGATTTTAAAAGAGGTGCAAGTTAGGAATAGATCATTAATATATCATAAGAACAGAAGGAAGAACGCGTGAGAGTGAACTGGAATGTACAAGTATTTCAAGTAAGATACAAGCCACCATAGGTGCAAGTCCAATACATGGTGAGAGGTCTGGCCCTTTTATCTACTTTAAGGACCTATGAACAGTTTCGCTGGTTAGAAACACAGCATGTGCACTGACTTGTACAATACGCTGCCAAACCGAGGAGAGAAAGTCTGGTTTGTGGTTCCAGACATAAGATGCCGCCAGAGAGAACTCTGCAAACTCCCCGGCGTCCCATCTCAAGTGCTTCATCTGGTGACACTCTCGCTGTTCAAGTTCTGGATCTCAACATCTTCGTGATCAATGACCACAGGGGTGTGTTTTCAACCTGTGGACGTTGTAGCGGTACTTGTACGATACGGAATGCTCAGAGAGGTTAGAGAGTCTGACTAGAAGTCTCGCTAATGGTTAGTAAAAGCACAAAACACTAGGATTTTATTACTATTCTCGACAAAAGTAGTAACCCAGTAACGAGCTGTTCATCCAACAAATCCCAGCGACCGCACAATGTAAGAGAAAAAAAAATTGGACGACACCGGAATCGAACCGGGGACCTCGCGCATGCTAAGCGCATGTGATAACCAACTACACCAGACGCCCAAGAAAATTTAGTGACTTTTTGAAAAAGTTAGACATGATTATCTAAATGCTGCTGACTCAGCAGAATAAAAAAGAAGCTGTATTTGCAGTCGAGATAGGAGAAAAGACGCCAATGAAAGTGTTAATTGTGTGTTAATTACATTCTAGCTAGTATCCAGAGAGTGATTTTGTGTATCTTAGACCCCGTGTCCCGTATACTATTCCAGTGTTGAGCACCGTTGAGAGAAGAAGCATCTTGACGAGCCTCAGGGCAAGTATCAAGGAGATAATATTAACAAAAAATGGAATGGAGAGATGTGGAAATCCATGGGTAGAGATATTATCAGCTTTTATTATTCAAAAAGCCGTTCAGAGACACTCAACAACTCAACTTTAGATCATGGTCGTCGGTTCCACAATCGAAATTGATTATAGATATTTATAGAATGTACCGATGTTTTTATAGTCTGGTACATATAGATACAACGCAGTACAAGTACAGTACTTGTACTTATAGCACAAGAGAGCCCCACAGTGAGTGCTCGTCCACAGTGAGTGCTCGTCGTAAGAGCAATTTGAACATCGTCACCTGATTTATGTATCGCATGTTCCACAATCAGGCCACCTAATTGCTTTCAATCAATGTGCTTCCAATATTGATGTGGGTGTTCCGTCTCTGACATCTACTTGTACTTGTACTTGTAGGGCCCTTGAAGAGTCAGTTCGGGCCAGTTCGAGATGAGCTCGGGTCAGTTCGGTGGTCAGTATAATTAAACATATTGTCAATATTAAATAATAGATCTTTTATATTTATCAATGGGGCACTGAAACATCACTCGAAAGAAAGTGATACCAAGCGGAAGTCCTTGGCCAGGGGATTATAATCATACGGTTCATACTTCTATAGCTCATTCATATCACACCTGAACTCCGCTACATACACAGCCAGTCAAATCCCACCCGTTCGCTTCAAGCGTCTCTCGTCTACGACATGTACAGTGTTTTAGTTAAATATCATCAGATCGTTATATTAAATAGGCCATACGAGCTAGGAATGATGCTCAGTGGTTGTTAGTTGTTAGCTAGTTATGCCTTGGGGACAGGAACCCCAGGGACTCTACTGCTTGCCTGAGACAAGGCATGCCAGCCAGGAAGCTGGCCGTTGTAGACATTTTTGGTCATTTTTCGGACTGCTGGCTCCTTGACCAGCTGCTGCAGAGACACAGGAGGGGCCAAGGAGATGGATGAGACGCTCTGGCGTCGCTTGAGCCACAGACGAGCGGCCTCCGAACTGATTTTGTTCATCTTTTCAGCTTCGTCAGTTGCGTCCACCAGGCAAGGGTTGGAAACCGTCTTATGAAGCCGAGGACGAACAGTGGTGTTTTTGAGCTGGAATTCGCGCGACTTTAGAGACACCATATCGTTACTGGACCGATCGCGAGTCAGAGACAATAGGTCGGCGGTGGAAGCCATGGGGGTCACGGGAGTGCTGCTTCCTCCTCGATCTCGCGCAAGAGCAGCTCGAATATCACTCTTGGCCCTGCTGTGACCTGGCAACCACAGCGGGGTCTTAAGGGGTGGAACATGCGGGACGTGGTCAGAATAACCCATGTGGTCCGAGTATGTCAAGTGGTGATGGTTACTGACACTCTTAGCAGTGCTGACATTGCTGGGAACAGTGTGGAGCATGTTGATGGGAGGAGTTGTGTTAGCAGAGAAGGCAATCACGGGGCTCACGTGGTTGACATCCAACACAGGCGTCACAGGAGTGATTGGACAGCTTGAGTTGGTGGTGTTGAGGGTATAAGTAGAAAGCCGAGTCCACTCATCCTGGGGACTCTCATGAGTGGGACTCTCTCGTGGAAGACAGTCGTGACGCTGAATATCATATGAGAATGAGTCACGTGATAATGGATCGTGTCCATGTGACTCACGTGAGGTCCGCTTCAATTGCTGCAGCTGATCATATGTCTCTCCTTCTCTAACAGTGCCCTCAGACACTTCCCGAGCCATCACAATACCCTGGGGTCGCCGCTTGAGTGTAACGTCACGTGAGAGGTCCACCTCAAGGTGCGACGAGTCACGTAAATCGGTATCCTGTGATAGCGACGACGTAGACTGTCGGTAGAACTCATCGCTTCGAAACATGTCGTTCAATGTTGTCTGTTCATCCGAAGCAGCAGAAATGACGGAAACAGAAGCCCCTTCGTCAGCAGGAACATTCTCCAAGGGGGTCGAAAATCTTTCCTGGGCATCTTCTAAACATGGGTAATCTCCATCTCCATGTTTTTCTTCCTCCCCACTAGACTCCTTTTTAGGTGCCCTTGTGTCCTTGGCATCATCCCTTGCTTCAGTAGTGTCTGGTTCCTCCAAGTCGACGGTTTTCGAGGAGTAAAAACTTTCACGGAAGTTTTTGAAGCTCCTCGACTTTCTCAACGACCCTGTTCCCTTACTATCTCTCTTTTCGCTCTTATCGGATGTCTCAATCACACTGTCTCTCTTTCGAACCAACTTACTCCACCCTCCAACATCCATATAACTCCGCAGTCTGTCTCGGTCGACCTTGAAACCCAGATCTTCGTCCTGAGGAGGCGTGTGAGGTCTATGACGAGTCATTACAGGAGGAAGACGGTTTTGAGCATCTCCTTCAAGCATATACCCCAACTTCTCCTTCCACATTTGCTGAGAAGCCTTGGAGTCAAACAACAACACCAGAGAGTACTCGGGCTTATCACGTGACGACGGCGTGTATGGCTTAGCAATCACCTCCTTATCCTTCTTTCTCAACAGACTCTTGAGTCGTCCAAAACTGCTCCGTCGTTTCTCTGAATCATCCACAGAGATGATAGATGTTCGTGACGACTCCAACGACACACGAGAAACTGACCGAGAGAGATTGGGCATACCAGAAACTGGGATGGGAATGGCTACAAGCGCATACTTGAGCTTGTGACGGAGCAGGTACGGGTTACTCAGCTTCTGGTCCACCAAAGTCCAGGTGTAAAGACAGGTGGGATAAGTCATGTGGTTCGAGCCGGTGCTGACAATCACATGATCAGGCGAACATGTGACCAGGGTATCGTGGATGGTCGGGTCACGTGGCTCGCCACCCGTGACGGTCTCTATAGCCACTGTTTTGAACTGTTGTCTTAGTAGCACGGTTTCCGAGTCTGTTTCGGTGAGAGAAACAGTCAGCGAGTGTCGTCGGGAAATGGGATTTTCTCGCTGCAGAGAGGTTGTAGAGTCGTTGCGGTCACGTGTCAGCATTTGGTGAGACGTCAGCAAATCGCCCATGCTATAACTTCTTGGTTCTTCTGGTGCAGAGACAAAAGAGTCCACAGATGTGTCCTCCGGGGGAGGAGTATGTGTCATATGAGTGGGCATGTCTGGTGGGACGATGTGGCGAGACATATGCTCATTTGTGTGCCCAACCTCCTCCTTTTCCACCTTGACCTCTAGGACGTTCAACTTCTTGACTTCCTCCAGTTGCACCCGCGTCACCTCCTCAACTCTCCCAACCTGCTCCACTTCCACCTGATCCATAGTCTCGCAATGTGGCCTTGTGGGCATGGAGAAACTGCGTCCAGATTTGCTCGTCACTCGACTTCCTCCCTTCCTTAATCCTCCTCCGGGTCTGAATTCGCCAGGTCGAGTCATGGCCATGGGAGTCGCTGCTCTCGTCGGTCTGGTCTTGACGCCAGCCAGAGTCAGACTCGATGCCCGACTCGCTGCTCGACTCGCGGTCCGATCAGGGTCCCTCGTATCCACTCTGTACGGAATCCCACTTCCCTTGGGTACCGGTGTGATGCGTCCTGAAGGCGTGGTTCTGCCGGTCGACGACGTTGATGTTGCTGTAGACATGCCTGGCTTGCCCTGGATGCGGATAGGAGTGGGAATGCGGGTTCTTCGGGCCCCCGGGGCCGGTGTGGCCGTTCTGGTTTTTGGATTAGTCAAGAACCGCTCTGAGTCCATGTCGTTAGTATGCTGTTGGTAGTGATGCGTGAATTGTGTGTGTATTGGTGTGATGCTGGAAGATGGGGAATATAAAGATGGTTGAAATGCAAGAAGAGAGAAAAAAATCAATGCTCAATCGTTAAAAAATGAACAACCAACATGTTTCATTCAAACCCACACAAGCCTAGTCCCATAATAATCTGCACTGGGGTCCCAAGTAGGAGCCCCTTGAACCATCGTCAGCATTGAGTTATCGTTTAGTTTAGGCACCTGCAAGCAGAGGCTATGCTGATCTCCCCGATTAGCGAGACGGCGGTTGGCCTTGTCGTAGTTGCAATAGGTCTTACAGGGAATATATAAAGACAGTTTTATAGAGCTAGACCAGGAGAATGTAAATATCTTTTCCGAATCTTCAAATATCTTCTCCTTCCTAACCTGGAGGGACCCAACACACTCCAATAAAGTTCAAAATAATAAAATTCGACCAATGACCTTGACAGACTAAAAAACGTCAGAGTAGAAGGTCGGGAAAAGTGGCTAACACCTAGGACGGTCTTCTAGTGTCGTCATGTGACCACAAGGCCCTCCGTTCCGTCGACCCCACCCCGATTCCGTCCTGTTTCGACCGCTTTCGACGCTCCACTACGTGAGATTCATTAGCTCGATCGGAACCTGAAATATGCAGGTCTTGGAGCAATTAGAGCAGGGACTCAAAACAAACGAAAGCAGACAAGCAAAAACGGAAAAAAGTAACTGTCGCGCGGTCAGTGAGACACAAAATGTCGGCATCACGTGGAACTGTCATCCGACCACCTGCGGTAGACGGACTCTTCTCCTCTCCATATCCCACACTTTCACTTTGGGAGAACTGCAATGAAGATCAAACGTATAGATAGGGTTGCGGTACTTGATCTTGATCTTGCAGGAGGAGGAGGAGGGAGAGGATCGTTGGAAACAAGCGGATCATGGCACAAGACCGGAGTTTGCTCTTTTTTTAGGCAACCACTTGTCAGAAGCGTGCAACGCCGGAATGTAGGCAGGTTACGTGGGAAATCAACACACACAGTCACCTCCTTCTATGTCATGTGTCAAATGCAAACAACTGACCCTTGACAACCAATTCAAAGACATCCTGAAGGGGTCAAATGTCCGTCAACGTTGGTGCAGTGAGACATACGGTGGGTCGCAGTGGAGACAACACTGCACGGTGAAGGGGACAATGCAACATAGGCATATATGATGGTTTAGTTGGACCGAAAGAAACCTGACTAACTCCTAACCAGCTGTCTTAATTCTCTTCCATAGCTTTTTCAATAGCCTAAAGGGTCCACCGTTGGCGGTAGGATCGACCACTTCTCAATTCAGTGTCTCACATCTGAAACAAGACGACTTGGTAGAGTTTGGGTGCCGAGGGAAAGTGGCTGCTGGGCTGCCAGTCCGCTGAGCAGCCATCGCCATCACACCACTTTTACTCCCTGATTCCATGTATGGAACAGACGTACGACCAGCAGAGTCCCGCTTAGTCAGATTTTGTTGCCTGCAAGTCTTACTCCTGTTTTGTTACTCTCACCCTCCAGTTGAATGTTGTTTGCAACATTGCCTTGTTCAATCTTGTACCAGCCATTTCGACCATTTGTCATCTCCTATTTCATCCAGCCGTTTGAACTCGATAATATTATTACGAAGATCAGCCAAGGGTGCGTACAAGGGTGTCTTGGTAATCACACTCAAAACAGCTCACAAACTATAGACTGGGTTGTATCCGCGGCGTAATAAGCCCTGAATCACCACTAGACCCTCGTGCATGTGGGGATCCCGTCCCTTTCCTAGCCGCTCTCTAGCCGGTGATTCACCCTTGCCTCGCGTCTCGCAGTGGGCTGGTCAAGGTTTCACTTAGAGGCTTCTGCTATTGTGCTACGGGACGAGCATTGTAGGCGAGTTGAAGGTGACCAGACTTAGTACAGTACAGTACGCTATACGGGTAGCAGATTGCAAAAGGAACAACCAATGTCGGCCTACTCGTACATTACTTTCACCCTTTTTCCAAGATCGTCGTACCAGCCAGTACACCAGTGGCCACTCAACTCATCTCCTCTAGCGTCACGTCATCTGAGTGAATAAATAAATAAATAAATAAATAAATAAATAAATAAATAAATAAATAAATAAATATATACATATAAGAAAATACACACCCTTAGAACCACTAATTATCTCAACTGCTATCCTCTGGCACAAAATAGCCACTCCTCATCAAAACACGCCAGAAGGGGTCGCGTAATATCGTCTAATGAGTAGAGACACTCAAAACAAGACAAGGTTCTCGCTTACCTCGGCAGCTTCAGCCATCTTTTGGTTGCTTCAGTATTGGTTGCTTTCAGTAGTACAATAACTACAAGTAGTACAGTACAGTACCACAAATGCCACCATCGGAGTGTTGCAAAAGATGGTACCACTTTCCATTTCTATAGTTCTGTTTTTGTAGTACTTCAACAACCCCCTTCAACTTTATTACGCGTTTATTTCAAAAAGGGGAATCAAAATCCAAAATACGATTACAGTATGAGCGGTGTAGCAACGAAGCGTGCATTGTGTTGTGCAAGTACAAGAATCCAGGAACAATGTCAAGCCCATATACCTGTATTGTATATAAATTGGGATGTGGCATTGTTAAGGGGAAACAAAAAGATTACAGCACCCAGGATTCTCGTATGGTCTCCCACTACAATACTAACTAGGCTCTCTGGTGCTTGACTATGGCTGATCGGACGGGAAGCCGTATTTTCACCAGGATATGGCCGTAACCAAATTGCGCCGACCCGGAATCGAACCGGGGGCCCATCGATGGCAACGATGGATTTTACCACTAAACCATCGGCGCGATATATTGAAAAAAGTGAACTTTCACCAACACCCGTAGGTTGTGTAATTTCGCCGGATTTTGCTCAAAATCACAATTTAATGATATCAGGATATCATAAATGATGTTGAAAAGGCGCAATTAGAATTTCAGAGATCTTGCCATTCCCAATGTGCTGCTAGGAGGTGGTAGAGTTTCCATTTATGGGGTCTCTTCCAACAATTTTCTGCAACGGACTCAATATTGACGCCAGAAATTCTAAAGCCATGCAAAATGTTTTAACGGACTGTCTGGATGGATTTAGTCTCCTTTTTTTTCGGACAATATGTTTTCTTTGACTTATATAGTTCCTGTTTGATCTCCACAGTTTGAATTGTCTATCGAACAGTTCAATAAACAGTCACAATTTACGCAACATGCCATATCACTAAATAATTCAATTTCTATATACCATGTTTGAGTGCCTGTTGATCAAATACCCCACAGGTTGCACTCTCGTTTACTCTGGATACCGAGAGCCTGACGAATTCGGGAGTATCCTCCAGAATCACCATAAGTGTTGACAAAGTTGAGAGTATGTTTGTCAAAGTAGTTTCTGGACGATACAACAGTGACGGCGTCGCTTTCAACATCAACCATCTCCCCCGCAACTTCTTCGGGTTCAACCTCAACGGTCTCCTCCTTCTTCAGAGCGAGCTTCTTCTTCTTGAGTTTCTCCAGACGTGCTTCAGACTTTCGTTCTCGTCGAAACAAAGGCATATCGAGATTGGGAGGAGTAGCAGAAGAATTGATGGACTGTTTGGACATATATCGCTGAATCATCTGAAGATCGGAGTTGTCAAAAGACTGGGGCTCCTCGTTAAGTTCCTGTTCAAGCATTTCGCGTAGTTGGTGTTCGATCTTGTGTAGTTTGCGGTTGAGAAGAAAGGTCTCGTAATGGTCCCTTTGCTTCTGATAATTCTCAATTGCGTAAATCTGTATGTTGTATAAGCAATTCAGTAACCACACGGATGACATTATTTGAAATTTTAACCACAAGGAGACACGCTATATATATTTATACAAGAATGAGGTCGCAGCCGAGGTGAATTATGCCCACGCCACACGTGTTACTAGGTAGAGTGATATACTCGTGATTGGACAAGAATATCTTTGAATTATGGGCTTTAGGATGTTAATGGCAGATGATAGGTTATGGAAGATGATGCATTGAGATTGTGCCGAGACGCAAGAATGAGGAGGCGATAGTTATATTAAAACAGACACTAAGACTTTATAAAAGGTAATTAGGTAGCTGCTATCTGGAAAATGGAGAGACAATGGCTATATTAGAAGTACCAGTAATAATTTTGTACAGACTGTAACCAAAATCATCTACTTGTACAGCCCATGCTTCTGAGATATGAACGACAAGTAGATGTATGGAAGCTCAAGTATTTCCGGCCAATGAAAACAATTGTATAGGTCCTAATCACCCGATGCGGTATCATAGAGTCGCTTGTTTATGAGACTGTCAGGAGAGTCTTTCGTTGTGCGGTTCTAGCCATAGTATTTGTCGTGGAGTTACAGTAATCAACCGACAAAAAAAAGAAAGAAACATTGTTGATACATAAATCCCTTGTTGAAATAACATCAAATAATTGTAGACTCAGTCAGTTATATAACTCCTCATGCCCTGTTCCACCCCGCCAGTATACCCGAAAAGAGGAAAGAATAGCACCACAAAAAAGCAAACACATACTCACATATCCTTCTTCATTAAAAAGACCACTACCTGTCTCTGCATAGCTCTTCGTGACCGTATTCTATGCTCATTCACTCCTTGTGCAATTGTGTACCATTCTCCTTATTCATCTTCTGATTTCCAACATCAACCCCCATCGTCACTTCACTTCACAACTCCAACAAAAGTACAACTTTATGCCAACCAAACCCAACTAAAAATAGCTTCATTAACTCAACAGCTAAGCAATATCCAAAAAACTCCAGAACTTACACAAGAGCTGCTATACATTCTTCCATCAAAGATCTCAACAATTTCTCCCCCACCAACCCCTCATCAGAAAGTCGTTGTATCCATCTGATAAACGGCACTGCCTCACCTAATTCGGGGTTATGTGGGGAACCTTAAATGAAAGACTAATTGGTGACCCGAAATGGAAATATATGTACGGTAGGGTAACTCAGGAGAGTCAGACGAAGACTTAGCTGCGGGGCGAGAAGAGGAGATGGAGACCAGCTGAAAGCAGCAGCTCGACCACAGCGCGTAGAAGATCACGTGACAGGTCTCAGATTCCTAATCGGCGCTCTCCTCGGGCGTCAATAATAGCCCCATGTGGAATCACCCGATAGTACACTACACATTAATCTGGGGCTAGGTTGCAGCATGCATTGTTGGGGGAGGAGATTTGGGCGGGTCACGTGAGACCTGGAGCGGTCAGAGCGGTAGATAAAGCGTCCATTATTCCAATTGGCTGACTAATATTGGTTGTCCTCGCCTGCTCCTGCCCTGTCTGCACTTTCCTCCGTAACAATTAATGTTTCCACATGTTTCCAGAGTGTGGCATTTTACGAGCGAGACACACAGTTGTGTTGGGAGCTAATTTACGATTCACAAGTGTGGATGTGATGGTGCCTAGATGAGCGTCCAAGTGAATTTGGAGTGTGTTTACAAGAGATGTTTAGACACAAACAGACGCAATGTTGTGACCAAAATGTATATAAGCAGGTTGGGTTTCGTTTCCCTTTTCTCTCGAGATTCGATATTGTCTGTAGCGTGCTCTACAGCCTTCACAGCTGGGACCCACACCACCAGCACATCCTGGTCTTAGTAACACACTCTAACTCTGTTGTTTCACCACCTCCAGCAAGACTATCGCCAACACGACACACAAAAATCCACACTACACAAAACCTCACACATCAGCTGCAACATGGACCAGCCCCGCAAACTGTCGAATCTGTCGTCGGCTCTGGCCAGCATCTCTCTACACAATGGCGACGATTACGTGCCACAAAACCAACAGCAGCAGCAACAGGCGTACGGAGGCCAGCCCATGTCCCAGTACCAGCAACAGCAGCATCAGCAGCAGCAGCAGGATGACGACATCAGCATGAGCGTGTCTGCCCCGCGGCATGCTATCCCGCAGATGCAGCAAATCCCCATGGAGGAACTGGACAAAATCGCACAGTACAAGCTCAACTACCCGGACGACGGCATCACGCTTTTCAGCCATCGGTCAGCACCCAACGGCTTTAAAATCGCTGTGGTTCTGAGCGAGCTGGGCCTCAAGTACCGCACCGTCTTCCTGGACTTTAAGAAGAATGAGCAGCGATCCCCTGCCTACATTTCGGTCAATCCCAACGCCCGAGTGCCTTCTATCATTGACCACGACAATGAGCATGTCAGTGTGTGGGAGTCTGGCGCGATACTTATATATCTGTGCCAGAAGGCCGGCCCAGACTGTCCCTTGTGGTCCGAAGATGTGATTGAACAGTCACAAATTAACTCGTGGCTCTTCTTCCAAACCTCCGGCCACGCCCCCATGGTGGGACAGGCCCTGCATTTCCGATACTTCCACCCCGAACTCATTCCATCGGCAATTGAACGGTACACCAACGAGGTGCGACGTATCTATGGAGTGGTGGAGATGCGGCTGGCCGAAAAGCGGGAGCAGCTGATTCTGGAGATGGACGACGAGAGCTTTGCCCTGGGTACGTCGGCATTGTCCGAGTCGAAATACTTTGACGAGCCCGTGTGGCTAGTCGGAAACCGCATGACGATTGCCGATCTGGCGTTTGTCACCTGGAATAACGTGGTGGATAGAATCGGAATCGATCTCAAGGGAGAGCTACCGGAGGTGTACAAATGGACGAGGTTCATGATGGGCCGTCCGGCCGTCATTCGGGCACTTAAGGGACAGGATAATGTTTAACAGCAAGTTGTCTTTAACGTCTTGCTCGTCCATTAGACTAGGCTTTGAGTGTACGGCTCTCAGGCTAGTCTCTCAAACAGGTTGATTCAACAGCAACCGGTTTGATCGTAACACAGCTATACCAGCCATGACTGGTGGTAGTATGATGATGGCTAATACAAAGCGCAGCAGCATGCTGGAAAAAAAGGTGTATATATGAATGAATGACTACAAAAGAGCAATGGTGTGTAGATACCAGTGTAGCGTGCCCTACTGCGATACTGAGAAAAGATAGAGAGACACCGCGATATCATGTCAATATTTGAGCAGTAGCTCTGTAGTATGACTCGGTCTATATATGTTGTAGCGTAAGCTACAGTGTGTACCAGGTAGAGGATGTACTATAGTAGTATACGGTCGAACAATACTGTAGCTACAAGACACAGCCTGTACGCGAAAAGAAACAATTACAAATTTTGTAAATACGAAAAAAACAACAAGTAGTTACTTGCTATCATGTATAGTCTGAGGGTCAGTATGACAGAATTGCTTCATGATGGGGATATGACTGTGAACCTACCATACCTTCCATATCTAGGAATTTCAGATCATCAACTGTACCCAAATAACACGCTCAACAACCAAAACTCCTTGTTACTCAATAATTTATCACTATTTTCCCCTCATCATCGGTTACACCCTCATCATCTTCCAATCCAGTCACACTCTTGTCCATGCATAGGAGAGGGTCGGAGACACTGTTCATTGCTGTGTCATTTTAAACCATCTTTTGACAGAGATCTCGTTTCTCTTTTTTCCTCACTCTCTTAGTGTCGCCGCATCTCTTGCAAGTCAGCCATAGCTTCGGCAGGCTTAACTTGGGTCAGACCAGCAACAGCACTCTCCTTGCCCTTGTGGCCTCGCCCAACGTGGCCGTCGACATGATCACTGTCCTCGCCTCTACCTCGTCGTCCGGTTCGTTCGGACCCCGAAAGAGCTGCTTTGTCAGAATCCGTCCAGACAATGCCGAGCATGTCGAACCTGTCTGAGTCTGAGTCTCGATGCGAATTTGGGGTCTCTCGAGTCTCCCGGGACACTCGAGCCAGCAAACCCGCTCCTCTGACCCGTCCGGAACGTCGCCCGGTGCTTCCGGACTCTTCTCCGGACTCTTCTCCGGAGTGGGGGGTGCTTCCATCCCGAGACCCTCCCTCTCCATCCTCCTGCTTCACCATCACATGACTGAAACCCTTGAGAAAGCCCAGGCTTGCCCGGTCATTGGAAATGTCTGTCAACTCTCGAATCTCTGACGACAGCTTCTTGTTTTGAATCTCTAGATGGTTCAGAAAACGAGACTGCAAACTCTTGGTTTTGATTTCATGGTTGACCCGCAGAGACTCAAGGTCACGAGATTCATCGGCCTGAACCCGAGAGATCCGGTACTCCTGGTTAAACTTGAGGCTCACTAGGTTGATGTCTCTGGTTTCTGCAAGATCTTCCAGCTCTTCCAACAGATCCACGTCTGTTTCCTCCTCCACTGCGGCGATTTTGCCCTGGATGCTTTCGATGTATTTGATGAGATGCTGACCACGGTTGGAGTGAAATCGGCGCGTGGTGAGCGACTGGTAATCCGTCATTTGTCGGCTTCTTCGGGTGGTTTTCTTGGCCATCTTGTGTAAGTGTGTTGTGTTCCTTCGTATTGTTTCCGTGAGGTTTTGTGGGTTGCGTGTTGTGTTGTTTCACCCGTCGATTTGTGTCTGTGTCCTGATGAGTTTGTGTTGCGGTTTGTGTCTCTGCTTGGTTTGATGCCCAGGACAGTCCAAGCGCCTTTTATCTCCCTTCTCTGGTGTTGATTGCGATATGACCTCTCAGACACAATAGAGGTTTATAACACAGGAGGTCTGCAGTGTATGCAGATATTTAGGTTAAGGTTCAATGAGACCGGGTAAATCTGCCGGTAAGGGAGGTAAAATGTGAGGGTGACAGAGGGGTAGAGGCGACTGAATGAGCTTCAGTAGGGTACTAATTGGTCCCGCTACCTTTTGAAAGTCTTCCGGTATTTATTCAGCTCCTACAGCACAAGTTATATCCTCCAATACACTTTTTTCTCAAGTGCCACACACCAACCTAAATTGAGATGTTTAAACGAAAAAGAAAAGCCGTGATGTAAAACAAAAATGAACGAAAAAAATGTTGGAGGGAATTAGACGACCTGAGGGAGACATATTTGGTGAAACTACCAAAACCAGATCCCGTGTATATAAGACTTAAGGGGGTCTGCTTCGCAAGGCCCATAATAATCAGATCGTTTGAATTCCCAATAGGAGGAGGCTAATATCGGCTGCTAGAAGCCGGGTGGTTCCCTACAGGTTGCGAGTGTACTTGAAATATTTGAACTGCGTAGTTGACAGAGAGTATGATCCCCTTCAGAAACAACAGGCCTTTGCTTTACTTACTGTCGTTACGCGTCTTTGCATTCTCGTGTCAATCAGTATGGCACAGAACAGCCCGGAATAGAATTGATTTGTATGAGTACTCGTACAGTATGTGATACGATATGGTTTTTCTCAAACAATTCTCTATTGTGGGGGATTGTCTAGATATCTATCAGATTGTCTCTTGTTTTGCGTTCCTGGCGGTACAAATATGTCTGCAGCAGTTCATGTCAGCCGTATGGGACCGGTCGGGCTGTTCCGTAGTCAATACTTGGGACCAGTCGGGAACTTATTTATCAGAGTAGTGTTCCGGTCCGAGCACTAACGCCTTAGATCAACAAAACTGTTGACTACAATGTTGATCTCAGCATCTCTCTCTGGCGCGGCTACAGTCCAATTTTCTCGGATATCCGGGGTCCAGTAGCCTCTGGGGATCATAATTAGTGCCAAAGCCACCACATAAAACTTCCACATCAATTGCTGCATTGCTACTGTGGTCTGTTCGTACATATTGTAGCTTCTAATGCGTGGGCTACTTGTAGTCTACACAGTTTGCTGGGGTTCGAGTTACATGTAACATCTGAGAACTTTCACCAACTCACAAAGACCAAAATACAGCGCTGTCTATTTGTTCCATCGATTGCTGTGTGAATTTGTTCTTCCTGGAACCAAGTCACCTGTATACACCACAACCAGGTCGGTCTTAGTATGCATCCCCAGCTGCAGAACGCGGAAGGTGCAATTCGCATAGACCCCAGGCTTTGATTCACTGGTGACGTCTTGGCAGACGACAGAACTAAACGTACTTCTTGGCGGTTGAATTTTTCAGCTACCCGGTCAAATTACGGGATTGTGGGATCATCATTGTTATCTTCCTCCCACTGTAGATCAGTACCTACACTGTAAGGCTTCTCCTACATCTGAATGTGTGTGCTTGCACCTTCATTTACATTGTCACTTCGACCACCAAGTCTCAATCACATTAAAGGCAGTCTAAATGGGGTATTATGCTAAAGCGGAGACGGTAGAGTTGAGAGGGGCAAGCCGTGTCCGTGTGAGAGACAGGCACACACTCATCTCTATTGAGTTTAATATAAGGGCGACTGAGTGGTGGAGATGAAAAATGTGTAAACAACATATATGAGTGGAGCTATACGGTCATGAATAATAACATGACCAGTTCAGTAGTATTAAAAATCACTTCATTCCTATATGCATCTGTTTTTGAATGGAAAATAGCCCAGGAAGAATATTCACAAGATCCAAAATAGTACGGCCATTAAGCTCTCGCTTAAGTGATATAAGCTTTCGGCCGAAGCGGGGTCATGACAAAACCCCATCAACATTCTGGAATCAGTCACGTGGGAGGTTGAAAAAAAAACGTCACGTGATCTTATAGGTCCTTGTATTGTGAAACTGCTTTTATTCCATATCAATTGCGGTTGTACTGAGTCTACAGCAATTGTTTCTAATTTCTGACCATTCAATCCATGTTCTTGATAACCACACAACATCACTAATCACTAGTGTATATAAGCTGACGTCTTCCCCGGACAGTCTGGCCCCCAACCATGTCTCTTTTCAGCAAACTTACCCTAGCCAACGGCCTTGAGGTCGATCAGCCCACTGGCCTTTTCATTAACGGCGAATTCGTTGCCGCGAAGTCTGGCAAAACGTTTGAAACCATCAACCCTACCACCGAGGAAGTGATTTGTTCCGTTTCTGAGGCAGATGAGGAAGATGTGAATGCTGCTGTTGACGCTGCTGCTGCTGCTTTCAAGACCTGGGGTTTCAAGACTGCTCCCAGTGCTCGAGGTGCGGCTCTATTCAAGCTGGCGGACCTCATTGAGCGAGACCTCGATATCATCGCTGCGATTGAAACGACTGACAACGGTAAGGTGTACGCCCATGCCAAGGGTGATGTTGCTCTGGTTGTCAAGGTCATTCGATTTTATGCAGGATATGCTGACAAGATCTACGGAGACGTTATCCATGGTAACGATGGACACTTTTCCTACACTCGAAAGGAGCCCATTGGAGTTTGTGGACAAATCATTCCCTGGAACTTCCCCTTGGTCATGTGGTCCTGGAAGATTGCTCCTGCTCTGGCTACCGGTAACACTGTGGTTCTCAAGAGTGCCGAGTCTACTCCTCTGTCTGCTCTGTACGCGGCCAAGCTCGCCCAGGAAGCAGGTATTCCCGCAGGCGTGCTCAACATTGTTTCAGGTTACGGAAAGGTCGGCGCTTTGATGACTAACCACCCCAAGATCCGAAAGGTGGCTTTCACAGGCTCGACTGCTACCGGCAAGCAGGTTCTCAAGGGTGCAGCTCTGTCCAACCTGAAGAAGATCTCCCTTGAGCTTGGAGGAAAGTCTCCCAACATCATCTTTGATGATGCCAACCTGCCCAACGCCATCTCCTGGGCTGCTCTTGGTATCTTCTTCAACTCTGGAGAAGTCTGTGCTGCTGCCTCTCGTCTCTATGTTCAGGAGGGAGTCTACCACGAAGTCGTTGCTGCTCTCAAACAGCGAGCTGAGGCATTGGTTGTGGGCGATCCCTTTGACCAGCAGACCTTCCAGGGGGCCCAGACCTCCAAGATTCAGTTCGACCGAGTCATGAGCTTCATTGAGGCCGGAAAGGCCGAGGGAGCTACTCTGCTGACCGGAGGCTGCCGAGCAAAGGACAAGGGCTATTTCATCCGGCCCACTGTCTTCACCGACGTTAAAAAGGACATGAAGATTGTGCAGGAAGAGATCTTTGGCCCCGTTGTCGTTGTGACCAAGTTCAAGACTCTTGAGGAGGTCATTGAGCTTGCCAACGACTCTGAGTACGGCCTGGCTGCGGGTGTGCACACCCAGGACATTTCTCGAGCCCACTATTTGGCAGAGAACCTCCATGCCGGAACTGTGTGGGTTAATACCTACAACTCGTTTCACATCTCGCTTCCTTTTGGAGGTTTCAACCAGAGTGGTTTCGGTAAGGAGATGGGCAAGGACGGACTGGACAGTTATATTCAGACCAAGGCTGTTCGAATCATGTTTGACCAGGCCAAGCTGCAGTAACTACAAGTAGTTGAATGAACGAATTTGAATGCGAGACGGAGGCTGTAGGAAGCACTATTACATGTACACACTCAAAGCGTCGGTAAAGAACCACTGTTACTGTATGCACTCGTACATACGGTACTCGTATTAGTCCCGACACGAAATTATTTCATCAGTGCATCTACAATGCACACTACTTGCTTCCAATCTACTTGCACTGTCAACTGATAACTTCATCAATACAATATACTATGTCGTGTTTTATACAACTGCGCTTAGAGCTTGGGGGTGTCGTTACCCTGGGCAATGAGCATCTGGGGGTAAACGGCGTTGTTGGCAGCACCGTTGGAGGTGTGCCATCCGGCACCATCAACAACGATGGTGGTTCCGGAGACGTAAGAGGCGGCCTCGGAGAAGACGTAGACGGTACCGTTGGCAATGTCCTCGGTCTGGCCCCATCGCTGGGCGGGGATCAGAGACAGAGCCTTCTCTCGCATGTCTGCGGGGAGAAGTCGGTCGATACCCTCAGTTCCGGCAATGGCACCGGGAGCAATGCAGTTGGATCGGATGCCCAGGGGTCCGAGCTCGACGGCCAGGGCGTTTGACAGAGCGTCGATACCGGCCTTGGCGGCAGAGACGTGGGTCTGGAAGGGGATACCGTAGTAGTGGAGAGTGGCGGAGACAAAGAGGATGGAGCCCTTGTTCTTTCGCAGCTCGGGGAAACAGGCCTTGACGGTGTTGTAGGATCCAAGCAGATCGATGGAGATGACGGACTTGAAGGCGTTGGAAGACAGGTGGTTGAAGTCGGACAGGAAGTTGCCGGCAGCACCACAGATGACAAAGTCGATTCGGCCGAGCTCCTTGACGGTTCGCTCAGCAGCCGCAACCAGAGACTTGACCTCTCGGACGTCGGTGTTTCCAACACCAATGACCTTGGCGCCGGGTCGCAGCTGGGCCATCTCGTCGGCGGCCTTCTGTGTAACCTCGGGTCGTCGTCCGATGATGGCGGCGTCAGCACCCAGCAGAATCATGGCCTCAGTCTGCACTCGGCAAATGGTGCCTGCACCTCCGGTCACGAAGACAACCTTGCCCTTGAAGATGTCGGGCTTGAAAACGGACTTCTTGAGCCAATCGGGAGACAGTGTGTTGGGCATTGTGGTGAGATGGAATGTGCGGTGGTGACGTTAAAAGTGTCTGTTACTGTGTCAAAGTATGGGGACAAGAACAGATATATACATGCTGTGACACGGGCGAACCTTATGTGGGCTTGTACCCCAAACGAACCTCGGCCGAACCTTACCCCGGATTCACATGGAGGTGGGGAAGGTGGTGGTGGATTTGGGGGTAGGCGCGAGAGATGACAGGAGTGGGATCGATTGTGCAAAAGCGAATGGGGGGAATGAAGAGAGACTTTGACGGGTTGGATAAATTTTCCACGTGACCAAGATCCCAGACCAATCTCACGTGAGCCCCGATAGCCCACTATTTAAGCCGCCCTAACTGCTACTCTACGCTGGTCTTCTCTCCGCAGTTAGTCCTAAGACCGGTTATGCCGAAACTCAAACTGCGAGCGTTGGGACTGTCGTTGAGACTACACATATTCAGACCCGCGGGTTCGATCGCAACTCAACCAACCTTTATGTCAGAAGGAGAATGTGATACTCTACGATCTGGGCCGAGCGGCAGTCGGTTGTCAAGCCACAGAAGATCCGTAAACTGCAATTGGCTCGGTTATGATACATTTTTTCACACATAGGCCATCAGTCCACCTACTGTAAAGTATGTATGTACATACTGTACTTCCCCCCCCCCCCCCCCCCGCCAAGACGAAAACCATCACAATATAGCACTGTGTTGTGCGTCTCTACGGTGGTGTCGGAAGCCCACCAACATATTTATTGGCCTCATCTCGGCTCTACCCCCTAGATTGATCTGGCAAAGACTTCCCAACCCCATAAATTCTCTTCTATTGCGCTGTTTTGCCGTGGCAGAAAAAACAGCTCCTGCCATTATACACTTTAGACAGCAAGATCCGAGATAGCACTAACAAACGCCAAATGAAATGGCTGCTTGCACTGGAAGTTGGGCAATGACGTCTGCAGTGTGTACCAGAAGCTAGTAAAACCAATGTTTGAGAATGCATCTCTTTCCGTCTTATTTATACAAACTAACACTGTCTGCAACTCCGACAAACGGAATAGTACATTGTCACCTGAACTATCACCGTCTACAGTATATACTCAATATCCCCAATAATAGTTGACAAATCTCTAATTTTGTTGATTATACACTTACGACTAAACAAAATTAGTAATCCTTTACTTACCCCACACCTGCTGTCACACGATGATTCGGAACCATGACGCACTGAGGGGATTTGGATCACGTGACGCCAAACAGCAACCCACAGAGATACATAAGCACTCCCTCTCTCGCACCCTCTCGTTATATTAGACCCAGCTCCATCTATCTCCCGCATGAGTCAATTACAACACGTAACGTAACCAGATGAAAAGCCGTTATTGGGGTTAGGGCTTCAGTGCACAAGGTTGCGTTGTACGATTCGACCGCCCAAGGCTGGAACTCTATGTATCGAAGGAGTTCGTAAATTTTGGGTTAGGGTGTGAGACCACGTGAATTTTCAGCTTTTGTGCATGCAAAGTGTGTATTAGGGTTTCTTTATGAGGACATTATAATGGTGATGTATGACGGCAAGTGTAGGATTCAAGGACGTTCAGAGGAGATTTAAGGGAGTTGGCAATATTGCTTCTATATCTAACCTATTAGGGTTGCCAGGGTGTTTTTCAAAAAAAAGCGTATGTAATTAGGCATCACATTGTCTGAAAACACACACCGCCACTCCAACCAATTATTGGCAACTTCCGGAGACGTTAATAATACTCTTGGCTCGTCGTGTCTTCGTGATACCAAAACTCGACATGGGGAAACTCCTGGTTTCTTCCCTTCGCGGTCTGAGGTTTTATCAACCTCTCGTTTGTGTGGCATTCTAGGCTTCCTTGACCCACGTGCGATAAGCAGCCACCAACAGGATAGTCTGGTTGCCCCTACAACAATTCCACCTCGCTTGCACGGTACTGGGTGCTCCAATCTGCACCATGACGCTTGTCACCGCCTGCGCATTAAATACCATTCTAATTTGAGCGCAGCTGGATTTCCGAGCCTACAAACACCAAAAACGCGCCTGCCTCCCCATTCGGATTACGCTGGACTAATAGATCCCCCTCTCCTGGGCTAGCGTCGTCTCTAGCAGTCTTCAAATTCCCCATTTGGCCATTCTTGGGCAGCTCAATGGCTTGACCCAAACACTGTGAGTTCAGATGACGATACAGTCGACTATGGACTTCTCTCGCCGAATGCTGACATGTCCGGTGACAGGGCTGACCTCCAGTGCTTGTTGGGTCGCCAGGACACCCCTCTGGGCTAGTCAACGCAAATGTAACACGCCGAACATGCGACATTAGCGGAGTTAACAAGACACTAAAGTGGTCTAGATCCATAGCACCGCCGGCATCTATCACGATACGATAACCAGTCGAACATATGAATGTGTCAGGGGTGGAATGAGACAGCAGGCGGCTCGCGTGCCACGCAAGAAGTGAGTAATCCATCTGTGGAAGGCACTTGAACTCTTCTGATGCGACTACAAATAAATTCTCGTGATTGTTTTGTCGCACATATTTGGCATTGGCTAGTCCTCGCACAGCCATAATTGCTAAATTAGCGGTAAACAAACTTGTTATTTTACGTGTTCGGATGTTGAAAAGAGAATATCATAAAAGCTATGGAAGAAGAAAGGGGGAAGGCTCAGTCAGTCAGTTGCTCGCACTCAATCAAGTGCTGCTCCGGCTCGGCATAGTCTATAAATTAATTAAATACATCATACTTAGAGGAGAATGGCAGCGACGGCAACAACGACACCAGCAATGGAGACACCGTTGGTGATGGCACCGTTAGCCTGGGCAGCGACGGGGCCAGTGGAGGCAGGAGCCTGGATCTGACCATCGTGGATCTGAGAGACGACACCCTGAGCAGTGGGCTTGATGGCGATGGTGGTGTTGGGGGCCTGGATCTGGCCATCGTGGATCTGAGAAACAGGGGCAAGAGCAGTCTCCTTGGGGGCAGCGGCAGTGGACTTGGGAGCCTGGATCTGGCCGTCGTTGATCTGAGAGACGGGAGCCTGGGCAGTCTCCTTGGGGGCGGGGGCAGGAGCAGCAGTAGACTTGGGAGCCTGGATCTGGCCGTCGTTAATCTGAGAGACGGGAGCCTGGGCAGTTTCCTTGGGGGCGGGAGCAGGAGCAGCGGTAGACTTGGGGGCCTGGATCTGACCATCGTTAATCTGAGAGACAGGAGCCTGGGCAGTCTCCTTGGGGGCGGGGGCAGGAGCAGCGGTAGACTTGGGAGCCTGGATCTGGCCGTCGTTGATCTGAGAGATGGGAGCCTGGGCAGTCTCCTTGGGGGCGGGGGCAGGAGCAGCAGTAGACTTGGGAGCCTGGATCTGACCGTCGTTAATCTGGGAGACGGGGGCAGCGGCAGTCTCGGGCTTGGGAGCGGGAGCAGGAGCAGCGGTAGACTTAGGGGCCTGGATCTGGCCGTCGTTGATCTGAGAGACGGGGGCCTGGGCGGTGGCAGGAGCTGGCTTGGGAGAAGCGACCTCAGCAGAAGACTGGGCCTGGATCTGACCGTCGGGGATCTGGGCAACGACAGACTGAGCGGCAGCGGTGGCGACCAGAAGAGCGAGAGTAGAGAGCTGCATTGTGTGTATGTGTGATAAGTGACAGGATAGGGAGCAGAACTAGACGCGACCCCGGTCCATTTATATAGCTAGGGGTGGAGGGGTACGGGAGCTGGAGAAAGTTCGGTTTTGCGTTTTTCTAGTCCAGCACTGTTTTACACTGTGTTCTAAAGTGTGGGCCTGTAGCCAGCGCTATTTTGGGTCGTGATGAGCCTTATGGTCATCCAAGGGCCATAGTCTAGTCGGGTTCTTGGCGCCTAGTTGTTTTCCATCTCTCAAATTCCGTCTACTTGACTCCAGCTATGATCGTGCGGGTCGAGCTCCTCGACTCCTGGCTATTCCGTTGGTGAACCCAAGTCCCACTAGCCTTTGGTTCAAGCATGGCTTGCATAAATTGGTTCGCAACAGGGGAAGGCTGGAGTCTGTGCCAAGATGATAAAGCAGGTACATGTGTCGTGATATTAATATCAGTGCAGTTGCGCAGTGTGGGGTTTGAAGTTGGCGGGTGTTTTGGATCATCAACAGTCCCGAATGGCAGACTTCAACGGCTCGAACCGGTCCCCAGGAGTTCGTCCAGCCCATCACTTTACCCATTTGAGACATGATCTGAGTTTAGCCAACTTTGTTATAGGTCCTTTCAGAGGCTTTCAAATGCTCCCGAGGCGGAGCTATTGTGAGCGGAACATCTAAGGTGACGCCATTGTGGGTGTAGTATAAGTCTGTGCTTCTATTTTTATCAAAACCAGCGCCAGCCGCGGCCTCTCTACTAGTCTTGAACCACACAGGAACTGCCTACACCAACGTACTATTAGGACTACAGTCCAGTAATTGGGTGGACCGTGTCAACCTTACACACGAAATCGTGCCATGCGTGTCCAAGGGGTTCGTTGGGCGGTCCCTAAATGAAGTGTGCAGCTCCGAGCGTCTGAGCGTCCTTGGCAGTGCAGTCGAATGCAGCAGAACAATCGCTAGTGCCACCATTGTCCTGCTGACACCTCATGGCTCAATGGCTTCGTAAACACTCCATATTGCACTGCTGCAACCAGCCCCAGCTGCCAGCCATTCCAGCCTTCCATCTCCGTGTCTCAACCAGCCAGTGAAGCCGTCGCTTTATTTTTAGCACTCCTTTTCTCTCGACTGCGAAATAAAATTTGGGCTAATAAATGCACGCGTGGTTGCAATTTTGCGCCAGTAAGGCACAGTCTACTGTAGGCTGTCCAGTTATGGCAATGGCTACCCTACAACTGCATCGTGGATGTGAACGTCGCCGTAAACGGCATACAAATGGCGCACCATGGTTACTATTGGTCCGATTTGGCCATCGCTTCACCCACTATGGGCGTGGAGGACGTTTCCACACACGCTTCTTGCCAAAAATAGCCTCTTCTAAAAATAACACGAGCTACGTGTACGAGGAGTCAATCCACCTGTCGTTTGAACCTCGTTGTAGATTTTATCGCTGTCCACTGGCACAAATTGCTGGATTGTCGTCTTTTGGGATGCGTATTGCGTAGTTGCTCGATCGAGAGCACCCGCCCCAATGCGGTAAAGTGGTAAAGTGTCAGATACCTTCCTTGTATCCCCCCTATACTCAACAGTGCACGCATGCTGTATGCTCACACTGTACTGTGAAGACAGGGGCGTGGGTTGGGAACCGAAATTTTTCAGGGGAAATGCTCCGTGTAATTGGCTGTAAAGACGGACACTGTATTGCGAACGGCTTCAACTCTGATGGCTCCGAAAAGCAAGCCTCAGAAGCCAGCAAAGGCGACCATGACGCTACCTCACGAACCTGCTCCACGATCCCAAAAGGGCAATTATTGGTCTGGGTCCCGCCGCCAAGCTCGCTTGCTTGCATTAATTGCGTTGGCTGCAGTATTGCGGCAGGTGAGCGATTTCACTGGTCAGACAGCTGTTTCACGTGACTACACGTGAAGACGTTGTGGTCGGGTTTCATCATGTTCACTGGCCCACCGACCTCCATTGTATTGCCAGTGACGTCATTGGGGCGTCTTGAGCCCCTACCCAGCGCAGCATAAGCAGGCTGTTCAGCGTTGGATACAGAAATTACACTACGTGCAAGCGAGTCCATATGTCGCCTTATACACCGATTGCCTTACACCCACTTGCTCCGTTTTCGCATCAATGTGTCTAATGTAACAGGCTTTCTGGCAATTGTCAACTTTATGACTGTTTGCAGCTACAGATTCGGCACCACGGAGGCTGCTGCTTCGATGACGCTGACTTGAAGGTGCAGAGTGTAACAAGAAATCTTCACTGTGACAGTCAATCTTCTCGCAATTGGAAAGTGTTTACACAACTAGAACCGTTCAATGATGATATGCCTCAAAAATTATAATAAGAGATCTCCTAGGTGAAACATTTGATTCAGTTTAATTGGTTTTTGCAAACTCTCGGGGTATTTTTGGGTCCAGCAAGGTTGGTCATCACGTGGGATCGACCCCATTGATCTGATAAAATCCCCAGACTTTCCATTGGCTCACTTGAGTGGAGTAACAAATAAGTCCTCGTACCAAGGACACCTCGGCAGCCATACAATCGGAGATATAGCCTGTATTGGACATGTATGCAGGCCGAAAGAGTCACATTTAATATTTCAATAAGTACGATGCGAGTACTCATTCATACATACTGTACTTGTGCTGGGGTTTACAGAATCAAGATGAGGCTCTCATTGGCCCCTCTTCTGCCTGCCTGCCCATTCAATCCGACCTCCAAAAAAAGCAATATGCTCAGTTAGATCACCTTACTGTACAGTAGTCCTAATTGCTCATAAATGACCTAAAGCGGAACGGCAAAAATCACGCTATCGAGTACATAATAGTGTACGGTCGACGTTCCAACATGACACGAGGCTCCATGATACTTGCGCTGTGTGCCATCGATGTTTTGTCAACATGTGTCATCGGGGTTTGTCAACATTCCGCTGTGTATTGATGCATACAGAGCTGCGCACCACAGTTAATTAGATCTAAGAAAAAGGACCGTAGACCCTACACGCCTGCTACTACTGCCGGTACCGATTTATAATTGTAGTGCCCTCTGGAGTACCCGCTCTATCCGTGCGACTCGCTCAGAATAAATGAACTCTGATCTGGTTTGTGTTCAAATCGAGTGGAACCACGACGAGGAACGAGGGGAACAATCGAGACGAAGGTCAAGGTAGCAGTTCGGTCATATGAGTATCCAATTGAGAGGATATCACAGTGATGAAAGCGGCAGAAGAAGTTATATAGAGATGTTCTCATATGTTGCGGGATGGAAGAGAACAGGCTGCACAACTCTGCCCCTGAGATCATGAGCTTTTCAATGAGACATTGTAATCCACTCTTGGATCCTAAATGCTTGTTCCTGTACTTGTACCTATAGATTCTGTTCAGGTCTCGATTTTGAAGACGCTACTACTGTAGAGTATGGGACTTGTACTTTTACTTGTTGTCGTGCAATAGAAGCTAACCTGCTATGGAACCATGTCAATGAATAGGCCACGAGACCACCAACATGTCTATAAATATTACAATAATGCCTTCGATATAAGTAACAATTAGAATCATTTAATAAATACGACGCTCTTATGGGGTATCTAATACATACTGTACGGTAAAGTTCCAGGTATACAGTAGTAGCGCATACAAACATGTATGAGATTGATGGCAGCAGAAAATTGTGATGATTACGAGTCCGTCGTACCAATACAGAGCCATCGTGTATCCATCTTTTCCCTTCCTCTCACCTCTCCTTCGATCCTCGGTGTCGGTTTTGATCCATCTTAGACTGTCTGCTTCTTGGTGGACCGTAGGTCGTCGCATTGCTGCAACACGAGACTCACATTCAGTACAAGAAGCATGCAAGCTACTGTAACCCAGTAACAAGTAAAAGTACAACTACAAGTACAAGTACAAGTACAGTATGTACAGTACATACAGTAGAGACTAAAGACACAATATAACATGTCCCACACTCAATAGTCCATCTCTCCTCGCACCAAAGACCAATCTACCCCAATCTCCATACTACAAGTCACAGTTGCTCGTATCATGTTACACGACATGTGGAAAGGCAAACTTTGACTTGTCTCTAAACACGTCACGTAAAACGAAATTACCTGGTACACGTAACCTGGTATTTTCAAGATAATAGACGGATATTGGCAGGAAGTGTGGGTCAGGTGACTTCTCCGACACCCAAGCACCCCCCTCCCCAAGCGAGATATATATGCATCTCCACCCATCCCCACATGTACACCTTCCTACATTGTCGTGAGGTTTTGACAATAAACTTCGACAAGACACAACCTGTCATCTTACAACCTACGACACAATGCCCAACTGGACTGTGGATCCTGCCAACAAAAAACGGCTTCTGGCGCTGCAGAAGGACGGTGCCAACAAAAAATGTTTTGACTGTGATGCCCCCAACCCGCAATGGGCCTCCCCCAAGTACGGCATCTTCATCTGCCTGGAGTGCGCCGGAGTGCACAGAGGTCTGGGAGTGCATATCTCGTTTGTGCGATCTATCTCGATGGATCAGTTCAAGCCCGACGAGATGGAGCGGATGGAGAAAGGTGGCAACCAGCGGGCCCACGAGTTTTTCGACAAGGCCGGTATGGCCAGAGATACTCCCATCAAGCAAAAGTACAACTCGGTGGTGGCTCGAAATTACATGAACTACCTAACCAGTGAGATCGAGGGCACCGAGTACGTCCCCGAGAAGGAGGGTGCCACCCCCAGTGTTGCCCCCTCCAAGTCACGTGACTCCAGTCGATCTGGCGAGTCCGATCTGACTCCCCAGGGCTCTAACGTGGCCTTTTTCGAGGGTCTGGGTGCTAAGAACGCATCTCGATCTGCTGACGTTCGACCTTCGGAGGGCGGCAAGTACTCCGGATTTGGCAACACTCCCGCTCCCGTCTCGTCCAACAACCGACCCGGTGCCACCATCACGATGGACAACTTCCAGGCCGATCCTCTGGGCACTCTGACCAAGGGCTGGGGTCTATTTTCCAAGACCGTCAGCCAGATGTCGACTGAAGTCAACAACCAGTACATTAAGCCTACTGTCCAGAACATCCAGGAGTCCGAGTACACAAAGACTGCTTTGGAGCACGCACAGAAGCTGGGAGAAACCGTTCAGAAGGAGAGTAAACGGGGTCTGGACCGGTTCCACGAGTTCGTGGAGGGCAACGAGGGCGATCCCCAGGGCTACAGCCGACCCGGCGAGTCGCGAAACCTGATCCAGTACGAGGACGAGTCCGATGAGGATCCCTTTTCTCATCTCAAACCCAAGGGTAAATCCAACATGACTGGATTCGGAAAGACTGCCGACGGTGAGGACTGGGGCGAATGGAACGAGTGGGACGACGATGGAGTGGAGGACGAGGACGAGGACGAGCAGGTGGCCAAGGTCACCAAGGACGCTGTTCCCCCTGCTGCTGCTCCTTCGGCTACTGAGGCCCCCAAGGCGAAGAAGCCCTCTGCCAAGGAGCGAGCTCTGGCTGCCAAGGCTGAGGCCGAGAAGGCTGCCAAGGAGGCTGAGGCAAAGGAGAAGACTGAGAAGGTTGATGGAGCCGAGGAAAAGGAGGCTGAGAAGGTCGAGGAGCAAGACAAGGAGCCTCTTGAGGAGGTTGAGCCCGAGGCTGAGCCCGAGATGGAGCCCAAGTCTAAGAAGGATGATTAGATGTATTATAGATAGAATAAGCGTTGTATACAACTGTGTAGGGGGTCAATGTTGCTGTGGTTCTGCATACTGCTCGTCGGTCTCTTTTGGCCAGAGCTTTATAGGAGAGTAGGAAGATACTGTATACTTTTATATGCATACTGGAGTAGATGAAATCACTGGTGATAAATCATTGGTGTCATTGAGGCACCGCAAGCAATGGGGCATTTCAAGCTCATGGACACCCGCACATCCAAGAAGAAATCACAAGATGCCCAAACACAGTTCATTAACCCCTAAGAAGATCCTCCTACAGTGTGTGTGTCCAGTATGTACGTTCCACACTAAACAATATAAAAAAAAAACACTCGCGGATAGAGATTATAAAACATACAAGATGCGAAGAAAAATTGTATGCTGCTCATTTCAGAGAAAAATCGTCCTTCCCTACACCAACACAATCACCGTCTAAAGCCTTCTCTCGTCTCTCTGGCTTACCCTACCAACCCTATCCCAGCATGCATATCGTGCATGACCGACACCACCATCACCATTCTCATCACGACAATCGCAGAATGAAGCTCAACACTCTGATTCCATTGGTGGCTAGTCTGGTGGCCCCGGCCCTGGCCTTTTCCAACTCGTCTCCCCACGTGATTCTGTCATCGGTGGCATCGCTCGATTCGTCTCTCTCCAACTCCGTGCAGCAGGCCTCGTCTGCTCGAGATTTCGACGATTTGGTCAATCATGCGATTGTGGGTTGTCCTGCCGACACATATGTCTTTGTGTCACAGCCCGGACTGCACGCATCCGACCTTGAGGACGCCGCGCTGACCCCCTTCCTGCATCGAGTTGTGGGCAACGCCAAGTCGTCGTTTGTGTCTAACCACGTGTTCAGCGACACAGAGCGACAGCTTCCTCAGGGCGCCCTCATGCACCTCGAGGAGACTTGCGGAGCTGCTAATGTGATTGTGGACGGCCGCACTGGCAAGTTTGCGACCTACGTCGACACAAAGCCCCGAATTATGCAGGTTCAGCTGGACGAGCTGACCAACGAGACCGGAGAGGAGCGAGAGGCCGTTCTCAAGGCCCACGACAACGTGCTCAAGGCCGTTCTCGGCCGTCTGCCTTCGCCAAACTACATGCTAATTTACGTGTCTTCTCCTGGACATAACCAGATCGAGGAAGAGGAGGAATACCAGTTCACCCAGCAGCACACCCGGGAGGAGTCCGACGAGAAGGTTAAGGACAACTTGTTCCAGAAGTACCAGTTCTTCTCGCCCGGTATTTTCATGGCCATCATTGTTTCGCTGCTGCTGGTCTCCGTCATGCTCTTTGCTCTCAACTGGATCGGTTCTCTGCAGATTTCCTACGGAGCCTTTGAGAAGGATCCTGAGCTGGTTCGACAGAAGAAGCAGAATTAGGGAGATCTTCTCTTGAGATCAGCATGCGCGTTGGGCACAATAGATAATAAATTAACGTATTTTTGACAGAGAAAAGGAGCGCAGGCGCGAGCATCAACAATTGCTGCCACCCACCTTGCTGTAGACGCAACACACTCACCCACCCACCCACCCACACACACACTCACACACACACTCACACACACACACACACACACACAGATGTAAAATGTACAACATCAATACTTGTACAACATTAAATACAAATCCATTAATTTACCAGTATATATGACCAATACCATCAACATCATTCATCACCGTTGCCGTTCTCTCCATCATTATCATCAGCGTTGTCATCTTCCTCCTGTCGCTTCTTCTCTTCCTCTTCTCGTTCAGCAGCTCGCCGTTCCTGCTCAGCCTTCTCTGTCTGAATATCGCCCTGGAAAGTATGCAGGGAGGCGATGATTTCGAGAAATCGATGCCGGCGCTGCTGCCACGTAGCCTCGTACTGACTGTTGGTAACCTTGAGATCCGCAATGTCCTGCTCCAGCTCCTGGTTAAGCTGTGCTGCTTCTGCTCGTGTTCGGAACAGATGTGCGTTGATAATTTCGTTATAAGTCTCGTACTCGGGCACTGTGATTTCCTCGTCCTCATCGTCAATATCCATGCTGTTGTCTGCATCCTCATCTTTCATTTCCACATCTTCGTCGTCATCGTCATTATCCGCCTCTTCTGTTTCGTCTTCATCTCCATGACGTCGTGGAGAGTCCTCTGTCTGAGGAGTATGAGACCGCGAAGCAACTGCCGGCATAGGAGCAGTCTCCTCCTCTTCTTCTTCCTCTCCCCTCACACCAGCCTTCTCCTCCTCCTTGATCGCGCTAGGCTCCTTCTCTCTAGTCAGCGTCACCTCCACCTTGTATGGCCGTAGAAGCTCCGACGTGAGATCTGTGTACTGTTTCTTCTGCTGCTGAATTCTGCGAGCCTCCGCAAGTTGTGCCTCCAGCTCAGCCGTCGTCTGTTGAAGCCGCTCAGTCTCTTGGGATGCCTCTCCAGCCTGGGCATTCAGTTTCTCAACCTCTTGCGCGTTCATGGACTTTTGCAGCTTGAGTTTAGTCAGCATGAGTCTGTAGGCTCGCAAATCCGAAGCCAGCTGCTGTTTGAGCTCCGGATCAGCCTCCTTCAGCAGCGTCATGGCAGTGACGGTCTTCGCAATACGCTTGTAGAGCGCATCGTTGACCAACACCCGCTGTGTAACCGCATAATCTGTGTTAGTGAAATATGGGAAATTGCCTTCAGACGCGATACTCACCTTCTTGAGATTGTGTCATTTTGCGTGAGCGAAGTGGTTGTGTAATTTGGTGATGATTTGGGCTCCTAGGTGGGAGGTCAAAATACACATGCATATGGATGCAGGTAGTTGCGAGTTCGACTTGGGGTTGTGAAGAATTTAAGGGCAGCTGATTTTGGGCTGAAGACGTGAATGAGCAAATGTCGCAACTCCAGAAGCTGATCAAATGTCGAGTAGCAATCCGACCAACTGTGTCAAACTAGTGGTAATGATTATCATAATGACGTTAACTTCGCAACTCAGACGGAAACTTTAACTGACTTCACTTACCTCAGTTCAGCACATAGAGACGATCCCAACTAAACGTGGTGATCACAAATGTGCAAATGACTACCCCATGGAAGTTGTGAAACCGTTGCAGGTACATTAGATATGATTTTAGCACTATAAATATGATCATTATATCGTTTAATCACCTACGAACTCTCCCCGGCCCGCTCATTCAGGTCACATCATATTCACATCCGAAGAGTTCAAGTAATTAGTCAACAACCCTACATGACGCCCAGAAAAATAAATAAATCTTTCAACAAATAAGGTTCCTCCGACCTCAGCAAAACCGGGTCTTTTATAAACGACTTACACAGCAACTCATTCGATTGAAACACAATAAATGAAACTAACGCACTGGTATTAAGCCGCCCTCAAGCTGCAATAACTATATATGACCAATATGGTCTTCAACAACCACCCCCATCTTTCCACACGTCATATAAAGTTCGCCTGCAACTTTGCTCCTGCCTTCCCCAACCTCCAATGCTGGTAACGACTTCGTGCGGAAAATTTCAGCTCGAGCTCTACGACCAAGACAACCAGGCTGCCGTGTTGGAATTTGAATCTCTCGTCGATCTCAACCAAATTTCTGAGAAACCCATCTCCAAGTCCGATAAGTATCTGGGTGTTTCTGTTTCCAAGTCCTCGCCTCCTGCTGTTGACAGTCTGAAAATCACTGGAGCTGGAATTGTAGCCTTCCTCGACAAGCAACTGATTATTTCCGTTGCCCCCATCCCCGAACTCACGAACGCGTCCATTTTCGGCCGAGTTTCGCAAGGCCTAGCTGTTGTTGAAGCTCTTATAGACTCCTCCGACCCGGTCATCTACTCCATCGAAGCCGATTCCGAGGGTACTTACTAGTGCAGGTCACAAATCCAACCATCATTAACGACAATCACGCACAAGAACCGTTCCAATCACAAAAAATGGCCAGAAAATTGAGTGGTCTTCAAAAAGAGGGTGAGTAACATACTGTCTATATCAGTGACATGAACATGAGATGCTGGGACGGCTACGCTAATAGGGATCTTACCCGATCTTACCACATCTCGCCCGTCCCTTACTTCCGCCTATCCCACTTCCACATCCAATGCTACAGTAATTGGGCTGCTCTGATTGGATAATCAATTCGCCACCATTCTAACACAGTCCTCGCCTTGTACCGAAAATGCATCCGAGCAGCTCACACTAAGTCTCCGGAAAATGCCCCTGCGTTTGAACAGATGGCCCGTCTGTCGTTCAGAAAGTACCAGGGACTCAATACCAAGGAGTTCACCACCATCGAGCATCTTCTGCGAAAGGGATACCGATCGCTGGAGATCTATGGCGACAAGCAGGTCAAGAAATGTACCCCTGTTGCCTTGTAATGTATGTTTGTATATAGTAATTGATATTAACTGAAATAAGTACCGGCACTTATACAGTAACGAGTGACTTCCGAGTCACAAGTAAAAGTACATCTCGTCACCACCTTACAATCTCACTATAACTGATTTAATAAATATGTACATGGCTAGTTGATAGCCTTGGTTATAACATGAGACTAGTTGATAGTTTCAATTGTTCTTGAGTAAAGAACGTGTTCGTAGACTGCAGTTATTGGACGCCATGTACCTGAGCAGTGCTAGGGCTTACTCAAAAGCTCCATCGCCTAATCTCAGAGTGATGGCTTGTCTGACATCAATACAGTACCTCAAGGCATTCAACACAGGCAACAGACATAGCAAATCCACGTCTGTAGGATCGTTGATCCAGCCCTCAATGGCAATGGCATTGTTTTCATGCATCATGTAGCTGATGGGTGAGTTGTCGATAATTAGCAATTTGCTCAGATCCTTGTCCACGCATGTTAGATCCTTGACATATCCGTTTCCAACCTTGGTGCAGTGCTGTCGGTAGTACCGCTTGGAAAAGAATCGCTGCTCCTGCTCCAGCCAGTCGATCACAGGGTCGGCATACTCCTGCACCGATGCCGTGAACACAACCACGTTGTACCACTTGCACACGAGCTTGAGAAAGTCGTCGCAAAATGGGCGCTTGTGCACGTAGTACAAGGTGGCATGTCGCTTGTCCAGTCGTACTTCAACCATGTGGCCCATCATTGAGGGCTTTCCACGAGACTGGGAATGGATGAGGGTTTCGTCGAGATCCAGGATCAGAGTCTTACTGTTTGCTCTCACTGGATGCAGAAGCGACTTTGGGTATCGGAACTTGGCTTTTCTGTTCTTGCGACGAGCAACAGCACCTGAGGTGGGACTCTGATGGTCCCGAACAGGAGCCGCCTCTGTGTCTGTCTCGGGTGTTAACCGAGGAGAAGTGTGTCGTGAGACCGCAGTGGTTGCAGGCGATACCCGGGGTCGCTCATCGGGCTCGTTTCGAAAGACCCGAACCAGAAAGTCACTTGGAGAATACAGGAACCGAAGAGTGTCCCAGATGAAGGATAAAGTGATGATATAGTAGATTGTAGATGTTTGTGGTGGCACCGTTGTGGTTTGTGATGAATCCCTCTTTGAGGAGGGCTTCATGGAAAACTTCTTTTCGGATTCAGAGAAGGAAACCTCTCCGTCAGAAAACGGAGTATGAAGACCAGCACTTTCAGGAGTGCCCGAGTTCTTGGGAGTCACTGTACCAGGAGTGGTTACCAGTGGCTTTTCCGATACCGTGGTCTGAGAAGCACCTGTCTCAGCCCCTGCTTGCTCCGCTGGTTGCTCTCCTCCACTACCTACCACGAAGCTTCCGATCCGTCGAATCGTGCTAGCCAAGCTCTCAATGTCCTCGAACGGGCGTCGAAATAGTCCGTCGTAGCCCGAGTCCTGCGGTCCCATGCCCGTGTAAGCGTCCATGGTCTGGGATCGCTGGATCAGTGGCCGCTTACGGGAATCAAGCTCATCTGTATCCTCCTTAGACATGTCGACCAGGCTGTGCGTTCGAGCCACCCCTTCGCCTCCGTCTCCCAGGCGCTGTGACGCCTTGGACGAGCGAGAAATCACCTTGTCGACCTGTTCTGACAGAAACTGAAGTGAGTTCATTTGTGTCTGTGTTTGCGTTTGTGAGAGTCGGAATTAATGGTCAGGCGTTAATGCTGTGCTGCGTTGCGTTGCGTGTGTAATCGTCGTGGCGTGTGTCTCCGTGTGTTTGTGTTCGTTTCTGTGGCAATCTCTCGTTCCCTCGCTCGGTGTCGGTCGTATGTGTCGTTGTTCTGTCAGCCACTGAGGACTTGCAAGGTCACAATCACAATCACTCATGCAACATGTTCCCAAATATTCAAGGTTACCTGTTGGGGTGCAGGTTGCTGCAGTTGAGGAGGGCCATTTTGGGGGGTTATAGGGATGTTGTGGGGGTTTTGAATACATGGAAATATTCGTCTCGAACAAATGAATGCATTGAGACCTCTTTCTACTCTCCCCCAGCGCCGCGGCGTACATTAGTCATCACGTTTAAGCTCCCCGCTCTCACGTGGACCGTAGCATGGTTTAGCCATGGTAAGTGGATACAAGGTGGGGGGGAACAGCAATTAGGGGTACTTTTTGACCAAAATACTGTCAAAACAACCGAAAAAATCCAGTTGAAGGTGGTTCTAGGGTCGAAACATCTTCTCCGACCCATCCGGACACACCCACAACTGCTCCTAAAAGTCGCTCCGAATCCACCCACTCAACCTTGTTTTCGACGCACTAATTGTGGACTGAAAAAACGCACCTACATCGCTACAAGAGACCGTTAGGGTCTAAAACAGCTGCGGATTTGGACGGGATATTATTCTCGATGCAGCAGCGGGGAAACGGGCCTTCCGAGCCCTATAAACGGGCATAACAAAGGCGGGGCTGGCACATCCAACTCCTCGTAATCACATTCAACCTCATAAAGAGGCTCATTGTCTTTAGCTTTATGTATTACTGTAACAAGGGGTGATACAGGGCTCTCTACGATGCCTGTTATTCATTAGCTACATACGGGGCCCGTGAAAACCCGGTGTATGTACTGCTGTATGTACTGTGTGGACGTGATGGCGGCGGCTACTGTAGCACACAATGAAGGCCATGCGCGGATGTATGATGACATAAACACGTTTTCGACACAAGTAGAACGGCTTCTGGTCTAATGTTTGTAAAACACATCCTGGCAATGTGAAACTGTGAAATAACCCGTCAACACTTGTCACCGACCCACACGATCGACACACGTGGGGGGGGTGCGCATTGCAGGGTTGAGTGTTGGGTGAAACGGAGGTTCGAAAACCAGATGAGCAGAAAAGTGGCGATTAGTCAGCGACAAAATGTATATACCAGTCAATCCGCAGGTACGTGAGAAATCTCGCGTAAACCGCCAAAGTCGTTTTTTCTCCTATTCTACGTGTCTAACATCAATTGTTGTGGTTCCGCTAGCACCAAGAACCGTTGAGCATCAGTACATGTCAAAATGCGGGGTGGTGTTGGGAATTTAATATTGGGAAATGATTATAGAAGAATTTATGGAATTCAATATAGGGGGTTAGATGGATGTATATTGTAGTGATTGTAGCGTTATGGTGCATGTATCTGCTCTTTGACCCCATATCGTACCACTATTTGTATCTATCATCCCATTGCTACAGTAGGTACAACAACTGGACTGAAGGCGTTGCGACCCAGACTAACTCATGCAACCCCACATTTCCACAATGACAGAAGTATAACAGGTTGGGCTATAATAATACAACCCCACAACGTTAGCAGCGAGAGTCCAATACGACACTCCTTTGCCGGCGCGTCTACCTTTTACCTAGCCACAGCTGTCATCCTCGAAAATATCATCCACGGTGGTATCAAACGTTTGCTCGACAATCAAGCTATCTGTACTCTCGAGACTTTTGCCCTCATCCCACTCCTCCAGCAACGTCATGGACTCGTTGGAGGCATCCGAGAGGATATCTGTAGGTGAGTTGTTGGATATGATATCTGTAGTTGAGGTGTTGGAAATGGTGAGCTGAGACATGCGGTCTGACCACATCTGGAGGACATCTTCGTGGTTTTTCTGAGTTTCGGAACCGTAATAGGCATCGTAGTCAGTCATCTCAAATGATTCGTCTTGTGTCAAATCAGAGTCGTCTTTCAGAAAGCGAAATGTAGATGAGATGTAGACTCCCTCAACAGATCGGCCTAGCCAGGCCTTGTCACTCAGTCCCAGGAGCAGCTGATGCTGTCTGGAAAGTACCCCGAACCATACATCCTCCGTACTGGCATTGATATCCAGCAATTGACAGCTCTCGGAGATGTTCTTGCAGTGGACCTCCAGACCGTTAAGGAGACTCCGTTGCACGGGACAGAAGATTAGAGGATGTGTCTTGCGCAGAGAAGAAATCATCGAGCAAAGAAGATAGTTGGCCTTGTCTGAATCTAGATCATCCTCGCAGAACAATGTCACCTCCATGGTGTGGGCCACAATCACGTGCTCACGCATCCATTTCGAGTCCAGACAACTGGTGAAATCGCCTCCGTACTGCTTCTCGTCTTTCAAGAGTAGCACTGTGTTCTTCTGGGTCTCTTCCACGGTGCAGGTGTACCCACAGAGCTCGAAGAAGTCGGTGGTGAGAGCAACCGCTGGAGTGATGGTGATCTCTAGTCCCTTTCGTGAAGCGATACAGAAGTCTCCCTTCTGGATGCTCACGTGGACACATCCTGTTTCGTTGTGGATGTACATGTGTGGGTGCGTGTGGTGACGTGAATGGTGTGATTGGTAGTATTTGCAATGACGGGGGGATAGGCTAATCACAGGAGATTTGTGTTGATGGCGATGTCAGATCACGTATCTAAGGGTTAGTCTTGGCCAGAATCTCACCCTGAACGGTATGCCAGTACTCACCCTCCTGTGAGATATCTAGTGATGATATATTTCAGAGGTTGCTGTGGTATCGGAGGGCGGATCAGGGGGGGTAACGCGATGGTATCCGACGTAATCAGGATGTGTGGTATAGCTTGAACTGTCTGTGTTCAATCGGGATATCTGTTGTGCGATGCTTTGGAAGAGGAAGCGTGGCAAATTATGTATCCATCATGCGTTTTTTTATATTTTTTATGGTATTTAATCTTTAGCAGTTTTGGCATTTTTCATTCTTCTGGGACTACTCATAGTACTGTAGCTACTGTAAGAAAGTGGAACCAAATTGGAACCTAGATGAGTTATACGAACTCGAAACTTATACTATCATTGTGACAAGTTGCGCACTCTGCTATATTTATTTCTCCAATTCTACGCACGTTCTCCCTTGCCCTGACGCTCAGCTGCAGTGAGCCCTCCACCCCACAAGACCGTTAGACTAACCGAAAGTTAGATTACGAGGTGGGGGGGAGAGGAGCCGAAAAATACACGAAAATTTGCGTAAATTCGGAGAAGATAGTGGTCGTCAGAAAGAAGGAAAAATTGGAATCAGTTCAAGATAATGACACTTCTCGGTCACACTCTTGCCCACTCGCACTCACCACTCTCACAGTAGATGGTGACATTTGCTCAGGCACCAGAACCCAATTGAAGAACATGTTTGCAGCACAGCAGAACCAAACACACACATCGTAGAACCACGAGGACTCAGAAGAGATATCGAGGCTTTTCCCCAAACGTAGTGCGATACGAAACACTGCCCCCTCATTTCCCTTCTCTATTTGTCAGCTCTTTTTTTGTTCCTTGGTACGTACCTTGGAGCTGTATCGTTAAAGCCTATTGAAAGCGACAGAAACCTGCGTTTGCAAAAAAGTTACAATCGCCCCTCAATTGAGACCCATGTCGAGATTTTAAGACAAGAAAAAGGCTTACGCGAAATTGTAGACCCATGTCAGTTATATATCTGTCGTCAGTTTTCGTCTCCCATCCCGTCACCACCCATAATCAACAACCCCCTCACACCCCGCCTATATCTCCTAAAGCCTAAAGCTAAACCCCAGACTATACTTATAGTGCCTACAGGTCAGGATGCATCACCATCATCACTTTCTCACACACACAAACACTCACAACAATGGCCAAGAACCAGGAACTTTTCCCAGAACTCCCCCAGAACGCCTATGCTGCCACCGACAAGATCGCTGTCGTCACCGGCGGCTCCAGAGGCCTCGGACTGTACTGTGCCTACGGTCTGCTCCATGGAGGAGCCAAGCGAGTCTATATCTCTTCTCGAAAGGGCGATGCCTGTGACGAGGCGTGCCAGCGATTGAACAGCCAGGGATTCAAGGGCAAGGCAATTGCTCTGCCTGCTGACGTCAGCAAGCACGACGGAGTGGTCCGACTGCTGGAGGGTTTCACCGAGCAGGAGCTCAAGCACGGAGCCGGCAAGGTAGTCTGTGACATTCTCATTGCCAACGCTGGTGCGACCTGGGGAGCTCCCATTGAGAACCACCCCGAGTCCGCCATGTCGAAGGTACTGGAGCTCAACGTCAAGGGTGTCTTCTCCACCATCCAGCTCTTCACTCCTCTTCTGGAGGCTGGCGGATCGCACGCCGACCCTTCCCGAATCATCATCATGGGCTCCGTTGCCGGTATCGGTATCGGAAACACCACCAAGGGCGGTGTCTACGGCTACCTGGCCTCCAAGGCCGCCGTCCACCATCTTGGAAAGGCTCTCGCTGTTGAGCTTGGTCCCCGAAACATCACTGTCAACATGATTGCTCCCGGCTTCATCCCCACCAAGATGGCACAAGGGGTTATTGATGCTGCTGGCGACTTCTTCGTCGAGTCCAATCCCCGAAAGCGACTCGGTACCTCTGAGGATATCATTGGTGTGCTCATGTTCCTTGTGGGTAAGGCTGGTAACTACGTTAACGGTGCCGTTATCCCTCTGGACGGTGCTGCCCATCTGGGTGCTGCTCTGTAGATGTAAGCGAGTCTCACAACTACTATTGAAGAGAATCAAACGTACTGGACGATTGAGTATGTACATGATGTTTGTTATATAACGATTGAATTCATGATTTCACAATGCCATTGACTACATCTACAAGCTAATGCCTATACTTGAAGTAAGGACTCCTATCGCCCATCTCAGAGAGCTCCTTGCCACTAATGTTGTCGTATACACCCGCTGCCAACTTCTCTGCCTTCTTCTTGTTGGCAGAGTGGTAGCCGTAATTGAGGACTCCCAAGGCTGCTAAGCCAATACACACAAACATGATTTCCATGCCGTGACCCAGTCTGTATTCGGGCTTATCTTTGGATCTGTAAATGTTGGAAGCTATGGCTCCCGCCAGGTTACCTATACCGATCTGCAATGCCATGGCAACTGCTCTCTTATAGGTGCCTGCCACATTATTGGCCATCCAAGAGACGATGGCTGGAAAGGCAGGATAGAGGCCCAGGGCAATGAGGTAACATCCTACGTAGACACCTGGAGGGCTTGAATGGGATAGGTTGTAAGCCAGAAGATAGCCGAGTAACATGAGCAGCAAGTTGACCACAACGAACGGAGATCGTTTACCGTATCTATCTGAGAACCAAGCCTGAGTTACGGATGCTATAGCTGCCACCGCGTATATTGGAATAGTTAGCAGTTGGGCAATAGCAGATGTGAACCCCAAGCCGTTGATGATACTCGGCAAGAATAGGGAGATGCCGTAGAGGGGTACCACAATTCCAAAGTAGAGTAAGATGTGGACGTAGACCTGGATATCTGTGAAGGCTGCTCTTACGTATTTCCAATCTCTGGCGTCGTTTTGCTCGACTAGTTCGCCTGAATTGGCTTCATTTCCGTCGTACTTGAGTCTCCACATGACATACTCTCTTTCCTCTTCTGTCAGGAACCTCGCAGTTTCTGGAAAGTCGTGGACGAAGAAGAATGCCACAAGGGCAACGACAACGGTGGCGATTCCCTCCAGAATGAAGATCCACTGCCAGCCGTAGAGGCCTGCCACTCCTCTCATTTTACCAATTGCAAAAGCTAGCAGTCCTGAGAAGGCACCTGCGACCGAAGCCGCCGAGAAGAACATGGCTTGTCTGAACTGGATTTCAGACCGACAGTACCAGAGTGTCAAGTAATACGTTACTCCGGGATATAGTCCGGCTTCCGTGAACCCCAGGAAGATTCGACACACCAAAAGTCCGTGGTAATTCTTGACTAAACCCATGAGGGTCATGACAACCCCCCAGCAGACCATGATAGCCGGTAGCCAGATGGATGGGCGTAGTTTTTTGAGAATCATGTTTGAGGGCACTTCAAAAGCAGAATAGGTGAAAAAGAAGACTGTTAGACACATATTGTACTCGTTTCCTTTGAGGTTGAGGTCAACAGAGAGACCTTCAATGTTGGCATTTCCAACATTACCTCTGTCCAGGAAAGAGAGCAGGTAGAGGATAGCCAGGATGGGGATGATGTTGAGGTCCAATTTCAATAGCAGTTTCTTCTTGTTGATGTTTGGAAATAGTTCCTCGGCTGTGCGATTTGCTCTTTCGACGATGGAGGTTTCCATAACCCCCTTCTCAATCACTTCTTGCGATTGCACATCTTTGGATTCGGTGATATGTTCTTCCGAAGAGACGTCTGGGGTGTTCTTATCGGTTGATATCCCGTATTTGTCTGTTGAGATGAACTCTTCTGTAGGTAGTTCTAGGGCGGAGTCCTCAACGTCTTTTTTCATGCTATGAGAGGCAGGTGTTTAGACAGAGTGGACGGCCAGTTCATTATATATCCAGTGGTGGGATTTATAGTGGATGGTAATCGAGCAGATCTAGCACAGGAGGGGTTTGGTGTCTGGACTTCCAGAAGAATGCAGAGGTTTGCAATTCTGGAAAGCTGGAGCAGCTAGTTGGTAACTAATTCTACAGTTTGAAAAATTTCTGAGCCACTGGACTACAATTTCAGATTGATATTTCCCCACACGTTCATTGCTTCATGTCTAGACTACCGCATTTCTCCGCAGCACGGCTCTGCTTTAGACCCAATGTTTGCTCTAGGAACTCATAGGTCAATGTTTACTTGAATTAATTCAGTAGATTCCCATTGCAGTTGACTCGAGAAGCCACTGATGCTAGAGCTGCGGGTTTGTGGCGTTGAACCAGTACGTAGCTGGAAGGCCGCATCAGGTGCAAGCTCATTACTTCAGTTTACTTGGAGTTGGGTCCTTATTACTTAGATGTTATTTAGCTTTATTCAACTGTACATGTGTAATGCACTCCACCATAACCTGATCTCTTCATCACATCTTCAACACAGGTAACTCATTACCCAGTCCCAGTCCGCTACAGGTTCCCATCCACCCTCAATCTACAACATGTCGTCCATTCTGGCTGCCGAGCTGGCAAAGGCCAAGGCGAAATTCGAACATGAAAAGATCCATGGACGGGAGAAGAAGACTGAGAAACAAACAACCCACCGAGTGGCGCGGAATCGAGGCGTCGAGGAAAGAATATCACGGGACGACAATTATCGTGTGAGCAAATCGTCATCCCAAAAAACAGGTTATGAGAACATGCAACGGAAGGCAGAGCTCTATCGACAGTTCCACCACGGAGAGATCGAAGAACTTGCAGGTGGGGTCATGGAGCGACGCATGGAAGAAGAAGACAGAGATCTTGTATCATGTGACTCTGACGATCCAGAATACGAATCTGATTCTTCCGCTGACTCCTCGGAGATCGAGATTGTGGACGAGTTTGGAAGAACCAGAATGGTGCCGAAAAGCAAACGATACCTGTTTGAGGCAAGGAAAGCGGTGGCACGTGATGGATATGGGTCACACAATACAGTGGTGACATCCCGTGATATGGTTGAGAAACCAGCGAATGTCATTTACGGAGATATTGTTCAGACTGATAGTTTTACTCGGAACGACTTTGTTCCACAGGAGAATGAGGTCTCTAATTCTCACTACGACTCTACAAAAGAGATTAGAAATCGAGGCGTTGGATTCATGCAATTCAGTCAAGATGCTGAGGTGCGTGAGCGTCAGCAGAAGGAGTTGAAGGAGGCAAGAGCTGTTACCCAGGCCTTTATTGAAGAGAAGAATAAAGAGAAGGGGATCCGCGCTGGGCGTGGTGATTTGGAAAGGTTCAAACAGAGGTATGAGGCTAGAGAAAGAAGGGTCAAAGAATTTTATCAGGGTGTTAGTTGACCTTGGTCTTGTATAGTATTTATTGTATTTATTGTTCGTAACAAGAAGTATAACCTCGTGTATAACATAGAGAAGAGCGTAAAATGCCCCATTATCACATATAAAGGGTATTACGGTCTTTAATGGGACTTGAACCTGGTGACAACAATGATCGGTCTCTTTATTCAAGTTGGCTAGTTTTTGTTGTGCTCTTGAAAAATGAAAGTAACCAGAACACACAAAGATTTGTCAATTTGGCTAAAATCCTTCTATTCATGGATCAGAGGGTATTATTTAGTGTGTTAAATTACTAACTTCTGCTTAAATTAGATCTATTTTGTCAAAAATCGGCGCCGATCAAGTGACGAAATCTGGATCTCCTAAACCAAAATTTACCTTTTTTCAGAAAATTGCCTGGTTGGCTCAGTTGGTTAGAGCGTTAGTCTCATAATCTGAAGATCACCAGTTCGACCCTGGTACCGGGCATTTCTCTTTTTTTCTCGTACCGTTTGATTTATTCTTTTTTTAGTCCCTTCCAAACTACTGGCATGTCATTGGTATTTGTCCAACCACCCCAGAATCATTTTTAGCCCTCAGCTAGCCCATTTTGCTGATGTCTCACTACTCCCGAAATTATCTACTTATTTTAGCTCCGCCACGAAACTCTGAATATCACCATCACGAAATCTGAACGTTCTGCATTAGGATAAGTGTCATCAACCTACTAAGAGTACAAGTATCAACAACGACAATGTCGCAGTCGCAGTCGCAGTCGCACACACCGGTCAACTCGTTCAACTCCAAGGAGGCTCTGGATTTCCTCAATCTGCGATACTCCCAGGCCTCCAATAAGGCCAAGCAAAACACCGCCGGCGACAAGGAAGGATCTGTGCTGTACAAGCCCCAGGCCCAGGCGTGGTCCGACGGCAGTGGACCCAACAAGACGGACTTTCTCAGCGAGTTCAAGAAGGCTTCCGATGAGTTCAAGGCTTAAGTGAGAGTTGCCTGATCTCGACTGCCAAAGCACATGACCGCCGTGGAAGATAGATGATGAAGAGGTCACAAGCAGATGGAAGATTATCATGGATGCCATATGGTTGACCATTATAACCAGTTGGTGGATTGGCGTATCAGTAATCCAGTTGAGTCGATGTCTGTGTGGTACAGTACTCGTACTTACTTGTCGTCATGTCTCTCATAGTACGAGTACACCTTAGATACTCTGGATCTGGTGGCACAAGATCATCACGATAATGCCCTCCTCGTCGTGGTCTGGAATATAGAGTCACTCATGAATAATATTAGATTGGAACTACAGTACCTGTCTGTCACTTGGACCTGGACTTGGACTTCGACCTCGTTAGGGGCTTAGCAGTGTACAGTATAAGTAAATGAAGATGTGGCAGGTACAAGCAATACTTTGTGCCATAGATTGATATTAATAGAACTTTTTATATCAATCGGAACATTCGAAATCTTTATATTCTGTTCCAATTTTCCACTGTAGGCTTCTGCCAGATTCAACTTGGCTGAGCTTCAGATCATCTCTAACATGGTACAAGCTACGATGAGGACGGTATCTATAGAGCAAAATGTTGAGTTTTTGAAGACGACGATAGCACTGTCAGTTGTGGAGCTTGATTGCATTTCTAGTGTGAAGAGATGTCCAAGTACGAGTACAGCATCGGCTCTTCAGGATCTTAAGAATAACAATCAGTTATACAATTACTATATCAAGATCTTATATAACGGACTGTTATTCTTACGAGTCTTGATCTGCTTTTACAGAATAAAACAATAAAGTAAAGCATCATAGATGTCATGTTATTGACTGTATGGTACTGTACCTACTCTACCAGTACATACAGCTTCGCCTCAGTTATCCGCACCATATATTATGTTCTAGCAATATCATAAGCTATGTTAGTTGGGTCATAAGATATTTCTTGTACTGCGATCTAAATCAGTTAAGCAAGATAATCAGAAAATCAGTCCTTTGTACACAAAAATAAATCAATCCATGCACTTCATCTTTGTGTGGGTAGCGGGGCTCGTGTGAGCTACAGTACTTACTTTTTTCCGTCTCTGGCTGAAAGGAAAGGGGGCTGATGGCCCTCTTTATATGTATTTCTCTCTTAAGGCTGTGCTCCACGCTCCACATACAGTACCTCGTTTGTAGTTTTATTTTATAGGCTTTGGTGCGCCAAGTAAAAGTATCGGAGCAAGAGGTGCAAGTAATTTAGAGGGAGTTTTGTAGGACGAGAGTCTGGAGAGGGAGCCGACAAAGCGGTAGATATGTGAAAAGTAAATATAACCACGATATCAGGGCGAGTTTCTTATCACTACTAAGTTTCGAAAATTAAAATTGATGTATTTTGGGCGATTCTACGGTGTCTTGTAAGTGTTCAAGCTCCTCTTCAAGCTCCTCTTTTTACTGTATGCTCCCTTCACATTATTCAGCCCCAATACGGAGGTTGAAATAAGGTGCATGATTAACCCGAGCTTCTGGAGATACATACAAGATCAGCATATGGCTGAAATCAGCGCAGTCTAAGGAATACAATGAAACCAGTATCGTCCTGTTCTGGCAAGTTTTTGTGTCTCAAACACCCATCTCAGATTGAAAGCAACCCTTTTTCTCCTGTTTGTCTTTGGTTTTGACTTTGGTGCACCTGGTTTTTTGCCCCAATGCACGTGGAGAGAGGGAGGTGAAAAATGTACGGGATAAGTACAACGTACCGGTACAATACGATACGATACCCTCTGTTCGGATGGAGCCTTCGGTGTTGGACTGGAGTTCCGCTTGGATCAAGAGGTGGCGCTCGTATTGGGCCGCAATCTAGCATTATCCCCGTATGTTTGAACTTTGAGGTGGGAGCTGGACAAGGACTCAGCGGAGTTACTGAAAATGCCATGAGGTACAGTGTGAGCATGAGTAACACGATACGGTAGGAGTAACGACGGTATGTGGTATATTGGTACGATATTTCCATAGCACCCTGCCGTGTTTAGCGGTCTAAGAGAGTTTGGGCTCATCCAGACGAGTCGAAGCTGTTTGATACAGTATGTACTCGTCCGTATGCTGTATCGCAGAAGAAAGCGATGGTTAAAAAGATCAAGTTTGGAACTAAGGATGGTGACTGCGGTAGAAGCCCCACACTTGCTAATCCCATACTTTCTGAATTGATGATCACAATCTAGTAGAGCTGGTACTCGGCAACCCCATTGAGGCTCCTCGATCACGGTGGTGTAGCAAACGAAGCATCTACGTACGAGCCCACGTATCGTACTTACATACTGAACCAACTTGTACAACTTTGGGGCTCAACTGCACACTACAAATCAGCTACCTCTCGATCATACGCAATCATTCATCCATTCAGTGTATCTTCCCGCGTCTACCCCGATCATCACTTTTGACACTTGGTCTTGTGGACCTGGTAATCGGGCCACTCCATTCGCACTCCACACTTGGGGCACGTTGCTGATTTGTGTTGAGACATGTGGTTGGTCTACAATGGTGTAATTGGTGTGGTTGGCGTCGTTGGCGTCGTTGTGGTTGGTGTCGTAGGACCTTGTGTCGTCGTATGTCTCAAGAGTAAGTAGAGTCTGAGAGGGGTGGAAAATGCTCCATCTTTAAATGCCACCTCTTTTTTTTATTGCTCACACACGTCGATATCAGATGATTACTCAGACACGCCATCGTTGTCAGTATTATGTCTTCGTTGTACCTGCATGATTGTGGGGTAATACGTATATGAGACATTAGGGGCTTCTATATCGCAAAAAGTGGGTCATTTTGATTTCAAAAAAAGCGCTAAAGCTACCAATACAGCTTTTATAAATCCATTAAAATACTCATTTTCCCGATCGGGGCATTATTCGGCAATCTACGTCCACCGCAACCGTGCGGCTCGTTAATTGTTTAGACTTGCAGCTATACGAGTGTCAATAATGGGGCATATTCGGGGCATCTAGTAACGTGGATTTCCACAAACGCCCCATTAATCAGATACAACCGATAAGCTTGGGATTAATAAGTAGTACATACTTACACCAGATATCTGGGGCCTGTCTAGACCTCTTTCCATCCACTAATCCTTCCTCAGGAAGCAGACGGGACAGGCGTCCGGGGAGTAATGTTTTGTCGCAGAGTCATTATTATTATCGTCGTACGGAACTTCTGAATCCCGTACATACTATGGAGTCAGCTAGCTCTCATGGAGATACCCTGCCCAACATGTGTCAGCAGCCAGAGATGCGAAACGCACTCCTAGAGCGGAATATGGGGGCAATTACACGGGACTGAGCAGAGTCATTTCAAGCGAGCGAGTAATGTGGTTGCACGTTATTTTGAGACGTCACAGAGGGGAGTGGAGAATGCATTGATAAGGTGCCTTAACTCGCTGGAGAGATGATCTGACGTCAGTATCGTACAATACAGGAATAGTACATACAGCACGTAAGTACACTCGGTCTTCATTACAATATCTGCCCATCTTGGCCGAATCACATGGACCCAAATGTGGAAAGTGATCAACTCATTTGAGGACAGGACATGTGATGACGCAGCTGGCGGCAGTTATTTATTTAAATACTTGGAACTGGTGCTTTTATTGAAATCAGAAGAACCTGGGCTTGAAAAGCATACAACTTTTGTAAATATTCTACAGTATAGGCTCAGTCTTGGGTTTGGTAGATGGACTCTCATTCCTGTGTCATCATTGTCTGTCCGTAACATTCGCAGTGACGGAGTATTTCTAGTTTCCTTCAGACTGTCTTTGTACCTGGACTTCAACTATCTATCCCAATCCCGTTGAAGGCACGATATTCTTCTCCGGACTGTCGTTGCTGTATTAGTAGCCGTTCTTGGCTCAACTATAATACTGTATATCGTATAGTAAAAAATCCAAAGTAAACTCTGCTTCGGGCTTTCGGAGCGTGCTGAGAGTCCCCATACGATACGAGAAATGATGTAGAAACGAGAAATGCGACAGACTTGTATTGATTGCGTTGATTGATGTGATACACATTGCCAACGGGTCACTTATAGCAACTATACTATTCTACATCCAGACTGTCTGGCCTTTACTTGGTGTTAATTGAGACTTCGGGGCAAGGAAAGCCTGCCGAAACTCGCCATCATTACTCTAAACGATCCAGGGCTGGAATTATATACCGCATTACCAGTTGCACTCATTTTAAATGAATTATCTGGCCAGATCTTTACCATATCGTGACCTTCGAGCCTCGGGCCAAGAGCATCTACTTGACCAGTACAAGTAGGTACATACTGTACACTCCAAGTACATACTGTACACTGCAAGTAGTTGCGCGGTACCTACTTGGGAGTGTAGTTCGGCAGTTGTCTGCATTCGGGACCAGTTATTCATGTGCCAAAATAGTTGGCGAAAATAACGGGATCCAAATCCCCAGGATCCTTCAACTGGCCACGTTCTAGGACTCTTTCGTCTTAATTGAAACCCCAAGTCGATAAAAGACTCATGTGTGTAAACACCCAGTTGTGGATCGATCTGGGACTTGCTGCGTCTGTATGGACAGCTCATAACTCGACCCACAGAAACCGCAGAAGAAAACAGAGTGGATTTCTCTATTCCACGACACCCAATTACCCATTCCAGAGTCTCTATATATCAGATTACCACTCATTCCAGTTTCTATCGCCACCCCTCCTCATCTCTCACCGTAACTTTAAATTATGCGAGTCGAAAAATTGGCTAATTTTTTTGGAGTAAAGTGAAAACACACACTTGTCTTTTTGAGGGTTCGAAACCGTATTCTACGTCGATACGGATTCTTTGATCGAAGGGTTTTCGCCACGTTTCGATCTAACAGCAGCTAGCTACCCTATACTCTTACAAAATTCCGCATCTCGTGGCATTCACCTTTGTTTTTGCGGTAGTGGTGTCGGCACTTGTCTTTTTTGCTAATAAACACAGCGGGGTTTTTCAAATGTTGACACAGGGAATGAGAGGATACTACCGTGGAATGGGAGGAGGCAAGAACGGTCAGGTGACCGTGGGTGGGCTGGAGAATGACTCGGCCTTTTGTTTCATGAACTCCGTGCTCCAGTCCATGGCTTCTCTTGATCGGCTGGACGAGTTTTTGGGAGGAACTCAGTACGAAGGCGTGGAACTCGATACTACTACCCGCAAGCGGTATGAAGAGAGTGAGAACGAGGATGACAGCGACGAGGGCGCCGAGAACGGGCCTGAGGGTCCTGTTTCTGAGGCTGAGACGGAGATTGACCAGGTCCCTGACCGGACCCAGCCTACTGTGCCTGAAGGAGCTTCTGCAGTCCCTGAAGCTGAAGACGATCTGGTAGAGGTGAATGCTGTGGCTGAGGAGGAGGAACAGGAGGAGGAGCTCAAACAACCCTCGGCTCTGGAGCTATCTTCTTTGATTCCCGGTTTCCCCGCCCAACCTGAGAAGGCTGATCCCGAGGAAGTGACCGAGGTAACTGAAACGTCGACTACGGTTCAGAATCCTATCTGTCCGTCGTCGCTCGAGTCATTCCACTCATCCACCGGACTCGGAGCCTTTTCCTACGAGCTCAAACGAATGTTTGCTCAGCTCAACACCCTCTCCAACAGATCGCACACCTACTCGGGTCTGCCCATCACACGAGCCATGGGCAAGAGCGGCCAGCGATGGGACGGATATGAACAGGAGGACGCTGGCGAGTTTTTCCAGCAGCTTATCGACAGGCTGGAAAACGAGGTCAAGGCCAAGGCTGGAGGAGCAGACAAGGTTGAGGAGAAGACTATCTCTGAAGACACTTCCGCGCTCGACAAATGGAAGAAGAAAATGCTCATTCCGTTCGACGGAGTCCAAGCAACCACCATCAAGTGTCTCACATGTGGAGACCTCGGTGACGGCATTCGATACAACATCATGGGAGCTCTGGGTCTGTCTCTCCCCAACCAGACCTCTCGGTTCTCCCGATCCACTCACACTCTCAAGGAATGCATTGACATGTTTGCTGAGCGGGAGATTATTGATGGTGTGAGCTGTGAACGATGCTCGTTGCAGGAATATAAGAGACAGGTGGAGGACCAAATCAGCAAGGTTGCAGACACAGCATCACCTCTGGTGCAACTGTTTCAGACCAGACTCGATAAGGTCGACACTGCTCTGTCACGTGACACCATTAACGAGGAGGAGTACAACGATATCTTCAAAAAGAACACCGGCGGCTTTGCCAAGGTGTTTGTTCAAAAGTCCAAGCAGACTCTCATTGGGGTAGCCCCTCAGATTTTGTGTGTGACCATCAACCGGTCGCAGTTTGACATGAACACTGGTATGAGTTTCAAGAACTCGGCTAATGTGCGGTTCCCGTCTCTGCTGTGTCTGGACGAGTGGATGGACGACAAGTCGCAGACCAAAAAGATGTACCGGCTCAAGTCCGTCGTGTCGCACTACGGATCACATGACTACGGACACTACATTGCGTATAGACTGTCTCGAGACAAGTGGTGGCGTATTTCTGACGAGACTGTTTACCAGACCGAGCTCTCATACGTGCTGTCTGATGGTTCCATCTTCATGCTTTTCTACGAACTGGCTGCCCCGGAAGAAGCCGAGGAGCTGTACACTCAGATGATTGAGGAGCAGAAGGAGCAGCAGAGTCATGGATCTGGAGCTGTAGATAGCAGTGAGGAGGACGAGAGTGATGAGGAGGACGAAAGTGAGGCCGACAAAGAGGAGGAGAGCGAAGACGAAGATATGGAGTAGAAGCGAGCACGATCACGGATGTAATTAGAATGTATATGATTGGTGGTTAACCAATGTAGGATCACGTGTACAAGTACAAATAGCGAGTTGAGCATGTCACCCGACTTGAGCTTTTGACGATCCAAAAAGTTGGATTGGGTCCTCTTGGTTGCTTCGACTGCATATCGGCATCTTCCAATGGTCTTTGTTGTATATACAGAACCAGCTGCACATATGAAGAACAATATTAGACTCGCAAAATTATCGACAAAAAACCTATGGAAACAGTTGCCATAAAACTACTTGTAGATCCATATGACTTGTACTGGTGCATTCTCAAAACTAATTTTTCGTGAGAAGAAAAAAGGTCGTACCCGGAATCGAACCGGGGTTACTGGAAATCGAAGTAAATGCTTCAGAATCCAAGGTGATAACCGCTACACTATACAACCTTGACAGATATTAAACAACAGTGTTGAAACAATATATTCTGTAAAATGTTTAAACTCACCCTGAATCTTTAGAATAAAAACACCCCTAGAATAAAAAGAAAACAACCGAAAAATGATCCTTCGTGGAATGGAAAAGTACTCTAATTCACTCTTAAGGCAATCAGTTATCCAGAGACGAAGTTTGACATAACTCCATCTTATGAATCTGTTTTTTCCATGGCGCTGAAGAGGAAGAACTAATGGCTGGGGAGTTGTTTAGGAGTAAAAGTTGTAGAAAAGGGATTATACGAAAAGGGAAATTTCAGAATGTATTCTACAGTAGGATATTTTAAAACTTATGGCACCTTTTTATTATCTCTTCCTATTCTTCGCGTGTTATTTCCCCTATCGCAGATAGTTCACGAAGGGGGAAGAAAGTACGGTAGGTAGGGGTGTAGTTGTCGAGAAGACGATTGGTTTAAAAATCACATGTGTGGAGACTCAATACTCAGCTAACTAGTATAAAAAGGTAGCTCTTTGATTACACCCTATCTTGTGGCATCTCCCCCGAGTATCAGCTGTTTTGTCGATATCTCATAGGTACAGTACGACAATCATACCTGGTATATGCTAGAAATTTGAGAGTGGATTCGAATATTGTTTTTAGAGAGCCATTTTTGCAACAAACTTGAAGTCTCTGCTTCTCTTGGGCGTCCATTATGATGCTGTCGGACCCAGCCCATCTATGTTGCTTCTTGTCCCGTGCAAACAGCAAGATCTGAACACTTAGTACCTGTCACGAGTACAAGATTGAATCGACTGACGTTCCGAAACAGTGGAAGTCACATTTGAAGACGATTTCAACTTTTGTATTCCTACATTGCCTACAAGGAACCTCCGATATGTATGTGTTGCACTCTTGAAGAGCAACGCATGGAGAGCGCATTGATGATATCAACACGAGTTGTCTTCTACAGATAGACTCAATCAAGAAAAACAATAACCAGTAATTGTAGTCTAACATGTATCATTCCATGTTTACTCTGCGTAATATGCCCATCTACCTAGACCTACAGCAGTAGACCGTGTAGAAGGGGAAGTAAATAGACGGATTCCGAAAAGGTATTAAAACCCATTCAAAACGACTCAGATTCCATCAAATACTAGACTACGGTACGAAACCAATTGAGTATACTCTCCTTCTCGCGACACGACCAACTTCAACCCCTTCCCTGCTACTATCAAGCCTCATTTTCCACTTCCTGATGCCTTTGATCAGATCGAAGTACAGCATGTACGTACAGTACCAGAAACGTCCGGTAATTCCATAGAGTAACTCATCATATGTTCCGATTCTGCTGACTCCAGATTTCACGAATTCAACATCACCAATGCTCGTTGTCTCTCATTAGTCCTCACACACTTCCTCACATCTTCAAGTAGACTCCAAATAGCCTCTCGTTTTTCTTATATTCGCGGGGAAAGGGTCCATTGCCGACGCCAAAGAAACCCTAACCACAATATCCGAATTAAGGTTGGTGTTGCTCACTAAACACCCTCTTCTGGACATCACCACACGGTTTCTCAACCTTTTACCACCCCCCAACACACAACGTACCAATCGCTCTAGTTTGTGGATCACCCTCTCCCGTTTTTACACCACGTGATCTACCGACGACATGGCAGACAAGGACAAGGTTGATGCTGTGGCTCCACAGACCAACGACACAGACACCACTCCTTCCAGCTCCAACAACACAAACGTAGACTCGAAAGGGGACAGCTCGAGTGAGTCGAGAAAAGAAAAGGTGGCAGCTGATTTGAACGACACAAACAGCGACGCAAAGGCTGATGGAAAGGCCGACGACACGACCACAGAGACCACAGAAGCTAAGGAAGAGGTCCAAGCAAACGGTCACGAACCCAACGGTGATTCCAATGGTATTGATGTGAAGGATGAGGAAAAGGACGACAAGGACGCCGACGACAACAAGGAGGATGTCGTGAAGGAAATGGAGAAGAAGGAAAAGGAAATGGAGGAGAAGGTCGACAAGGAGACTGAGGCTGCCGGCGATAAGGTTGTGGCCGAGGAGGAAAGTGGTGATGTGGAAGAGGATGCTGACGGCGAGGATGTGGAAGAGGATGCCGAAGAGGAGGCCGAATCGCGTGACCAGAGTGTTGCTGACGTGACCATGGCCGACACCACCACAGACTCGATGGACGTCGGTGATTCTTCTGCCTTCCCTCCCGGAACAATTGTGCTCGCAAAGGTCAAGGGTTTCCCTGCTTGGCCTGGTATGGTTGTGCCTGAAGACGTGCTACCTTCGTCGGTGCTCAATGCTAAGCCTCGAAAGAACCGACAAATGTGGCCCGTGCGTTTTTTCATCGATACCACTCATACCTGGGCCTACCGAAACGACCTCAAGCCATTGGGTGTGGAGGAGGCCGCCAACTTCCTCAAGTCTGCCTCTCGGGGACGAAAGGACAAATCTCTCCATGCCGCCTACAAGGTGGCTTCTGAACCTCCTACTCTTGACGAATTTGTCGAGCAGGTGTATGGCGACGTAGAGGAAGAGGAAGAGGAGGAAGAGGAGGAACTGGAGGAAAAGCCACCAGCAAAGAAGCGAAAGACAGCAGCCAAGGCTTCTACACCGGCCTCCAAAAGCAAGACCTCGGCTGTTAAGGAGGCCATCAAGGAGGCTAAGAAGAAGAGCGGCCAGCATGCTTCCAAGGACCACGCTAAGGACGATGCCAAAGAGGCAGCAGAAGGTAAAGGAGGTGCTGGGGCCAGGGGAGGAGCCAAATCGGATTCCAAGTCTGCGTCTGCGTCTCCTGCTCTATCTTCCAAGCCCAAGTCTTCTCCTGCACCTAAGCGGTCCGACAAGGAGGGCAAGGTGCTCGTGATTCGGCACAAGCTGCAGCGGGGTCTGCTCTCTGGCAGTGTTCCTGACGATTCTGAGCTTCCCGGACTGTCTCAGTACTTGACACGGTTGGAAGAATTTGAGGGGCTGGAGACGTCGATCATCCGACAGACCAAGATCAACAAGGTGCTCAAGGGCATTGTGAAGCTGGACTCAGTGCCTAAGGATGAGGAGTACGGCTTCAAGGAGCGATCTCTGAAGCTGTTGACCGCGTGGAACAAGTTGGAGTGAAGGGCTGGTGAGGAAGTGCGATGAAGAGTGCTAACGTGCGTCTCTGGTGCATCTCCAATGATCTTCTGAGACCTTCAGCGGGATTCTGAGACTCTGATCAGTTGAAACGTTTTCTTTTTCGCGGGTTTCATCCATGATCTGACGATTGAACGTTTGCAACACAAGGGCGATGTTGGAGCTGGATGTTTTGCGACTGTGAATGCCACTAGTTGTGGCCCACGAAGGTTGAGGTACTTTTGGATGTATTTAGGAGCGTTGTGATGTGGGATGGAAGAAGGTGGAGTCTCTCTAGGCAGTTGCAGGATAAAGCGGCTGCACATGACTTTGTTGGATCTCCATTGCTCAGCTGCAGACGTCGTTGTCGTACGGACAGATCAGATACTCCATGTTCTGTATGACGAAATGTATTTTTACGCCCACCCAAAAATGGGCGCTATGTAATCTATGAATGTATGTATTATGTGATGGAGGGATAAAGGAAGAGGTGTTTGCTCAATTGGGGGCGTTATGAATTGGTGTATGTCCCTGCACTTCATTGAGGCAGTGTTGCGGTGAGTAATGGCTCTGGGGTATATCATGAGTATGGATGTGTCTGGCCGACCACACAAGTCAGCAGATATCAAGAGGTTCATAGACGAACCACAGGGTCTTTTTTGGCGAAATTAGTATGATAAGCGGCGACAAAAAGAACATCACTCTACTCAGATTTCCAAAGTGGTTCGAGTTGTATGGCAGTATACATTCTACAAACTTTTCTGAATGTGTTTATTTGAAAGTACAAGTACAAGTGTACTTACCGTACAGTATGTACAGTACTTGTAACGAACCTACCAATTGGTAGCCCGATTGGGGTTTGAAGATATTGAGATGGTTACGAGATTCTCTGAATGTTTATATCATCGATGTACTTGTTTTAATGTGTTCTGTTTCCCCTGGCCATTGTCGCAATGTCCCTTCCGTATCTAAAGTAGTCATCTAAGTAGATATTCAAATTTTCTTTACATTTACTTATGCAATACTGGTTGGAGAGACTCACTAAAAAGCCCAGTAGAGGGTCCTAGGACGTCAGACTACGGATCCCCAACGTCCCCTACTCGCTTCAGAACAGTAATGATTACACACTGCCGAACACCAACTGTCAGACTCAGCATGAGTAACATCGGTACCGGATGTGACGTTCCCAGGATGGCCCCGAGGTAAGTTGAGGCACACCCTACTGGATATATAACAAGCGTATGTCTAATAGTCTGTTAATGTGAGTCTCAGACGCCAACTTTGATAGAGTGTCAGCAGGAGGCGTCCTCAAATTTACTGGAGTTACGATAGCTACTGGTAAGTAGCTGTTGATAGATTGGCAGTCCGAGACCCGGGCCATGATTCCATACAGACAATTGCTCCGGTATGTACGCCTGCACATGTTCCCATACGAATACGAGATATATTTGTACATTCGCTCATTTGTATGGACTCGTACGGTATGTACTATATTGATACAGGTATCACGTATCTTGCACTCGTGTGAACTCACTCCACCCACCGCATCTCGTATATATACTCTTCTCTTTTCCAGACTATAGATTGTGTATAGTGCTTGTCTCGATGGGCGGACGTGCACCAACCATCTGCACATCTGTAGCACCTGTGCATCCAAAGCTTCTCTTTTGCCGATTGTCAAACCGCACTATAGTGGCACCCGACGTTACATCGGCGGCTAACAGGGCCGGATATTATCTGGGCACCAGTCTGGAGGCGAAAGAAAGGGTGCATGCAAGTCTTCTACTGCAGTGTGCTTGTTGTGCTTCTTGTTGCTGGCGGTGTTGTTGTCACTTGTTTCGAACCGCATGTGGAATGACACTAAGTCGGGGCTTGTGTGTTTTAGACCCACGTTGGCACCAACATCCGGTTTAGTCCATCTTTAGACACGGATTAGACCCCGGTTAGGCTGCTCTTGGGTCTGTTTTAGATCCGGTCGCATTCTGCAATTCTTGTGCAGGGGTCGATGAGATGGTAGCTTACGCACCACGCGATAGATGGCTTTTATGAGGGGCGTGCGAGACCCAGATGGGGGCTACACCACGGCCGCCAACACGAGGTAGGTGCAACAAGTGCCGCGAGACCGCTACATGGCCCCATTCTAGACATGACATCACCGCCCACCAACCCCGACGTCAGTTTCACCAGCCCAAAGTCCAGCTAAACTGCTGCCGAACTCTTGGCCAGACATGTGAATCAGGCGGTTTCGGAAGCGACACTAGTTCAACAGCCACTACTGGTAGCTACGGTACGAGTAGTGCAAACACTTGCACCGGAAGGGCGTTCCATCTACAACTACTGTAAGCTCGAGCACCGCCCACTTGCACCGTAGCCCAGTGATGCCAGTACCCCTACCAGTACACAATGTCGTGTACGACTCGAACATACCAACACGTACATACCACACAAACCCCACAAGCGGCTGAAAGAAACTCCTTCTAGCTCCTTCACCTGCACAAAAGAAGCGTTTGCTCTACAATTACCGTACTACACCGTACCGTACTGTACCAATTGCTATCTCCTCGCCAACTCAGAATAATATCGGACGCCTACAAATATTATCGCCGGACTGGTTCCACTGCGTTAGTGTGCTGTGGATGCAGCCCTGGGCACAAACGATCCATCCATCACTGAGTCAATGGAACAAGCTGAAGGAATTACACAGCAGTAACAATGGCAGTAACAATGGCATTACTGAGTCAATCAGACAAGACAAGAAGCCGAGACAACCGAATTGCGTGACAAACGAATTGTTTCGTGATAAACAATTGCTTTGCTTTGTATCGTCTTATCTATCATCACTCGTACCACATATCTCCCCTACTTGACCCCAATTAACTTATAAATATCATTACTACTTCTTTTCTCATTATATATATCGTTATTTTTCGAATGGATCAACCACCCGTGGTCTCTGACCGTCTCTTCCTCTGCAATCATCCTTCTCCATTTGTGTTGGCTCATTACCTTTTACTTGTCAAAGTAGCAGTTCCCACTAGTCGCCTTGGGCGTGCTCGTTCGGGGACTGGGGAAGTAATGCGGAGTTCCCAGACCCAAAAGCCGCTTGTTGGGCAACGTACTTGCGCCGGGCTTGTTGCTGCCACTGGTGATAGGAGTAGGCAGGTTTATGGCCGGCGAAATCATGCCCGTACCAGGAGACGACGTGGAAGACAGCGGCGATGACAGATTCGAGAGCGAACCCAGGGTCTGCGGCGACTTGCTCTTTTCCAACTCGGTTATCAACTTGGCCTGGAGCTTGGGCTGTGTGGAGGGAGGAATGTCGAGTTTGGTCCGCTTGGAGGGCGGGCTGAATGCAGGAACAGAGGAGGGGGCAGGTCGATGACCTGCCGTTGGGCTCCCCTCACTGTGTGCTACTGCTGCGAGACTTGCCGCTGCTGACAGAGCTGCGACTCCACCAATGCCACCCATACCACTGCTACCGGCACTCATGCTACCCTTGCTTCGCATGAAGCTGCTGGGGAAGTACGTGTCGGACACGGAAACAGGAACCTCCTGCACCTTGACGCCAGCAACGTCTGTAGCGGGTATGATCGGAGGAAGTGTGACGGTGCCTAAAGGGGGAGAGCACAGCGTGGGGTCGCTGTTGAGGTAGGACAACCGCGATCGGATCTGTTGACTCAGCCGGTTGGGAAGCAGCACAGACAGTTCCACCACGTCGAGATCCTTTCGAGACACCAGAAGATCATCCTCCTCCTTGGACCAGGGTGCATGCTTTGGTGGCAGGTTGGACAGGGGCTGTAAAGGCGATGTGGGGGGAGACGCTACTGATCGGAGCGGAGGCAGTTGTAACATGGGAGCAGAAGCAGAGCCGGCAGAGGTAGGCGCCGGAGGAGCAACGACTTCCTGAGGAGTAGATACAGTAGGTTGCTGCATCTGAGGCACTTCAGGGCTCAATGTGGGTCTGTAAGTGGGCGCAGGAGGCTGCTGCTGTTGCTGCTGCATGTGAGGAGGCATGTGGAGCTGAGGAGCAGACTGTTGTGGTAGAGGAGCCTGCTGAGGCTGTGATGTGACATGCTGCTGGGCTTGGGGGTGAGGCTGTGTCTGAGGGGGCTGCTGCTGGGGAGGCCGAGGCACTCCCTGGAGACCGCCCTGAGGACCATAGCCCATAGGGTATCCGTAGGGATAGGGGTACTGCTGCGGAGGCAGATGGTGTGGAGGAGGAGCAGCGTGCTGCTGGGGAGCATGCTGATGAGGCGCAGCCTGTTGCTGTTGGGGGTGCTGGGGGTGGCCCTGGGGAGGCATCTGGCCGTGAGGGGGGCCCTGCTGTAATGATCCAGGAGGTCGCTGCTGCATCTGGGGTTGCATCTGCTGAGCCTGCTGCATCTGTCCAGGTTGACCCTGGGGTTGGCCCTGCTGCTGCTGCTGGTCCAGGGGGATCAGGGTAAGGAGCGGCTGTGGAGTTCGCAGGGTGCCGCTGATGAGTCGTCGCCATCGGAATTGGCACGCGTTGGGGGTTCGGTTGGGGAAGTGGGACGCGATTTCTTTCCAGCCGAGCTTGAGCGTCTCCTTGAGATGACGCAAAAGCAGGTCATCGTGGGGGTCCCAGGACGAGGGCGTTTTTCGCTTGTCCATGTCTTCGTCGTCGTGAGGCATGACGGGCATCATGTGCATGTGTTGCATCTGTGTTAGTAGGAGCGGGGTTGATCTGACCAGGGCGACAGCGCTGCGAGGAGATGGGTGCGTGGAGACGAGTCGGATATGATCAGTCCACGGAGTGACTGCATCACCATGTGTGACGAGTATTGTTTGCAAGTATCACTGCATGAGACCCGTGCCCATCAGCCGCACGTGCTGCAGTGTAAAGCCTTGTGTCGATGAGATGTCTCAGAATGCGGTAGGCGTGCCTCGTGCCGCGTGGGCGGAATGCAGTTCAAAAAACGTGTACTAGTGATGACGACGTTTGTGTAGTAGTGTTTAGTGTGGATGGATGTGGTGTTGGGTGTCGATGATGGTTGCCATGTCACTGTGTGCGGGAGCCCTGTTTTTTGAGACCCTCAATCACAACAATGACGACGGCATGTGGGGATGCATGTGACATGATTGTTTTCGTCGCATTCGTGCTGACAATAACAGCCAGCCTGTGCGCCATCAGTCTCCTGATCCTGTGTGTAAATAACCCCATCACAGGCCCGCCTCGTCCCCCCACCACAATATGTCACCAACATCCAGGACCAGTACCAGGACCAGCATCACACGACGACCCCAAATACCTCTCTCTGTCTTGCCATCGAAGCCACCTCCCGCCGACAATGGTGACTCTTACCACATCCCATCACCATAGTCTTTAGGTGCACACGCCACCATAGCATCAATGGACCCTTGTCCTCCATCTGCCTCCGGATTACTCACCTTATATTGTCCGTCTCGAGTCGTTGGTTGCAGCCTGAGTCTGTCTGTGTCGCTTTCAGTGTCGGGTGTGTGATTTGTTCAGCTTGTGTGTCGGTTGTCGGTTGTCGCTTGTGTCGGCTTTGGTTGTCGCTGTGATCAAATGTCAGGGAAGGCTGGGGATATGTTGGTGTGGGCGTGTGTGTGGAGATGTCGTTGCGTGCGGGTCGTCGTGTGGTTGCCCGGTTCCCCCTCAAGCCAGCTCGTCGTTGCCGGTCGGTAAAGGTAAGTGTTGACGTGTGTGTGGTGGTGACGGAAATTGCAATTTGGCCAAAAATGTATTTGACTGGCTTCGAGTTTGGCTTTTCTTTGGCTCTCACTTAGCCTTTTGCTTTTTGGATTTGGGACATGTGCAATGCGTGTGGAGCTAGTGCCAAAAAAGGTGCTACAGTAGGCCCCAACGCAGCTGTTGAACGCTAATGCGCTCTAACTTCCACACAAAGCAACTCCATTCCACCACCACACTCCAGTCCGGAGGAAAAGCGAAAAGTGGATGGTGGAATGATAAAACAAAATGACAATCGATAATGGTGAACGAAAAAGACGGCCCCGAACTTCCCCCATGGTACATATGCCCAATGTCAGTACAATGGTCTCCTTTTGGCAACATCAGGCCCATCGATCTTTACAGGTACTCCTACTACTTGTACTTGCTTGTAGGGAAACGTCCCATGAGCTTCTCGTACCATGTTATTATAAAAGAAAAAGAAAAAAAAAAGAAAAAGAAAAAAAGAAAACATTCCCATCGATGGAATACCGTACGAATGTCGCACCGGACTTGTAGGGGACGAGTACTATACCATCCGCACCCCACAAAAGCGCCACATGCCCGCCATCCGCAATGCTCGCCTGATATCTATCAACTCTGCGACGATCAAGCTCATTTCAAACACGATACGATGGTTCCATGCAGTCCACAAGTAGAACACTTGTCTGGTGACCGACTAGAGGTCGTTGAACACCCCGATGTTGTTGCTACACGTCTTCAATTGTCGCCATAAACACCCTCACTACTCCCCTCGTCGTCCACTCCCCTCGTCGTCTCCTCCCCTCTTCGTCTACTCCCCTCCACCACTACCTATTATTCTTACGTCACATGACCAAATATCGGGTCCACGTCATCCCATCCGCGGAAACCTAAAACTTTACCTTGCACAACAGACCTTGGCTGGGTCATGACAGGGATACGTCATCTGTGGACGACAGAATAATAATGCGCGGGAGCAGACGCCCCTCCAGACACGTTGTTTGATTACTAATACCATTCTCCGCCGGCCAGCCCCCCGAAAAAAAAAATTGCCGGTTCTTGCTGCTTTGCCAGAAAGCGAATTTTTCATCTGGCGATCACGTATCTGTGGCCTCGATGAGGCTCCACCAAGCGACCTGAGGCAGACTAAAGAGACAAAGAGACATTATGCACAAAGAGCAGATTTTAGGTTCCAGGCTTGCAGTAGATGTTAGACTTTTGGGAATGGATTTGAAATGTATAATTCTTTCGAAACGGATACTGAGGAGGGAACAAAACGGATTGCGGTATCGAAATGGCACTAATTTATTACAATTTTCAAAAATACCCTTGCTTCTTCCAAATATCCTCCCCCGTCATCACTCCACTCATTCCGTTTAGGGAGCCGCTTCCACAACTCTATTTTACTCCGCTTAAAATTCCCATCTCATCGTCATCTCATCGTCCCCTGCCAATGCCAATGTAACCTTTAAAAGGGAGGGGAGCAGAACAAAGAAAGCGAGCGTTTTTGAGGGAGGAATACTGGGTCTGTAAGCTGCCGGCGAGACATCTGCATACCCCCGCCTCGCCCCAGGTATCGTTTTCTGCCCCGCTTTTTCCTTTTCCCGGCTTGTGTGACCCCTTAACACAGTATTTTTTTCTCCCGCCCACAGTGGGTCCTTTGTTGTGTAAAAAAGCTGCCGTGCACAATTGCCTAACTCTTCGTAGTGCTAACTTTCATTTAAAGTTTCAACTGGCATTTGAGTCCTTTGCAAAAATAAGGTGCATACTCTAATTTTCCGGTCCAAAAAAAGCGACGAGAAGGTCGATGCAAAGTGGCGGAAAGAGGGCTTGGAGTGGGGATATTTGCACCCGGAGTTTCTGCCGGAAATCCAGGCAGTTGGAGCCTCTTTCCGCCGCCGAAATCCGCCTACAAACACCCATCCAAACCGTCGGCAACTCTGTTTGACAACCCTCTGTGGTCATCGCATAGCCGACGGCGAAAATTAAGCAAAAAGGCTTATTTCGGTAGGGTAACATCTGATCCGCACATCGGTAGGGTAAAAAAGCTAATCTGAGATTCGGCCATTACCGATGGTGTGCACAGGTGAGAAGGGGGAAGAAAGGAAGAAGAAAGGAAGAAGAAAAGGGACCGAAGAGAGGGACCGAAGAGAGGCAGGGAAGAAAAAAAAAAAGAGTGGAAAAAAAAAAAAGGAGGGGCGGAAAGAAAGAAGAGGCGGAAAAGAAAGAAGAGGCGGAAAAGAGAGAAAAGGCGGAAAAGAGAGAAGAGGCGGAAAAGAGGATGCACGTCAGAAAGAGAGAGGTGTACGTGTGTGTAATAAGTGTACACCGATAAAGGAATAATGCACCCCATCGGCCAAGGAAGAGGCCGGTTCCGGTCATGATTGGATTTGATTAGATTGGATTGGATGGGATTGAAGAGGTGTGGGTGATATTGTTGGCGATATTTTTGTCGGTGGGTGTATAGGTATTAACAATTTGCACTTGTAATTGTACAGCTAGTCGTTCTGGCTCTTGACTAGTTCTTGTACAGCTACAAGTAGTCGTTCTGGTGCTTGTACTCACTACAACAAGTAGAGCCTCTCTTCAACTGAGCATGGTCAACATTGATGAGATTGCCAAGGGTTGGGTTGACCACCCCCTAAACCGATTCAGACCCTTTTGATTCGCATCTGTGCCCGGTTACATTCTCTACTGGTGGTTGGCAGCCAGCTACAGCAACCTCCAAGGCCACAGCGACCATCACAGGGTTTACCTCAAACATTTCGTTTTTGCTTTTCTGCTTGTTCTCTCAGCGGATACTCTCAGCGAGCTTGATCACGAGCTTCCCTTCGATAGCCTTCCGCCAGAATACATGATATGGTGGGGATACGAGCGCAATTGTATCAGAATGGTATCGGGAGGGAATATCGGATGCAAGGGGTGTTTGAGGAGGTGTTTGGGAGCACGGGGGCGTGTTTGAGGGTCGTTAGGGAAGCTACATCGACTGCTTCGATTGGGGAAGATGGTTCCGTGGATGAGGCTAGATTGGTGGTGGATAGTAGTGGGGCTGGAGTGGACGAGGAAGTGTTACAAAGGCGTGGGACCAAGGCCAAGGAGGAACCGGTTGGCATACGTGGGAAACTACGCAGAGAGATTGGGCTTGAGGTGTTTCAATCGTGGCAATAGCTGACAAGGATGCTGTTTGATTGTGGGTGCTGTACATCTGTATCTGCAGGTAGACTCGCAGTGGAACGGTTCTTGTTACTACAAGTATTGGTACAGTATGTACTCGCACCCATACTGTAAGCCAAACCAAGTCTCGATCTTCACTCTCTTGGTGCCGTCTATAAGTACAAGTGTAACTACGAGTAAAAGTACAAGTACATACCGTCCAAGGCAGTCAAGCTTGGTTGCTGTGCTTGTATGTATGATAACAGTCGGTCTTATCGGGATCAACGAGTGATGAGAGATTGCAAAGACTTGAAATCATCTTGCTCGGATTCTTGCTCGGGCTCTTGCTCGGGTAGTTCTCTGATTGATCAAAGAATAAGGAGTCTGGTTGACTGCGTACAGTTTCAGGGACGATACAGTAGCTACCACGAATTGCATTGTATCTTCCAGGCCGGTAATCGATATCGGACTCTTGGAAGTCTGGTACTGTACCGGTAATTGTGTTCCCGAAGGGTCTACGACTGTATCCGACTGCTTCTGCACAATACGAGACACTGCTATCCACAAGTGATCTCTGGACTGCTACCTACAAGTGATCGGACTGCTACCTACAAGTGATTGGCTACACTACAAGTGAATGATAGACACCATAGAATCACCAAATGTAGCCTCATTGAGCAAAACTTTCTAGCATGCCAATTTGATAGCTACAGACTTCCAATGGGAGACTGTATAGTATACACTCCGAGCCAGCCAGCCGTACAAGGCTGTAAGTAGACCAAATTCTTTTTTTTTATATATAATTCATTCATAGTACAGTATGTACAGTAGTTGAGAATAGAAGGTGGAGAGGGGCAAGATTTATGGAAACCTGTCACACTCCCTTCGAGCTCCATTACTCCGTGACTATGTCCAGGCTCTCCCTACTTGTAGACAGACCTCCTTCACCTCCTCCAGATGTCAATTCCACCCTACTGTGAAGATCTTTACTACAGAGCCGTGCCTTCTATAGTGTCTTCCAAACCGGAACTTTGGACCATGAGCTCACCTTCTGAATTCCAACTCATACACCCAACTCACAACTCCATAGATCACGGAAATACACACCATACTGCACATGTCAGAAACAGTATATACAGTCTTTCGTGACGCGCAGTGCTAGCAGGGAATAGAAAAAAAGCAATAAAAACACAAGACAACATGTGTCACGTGACATATATACCTGCGGCCAGGTTTTTCGTGACGCCACGTGACTCCCCTGTCCGCCTATGGACTATCTCCGACACACTTTTTCCGGCCATGTTATCTCCGGACTAAAAAGCTTACCCTAACCCTGGATCATTTTCCAATGCGCGCATACAGTTACATACGCCAAAAAAATATTAAAAAAACATACAAATACCTGACACCGTGCAGTTGACGATTTTGCAGTGGCTTTTCACTCGAGACCCAGCGACAGTTCATTAACAGCATTAAAGACAGCTAGCTACCCATTTACTAACCACGATCCTCACTAATTAATCCACTGTGCAGTTGAGTTCGACACCCTGAAACAACTGTGTACATAAACCGACCAAACGACGTTAACACGACTCTGAGATTGTTCATCTTTCGGCTGTTCGATCAACCAACTCACCTCTTTGTACATTTTCCAACGAAAACAAAGAAAGTCCGCCTTTCCAGTGTTCCCTTCTTGAACTCATCATGACCGCCGCAGAAACCATCTTCATCGTTTGTGCCGTCGTTGTCATTCTCTTGGCCGTGGTTTTTCTGCCGCAAATCAACGGTCTCGGCAGCTACAAGCCCGTGGCTAAAAAGACCAAGCATAAGAAGCTGCGAGAAGACGACATCCTTGAGGAGCCCGAAAACGGCTACGACACATACCAGCCCCCGACCACCAGCCAGATCCAGTCGCGTGACAGTTCGTCGCAGTCGTCTACAACCTTCCGAAAGCGGGTCAACGACCGACTCAACGATGTGGCTGACTCTGCCCCTGTCACTTTCCGACCCCTGGTCAAGAAGCCCGTCAGCCAGCCGCGAAGCTCAGGCTCTGGAATCGCCCGTCACGTCGACGAGAACTTTGATCTCGACGAGTTCTGGCAAAAGGAGGCCGAAAACGATGTCAGAGATATCCAGACGGAGGAGTTGAGACGTCAGAAGGAGGAGATGGAGCGGGTGAACTTCGCTCGGAATGAGGATAACGTCTAGACGACCATGTCCGAAATGAACGAGTAAATGGCCTGTCCAGCACGTGCTATGATTCCATCCTATCTCGCTGATTTAAACTCGTTGATCTCGTTAGACCGCTCATGACCACCAAAACAATACCCTTCACATAGATACACGTCTGTCTGGATCCTGTTTGATACAGGACGGGCAGATGCTTCAGTAATGTTAACATGAAATTTCAAGTTGATTTACTCCACTGATCAATTGGTAGCTTGTAAGTGACGCTTGACTGTGTTGTCGGATGGGTTGTTGTGTCGACCTACATGTCTGGAGACCTACTCCGTAAGCTCGAACGGTTAACAAAACTTCTACAAATATATGCCTCAATTAGTTGAACTATTGTTACTCAATCAGGGCTAAAATACTTCAAGGAGTAACTATTGTTGCGCTGCTCTACAACTCATGGTGTAGGATACATGTTTATTTGTATATATTTTCCTTAAAAATTCCTGCTCTCATAGAACATTAGAGCAGCCCTCCATGTCTCTTTCAACTGCAACTAATCCCCAACAAAGTCCTCCTTGATTGGAGAAAGAAGCAGTTCGGAAGCAAGACGTCGAAACTAACAGATTCACTCTCTAACACCGAGAATAACGCAGCACGTATCGATTCTACGAGACATGGGATCCAACAACAGCCCACGGCTTCGCAATCACTACCTACTGCTTAAACCATCTCTCCTTCATCAGCACACCAATGGCGCACATCTCGGGATTCTCCTCTTCCAGATCGGCCAAGGTCACCTCGTCGTACATCTGCTGCACCAGTTCATTCATGATCTTGGTTCTCTTCACAGCCAGGTCTTTTCCAGGCCCCGTTTTCATGGTCTTGTGTAAATGCAACAGCTTTTCGTCAAAATGCATCATGGCGTCTTCTCCCTCATCATCTGTAGTAAGAACCAACGGTCTGTCCTTAGCTCCAGAGTAAGCAGCCACTCGTAGAATTCCAATGGCTCCAATGGCATCCAATCTATCCGCATCTTGGACCACATGTAACTCCACACATTCGTCGTGCCACTGGCCCCATTCACCGGTCTTTCGCAGCTTTTTTTCGGTCGAATAGCTCATGTTGGTGGCAATCTTGAGCACCAGATCTTGCTGCTCTGGCGATAGACCCGAGTCCGAAAGACAACTCATCATGATACTCTGTCCGTCGCTCAATTGGGTCTGGTACTTGTGGTCGTTGACGTCGTGCAACAGAGCTGCGACCTCGACAACCTGGAGATCGACCGTCTGGCTCTGGGCTACTTTGCGACCCAGGACTTTGGCCAACCGAACAACTCGATCCACGTGATTCATGTCATGAGACGGATCGAACTGCGCCATATGTATGGCAACTCGTGAATGGATGGTAGACATGGGAGACGGGAGAATTGATGCACTAAAGAAGGATGGCAAAGTCGCACAGTCGTGTCACGGCTTTACGCGCTCGCTAGTCTCGATTTAGTGTGGATAGTGCTGTGTGGTTTGTCAGCATCATGTCAGGTTCATTTGGCGTTGGGAGATTGGTGCTTAAATTAAGTAAAAAGGTGAAAAATTGGCGGGGAAAAAATGAAAAATACTGAAAACACTGAAAATACTGAAAATACTGAAAATACTGAAAATACTGAAAATGTAGAAAATACTGAAAATACTGAAAATACTGAAAATACTGAAAATACTGAAAATACTGAAAATGTAGAAAATACTGAAAATACATAAAATATAGAAAAATGCAGAAGAAAAAAAAAACCTGTACTTTCAGCGTGATGGGGGGATAGAAGAGAATTTAAAACATGTACTACTTGTAGTAGAGGAATGGGAGAGATATTCTACATTGTAATATCTATAGTGGAAGTGAGGATACCTTCTGACTTGTTTTTAACGAGTCTTGTATCTAGTCTCCATGGAACAGTGAGTGATACTGGAGATAGTTTTCACATCAACAACTGGAGATCAAAGAACCAATATGGGTTTCTGAATCATCTAGATACTTATCCTGCCGTTTAATATGGCATTCATGCTATCAAATCGGCTGTAGAAGTTTCGCAGATGGATATCTCTACTCTTGGGTACAGTGTACTCTGTTTGGACTGTGGAGTGTTCCTCAGTAAAGATACTCAACTTAGTTGGACTCCACTTGACATTATACTTCACGCCCGTTCCATCCATGACATTCCATGAAGTTCCACCATACTCCCATACTGGTACATTTACTGGAGATCAGTACCACTGAGGACCCTATTTATACCCCCACAATCCCCGTCGACACTCCCCCTTCCCCATTGTGTCTTCCACAATCCCCATACACCTGGACCTCCATATTTCTCCGTGTCCCGGTGGCGAGCATAAAGTAAGCTTTTTCAGGCCCATGATCTCCAACTGCACCACAGTGCCAGACCCAGCAACAGCACCATCAGTGTCGAGTAACGGTACGAGGAGACACAAAGTGGAACACCCCCTGGCGACCAGAGACACAAGCAGAGCCATACAGATCGGGACAGACAGACAGAGGCAGCTGTGACACGAACGAAAAATAGACCAAACGATTGGAATAACGAAAAGCAGAACACCAACCAAGAAAAGCAGAGATAACCAAGTCCTTCCCACTGAAAAAGAAAAAGAAAAAGAAAGAAAAAGAAAAACAACCCGGCCGGCCTATCGCTTCCACTTTGCATCACCATCACCGATCATCTACCACCTACTGATTGACCACCAGCATCATCTTCCTTCATACACAGCCTAACACCTCGACCGAGAAACAGGCAGATACCCTTGCATTAAAACAACACCCTCCATTTTACATCCATCTCACGAAATGTCCTTCCAACAAAACCTCAACGTGACACTCATGTGTCCCGAGTGCAAAATCCTGCCACCAGACATTGTGGAACGGTTCGCGGAGGGAGACATGGTCTGTGGCCAGTGTGGTCTGGTCCTCTCTGACCGAGTGGTTGATACCCGGTCTGAATGGAGAACCTTCTCCAACGACGACCAGGGCTCCGACGACCCCTCGCGAGTGGGAGACGCCATGAACCCTCTGCTGGAGGGCTCCCAGCTCAACACGATAATCTCGTTTGGAGCTCCGGGCTCGTCGGTCGGCAGAGACCTCAACCGAACCCAGTCGCGGTCTCTGCAGGACAAGAAGGACGCGGCTCTGTCAGCCGTGTATGCCAAGATTTCCCAGATCTGCGACGGTATTTCGCTACCCCGAGTGGTGTCCGACGCCGCCAAGGAGGTCTACAAGCTGGTTCATGACGACAAGCGACTGCGGGGAAAAACCCCCGACGCCATCATCGCCACCGTCATTTTCATCGCTTGTAGACACGCCAACGTGCAGCGAACCTTCCAGGAAATCGGAGCTCTGACCAACGTGTCCAAGAAGGAGATTCGACGAACTCTAGAGCTCATGAAACGGCTGCTCGAGGGAACCAATATCCAGGCGTTCCGATCCACCCAGACCAACCCCGGTGCTCTTATGCCCCGATACTGTTCCCATCTGGGACTCAATTCACAGGTGGCCAACCTGGCAGAAGACATTGTCAAGCGAGCCAAGGAAATCGGTACTCTGGACGGCCGTTCGCCCATTTCAGTTGCTGCCGCAGCTATTTACATGGCAGCTGCACTATATGGAAATGACATGAGTGCACAGAGAGTCAGTGAGAAGACGGGAGTGAGTGACGGAACTATCAAGACGTCGTATAAGCATTTGTATGAGGCGAGGGAGAAGCTGGTGAGTAAGCAGTTGCTGGATTCGGGCAAGGTTTCTTTTGAGACGTTGCCCAAGGTGTAGAACACTCATGAACGAAACCAGTGTGTGTTCTACGACGGACTAGGAGGTTGTGAGCTAGCCTCACGTAGGTATTCCGGCGAAGCGGCTTTCCTAGACCGGCATCCGAGAGTGCTTGCTCACAGTCGTGGGTATTATCTTGTCCGTAATACAGCCACGTCCAAGACTTAGAGAGTGGAGTTACATGAAAACATAGAAAACGAATTGGAATTGTATTATTTTGATGAGCTGTGGAGTTGTACCGCATTTAAACACCTGATCATTTCATTACACGTTATCATATACTTGTTCGTAGTTAGACCTTTGTCTCGACGACATTGTCTTTCTGGCAGGACTTTTCAGAACCGAGGTCTTGGTTCTCATCATCGTTTCTCTCGGTCTCTTTCTTGTTGGTATTTCCAAAGACAACACCCTTGACTCTCTCTTCCATCTGACTAAGATCGACATTAGGAAGAGTGACGGCAAAGAGGATCAGAGCTCCTCCAACAATGACTGGGCCGTAGAGCAGGTGTCTGTAGACGTTGTTGAAAGCTGCAATGATGGCGGTTCTCTCCTCAGAGCCCCAGGCGTACTTCAATGGAGCATTGACATTGTTGACCATGGTGTCAATGTCTTTTTCCGAAAGGAACGGAGCGTAGTCTGCCAGTCTTTTGGGATACTGTTGTCTGTACATGGAGCCTGAAATGGCGTCTCCAATGACTCCTCCTACAGAGATTGAGGAGTAGAAGATGGCAGTCGCTGCTACCACCTGTTTGTGGGATACCACGGCCTGAATGAGAACCAGCACCGGATACTGGATCATTCCTGTTCCCAGTCCTTCAATGACTTGCGCAATGATGAATTGGGCCAGCGAGTTGTCCGGTTGTCGGTATCTGTAGGTGAGCCCCAGACCCAGCATGTACAGACACCCTCCCAGAATGATTGTTGGTTTCAGTCGGTAGGTGTATCTGATGAGAGGGGCGACTAGGAGCGAACCAAAGGTGGAAGCCACGGTCCAGGTGACTCGGGTGTTTGTAGCAGCGGTGACAGACAGGTTCTTGCACACCAGCAGCCAGGCCGTGTAGTAGGGAGCGTAGATGTAGTAAGCCAGAGAGTAGAGGGCGACGATGATGCAGCCGGTGATGAGAGTTCTGTCTTTGAGAGCTGAGAAGGGCAGGAAGGGGTACTTGGGGTAGAGTTTTTCCCAGATGGGGAACAGTATGAGCAGGATAGGTCCGATGATGATCATAGACAGCACATGTGGCTGGCTCCAGGACTTTGAGGTTTTGACGAGAGTAACAGCCAGAAACAACAGACTGATTCCTCCAGTGAACAGAATGAGTCCTATAATGTCAAACTGGCGCATGGCTGTTTTGACATTGCTCAGACCCGATCTTGCGCATTCCAGGCCCATTTTGCGGGCCTTCATCCTGTGTCTGAACATGATGGTGAGGGCTGGGATAGATACAACCGGCACGGTTATGCACCACATTCCGTAGCCCCAATGCCAAGTCGAGTGTTTGAGAATGGCGTTCGTGATAGGAGCTGCACACCAAGGGGTGAAGAGATAGCAGAGGTTTGGAAGGACGACAAAGAACATGCGGTTTTTAAGATCCGAAGTGTCGGCGGCAAACACCTGTTCCATGAACTGGATACCCACCTGGCCAAAGATGTAGAAGATGTGGGCTGCAAAGTAGGTGCCAATGTTGGGTGAGGCCGACAGCATGATGAATCCAACAGTGAAGATGACGATACAGATGAGCACTGTTTCAAAACGGCCCAGAACGTCGGCAAACTTGGCCAGAATGGGCCGTGTAGCAATGTACATGACCGATTTGACCACATTGAGGGCCGACAGAAGCGACATTTGGTTGAAGTCTGAGGTGGCGTACGTGGAGTATACAGACACGGTCTGGATCATCATTCCAATGGCGACAGAAAGCAGAAGCATGGAAGCCCAGGCCATGTAAAGATCCGTCTTGGTCCAAATGGTGGTCAGTTGTTCCATTTCACGAGATCCCGAAGGAGCTCCAGCTTCGTCTTCGGAGTCTGTGTAATCTTCCCGCTGTTGTTTCACCGGGGGATCGAACATCTTTCTAGTCCAAGAGACTGATTCGGTGTCTGAATCGCACTCTGAGCAGCTGTCCTTGTCATTGTTGTAGAGATGGGGACCTCCTACGACGGAGTTTCTGAGTGAGGTGAGCCACTTCATAGTAAGATTGATGTTGGGCCATGGGAGATCAGAGCAGGATATATATACTTGTAGATCTGTGGTTTTATCAATCTAATCCATCTAGATAAAAAAAATATCAAATTCAAAAAAAAATTAAAATATAAAGAAACCAACTTCCGAGGTGCGTCCAAGACATCTTGGCGAAAAAAACAACGGACCTCCACAATCGGGAGTAGAATGCTGCTCTAGAACCGCTTAGAGAAGCTGGAGAAGGGAAAAGATCGACTTAATCAAGAGATACTAGCTCTATATGTCCCTTTTTTCCTTCCAGGTCGTCTCGTAATGGATATAACGGCTCCTACTCGCCGCTACATTTTGCGACATGGTTTGCCATGATTCTCAGCCAAACTTACTTTTATCCGACTGACTGTCATTGAAAGGGCGATTTGAGTCCAGATTTCCGATGGGAATATTTTTTTGAGAATATAACTCCATTTAGAACAGCTACATCTACTTTACGGATATTTTTTACCCCGAAATTCTCACAATTCCCACCTTTTTCGCACATCTGATATGAGCAACTCTGAAACTTTTTTTGCATATCGGACTCCGGACTACAGATGAGATGTAGATAGTCGAGAAAAGTACGCAGATTCGGACTCCGACATGTCCTGATATGCAACCTAAGACGTATGTAGATCAGATCTAGATACCGAAAAGGAGAGATAATACGGGTGAATACGAGGCTCAAAAGAAGCCCGTTTGTGACTATGAATGTTCTCTGATCATTGTATATCTCCGGGGCTGTTTGTGGGGACCCCTTTCATGCTTCAGTAATTCTGCCAAGTGTTAGGTAGAATATTGGTTGAATCGAAAGAGTTGCAGAAGTCAACCGATATTCCAAGCGACAGACTGAAAAACTCGGTGGCACCAATCTAATGATTCTACTGTTGCCCCGTAGGGTCCTACTCATACTCTACGAGGAACGACCTTTTTGTTGGATGTGCCATCTGTGGAGCAGCTACTGATCTACAAGAAGAACGATTTCCAGATGCGGACACAATCTTGGTTGTGCAGGAAGTGGAATCAAAGAAAAATCAGAATGATCTCTGAGGTGAAACCAGGACATTACTGCCACCACTCGAATCACGTCTATTTGACCATTTTTACTTAGCCTTTAGTTGACAAATAGTAAGCCTATTGTAAGCAGCAACCCCACGCATATGTTAGCTCGATTATGCTAACTCGACAATATCTACAAGTATATAATTCTCGTGAGGAACGGGGTCGGGATCAAATGAGGACTATATTTCGTTCATTGGAGCTTTTTTGGCGGAGGGGGGTTGTCAAGAGTCCCCTTGAAAAGTCTTTTAGAACATCTAAATGACCACTATATACTGAACGAGATAAACGTCTTTCCCTACAAGTCCGATGCTGAAGAAATTTTTGTAGATTTGTCTCCCCAGATCCACTCAATTGCCTCACAAGACTATTATAAAACCAAATCACGTCAACTAGTATGATAAACGCGTTCTCTAGGGTATCTAGGGCACGTTCTTCCACCTGGTCCAGAGGCTCGCAGCAACCCTGCTATACGATAAATGATATTTCAAACTCAAATCGACCAGTGCACCCTCACTGCCCCCCAGCCATGGATTTACCTCCATTCACTAATTCACGATGGAAACACCGGAGATTCGGCTAGAAATCCTCCGCCATTGTTCTCTCGACGCTCTCGTCGCTCTTAGCCAAACATGCACCGATTTCAGAGCATTAATGCCTCTGCTGGACGACACTCTGGTCCGACCGAAAGTGCTGAAACGAGTTCCATGGATGACTGTGGCTCCAGGAGCAGGTCTGAAGTCGTGGATGGATTGTGCACGACTCATTGTTGCCCGATACAAGTCGCGGACACAAGAACCCGAACAATGGTGTACCACTGACTCTCAACATGTCTATGATATGGACGATTTGGCAAATACTGCTGATATCGAGTATATTGACGGCGTCTGCGTGGATGGAGAAGCTCTACCCAAGTCGTTTGACCCTCTGTTTGAATCTGCTGACTTCCCGGTACCTTATGGACTAGCTAGGGGCAAGTATCTAATGAGCATTAGGGATGACGGTATCACTCTCGATATGACCACCATGGAACATGTTCCCGAAAACCCAGACCAGTTCCCGTTCAAACTGCCAGACCCAGCAGATGTCTGGATTGCCATGGAAGACTTTGTCAGTGTGCGAGACGGTTCCAAATGGGTATTCAGATGCGCCAACTCTTACATCACCATCATCAGCCAAGCCATGTTCTGCGTGAGGCAAGAGAGCGAAAGATGGATCGTCATTGAAGACGAAACTGAACACGATGCAGAGGAAGACAATGTTTACATTATTGATAAACAAAAGGCCGTCAATAATACTCTTTTGTTTGATCGCCACAACTGTGTTTCCCACTATCCTCGTGGATATATGAAGGACTACACTTTTCACCTTCTTCCAGGATCGCAGGGGGCATTCAGGGTAAAATTTGACCTCACTGTTAGGAAATTATTTATATACTACCTTGATCTGACCAATGGAGAACCGGAGATTCTGGTCATGGAGTTGAATGGCTCAGATCAGCTAATATACGAGAGGGGACATGCGTTCGACCCTATGCCAGACCTCTTTCTCATCTACAGGGGCATGCTCTATTACAACCACTACCAGCACGTGTTGATTCCTTTGTGGGTCGATCTTGAAGCGGTGCCTTCCACAGGAAACAAGTACTCATGGAGGTCACTCAGCATGGCGTCTATTTCTCATGACTTCCACAAATCTCCCGTGGAGTTGGATAGGTCCGAGGATGGAAGATGGGTGACTCAAGCCTGGAGCGAGCGACGAATCGTGTGTGATCTACTCAGGTTCAAAACGTACATTGTTCGTGACTATGGATGGCAAAAGGACCCCTGGAAGGTTTCTGGAGAATACCATGAAGAAGTCAAGGAGATTGGATGCATATTTGTCGGAGCTGATCGAACTGCCGAGAAGCCCGTTTTTTACGTCATCAACAGGCCCTATCTGTTTGCTATGGACCTGATACTGCACAAGAGGGAGAAGCTGGAGCCTGACGTTTTCTTGCACCGGGTTTCGAAACTCGTCTACAACTTGTTCTTTGAGGGTTCCAAACAGTTGCAAAAGTCGGCCGGGTACTATGCTGAAGCTGTATACGAGCATATTGACCAGGTTCCGTGGCTCAAGGGAGAACCATTGAACGCCGTGGATGAACAGCAGGAGGCGTTGAAGATGAAGTACGCTCTAACTGAGGAGGTTTACAAGCGGCCGCTTCCGATGACTCGGACACAGGCTAAAAAATCATGAGTGGCAGAGCAGATTCAGATGGAAAGGGGATGAAGGATGAGAGGATGGGATCTCGTTTAGATCTTTTATAGAAGATGATATTGAAGACATTCAGAGCTGCTGACAACGATACTGAGGTTGGTTAGAGCTCTCCACATAGTGTAGCATAACATACCCTCCAAGTGGTGGAAAAAGGCTCCGATCCGAAAACTGAAAAAGCCATTCTTTTCCAGTACCACCAAATAAATACATCCCGCCAATATTTTTTGGTCACGTGACCCATCTTCAACTTCTCTCATCTTCGTCCTGCCTTGGGCTACTCTGCCACCTCCCTCTCCAATAAAGTTACACCTCCCAATTACATCACCAAGTTTATTTTGAGTGGTCCAAATTACTACACACTTCTTGTGGAACGAACACGACACACAAGATGGATCTGACCAGTATGATGAACGAGGAGAACGAGGCTCCGAGTCACGTGACGCAAGATGGTGGCTCCGAGAACAACCGCGATGTGATGAATCAGCAGCCTGGTCCTGGTGGTCCTGGTGGTCCTGGTGGTCCTACTCACCAGCAACAACACCAACCACCGCCTCTGCAACAAGCTCATCTGGTGCCTTTGAACAGCTCTTCTACGACGACTGGCATTGCTCCTGTTCCTGTGCTGGACAAGGAAGCGGCTCATCAGATGGAGCCTCGGACAGTTCAACATCAATCATCTGTGGTCAATCAGCCCCCCAGCTCTCCTCCTCCGCTCAATGCCATGGGGTTTCCTCGGTACAAATCGTACAAGAAGAAGTACAAGAAGATGCTGATTCGGTTCAACAGCTGCATGGCGCGGTCGACGGAGATTTTCCGGGACGATCTACGTGCGCGCAAAATCTACAGCCGCATTGTGCGTGAGAATATGACGTTGCTGGGTCTGATGCAGCGGAAACGGGGAGAGGTCAAAGACAGTGACGTGGAGGAGGATCTGGGCCCCGAGGTCGACGATGAGGCCGAGGAAGCTGTCGTGGAGACCGAGGATGACAACACCATCCATGGATTGTCGGTCAAGCTGATGGAGAAGGCCACGAACGATGCGTACCAGTCTGTGCGGTCCGAGGAGGTCACCGAGCTGAATCCCAACTCGATAGGAATGTGGCTCAAGAGAAACCATTCGATTCTGAACACGGAAGAGGATCCTCAGGAGGAGGGAAGAAAACGACGCAAGGGCCCTGGCGGCGAGGAAAACCGTAAGAGGACAAAGAGAGGAAGTATGAGTCAGGGAAGTAGTTAGAAGCACGAGCACAGCGCGTGATTCTGACCCCGCAACAGAGAGCTTAGCGACTTGTTGCGATACAAGCCACGAGCGAAGCAAAGCCTTTGAGTGAGAGACAAAGCCGATTGTTAGTTGGCGGTACTCAACTCCATTCCGTTCACGACAAAGTCTGATGGTTCAATGGGCGACTTTTCCCGCACCGGAATTGTATTTATTGTTAATTAATGTATTATATTACGAAATGGAGGATGCCCGAAGATACTCCCAGGTCGTTCAATGAGACACCTAGTCAGAGACCAAAGACTCACAATCTCTAAGGCGGAGTTACTGATATGAAATATTACTTCTTCCACAGTTTTATCGCCCATCTATCACTACTTTCTGTTGCCTTGCCTGGTGCTCTGCAACGCGTTTGACAGAGGAGTGATTCCACATGAACTCTTCAGTTAAGGAAATAGTTGAAGGAAGACAATTACGGGTGGGATAATTACTGTGTTACAGGAGACACTAAAGGGAAATAATTCCACCAGTAGATTGAAAATCATACAGTAAACACAATGATTACCAAAAAAATGACCTCAGATTCATGAATATCGCCTCATTGGCACCACAGTCTCTCAGAGAGCCACATTTTTTAGTTAGCTTTCTAGTTGAAAAATCATTGGGAGAACAGTCGGCTCATTTAGAGCGGATTTGCTTGTCTCAAGTTGTGAAGAATCCGACCAGGCCGGGTGTCAATTACCACATCCCGCGTGTTAAATGAGATCCAGTCACGTGATATTATAAACACGTGCAATTATAAACACGTGCCACCATTTACCTCTTGAACGAACGTGATCATGTCCACTTCACACTCTTGCTTACATCATCACCACCCCACCAAACATCAACTCTAACCCACGTGCATACCAAAGGGATCTTTCCTCCACATCTCGTCAACTCTCTAAAAAATGCAATTGGACCATTTCGACTACATGGTCATTGTGATGGTGGGTTTCTACCTCACTTTGGCGCCTTTCACCAAGGTGGAGGAGTCCTTCAACATGCAGGCCATCCACGACATTGTCTACTTTGGCGTGTCCGATCTGTCCAAGTACGATCATGTTGATTTCCCCGGGGTGGTGCCTCGGACGTTTGTGGGAGCAGGAGTGTTGGGTATCATTGCCCGAGGTCTCAAGGGAGCGGTTTTCAAGGGAGCGATGAAGTTTGACATCCAGCTGCTGACTCGAGGAGCTCTGGGAATCATCAATGCGGTGTGTTTCATGTTTCTGAGACACTCCATTGCCGACTTCTTCACTCTGTCGCGGTACCCCAATCTGGGCAACATCATTGCGTCGTTTTTCGCCGCCTTCCAGTTCTCCCAGTTCCATATGATCTACTACGCCTCCCGGACTCTGCCCAACATGATGGCCATGCCTCTGGTTACTTTTGCGCTGAGCAAGGCCGTGGCCGGCGAGTTTGAGAGCACAATCACGCTGCTGGCTGTCGCCGGTTCGATTTTCCGTGTCGAAATTCTCCTCCTAACTGCCATCTTCACGGTCCTGTGTCTTGTGCAGCGACGAGTCTACCTGTCCAAGGCCGTGGTTGCCGGTCTCAAGGGCGCTCTCATCGGGTCCACAATTTCAATCGGCGTGGACTCGTACTTCTGGCAGAACGGAACTCCCTCGTTTAACCCGTTGGAGCAGTTCAAGCTAGTGTTCCCCGAACTCCAGGGCTTCATTTTCAACGTGATTGAGGGCAACTCGTCCGAGTGGGGAGTCTCGCCTTACTCGCAGTATTTCCTTGTCGACCTGCCCAAGCTGATTCTCAACCCTGTTGTCCTCCTGCTCATTCCTTACGGATATATTAAGGACCCCAGCGGAAAGAGAGGCCACCTGCGACTTCTGGGGCTCACTGCCACTATCTACGTGGCCATCTACTCTCTGCAGCCCCACAAGGAATGGCGATTCATCATCTATACCGTCCCCATCTTCACTCTGCTTGCTGCTGTAGGAGCCACTTCCATCTGGGAGAAACGAAACACCAACAAAATCTACATGGTGGGCTCTGTGATAATCATTCTCACCACCTTCTTGACCTTTGTTCTTTCCTGCTTCATGGGTTCGATCTCGTCTTTCAACTACCCCGGAGGATTTGCCCTGGAGGCCTTTCATGATCTGCCCGAGGTGGCTAAACACACCTTCCACTTTGGAGAACGAGGTCAGGCCTACGTGGACCCCATCATGGTCCATGTCGATGTCCCCACCTGTATGACTGGAGCTATTCGATTTGGCGAGTCTGAAGACTTTACAGAGTCCGGAGCCATCATCTATGACAAGACGGAAGATAAGGAGACTCTGGAAGACCTGTGGGACGGATTTGACTATGTTATCACTGCCGAAAAGCGGCCCGACATGGATCTCGCTGATACCATTACCGCTCTGACCCGGGTTGACGCCAAGGAGGCTCTCAGAACCTTCTCTGCTGCCGTCAAGGACCCTTCTGGCACTGCCAACGAGTTCGTTCGGGTGCTCAAGCTGGCTTTTGGAGAGGACGTCAATGATGCCTACCTGGAGCTGGAAAAGGTCTGGGATCGAATTGTCGTCACTGAGCCTGCTTTGTTTATTTATAAGAGGAAGGAGAGCCAGGAGGTTTAGGGAGTTGACCCGTTAGCAGCCCGCTCCTGCTATTCCACTTCCTCCGTAACAGAAAATCGTATAATATAATTATTTAATTCTATTGCACCATGGAACCACAGCAACACCACAACTTGAGCAATTTCCCCTGGATTTCCCTGATAATTAATCCACATTCATTCCTCATAATCCCACCAAAATCCTCACTCAACTCCTCCCCTAACCCCGGCCAAGACCAACTTCTCAACCATATCTCGGAATAATGCGCATTCCAGACTGCACAGCCATGCACATTGCATTATGAGAACGGCCCCCGAATGGAGCTGGCTCGGGGCGATGGTGGGCTTACTAATCCCACTTGGCCCGTCACGTGATCAGTCACATGACCCCCCCCACCACCCTTCCACCCTTCCACCCTCGGTCACAACCTATGGCTCGTATATATAATTCAGTGTCTTAGTAATACTGACTATCGTTGTACTAATAAGTAGCTACTACTTGTAATTAGTCGCCGCTTAGTACGGGGCTCGAAATTAGGTTCCGCAGTGTGGAGATTTTGCAGTCTGTATATCACGTGATTGCGGTGTATATAAGACAATGTTTTTGTGTCAGTTGTTTCCAACCGCTTCTCTCTATATATTGCCCTCTTTTCCACCTCCAAATTTCTCCAGCAGCGTCTTCCCAGGGCTCTCATCCTACGTCACTGTACATGCTGTCGACAGTTGGGTAGTGCAGCTAAAAATCAAAAATCCCAGCTGGCAAACTCAGTTACACGTATCAGATATTGGTATCTGTCTTCATCAACAATCATGGCTACGTTGGATGCGATTCCTGAGTAAGTACGAGAAGAGGCGAAAGCGGCGGGGGGACCAATTGCGGAGATAAATGCGGTCGCGTGATCGCGACAGAGACGGCGGCTGGTCGACGTGGCAGTGGTTACGTGGTAACAAGACTGGACCAGACACCAACACGGCATTTATTGGGGCGATCAGGGTGGTGACACAGATGGAATCAGACAGATATGGAATCAGACGACAGACACCCAGAGAAACAGAAAGGGATAGCAGCACTGCGACACGCAACTTTCTGAGACATACCTTCACCTACCAATGATGAAGGTGCTTTGTAAGGGAGTTTATGGGTCAGAAGATGACACGGGACGTGTGGCGAGGGTCTGTGATGTGTTAATTGCGACCTACGTCATACTCACGGACGTGTTTTGATATGTCATGTCACCTTCGATGGTGACGTTACGACGGAATGTTCTTTGCACCATTACGTGTCAGGGGGTATGCGGAGTGTCTTGCGAGCGAGTAATATGTCTTCAACCGGACATTCCACTGATGACACATCAATCACACTTGCCATTCTGGTAGTTTCTGATTGTCTTTTCTGATTGTCTTTTCTGATTGTCTTTTCTGATTGTCTTTTCTGATTGTCTTTCTGATTGTCTTTTCTGATTGCCTTCTGATTTTGTTATCTCCGATAGTGCATGCCGTTGTATGTGTCGTCAAGGTGCTGTGTCCAGTATGACTTTGTAACCCAAAGCTTGGAATTGCATTTAGACTACATTTCCGACAGTGTTGTTATCCAGCGCAGAGACGTGTCATCTACAGTGTCTGGGTCACGTGTTGTCTGTGCGATTTCTTCGTTTTATCATCTGCTGGTACACCTCACTACAACTTTCACGACAACACCAGTTTAGTTAAAAACTAACACAGATTCCTAGAAACCACGGTTGGAGAGTCGCTCACAGCTCGAACCAACGCGCTGGCAACGTTCAAGGAGCTGGGTCCCCCCGACCTGGTGCACTTGACCAAGGTGGACCACCGAGGCGAGTCCGGGACCTACCACTACGTTATTGGTGTCGACGTGTCGTCTGCGGCGTCTGTGGCCGTCCACCTCAACCAACTGACCTACTCTCTTGGAGAGGAGCAGCTGTGGTTTGGCAAGCCCCAGACATGGAAGATTACCCAAGGTCTGCTGTGTTCGTTCAATGCCTTCACCAAGTGTGACGTACGAATCATTGTAAAGATCCCCGGCGGCGTGGAGTCGTACTTTGTGGACCCTCGAGGCGAGAGACACTCCATGACCGACCAGGTGTGGCTGGAAACATACATGAGTGCCATGATCCGGTCGTTACTGTTTGCCGACGACGACACTTTCTTGACGCATGGCTGTCTCAAGCTGCGACCTCTGCCGCTGAAGAAGAAGAATGTGGTCAACGGCGACTCTGACGAGGGCAACTCGTCCAAGAAGGACGCCACTTCACTGCCCAGCTTGATCCCCGATTCCGACAATGACGTCTATCTTGGCGGCGACTTCTTCCTTGACACCTTTGAGCGTCTTTTCGGCATTGGGCCTCTTTCGGGCGCCTGTTCAGAGATCCAGGTGCCTACTCTCGTCAGCAATTATCTTGTTGACGCGTTCATGGCCTTCATGCGAATCACCCGGCTGTACGACAGAGGTCTGGAGATTGTGCGACGTTTGCAGACCGAGTACCCCGAGGTGGTGTCTCTGATTGCACGAATCCAGCTGCTGATGGACGAGGAGGTGGAAGCCGTTAAGACCATGGTAAAGGGCTTGGAGGAGAATGGCCGGGACGCAGATCTGCTCTCCCTGCAGGCCGAGTTCCTGCTGTCCAAGAACCGAGAGGATATGGCTCTTGGATGCGCCACACGAGCCGTCAACTCTGCTCCCTCAGAGTCCAAGCTGTGGACAGAGCTGGTGCAGGTGTATATTCGCCAGAAGGATTGGGAAAACGCCCTTCTAACGCTCAACTCTTGTCCCATGTTCACATACCACGAGCACGACCAGCATCGAATGCCCGCCCCCGCCAAGAGTCACTACCCCCTGCCTCTGGATGGCATTCTCAAGGACGTTTACGAGGCGTCGCAGGTCGACCAGACCGAGGAGCATGCGCAGATCGACCCCAAGCTCCTGAAGCTACCCGCCCCCAACCTGCGGGCCACCTTTGCCAAGGTCTACGAACATCTTACGGCCATTGTTCACGAGATTGGCTGGGACCAGCTGCTGGAGGTGCGATCACGTGTGTTTGTGATGGATGAGGAGTACAAACGTGGCGGCCGTAGCGACAAGTCGAACAACCAGTCTGGGTCTGCTTCTACTGCGGCCATCCCACCTGCTTCCGCCACTGCCTCGGTTGCTGGATCTACCACTGCCGTCGGATCTGCTGGTCTCACGGCGCCTGAAACCTCACACGCCAACGTCTCGTCGACAAGCGTGTCTGCACCGCAGTTCCGACACAAGCGACTGTGCGAGCGGTGGCTGGACAATCTGTTTATGGTGCTGTACGAGGATCTCAAGGTGTACACTGTGTGGCGGGCCGAGATGCTGTACTCGCAGAGCGAAAACCGGCCGTTTGAGAAACATGCGCTGGAGTGGGAGATTTTGGGTCTGGTTGCATTCCGTCTGCGGCATTATAACGAGGCTGTTGACGCATTTATGCACTCGCTTTCGGCTCGGTTCTCTGCACGTGTGTGCTGGAAGCTCTTGCAGTACTACTCGGACGTGTATCCCGAGCAGGAGAAGCAGCTTGCTCCTCAGGTGAGCAAGACTGTTGCCCGGGTGGCCGAGGAGCGGGAGATTGATGTGCTTGTGCGGCTCGTGTCCTTCAACCACCGGTGCTACTCGGTTTTCTCCGTCAAGCTTATTGAGGCGTACCGAAAGCTGGTGGATCGGGACGGCCTGGTCAAGATCCAGAACCGGATCCGAGCCATTTTCTATGATGACAAGGGCGTGTTGGAGCTGGTCAACGAGGTGTTCCAGGGAATTCACTAGGTCCAATGCGAGGTATATAGACGAATATGATGATTGTATAATAGCTGAGGCACAGTTGTGAGAGTCAAATACGACCAAGTAAGACCACAACCGCACATGTCGACACGCGGATCCATCAAAACGAGACCTGATGAGTCCCACATGTGTGACCCCCCAAGTCCTAACTTCGATAGGCCACTCAAGTCAGCTCAAGCAGATGGACTAGGGCTATTATGGTGCAATGCCATACTTCTGGTGCTCTCAAACCTATACATATATGAGTCTTTGGCCAGCAGTACAGTACTTGTACTGTGCTTGAACTTGTATAAGTACATGTAAGTTGTTTTAGATCTTGTACTTGTCTGCGATGATCCGCATAGCTCGTTTGAAGGGGCTGAATCGACTTGGATATTGGCAGAAAACAGAATATGTTGTATTTTATCAACAAGTGACGATTTTATAATGCAATTGGGGCCTCTGAAGCGCGACAATTTCATTTCTGGGGCTCTCAGGATTCTTGGGAATTAGTTGAGGAATTAGTTGACATGTAAGATCATTGGAGTGGACATGGACTTGTTTGTATAAATGCATAGATGAATTGAAAATATACACGTATCAAGGGGTCACCAGACAAATGCAGATTTCAAGTTATACGGAAGCACCCGATTATTGGATACATTACTATACAACTTTGCAAGTCTTCCAGTCCGCTTGTTCCCTCCCATTAGTTAGGAGTTACTCAAGGTTCAAGGCTTTTTTTGCTAGATCAAAATGTGTCATTTCGGGCGAAACCAACTCCCCATACTACCCATCCTCGACCATTCAATTGTGCTCCTCGTCCACATCCATTCATTGTCCTTTTCTTTCATACAAATACTCCTACAAGTACTTCTATTGTGTCTCTGTTACCTCCAATAAACTGCAATATGCCTACATATGTTGGGTTTAGGAGATATTACAGTGCAGAGTTGCAGAGTTGCAGAGTTGCCGAGGTTGAACTAAGGGTCAACAAAGGAACCAGGATGTAAGGTGGACAAGGACTGTTTTGAAGGTGGCTTTTTGAGACTTTTTCCGCTACAAAGTAGTCTGGTCACGTGGAAATCGCTTATGCACGTCGTCTGAGCCGGCACATGACGAATTACGCACGTGACCCGGCCTGTAGCTGTTTTTCCACACCCTGTCATTGCCTCGGGTCACCGTTTACCCCACAACGGCATGACGTCATGCAGATGAGTGGAGACGGTAAAATGAAGAAGGAAGGAGACACAACTAGCGAGTACTGACACTTGTACAGGGGGAAGGAGTTTCAGTCACGTGACACATACATACATACAAAAATCCCTCGCGTCCGGCACGTGATTCCGTTCGTCCGTCCTGTTCGTCTGGCATGACTCATGACTCACTTTTCAACGCCGTTTCACTTGTCTGTCTGTCTACCTCCTTTCATATGCATGCAGCCGAGTACGCTCGAATGTACGGGGAAGTTTGGGGGAAAAAATAATTCCAAATTTAAAAACGAAAAAAAAGAAAAAAAAGAACAAAAAACAAAATGTTTAGTCCCAAGATCCGAGCCGGTTGGAGGGAGCGGAGAAGAGGCAGGGAGGGTGGAATTCAGAGGAAGGGTTTCCGAAGGTGTGTAAAGATAGTGAATTTAGCCAATGGTCCGAATTAGTCTGATGGGGTTTTTATATAGATTTTTTTCATTGTTTTTTGTCTCGATTTTGTTTTTATTTTTCCTTTTATTTTTATTTTTATTTTTATTTTTATTTTTATTTTTATTTTTATTTTTCCTTTTTTTATTTTTCCTTTTTTTTATTTTTCAATTCTTGTATCTTAGTGCCTCCGAACGTACCCCAGATTTCGGCACAGTCTCGGTTGGAGACGGACCAAAGTGGCAGACAAAACCAGGTATACACGGGATTTTGGCGAAAGTAGAAGCGGAAATCCGCTCGTCTGGGCCACGTGATCCACATGTCGGCCTTGACTTTTTCCGGCCGCCGTTTACTTGTCTTTTTTTGACGTCTGGTCTGGAGCTATATCCTTCTCCGACACGGTTCCGGGCCGTGGGGTAAGGGAGAGGTTTGTGGAGAGTCGGATAAAACTAGCACCAAAACACGGCTGAGACAAAGGGAACAAAGAAAGCCGGTCCAACGCGTCTTGTGACGGCATTTGTGGATTTAGGTGCGAAACAATCGACCGGAGGCTCCGAATATCAATGTTGGATAGGGACAGTCGTTATGCCAAAACATTGAACAAGGTTGTCCCAATCAGAGGAGGATGATTGAGGGTGATGAGAGTCGGGTCTAACGAGGCAAATATTGGCGTTAGAGAAAAACAGAGACCATCATTGCACTCAGCTGGTCTCCAGGATCCCATATATATACACAATCGCCCCCTAAACCCGCCGCTACACCCCCCTATACCGAATCCTCCATATTCACATGCCGAGGTAACCTTCCCGTGTGAACAACTCTAAACACTTCTTATAACTCGGACGTTGCCATCTCCTAACTGCACTCAACTATCCCTTCCACACACCCCACACAATGAGTGACGCTCCCGAAATTGACTCTGGCGTTAAGGCCATCGCTCCCCCTTCCGCTCTCAAGTCGTTCCTGTCGCAGGCCGAGTCCTTCGCCGCCGGTGGCTTTGGAGGTATCTGCGCCGTTCTGGTTGGTCATCCGTTTGATCTGGTCAAGGTGCGTCTGCAAACCGGCTCTCCGGGCCAGTACAAGGGCGCCATGGACGTGGTCGGTAGCATCATGAAGACCGACGGTCCCCGAGGCTTCTACCGAGGAGTCATGGCTCCCCTGGTCGGAGTCACCCCCATGTTCGCCGTCTCTTTCTGGGGTTACGATGTCGGTAAGCAGATTGTGTCTTCTGTGTCCGAGGTGGACGCCAAGAAGGGCTTCTCCATCGCCCAGATCTCGGCCGCAGGTTTCCTCTCCGCCATCCCCACTACAGCCGTCGCTGCTCCCTTTGAGCGAGTCAAGGTCATTCTGCAGCTCCAGGGCCAGGGCAAGACCGGCGGCAAGCAGTTCAACGGTGCCATCGACGTGGTCAAGCACCTGTACAAGGAGGGTGGTCTCAAGTCCGTCTTCAAGGGCTCTGCCGCCACTCTGGCCCGAGATGGTCCCGGCTCCGCTCTCTACTTTGCTACCTACGAGTTCCTCAAGCGAAAGCTGTCTCCCCCCGCCGAGCCCGGATCTGCTGCCCAGCCCCTGTCTCTCGCCGCCATTTCCTTCGCCGGAGGTATGGCTGGTGTCGCCATGTGGGTGCCCGTCTTCCCCATTGATACCATCAAGTCCGTCCTGCAGTCGTCCGAGACCCCCCAGAGCATTTCCCAGGTCACCAAGAGCATCTACGCCCGAGGCGGAATCAAGGCTTTCTTCCCCGGTATCGGCCCCGCCCTGGCCCGTTCATTCCCCGCCAACGCCGCCACCTTTGTCGGCGTCGAGCTCGCCCACAAGTTCTTCACTTCTCTCGCTTAGACGGAGACGCAGACAAAAAGAATGGGAAAAACGAATCCGTCGGATACGGATTGTATAAATTAATGATTTATAGATGATAGAAGAAACTGTCCCGCAGTTTTGTTTCGCAATAGGTAACTGTAGACAAGTTTGATCGCGTCATGAAACGAATGTGAATGTGAGACATCACCAACTTAGCGCAGCTTATGAAACATTCTCATTGTTGGTCGCGTTTCAAATCACGCGACTGGCACGAGCTGGACTATTCTGACTATTCTGTAGAGCCAACGTTAGTGCACAAGTCATGATCATGAGTGAGATCACCTCCTACGACTCAATTGCAGAAGTGGAAACGAGTCAAGAAAGGATGGAGCCATTGTATCCGTTTACGTTACATGATCTACACAGCTCACACACGGCTGCATTCATTCCGTTCAGATAATTCGTGATCGATTGACGATAATAAATATTTACACTTTTTTTTCAATATCCCGGAGGCTGGTATCCTCGGTAGGACGTGGCGGGCGGTGGCATGTCGCGCTCAGAGCCATTCTGGTGAGAGTAGAAGGCTCCACTGCCCGCCGGAGCGTGGTAGTCGGAGTTGACTGTGTGATTGGATAGAGCAAAGGGATCGCGCTCGTCGTAGGGACCGCCAGACAGAGGCCGCTCGTAGCCCGAATGAGGGGCCAGAGTATCTCTGGGAAGCCGGGGCTGAGGGAACTCGTCGTCGGAGGAGTAGCGTCGGTTGGGGTCCCGGTTGACATCGTCGCCAGAGACCATCATGGTGGCTCCCAGAGCATCCAGCTCGGTATCCTGGGCGTCCTTTTCGGCCTGGTTGTGGGGGATGAACGACACTCGGTCGTCTCGCATGGGCTGATATCGCAGATCGGGGTCCTTGGAGAGCAGAGCTCGGACAGACGAGATGATGACCGAAATCATCAGAATGAGCGAGAAGGCGGCGTTGAGCACAAAAAAGACCACAGCCATGATGGAGCCCACATACAGGGGCTGGCCAAAGACCTGGGAGAAGAACATGTAGAACAGTGCGTTGATGAACATGATGGACGCGATCGCAATGTTGAACACGTTGGTGGTTTTATCCATGTACGGCTTGATCCACGACACAATCACCAGATAGACCAGCTCAATGACAAAGTAGACCACTCCCTGGACCTTGCCTGCCTTCTGGGCGAAGGCAATCACCAGGGCTCGGGCCAGATGGAACCCGATGATGACAAGAACATAGTAGTAGGCGGTGGCTCGGAAGTTGACGTACAGAAAACCCCACTTGTGGAGGGTGACCGGATCACCATACAGCATGTAGGCCGGGTTTCTGTAAAGCGACATGGATCGCTTGGCCATCATGATGATTTTAAAGCCGCCGAAACAGAGAAGAAGCAGAAGGGTGAGGAAGGTGACGACGGCGATGACCACCACAGCAGCAGAGTCTCGTTCAATGAGCTCCCACAGACACAGCACGGACATTTGAGGCCAGCCAATCAGCGCCATTCGGTACATGGCGCCCTTGCTGATATACTTCCAGTTCTGGCGGTACTCCTCATACTTTCCGGGGTTCATGACCTTGATTCGGATGAAGTTCTCAATGGTCACCTTGAAAATGATGACCAGGAACACCAGACAGAAGCCGACAAAAGCAAACATGGTCCAGCCCGTAAGAAAGACGTTGGTGAGCTCAATCTTGGACAGAAACGCCACCCGCTCGATTCCTCGAACAATGAGGGTCTTTCCGTAGATTCGGGGATCCTTCTGGTTCTCGGTCTGCGATCCCAGATCATCCAGGGTGCTGTTGTCTCGTTTGAGCAGATGCAAGCCCACGCCCACAGCCATGTCCACCATATCTCCTCGAGAGGCCATTCGTCTTGAGATGGCGTCTTTAGACGAGGCAATGAAGTTGGTAATTCCTTCATCCGAGAGAGCGTTGAGAGCACGCGCGTAAAGAGACCGTTTTTCCACAGACACGGAGATGAGCTGTCGGTTTCGAATGATGAAGGTGGAGGTTCCGCCGGTGGCCTGGACGTACCAGTTGAAAATGTCCTGCATGAACTTGACGTTGACAAGGCCCAGGGTCCAGGTGAAGTTGGACGACCAGGCAGCTGCGATGGGAGGCAGCTTTTCCACCGCCATCATGGAGATGATGGCGATGGCCTGGAAGTATGTGAAGAGCGAGACGGCGTTGGAAGCCACATGGGCGGCGGTGTTGCTGTGGCCCATGATGGCGACGACACCAGCGGTGACCATTCCGATGAGACAAGCGCCGGCGATGATCCACGAGGCGATCTTAGTCTGGACGGTTTTGCCGTTATTGAGCGACGTCTCCACACAGGCCACGATGGTGTTGGGGTCGTCGTTGTAGTGGACCTTCACGGTGACCACACCGTCGAGATCGGGAATGGTGTAGGCGATGCCGGGAATCTGGTCCACCACGTTCTTACTGATATCATTGAGGGTGGTGGTGAAGTCGAAGTTTCCCTTTGCTATCGGACACAGCTGGGGCATATTGTTTTTGCAAAAGTCAATCTTTTCGTTGACTACCTCGATACCGTAGGCCTTGAGCGTGATGGTGCCGGTGATGTTGCCCTCCAGGTTGGAGATGGCCTTGAGGTCGATATTGGCCGTCTGGTTGTCTGGGAAGAACTTGATGTCGAACCGGGACGCGGTGAACTGCGACGACGTCATGCACGACTTGAGCGCGTCCGATCCGATCTGGTGGAGCGCCAGCGCGTAGCTCGCCAGGCTGAGCAGAAAGATCCAATTCATCTTGGTGTCTTTGGTCCAATGAGTGTGAGTGAGTGTGACTGGGTGTGACTGGGTGTGACTGGGTGTGACTGTAGGTGTGGGTTGGTTGTTTCGGGGTAACAGGGTGATCACCTGAGTAAGCTGAGAAAGCTGAGTAAGCTGAGTAAGCTGAGTGAGCTGAGTAAGCTGAATATAGCCGAATGGAGCTGTCTTGACGTGTCTTGAATGTCTCGAGCTCTGTCGTCGTTCTCAGTAACAATCAAAAGTGGTGTACAAGTACAGTGATAACAATTTTAAGCATCATCTCGAGTATCTTTTGGCCCACCTAAAAATAACCTAAACAAAGCACCGAAGATACGCACCCTTCATGCGTATTCTGACATACAAAGACTACACAGCCCGAAGACACAACTTGTAACTACCATCAGCACAGTGCCAGTACGAGTACCGCCGTCGATCCAGAAGAAAGAGACATTCGCACGGTTCCCGTTTTCCGGAGATCACGTGACACGCTCCGCGGAAAGGTCTCTTTTCCCCCTTTCATTTCCCGAGGTCCGTCTCTTCAAAACACGATCCCGACTTTACACTCCTCCATCTTCACGTCAGGGGGCGGACTTTAGACTTTGGACAGTGTCAGATCTGGAAAAGAAGCAACACACGGAGAACTTAGTGATGTGGAGACGCGCGACGATGTTGACAGAAGAAACCAAGTCACGTGGATTGGGACGTTGTTGGCGTCACGTGACGCGGACCGGGCGTCGGTGCTGTGGTCACGTGAACAGAACGGGATGTTGTCGCCCCAGCACCTTTGGACCTATCGCTTTACCGTGTGTACAGTGCAGTATAGTGATTAGTACGAAATGTCCCCCTCAGCTCTTGCACGCGCCAAGTGAGAGGAGAGCACATTCCGGAGAAGAAAATGCCCAGAGTTGCCAGAGTGGAGAGCTGGGCTTCGGTGGCGCAGTGGTGAAATGTGTCTTTTGGTAGTTGGGTGAAGGGTGGGTTCACAGTATACATTGGGGCTACTACCGGTTGCAGTACTTAGACTTTGGCAAATTAGTTGGGAGTTTAGTTGGAAGAAAAGTGGTGCTGGGGGTGCAAATTCAATGATGCAGAGGTTGTAGAAATATAATGAGGACATTAATGGATACGTAATTAGCAAGTTTATAACTAAAATACAACAAAAAACACCCCCTGTCATACAATATTTTCAGATATCGCCAATTGTATGCATTACCATTAACAGCAAACAGTTGGGACATTAGTTGGAAATTAGTTTACGAAAACATGGACAAGCTTTTGCAACGCTGACGCCAATCTCACCCTCCTTCTACTGCCTGGCCTCTTCAGAAGCATTTTTCTGAAATTAAAAAAACATAAATATATTAGAATGGCCGTTCGGAATCCATTGAAACTGCCAGATTACCGATATTCCCTCCGTTTCGTCCTCTATTTGAAACCTCCACTTCACATGCCCCAAAGTGAAGCCTATAAATGAAGCCTATAAATGAAGCGGCTGTAAACTGAACCTACACACTATTTCCACCTGAAACAAGGCGAAATAGCCGTGTCGTAGTCAGCGCCGCAGCTACAGTTGGCGCCACGGGTCCACCGTTTAGGCGTGTTCAGACCAGGTCGTCGGGTCGCCGGTCGCCGGGTCGCCGGGCGGTCTGAGGTCACGTGACCGGCAATTCGCATTCGCATTCGCATTCACATTCGCATTCCCAACGCCTGCCCTGCTGATAGGGTTGCTGCATGGCATAATACCCCAGCTCTTCGTTGCTGCGTGCTGCTGGGTGGTTGCATATTGCTGTTGAACTGCGATGGCAGCAGCAGGGTCAGGAAAAGGTGGTTGACGAGGCAGAACCGAAGCGCAGTGTGGGTTTGGGTAGTGAGTGGCCGATATCGCGTCGTTTCAGGGGTTCGACAGATGCCGCGAGTCGTGGATGACGGCGTTCAGACTCATAAGTAGATTAGAATACTTATTGTACATTGGAGGAGGGAGAGGCGACTGCTGGTAGGCTGTAGGAGGGTGTGTCGTGTGGTTTTGTGGTTGTGGGTGGTTGGGGTTGTGGTTCTGTAGGTGATCCGGTGACAGTTGTCTTGTTGCGGGTTGATACACAACTCACATTTGCTGGGATACGTTGTGTCTCAAGATGTTTGAATCGTCTTGAGTTGGTAGAGTAGACAACTGTGGGCTGTCCATTTTGTCTTGCGTTGACTCCACAACCTCCCAACTGACAACTGAGACATAATGTCGTGTGAGGTCGTGTAGTGTTGTGTGGGGACCGGCAACTGATAGTTGAGGAGTGCTACCGCTGTCCTGGCTTGTGTCGACGGTGTCTTGTGAGTCGACGGTGTGTCTTCGGCGTGCTGTTTTCAGCGTGATGTCTTCGGCGTCCTGTCTCGGCGTCCTGTCTCGGCGTCCTGTCTCGGCGTCCTGTCTCGGCGTCCTGTTTTGTCCACCGTCACGGTGTGTTGTTGAGATTCGGCCCTCTCTAGACCGGAGACTCCTCTTTCTTGACCTTCTCCTTGGACATGCCCGCCGGCGGAGGAGTGACAATTTGCAGCTCGTTGCACCGCAGCTCGAGCTCCTTGCCCTCCGCAATGAGGTTCTTCAAAAAGGCCACCGTCTTATTGAGCACAATCGCCTCGGACCGGCCCTGGCTCTTGTCCAGGTTGGGCACAATCTTGGTGATGCGCTCAAACCCCTCGCGGATCGCCTGACGGCGCTTCTGCTCGCTGGCAATGTGGTTGGCCTTCTTCTCCTCCACCGTCAGCAGCTCGCCCTTGGGCTTCTGGGCCCGCGGCATGGGCTGCACCGTCGACTTTCGGCGCGCAGACTTTTTGGCGCTCTCGGGCGACCCGGCGGTGGGCGGCGTGGCCGAGTTGGAGGCTGATCGGGAATCCATGATGCTGTCGAATCGGAACGAGACGGCTCGGAGATTGGTACGAGTACGATACCAGAACGGTGGTAGAGATAGAACCTCTGCTTATACCTCTGGCTCCATGCAAAGCTTTTTCCCTCCAAACCTTGTTAGGTGTGGGGTAGTGCATGCGTTGACTGGGGTAGGTGGAGGGGCACGGACCCTAGTCCAAATGGCGGGGGACCGCGAAACGACGGGTTTGGAGCCGGTATCGGCAATCACGTGGTCCAGACGAGCTACGGCGTGTTCTTTTCTGTGTGTTTGCGGCACTTTCGGGACTCTCTTTGATTATTAATCCGACTCGTGCATGTGATTGTTTGGACTGCAGCCCGTGATGATTACTCAGCGGAGGAGTGGGTGAGGTTGAGGAGTGGGTGAAGTTGAGGAGTGATCGAGTTTCATGAACAGATCTAAATCTTCTCTGGAACTTTTGAGATTGGCATGTTTTGGATGTTATTACAGTCTGCTTCTCACTTGATCAACCAGTGCCAGTATGGCGTCGTGATTGGTGGTCAAAGTACCCCCAAAAGTGCAGTACTTTCCCGAGAAATCGGTGATATTGACAACTAAATCATCAGTTTCGGATCGGAGATTCACCTGGTACACTTGCTTATCCGGTGACATAGGTTTACCACCACATTGGACCCGGTCCCTGTCCATTATGGAACTCAAAGTGCTGATGGTTCCAAAATAGCCAAGCATGATGAGGTTGGAACAACAGGCCGCCAAATGATCAACTGGGCCTTTCTGTCTAGAGACCCAGATTGGCTGTACTTCGACCAAGCCCATTCAGAATGACGTCAGAGTGCTTCATGGCTGTGCTAGAATCGGTTTAAAAGTCAATGTGGTGTCTCACTACAAGTAGAGGCCAGGCAGGGAATGTTGTATGAAGCCCAATCAACAGAGATGCTTTCTGCCATCGCCCTCTTCGTACATGTTTCTACCTCAGATCCGTCCATCTTACTCTCTACAGTCCCTCGACAGGTTGCCAACAATCAATTAAGAGCTACAAGTACTTGTACGTTGAGTATCATTTCATTAAATGTGAGCCGGTGATTCTAACCTCAACTGATGCACCATTGTTGTTGCTCAACGTCCAGTTTCCCGTTTCGATAACCGATGGCCATTTGGTCGCACCATCCCTGAGATACGACTTTCAACAAGGAACCGAAACCTTAACAATACAGAGCCGCACGACAGTAGACAGCACTAAGAGAGGGTCCAAACAGTCAATTTGAAGCGGGTTTTGGACATTTTCACGGAATAATCTGAGCTCTTATCACGTGATGAACCGATTTACTCTTTCAAAATCCACACTTTTCTCCCCAGAAATCGGTTTTATCGACTCCCCAATATTTCCCCCGAAACTCTAAATGTTGCATCAGCATTTTCATTTCAGAAATATTTCGCCATACATCCACCCAACATCAACGTGTCGAAAATGGCAAAAAAAAACACGCCGACGCCAAAAAAAACGGCCGTGGAGCCCGCATCCAAGGGAAAGGGCAAGGGCAAAAAGTCTCCGGACCCTGAACCGCTTCCCGGGCCGCCAAAACCCACTGCCCGCCAGATTGTGGCCAATTCGTCCTGGACCGGAAAATTACCGGCCACTCTGCTCCACGAACATGTTCAGAAGTTGAAATGGGAGCGGGTCGACTATGACATGCGACGGGTCAAGACTGGGTTCATCGCCACCGTGATTCTTAAACAGAAGAACCCCAAGACCCAGGAAGTGGAGGAGATCAGATACATGCCTCCTGCGGATCTGGTCCAGGGCAAAGACACGGCCCTGGAAGCCCGCCATCTAGCTGCCACATACGCGCTGCATCGCATCTCGAGTCACAAAAACCTGTCCATGGTTCTCCCCACGGATCATAAGACTCTCTGGCAGAAATGTGACAAGAAAAAGAGTGAAGATATCAAGTCTGGACAGGCCACTGCCGACGACTACGTTCCCGATCCATTTATTGTGAAACGAAAGCGAGAGACCGAGCGTGCTGACCGCGAAAAGAAGCGCCAGATTGAAAGGGAACGGGCAGAAAAAAGTAAGGTGGAGGTGAAGGTTGCGATCGAGTCGAGTGGAAAGACGACGGCGAACGGCGACCCCAAGAAGTCACGTGAGTCACCTGATCCGTCTAGGAAGCCCGGTCCCCGTCCCCGAGAGCTTTTCCCTCCCAAATCATGGGACTACGCGCCCAAGGCCGAAATGTCTCAGGAGCTGCGAAACCTGGTGGAAAGCGTCATCAAGAAGAAGGTCACGTGGGAGAAGAATGAAGCCGATGATTCGACCACGGCGGCAAATGACAAACTGATTGCCGAAATCACTAACCTGGGATTCCGCAAGTCCCACGTAACCGAGGCTCTTCAGTACGCTTCTCCGGAGGCTACGGAGCTGCTCGAATGGCTTCTACTACATGTTCCTGAGGACGATTTGCCCGGCAAGTTTCTGCCCGACAAGTACACTACGGGAGTGTCGTTCCACACGCTGGAGCTGTCACGTGAGTACATGGTCAAGCGTTTCCAGGAAGACGGATACAACAGAGATGTGGCCATTGATGTACTGGAGCGAGTTGACTGGAGCGAGCGGTTGGGTAATGTGGAGTTGTGCAAGAGGTTAATTGGTGAACCTGCCTCCGATTCCCCGTCTTGTCGGGTCAGTGAGATGACCATCTCCGAGGTATCCGGGGATTCGGAGTCCGAGTCTCTGTCAATCTGGAACGAGGAAATGGAGGCTCTGGAAGCCATTTTTGAGCCCGAAAGACTGTCGGTTGCGGACGACCGAATCAGTGTGTCTCTCAACTGTCGAAATCTCGAAAACGGCCTGTTACAAGCCACTTTTTGGAGATCCAATGACTACCCGGCATCGTTCCCTTCAATAGCCGTAAGAGCCATCAAAAAGGGCCACAGATTGCCACATTACATCCAATTGGCCATTATGCGCCGGGCATTAGAGATGTCACGTGACACGCTGTCTGGGGACGCGCAGATTTGGGCCATTTGCGAGTGGCTGGAGGACAACTGTTGTGAGATCATAGACAATCCTGGCGAGCTTGCTGGGGTCAGTGGGGGTGTTGGTATTGTCAATCAGCCCTCTATGGTGGTTAGAAAGGGCCAGAATAAGTCTCGACCCATTCCCAAGGCTCAACTAAACACCAAACAAATCCAGGAGAGTTTTGTAAAGCGATTTGTTGGTGGGGAATGGGACAAGATGAAGAAGAGCAGACAGTCGTTGCCGGCATGGGAAAAGCAGCGGGATGTCATTGATGCTCTTTCTGCCAGTCAGATTGTACTGGTGACCGGAGAAACCGGTTCCGGTAAGTCCACCCAGACTGTTCAGTTCATTCTGGACCATATGGTGTCCACCACCAGCACGACGCCCAACATCATCTGTACACAGCCTCGACGAATTTCCGCCATGGGTTTGGCTGAACGAGTGGCTGCGGAACGAATGTCTGAACTCGGTACCGAGGTTGGTTACATCATCAGAGGCGAAAACAAGACTTCCAAGGAAACACTTTTGCGGTTTGTGACTACTGGAGTGCTGCTGAAGATGATCCAGGGCGATTTCAAGACTTCTCTGAGCAATGTGACTCACGTGGTGGTAGATGAGGTCCATGAACGGTCTGTCGATGGTGATGTATTGCTCATCCTTCTCAAGAGTCTTCTGACAGTGTTCCCGCATCTCAAGATTGTGCTCATGTCTGCCACGGTCGACTCAAACACATTCATCAACTACTTTGGGGGCCACGGCAAGGTCGGTCACGTGCACATTGAGGGCAGAACATTCCCAGTCGACGACGTATACCTCGACGGAGTTATTGAACAGAGCAACTACGGAGAAGGAGAGCCGGTCAACAAAATCATCACCAAACTCGGCGAGGGAGTCAACTACCAGCTGCTGAGTCATCTCATCAGTCACGTGGACACCCAACTCACGGCGCAGTCATCCAAGGGAGGAGTGCTCATTTTCCTGCCCGGAGTGGCCGAAATCTCGCAATGTTGCGCGGTGCTGAGTCAGCTGGGCACCTGTCACGTGATTCCGCTCCACTCCGGGCTCTCGCCTCAGCAGCAGCGGCTGGTTTTTTCGACTCCGCCCAGGGGCAAGCGCAAGGTTGTTGTTGCCACTAATATTGCCGAGACGTCGATCACCATTCCGGATATTGTGGCTGTGGTGGACTCTGGGCGTGTCAAGGAGACGGTTTATGATGCTGAGAACAACATTGTGCGTCTTGTGAGCACGTGGGTATCTCAGGCCGCTGCCAAGCAGCGTCGTGGACGAGCTGGACGAGTTTCTCGAGGCACCTGCTACAAAATGTACACTCAGCAGGCGGAGCAGGGCAAAATGCCGGAGCGAACTGTGCCTGAAATGTCTCGGACTCCGTTGGAGCAGCTGTATTTGTACGTCAAGAGCATGAATGTTGGCGATGTTGGCAAGTTTCTGTCTCGGGCCATTGATCCTCCTTCTGTGACTGCCATTTCCACCGCCCAGTCCATCCTGACCAATATGGGGTGTATTTCGGTGTCTGGAGCTCTGACTGCGTTGGGAAAGCACATGTCGATGATTCCTGGAGACCTCAAGGTGGCCAAGTTGCTGATTATCGGCTCGGTTCTCGGCTGTTCCAAGCTCATGTTGGCGGTGGCTGGAGTTCTTTCTGTCAAGTCGCCATTTCTGAGTCTGGCCGATAAGAGAGACGACATCAAGGCGAGTCGGAGCCAGTTTTCGACCGGAAATGGCGACCTGTTGACCGATGCCACTGCCTATCTTGAATGGGAGGCCCGCAAACACGTGAAAACCACCCGGCTGTGGTGCAAGGAGAACTTTCTGTCCTCCGAAGTGCTCTACAACATTGACAGTACCGTCAAGCAGTTTTCCGAGATTCTGCGCAACCTCAACTACTCCATCAACGGCACCAACACCTCCAACAACCTGGCCCGAGCCGTCATTGCCTCGTCTCTCAATCAGCAGATTGCCAAGGTGCGCCATCCGGACAAGAAGTTCTCGCAGCTGGCGTCGGGAGCTGTTCAGGTCGATCCCGAAGCTCGAGAGTACAAGTATTATCTTCAGAACGAGCGGGTTTTTATCCACCCGTCCTCCACGGCGTTTTCTGAACGAAATCTGCCCCAGGAGGCCTGCTTCATGGCCTACTTTACCCGCATGGAGACCTCCAAGGTGTTTCTGAGAGACGTGACGCCAGTGTCAAAGTACGCCATGCTGCTATTTGGAGGCAAGCTGGACATTGACTACACCGGGCGAGGCGTGGTGATCAGCGACTGGCTCCAGATCACGTGCTGGCCCCGAATCGGAGTGCTGGCGGCCAAATTGAGACAGCTGCTGGAGGAGGGGCTTCAACGCAAGTTTGACAATCCCCGGGAGGAGCTGGATCCAGAGCTGGTTAACACGGTGGTCAAGCTTCTGGAGACCGATGGTTTGTAAAAGTGGTATAGATTGTAATGTATTGGTTGATGGAAACTATGGAGGAGATTGGTGAGGTGACAGTTGGACATCACATGACGACACTTCGCTCGCTACGATACTGTGGACTTGCGACTTGCCATCACTAGACTAGTTTCGGTCTGACGTACTCTACTGTACCCCAAGACTTTGGAGATTCAATCGGTGACCCAAAAAGAACTGTAGCAGTTGCGGACTCTTGAGTTCAACTTTTATCTACAGTGACCATTGATTGGTGATCATCACGGTAGCTGTGTCGACGTATTGGTTCAGAGACTGGTTTCTCATGTCGAACCTGTCACCTGCTACGTCTCTGCTCCCCTGGAAGGGCTATAGACAGATCACTAGTGCTGTACAGAACATTGGTGCTGTACTCGAAAGATGCTCGAGTTGTAAAGCTGCTTCAAGGACATCGACTTCTCGTGATGGTACTGCTTATCATTGAGAAGACCTGGCCACTCTACATTCGGATGCGCTATCACAACTTTCACAACCGCGTTTCCAACCGCTCTCATATCGAACATGGACTATACTCATCCTGACCAATTGGCTGATAGCCGTTGGAGTCTTGGAGTCAAGCTATCAGTAGCTGTCGACTATAGTGACGTTTCCGTTCCAGTTCAATATATAGGCCAAGTAACAGTATCTTGAAACCCTCCACTTGACTGTTATCACCAGGCTGCTCCCTTCCAGCGCGGCAAACAGCCTGCCAAGCAGCCAAGCGAGTTCGGGGAACAATTTGAACCTCGATTGGTTATATGATTCTGAACTGTCTTTTGCTCTCGTAATGATCTTTGCCTGGTAAGCTGCGTTGTGTGAATGGTACCTCAAGAGACTGTTGATGTCCCTATCTATTCAGACAGCATACTGTAGCCCAGATGACAGCCTTGTTTCAGCCAAGCGAGATGCTGAATCTTCAGATATCGGCGAATCTTTGTCAGTTTCATTTGTCGATTTCATTTGTCGATTTCATTTGTCGATTTCCTTCTCTCCTTCTCCTTTTCCCTTTCTTCGTGATCATAACAGTCGTCCTACGGTCCAATACAGTACAGTATCTAGACCACTCCCACAGCCTCCAGTGTCTCATTGTCTCCACCGTTATCTCTCTTCCTCTCCATTGACCAAGATGACGAACTCGTCCTCGGCTCAGACAAACTCCAGCTCCCCCTCAGTGCTCAGATCGCTCCACTTCAGCTCTCAGATCCAGTTCCTAACCCCCTCTCAGGGCAAAGCTCAGCAAAAGACCGGGCCATCTCAAAGCCAAGATGGACTTGATATCGTCACATCGCTCATGGGTCGCTTTCTTCACCCTTTGGATCTTGACAGGATCGCACTGGAGCAATCTACGGCGGCCCCTGAGCTCCATATCTGTAGCAAGTTCAGTGTTGGAGAACAACGAGGTCGATAGAGAGAGTGGGAAACAGCCAGGTAGTCCTTGGTGATTGTCATGTGATTTTCATGCGATTGCCATGTGATTGTCATGTGATTGTCATGTGATTGTCATGTTTTTTGTTTTTTTTCAGCGAATTGTTAAGACTTTCGCGTCTAGTTGAACACTAGTTGAATCTAGTGGAACATCTAAGAAATTCTCAACAAAACGCACAACACTCACTGAATCACCACAACACAACCCATGGTCACAGACATACCGTGTTCACAGACATAACCCGTTGTCACAACCTTCTCTCCTCTCCTCCCCCCCCCCATCACGTGACTCTACTTTCCTCTCCGATATCGGCCTACGATCTCCCCGCCGCCGATGAGCAACTCTAACCCCGCGATTCGGTCGGACCTGCCGTTTTGGTGTGTGCGCCCAAATGAGGATAGAGAATACCAGTATGGACCAAACTAAAACCGTTGTTTTTGTCTAGGTGCACAGAGTCCTATGCATGTTTCCGTTTTTCTCTAGCATCTCTGGAACGCTCCATAAATGTCTTTCAAAAATCCTCTTGTCAGTAGCCGAGAAAGTTTGTTTTTTTTTGGAGAATTTCCGGATCTCACGAGGGGGTCCAAAACTAGACATACCCGTACTCCATTTTGGTCAGATTTTTCACCACTCCTTACATGAATCTTTAGCTATCTATCAAGACTTTCGGCTTGTCTCTATCCCTTTCCGATCCCCCTTTATTGACTCTTCCCCCCCACTGCCTGCCCCCCAACTCCAAACCATAAAAGCGCATAACCAGCTCCGATCGCCCTTCTCAACTCTTCCTCCTCACACTTGTCGACATGCTCGTTATCGGACACAAAGACCTCGCGACTCTGCTCAATTCGCTTTCGCCCTATGACGTGGAGCAGGCCAAAAAGTCGCTTCTCAAGTCACTCCAGGAGGTGACCCAGTATCCCGAGACGGTTCCTCCTCGCACGGTCATTGAGGCGGACTATGCGACCCATCTGTTCATGCCTGTGGTGGGAAAGGAGATTGTGGAGGCCACGGGCTCGCCGCAGATTGGATTCAAGGCGCTGGCAGGCTCCCGGGAGGGCTTCAAGGGCCTCACAACCATCATGGACAAGTCCGGCGAGGTCCAGGGAATCATTAACGCCTTTGAGCTCACGGCGTTCCGAACCGCGCTGGCCACGTCACTCAGTTGGGACGTGTACAAAAAGACGTCGCTGTACGCCGCCCATGGCGACAAGCCGCTCAACATGGCGTGTTTTGGAGCCGGCCCCCAAGCCTACTGGCACGTCAAACTGGCCGTGATGCAGTTTGACATTGACACGGTGTTCATTGTGAACCGAACTGCGCATCGAGCGGACGAGCTCATTCAACGGCTCAAGCGCGAACACCCCAACGCCAAGTTCCAGCGATGCGACAGCCCCGATACTGACGTGCCCACATGCTCTCTAATTGTGGGATGTACTCCCTCCACAACGCCCGTGATCCACCACCAGTGGATCCAGAAGAACGCCTACATTGGTCTCATTGGCTCCTACAAGCCGCACATGTGCGAGGTGGACTCGCAGATCGTCAAGAGCGTCAAGAAGATTCTCGTGGATGGTGCCGATCCGGTGTTTATTGAAGCCGGAGAAATCATCCAGAATAAGATCCCCAAGAGCGAGCTGGTGGAAGTGGCGGATGAATCGGAGGTCGAAAAGAGCTTGGCAGAGTTTGACGACGCCTCTTTGTTTCTCTGGAAGTGTGTGGGCTCGTCCATGATGGACGTTTGTGTTGGAGGACAGGTTCTGCAGTTTGCCAAGAAAGCTGGCTGTGGCAAGGAGGTGGATTTCTAACTGGCATTGTGGAGGTATACTACAGACGGCAGTTTAGCTGCGTCGACTCACATGTACACGTTTGATCATGATGACGATATGCGTCATGGTGTGGCCAATCTGCCTCGTTTGACCTCGTAGAATGTTCCTCCTGGACTTCAACAAGCCGCTCACAGACATTTACAACGGTGCGATATCACCAGTAATGACCTTTTACAGCAGATGGTGTGTTTTTTATTGCTGGCGGTTCGTGTCGGACACTTCAGACGGTCCTCCAGAGACATATCGACGGTTGCCATGTTTTATCGCTCCCAATCTCGACCCACAACCCGATCCAAGCTCCTTCTGATCCTCCTTCTTGTGCTTCTGATACTTATCCACTTGTTTATCTGCATTTTGTGAGTCGGTCTGGTCACCAGTTCCGAGAAAGACAGTTAAAATGAATGCTTCTTCTAATCAGGTCTTCAGAGGTCTGTGTCATTTTTGATGGCCGAGTAGGTGTGTACTTGTACTTGTATTGTACTTGTAGATTGAAGATTGCTCTGTCGTCAACAACCATTCTGTTTCAGTTGCTTTTTCCTTCTTTGTCGGATGCGATTTGAGGTGAAAGCAGTTTCAGCATAGACCCCACAATCAGCTTGCACAAAATGTTCAGATATCGACCATTATTGTGCATACTGAAGAGCAGAGTCGATAAACCTACCAATCTGAGACCCAGAAATCTTCCAGTGCTCGTGTATTTCCCCTAAATACTCTCCAAAAAACGCTACAAGCACTTGCCCAAAGACGGAACGTATTTCCTTCTGTAGTGTTACCTCCGAATTTCCTCCTTATTTTTTGAACGAACGGAGATATGGCGACAACGACTTGACCAATACAATCCCACCATCAAGAGCTCCCCAGTGATATAAATATCATTAGCACAAACCCGACGGCAGAGCAATCTACAGTAAACCATTATGGAGACTATGGATGTGAGAACTAAGGTTGAGAATGTCAGTCAAAATGGCACTTGTATCATGAAAATATACACGTATAAAGCTGTCAATCGATAGTCCAATGTCCGACAAGTGCAGTAGTTCTTTCAGATTTCAATTCCCGATATTATTCATCGATCTACCCAGTAATATGTGATTTCTTGAACCCCAGACATTGGAATGCACCAAATTGTACTGTTGGTTCGTTCGTTCCTGGTAATGGAACCATTCCGAATCTTGTCTCAAGATGATATAAATGCCCCAATTGTACTGTTTCATGGTATAAATCCCCCAAATTGTACAGTTGGTTTGTTGGGTTTTTTTTTTTTTTTTTTTTTTTGTATTATTTCGTAGGTCCATAATCAACTACCTACTTAAACTATATACTTGAATATACAAGTAATATAAATCGCTCCCAACTAAACACTGCATCCTAGTTAGATGTCAGAGTCTTAGTGAAAATACAAGGAATCCAACTCCATCATTTAACATCTGAGAGAACAAAAAAAAAAGTAAATGCATTAAACCAACCCGTCTAAAGAGCTTTTCGTGCTCAAAAACCCCAATATCCCCCTCAAACTGCAGATAATCACCTTCCCCAGAAGTTGCCGCCGCGCCTCCAAACCTTATCGGACCAGGTTGCATATTAACATCAACTTCTTCACCCAGAATCACCACTACAAACCGACAACAATGCTGCGACAACTAAGCCGTGTGCGGCACGTGACCGTCTCTTCTCACGTGATCACTCCCTCCCATGTGACCACCTCCCACGTGACCACTCCCTCCCTCGTGGCTGCGCGCCACTACTCGCTGGAGGTTTTTTGCAAGAGCTCCAAGCGACTTCAACGCAACCGGGCGTCGGCAAATGCGTCTGTGTCGCGACAAACGGACTATTTGCGTCAGGAGATCAGCGACCGGATGATTGAGCGACTGGCGTTCATTTCGCGGCAGTTTCCGGAGGTGCTGGATCTCGGATCGGGCCCGGGATTGCTGGAGCAAAAGCTGTTGAAGGGCGAGACCGAAGACGATCGGCTGGTCAGAAGTCGATTTGGACACGTCACCATGCTGGATTCTAGCGAGCAGTCATTGCTGCGAGACTATAATGTGCTTGAGGCGATTTCCGAACAGAACCCCAACCCGGAGGTTGCGTCCGATGCGGTGGTCAAGCTGGACGTTGCTTCTGGAGAACTCAACCCCAATGCCTTTGTGACTCTGGCGCACGGAAACGAAGAAGACATCTCTATTAACAACTCGCTGATCATGGACAACACCTACGACGCCGTCATTTCGACCATGTCCATGCACTGGATCAATGATTTGCCCGGTCTGCTCAACCGAATCAACAACGTGTTGAAGCCTGACGGGATGTTCATGGGAGCAATGCTGGGTGGCGACACGCTGTTTGAGTTGCGAACCTCGCTTCAATTGGCTGAAATGGAACGAAGAGGCGGAGTTTCTCCCCGGGTGTCGCCTCTGGCTGACGTCAAAGATATGGGCGGTCTACTCCAGAAGGCCAAGTTCAATCTTCTCACTGTCGATGTAGACGACGTGATTGTGTCTTATCCGGACATTTGGGCGCTCATGGACGATCTCAAGGCCATGGGAGAGGGCAACGCCGTGCTGACACGTGCCTCTTCTCTACCCCGAGACGTTCTGATTGCAGCCGACGCCATCTACAAGTCGCTTCATGGAGAGGAAGACGGGAGCATTCCCGCCACTTTTAGATTTGTCTACATGATTGGATGGAAGGATAGTCCCACACAGCCCAAGCCCAAGGAGCGGGGCAGTGCCACCGTCAGTTTGAAGGACGTGTTGAAGGAGTAGCGGGTGGGAGTGGGGAGCGAGGAGTGAAGAATGAGGGGTAGCCGAAGAGCTTCAGTATCGTCACCACGGTGACCACGAACGGTCTTATCCGGTATGACTGTGGGTCTACAGAAGTATCTCATGAGAGGTTTGTTTTTTTTGCACTCCTCCCACTCCTCCCCGCTCCTCCGTAGGCTTCTTAGAGTGAAGGACAGTTGGTGGATAGAAATGTATATAGTGAAATGTTAGAAGTAATGAACCAATGTCATGTTACGGAACTGAGAACACATTTTGATTCTGTCTCGAGTGTACTTCTGGTCCTACTAAATTACACACACCTGGAGAGAAACGCAAAACATGATTACAACCACGTGCCAGTCTTTGAACTAGTCACATGACCTCAACTAAGACCAGCGATAGGTTTTCACGTCCCGGTGTACTATTCTTTGTCAACTTCTGAGCTACAACTGTTCGGCAAGAGTTGCTGTTGAGTTGAGCAGAGCTGTTGGATACACGCGCAGGGGCTCCTTTGAGCCACGAACTCGAGTCAAGGAGCGTTCAGATGAAGAGTAGGAGTCCTCCGAATCGTTTCAGCAGAACGAATAATGTCATTAACAATTGTTTTCTACTCAATTGGCTTCTCTATATCGAATATACCACTCTTGTGTTGGCTCACATCGTCTAACAGGACATTTACTCCACCTAACATTCTTCAAAAGTGACAAAATATATATGTAAAGTACACCATTATGTTGGTCAGACTCCGTTTAATCGAATGGTACCATTTTAACAGAGTATGACGCGTTTTTCAGGAAGTTTTTGCAGTTTCACTACTCAATCTCTCCCGGAAGTACCCCCTATTCTCACCGGTCTTCCACCAGGGTCTAGTGGTGTAATGGTTATCACGTCTCGCTCACATTTCAGTGCCGAGGAGGCTCGGAGTTCGATCCTCCGCTGGATCATGTGACTTGGAAACAAGTTGTATTTTTTGTTGGTTCAAGTCGGAGAGCCCCGGGGAAAATCGACGGAGTATTGTTAGAAGTTACTTGGTAATTACTTGATCTCGGGGTAGAGAGTTAAACAAGTTAATAGACTGTGTTTGGGGTGATGATAATGCAGTTAAATGCCGTGTTGGAGGGGTCTGATCGCCAAGCTGAAGACATTTTTGAGCTCCGAGGGGCATGTTTTGACGCAAAAGTGCTCTTCTTTGCGTTCCATCTTCTCTGGTTGAAGAGTTGGAGTGAGTTGACAAAAAAAAAGTTGACAAAATAAAATAAAATTGACCAACTCTAAACTAAGGGTGGGGTACGAGTCTCCAGATTATATTTCCGATTATGTAAACTGATTAGCCCAACTACAAAGTACACACTTATGATGACTCAGAACAAGGCACAAAGCAACCGGGAATTGGGAGAATCGCGTGATATCACTCCTCCACCGACACGTGATATCACCTCTCCGTCGACACGTGACATGTCCCCTTCCAACCCCAACCAAACAGGCTCGGTTTCCGACTCGACTTGGAGACAGAATCTCACCGTCTGGCTTGTGTTCATGACCGGGTCGTATTCGACGCGGCAACTGGTGGATCGGATGCACAAGATGGACCGTTCCAAGAAGATTGACGCCACGTGGTGGCTTCTGTTCTTTGCCACCAATCTGTTTATCACTTTTCCTGTCCTGTGTTTGGTCGGCGCTTTGGGGCGATGGAAACGAGCGAGGTTGGTGGTCGAGGAGGGAGAAACGGACGAGTTGTTGGTTTAGATGTTGTTGGTGCTGATTTAGTGATTGCCAATTGGTCTGCATCATATCAGATATCTCAATGGAAGCCACTGTGGACCGCTCTATGCTGTCAGTCAAGCTGTGGCTGGCGACTACGCAAAATCGGAGATCTGGGATCGGAGTCCGTGTCAGTATATGGCAATTCGGCGGTCGATCAAGGACATGTGTGTTTTGCTCAGCTCGTGCAATCATCAGAGGATCCCCTAGTAAGATCTTTTAGGGTGTGACATCTCCCAGTGGACACTCACTATGGTCGAATTCACGAGTCATGAGTCTAGGTCATTCCCACATTCCCAGTCACTTTCCTACCGTCTACAGTGATTGGCTGTCTTTTCGCGTCCCCGTCCCATTGTTCCCTGATTCATCACAGTCTATTATCGGCCATCCTCACACGTGATCCTCCAGGGGAACTTGAACTTGAACAGTACACAGACTCTTCACGACAATCTGAGGTTCCTCTGCATAAGAACGTCGTCAGCAGAGCCTGGTTGGGTATCATTTGACGGTCCTGGCAAGAGCCGGAACTCTTATCTGCTCTGGAGAACGTCTTCGCCTACTACTCGTACCCGGCTCAGGCCAATCTTCATGTCGGGATTACCCACGATCGACTTGAAGATCAGAATGTGGACCCATATATCACCGACCGGAATGTTTACCATACTCTCCGTTCGTCGCCTACTGGAACCCGTGAGACCCATCTAGGAACACTACTGTACAGTCGACGGCAGCAATTGGCAAAGCACTACTCAAGCAACCTCAGTGGGGAGGAACCCCCATTTCGGATAAGACAGTCGGACAGCGCAGCCAAAGACGAAAGGGTGCACCAACAAAATGACTTTCCTTGAACTGTGGCGAAGGCAATGGATCAACCAACGTATTCGCGCCAGGCGAATCCACAATTCAGCATCCCGATTCGGAGAAAAGGTCACGGCAAAAACCCCATGGTGCATAATAACACCAGAACACCCCTACAGTAGAGGATGAGCAACTTGAATCGACAACAGCCATTGCCAACCAGGAAAGTGAAAAAAACAATACCAATTGCTTATATCATATTCCCCGAGGGCTTCACTGCCAAAGAAGGCGCTTTTGGTGTGTTGGAGAGTTACCCTATCGCATGACTACATTTCTCAGAGTGTGGTTCTAGATCGCCCCGCTGTTTGTACGCCTCCAGAATAAGTGGTTCTCCAACTCGGCAATGAAACCAGCCCCGACGACAAAAACAGGGCCTCTGCGAACCGTGCTCTCCATCGTCTGGTTCTGGACTCCCGCTCTTGTTGCTTTCATGGTGACGTTCCATCTTTTTTCGTGAAACACGAGATCGACAAGACCCGGATCGCAGAATGGCTCCTGTGGACTCCACAAATGGTTCGATTGGATGCACCACCTATTCTCATCGTGTAACGCGATCATCTATGCTCCCGGAATATGGACGTTGGTGTGGATATGCCAGGACCACCTTAAACAACTGAAGAGATGACACGATGAGAGCCGAAACGAAATTGAGGAGAGACAATGGGCCAAGCTGGAGGCACATCCCGAGTCGGAGATGAGACAGGATACGTTTGATCTACTCGGGGACGAGTAGTGTGGCAGAGTATCATTCAAAACCAGTACAACAGAACGAGCTCAGGGGTCCAATTGCAGAGTTCGACGAGTCTTGGACTTGGCTGGAGTCGGACATGCAAAACGGGGGTTCAACGCTGTTTCAACAAACTCGCTGAAACCTCGTCGAGGAGAAAGCCCAAGCCAGCATAGCGAGCCACTAGACGTATGGTATGTACCACAGCCACCCAGACAAATGGAAACAAGTCCGTACCGTCCGTACCGGAATCCAATCCAGAGATTATGACTCTTTTGCCAAGCCCTAGAAACCTCTTGTCATCTCTGAGGGCAATGGGATACTGATAGACCTCTTCTCATTTTTCCCATTCTGAAGATCTATTCTGGGCCCCTCCAAGACCATTTTCTGGACTCAACATCAATTCAATTTTGAATTTTGTGCAACCGTCATCATATCATTTTCCTGGTGTTTTTTTTTGTCTTTTTTATAGTTTTTTCTGCCAAGTCGCTTGATATTTAAGCTTTATGAAATGTGAATTTTTAATTTTTTAAAAAACTTAATTCTTTATTTCAATTCGTTTTGAAACTCAAAACTTACAAGTGTAGAACAATCGGATCAATGATTCGCGGTCACGTGTTTTAGATATGAGATCACATGACTGAACAGTAGAATAACATGATTTGTATCCGGAGGCGATAACGCTCAATATCGCAAGACTTTTACGTCTCGCTGAAAGAGTTCGCTGGCGACAACTGTTTTTCAAGCTGTTTCAAACTGTTTTTCAAATGCTCAAATGACAGACATCCCCCCATTCCAAGGGTAGGTATATCACGTGACTATATTTTCTCAGATATTACTGTTTACAAAAAGAACTGATCTCATAATATAATGTTTTACTAACGTATCTGCGATTCTTTCGGTAAACATTCCCTCCGAGATTTTGATCATAGTTTGATTCAGTTCTATCATGTATCATTACAGCAGAGAGAGTATCTAGGAGAAAGTACACCTTTACTCAGAGTCAATCAACCAATTCTCAATTATTTATAGCACTCGTTTTCTCTGTCTTCAGCTTCTCACTCAGAGTCTAGTCTACAGAGCCGCAACCAATACAATTTGTGGGCCGTCGTCGGGGAGATTTGACGATTGTATTTTATGGTCGTATCTTTTTCCAGCAGTTGATTTGATAATATCAGCAGTTGTTTGGTATCAGCTTCTGTTTGGCATTTCACCATGTTGTCGTGATTGTTCAATATCCGTTGTATAGGTATGTTGAGCGGTATGGTTGGAATCTGGTAGTGTTATAGCTGGTTTTGTTAGGAATTGTCAAGTAACAGTAGTGTTAGTTGACATATTACTTGGAAATCACTCACAAAACATCACATAAAATATCAATGACTAAACAACGTAAAACGATATAAAGAAGAGAGAGATGTTCACAATTGATATGAAAAAATATGAGTAAATAACTCCTACCACCTTTAGCCTGTGTTTGCTATCTTTTAAGCCGACTTTTCTCCTCTTTAATTAGCCAGTACTGTACTGACCTAACTGTCAAGACACAACTCGAATGTCTCGCGACGAATTTTTTTTAACTGCAGTATATTATTTGTATTTATTTTCCCGATACTTTTTATACCCCTTCTTTCGAAATTAATCCATTCTTGATCCTGTCGTAACGCTCGGACATTGCGACAATCGACTCTAGTGTCTCAACTTGATAAGAAATTGCACTCAACTTGCTGAATATTTGTGATAATTGAGTTTTAATTGCACCATTATGATCGCTAGAATCTACCCATCTTTTTGATACCATTATTGACATTTTATCTGTTCTGTTTTAAAAATGTTTTAAAAATGGACCCGATCAATATTGGTCTGAAAAGTTGTAGTCGACCAAGAGTAACAAGACAAGTACATTTTTCAATGAGTAAAGCTGGTAAAAGAGCATGGAATGAGTCCATCCAGAGTCATGTGACATCTAGGGAGCTCTAATATACTCTCCGTGACCCAATCTATGGTTTTTTGCTGAGGATGAATGTGTGACTTTAGGATGGTAAAAGTCCTCAGAAATCTCATCCAGAGATAATATCAAGTCGCTGAATGTTTCAAGGGGATATTATACGTGTTTTTTGGTTGTTTTTTTTTTGTTCTTGTTTCTCTGGTTACAACTCTGTATCTTCAATCGTGATTTTCAGCCATCTAGATAACCCTTCACCGTCTGGTTTCTACAACTGTACTAAAATTGATCCAAATGACTCACCGAAGTGCGGATCCAGAATGCTGATCAGCGGCTTCTCTCGATCAGCCGTTTTCCCGCCATTATTTCTTTTTCTGCTCTTTGCTTGTTGTCTTAAAAAGCATTTGCATCCTGCTTTTTTGCATCCTGCCACCCTTCTCGCCTGATAGCGCTGGAAAATGGTGGAGACGGTGAAAGTGACGAAAGAAGCCAAAACGGGTCTCAAACAATGTCAGAGAATCTGATGAAGAACTCTTTGATTTGTTTCGGACTTTCCTCGTTTGCAGAACCGTCTTCCCCCTCCGCTGATAGGAATTGTACTCACCTGCCTGATAACAACGATACGTGAATCAAAAGCAACCTATATTGAGTGCTTTTTCCGTACCCACAAAAATCAATCCCTAACTCTTATGGGCTCCATCTGCCCATATTCTTAGTCACCATTTGAAACATCTACTGCAATGTCTGCAATGTCTGCGATCTCCGCAGTTGTCAGATAAACAGTTTCTGCAGATGAGAGGGCTGAAACCTGCCATTTGCCACTAGTCTTGATACCCAATGGCCATATCTCGACTCTACAACTTGTTTACCTGGACAATATGAAGATCAGAAGCACCTTCACCAGCTAGAAGTGGTTGAAAAGGTCTATCTGACACGGCTTGTCTACTGTGTTAATACACAGCGGCGGTATACTACTATTGAAACCTGACACTCTCATTCAGGACATTGAATGAATCAACTGATACTTTTTATATTCAATTAATGCTCTGTCATACAATCAATACTGTCATAGATGACTACTATCCAGCCTTCATTCTCCTTGTCGCTCAATCACTTCGAGTCAGGGGCTCGATATTTCAAGTCAGGTGGCAAATCAGACTTGATGAAGGCATTTCCGGACACTCGAAATATCGCCACATTGAAAATCTGCTCCTCAATATGTCTGTTGATGCTGTTTCCGTCAATCCGGTTGGGTCGCAAAAAGTTCACGTTACTTGTATTTACTTGGGGCAACCGTAATTTGTTGGGATTTTAGTTGGCGTTGAAAATGAGAGAATAGTATGCATAAAACAGAAAGAAAACGTATCTGGGGGTGTAAAAAAGATGATGTAATAAGATATATATCGAACCATTACTAATCGGACACAGTTCGTCTACTTTCCAGGTTCCGAAATCGAT